CTGCGAAGCCGGAGCTTACCTGTACGCTGCTGGATGGGGATGGGGCCTGAGCTGCTGAGAAGAGCAGCACCGCGAGGTACCTGTACAGTACCAGATGGCTCCCAAGCACAGGACTGACGGCACTGACCCCATCCGCGATGGACGCATGCCTCGCCGCGAGTTCCAAAAGGTTCAGACGCTTTGGGCCTAGAGCTGGAGCGCACGGGGCGTGGCTGTATCTCCCACGCACCTCTTAGCCTACGCGGAGCTCACCCTAGACTGCCTGCATCGATCTTGATTGGCCTCGATAGCTTGCTGGCTACTGTCCCCGAGCTCCAGCCACACTATTCGCACGCCCCCTTGAGAGGGCCGCAGGATTTTGTTTGCTCCGGGCCTCAGCCAGAGTTTCTCGCTGTGCGGTCGCATCGCAGTACAGGTACATGCCGTAAAAACGAAGGCTGGGCTGGGCTGGGCTTGGCTGGGCGACTTGGGCGACTCCCCTCGGCCTGCTCACGCCTCTTGCGCGCCTCTCGCTCATCTTTGTCTCTGCCTTGTCCACCCTAAGCATCGGGCAAGTCACCGGAGATGCTGAGCTGCCGTTGCCGACGCCCGTCTCGCTGCGCAATGCCGCTGCAGCGACCCCCAGCGGTACCTCGCCTCCGTTATGGCGGTACATGGAGGCTCGCTGGCAAGCTATGGCGACAGAGCTGCAACTGACGGTTGTAGCTCCCCTACCTAACTGTACCTTAGTTCAGTACCTACAGTACAGTAGCAGTAGGCCCAGTTGGAGTAAGACTGGATGGACTGGCCTCCCCCTCCCTCTAGCTGTCGCGCGCGCGGGCTCTCTCTCTCTCTCGCTCTCGCAGTCTGTCACTCCCCTACCTTGTCTTTCTTTTTCCTCCCCTTCCTCTTTCTCTTACTCTCTTTCTCTCTTTCTCTCTTGTCCCTCCTCACATATAAAAGGCATCCATTCCCCCCTCCAGGACTGCCCAGCGTCCCTCGACCAAGACCTGCCCTCTCCAATTGCGAGTCCACAGCACCTGTCCGTCTTACACACAGCCCACACCATGTCCAGCCGAAAGCGCACCCGTGACGAGGAGGACGAGGAGGAGCTCGTCTCCCTCCCCGAAGAGGACGATGGAGAAGAGGAAGAAGAGTAAGTGATGACAAGACTCTGCTTTAGCTGCTGGCCATGCTTTGGCCAATGTGCGAGATGCGCCCGGTGCCAATTGAACGTTGCTGCCGCTGGAGTTTCGCACACCCCACGTCGCACTCTGGCACCCGCTGGAGAGCTGCGAGACACTGCACTCTAGTCGCAAGACTGCAAAACACCCGGTGGATGGACTGTGCTAACATTTTTCTGCAAGATACATCTCCACTGGAGACGAAGAAGAGAACGAAGATGACGATGGAGAAGAAGAGGAGGAGGAGGAAGGTGACGAGGAAGAGGAAGAAGGAGACGCCGAAGAGGGAGCTGAAGCTGCGGATGCTCCAGTGAACGGTGAGTTGAAGCCACTCCAATATCCAATATCCATCATCAAAGTCGCCCCCCTTCTCCCGGTAGCAGCAGAGTGCTTTTTCAGGGTTGTCACAAGACGTCGCATTGCCCCAGGTCACTGCTGCTACCTCACACTCCCCCAAGATGAAGATGATGAAGCAAACGTTGCCATTACTAACAAAACAAACAGGCGCCCAGCCACCTCACAAGAAGCGCAAGACGGTTGAGGAAGAGGTTGCTAATGGCGAGGGCGCCGATGAGGAAGATGCAGAGGAGCAAGAGGAAGAAGAAGCAGCAGAGGACGATGCTGAAGAGGCCGACGAAGATGAGGCTGAAGAAGAGGCTACCGAAGCCGCCGAAGCTGCCGCAGCCAAGCCTGTCAAGGCTGCCGAGGTGTCTCAGGCCACAGACACACCAGAGCCCAAGGCGGTAACTGCTGGAGGCGATGAGTAAAGAGACTTTTGATTATTGTTTTGGTCCTTAAAGCTGCTCGCACTAGGCAGACAGAATGGGAGTACCTCGGTGTCCTACGTTTGGCAATATCGGGGGAGTACATCTGGATATGGATGGGTTTGGACGGGCACAACAGGGCCCTAGTCAATAATGTGATTCTCATCCCACACGGTGCCTCGCCACACCTGGTATAATGTCATGGCTTTTGCTTTGGGCGTGCGCATTGCCTCTGCAAGTAGTGAATGCAAATCCTTCGGCGTTTGAGTTTCATAGGATATCTTTTGCCGCGTATCCGTCGAGCGCGCGTTGCTACTACCTGCCTGGTATAGTAGTGATGCCCAGCTGCCTTGTCGCGTATGATTTCGGGCCGTTCCGTGCAAATGTCCGGGCGTCGGGACGAGGATTGGCGAAAATACGTGTTGATGCCGTATTTGTGTCTCCATACCTACTGAATTAAATACGTTTTTTTTTTTTTACCTGAACAATGGAAGCTTGGACGGTGCTGAAGGTCGTGTAGTACCAAATCGCAGTTTGTCAACAGCCGGTCGCTCGAAAGATGGCCCGAAGCTCTCGGCTTTATTATTGCAGGTTATTTCCATTTTCTTTGCGCAGTCAGTCTCCCTCGATGTAACCCGCATTGCGAAGGGGACCAGCAACGTTTATGAGAGAGATCCGAATAGTAATTTGATTGAGATTTGTTTGTTTGGGTTGGTTGTTTATTGGCGTTGATGATGGTGTTTGCCGTTTACTGCTACCTACTGGTACCTTATTGTGCGCGGCGAGTAAAAGCAAGACATTGATTGGCTTCTTATTCGAAAAAAAAAAAAAAAAAAAAAAAAAAGACATTTATATACCACTGTTTAAAGTACATTCGATAGAAACTCCATCTAGCTCGGCGCCCAGCGTTGACGAGAACATGGTCTAGTCTTAAATGCAGCGCAGTTCTAATCGCTCTCTAGGCTCTGCCGTCAAATGTATGCCGCTCTCAAGACGAAAGAAATACAGAAACCAAAAACCAAAAATAATCAATGGGAATAAATCGCACAGAGTCCTCGTTTTATAGCTTTTGCTTCGGCGGCTTGCTCTCCGACTCTTCCTGCTCCTCCCTCAGAATATCGGCAATCTGCTGCCGCAGCTCCTCGGCCAGATGCTCCGCCTCGTCCTCGTCCAGCTCTTCCCTCTGGCCCCGGCCAAACATGGTGAAGCTCTCGCGGAAGCGCCCGCTGGCACGAATCTCGGGCCGCGGGATCAAATGGTAGTGCATATGCGGTACGACCTGCGCCGCGGCCGCGCCGTTGTTCTGCACCACGTTCCAGTCGGCGATGCCCGTGGCGCGCACCAGCGCCGCGGACAGCAGGCGGACGTAGCCGCCGAGGTCGCGCGCCTCGGGGTTCGTCACGTCCGTCAGCTTGGGCCGGTGGGCGCGCGTGCACAGCAGCAGGTGGCCGTGGCTGAGAGGCAGGATGTCGAGGAAGGCGATGAGCGCGGGCGTGGACAGGACGACAAACGACGACGGCTCCGTCCGATTCGAAGGGAACGGGTGCGGAGGCTCGATGGGGCTGAAGGGAGGGTGGGCGGCGGCGATTGCGCAGAAGGGACAGTCTTCTTCGCGGATCGTGGGAGGGGGGAGCGACGGGTCGAACGAGGTGTGCATTTTCGTTGAGATTCTTTGTTCTTGTCTTGTCTGTTGTCTCTCGTAGCTTATGGTGGTGATACAGAGCGTGGGTAGGGGGTATATAGAATTGAACGAATTCGCACACGAGAAAAAAAAGAAGAAGGAATTGAGTCGTCTAATTCCTTCTGCTGCTCTGCTTTCTTCGCTTGGGTCCAAGACAACGGTCAGCTAGAATCACAGGGCATGGTATCCGAACCGGCGGAAAACGAAGCCGTAATCGACTGATCCCAGCAAAAAGATCAAAACCCGCTAATTTGACTGCGGCTAAATCACCAGAATGGATCTCGCAAGGCCTCGGTCTGCAGCTAGAAATGCCGGATTTCTCACAAGCCAATGATGATGATTTGTTCAAAGGACCATATGCGCTGCAGTAGCCAATCGGTTGTAGGAAATAATCATAAGATTGGCGTGAGAGTGAGAATGTATGGGCTTGTCCAGGCAAGTAAATCAGTTACCGAGGTATGTTTGAGCGTTCGTGGAAGAGCTGTGATTACTTAATACTTGAAGGCTGCTGGTGCAAGACCTGGAACTAACCTGGACAGACAATTCGCGAAAAAATTGTGAGACTACGAGTAGGTAGTAAGAATTGACAGTAAAGAAATTAATTTTCAATTGTCTTGGATTATTATCACTGTGATGGCCTTGTGTCATGAATTCAGTCAGTTGCTTTGAAAATCTCCAAGACGGAAAAGGTCGCTGTTCGCCTTGGAAGCGTAAAGCTCACCCATTAACTCATCATCGCTCCTCCACCGCCCAATTCTGCCGGACAAAATTCTCCTCCACCGCCACTATTTTCTCTCCCCTTCCATCTCCCATCATCCACTCTCGCAACCACACAATCCGCCCTTACAACTCACTCCCACATCCCCCCCGGCCTCAAAACCACCGTCGATATCGAACAGCAGCCATGCCTCGCGAAGAGTACCAGGTCCCCACCGCTTCTGGCGCCGGCACCTCGGCCGGAGGCATCTCGCGCGGCGCGACAGGCGGCGAGCGTCACGAGAGCCGGTCCGTCATGACGTACATCTGCGGCGACTGCGGCGGCAACGTCACCCTTAGCAAGGATGCGCTGGTTGCCTGCCCGCATTGCGCTGGCAGAGTTCTGTACAAGGAGCGTACCAAGCGGTGAGTTGCCGACTCTCGTTGCGCGGCTTGTGCTGGGAGCGAGGTTTTGCTGACGTTTTGTGGTGTAGAATGGTGCAGTTCGAGGCCCGATAGGCGCGTGAATGAGCAGAATAACTCTCGGCGAGATGAGGGGATGAAAGGACCACAATAAAGAACAAAGTCAAAAGCAACATATCATAGACCACACTCGAGGAGTTTTGGGAGACAATCAGGGATCATCAAGAGTACAAAGGGAGTCAGATGTTATTACCAAAGGGGAAATTTTTGATATTACTTGTTATGCATTGCGCGCCCCAAAGGCCGCATGGATTTTTCTTATCTTTTAAGCACCTCAAATGATTAAAACTTCGCATAGCCAAGTTCCTTTGCACCCATGTGTTCACCTGGTTTCCAAAACGCCTAAACTACCTGTACGCCTCCAAAAGCCCACACACGTTGCGTTTACCGCTGCATGTGCAGGTATTTCGCAAAGCTCGCGTCGCCTAAGATGCCTTCGTCCTTGCCTTCCATGGCAGCGGCATATCTCGCCTGTAGGCCCTCCCTGGTTGTTTCGTCATCCTCATCGTCATCATCGTCGTTATCGCTTGGGACATCCACATCGTCATCATCATTGGTGACTTTGATGGGTCGCTTTTCGGCCACGTTGTTGACGTCAACCGACATACCCTGCATCATCTTGTCCAACTCCTGCTCACGAGTCTTCTTCTTCCGCTCTTCCCTCTCTTCCCTTCGTCGCTCCAGCTCGGGTAGATAGTCTTCCAAGAACTCTTTCCTCTTTTCTTCAACGGCCTCAAAGAACTCATCGATACCCGTTCCAACCCGCGAGCTAACACCCACCATACTCAGATGCGAGTAGAACTCCTCCAGCACCAGACTCATTGAGTTGAGCAGGCTACCCATGTAACCACTTCCGCCGCTTCCAAAACCTTCTTGGCCTCCAAATGTGTCGGAATTCTCGTCGCGTCGCAGAGCATCTTGGAATGCTTCGAAATCCGTCATCCACTCCTTGGCGAATGAGGCATCCTTGACGTCGGTCTTATTGAAGACCAGGATCATGGGAAGCTTCGTCTTGTAGAGAATGGAGCAGGCATAAAGCATGTTGGACATGAATGTAGATGTCGAGGCAGTCCGTGGTGTATCGATGATGTAGGCAATAATAGTGGGAAAGGATGATGCGAGAGATTCCAGCAAGATAGTTCCCGAAGCGGACCATACAAAGGCCTCGATTTGTCCAGGCGTGTCGACCAAAATTCGGTCGATGGGCTTGCGATCGGGGTTTTCGGGATCGGGCTTTGAGCGCTTCTCCAGTAGATTGACAATCTGGTCGACCTTTGTGGCAAAGAGGTTGAGCGACGTTAGAATTCCTCCGTTGGGCCCTAGGTTGTACTGCTTCATGACCTCCTCATAATTGACCGAGTCCCGAATATCGATGTTGCTTTCGAAGGGAACGTTGAGAACCGCGGGGTCGAGGTTGATGACATAGGGAGGCGTGTTCTTTGAATGGAGATGGGCGTTGATTCTCTGCATAAAAGTCGTCTTGCCCGAGCCTACAATTTGGCACAGCAGGCGTCAGATAGTTGTAGCATGAGTGAGGGCTCACCGTTACGGAAGCTTACCAGCCATGCCAACGCAGACGATGGCGGGGGGCGACGACGCCGATATCGAAGGGGCGCCGCCAGTAGATGATGAGGCCATTTTGAAAAGCAACACAGCTGTAGTGTATCGTATAAAGACGCCGAAAGAAACGAGAATTTGCAGTCAGGGGTGCAGATGCTTAGAAATGAAGTTGAGAGAAAGGGCGAAAAGCTACTGGTAGGTTGCGGGTCGAAATTTTGGATAGCGGAAAGTTTCAGCACCTTCAGCGATAAAGAGCTGCCCCGCCTGCTAACAAAATCCCTACACGGAACAGCCCCGCGGTGACGTGAATAAAGTTGATGCAGGAAAGCTCCTTGTAATTATATAAGCAGCCTCAACTTCTACTACCACCACTCAGTCAAGGCATTATTGCATGCTGTTTATAATATCATACGAAATGCTGCCCTCTGCTAATCGCCAGGTTTCAATATGCCCCCCTTTTAAATCCTCCAGATTCCCCTTCCAAATTGACCCCAGCCACTTCCCCCTTTTGCAGCAACCCCTCTCCATATTAACCATCTGTGCCGCTGCTGCGGAATGTTGCGCAAAGAGCCGCGTAGTGGTGCGTCAGATCAAGCACATGTTGTGGGAGGCTTGTTGCCTGAATGATGCTCCTGACTTTGACGGCACCTTCGTCCTCAATCAAGGTCCGGATAGTGTGCAGCAGCTCCGGACTGAACTCGCTGTACCACCTGTACTGCCAGGTAACCAGTCGAATCACTGCCGCCACCGTCTCTCTAGTGCTCTTGGTCTTCTCAAAGACGCGCAGCACGCCAGCCAGGGCCTTGGGGCTGAAGCGCAGGGACAGGCAGGCCCGGTATGCCTCAGCGGCTTCGTCAAAGTGCTGCAGACGTTCCGCAAGCGAGCCGAGAATCTCCCACTCCTCCGCTGACTTCTTGTATTGTATCTGCTGGGCACGGTACTGGGCCATCTGCGTGCGCCAGATTGTGTAGACCCGTAAATCTTCATATAGAACCATGAACAGGCTATCCAGCCAACGCTCACACAGCCGCTTGGTGTTCAATTTGGAGAGATGGTCATCGGCATTGGTACCCTACACCCTCGATGTGTCAATAAACAGCAATGACTCACGACTTGCACAAGGGAGATTTCATCTCGACTCACATTCTCATTATCGGCTTTGACCTCATCTGGGTCCGCTGTACTGGAAGGCTTCTCAACTCCGCTGTTCTCCCCATTGGGGGCCAATTTCGATGCAGCTGGTTCTGAGGGCTTCTCATTCTCATCGTCTGAGCCCTCCTCTCCATTCGTGGTGGGGTCTGGTGTGCCACGGAGGCCATCCATGCTTGGACTCCGCATCGGCTGGGCAGCCTGGGTAGCTTCTTGCTTCTCGGTACGGTACTCATCCTCCATGACGAAGACATTGCTGCGGATCTTTAAAAGTTGATCCCAACCAATCTTGGCCGTCATTTCCGTCAATATGCTGTACGCCTTCTTGAATGTGCCACGATAAGATGCTGCCCTCAGGCTCAGCAAACTCGGGTCGACTTGTTCCGCATATCTTGACTCTGGCTCGCTGTCAATCTCATCAAGGCGCGTTTCGGGAAGGGTGGGAAGGTGAACGTCTCTCGGCTCGGGCATCAAGGGAGAATCCTTGTCCTGGTACGTGAACATGGGGCACGAGTTGAGGATTGTCAAAGCATTCTCCCAGTCCTCCATGGCGACATATACCTGAGCCAATCTAGCCCAAGTGCTAAACTCGCTTGGCGCAGCAATGGTGCTGCGGTCTGCACAACCGAGAGCCATCTTTAGTCTCTCTTCCTTCAATTCCGGCGTTTCGGCTTTCGTGGCCTTCTTCAAGAGGAAGTCTGCCTGTGTGTCGAGCATGACATAGTCCATTGGGGTTTGTTGAAGCGATTGATACAGCACTTTTACTCCCGACACTTCTTCATGGCCCATGAACAATACTTTTGCTAGCAGCGAGGCAACCTCGACGCTCTGGGTGCGAAGCTTCTCGAAGAGGTTGATACCGGATGTATAGCGGCCTGTAGTCTCGAGATACTTGAGCAGTCCAGTGGTGAGATGATTTGACACGTTGGTAGGGACCTGAACAATCGAATCGGATCCTAGCTGCCACCCTGCAATGGAGTTAGCCTGCTGTCATAATTAATTACAACTTTTTTGAATCCCCATACCCCTGAAGAAGAGCTGTTCGGCCGCATTCAGGAAGCGATGCTCAGTCTCTGTGTTAGTGACAGGGTTGAATCTTCGGACGCCGACAATCTTGCGGATGCTATCGCCACTACCATCGTCGGCGTACGAGTACGCTCTTAGGACGCTGCAAAGATATGTCTCTAGCCACAGATCGTCCGATGCCTTTCGCTTTTCGCCTCGCTCGTCAACACAGTAGCTCTCGACGGTTCCGGGAATGGACACATGCACCCGCATGTCTAATCGTGAGAAAGCATTGTAGCAACTTTGCCACCGTTAGCACATCCTCTTGTTTCGCGAACAGCGGTCGCATATAGTAGTCTCTGCCACCTACCAGTATACACCCTCGACGATCCTGGTAGTTGTGTTTGGGTCATGGTCTCTGTACGTCAATGTGTTGATGTAGGCCGCCAGGCTTGCCGAAGACGACGCATCGACGCCGGTAACGTGATGGTAGACGCCGGCCTGTTATTCCACCTGACTTTTAGCTGTCTTGTCTCGTGCTCCGGGATTGTCGCTATCGCTAACCTGCTTTCCTGGATTGCGCACTGCTTGCTTCACCAGATGCACAAGATCCGGTGGGCCCAGCTCTCGCAATGCTGCAAGTGATTCTGTCCTGGCATCGATCGACTCGTGGAGGACGTCCTCGGATAATCTGATGAATAGTTAGACGGCGTCGTCTGAAGCTGTCCGTCATGGCGGGAGGCTCACTCAGGCACTGCTGGCGCAACCATGGCGGCGAGCAGGCGCACGTAATTGCGCGGTCAATGGGATGGAGCTGAATTCGAGAGATTGAGGCTTCTATCAGGCATGCAAAGCAGCCGTGCAGAGTAGGAATCGTTGCGCAAACAGTGGGATTGGAGGAGCTATCGAGCTTCGAACAAGGATTCGTGACCACGTATGACCAGCCTCGCTGCGCCTGCACGTGGAGCCAGCCACAAGGTACCGGGCATGTACCAAGGTACGGGTACGGGGGGTTCCGGAGATTCTACAGGCCTGATAGCGATCCGCAACAGGTCTTGACATGCCTAAATTTGGCCCCTGGCTGCGGGTCTTAGTCAGCTACTGGGAGCGCCACCTCCCGTTTACAGCGACCGCTCAGCGCTGAGCTTGACGCAGTGCAGTGCTGTGCTGCAGGTCACTTGGATACAGGACACGACAGGCATTGATGGCTTAATCTTATCGCCTCGGGCCAATTGAATTAACGCGACGCGCCAGGTTGAGTGAGCGTCGAAACGTCATTCAAGGGCCAGATGAAGCCTCAGCTTCCACCATCCCACAACACAAAACACCGCGAATGCTGGTCCCATCAGCGCTCGCATATCGCTTGCGATCATGGTGCGTCCAATTGCTTTGCTCCCCTGATTAGCCACATGCTAACCCTTAACCCTTTGCCGCAGCCCGCCTTCCAGGCCATCAACCTTGAGCCGGAGGAAAACAACGAGGAGCAGATCGATACCACCAAGGAGCTTCACGTGAGTTGCACACATGAATGAGATTAATACCACGGGGCTTTTGGATGCTGACGTCTGCTGCAGGTCGACGAAGCCCTCAAGCGCTTTCAGAATGCGTTAAAGCTCCACGCGCAAGGCATACGGTCCCGCGAGGCGGCCAGTGCAGCCTACGACGAGCTTTTTGAGTCAGAGATATTCAAGTATCGAGAAGCGAGAACCGACTACGAGCGAGCGGAGCTACAGACCGATAGCCAGGCAGCAACCTCAGCACCCGAATCGTTTGCCGATGGACTCGATGTGGCCGCAGGCGGTGCCGATGGAGTGGCTGCTAGTCTTGCACTTGCGCTTTACCTCTCATACAAGAACTATGGGCAATTTTATCTGGATAAGCTGAAAGATGAACGAATTTTAAACCCTGAATGGAGCAACAAGCTCCAGATATACTATCGCAGCGACCAGGGAAAGAATGTTCTTGACAGCTGGACTGCTGCGCTGGATCAAGACCCCTCAGATCCAGAGCTATGGAGAAAAATGGCGAGATTTGCTGGCGCATTGAATAGCGGAAGAATCAAACGATACTGTCTGGAGGCTGCAATAGAGCTAGATGATGATCCGGCTGTAATGGAGGTTGAACCCCCCTCTCTCGCAGAGAGCTTGGCTGGGGAGCAGCTCAAGATGTACTTGAATCTCCTCGGCGACGACATGGCATTGTCACACCCTGCCATGGCGCCCTGGTTAAAGAAAAATTTACCGTCAATCTTGAAACGTCATCTTGACCCCATCCCGTTCTTGCCAGACCCGACTTCGACTCTCTCAGTTCCACCTGAGCTGCAGATTAGCAAACAGCTGCTGCAAATCGACAATGTTGATGAAACTATATCCGTGTTGAGCGATGCGGAATCGTCGAGCAAGAATGTTGGGTCGTGGTCCGATCTTGGGTTTGAGCTCATGAAATGTGTTGAGAGCACAAAGGATGCTTTGGAAGTTTGCAGACTAATCTTGCAAACAGCCAAGCAGGATACGGAAATGGATGAATTGCGAGATGAGGCTGCCAATGAGGGCGAGAATGGTATTCTTTCCGAGGGCAAAAACACTGCAGATACAAATGGCCACGACGAGAAAGCATCTGCATCGCCGCCACTCGAGTCGAAAGGGAGCCGGGCATCCGAGACTGCGGATGACGCTGCCAAAGGCTCTGACGGGACACAAAAGGAGTCCAACGTGCCGCAATCAGCTAGAAAGCGATCACAATCTACCGCGGGACTACCAGACGGCGCCGACGAAGAGAATGTGACTGAAAAGAGAAGCAAAAGAGTCCGCAGGAGAGCAGAAACCTCTCAGGTCGAAGAAGCCCCTGATCCGAATACTCTTATAGCTAATCAACTTCGCCCGTTTCAAGAAGCTGATCAGCACCTCTTTACCATGACAAAGAACTTACTCGAGACCATTGGAGTTGAGGATAAAGCAACGTTTGAGTACCTCGACGAGGTTCTAAACCTGTGCGTCGCAGAAGATCGGTCGTCCAAATTTACTCGTGTTGGGGCCAAAGACTTGCGCACGCTGATAGCCGACTTCAAAGAGGACGTTGCCATGGTTTTTCTTAACAAGAAAGAGCAAGCAACTTTGGGGCTCTCTTCTTTCTTGGAGCATGCCAAGACAGGGTCTGAGGATCAAGCCGTGAATATTCCTTTCAACGAAGCCAAAGGTTTGAGAGATTTCGCAGAGAGAGTGGAGAAGAGGCATGAGCATATGACAAGTGATGATATTGTTTTTGAGTGGATGAAAACGATAAGCTCCAGCTATACTTCCTTTAAGTGGTCAGATATTATGAAGACTGCGGTGGTCCAGATGCTGAACACGACCGACTCATCGTTATACAAACTGGTCTCGGAGGAGCTGCAGAAGTATTCTTCTCCCGAAGAACTCGCTCATCTGGAAGCCCTAATCCCTATGATATTTGAACTCTACATTGACATTTACGAGCGGATCACAAACCCTAGCAGCGCCGTTGATTATGCAACCCGCATGGAGACCAAATATCGACTTCAGCGATGGCTGGATTTAGCATCAGCCTATGTGCGCCTGATGGACCGGCCACCAACCGACCCCCTATGTGTCAGGTTCTTGTGGGCGTCTGTCTTGGTGTCATCGCTCTCGGACAATCCAGTTAGAGAGCATATTCTCTTGTTGTGGACATCACTTCGTGATTTTCTGTCGGAGTCGGAAGTAGACACATTGGCTCTACCAAACAATGTGGTCATGCCAACCATCTCTCCGGCGGCCGCAGATCGAGAGATATCTAAACTTACAACCATGGACTTTTTCCTCAGCCTTTTCCAAGAAGGGATGGAGAGTCCGGTTCACGTTATTGAAACCTTGGAGCCTGTTCTTAACCCTTCATCCGTTTGTATATCCGTGGAGAAGCCGGACGATTCGGCGGACTCGGATGCATCTTCCTCGGCCGATCTGGACCAGCAGAAAAACAAGCAGAGTATCTCGGATTGTGCAACCCAAGGCATGCGCGACCTGTGGAAATTTCTGCGTAGCAGCAGCACTGAGCTGAGGCTGTTTCTGTGGTCACGACTTGGAGATGCATATGAAGCGATAAAGTACACAACCAAGAAGTTCTCATGTCACCTCAGAAGCATTGAACTTATTGTTGCGGATCTGGAGAGCGAAAAGTACGCCAAGCTGCCTGACGAGTCTCGCCTGCTCCTTTATATGAGGACTTTGAAGTCACTCGACGAATTACTGATCCAGGCGCTAACATTGGCCTTGAATGACCCCTCTGCATTTGACATTATCGACGATGATCACCTCAAGTCAAGCTGCAGTGCTCTTGCCAAGGTGAATTCTATTCTTCACGTTGCATTCTTGTGCGAAGACGAGGTCAAGATAGGAGCCAAGACGGCACCGTCTTCAAATTCCACTTTCCAGTCTCTCATCACCAAATTGCGGGAAATGCAAGTACGCACTTGGTGTCTTCAGTTCACCATGTTTAGAGCAGGGCTGCCTCTCCAAGAGTCCATTGCTCCGGAAAAGGATCTGGCCGACTTCCTCGCCGCCATCCACCAGGTTATTGGTCTTCGAAAATGCTGTAAGGCGTCCAACAAGATCTTTCTTAAAGTCATGCGCATGGAGCTGCTCAAGAATAAAAATATTGAAAATTGGGAAGACTATCTGGGGCAGGTGGTCTATGATTTGTATGGACTTAAACTGGGGGTTGGAGTGTGGGAAGTCCAAGATCATGGCTGTCCGCATGAGAAGCTCGAGAAGCGCCAGACGATGCAACTGGTTGAAAAGGTTATGATTCTAGCAAACCGCATGCCGATGAAGGATCTTTTGAAGTCGGATCTCAAGACAGCCATTGACCATATGCAACAAACTATTGGACAGCCAAAGTCTACACCACAAATGATTCACAACCTGCGCAACTTCACAGAACTCGTCAAAAAGCCCATTCATCCCCTTCGACTCTATCAAGCGTTGGTTGGAGAAGTGTCAGTTGATGCAGTATCGACAAACACGCCGGAAGCTGCACTAGCAAAACACGGCTGGTTTTTCTTGCTTGGAATGATAGCACTGACCAAGTTTAAGGCCGTTGATTTGAACCGACGTCAGACGCCGGGTGCAACAGATGACCTTCGCATTGGAGCAACCTTCCTGAGGCTACAATTACAATTCAGTTCAGATAGCTGGGAGTCGTGGTTCCGGCTGGCCGAATGCTTTGATTACGATCTAGACGAAGCAGTGCTATGGACTGCCGACAAAATGAACAAGGATCGAGCAGAACTGGTCAAGTTTCAGAGAAATGCAATCCACTGTTACACGTTGGCCTTGTCGCATTCAAGGTATCAAGAGATAGAAGCCACCGACGAAGATCCGCTACATGACTTGTACCATAAGTTTGGAATGCGTCTGTACGCTTCGAGTCGAGAGCCATTTGCCATGGAGCCATTTCAACATTCCGACCAGGAACGGTTCTTTATCCAGAACATGGGCGCTGGAACGTTCAAAAGGATTCTACATGAGCAGATGACGGAGTACAAAGTATGGAAGTTTGCTGCCAAGCTGTTCAGAATGGCCATAGAGCGCAAGCCTGGGAACTGGAAGTGAGTATCTTGTCTGGCAGATTGTATGAGGTTTGAGATTGTGAAATGATGCTAATTGTTGGTATAGGAACCCATACATGCTGGCCAAGTGTTATTGGAAGATGTACCAGACGCCAGATGAAGATCTCGACAGCTCAGATAGGGACACCAAGATCGGGGTCCAAACGGTGCTCAAGGCGCTGAAAGACGCCGTCAATGTGGCCCATAAAGCGAGAAAATCTCGCAACAGTGACCCTATTCTCGAGCCGCATTACAAGATTGTGTCTATAGTGCACAAACTTGTGATGCGAGGGGATCTACCTGCCAAAGAAGCAGCCGAACTTTTGTCGGAGCAACCCTTTGGCGTGCAAGTTAAACCGGATGATCACTTTGCCGCGTTCACCGAACCTGAAGACTGGGAGGAGTACATTATTCCGACGTTGGTGAAGCTCAAGGAGAAAGATAAGTCTAACTGGCAGCACCGGATTGTGGCACGCCATGCCAAGATTCTGTTTGATGAGAGCAGCTTGGAACAAGCTACTGACCTCAAGGTGGCGGCACAGGCTGCTTTTGCGATCTTGAGAGAAAATATGTTTACCAAGACAATGGTTATGAATGTGTGGAAATGTGACGCTGAGCGCCCGGGTCGTCACCATGTCTTCACCGAACAATATGTGCGGTTTATGACCAATCTTCTTGTGATAATGTCCGACAAGACCAATTTGGAGCAGCTGCTTCGCCGTCTCCGGAAGAAAGGCGCAGATTTCTATCACTTTGTCGACTTGTGGCAGTCTTGTTGCATGGCTTATCTGAAGCTGTTGAGAGACGCACACAATATCCCGCATCCTACCGATGATGCATTCAAGGCGCTGTCTACCGAGGAGTTTGAAATCATCAGCGAAAGGATCACTGAGTGGGCTGCTCGCGACGAGGCAAACATTCCAGCTTTCATCTGCATGAAGGAGGCTATCGAATTGAAGAAGCTTAATGCCAATCTGATGAAGGCTGCCGGAATTGATGACTTGATCAATGATTGCTACTCGAAGATTTATGTCGATGTGGCTGGAACGTTACCAGGACAGGAACCAAGCAAGATTATCGAAGAGCGCAACCAAGCCAAAGAGATTGCAGCCAAGCTTGAGGCTGCGGCTGCGGCTGCGGCTCAAGCTGATGCCAAACCAACCAATTCCCTCAGCAATATACTCAACCCCCCAAGCACTCATGAGAGCCTCCCCGGCACTGCGACGCCGCTAGAGGGAGAGAAGTCTGAGGCAGCACCGCGGACTCGAAAGACTGGAGTCCGTAGGCCGGACGTCCTTCGTAAGGCGGAACAGGCTGTCACTCGCTCTCTGGAAATTCCCAAGTTGGCTCTCCCAAGAAGCCGGGTTGGAAGTATGTCAAGTGCAAAACGCGAAAGCCAAACGCCTAATGCGGGTGCCAGTGACGCCGACAGCGACGACGAAGGGCCTGATGCACAAGTTAGAAGAGAAGCTGGGGAAGATACTGATATGCCAGACACGCATGCATACGAGGAAGATGGCCATGATGGCCACGACGACTCCAAACTGGAGGACAAGGAAGAGCTTGAGAGCGATGACGCGCATAGTCTTGACGATTCCGCTGAGGAGAGCGACCTAAGCGATGTTCCGGATGACTATGAAGAGGACGTCCCACCGAGCCTGATGTTCCCACACCTGGGACGCACTATTCAGAGCGGCGAAACTAGTGGTGAAGACGCTGATAGTGAAAGCGAAGGTGATGAAGATGAGGACGAGGACGAGGAAGAAGAAGATGATGAGGAGCACGGAGACGATGAGGCTGAAGAAGCTGAAGAGGGCGAGGAGGAGCATGATGAAGGTGATCACAGCAAAGAGATGCACGAAGATGGTGAAGAGGAAGAAGAGGAAGATGAAGAAGAAGGCCATGGAAATGAACACGACGAGGACGCTGAGATGGCAGATCCACATACGCCGGCTCGAGCAGATGGGGATGAATCGGTAGATATGGGAACGTAAGCTTGACTTTTGTGGAAAACCTTGATATCCTTTTTTGGGATGGGCGAGAAGAAGAAGGATTTTCTTTACAATTTAGCATCACTATTGTCATAAGGGCTTTCTGAGAATAAGATGGGAGGTTGACGCATTTGCTATTGGATTGGGTAGTTGGAAGGGGTATGGTTCAGGATGCGTCTTTCTTGGCTTGGACAATTCTGGCGTACTTGTTTAGTAAAACATGTGGACTATTGCATTATTACAAGTCGTAATTATTGAAGACAATGGTGATGCTATATGTGCTTATTTCGAATACTTTTCATCTTCCTGCTTGAGCCGAGTAGATCCTACAATCTCACTTTCATGTTTGAGCTTTATTGGTTGGAGAAAATTGTCAAATCAATTAAGAAAAAATAACGTACTCCATCCCCCAAAGTTGACACTAATGAGATAAAATTGCACCTTGAAACACCCGTTCTGTTTGCCTTTTTAAACACCCATTGTTCCGCACAAACTTTTAATATCTTGTCTTTTTTTTTTCCGATTTTTCCTTCTAAAGAAAATCAAGTCTCTTTAACCCTCCTCCTCGTCCATGTTATCTCGTCTTCTCTTAGGTCCGGCCGTCTTTCCTTTTCCTTTGCCCTTCTTATCTTTACTTTCAAGGAAAGCCTTCATCTCCACTCTGGTTTCCCTCTGAGCCTCCTCGACTCTGCTCTGGAAAGCCATGACCTCCTCCTTTTCGGTTGGGTAGGTTTCAAGCTGCTTGCCTAGCGCAGCCTCGATGCGCTGGTAGATTTCAACATCGTACTGCGTAACGATGCTGATGGCGATACCGGATTTACCGGCACGGGCCGTTCGACCGACACGATGGATGTATGTCTTAGAGTCCTGAGGAAGGTCAAGGTTGAGCACCACATCGACGGCAGGAATATCCAGACCACGAGCAGCGACGTCGGTGGCTACGAGGATTTCGCGTGATCCTCCCTTGAACTTGTTCAGGGCACCGAGACGAGATGACTGCGACAGCTGTCCGTGGAGTGGGATGGCGCCGAAACCAAGGGTTCGCAGCAGGATGGCTATTCTCTGTGTTTCAAACACTGTGCGAGTGAAGATGATGATGGACTTTCCGGCAAACTCGTTGACCAGATAGATGAGATATGTGTCCTTCCGCTTGTGGGGCACAAAGATGTAGTGCTGAAGCAAGGTTGACACTGTCTGGTACTTGCTTGAGCTGACGCTGACACGAACAGGGTCTCGTAAACTGGCTCTCTGGAGACTCTCTACCTTGGAGCTTAGGGTTGCGGAGAAGAGGTATGTGCGGCGCTCACGAGGGATGAACTTGAGGATCTTGTCGATACTAGGACCAAAGTCCATGTCCAGCAAACGATCGGCTTCGTCCATGACCAAGTACTTGAGGGATCTCAGGGAGAAGCCCTTTGTCTTTTCCAGGTGGTCTACCAGTCTACCGGGCGTTGCAACGATGATATGGGGCTTCTTTCCGAGGGCAATGGCTTGGGGAACCATGTCCAGACCTCCAACGATGACGGCACATCTCAGCGAGATGAGGGCTCCTAGAGCTTCGAACGACTGTCCGATCTGGGCAGCGAGTTCTCGAGTGGGGGCGAGGACGAGTCCGAATAGAGGCTGGGGCTTCTCGAGAAGTGCTTGCAATATGGGCAGAGCAAATGCGGCTGTCTTTCCGCTACCCGTCTCGGCGAGGCCAATGACGTCGCGGCCTTGGAGGGCAACGGGAATGGATTTTGCTTGGATGGATGTGGGGTGCTTGTAGTTGAGAGACTCGCAGGCTTCGCATAATGAATCGACAATACCCTAAAAAGAGAAGAAAACTGGTAAGCCTTGCGGGGTTCTGTTTCAATATTTGAGCCACGTCTTGTCTCTTACCAGCTCTTTGAACGTCTTGGGCTCCTCTGGTGCATCTGCAGCGTCAGCAGAGGAAGCGACATCGAGAGTCGCGGATTCTTCTTCAGTGGGAGGATCAGGAGATGCCTGAGAGGCACTGGCTTCTGCTTTCTGGCGCTTGGCCGGCGCATCGTGCGCGGTCTTTTGCCTCTTTGCGCCGCTCATTGTTGCTTTGATTTTGCTTTGATTTTGCTAGACGTAGAAAGGACGAAGCCTTGCCAGTAACTTTTTTTTTGGAGTCGACTTCCCAGCAGCAAATCAGGACGCAGTGAGATGAACCCCTGTCGAAGTCGATGTTGGAGAGTGGAGGCTTGCAGGGATGTTGAAAAATTACGTATATATCAGGTTCTGTGCGCAAAAAAGGGTTTCGAATTGGTTGCATATCTCTATCAAGAATGTTTTCAATTGTTGCATCTATCTGCGTATTGCAGTAAGAAATTGCGTAATGCTCTTAAAGCGAATGCTCGGAACAATCTTTCTCCCCTCGAGAGCTGCCTATGTGCATAAGTGGGCTGCTCTAGAAAAAGTTGGTGGGGCGTTGTATCTGCGATAAGCTCTTATCGCCCAAGCCTGGCCGAACTTTTTTTTCCTCTTGTTATTGGCATACTCAATTGGACTTGCAACAAAACGTGGTGATTCTTGGATTCTCGATCAACTACAAAATCAATCAGCCATGGCGAAACGAAGAGTCAAGAAGCGAACCCATATGGGCGCAAACAACCCTCAGCCTGCGTCTGCTGGTCATGCCTCCGCTCGTGATCCCAAGAGCATGGTTATCAGAATCGGCGCTGGAGAAGTTGGTTCAAGCATCAGCCAGCTCGCAGCAGATGTCCGGAAAGTCATGGAGCCTGGGACTGCTAGCAGGCTGAAAGAGCGAAGGGGAAACCGGTTGAAGGACTACGTTGTCATGTGCGGTCCTCTGGGAGTGACGCATCTGCTGCTGTTTTCGCGATCAGAGGGAGGCAACACTAACATGAGAGTTGCGCTGGCACCTCGAGGACCGACGCTGAACTTTCGAGTCGAGAAGTATTCGCTGTGCAAGGATATACAGAAGATTCAGAGACATCCCAAGGGCATGGGCAAGGAATTTCTTGCTGCTCCTCTGGTAAGGACACCGCTACAGCTTAAGCTCAGCTGCGTGCTAACAATTATCAGCTGGTCATGAACGGATTCTCTCGGCCCGGCTCGACTGCCAAATCAAAGGTTCCCAAGCATCTCGAATCATTAGCCACCACCGTCTTCTCATCCATGTTCCCCCCGATTAACCCCCAAACTACACCGATCAAGACGATTCGCAGAGTGCTACTCCTGAACCGAGAGCAGTCAAAGGAGGACGACGGCACCTTTATTCTCAACTTTAGGCACTATGCCATCACCACTAGACGCTCAGGTGTTTCAAAGCAGCTGCGTCGGATTAACGCGGCTGAGCAGTTCCTGAACACCAAGACCAGCCGACGCAGCAACATGCCCAATTTGGGCAAGCTTGAAGATATCGCAGACTACATGATTGGCGGCGAGGGTGGCGATGGTTATGTCTCTGACGCAACGAGCGGCAGCGAGGTCGACACAGATGCCGAAGTTGAAGTCCAGGACACAGCCTCTCGGAAAGTTCTGTCCGCTAAGGCCCGAGCTGCTGCTGCAGAGAATGGTGAAGATGAGGAACTGGAAGAAGCAAACGTGGAAAAGCACGTGGTCAAACTTGTTGAGCTCGGACCGCGCATGCGACTCCGTTTGACCAAGGTCGAGGAGGGAATGTGCTCGGGCAAGGTCATGTGGCACGAGTACATACACAAGTCAGCCGGTGAAATCAAGGAGCTGGAGAAGCGATGGGAGAAGCGAATGCAGGAGAAGGAAGCTCGACGACGCGAGCAGAAGGCCAATGTGGAGAAGAAGAAGGCGGCTAAGGAGGCTCAGAAGGCATCCCAGAAGGGTGGAAAGGGCAATGACGAGGAGGAGGAGGAGGAGGAGGAGGATGACTACGAATACTACAGCGATATGGATGTGGACGAGTTTGATAGCGAAGGATTGGCCGGAGACGCTGAGTTCAAGGTGAACGAGAAGAAGGAAGAGGATGGCGAATGGGAAGACCAGGAAGAGGAGATTGGTAATAACTGAGTTGGATGATGTCAAGGATATCCTTGTTTCGGGGGAGGGACATTTGTATGACACATATATGGCGCATGGGTGTTTATCTTGAAAGTCAAAATGGCTACAGTTTATAATGTACATGTTGATATGCCATTCTTTGTTTACATGAGATTATGATGTGAAATGATTGTGAAGACTCTACAAGTGTATAGGCATTTTATCTTTGTCTAGGATCGATAGGTAATACTGTGTAGCAGTCTCGTGTGTAATGGAATATTAAATAGATACCAATGGAATATTTCTCAATGCTCGATGTCCCTCGCTGCCCTCCATCAACTTATTGATAGGCTCGTCACCGTCTTTCAATGCTCTCCATTTCCATGCCTTGATAGCAGGACGTTCCAATCCAACACCCTCAATAACATCAACAACCCATTTGCCTATGCTGGGGAGAAACTTGAATGCATGTCCACTTCCCCCCGTGGCGCACACGAGGCCCTCATATCCAGGGACATGGTCGATCACGTAGTGGTTATCAAAGGAATCTGTGTACCAACAGAGGCGACTTTCTGAGATGTGAATTCCGGAGTTTCCCAACTCAGGGAGATATTCATCCAGGAACTTGGTGACCACTTTGTGGGCCTGTTGGGGAACTTGGTTTATTATCGGGGTTGAAGTTGAGGCTAAGCTGCCGCTCCATCTAGTCACGGGTACGCTGCGCTCTTGTCCATCGGATTGCTGCTGAGGATTTGTATACTTGGTTCCCCTGTATCCAATCTTGAGGATGCCGTCTTCATCGATGGGGAAACCGTAAAGACCTCCGTCAGCACCATGTTCACGCATATTGAACGACCATGAAGGAAAACGGGAATGGTGTAAGCGCTGGCGAAGAGGTGACGATTCCGGAATACGAAGCATGAAGACGGAACCTGCGGTCGTTTCGCAAAGAGAGTCGAGTGACGGGAGAAGCGACGGTGTCCAACTGCCGCAGCAGATGAAGACAAGAGCTGCTACATGAGATTTGCCGTCCGCAGTGGTGATGCCGGTAATGTGTTTGGTAGCAGAATCCGATACTGGATTGTAGGTGAAGGAGGTGAATAGCCCTGATGTGGGATCCAGGATGAAGCGGACGCCGAGTTTCTTTGCTTTGTGAAGAGCAAAAAGACAGGCTTTGTCGGCAAGGGCGTGACCGCCTGTGGTATCGAGAACGCCAAGGACGTCTTTGCTGAATGGTTGGAGAGAAGATTGAAGGCCCTTTTGAGAGGCGAGCTGGATATCGGTTTCCTTGTTATTGATGAGCTGCGTGCCGTAAAGTCCGGCCCTCTCCATGTTTTCAATAGTTGCAATCTCAAAGTCTGGGAGTATTGTGGAATCGCTGCAATTAAGGTAGCCGTTTTGAATGAAGAGCTGGTCGGTGGTAGTTATCTTGGAGGCTAAGGAGGCTTCATCTCCACCTTGTTTACCATCATTAAAATCCTTGAATTCTGCATTCCAGGCGGCCCAAGCAGAGAGAGCTTCGGTGCTGAGATCCTGGTATTCTGTTTGAGACCCATAAGCTGAGCGAATAATCTTATTTATGTCTATAAGGAGTGTTAGTCGGAGAACAGTTGACTTGGCAATGTTTTCGCAAAGGAGTGGAGTGACCGACCAGAGGATGCAGAGTCACAGCCCTGGAAGTATGAGTATAGCGTCTCATGATAGGGCTTCTTGTCAAAGACTGTGATGTTTTTGTAACCTCTTTGGGCAAGATGGATGGATGTGCTGAGACCAAATACGCCTGCCCCAATAATGATGATGGGAGAGTCTTTAGAGGGTGGTGAATGTTGAGTCATTGTTGGAGATTTATTTGGAATGAGATGAATGAAATGAGATGAATGAAATGAGATGTGTGAGAGATTGAGATTGTAGTTGATTGTTGATGATGATTGGAAGAATTGATCTACAGTCTGTTGGTTCCACAGTAGCGCAGCATTGCAACATCGAGATAAGTGCGTGTAAGTCGCATTGGATTGGCTGCATTAGTTTGAGGGATTAGCCTAATTACCATCGATCTCAATTCGTTGTCACCACTAAGATTACTCATTTTACCAGATTTCTGAGTTAATTATATTTCTTCATTACATTAATGGTATACTAGAAGCGTTTTCGAGAGGTGAGCTAAATATCGGCTTACTCAGTATTGGCGAGCCGTGTGTTGCCATCCGGTAAACACCACGGGTACATGTTAATGAATAAATGTAAAGTCGTTGGGATTACTCCTGGGGAGTAGATAATTAATGCTGCTTCCGTCTTGATTACTGATATTAGACGCCTTGAGTTGTGTTCGAGGTGGCTCAGACAAAGCATTTTCGATGAGATCCTAGTGTTCACCTAGTTCAGGGATCGCTATATGAGCGAATACATGCAACCTTGTTTACCTCTATCTACCTAGTAGAGCATAAGACACCATATTTCAACGACACCTAGACAGTAGGAATAATACGTTACCAGTACTCTCAGCCATATTGAGGTTGGATCAAACAGGTGAATTAACTCCCGACTTGTTCTTATGTCGAAGTGCCCATATAAGCTGCCAAATTAATACAAAGGACGGAATCGCCAATAATAACACCCATATTGAAGCAGATATAAAAATCACACCAAGTGAAAATACCAAGAAGATATTCCCAATTACTTTACCAACTGGCTCTGGTATACCCACATCGCTCAGATCGGTAGAGAGAATGACCTGCATCGCCGACAAGGCCAGCGAGAGTATTGCGAATGAGAAAAGCAAAGGCGCGGTTGCAGCTTGCACATGTCTTGATATTGACGATTCAGAAAGAGCATAAAACCATCTTGTTTCAGTACCCCGAGGATTGAATATACGGACAGCCCAGTTTAGTCTTGAAAGCCGCAACTGGCCATGTTTGTATCGATTTGCAACACCGGAGTCTTCTAAGTATCGGAATGGGGTAATGAATTTGTCCCATTGTTCCCATCCTAGTGTATTTGGAAGGAGAAACGACTCTTGGGCAAGGATAAGGTCCAGCGGATGCCGAACCAGAAGAGCGTAAGACCGAAGAAACCCGCTTATAATGCCAGATGTAGTGATTTGTATACCAGAAGACTGTTTATGATCGAGAATTGACCTGAGAAGTGACTCGAACATTCGTTTTACAAAAACACAGTCGTATCTCCATACCAGATGGAGATGTGCTTCTTCCGTGGCCATGATTTGCCTCCCATTTGATCGATGATGGTTGAGACTGTTAATGTGACTACCTTGTCCCCGAGAAAAAATAAAGAGCTTGGGATATAATTCATCTAAAACATGTGTCGCGAGATCCTCTTCGAGCTCGCTATATTCCTCGGGTGGAAGAGCGACGTAAGGGAGCTGCGATATCCCATTTTCAGCTTGCCCGGCATTTGACTGATACGAGTCAAGACTAATTCTTGGGTGGGCAGGGCCATGAATATTATATGACGGTCGCATGGTAGTTTTGTTTTGTTGCACAATGAGGATTGAGATGTAGAGATCACAGGGATCACAGGGATCACAGGGATTGATTATCTCGTCGAGCAATTTTGAGATTCGATAGAGGCGTGGCTAAGATTGGGAGCAAGGCAATTTAAGTTATATAATGATGAAATATAAATTAAGTTGACGCAATCCCAGCTCCTGGGTAATTATTTATTCATATACCAAGATAGATTTTGTTTGTCATTGTGCAAACAATTCATGAGTTTATCTCGCGGAGAGCCGCTCGCTATTTAACATGTCTGGGAACCTCATTCCGTGTAATTGATAGAAATGATTGGGCCATGCAATAAATGACGTGGCATGTTCTGTGTTGTCATTATGCATTGCTATTTGTATAGGCAGCCTTGTATACCTATATAAGGCTACCTATAGGTACATGTGCATATCATAAGGAACATGAGGCTCTGCTTGTACTGGCCTAAGCCTGCATAGCTGCCCGAGCAAACCATGTACCCCTCCAGAACTGCCTGCATTCATGTTGTTTTATCCCAGATTTAACACTGTCAAATCATCGATTTCTTCCCCATCACCTTAGTAGCCGATCTCCTATATTCCAATATTATTCAAGCATATCAATTACTTCTGGGCAGAAAGTATAGAAAAACGCCACTATAAACCCAATTGCAGGATTTCGCATGTACTTCAATTGCTTTTATCGCCGCTGGTTACCTAGAAGTGCGCCATAAGCCATATGGAAAGGCAAGAGAGGCTAAGCAATCAGGCTGATCGTAACGATCGAAATGGCTTGCTCATCACTGATGCACTTGTAGCCATCTTTATCTTCATGTCACCTTGGATCGACTTCTGCTGGAGACTGATTGTCATTAGTTTCTATTTCACCTATCGTTATTTTATCTTCTTCGAAGAACAATTTCTTCGAGAGCAGCACCCAAGCCGTCCTGTTTCAGCTCTCTTGCATACTGTTATTTTGGCAGTATCAACCTTGTGGTGCATATCGATCACACATGTACATGTGTTTGTGCCAAATATGATGGACTTCTTAACTCCGCATGTTATGCGCCCTACTTTCAAGGCTTCTGAAATTATGTACGATAATGGAAAAGACGCAGCCTTTGAGTACGTTGAATTTCAAACTGGAAGCTTTGTTATGAAGGGACTGCTAATGAGAAGAAGTATTTTTGCAATTCATGGACTCGGCTCAAATCCTGAAACCGCTTGGGCTTATCAGAGGAATGATTCTAGGGTGTATTGGCTAAGAGACTTTTTGCCCAAGGCACGGGGACTCTCGGACATCAGAGTCATCATGGTCAATCATCAAACACGATGGGACTCAAATACTGCTTATTTGGGATTTCATGATCATGCATCTGAACTTCTAGAAGAAATCCAAAACTTGCACAGGGTGGGTTGCCTGAACCGATAATCTGATGCTCGTGACTAAGAAAAGGGGTATCTAGGCCAATCCTGAGCGCCCAATCATCTTTATAGCACATAGCTTTGGTGGAATATTGCTGAAGAAGGCAAGTAATTACATATTCTCCATCATCAGAAGGCCCTATTCAGTCAAGCTAATCGAGCAAGGCTTTACTTCTTGCGAAAGGCCGCTCAGAGGATGTAGCGGCAATAACTAAAGGGATTATGTTTCTCGGAGTCCCTCATCTGGGTAGTCATGCTGCATTTATTGCATCTTGCTTATCCTGTATGACTTTCTTTCGAGGATCGTCCTCAGAGTTGCTGGAGCTCCTGATGATAGATGGTCCCGCCCTTCTAGACCTTGAATCGGAATTTTACGACGCATATGTAGACCGATATCGCTTTCGAGGGTTCCAGCCGTTTATTTGCGATTTCTATGAAATGAGACCAGAAAGGATCGGCAAACTTGTTCTGGGCTCAGTAAGTGAAGACTTTTCCCTCTACACTGGGATACAATATACATTTACTAAGCTCTCCAATTTACTCAACACAGATGGTCGGGAAAAGTAACAGGCAGCCGCGTCATGGTTTAGTCAAGTATCTTGACACTGATCATCGTGGACTGAACAAATTCCAATCTCACGACGACCCAAATTTCCAGACATTTGTGACAGTTCTGCGTTGGGTGTTGGATTACGCACTACTAGCCAGTAAGTTTTCAGTTGCGACTGAATTCTCTCAAGTACATGTACTAATTGGCTACTCATCCAGATAATTCACCAGGGGACTTATGCCCACATCCATCTATTCCTGTTACCAACTCCGTACCTGTCACCGACTCTGTTCCTGTTACCAACAACGTACCAGTTGTCGATGCTGTTTCTATTACTGACTCGGTGTCTATTATTGAGGCGGTGCCCGTTGTTGATGATCTACCTGGAGACGATGTCGTGCCTGTTACCGATTCAGCGCCTGTTAACAAGACTATACCTATTGCCGGCACCGTGCTCGTTTCTCCGGCGCTGCCTGTTCCAAATGCCGTGCCTATTGCCGGCGTTCTACTACTTGTCGCTGATGCCGTGCCTCCTGGCGCTGTACCTATTGCTGGGATTATGCCTGTTACCAATGCCGTTCCTGCCACCGAGGCTGCATCTATCTCTGGCACTGTACCTGTTACTAAGACTATGCCTGTTGCTGACACGGTGTTTATTGCCCCGGCAGTGCCTGTACCAAGCGTCGTACCAGTTGCCGGCTCCGTGGTTGTCACTGAGGTTATACCCGCTGCTGCTATACCCGCTGCTGCTATACCTGTTGCCGGCGTTATGCTTATTGCTGATGCCGTGCCTCCTACTGAGGCTGTGTCTACTTCCAGCTCCGTGCTTATCCCCAACGCCATACCTGTTGCCAGTTTCATGCCAGCTACCAAGACTGAACCTGTTGCTGCGACTGTGCCTGTTGCCGCCGCTATGCCTGTTGCCGGCGCTGTGCCTATTGCTGTCAACTTGTCTGTGTTTGTGGCCATACCTGCTACTGCGGCCAAGTCTATTGCCAAGGCCGTGCCTGTTCTTCAACCAGTTGGCCTTCTTGAAAGATTAGCAACAACGCTGCTCTATATAGTGTGGATGGCACCGAATGTAGTTTTTGTTGGAGCTCTTGCTGGCTTGCGAGAACTGTATGTCTCTTGGCTGGATGAGTACTACGAAAGTCACCGAAGCAGCAGTGCAACCTTACGGTTGGTTATGATAGCTGCCTATGACACTCTCATTAATTTACCCCTTGGACATTTCTTGATCTGGGTTATTGAGAAAACACCCAGTGGCCACACGAGTCTGTGGGTTAAGATCTTACAGATAATTGTTAGCAATATAGTTGTGAGCGAAATCTTCATGCGTATTAATTTACTCCTTAGATTAACCTATGTCAGATCACCCCTATCCAAAACTTTGTCTACCTGGCCGGTATGGCCTACATTGCTGGTGCACGGAACTACGACCAGTTCTACGGGATAATTCAGTCTCGCTTCTTTAAGCTTACATGGATAAACTGGTTCACATTATCTGTGTGCATTGTCTATGCACAAAAACTCTTTCTAGGGCGTGGCTGGTTCTTATTTTTTATTTTCATTGGTTTCATTATCAGAGTCAATGATATTATTGTAAAACGAGTGTGTAATATAGCGGGAGCGGTAGGGTTATAAGTCAGGTATGACTTATAAGTAAAATAACTCATCCTGAGCAAACTATCAGAGCAAGTACTACTATATAGAAAATAGATGATGTCAAATTTTACATATCATAGTTGTTAGAGAATACATGTTGTTGCTGTAGCATGTTTCGTAAGACGGATGTATGCACTCCAAACTAAGGCTACAAAAGCCTGCTCCAATGATAATGAGGGGATCTTGGCAGAGCAGCGGAACTGAGTCATTGTTTCATGGATATAATTGATGAGATGGATGAAATGGAATCGTAATCTATTGTTTGATTGGAAGACGTGATTGGCAATCTACTGGACCTATAGTGTCACGATCTCGCCAATGACAGACATTCCTTTATAGCTATGGTCCTGCCATATTGGTTGCTAAAATCGGATCATTCGCCCAATTATTTGCCTAAGGGCGCGTTTGGTTACATATAATAGTTTAGCATCAAGACGCAAGTGTGCATGAGTCTCATTGGATTGGCTGCATTAGTTTGGAGAATTCGCTTAAATACCGTTCACTGTAATTCATGGGGACAGCTGAGACTGTTTATCCACGGGATTCTGGCATAGGCATATACATTTCCTCGGCACATTAACACATATCTTGTAGCGTAAATAGCTTAATTATTGGTCATATTCGTCGTATACTCTCTAACATACACATCTCTACTCGGGATAGGCGGGGAAATCCCACGGCACCGCGTTTGCCAACAGCTCGTAATCCAATCCCTTTGCTCCACCATTCAAATACAAAAACTTTGTAAACGGTACTGTAGCATAATATTCGAATCGAGTACCAGAAGGAATAAATGCCACGTCTCCCGGGAGCAGATACTCTGTCTTGTAGCCTTGGATGGTCAGAGCAAGCTGGCCTTCGTCCATCTGAATCGCAAAGTGGTGAGGCAGCTTGGCGACGTTCGTCTTGTCGCCCTCGAGCTTTGGAGACAGCGTGAGAGTGCCAATAGTAAAGTTCTTGTTGGGCGTCTGCTCGGCCGTGAGGAGCGGCTGGATGACCTTGTAGCCATTTTCGCTATTGAGATACTTTGGCCCGTAGTCTTTGGCGACGTAGTACGGATCTGTAGGATCGCTGGACAGCGAGTTGTTGCCATTGTGCCAATTGTTGCTGTTGTGCCAGTTGATGCTGGGATCGCCAGCAGTGCCGTTGACAAAGTCTCGTCGCGGCACATAGACGTCAGCCTTGGCCACGTACAAGTCAAGAGAGTTGAGCAGGGCTTCCTGTTCAGGTGTGACATCGCCAAAAGGCTGCTGGTCGTCCCCTATAAGCTGATATGGTGACCCATGGGGAGAAACAAAGTCTCCGATGCTGAAGACGTTGTACAGCTCCTCGAACCCGGCTGGGTTGTAGATGTGCGTAAGCTGACTGTCTGGATCTGTGTGCTGAAAGGTGTGAATCGTGCCTGGCGGAGCAGTACCGAAATCACCCAAAGTGAGCACTCGAGCCTCATCGATGGCGCCCGTCACGTTCTTCTTGGTCCAGAGCTCGACTCTCCCCTTGGAGCAGTAGAAATGCTCGTGGGCCTCCTGATGAGTGTGAGGGCGCGCAGAGGTCCAGCCGGTCCATTTGCTCGTGTGTTGGACAACGGCAAAGGCGCCATCAGAAGAGTTTGTGGTGATGGAGAAGCGGATGATTTGGCCAGAAGTGGTGAGCTTGATGGCATGGCCCTTGTAACGAGGGAGGATATAGGGGCGGAGATGGTCGGGAGCTACATCGACGACAAGGGGAGGAGGAGAATAAGAAGCCGCCGTTGATGAGGCGGTTGAGAGGAGGGAGAGTGATAGCGAGGTGAGAGTAGAGGCCTTCATCGTGGAAGGAGTTGACAGAATTGACTATGCTTCAACTTGGGGATACACAATTGATTCAAATCTTGGAATCTATATATACATACAGGTTTGGTGAGATGTATGATCTATCATATCAAATAGAACAATTAAAGAAGTAGCCAGCAACGGCGGTTTGCCAAAACAAGAAGTTCATCTTCATCTGCTGCATATTGACGGTCAAGACCCAATCAACAAGCCCACTAATCAAGCAAGATTTGAACATTATCTTCCATTTTAGTTCTCTCACCTTCTCTCTACTACCCTTTCACCGACTAGTTTTCGCAAGCACCCGTATCCCGCAAACTACTTCTTCCTGTCCTGCCTATTTCGTCCATTGTACATATGGAATGCAACCCTCCAAGGCGCCAAAAACTCGCCCATTGACGCAATGACTTGATCGGTTTCTCTCCGAGCGCTAAGCAGAGGGTCCAGGGCCGGCAAGAGTTGAAACAAATCCCCTGTGGAAACAAGCTTGTCCGGGGGGTGGCATGGGTTTAACGTTGAATGGGGCTAGCTTTGGCTGGGGTGATTGACTGGGGTTGGATTGTCGAAGATGATTCATGGGCTCTACAAGTGGTAGATAAGAGGCTTACTGTTTTGATTGGATGGTCGCAAACGGCAATTAGATAGAAACAGGATGTTGTATTCGGCATTGTAAGAAGGGTTTGGAGCTACATATACTCACATTAGAGATTTGAAGGAAAGATACAGGTACATAGCATTGACACTGCACATTGCAGACTTGTGCTTTTTATAGGTAAGGCAACCGTAGTGATTGATGAGTCTTCAATGTTGTATTTGACCTCAGTACGACTGTCCTATCTAGGCATCACCATCCTGTTCCTATCAGCACTCTCAGACCTCCCTCGTTCACACTTCATTCACTGGTGCTGCCGGCCTCCCCTCCCTCTTCCACCTCAAGACATTTTCAAAACACTCTTTCTCGGCCCTACGAATCGCCTCCTCCGTCCAGCCCCCCATATGCGGCTGCAAAACCACTTTGTCACACGTCCTAAAGTACGGATTGATGTTGGGCTCGTTATTGAACACATCCAATCCCGCCCTTTCAACTTTTCCGCTCTCCAATGCCTCAATCAGGGCCTCTTCATCGACAATGGGCCCTCGTGCCGTGTTTATGAGAAAGACGCCGTCCTTCATCATTTTGAACTCGGCGTGCGAAATGAGATTCCGCGTAGCCGGTGTAAGAGGGCAATTTATCGATACGACATCTGCTTGAGATAGCAGCTCCTCCAGCGAAGAGCAGTATTCAGCATGGCACGCCTCTTCAATCTCGGAGCTGAGCCTCGTCCGGTTGTAGTACTTGACCTTCATCTTGAACGTCTGCGCTTTGACGGACAGATACCGGCCAATACTCCCCATGCCCACGATGCCCAGCGTCATTCCCGTCGGATCTCTAGTTGGCACAATACCGTCATACCACTTGCCCTCACGGATTCTCTTCTCCGCAACATACGCGTTCCTCACCACCGCCAGAGTCAAAAAGATGGCCATATCAGCCGTTGCTTCAGCCACAGCATCGACAGTGTTGCAGAACCAGATGCCTTGGCTGGTCATCCATGAGACGTCAAACTCGTTGTAGCCCGCCCATGCAGAGGCAATGACGCGACAGTGAGGAGTAAGAGCGGAAAGCAGCTCTCCATTGAGAGGCTTGAAGGGAGGCGTATCTGTGATGGAGATGAAGGCGTCTATTGGGCCTGACTGGGCGATGAGACGAGGCAGCTCCTCTTGAAGCTGCTGTCGGTTGGAGGATTGAAGAAACTAACACAAACGATCGTTCCCAAGTCATTTAAAAGATCAATGAGAGATTTTGATAGTTTCAAAACTCACCTCGACATCCAGCTCCGCTTTGACGCCCTCCAAGTACTCGTCACTAACATATTTGACATCCCCCAGAACTGCCACACGGGGCTTCTTATTCAGTGTCACAGAGCTCATTGATTCTTCCGGATAGCACAAAAGAGAGTAGAATCAGCAGTAAAGACGGGATTCTGAACAAGCAGAAGGCGAGAACATGGGCAGCGCCTCATCTTATTGCCGTGTTAGAGGGGCAACAAGGCCCAAGCCTTGAAAATACCCCAACTTTCCATTATTATGACAAGCTGGGCATTATGTCAGCCCCCACCATCCCACTATCCTGCGGATCTGCGGCCGTAAAATGCCCCAGAATACTCCGTAGATGAATGAATCATACGGAGAACAAGACCGACTGCAGGTAACAACCGCCGTCCGAAGTGGTCCTCAACTCATCCACCGTCTTTGCCTTGGCGGACAGCCGCGCGGCGTCTCTTCGGCCTCGGTAAAGACGTCGAGCATCTCCAAGTCGGCGCGATCCTACTCGGGCAGGGCGGTGCTGCACTCAGCCATGATGATGCGGAGGAGGTCGCCGAAGCTGTTGCCGGTCCTGAAGTTGGGCCGCCATGAGGGCGCGCAGGGCCGGGGCGTAGTTCAAGCTGTCATGATTCAGGTTGAATGTTGAAGCGCATCTTTTACAGACGTGTGTCAAAGATTGTCTTCTGCTTGTTCGCTTTCTAGATGAAAGCAGGTGATTGATGACGGAAATACTGAGTGTGCAACTAAATGAATATTTGAGGCCTTCAGGTAGGTACTCTCACTAGAAAACTGGCGGGGTTGATTGCAGGAGTTGTACCAACTGCCGTGCTACATATGGATAGGTATTATTAGATTAATTAATGAACATGTCTGGAAATTATTTGCACCGAATAATAGAAACCCCCTGGGCGATAAATTCCTGTTGCGGCTGTGAAAGGCTCAATCCGTCCACACGCGAGCGCCGGTAGCCTCCGAAATCTCCTGACTGAGCGAAATCACGACTCCCGTTTTTACTGCTTGGAGAGTGCCGGCCCCCACGAGCAACAACACCAGGGACGAAAGGATTCCAAAAATGGCGTGAGCGGATGCTATATCTGGCCCAATACGGTTTCTCGCATTACGTCGTTCATCAGCCAGGTCAACCCATTTTCGGCAAAGTCCTATTAGCCTCCGTCAAATCTACGCTGGCTCCCGACCAAGATGGCCATTTGATCTGCTGAAAGAAGAGAGAGAGCCTAATCCAGTCGCAAATGGCGCTGCTTACACTACGGACCAGTTCGCTATATCCCGGACAGGAATCATTCGACAGGCCGGGCGATGTAGCACCCAAAATCCCAATCTGCCCCAATCCCTGCACGTGTTCCAATGATTCTTCACAAGGCGAACCAATGGGGCGTCGCACGAAGAGAGAAAACGGCCTAATAGGGTCAGATCTTATTCCTTATACGAGCAAAACAGGGGTTCTGGGCGCTGCAAGATCAAATTTGACAGCTTTGCAGCAGCGCTGTTTGGGTGGTGAGAAGTGAGCAGACGGCGCCGCCAAATCACACCACTGCGGCTGAACACCGCACCACCCTCGAACTATCGACAGACAACTTGACGAAACCAAGACACCACGCTCGGGAGAAGCAGGCAAGACGTGTTTTATAAATGCTAAAGATGGAATCTCAGATGCGCTCCAGTCTGCATCGCCATCAGCGCACAAAAGCAACATCTTGTCCAGTCTTGAGTGTTTCAATTACAACAGCTCGGCTCAGCTCAAATCAAACCTCCAAGCTCAATATCATCAACACAACACAAAACCCGCCAAAATGGTCACTCAGCCAGTTAAGATCCCCACCACCAACCCGGCCGTTGCCAGGGTTCTCCCCGTCGTCATGACCGTCGGCATTGGTAAGTCATCCATCAACTCAACTTCAGCCTGACTATACCCTACAGTCCACTAACACCACGACCCTTCAGTCTCTGCCATCGCAATGAACGTCCGCTCGCAACTCAAGACCCATTCCGCAACCCAAGACCGCTTCTTCGCCCAGTACAAGAACCCCCAGAGCGAAGCCGTTCGCCAAAAGGTGTTCGATGGCGCTGTGGAGGACCCCCGCAAGAGCTGGTTCAATGTTCTGGGCTGGTGACTATTTGAGGATTAATTGGGGATTGGGGATTCAGATACAATCACATTTCTGGGCGTTTACTTTTTTTCCGGAGGAGTTGGAAGGGATATTTGTTTGTTGGTGAAGGCGTCATGCATCAGTCTGTTGCAATGCGGCCACCCGGTGTAAATTGAGAGGAAGTCGTCGAGGGTCCCGAGCATTGATACCAGTCTTATTTAGATCGCACTTTTAATCACTGAAAAGATTCATGAGTCTTTGAATATTCTCCTACTTGCATTGCTACCTCTGTTGTTCCCAAATGCTGAAGCTGGGTATGCGTTTTAATTCTTAAGACAGTCGACTACTGTGTCCGTCTGATCCTCATTCCGTATTTCTTCATTCACCGGCCGTCTGATCATCATTGCTTGCTAGCAAGACCAAAGGTCCGAAAGAGCTCTTATTTTCTCATCTGACTCTGCGAAACCGCCCTTTTTTGTTGGTTCCACCGAGATACACAAGTATTCGCTCTTCCAGTGCACTTGAAACATCCCCCCTTGAAGGCGCCAGCTCGGCCCTGCGTCTGAGCAACCATGTCGTAACATGATCAAGAGGAACCATCTTTTATTTACAAGTAGGCACCTGGATTTTTTAGCACGTGCTACTCTCGCTAGGTAGACCAAAATGCTTCATACACGTGACTAAAAAATACCGACAACTCCATCATCGGGTGGTTTCTCTTATTTATGAATGGAATCCGGCTGTTGAGCTCCGGGAAACAGCAACCTAAACAACCGACGCCCTTGCTCCTCGGCGTTTTGCTTCCGTCGTTCACGGTTTTTCCATAAACAGCTGCCTAGTTCCTAATCTGTAGGATCGTACTGGTCAAGGGGTGCAGCAGGTTGTGTCTCCGGTATGAGAGTGCAGATTTGAGCCGCACGCAGATGAGTAAGTAGATCGTCCCTGCTCCAAAATCTCTTTTTGCAACGTGGACAACGAATGCGACCCTCGTGGGACTGGCGAATATGACGTTTCAGACGCGGGATGATAGTAAATCGCTCTGTAGAGCACGCAAGGCCAGTTGGGTTCAGTTTAAAAAATGGACATGCCAGCGGGGGTTTACGGTTCCGTCTCCGATGTGGCATATTGTCAGGGCTGTCGATGTTGGAATCAACGGAACCACTATCGTCATCATTAACGGAGGCAGTGGTATCTGCTACATTACCGTCATCTCTGTTAAGAATACTCGACAACGCCATGGAGAAGGCTGAGCGTGGAGAGCCATCGGATAGTGGTGAGCTCAACACTTGCTTTGCATTCGAACTAAGCGTGTTCACAGTATACCGTGGAGTCAAATTCGGCAGTTGGCCATTGGATTCTCGAGGATTTCGAGCATCTTTCTGGTAAGGAGAAGACAGGTTTGTGCTGTCGGCCGCAGAGGCATCTCGATTTTTGTCCTTGGCCATGCTGAGAATGCCAGCTAAGTGATATGTATGGGTAGTTTGGTGCGTAGAAATGCAAGAGCAGAGGCTCGCATTTATGATAAACGCATGTTGTTGATGGTGCAGCTCTGGGCAGAGGCGTAAACGAGAGGAGATGTAGCTTTGGGTGGAATGGGAGGTACAGATGACTTGACTCCAAGTACAGAGGTATAAAAATGGAAGGGCTATCTAGCACCCCAGCGAATAAGAATAGTTTTGAATGTCGTAACAACGTAGGTATAAATTATAATGAAGATCTTTGATCACCATTGCTTAAATGTGTAGATACACAGGTCCTGGAGTATCTGCTACTATGGCTACTATCCATACTGTATATTCCTCTAGTATCTGCCATCATTACTACGTGTACCCAGGCCGCTTTAAATTTAAGAAATGGGATGGATGGGTGCTGAATAGCGAATGTGGGATGCTGAATCCAGGCAGTCACTCACTATTAAAAACCCTCCAGCTAGATTGATGGTACGCCAGGCTGCATGCATGTATGTATGTGTGCACGGATTTCAATCCAGTAAATAATACTATCTCAGGTAGAGGTAAAGAGACGACTTAATCATAACTATCTATATAAACATAGGAAATACAAAAATTTCAAAGTAGGCAGTAATGACTGTAAAATACATAAGAGATCCATCGCTCTATTCTGGTATATGCGCTTCCAATTGAGACCATCGCAGTTGTCCTTCTCTTTGAACCTTTAAAGCTGTTAGGCAAATCATCGATCCATGTGTCGATATACATCTGTGTAATTCAACATAAACACATTAGGTATATATTCTAAGCCGCGTAAATGGAATCTGGAGGCAGGTAGCCCGGAAAGACGGCCTTGAACAATTCCATCCAGCGTTCTTCCTCGGATTTTCCCGGGTTGGCCCGCTGCCCAATGATGACGTTCTGCTCCTTGTTTTCAGGATTGTAACCATTCATCTCCTTGAATTCCCGGAGATGGCAGATGATGGGTTGGCGAAGATGAGCATCAAATTCCCGTCGCGTGCGGAATCTCGTCAAGTAGCAGCGGGGGCAGTAGATTGGGTTGCAGTGCTTTTTGCGAACATGCTCTTTTACTCGTGAAAAGTTTTCAAAGTCTTTGTCAAGGCACGTAGGCGGCTGTCCTTCTGGGCTGCATTTGGAGAATATACACGCCAGACGTCGCGGAGCCCCATTAGAAGCTGGTGGTCGTACTACCGGCGCTGCATAACAAAAATGGGCGCCGTTAGTATGAACAAATGGGGAGCGCCAAAGACATCAGGTATACATACTGCTCATGTTAGGGGCGCCAATAATATCAAGGCTGTCATCAGGGCTGCTCGCCTGTGTTGGATGCGGGTTGACGAATGGGGGAACCTGGCTGAATGCGGCACAGTCTCTTGCGGGTGCAACCCCAAGATTGGAGGGATCTAAATCCACGGGCAGTTGGTTGCTCGAGTGCATGCTGTTGTTACACACGGGATGGTCTGGAGCCGGATGCTGAGATTGGACAAAAGTTGTACCATTCAAGAAGTCCAACATGCCCTTTTCAGAGAAGTCAGGGAAGTCCAACGGGGCCAAGTCAGAGAAGTCCAACGGGGCCTCGTCAGGCACACCAGTCACTTGCATGCTGTCGCTCATTGGGGAGGCCGCATAGGAGCTGCTGTCGCGGTGCAAGTTCGTCTTATCCATGCTGTGGAATGTTCTATAAAATTGATGGGTGTTTTTTCTATGAGAGTGCGTTGTCAGAACCGACTCTGCCAGGTTACTCAAGCAGGTATTTATAATTGCAGCCAACTATTCAGTAACCCAATTTCCTGGCCTGCATAGCTGTGCTTTACCGCCGTTTAAAGAAAGCACCTGCACCGTTGGGCCGGAATTGTCATTTCATGGAAGCTATTCCCATGGCCCAATATGAAAACCTTGAATGCTGCCTATTTCATAGTGCAAACGCCCACAGAGCTCCTGAAGAGTGAACTGCTTTGTGTAACGCAAAATCAACCTCGAGAATCGCCACGCTCATTTAGGAATATCCACAGTGGGCCGGCAGATGCTGGAAAGACAATGTCGCAGGTTGTTGATATTTACAATGCATTTGCATTGGTGTGCGTCTGGGTTGTGGCAGGGGGGCCTGGTTGGTTTGCGGCAACATCCATGTACATATGCACTATTTAGATGCTGACAGGCACTGAGAGTTGCTTCGCTTCTGCGTGTAAACACTATGCCATGTGCCAGCTCATGGATATTATTTCAAGAAAGCAGGATTTAATATAAATCACTGGCCTTCAATCGCCTTCGATTATGCAGCTGTGAACCTCTGCACACACAATGCCTGCTACAAACATGTGCACGATCAATCCTGAGAGCACTGTCATTCAGCCTACAGCTCTAGCTCCCGTTCATCACTATAATCCGGAAGCCGGGATATCCTTGGATCCCCCTCAACTCAACCACCAGACTGCGGTCTGCACTCGTGACATTCTTGTAAGGAGCACTCTTCCGGCAATGCCACACACGGGTAGCACGCTAAATATTACTTCAAGACACAAGCCAGAGCCCAGACGGCAAAAGTCTGCCGACGGGAATGGCAATTCTTTGTCCGCGTTACGGTGGCTCTTCTTTCCATTGCGTCTGCGTATCTCGGAGGGTTTCTCTGTCACGATGCTAACTTGGGCATCAAAATCGGGGCTGTGCTGGCGCTTTCGACGGCCATCTTTGAAGTCCTAGAGAAGATGCTGTATCGAGGACCGGCACGAGATTCCGACTCAAGGGATCAGATATTAGCCCGCCTCTGTTAATATAGCATCACAGCCATCATCAGTATCCACTGTTCCCATATATCTGTAAAACTAGGAGGTTTTAGGTAGACTAGGTTCTCTAGCGCAAGGAAATATTAACCTTAATACTACGATCACTCAAAATAGAGAAAACATCAGCACGTAATCCCGATCCATGCCATCACAATCGACAATCGAGTAAATACGCAGGATAAATGAGCTGGCATGGTGCTAGTATCATCTGACTGTCTCGACTGGGATTCATTGCCGAGCCGTCAAATGCAGTGCCCTTGATGAAGCGCCATGTTCACTCACAGTCTCACACGGGCTCTGGGATTGTATAACCAGCTGATTGAGGGCAGCAAACAATGCGCATGGCTTGTAGGCTTAGCAATAACCGTGGCAGAAGCCAGAGGCGCAGCAGAACTTACACTTTTGATGGAAATTCTCCGTGGAGGTACCCATATTTGCCTTGAACGTCACGGATTGAACCGCAGCACGTGGCGGGTAGCCCGGATCTCCTTCCGGCCGGGAGAGGGAACCACACGAGTCGTGGCTGGGGAGAGGAGCCGGCATGCAAGCCGCTGTACAGGCCATCTTCGAGATTCTCAGGCAGAAAACTCATCCACGACGACGACTGCTCAACTAGCCCTGGTGGGCCTCTATAGGCTAAAACCGGAGGGAGCCGGTCTTCTGAACTTCTACCTTGTAAATCAGGCATCTTTAATCTGCTGTGAAGGCTAGTGAGGATAGCGTTTAAACAAATATCTCCTAATGCTAAAGCGAGATGTGTTATGTTAAACACAACAATGTTAAGAAAATATGACGAATTTACAAACAAGTATAATACATCTCACATTAGCTGTTACAACTCTGCTTTACTCAATAAGCTCAAAAAGTGTTATAATCTGAATAAAATCTTCATGTTCAGTCTTACCAACGGACTAGATATGCGTCTTTTCAATTCCTCATAATTGTTGATACCTTCATGTATGTACTCATATCCAACCTACATAAGCGTGGATGTATATCTGCCAGCGCCCAGAGACATAATCTGACGTCTGTCTTCTAACCGGGACACTGAATTGCGCAGTCTCCAGTTTGTTACAGATAACTTAGAGAATCGGTCTTGCATATCGCCACGCTTACAAGAACATTACTGCGCATCCACAGCGAGCGTATGAGGTATGTTAAACAATGTACATGCCAGGGAATCTCGTCGATTCATACGTTAATGCGAGTGCGCTTTATTACCCAAGATGTTGCATGTGCCACACCAAATTACCGTTTCAGTCCCGATGAACAGACTAAATATACGAGGTCCCAAGCTGGTAGATCTGTGCTAGATTTCGACAAACGCAGAGACAGTGCCCAAACTGCGCATGGATCAAGGACGCGTCATGCTCCTAGCCGTGCACTAAATCAGGCTCATGTCAAGCGTTTCTCTTCGTCCAAACTGCACAGAAGATTGGAACCCACTCCAGCTCAAGTCTCCAGCAGTTATCCGTTGAAGTGGGCTCTTTTGGACAGGACTCTAATTGGATATTTCACTACTTAGGTACATAGGTAGGCAAGTAATAGGCTCCATCTCTTTTCAAATGAACCATTTCCACTGGGTAGTAACCATGACATGTGTAGCAGCTTGCTGGTTTTCATCGTATAACACAGGACGGAGGCCGGGAATGGGAGAGTAACAAAGACACGGCCTAAAAACACACAGTTGGCGAAGGTAGCCATCTTTTCACGCATAGTGGTAAAAGTACTTCTTATTCAGTGATAACCACCAATCCAACAACGTCTCTCAGATCCTGGCATAGATGTGCGAAAAGGCAAGCTAATACCATGCCGCGTTTGCCAATATCCGCCTCCTAATATCATCCATAACCGCTCAGGTGTGCCTTTAAGTGTTTGTTTGTTTTTTCTCTACCCACCAAAGCACTTACAAGTGTATGCAACGAGCCGGTGCCGTTTCTTTGCTCGAATTAGGGGAGTTCTATTCGGCAGTTGGCACTGCTATGGCGCATTTTAGCGGCCGTGAGGGCTTGTGTACCACACTATGTTACTGTTTTGATGGATTACGATTTCAGACTGATCCAACCCCAAGTTACGATAATCGGTCAAGAGACATCAAATACACTCCAAGCTTCTCTCTTGCAGCAAAATGGAAATTAGCTCAGCAGAAAGCTGGCAGAGAGATGACTGGCAGTAAGAATTGGTATTCTACTCCATATATTTCTGTTTATAACCCGTCTACCTGAAGCTCTCACATGACAAAAAAAGAAATCCGATGTTTGCCGTTGCTTGGGAGAACCACGAGCATCATTTGTGTAAATTCAGAATATTCCATCAGACGTCGTTTGACTCTGGGATAAGCCGTGATTTGTAGCTCCACTTCTCTCCGTGGACGACGGAACGGGGAATAGCCAGCCGTAGGAGTAGTAGCCAGCCCTGGGGTGGCTAACAGAGGCGTGTCTCCATGAAGATGCCCATCAAGCCCATTCTGATGTCCTCAGAGTTCCAAAGTCCTTTCATGTTAAACGACTATAAATCACCCGTCTGTCCCGGTCAGTTACTCAATTTGCCTGTCCTTATCCATGGTTTACTCGATCTACTTTCTATTCACCTTCTTTATTAATCTACGTTTCCATCTTGGTTGAACCATTCTTTGTTCAACCAATCCTCATTATGGCCACTATTACAACCGTTGCCAAGAGTCTTCGTACCAAAGACTCTTCTTCCACAGAGGACGCCATACTACCATCCGAACCAGCCCCCGCCCAACTTTCTCGCATTGAGGCAGTTCCTGCTCAGGCATATCTTGCTGAGGCACCTCCTGCTCAAACCCTTTCCAGCCAACCACCGGCCAACCCTCAAACTACAATGGGTCCGAACAACTCAATCACAGTAAGTACTACCCCTCTAATAAATACTCAAGTAAAACAGCATGCTAAACCCAAATATCAGGTCATGCTCAAATACATCAAACTCACTGGCGCCTTCATCCGGGAGGAGTGGCATTATTACATCAACCTCGAAATTCTACTCCTAGCCGTTGGCGCCGGCTGCCTTGCAGGTTTCCTTCGCCACGATGCAAACTTAGGCGGGGGAGTAGGCGCGGCTGTGTTGGCTGTACTGATGGCCATCCTCTACATCGTGAAGAAGAAGAGACTATGCTGTCCACGACGACGGCGGTCCTCCTGGCCAGATTCCATGGCCTAAAGCAAAGAGACCCGTCGTTAAGCTTCTATAGAAGTATCGGGCAACCCACTTTGCTAGCAAAGGGTAGTGATGGTGATGGATTCTATGCTGATTTCTTTCAATTATTATGCGAGATGAGCTACGTTAATAACCATGATACCAAAGCCTATAATTCATCTCGCATTTTACAATTCCATTTCAATTCATCAATTTAAGCTCAAAGTGTTCCAAGTTAAATAAAAACTTCTTTGTTTTGTTTCGCTATGTGCTAAATTCCCAAGGCTACGAGTATATACAACATGATGTCGTATTTACAAATCATGAGAGCCATATATAGTCTCCCCCATTTTTTTGTTTCATCCCTTCAATTCATAAACCTTCATAAGAAAAAGAAAACCCAATCATTCCTTCATTCCCAGCTTATTTCTGAGCCCAGCCCAGACGCTCGTTGCCGAGGTCAAAGACAACCAGGGCAGCCTTGAGGGCGACATCACCGAAGATGTTGATGCCGATATCAGCGCTGCTCTGGAGACCACCGAAGCAGGTGGAGCTGCCGTCAGAGACGGGGGTGAGGTTGATCAGGCTACCGGGGATGGTGATGGTAGTGCCACCAACGCCGAAGCTGAATGAGGGGAGATCCTCAGAGCAGTCAAAGACAACACCCTGCTGAGAGTCGTCATACTGAGCAGACTCGACGTTGTTGTAGTAGGCGTTGACAACGTCGTCGTCGAGGAGGAGCAGGGTGGTGCCAGTGTCGGCAATACCAGTGATGGAGTTGCGGTTGAGCTTGGCACCGCCAACGGAGTAACCGGTGGCAGTGAAGCCCCAGTAACCCTCGCTGCCGTCAGCGGGAGTGTAGCCAATGGGGCCCTTGGCGAGAGTGGTGTCAATGAAGCCAAAGTTGTAGCTTCCGGCTATTTGTTTGGCTCACGTTAGTTTACTAATATCATATATAGAAGAAAAGGGGGAACTCCAAGTATTGGTTACTTACTTTGCTGGTGCTTCAAGTCGGCAGTGAAGAGGGGCTGGGCCAGGCTGTTGGCAGCGTTGGAGAACCAAGTCTTCTGGGCACGGGGCTTGACAGTGTTGCCAACGTCGAAACCGAGACCAAGGAGGCCAGAGATGACGGTGTCCTGGACGAACTGGGTGGAAACCTTGGTGGCAGACTCGACGGCCTGGGAGCTGACGCTGAAGCCGCCAACGGTGACCTTGTCGGTGTAAACATCACCGCTGGAGCTGCTGTGGTCACCGTAGGTGATGGACCAGGAAGCGCCAGAGAGCTTCTTGGCAGTGGAAGACTTGGAAGGGCTGTAGGTAACGTGTCCAGAGGCCGAAGACTTGGGAGTCTCGGAGCTGAAGACCCAAAGGTCGGAGGAACCGGTATCAAAGTCCAGGGGGAGGACCTGGGCGGGAGTGCCAATGGAGACGTTGGTGATGTACTCATCATCGGCGCTGTCGCTGGGGTTGGTGTTGGCAGAGCCGGTCTGGCGCTTGGTCAGGGCCTTCTTGGCAGCCACGGCAGCGTGGAGCTTCTCGCTGATGGGAGCGTTGTACTTTCTCTTGGCCTTGAAGAGAGCGGTAGGACCGTGGGGAACGTAGTGCTTGTTGTAAGAGACCTCAATGGAAGCGGTCTTCTGTCCCTCAGCAGGGAGAGCCGCAGCCAAGCCGCTGGCGGCGAGGAAGGAAACGAGGAAAGCACCAAAGGTCTGCATTTTGAAGGATGACTTGTCGAAGAAAGCTGCTCAGGAGTAGACTAGATTTGTTGTCTTGAAGGCTGATGAGACAAAGCTCCAACATCAGATCGAGGGAAGATGGATGCCTTTATATCCATCAACTCTTGTGCCGGTCCGCCTTTGAAGATAAAGATGATGTCGATGTTGCCCAGCTCTAAGACATTGTTGACGGCTTCAACTGTATGGTTTAGGAAGGTCATTTTTTGCGCCATCATCCCGGGTCTTCGCACACCTGCTGGGGCATGGTGATGGGAAGAGGAGTCACGATGGTGGAATTGACATCAGTATCCAGCCTTGATAGCTGGCGCCTCGTGGAAACGGGCGAATCAAAGACTCACGTCCAGGTGTGGAGAGGGCGCCTGGTTTCCTAGCCCAGAGAGAGAGGCCAGCCGAGAGTGTATTGCCATTTCTGCCTTGCTTCAATGGAGACACTGGGAACCTTTGTCGATCACGTATCGTCCTTGATCCCAAGATAGAAGTCCAGAGTATTAGTTCATGGCCGCAGTTACTGGTTTGGGGCCGGCGCAACATGGCGGTCTCCAGAGGGGCGTAGCACAGGTAGTCCTTTGGACAATAGTTCTCGCCACTACAGCCGCCCCGTCCAATCCGGGGTTATTGCTGTCTGTGCGGCTTTAACGATGGGGAATCTGGGTAGAACGGTCCTTGAAACGAGCATTGGCCAACGCCGATCTTGGTCTATCAGGCGCCTGTCTGCCTGGCACTTGAATCGTAGTCCGTGCTTCGTATCATGACTTGAGCGTGGGAGAGAAGCGGGCCGTCGCGACTTCGGCGACAATGCTGCGCCGCAGACTTTGCTGCGATGAAAGCTGATCCGGAAACAGATGAAGCAGCTAGCCCAACTCCCCCAGGTGATGTTGCAATCATGATCATGTTCCACTGTTTCCCGCAGCCAGCGGGCTGCTCAGTCCCCCATCGGTCAGCCATCCAGCCATAAACACACGCAGCAATTCCCATAACAAACTCACTTCAGCATCCAGCCAAGCCAGCCAAGACGTGTCATGCCGTGCTTCGTGCCTCGGATCTGTCCCGTGCTCCGTACTCCGTACAGAACAAAGCACCGCACTAGCGGAATCCGCCAGGGATCAACCGCCAAGCAACCTCATTAAGTTTAATCCCTTAGTTAATGTTAAACCGCCAACCCATCAATCAGAGAGGCCTGGTGACCGGGAAATAACAGCCCAATCTGCTGTAAGCTCCGATCCGGGGGGTCGCTTGAGGGCCTCGCACCTCTTGGCTCAGGCACTAGGCACTACTGGCCAAGGGCATCGACTTGGCATCCGGCAGTCAGGGGTGGGAACTTGTGCCAGAATCGCCATCTGCAATCTCCTCCGCTCCAGCCACTGCGCGCAGAAGTTCGTTACAGCCAGCTCAAGCCCAGAGCGGCATGTCCAAAAGGCCCAACGGCGCCTTTGTAGCTGCCGGACAGGGGCCAGAATCCGCCCCAAGAGTCGCCGTTGGCTCTTGGAGGCTCTGGGCCCTTGTCTGCGGCCGGGTATTCGGCATGGAGCTGACGGGTCCTGGAATCGCAAGAGGGATCGCTGCCGGGCGTCACGGCCATGATTGGCTATGTGTTGCGGCCTTCTGTCCAGCTGCTGCTAGCAGACTTGTGCCTGCACGAGTAATTGGGAGTGATTAGGCTCTCGGAGCGAAGAGGCATGCGGAACCGGCCGAAGTAGGAGGCTGTCATGTCACGGAAGTTGGACGAAGTACGGAGCAGCAATAACTGTTTTGTCTCTCGTGAATGCGACGCTGCAATACGAGTTGAGGTTTGTATGTACAGTATCGCCCACGGCACGTGATGGCTGCGATAAGACTTGGTCCGTGAATCTGGCGTCATCTTGCTCTGTATCGTCTCAATGCCAGTGCTTCTCCCATTCTACAGGTTTCCAGGCACGCAACCATCACGGCCAGTAGCTTCTAGATGCCGTGCTGCCCTGACAGAAATCACGTCCCTGCCCAGACCATCCAAGCCGACAGCCGATCCCGTCACACGCATCGCCAAGAAAATGTGCCATAATGCCGGCAGTACAGCAAAATGCAACTGGCAGGTCTTGGCCTACATCGCTGTGTGAGTAGGGACTCGATGCTGGAAGGCTTGGAAAGCTTAAACATACAGCATCCAGCCCAACCCCATGCCGCCAATCTGCTTCAGCGCTGGCGTCTTCCTTGTTGAGCCCGACCCCGGCCCCTGTCCACACGACGCCACCCGGAGACCAAGACAGCTCTGGAAGGTGGCTCATGAGGCATCAACAAGCTCAGCTCGCGTTTCAACGCAGACAAGAACGATCAGCGAAATGGCTCCCGGTGGCAGCGTCAAAAGGCCCCGGGCTTCGGGCTGTTATCAACGTCGCTCCTCGAGAGCCAATAGACATCCTTACCGACCTCCCAAAACGGGAAGCATTTGGCAAAGGGCCCTCTCTTGCGGCCGCTTGTTTATTGCGTTTACTTCAGCCTCTGCTCTCGTGCCTCGTATCTCTTCAGCCCCATCCCCCGCGAGACCGGCAGGGACAAGGGTACGCTAGCCGTTCCGAATTAGATCGCATGTGATAGACCTTATTTGAGACTGCCGCGCCTGTCACGACCAATGATGCAATCGTCAACTACCACCAGACTCATGGGCGCCTTCTGAGTGGAAGATGACCGAGCTGTTCGGTGGGAAAGGCGGACAATCATCCGGCGTAATACCAGATTAGAAGTTACCAGGCAATATGAAGCAACACATCCGGCTGACTGTCAGGCGTCACTCAGCATATAGAGAGGAACACGAGTCGGCGATAAGAGCATGTCTCAATGCCGTGGTGTAGTAGAGGATAAGATACGAGGCACCATAGACAGCAGAATCGGGGCATTCAAAGACACACCATACACATCGATAGATTTGCAACTTGTTGCGGACGAGGTAAGCTACCGCGAGGCTAAATGCACCATATCCTCTAGGTACGCAAAGGTACCCCGATTTCCTTACTTTGGCAAATTCGGAAGCGCCTTTTGAGCGTACAAACGCGCCTTTGATCTACACGCTAAAGTAATCGACGCCAGAGCGTGTTCTAGCGCCCATTATGGCCGAGGAGAGTGAAGCGGCTCATTGTACGGATGCGGAATGTGAAAGTGTTTCAAGAATAAACAAGCTATGCTGTCAACTAGGGCACACTAAGCTCCCAACTCCGCGGACGTGCATGGCAAGATTACTCGTACAAGATTACACTCATAGCATTAGCAAATCGTCTTGTTCTTGATTACAGCGAAATATTGCCTGTAAGGTGAGTTTATCAAGGTGTTTTCTTCTTGTCCATGTTCATGTGGAGCTTATTGACTTCCACCTGCTCTCCGCTCCCGGAATCCACAAGATAGATAGCACCGTGACACATTCGTATTTCAAATCGATATTATTGATTTACAAAATAGTGTCAAAAAGATTATCTAAACTATACTAAAAAATTCTACTTCTTAATATAGGGTAGGTTGCATCGAGTGCTACGCAGCTACTGCAAAATATGTTGCATTTTGAGATCTAGTGCGGCCTTTTCCCTCCTAATATGGAATTGACAGAGTACTGGGTAGGTAAGGTATGATTATGATGTGCATTCTTAACAAGCATCAGCATGTCCGAGCGCTGATTTATATGGCATCACCCATATCTTGGTCGTCTTTACCTCTTTACTAAATACCACGACATCTCCTTCTGTTGGACTGCTGTCTGCTTTTCCCTCAATCCATTTTCCCCTGGCCCCATTTTGCTTGGTAGGTAATACGTATCAAAGGTTATATGAGCTAGACCTCCAAAATGTCTTACCCGTTAGACATACGGAGTACATTTCATTGTGACCATGTCTCACATCCGTCCCTCCATGTCTTAGAACTGCATACGGAGCATTTATTTTGCTCTGACTGCACACCCTCTTCTCGCGATTAGTTCAAACCACCCTATCAACGCAGTTAGTCTTCTCCAAAGAGATACCCCTTTCGGAAACATCCTCTTCTTAGCCGCTGCTTCGGAAGCTTCCGTATTTTACCTAAAAAGAGTGAGGGCGCTGAAAAGTGCAAAGGTCAGCTTGAATGACGACATCCGTGTAAGTGCTGTGATGATGAGCTAGTGATGATACGCCAGTGTTTACAAAGTACGACATGATACTTATTACATAATAATATATTAATAGACAAGGACAGGCGTGTACCATAAGATCATGGAGACCATATATTCCCCTGCTCAAGTGTATCAATACCAGTTACCACCTGTTACTTGCAAATGGTGCATATATGTCCCCCAAAAAACGCCGCGAACAAGCGTGGCCAAATCTAAACGCTAAATGCCTCCAAATATCCGCTGATCCTCCAAATATATCGATCCCCCCAAAGGTATTGAACTTCCACGCTCAATGCATGCCTCTTAGTCATCCTCCAATCCATATTCATTGTCCATCTCAGGATCATCCTCATCGTACCCTCCCTCGTATTCACCACCCCCTCCAAATTCCTCGCCATCGCCAAACTCCTCCGGCTCCTCATAGTCTTCCTCCTCAACATGCTCCTGCACATCATCGCCGGCGACACTCTCATCAAGTGCCTCACTCGCGTCGTCGTCGGCACCAAAGGTACTGCCAGCTATGCTAGTCTTCCTGCTGGTTGCCGCAGATCCAAGGCCAGCGTTTGGTATGTCGAAAATACTGCGGATAGCATCGTAGTTAATCCTCTTGGACCAAGCTCGGTCCTTGGCCACGCCGATTGCGGCTTCGGCTGCAGAGCTAGCGGGACTTGTTTGGCCCTCTCCCATTCTAGCACGCTTTCTCCTCTTGCGAGTTTGTTTGGGTCGCTCCGCCTCCATCTTCCGTCGGAACACCTTCTCTTGGTGTTTCCTGAGCCAATCCTTGTTCTGGTTCACCCAGATAATCTCTTTGATACGTGCTTCTTCCGGTGATAATAGACAATTAATGACCTCTGGGTCGTCAGCAAACTCATCCTCGGTAACATCGGCCGCCATAGACACCTCTTTTTGAGGCTGCTGTTGACGAGCCCAGAGGGAGTGGATTCGAGCTCGCTGCTCGGCATTCGAATATGCAAGCGCGTGTTCATAAGTAAGAGGATCATTGAAAATCTCTTCAATGACTCCTTCGAGTTCCTGCTCATCCTGCTCCCATTCTTCGTTGATCGGAAGCTGAGGCTTGGCCCGTTTGCCTTTGCCCCGGCCATCAGTTTCTTGGTCAGCAGTTTCTTCATCTAATGCATCGCCAAATTCCTCGGCAAGATCCTCCAAGCCTTGAACTTCGTCTTTGTTTTCATTCTTTGATGGATTAAGATTGATGTTTCCTTGGGGAATCTGTGAGGGTAATGGGGGGATGATGAAACCATCAGCATCTCGGCGATAGTTGACCTCGGGCGCTTTGGAAAGATCTGCCCCTCCCTCTACATGTCGCTTGGCTGGTACATGTTCTAGGCTGGGTTGCTCAGGATCTTCGCCAGTAATCCCACGCTTGCGTTTTCGTGATCTCTCTTCCGCCTTCTTTCTATATTCATCCGATTTTCGGTAGAATGAAGGTGGATCATGTGAACTCTCCAGGAAATCCTGTTTCAAAAAGTCTTCTACTGACATGCGACTTGACTCGGTGTTGTTGAATTCTTGTAATCGGTTCTGGATAGTATGGTTCGTCACCTTGACGATGTAGACGACTTCGCGAATTGTCCGTCGGAAGTTGTGCATACGTGCAGCCATGAGCAGACAGGCGCCGCAGATGCCAGAGGGTCGACGGCCCATGACCATCCAATCCCTGCTCATCCGCTTGACCAGTCGAACTGCATCTTCGGCGACCTTGGCTGTGTCTTGGTGGAACTCCATCTTTGTGGCAAATCGCCAAATGAGATCCTCGGGGTATACCGGGATCAGTCCATCGGTTCCAATTGGTACCACTTCATTCAGCTTCTTGAAGATTCGTCCCAGCTTAAACACATTGAGCTGAACCAAATCGGCCAAATCGATAAGCATGACCTTACAAGGTGGCTCGGCACGGCAAGCAGCATAAAGGCAGACAGCCGCAACGCTCGCCAGCGTGCGTCCCTGAATGAAGTTGGCGCTAGATGCAAGCTTGAAGACTTGTGTGCCTGCAGTAACGAGACTGTCGCTAATGTTGAGCTGCTGGGCATAACCTTGCATGAGACCTCGCGCCTCCCTGATGCTCTTTTCTCTGTCTTCGCTGCCACCTACTCTCCTAAAAGCAGGGCCCATGCCCCTAACACCAGCCTGATCAGCGCCGACAAAGGTTCCCTGAACCATGGCAGCACCGGATGACGTCTCGCCGAATTGTACCTCGGACACGATGTTGCTATCATCAGCGACACGACCGCAAGTCTGGCAAGTTCCGTCAACAACATTGGGTTTGGGACAGGCCTTGTTGGCGCACTGCTGGTGAGCGGGAGTGACAACGCCTGGCCTCTGCGTCGATGAAAGCCGTGTTGCTGTTGCGGCCGCATGACGGCGTTCCTCACGTTCACGGAGGGCCCGGACGGGATTTGGTCTAGCAAAGCGAGGTTTTGAAGGGCCACCGCCGGGGGCCACTGGCCGTTTTGTTGGCAGTGGTGTGAGAAACGACATGGCGGCTGTCGCGATGCTGGTGAAAGCCGTGTCTCAATATAAAGCGATGCGTAGATGAGATGATGGATGAGTCGCGATAAGAAAAAAAGTTGTAAGTGAGCAGCGAATATCGATAAACAAAAAAATTCCGGTCCACAGCAGAAATTGCTCTTCTCCCGTCCACCGCGCAAAGTCTCTTCTCACGGTAAACTGTCTATCCTCTGGAGGAATCGTCCTGTCTGTTCATCAAGGAACATGAGCGCAAGCGATAGAAGCAATTCCAGAGACCAAAAAAAATGCTGCGTCGTGAATCCCGATGATAATAGTAGAAAAAATCCGTATGCGCGCTCTGGTGGGTAGAAGAAAATGAAGAAAAAAAAAGTTGGGCGGGGCCTCGCGGGATTGTGGTTATGGCGGGATTAGTGGCCGAGTGGGGAAGAGGCACGAAAAAATTAATTTTCTGGATTTCGCAGCAGAGTTCCAGTCGTGGCAGTGGACGTGGTTCGAGGCAGCCGCCGGTTCGAATCTCGGAGCCTCAAAGTTTTTTTCAAGATCGCAAAAAACCGTAAACTGCGCTATTCGAGGTTCGAGAAAGCATCAAACAATAGCTGTCACAATTTTGTTGCGCAGAATCTCGCAGCAGCAGCCTCTTGGCAGAGGAAAAGGCGAAATCCTCTCAGCCCAAGGCAAAGTTTTGACTCTTTGCTCAGAGACTTTGGTCGGTCCGACCGCTTAATCGTCGGCTGAATCATCTTGCCATGACTCCCATCTCACGGCCTCTGTCCCCCGCATGCGTCATTCGCGCTGCTGTTTTTGCCGGTTTGGGGCATGTCTGCTGAGGTTTTTGCCAGTTTGGGCATGTTCGCTGTGGCTGTGTTCCGAAATGACAAGACACATTGCAGCGAAAGACATGTCGCAACGTTGCCAGAAGTCGAAATTACGAGCGGCTGCAAATTAGAGGATGATGTTCTCCAGCTGCTCGGCTGCTCCCCGACATTCCCCGTCGAAACGTGATTCGTATACTCCATGCTCCCCCACCTTATCCATTTTCCCGATCATGAGCTGCGAGGTGCCCAGAAGCTAAAGAGGACCTAAATGTTGAAGAGCAACAGTGTAGAGTTGCGGAGTATTTGTCAATGAATTGGCATTAGAGGCCGGTGAAATAATATCTGGCACATGGATCTAGCCTTACGAAATATCCCGGGCTATAGGCTGCAGATATGAGGCAACTCCATCAGCTCGTGTTATAAAAGCTCATAATCCATCCCCTCTTGGTCTCTCTACTCCTGCACACTAAATCCTCTGTAATTCTACCTTGTTCATCATCGTATCGCTCATAACCAACTCAGCGTAAATCCTCATCATGGCTGCCTCTGCTTTTACCTTTTCCGCCCCGGCAGACACCGACGTCTGGAAGAAGCCCCCTTCTCATGACGTCTTCACCGGTAACCTCTCCACCACAATGTCCATCCCACATATGTCCAGTATACAGATAGCTAACTCAACCTCTCCATCCAGCCCCCTACAAATCCCTCTCCAAAAATGCCTTCCCCCAGTTCAAATCCGCTTCCATCACCTTCACATCAACCTACACCCACCAGTTCGACCAAGCCGGCATCGTCCTCGTCTTCACCAAGCCATCCCTCCCCCGCAAGTGGATAAAGGCCGGCGTCGAGCTCTTCAACGGTCAGCCTCGCCTGTCCACCGTCTGCTGCGACAACTGGGCCGACTGGAGCGTCGCCAACGCCAACTCGGCTGAGGAGATCCAGGCAGGACGCAAGGCCGTGACCATCTTGGTCGAGAGGCTTGATGCTCACGATGGTTCGTGCTTGTGGGTTTATCGCGTCGATGGCGAGGAAAAGATTCCCATGAGGGAGATTTGCTGGCCTTATGGAGACAATGGCGGCCAGGGCTGGGAGCTGGAGATCGGTGCTCTGGTTGCTAGACCGACCAAGGATACGACCGACGACTTGGAGGCCAAGTTCCAAGATTTCCAGGTCAAATGGGATTCTGCCTAAACTATTACAGCCTACATGTAGCTATATTATACAAATACTAAGCGTGATTTTACAATTTTTCATATCAGAAACATGACAGTCACGTTGGCAAGGAACAGAACATGTGAGGTGCAAAATTGTCTCATTAACCTCGACCCTGACGCGGAGCTCAAAGTCAGGGAGGACCGCTAGCGACCCTGTAAAATAAATTTTCTCTTTTTTTTGGCCTGCGTTGCGCCCCCAGGGCTGTGCAGCGTTTCTCATGTCTTCGTCAAAAGGAAAAAAGAAGAAAGAAGCAAAAGCCAGAAGCACGCTCTGATTTCCAATCTTGTCCGAGATGTAATACCAACAATACTCGATCCGTAAGCAAATGCCTTGTGTCCAGGTAATCTTCCATTTTATCCATTTCGTAAATTGTATCCAAAGCCCAAAAAGAAACCGTAATGCTGAAGCAAACCAAGTAGACCCCGTTCTGAAAAGCCTCCCGGGCTGTCATTTCCCCATCTTTTTCCATGGTGCTGTAGATTTATCAAATCCGACTTGGCATAAACACCAGGACGCGATCTAGCGCCGTAGAAATGAAAGCAGAGTGGAGTTCCGAGACTTGGAATAAAGCCAAGAAAATGTGCAAAACACACTCAATGCAAGCAGTCCGTACAAAAAAAGATTGCGGCCCGTAGATGAAGCAATTATAAGACTCCCGTAATTCGCACTCATCAGAACACCGAACAACAAAAAGCGGTAAAGAGCAATGAAAAAGCAACCAAATGCTTGCTCGCGCTAATATTGATCTGATTTATTATTTTGATTCTTTGATTTGTTGTTTGTTTTTGTTTTTTTCATCCTCCGCTTTCCAACGGCGGGATTACTCAGCCCGTGCCGAAAGCTGAAGTTGTTCTTATACCGTCTTGGGTGAACGGTTATTGGTGACATCAATGACGTCGTCCAAGTGGTTGCACATGGCGACGAACAGGTCGAAGAACAATTTGCTGCCGCCAGCCTCCATCTCAGCTTGCATGGTGCCGCTACGCTTGAACGTCTTGCGGCAGCGGATGATTAGAGCAAGGTAATGAGCACGGAGGCGGCTGTCCGTGTCGGGCGTGTTGGCGTAGGCGTACTGGGCGGACCGCAGGATGGTGCCGACGTCAATGCCGGCATGCAGCCCTTGCTTGCGCAAAGCCAGACGCTTAAGCTCCTCGAGGCCGTACCTGTCCGCGGCGCAGTAGATGACTGTGTCACGCAGGATCTCGGCCCCCACGCTGGAGAGATAGACGGCGGCATCGGAGCCCGTGCCGGCGCTGTCAGGGGTTGGTGGTGGCTTTTGAGGAGTCCTCATGCGGTCCTCGAGCTCCCAGGAATTACGGTGCCTGTTGTGAACCAGGCGCGGGTAGTAATCCCCCTTGTAGAGATACTCGAGCACGGCCGAGAAGATCTCGGGCTCCTCGTCAGGAAGGGAGATTCTCTTGTTGAGGGCATCAGACGAGTCCTTGCTGCAGGCCGCCTCAAAGAAAGGCGACTGGCTGAGGACGTCCTCATGTGCCGCAAACAGACGCCCCTCACGGCCAATAGTAAGAGTGACAATCGGCGAGGGCGTGATGTTGATGGGCTGAGTAGGTGCCGCTTCGTGCTCTATGATAGAGCTCTGCAGCTTAGACACCTTTGCTTTGACATGCTCCTTGGCGGAGCCTGGCTTCTTTAGTCTTTGCGACTTGTCCACCCGGTTCTGGTCCTGGGACCGGAATGCGCGCTTGAACATTTTGGCGGGTATGTATTTGAAGTGACTAAAGAATGAGGTATCTTTGTGGGAGTTGTGATGGCTGTGCATAAGATGAGGCACGGCAAGACGCTCTCTCACGGTCTGCAGAAGACTAGCATATATATTGACTAAGAGAGCGACGAATAAAGGAATGAGCGGAAGGATTGAGAGCTGTTGAGCTGTTGAGAATGATGAGATGAATGAGTGAATGACGCACAAAAGAAAAACGATTGTCGGGGTCCGGGCGCGGAAAGACCACCTTCTTATAATCAAGAAGATGATCTCTTCGCGAGAGCTTTGCGACCCTATTTGGCTTGCGTGTGGGGAGGAGAGGAAGCGGAACAGAAACAGAGCAGCGCAGAACGGGCACGGCTCCACTATTTGTACCTCTGCAGGCCCCCAACAGGTACCGATTGACCGTGAATCTCGCTGCCAGAATGGGTGTCTCAGCCACGGCGGCAGCCAGCAGCAGAGCAGGTACTGAGTACCTGAAGCGCCGTGGGAAAGCTACCAGCGGGCGGGTTGCCGACACCTGGGCGTGGCCATGCATGTCGACATCATCCAATGGGCAGGGCTGGCCAGATGACTGGACGGCAGCTCGAGGCATCGCCCCCCTCACGGATGAATACAGTACACTACAGTGCAGTACAGCAGACGGCAGAGATAAGTGAACCTAGTTGCTGCTCACCAATCGGGGAACCGGAGGCGCTGAATAAGACGGCAAGTCAAATCAGTGGGCAACAAGTGTCGTGAACAAGAGCACGCCCAATCTGAGCACCGAATCAGGGGAATGTCTCGCCCTCTTCTCTCCTTGCATTCATTACATTACAAGTACATTGGTGGTATCTCGGGTCACCTACAGGTCACATTGGGGGACTCGGTCATTTGTCGCTCCGAATAACGCTCTCCTTTCTTCTTTTTTTTTTTTTTTTTTTTTTTTTTTTTTTTTTTTTGTTGCATCATTTATTCCCTATTTTGGATGTGTACCATACTCTTCTCCTCTTCGTGACCACGAATCATCTGCCACCTTAAGACTCGAAGCGTTTCTTTTTTCCAAGCCTAATTATAGGCAAATTGCAACTCGCTCTCCCATCGAAGCGACCCACTACAACAGCCTTCCAAGGTTGTTTACTTCTTCCGTAGTATAGTGGTCAGTATGCAAGCTTGTCACGCTTGAGACCCGGGTTCAATTCCCGGCGGGAGAGAAGAAACCGCCAGCTTCGAAATCTTTTTTGGCCTTTTTTCTTATTTTTGCTCATCAAAGCCATAGCATTCAGTGTTATTCCGTCTCATTTTTGGCCGTTATTCCCCCTCCTTGATTTGGAAATGGCACGCGCTACATTGGGCGGAATCTTGCTGGTACCGCTACCACGTGGTTCCGCCAAACCCCTCTTTCAACAAGGTAGAGGCAAAGTACCTGTGACGTGTTCCATGGAGGGGTTCAGCTCCAGAGGCCTCAACCTCCTATCGCCTCACTCTGAATCGCCCATGGCAACGTTTCGTCCCCTGCGATCCAAACGCCATCTGCCACGCAGACACCCATCTCGACGTGACCAAACAGATGACCAGATGCAATGGGCGTGTCGACGTGTACCCGTCATCTCCACAAACTGTTTCAACTCCCATCCCCATCTCCTACGGGGAACCCCTTACAAGGAGCACAACATGTCAGCAGTAGAAGATTGTGGATTGGTTCTAGTCAGGAACGCAAGCACTTCTAAAATTGGTTCTAGGTTAAAGAGAATACTCTAGAGCTGCTCTCCCCACACTGACAACTCATCAATGAGGCTTTTTCATAGGGCGAAACCATTACCGCCGAGTATCGGTCAAGACCCTTGATGCGTCACACTACCAAAGGATGCCTCCGATTCATCCAGACTCGAGGAGTCACGATCGTTACCCCTCCATCCAGTGTTGCCATCATCATTACCCCTCCATCGATCTCTGCATCTAGGCCCCAAGAGGGGCTTCTTGAATGATGACGTGGGGTCGAACGAGCGTCTCTCGCACGCCAACGAAGCCCTGCATGAAGATGAACACTGTAACCATTGTTAATCTCTCAACGCAGAGGCGGCAGTTGCAAGGCCTTACTAATTGGGGCCAGAAGGACGAAGCCGATGCAGTATGCCGTTACCGCTTCTTGGGAGCCAACCTCTGCTTCATCAAGCCAGAAGAAGGGGTACACGCCAGTGGCGGCATGCCCAATGATGGCCCAACCGAGGTAGAGGCCAGCTAACACAACAAGGGCGAAGAGATAGGCGCCAATGGTCTATAGAGTCACGTCAGTTGGGCATCTGACAGCAGTGCCTCTCATTTTCCAACTCACAAAGGGGCGTTTGATACTGTTGAGAAAGAGTATCTCAATCACCATGATGATTGACGTGATCCCATACAAGTTGACAATGGCAAAGGCTTTGAGCCACCCTTGTCCAAAAAGATCACTGACTAGAAGGCTATGTTAGCAGAGCCTTGTGCCCGAGGTCATGAAAAAATCTTCCTACATGGTGCTGCCGCTACTGCAAGCAGTCTTCCATCGTTGCCGTCGTCATCGTTCACCAAGTCGTGCGGCCGCGTGATGAACCAGTAAATTGCCGTATTCATAAAAGAGAAGACGACAGTAGTAAAGTAAAACAGGGTAAAGTAAAACTGCTTGCGCAAGCTGGCCAGGTTTCTGGGCAGAGACATGAGACTAACGACCCACCATTCAATACCTCCATCGATTTCATCGGCATCTGGATAGTACAAGTGGGTGAAAGTCCACGACTGATGTCAAAAAGCCCAACGTTAGACGTTTGTGACAACTCGAAGGGGCTGTGCATTTGACCTACAAACGTGATTAAAAAGTACAAGAGAACCAAGGCGCCGCTGATGATGGCAAAATCGAAGAAGAGTCGAACGTTTGTCTCAGTTGTAGCCTGCGTAGTCTCGTAGTTCAAAACCAAGATGGCAGCGGCGATGAGATAGGCAAGGATGAGGCCGCGGAAGAAGACGAGCACGTTTTGCGGTATGAAGCACCACGGAGAATGGCTGGCGCGTAGAAAAACGGGCTGCTCACAACGGCTCATTAGCAGAGAGCCGATACTGTGTGAATGCTGCGCTGCGTGTACTCACATGGTCCTGTAGAAGAGCTGGGCCTGCGAGGCCGTTGCTGCCAGCGAGTAAAGGCGTGGAGTCCATTGTTTTATTGCAATAGTATACCGACAAATATGGAATATATGCGTGAACACGGTAATGCCGTAATGATGCTTCAGAGAATAAGCTCCGTTTTGGTCAATTCGTGGAGCTGAGGAGGTGAATAAGAGGAGATTGTATGCGATAGGTTGAGCTCCAACAGCGCGAGAAGGGGGAGATGCTATGTGTTGTTACGGGTGAAGTTGCAAAGTGGCTTTCATCTCCGATTGAAATACGACAGTACACATAAACAAAGCTGGTTTGGACTGGGAAAGAGAGCTGCGATACCTTGTAGATGGGAAGGCTCAAAGGCAAATAATATCTTCCACCAACCACCAAAATGGAAAGCGAGCTTCAACTCTTCAGCCATTGTTTTTTATTGCATTTGTTTTCCTTGTTTACATTTGTTATACATTCAGTAGCATCGTAACTGGTCGGTCCAGATGGTTCAGCGGCAGGTCAAGTCCGTTGCCTTCAGTCATTCCTCTTATGCGAACTTGCCGCGCCCTCCTTCTGCATGCCCTCACACCCAGTCAACTTCCCAGCCCACTCTTCGGCCTTTCCATATCCTTGATTTGGGTCTCTCTTCTCGCCAGCCTTTCTCATGGCGTCGAGGGCAGCCGCTTTGTCATGTGCTCCTGAAGCTGACCAAGACTGCGAGCCGCTGATGCTGCCAATGGTAGCCTGTAAGTGCATGAATGGTTAGCAGATGATGAGAATGATGGGGAGGATCAATGCAGCATCTTGGGGAGCATTGACTCCATACCTCTCCGACACCTTTGAGATACTGAGCATGAGCGCCCATCAGGCCCGTTTCCGGCTGCTGCGGCTGCTGGTTACTGTTGTTGCCGCTGCCCTCCATGATTGCAATTGGAATATCCGGGTCTAGGGTAGGTATGCAATTGAACTGGTATACTTTGGTTTTGATGTGACGGAATTCGTTGCAATTCTCTGTTCCGCGGTTGAAGATGGTATCTTAGCAGCGACCGGAGCAGCTGGAAGAACCACAGATGCCTCCCCTTAATTTATACCATCCTCCCAACCTCTAGATTACAAGCGATGACATACAAGCTTTCAATGGCTTCCTTGTCCATGACATCAGATCGGCCCCCGCAGATCGAACTTGACAAGCTTGAATCCCGAAGCCTCCCAAAAACAGCCCGAGGTACGTACCGACCAGAAGCTCCAAGCACTGGTGGGGCTGATGGCCCAGCTCGGCGTCTGATTGGCTTGGGAGCTTCCAAAGAGCCACCATGTCCATATCGTGTCCATCGATTTTGGGCCCATCAAATGCCTGCAATTGCCATCTGGCCATCACATAAACAACCAAATAAACAAACAAACAACCGCCTTGTCTGCATCTTGGCCCGTCTGGCGACTCTCCCTCCGAATCGGCAATCAGAATCTCCAACCCGAATCACTGCGAATAGAGGCGCAATGTTTGCAGGTCTCCAGAACCCGCGGAATTTTGCCGCCCAGCTCATGAACTTTGGGCTGGTGCTGTCCACGGCATTCATGGTGCGTTGCTCTATTCTATTCTGTTGTATTCTATACCATTACAGACGTGGAAGATGAGATGAATCTGACTGCTTGCATAATAGATGTGGAAAGGTCTCTCCATTATCTCCGATTCTCCCTCTCCCATCGTCGTCGTCCTCAGTGGCAGCATGGAGCCGGCATTCCAACGAGGCGATCTGCTCTTACTATGGAACCGCGAACTGATTAGCGAAACCTCTGTCGGCGAGATTGTTGTTTATAATGTCAAGGATAAGGAGATTCCAATTGTTCATCGAGTCGTGCGGAAATTCGGTCATGGGTTGGTAATGCCTTGCTTCGACAGGGTGACATTTGCTAACCCTTTTTCTAGTGACAAGGCAAAGTTTCTCACAAAAGGAGACAACAACGTAGCAGACGATACTGAACTCTTTGCCAAGGGCCAGGACTACCTGGAGCGCTCCGATATTATCGGCAGTGTGGTTGCATATGTACCTTTTGTGGGCTATGTCACCATCCTGCTCTCGGAGTACCCATGGCTGAAGACGGTAATGCTGGGCATAATGGGCCTCATGGTAGTGTTACAACGGGAATAAAAATATTATGCCAAGTATATGGCGAATTTGAAGAAGAAGAAATATTGGACCGCAGTCAAGACAGGGAAGATGACCGGTATGCCCGCCATTTTCGATATTCTCGTGACAGGTGCTAAAGATTTCCCAGGTGGCTCCGGGTCTAAAGTGGCAATGAGTAAAAGGATAGATTTTGAGGCTATGCTGTGATGATCCGGAAATGGAAATGGCCGAGTCAAATGGCAAAGCCGCTCTCCAACCCTTTGAGACTCTCCTTTATACCCCAAACCCGGTATGGGCCATGAAGGAGAATCTCAGACATTTGGGTAGTGGTTTTGGTATTTGAAGTGGTGCTTCTATTTTCTGCACTGCTGTTGCTCAGACTTGATACTGATTGCAGTATTGCCCCGAGCTGTGTCAGTTGGTGACACTGGCCTATTCTTTTTTTACTCCCAGTTCTCCATAATTGCTGGATGCCGCCTCTTAGCTGCACATGCACAGACTAGAATCACATTAGCTGCGGCTAAGAGCTGCGGTTGGCGACAGGAGGCGCATCATGGATGTGGATCCTCCTCGCCACCATTCTCGTGCACTTTTTGCTAGCTCTAACAGAAAACACATGGGGGTGGCCTTGGCCAATTTCCCCGTTTTGCTGTGATGTCGCTGCCTTTATTAGCCTGGGCGCCAACCCTCTCTTGAATGTTGATTGCTTTTCTCTCCCGTAGTCATTCGCTTTGTCGTTCGTTTTCGCAGCGCAAACATACACACTCGCTTTTGTGCCACTTTTGGTTACAGTCCGTCGTTTTGAATACCCTTCGTTTCTCTACGCATTTTCTCGATAGTTAATTTTACCGTCTGAGGAGATTAGCGCAGCTTCTACACACCAGCACACATTCGTTTTTTCTTCGCGACTCTTTGCCAATTTAACTCATAATTTCGTCGACAAACCCGAGACATTTTGTCGTTATGGCTTCCCAGGAGACCCCCCAAGTCACCGAAAAGACGGTTCAGAACACTGCAGTCCCCGTTGTTGCAATGCCCGTTCCGGCGCATTCGCTTCCCCAGGAGCTGGTTGCTACTGGATACCAGCCTTACTACCAACCTTATCCAGGCCAGCAGCCCGTGTCACAACCGCCAGTTGAGTCGCGAATGGATGGGTTCACGAGACTGGGATTCCATGGCGCTGGTGTTCTTTTAGGCGCCATCGGCTTGGGCCTCTCTTTGGGGTCTCTGCAGGGTGGCAACATCAGTGGTGCTATTGCCGCAGCCCCTCCTGTATGTTTGGCCCTCTCGATTATCTCACACGATTTGTATGAATGATGCTGACTTGGATACCCTAGGCTGGTATTGCTATGGTATGGAGTCTTGCAGAGGTGATCACTAGGGCCGTTCGGAAATTTAAGTCTGGTATTCACCCTGGTGCACATGTCGGCGTGTGCCTCATCCTCTGGATGCTTTCCAGCGTCATGGGCGGCATTCTCTGCACATACGTCGCCCTGAATCCCTACCGAGATGACCAAGACTGCGGCACCTATACTTATACGGACAGCTACGGAAACCGGCACACATCCAGCAGCTACTGTGATGAGTATTCGGATCCCTATCCTCGGGGCAAACTCCTCGGCGCAGCCGTCATCACTTGCCTCATCTTTGGGCTGTACTTTGGCCTCTTCATCGACGCCTGCATCAACACGCACAGACGCAATGTCGCCGCCAAGCGCCCCATCATGATGATTGCACAGCCGCAGAACTGGCCTGCTGCTGCTCAGGGATGGCAGCCGATGCAGAACGTTGCGTCTACGGAGGCTGTTCAGATGCAGACTCCTGCTGCTGCCGCCACACAGGCCCCAGTGATTAGGGAGTATTATGCCCCGGCTTAAAGGAAGAGAATCTATCTAGGCTGAGAAGCGAGACAAGAGATGGAAATGGTCATGTAATGGAGACTTTTTTGTTTTTCGAGTTTATTGGCGATATGATTCTACGAAGTGCTTGGCCTGGGCTGGCTACAACTTAGACCACGTACACCACTATAATGATACCTAATACCTTGCAACGAGCCTGAAACTGAATCAGCCTTTCAACAGTGTCTCTTTTCGTAACTATCTGCCGAGTCGCTATCTATCCCATTTTTTTTCTCTTCAGCCCGATGGGGCCTCTTGCTGCCTATTCACCGGGCACCCTGCAACACGACTCCATCCAGACCCTCTCTCAGACCATTGGAAAATTAAGCTACCCCTGGCTCCTTTCCAAAACAGGAAATAGCCGAATCAAGGTTGTCTCTCAATCTGGATATTACCCAGCCAATGGGCGCTCAAGCAGCGCCATTCGCACCAATCACGTCAATTGTAGCGATAGAACGACACAACCCTTGATGGACAGGGGTTCGTCTTGGGTCTTACACAGATGTTACCGCACGTACTTGTACGGAGCAGTTCCTCTTTTTTATTATTTAGCGAAGTGCCGGTCTGGAGGGCTGAGTCGGCTTTAGTGTCTTGGGAGAAGAAGTTCGATACGAGACACCTCGTGAGTCAACCAAGTTTTATTTCCCTTGTTTAATGCTTGGGGTTGTCATCACTGGCTTCTTTTTCTCTTGGCACGATTCGTATTGGAAGGGTTTACGTGGTGTTTTTTTGTGTTGGCTTTGGCGCATTGTTGCTTGTTGCCTGTTGCATTGGTTTAAACGCCGATGGCGATATAACTCGGTGAATATTTATTCTGTTTGGAAAGGGCGCTTTCGCTTTGTCCCGCCGCTGTTCGAAGGCGACACATTCGCTCATTTCAACCCATTCCGCCTTTTTCGCTCCTTCGAATCGAGGAGCAGGAGTTGACCTAAGGAGAACAACCTCATCCGACTCAATCTCCCGCATCAAACCTTCGGAATTCCATCCTCAATTCCAACTACCGCAACAATGTCTTCCGCCTCCTCCTCCCAGCAGGCTCCTCCTCCTCCTCCCCCAGAGCCGCAGACGCTCCCTCCCCCTCCCGCGCAGCCACCCGTCGCGATGCCGCCCTTTGGCCAGATGCCTTTGCCGCAGGGCTTCCAGCCGTACGTGTACGCCGCGACCAACGCAGTGTCGTATGTGCCGCAGCAGGCCTTTGAGACGCCGAAGCCGAAGCCGAACAAGGCCTGGGAGATTATCAAGATGGCGCTCCATATTTTGTCCGCTGCTCTCGGGGCGGCGGGAGTGGGATTGGGCTTTAGCAGTCTCAACTTTACGTATTTCACTTACACCGTCGTCATAGCCACCGCTCCTCCTGTAAGTTTCAATTCATCTCTCTCTTTTCAAATTCCTCATAACAAAACTAACTCAATTCGAAAACAACAGTGCATCATCGCTCTCGTCTGGAGCATCTCAGAACTCATCACCCGCGTAGCCCGCAAACTCAAAAGCGGTATCCATCCCGCCGCCCACATCGCCCTCTGCCTCATCATCTTCCTCGTCGCAACGATCCTCACCTCCCTCTTCGGCCCCTGGTTCCAGAGCTCATGGGGCAGCTACGACGACCCCAGCTCCAGCTCCCAGAGCTGCGGCTACCGCTACAACGCCACGCTCGACACAATGGTCTACTCGTGCACCGGCGATAGCAGCGACGATGAGGCTGCGCAGCGCGTGTTTGACCATGAGAGGAGCGTTTCGATTGCTGCGGCGGTTGTCACGTATCTTATTGCTGCAATCAATTTCGCGCTGTTTGTGGGCGCTTGTGTGGATACGTCGAGGGCGAATACTGTTGCGTCGCGACCTATCTATGTTATTGCGCAGCCGCAGATGATGCAGGGATGGCAGCCGATTCCACAGGTTCCTATCCAGTATCCGCCTGCTGTTCAGCAGCCTCCAGCTCGGGATGTGGCCCCTACAGAGAGCGAGAGCGAGAGCGAGAGCCAAAACAAGAGCAAGAACAAGGGCAAGGGCAAGGAGCCTGCGCTGAATGATATCGTGGAGCAGAATGAACCCAGCGGTTCGCAAGCATGAAGAAGTGGTCAAGGAGAGGGATGTAAAGTTGGATAATAATGGTGAGGACGAGTGAATTTCTTGGAGAAATAATAAGGCGTTGGTTGTGCTCAGCATGTTGAATATACCCGTAAGTTCATAAAGTACAAGTCTCTTACATATAGAAACCCATGATAGATACTAGTAATTAATACAATAATGTCCTGCAAGTCAATAATAAACAGGAATACTATGTCCATGCGATCAATCCATACAATTTAAATCAACAAAAACAAAAACCATAAGAAATAAGAAACACCCAATAAACCTTGCACTCCCACATCGCCAAAATCCTGAATCATGGGTATCTCATCCCTTTCCCCCCAAACCCATATTTCTTTTTCTTTTATACCTAGGTCGTGGCATCGTCATTTTTCCAATTATACTGCAAAGCAGTTTGTGTTCAAGAACATGTATGTCCAGAAGAAAGTAGAAGCAGCGCAAGAACAAGCCTGCATCGATCCATTTATACATCATCCGGGTCATCCCAGCGCCTCGCCACCAGTCTTCGCACCTTCTTAGGACTGCTAGGCCCGTTACGAGCTCCGTCGGCGCTGATCTTTATGCGTTCAAACTTGCGGCTGATGCTCGACACACTGTCGGGCTTGGATGGGCCGCCGTTGTTACCGGGCATGGCAAAGTCCTCGCGCTCCTCCAGGGGCTTCCGCTTGCTGGGACTGCGGTTTGCGAGCTCCCTCTTAAGGATGATGTTTTCACGCCGCAGACGCTCGACTTCCTGTGTGAGATTCTCCACCAGCACGTTTTCTTTGTCGAAATCTTCCTCAAAGCCCGTGTCCAGGCCGCGCTCCAAGATGTCAACCTTGCGGTCCCAGTGCTCCTCATGGCGTTCCTTTTCGATCTGCATAGATGCTTTGAATCGAGCCAGCTCGGTGGCAAGGCGCTGCTCGAATTCAAGCGCACATTCCTCTCGGACGGCTGCTTCCATGTCAATCATGCGATCCTCCATACTAAGGAGGTGAGCCTCGGCCACAATACGGGCTTCACTCTGCATTTCGCTTTCTTGGCGCAGCTGCTCAATCTCTTCGCTCATCCTCGCGATTTCCAACGCGGCGATCTCCATGGTTACTCTCTCGTCGGTGGCATTAAAGGGCGAAACGTGGCTTCTCATAGATCCAAAGCCAGCGTTACCAAACGGCCGGTTGTGGTGCGTAGAATTCGTGGGACTCGGCGCTAGCATATTGCCAGTAAATGATGGCGCACGGGGAACAGTGACGTCCCGAGCAAGAGCGCTGTAGCGAAGGATCTGGGATGTTGCGTTGAAGTCGCCCAGAGGATCAGCCGTAACAATCATGATACCTCGTTGGGGGTTTCGGCGAGGGTGAGAGTAAGAACCCGCTGTGGATGGGAACGAGTTGGAGAAGAGGATCTCGGTAAGCTTGCATTGTCTGTAAGGGACAACATTGGCCTGCTGCAGAGTTAGAAACTTCCTCTTGGGTTTCATGTCTATAAGGGGGGAACCATAGAAGTAGAAAAACCTACCCTGCCAGCGCTGATCTCACTTTGGCTTTGAAGACACTGGCCAAGGTACATGAGACTCTCGTTAATCTTTCCCGCTTCCACCAATGTCGCGCCTTGAGTCTTTGCATCCCTCGCCCTCTCACTTCCTGCGAGATCGACAATGGTAAGCTTGCTTCCACTCCACGAGTTGTTCTTCCAGCCAAAGGTCCTCTTCTTGACTTCGAAGCAGAAGAAGCCATGGCTCCTGCTCGAGACACTATTGCTCCCCGTACCAGCCACTCGTCTTTCCTGCAGACCAGCCTCAAGCACCAGGAGGGCTTCTCGAACATCGGTACAGACCACCTTGCGAAGACCGGCAACTACCTTGCGATCAGGGGACAGCTCAGTAGGTTTGAACAAAAGAGGTCGGCGGCGGTAGTCTTTGTTGGACCCGGATTGGCTGGACGGGGTGAGGAGGTCGTAGATGCGGTCGTTGTGAACTTCGTACATTGATACAATGACAACGTATTCGGCGGCGGTATCGCAAGGCACAACGAAGTCGCTAACGTCGGGAGAATAGGGAAGCGAATTGAGTAGGGTTGAATTTCGGCGCAGGGTTCGTCGTTGACTCGAGACAAACGTCGTACTTTCGCCCTTTATGTTTTGTTTAGCTGTTGTCTTGAGACGACTGGCGGCTGTCAATGACATGAATGGCCGCTCCAACGCCCGCTTGGGCGACGGAATACGGGCAGTTGTGCTGGATCTGCTTATTCCCAGAGACTGCTGCGCCGAGCAATCCTACTGCCCCTTGGCATGCAGCGTCTCCTCAGCCTCGCTGACAGGCCTGACACTTTTCGGGCTTGTCATTACCGACTCGGGAAAGGATCCAGGCATTTGCTGTATTCTTCGCGGAACTTTACTGGGAGTGGACGTCTTGGCAGACGAAAGGGTTGACTGGGTTCGTACCATCATGGGCGTGGTTGATCTGGAGCCGGAGCCACGATATGTCGTCTGTCCCGCATCCCCGTTCATCCCATCGAGAAAGTACGGTGCCGTGATGAGGGTAGATTCGGACGCATCACATGCTTGCAGAGAGTCGAGGGTTGGCGACTGGGCAGACTCGACCATGTTGTCGCTGATTGATCGGAAGACGACGTCCACGGCCAGCTGAGTGAGGCCTCGCTGGTTGCGGCTGCCAAGGATCGTATGCGTCTGCCACGAGGTTAGATGGACAAGGACGCATAGCGTTGCATCTCCCGCCGCTCTCTGCGTACCTTGCCTGAGCCCGTGACACCAAGCGTGGCCACGACAGCATCTGTCCCATCGCCGCCCTGGGGCGCCAGCACGCCCTCAATCAGCGACGATGTATCCGTGTCGTGGAAGACATCGAGCTGGCCGGCGTCCTCTTCAAAGACCTGCGTGAAGCCAAACCGTTCGATGGCCCTCCGTCGATCCGGTGGTGGGTTGAGCGTGATGTGGGACGGATGCAGATTGTCTCCAGCGGGCTCAACGTCAAGGATGCGCTCTGTCTGCGGCGCCCCTGGATACGGCGGGCGAAGTCGAAGATAGACCTGGAACAGGTTTTGGGATCTGGATGCTGGGTCCATACCGATGCCTCGCGTCGAAAGGAAAAGCAAAGAGAAAATGATGCTGCAGGCGCTGATAGCGGGAGACTCGTTTGACGAGGTTCTGATGATGCACCCCCCTGGGCCCGGATTATTCTTGTATGCGATGCTCCACTGTTTATTATGCTGTCAACCGCTTTTAGGGGACCGCTGGCCCGGCAACGCCGCCAAGCGCCACTCCGCTTAGACGCGCGGGTGAGGCGCACGCTGCCGGACTTTAGCCTGCTGCCACCAGCCCCAAAGTTCAAGCCTCAGGCCGTCTTTCTAGGCCTAGAGTGGCCTGTGCCTCTCGGTCCCGAAGCGGCGCAGCAGGACAGGCAAAGCAGCGGGAGCTTCCACCTGGCAGCCTGACTCCACCCCCTCATTTCACAATCTAGGACTTTCATCTCTCATGCACATGCATGTGCTTCAACTCGGCCGTCAACTCAACTCAACAGCGTCGCTGTGCTTCGCGCCTCATCATCGACCAGACGGAAGATGCTGGAATCTTCTCTCTCTCATCAAATGCCTCATTTCTGCGCTCTACGCTCTCCTGAAACGATCCTTCAAAGGGCGCGCGACTTGTCCAGTCGGCTTGTCGTTCATGATGCTCGTCATTAGGCAGACTCAGCAGCGGCTGGCTTGGATTGGATAATGGTGCCTAGCGTTTGAGGAACCATGTCCTCCCAAGACACCTGACCACCAAAGTTGGCGGACTGCAACTCATTTGAGCGAGCCTTTCCATGCTTTTCGCCACTCTTCCAATTCAACAAGGGCTGAGAAGATGCGTTCATTACTATTACTCAAGTCTGAAAGTGGTTACAGGTCGCTGCGCGAAACACAAAAGATTCCCTGCAATCAACTCGGTCACGTCACTCAACAAAAAACGCCATACACCATACGCCGTTCCCATTGTCGTCACAGATAGCCATCTGCCCACCTTTTCTTCTTCTCTCTTTACGGGTCAACGCTGTCACTTGTCTACTACTTGAATTTCATTCGCTCAATGTATGCCATCGCATACTCCACTATCGAGAGTCAGTATGCACCACTCAAGTGATTGGGCTCACCCCCTAGAAGTGGCTTACATTGTGTGTCCATCTTCTCATGTCCTGCCATATGCCACGTTTCATTGATTCTGCCCTCCTCATCAACGCAGCAGGGACAGAACTCGAAGTGGGTTGGCATTGGTGAGAGCTCGGGCATCGGCAACAGCCGGTCCCGTGGTGTGCTGGGTGCATTGGATCTGTTTGATCTCCTGCTCTGTGCAAACTCTTCATCGTCATAGGGAGTTTCGGCAAGAAGTTCTTGCTGAGGCACTGCGATTGGATCACACCAAGCGCCAAATCCTCGAAGATCGCGACTTCTCTCTGTTCTGGTGGCGCTGGGGAAGGGCTCAACTTGGCCACGGCGATATCGTTGAGACTCATCAGGGGGAGGGGAGGGCAGATGATGTTTCCTGGACTTTCTGGGCTCTCTAGCCAACTCCTGACTTCTAACTCCCCTTGAGCTTGAAGACACTGACGGCTGTACTAGGACGGAATCGAGTTCACGTGACGAGCGATGTGATGAGGAGTACTGGTCAGCAGCTTCATACTCTTCTGAGTAGCGACGACGCTTCGTTGAATGAGCTGAGCGATAATCTCTGTGGCTCTTATGCGGCATGAGATCATCAATGGCGGCGTTGTGGATTCGAGACTCCATATGGCTGTCTCGGGTCCTCCTGGGGTCGGCCCTGTGATAGTCAAGGCTCATGACAAGGTCCCTAGGGGAACACAGCGACATCCTGTCCATGTTGATGGAGCTCATGGTTCTATCGATGGTTCGAGTTGCTATGCTGGCAGCTTCTTGGAGTTGGACCTATCCTTGGTTGCATCGGCAGGCAGTGGTAGGCAAGGGGGGAGGCGACGGCGAGGTGTTGTCCGAGAACTAATAGGAGGAAGATGTATAGGGGGATGCAACAGCAAGACTCTGTGAGATGAAAGTCTGAAAGATGTTTTGATGTTGGATTCTGTTGAGATTGGAGTTGTCGAGTGTGAAGAGGGGAGAGTAACGGGGAGGAGGGTAGTCGGGAGGGGACGGCTTTTATACCCTGGGACCCCGAGGAGGCCCCTCGCTGTCAGCCAATGAGGGCTCCCTATCTGACACTACCTCCCCCGACCTGCCTCATCCTCCTGACATCTCTGCACATGCTACCCTTTGTCATCACCATCATTTACTTGCATCAACTCCCCAGACATGCTGGCTCTCCATTATTTGGACTATTCCCATCGTCGGCCGTCATATCCCCCCTGATGCATACACACACACACACACACACACACATACATGGCACACTCTTGGGCAGCTGGCCGTCGCTGGCATCAAGACTCAGTTCATCAAGGATGAAGATGCCGAAAGAGGATTCTGCTGTTGCAAGTGTTGATTTACTTGCTTTTACATTCCGTGCAGGCATGCAAACCTTTTTTTCCTCGTCACAGTCGTGCCGTTCTGCCAGGGGCATCTCCTACCATCTCCCCCAAAGTCCTAGACACTTTCTTGTGCTACGACGTTTGGTTTACAATGTAGCCTTGCAATTTCCTTGCTCTATTGGCCAATTGGGGTCGAGTTTCGGCCATGCCAGTGTCGCGTGCTGCCAAACGTGCCAAACGCATTCCCCGGAAGCCTGGCATCGCTTAGATGCAATGAGGCCTTTTCTCCCTCATGCATAACACATCATACCCTGACACCACCCATTTGGCTATTCCCATGCCGTCGGCTTCAACCCAATCAAATAATTGCCTCTGTTGTCATTGCTCACAATTCATGTTCTGGATTCTCTTCCATTGTCGTCGCCTTGCTCAGTCAATGGCAACCGTAGGCTTGTCGTACCAGGACAGCATCATCGAATTGGACGATTCCCGTCTTTTACAGTACTTCATAGTAAACAAGTATCTAAATCAATTAAATCAATTGACATTGACTATATACAAACTAAGTGAAGTATCTCTGTGAAAACAGTTGGGCGTCGTCCATGGTCAAGTGTCATGAGGTCCTCCAGCTCGCTGAGTCATCCATGCAGGTCGCCCTGTGACTTAGTCAGCGCCCTCTAGTGCGACCCGCATACGACGCATCCACGCAATCATTGACCTTTTCAATGCAGACGCGACACGGCATTTGTCCTAAAATAGAGAGAAAGGATTCTCCTGCCCTCCATCCGAAGCTTCCAGCCGAAACAGAAACAGCTGGCGCGAATAAATGGGCGCTTAAAAGAACAAAAAAACAAGTTTGGTTGAAAAGTGAGGCTCTTTTAAGCGGAGGCCGCAGCGCAGCGCAGAACGGAGAGAGAAAAAACCGGGGAAGAAGAAAAAAAGACGGCAGTTCGAATGCGCCCCGGCTAATTCAGGGAACGCCTGTGCTAGCAAATTTCAATCAATTTCAATTGCATGGGGGAGTGCTTGAGTGGGTTGGGAAGAGCCACAGTGTGGCTGGAGTGAGCACAGAGATGGGCGCGTGCCTGAATTGGTTTGATGAATGGCTGACGCGCCGGAGATTTTTGTGAGAGAAGAGGCAGCTTGGATTTGCTGCTCTTGTTAACGGCTGGCTGTGATTTGGATGGATCTTGAGTGGTAGATTTGCTTTTCACTTTTCACTTTCTTCTTTTTATCAGCTTCTTTTTTTATTTATTTATTTTTACGACAGATTAAACATGCCTCCTCGGAAGCGCACCAGAGACGACGGCGATGCTGCTGAGCCTGTTGCTAAGCGACGCTCGTCACGACAGGCGGCTGCATCAATCAAAAAAGCCGAGCAAGAGGAGCAGGTTGAGACAGAAGTGAAGAAAGCCGCGCCAGCAAAGAAGCGTGCCGTCACTGCAAAGGAATCCAAGAGCAAGAGTGACAAGGTCAACAAGACTGCAGCTACAGCGAAATCTTCTGACACAACAGAGGAAAAGAAGAAGAAGAAGCCTGCTAAAAAGAGTGCAAAGGAACAAGATGATGATGAAAAGGAAGCGAAACCATCAGCAGGTGGTGACAAAGCCAAGAGCGACGCCCAAACCTCGCGTGCCGTGTCCGAAGACCCAGACATTGACTCCATCCCGGCAGTCAACCCAGATGCGCCGCGCCATGACGGCGAGTGGTACTGGCTGATGAAGGCTGAGCCGGAGACGCGCTATGAGAACGGCATTGACGTCAGGTTCTCAATTGACGATTTGCGGGCCAAGGAGAAGCCCGAAGGATGGGATGGTGAGTTTCTTCTATGCTCTAGTAGTTGGATGATGGCAAGATGCTGATTGAGAGCTTAGGAATAAGAGCGTATGCGGCGCGCAATCACATGAGGAACATGAACCAGGGCGATAAAGCATTCTTCTACCATTCCAACTGCAAGGAGCCCGGCATCGCGGGCATCATGGAGATTGTCAAGGAGTATTCCGAAGACAGCAAGTTTCCCTCCCTCTATCACATACTCATCTTTTTGTCATCACACCCCCTCATAAGAAGCTAACACCAATCCTTCCTCACAGAAAACGCTCGTCGCCCAGGAACGCCTTACTACGACCCGCAATCCTCAAAGGACAATGTCCGCTGGAGCCTGGTCCACGTCGAGTTCAGAAAGAAGTTCGCCGTGCCGATTGGTCTCAAGGAGCTGCGCGAGTTGGGCAAGCCGGGTGGCCCGTTGGAGAACATGCAGATGCTGAAGCAGAGCCGGTTGAGCGTGAGCAGGGTCAGTGCAGAGGAGTGGAAGGCCCTTTGTGAGATTGCAGATAAAAAGGCCGAGGAAGCCGGACTTGAGCATGAGACAACCAAGTTGGTCAAATGAGCTTTGGGCTTGGATTTTGAGTTTTTGATGGAATGATGATTGTGAAAGGAGTTGAGTTGAGCGTCTAATAGAGGATGAACCATGAGGACAAAAAAGTACGGTGAAGTGAAAACTTTTGACCGTCTTTTCAGGTTGCTCATGGGCAATATCGTGTGTTCTAGCAAGTGGATTTTGATATGCTGAGCGACACGTTGGCAGTTTTTTTTTTTCTTTCTTTCTTTACAGCTGTAACATTACCTTAATACGAAGAGAACTTCACGAAACACTACGGCCTGCATATCTCTCTCAAGACAGGAGGCGAGCACGCCTATTACGCACTTTTGCTGACTCACATCTCATCATTTGCCGCAATTTTTCGTCTTCAGACCGCCAAAGTGAAAAAAAAAAAAAAAAAAAAAAAAAAGCCTTTGCATGGTGCATATCCCGTTGACAATGCGTGTCCTCTCAGACTCAGCCCCTCTTTCAGACGCAGTCGTACAGATTCGTTTTAACCCCTCCAGAAACCAGTCATACGCATCAAATATTAGACTGCCTCGGATTAAGCTAGATGGAATTGCGTTTGGTAGCACGGAGTCGGGTGTAGTCGGCTTCTCCTTCGTTGCATAGAGGCAGAGCTTGGGAGATGGCAAAAAGAGAGGCGAGAGTAGTCTGGTGGATGGTCTGAATAGCTTCATCCGACGGCTCTTTGCGTGGAGTCCCGGAGATTCTCATGGAAAGGTGTGCTTTGTGCATTTGTTTGACTTGAATAGTTGATGGGTCGCACGCACGGTAGTCAGTCCAGTGTGAATGGCCAACGGCTTCACGAGATAATCCATCACGTCATGCTGCTTCATGCGTTGTCCGAAGTTGGCTGTGATGGGGGAAGAGTATGAACATCCCGATAGGAGGAGTCATGTCCAGTTTGAAGTGAGGGGGCGAACTTGTATGGCGAGTGAGCCTGAAGAGGTCAAATGATGAAGGCGTGTTGAGAATCGGTGCTATCATTGGGTGACCAGTTGCCTTCAGCAATGTAGCCGTTGAGTGTCTCATGGTCTCGCGATATGGCTCAGCCCATTGGTTCAGAGGCACTCATGATCCAACATTCGACCATTGGATAGTCATGTAAGCGTTAGGGAACATCAGGTTATCGTCCCTTGCGTATGCTTTGGAAGGCCGGCCCCTTTGCTTAGGGGTATGAAATGCAATCGAGATCCAAGGTTGGTTTTAGCTGAAAATCTGCGAGATCTTGCTTTAGATATAGTCCACTAGATCTGTCATCGAGCAGCAAGGGCAGATCCCGCGATGATAGCCAAAATAGCCGATGAAGCTTCCCGTCATCCCTCATCACCAGCATCGGCCTTTGGCGTAGGGATCGATCATCCCTGGTGTCGGTATGTACATAGACACTTTCCTTTCACCCCAACCTTGTCTAACATCAGTTCGAGTAGCACGTCTCTTATCTTTCATTCGTTCTCCATTTCGGTTAGTCCTTGGGTTGCTCAAACGCTAAATTTTGACATCAGGTTGGATCATCCAAAGCCCATCTTTTATTGTTTAAGCGGCCAATGAACACTCACCACATCGGCGCCTATTGTACACCGCAGCCAACTTCATTGCAGCTTGTGTCTCCTGGGCACTCAGCTTCGCCTGCCCCAGTCCCAGTCCCAGTCCCAGTCCCAGCGCAAGCTTGCAGGGGAATAAAAACAATAGATGTAGCTGTATCATGACGTCCGTGTGGCATGGACTGCTGCGGAAAAGAGAGCAGATAGTGGAGACTTGATAATTCAACACCATTCCATGATTAGCCCGGCAGAGCAAGTCGATACCTCTAAAGAGAAGTGGTCTGATGCTAGGTAGCTCACCGAGACTTGGGCTGTGAATGGCTGCATATCCATCACGGTGGAAGCCCTATAGTTGGGTGTGACAGCATGACAGAGTAGACTAGGAGATGGGCAAATTGAATACCGTCCTGAAAACGGATATGGGATTCATCCTTCGCCACTGACACAGCTTAACCGGACATGACCGGCCCTCTAGCTTCATACGCAAGACAGTTGAATATCGAGGCGGTCAGTGGATATGAGTTGCTAAGAATTATATCAATAATTATTCTTGACATTTTGGCAATGGGAGCGTTACTGTTTCAATGTTGCGCTGAGAAGCGCATAGATTAAGCAACTTATCTGTTTGTCCCGCCTTTTGTCTCTTTTCATCTCTCCTTATGTGATTTAGGTGTGATATCTTCCTTGTCGACTTATCACTTCACGCATTGCTATCTCAGACCGCCCCCAAGCTCGTTTAACAGAAGGTGATACAGCCCCATCCACGAGGCCCCGCAATGCTTAAAACCACAAGAGATTTATTGTTGCACAGATTTTTGAGTGAGCATACCTGGTTGGGAATTGCCTCTTCAGAAGGCAGAGCTGTGGCCACCGCATTCAACGAAGGATAACTGCGCCTGAGAAGGCTTGGTGAGCTTGGTGCCACTTTGGGTAACCTCGCGCGGAGATGCGTAAATGGCGGTCGGGTGTTGGGTTGAAGAATTTGAGGAGGCATGTGAAGCTCTCGCAGCTTATATTGATGCTTCAAATGGTTTATATTCGCCCCATACTCCCTCCGAAGCCTTTATGTTGTAGTCGAGCAGATAATTCAGCCGCCTACCTCATATAAACTTACCCAGAACAAGACAGCCGGCTTCTCACATAACCTCTCACACACTTCCCCTTCAAAGAGAGAAGATGGCCGTCGTCAAGGTCGCAAACAAGTCTATAGACGTAGCCCGTCACCTCATTCCCAAGGCGCGTGCTGCCTCAACATCAGCGTTGATTGCGCAGACAGCCTCAAGTCCTAACATGCCCCCAGGCTTCACAGCCAAGGTCGGAAGGCTAGAGACTTTTATCCTGCCTGAAAAGGTTTCAGGGTCTGTGTCCGACAAGGCCATCGCAGATGCCATGATTGGCGCCTGGCGCAGGGACGGCATTCTGCAGATTGGCATGTCCAAGTCACAGCAGAGACTCTACCAAGCCGCCAACGCAGCAAGCAGGCGCTTCTTCGCTCAGCCACATGCGTCGAAACAGGCCTGTGTAGACGACATGAGCTACTCAGGATACATTGCCTCCGGTGAGGAGATCACTGACGGAATTGCCGACTACTCAGAGATCTTCACCGTGACCAAGGATCTTCCACACACTGACCAGAGAGTCGCTCAAGGCTGGCCTTGCCATGGCCCTTGCCCCTGGCTGGATCAGGATATGAAAGCCATCATGAGCAATTACATGGATGACTTGGCTGTATCAGGAGAGAAACTCCTTCAGCTGATCGAAATGGGACTGGATGTCCCCACAGGATCTCTTACGAGATACACAAAGGATGGGTGGCACCACATGCGTGTCCTAAGGTAGGTAGCCATACAGTCCCTCATCTTGATTGAGATGGTGTAGCCGTAACTGATTGGGCAACCAAATAGGTTTCCGCAGAACAATAGAACCAATGGCAAAGGCAAAAAGGGACGAGGTATTGGCTCCCACACAGACTACGGCTTGCTTGTCATTGCGGCTCAGGATGACGTTGGAGGTATGTAGCTCTCACCACACACCTGTCGATCTGCAGATCTAACGAGACATGCTCCAGGACTTTTTGTGCGGCCACCTCATGAAAATGAACAGTTCTCCAATTGGGAAAAGAGTTCAGCTGGACTACGGGAAAATGAGGCAGGATGGGTGTATGTGCCTCCCGTTGATGGGACGTTTACAGTCTTTCCAGGTGAGCTACCTTGACGAATCCTCTTCGAGAGAAGTCGTAGCTCACGAATTCCGTCTCAGGTGATATGATGCAGTACATGACCAATAATCTTCTGCAGTCAACACCACATAAAGTTGGGCTCAACGTTCGTGAACGATTCGCATTTGCGTACTTTCATGAGCCCAACTTTCGTTCCGTAGTACGGCCGCTGCCAGGTTACAATGCTGGACAATCGCCAATCGAGGGAATCCATTACGGCACGCATTTCACCAACATGTTTCTAAGGAATTATCCCGACCGCGTCACCACCGCTCGGCTTCGAGAGGAGGGCCGATATCAGCTACTTGGGTTGGAGGAGCTGCGGGATGATGATGGCGTACTATGAGATGGTGTGTGTCACGGTAGCTAGATGGTTGGTCGGCGCAGCTGCTTTTCTTTGTTTTGGTAGCAATTGATACCTCTTGTGATTTTATTGCAGATGAAAACAAACATGAGCCTTTGAAAATACATGTAGAGTAGCAATCGGCGGCGCGTACTCGGATGTGTATCTCGGCTTTATGCCGCCAAGTTGCATCAGATGCGGCAGACGATCCAGTGAATGTAACCTGGCCCCATATTAGTGCGCCAAAAGCTACGAGATATCAGATGCAGGATAAGATCCGCATTTTAGTTGGATAGATGGCCTCGTCGAATTCTTATCAGAAGATTCCAGACATCAATACTATAACCAGATACTCTAGGATGAGTGTCGGATAAATGAGAAATAAGCATGACGTTGTATCAGCAATCCTACGCCAGCGGATTATGTTGCATCAAGGATCTAACATCCTCCGGGTTAACGGCCGAGAAGGCTCGGAGTTTTGCGTTAAGTAAGCGGTAATTTGTATGAGGCATAGCGGCGTAATCATTGCTCCAAGGAATGCTGTAATTGCTTACCTAGGTACTAGGCAGTCAGTTGCGAGCATCGTTAACCGTTGAAGATCAACAAGCCACGATTTGCCAACGGTTGTCAGCGGCAAGCACGAACCAATGATGGAATGAATATGATATCCTTCGACGTATCGCAAGCAATACAGTAGTCAAACGCCTTGCCACCTCACCGCATGTTGAATTCGGACAAATCTTGGCGATAATTGGTGCGCTGACACTGCCAACATCGTTTTCTCCTCAGAGTAGACACATAACATTGGTGCTCGTAATACTGTCACTTTCTGCAAGGTGGCAATGCAACATACCACTCTAGCTATGCAACTGTCATGCCAGGCCCGCATCAACGAGTTACTATTACTCGTACTGTTTGCGCAGAGGAGGAGGTGCTGCATGAAGCGGCATCGCGGATGCTCGTGCCTGTTCTCGTGCAGCTTTCGCCCGGCCGGTGGGGGATGAGACCTTCTGTTCAAGGCTGAGCAAACTGATGAGTCGGTTCACAACAATTGACTTCTCGTCCATCGCTCACGTCTTCTTTGCATCTCCAGCCTGGTAAAATGCTACAGTAGGATCCCAGCGGAATCCACCGAGCCTATCCGTCCATGCTTAGGTATAGACCAGGGAGGCCGTGCGGGTCTCGGGCCCGCCGTTGGGCGTAGACGAAGGGCTAGCAGCGACTTAAGTAGAAGGCTATGAGCCGTCGATATAAAACTGAGCTTCCAGGACGAACAAAAGATGCGCTTCTCTCGGGCTGTTCGTTTGGCCGGTCGAGCTGTAAGTCGTGTCTCTCGGTGCATCTGGCGGTACAAGTTGAAGCCAGCAATCACAGAGTTCGGGCGATCTCAAGCAGCCCAGAAACGCCACGTGCCGCCAACCTTGTGCCTGCGTGCCTTATCGGGTTCGTACTCGTATATCGTTCGGTCGCTCGGTCCTAGGACCAAAAAAAAAGGGCCCCGCAAAAAAAGAAACACCACCCGACTACGAGTACTACTCGTACACTAATAATTTCAATTTCATCATCCACCATTTTTCGAGCCAACCGCAACTGTAACACTGGACAAATCAGATCTCACGATTGGGCTGCCGCTTTGCTCTGATTTGGCAACGTCGTGTCGAGCGCCCCACGATCAACCGACTGGATTCGCTTTAGGCCAAGCGCAGACCCCAAATTTATTACCTGATTAGGTGGCCCGTTTTGGAGAATTAATTTGCACTGGTTCCTATCAGCATTCTCTGGGGCTCTTTTGCTCTTTGCCATCAGGGGAGCTTCAGTGGCCGATATTTTCCCTGCTCGCCGCTACTTATTTCTCTCGACGTTAAAGAAAGGGGAACGCTGCCCGCTTCGTTCTTTTCCTCTCACCATCTGCTGAGTCCTGGAGGCAGACTAGGTGCTGTGGCTGAGCGCTTCCCACGCCCTCGTCATTCTTAGTCGAACCTGATCATCATCAATTGCTGTCAGCATCCTATTGTTCTTGAGGCGCCGCCCACCACACCGAATACGGCAATCCCCTCAACGAGGCTGGCTCTGTGCTTTCAACAGCAGGCCAAACGTCCGTGAGTCCAATCCCCCGGCTTTCCCCAGGCCTCCTGTCCCTATATATCTGTGCCCATGCCGCCCAGCTTCCCCTCCCGTCACTGCGAGATCTTGATAACTGTTCTACCGTACTGCGAGATGCTAACAAGATCTTGTGGGTCACAGACCGCACAAAGGTAGTCGACATCGTACGATAGACCTGCCAATGGAATAGCTGCAAGTCGACAACGAAAGTACCTCTTCTATCCATCGACATGAATCCCTCCACGTTGCTCCCCCGCCGCTTTCGCGGGGAGCCTGCTCCAAGCCAAGCTGCTGCCCCCTCGCGCCTCAACAAGAGGCTCACGCCGCTGATCCAGTTCCTGGCCAAGCTCGCTACCTCTCATCCTATACAAACCATTAGTGTCATTGCTCTCTTGGCCAGCACCTCCTACGTTGGCCTGCTGCAAGAGACTCTGATGGGTGGTGCTGCCAGTGTGAGCAAGGCAGAATGGACATCGCTAGCGGAAGGCAGCAGAGATTTGATAGCTGGTCCCCAGACCGGCTGGGAATGGCAAAACGTAGAGCAGAGCTCTGGTCTCTCTGATGAAGCTGACCACCTTGCCCTCCTGACACTTGTCTTCCCCGAGATCGTCTCTACGGATGCGGTTGTTGCTGCTCCTGATTCTCATGCTGTGCCCACTCCCTCAAACCTCTCCATCAATGCCCTTCCAGCCACGATCAATTCCTTTGCTGCATATGCGCGTGACAGTGTTTTGGCTTATTCTGTTCCTTACGAGCAGGCACCAGAGTTCATCGCCGCTGCGCAAGAGATTCCTCTCGAGAATGCCCAGGAGGTTGAGACTCAGCATGGCCGTGAGAAGAAGATGTGGATCATGAAGGCTGCCAAGGTCAATGCCGGAAACAACCTCGTGCTGTGGGTTCGCAATTCTTGGTCCAAGTTCCTCGACCTGTTGAAGAACGCTGGCGCACTGGACATTACCATCATGGTCCTTGGCTACCTGGCCATGCATATCACTTTTGTTTCTCTCTTCTTGTCTATGCGTCGCCTTGGTTCCAACTTTTGGCTGGGCACCACCACGCTCTTCTCCTCTATTTTTGCTTTCCTTTTCGGCTTGGCCGTTACCACCAGCCTTGGTATTCCCATTAGCGTTCTTCTCCTCTCCGAAGGTCTCCCCTTCTTGGTCGTTACCATTGGTTTTGAGAAGAACATTGTCCTCACCAAGGCTGTGCTGAGCCACGCTATCGAGCACCGAGCCCAGGAGACGAAGAAGGGAAAGCAGGTCGAGCAGGAAAATGTCATCTCATATGCCGTTCAGGCTGCCATCAAGGAAAAGGGCTACGATATCATCTGTGACTATGCCATTGAGATTTCCATCCTTAGTCTTGGTGCTGCCTCTGGCGTTCAGGGTGGTCTCCAGCAGTTCTGTTTCCTGGCCGCCTGGATTCTCTTCTTCGACTGCATTCTGCTCTTCACTTTCTACACCGCCATCCTGAGCATCAAGCTCGTCATCAACCGCATCAAGCGACACGTTGAGATGCGCATGGTCTTGGAAGCTGATGGCGTTAGCCGCCGTGTCGCGGAGAATGCCGCCACAAGTGCTGATGGAACCAACTCCAAGGAGGCTTCGCTATTTGGCGGAAGTGTCAAGAGCAGCAGTGTTCCCAAGTTCAAGGGCCTGATGGTTTCCGGTTTCATTTTGGTCAACCTCATCAACGTCGTCACCATTCTGTTCCGTAACGGCGCTTCCTTTTCCAACATTCGTTTAATGGTTGGCGGGCTCAGCGGTGTTGTTACTACGCCTGCCATTGATCCGTTCAAGGTCGCATCCAACGGTCTCGATGCCATTTTGGAGATTGCCAAGGCCAAGGGCTCTGCCGTTCTTGTTAGCATCGTCACACCCATCAAGTATGAGCTCGAGTACCCTTCGGTCCACTACGCCCTGCCTTCAGCTACTGCACCATCTGAGGACAAACTCTTTGGTGTCGGTGGCCGCGTTGTTGGAGGTCTTCTCAGCAGCTTGGAGGACCCTGTGCTCTCAAAGTGGATCGTGGCCGCTCTCGCCCTCAGCGTCGGTCTCAATGGCTACCTCTTCAATGCGGCCAGGTGGACCATCAAGGACCCCAACACTCCAGACCACCAAATTGACCGCAATGACCTTGCTCGTGCCCAGCGCTTCAACGATACTCCTACCGCTACTTTGCCTCTTGGCGAATACGTGCCACCAACCCCTCAGCAGACTCAGCCGGCTACTCCTGCCATTACGGATGACGAGAGTGATACCGAGGAGAAGGCGAAGCCCAAGGTCGAGGTTGAGAACCGTAGCATGGCCGTCTTGGAGAAGATGCTTGCTGAGAAGCGCATCACCGAAATGACGGACGAAGAGGTTGTCGAGCTGTCGATGCGCGGCAAGATCCCTGGTTATGCTCTCGAAAAGACTCTCAAGAACTTCACTCGTGCCGTCAAGGTTCGCAGGACCATCATCTCTCGCACCCGCGCCACCTCTGAGATCACCAGTGTTTTGGAGAACTCTAAGCTACCCTACAGGCACTATGACTGGGAGCGTGTGTTTGGCGCTTGCTGCGAGAACGTCATCGGTTATATGCCCATCCCTGTCGGTGTTGCTGGTCCTCTTGTCATTGATGGACAGAGCTTCTTCATCCCCATGGCCACCACTGAGGGTGTCCTTGTCGCCAGCACTAGCCGAGGCTGCAAGGCCATCAACTCTGGAGGCGGTGCTGTAACTGTTCTGACTGCTGATGGTATGACCCGTGGACCCGTTGTTAGCTTCGACACTCTGGACCGTGCCGGTGCCGCCAAGCTGTGGCTTGACTCTGAAGAGGGTCAGAACACGATGAAGGCCGCTTTCAACTCGACCAGCCGATTTGCCCGACTACAGACGATGAAGACTGCCATTGCCGGCACCAACCTGTACATCCGCTTCAAGACTACCACTGGTGACGCCATGGGCATGAACATGATCTCCAAGGGCTGCGAGCACGCTCTCAACGTAATGCAAAACGAGGCAGGCTTTGATGACATGATTATTGTCTCTCTCTCTGGTAACTACTGTATGGATAAGAAGCCGGCTGCTATCAACTGGATTGAGGGCCGTGGCAAGAGCGTTGTTGCTGAGGCCATCATCCCTGGCGAAGTTGTCCGAAGTGTCCTTAAGACGGATGTCGATTCTCTGGTTGAGCTCAACACGGCCAAGAACATGATTGGATCTGCCATGGCTGGTTCGATGGGTGGTTTCAACGCCCACGCCGCCAACATTGTTGCTGCTATGTTCCTCGCCACTGGTCAGGATCCCGCCCAAGTCGTCGAGAGCGCCAACTGTATCACCATTATGAAGAAGTAAGTGTCTTACTTTTATGTCTTCCTCTTCCATTTTAACAGGTATGCTAACCATCATCCAGTCTCCGTGGCTCTCTCCAAATCTCCGTCTCCATGCCTTCTCTGGAAGTCGGCACTCTCGGCGGTGGCACCATTCTGGACCCGCAAGGCTCCATGCTTGAGCTGCTCGGCGTTCGAGGATCTCATCCCACCAACCCTGGAGACAACGCCCGCCGACTTGCCCGCATCATTGCCGCGGCTGTCCTGGCTGGTGAACTGTCCCTCTGCAGTGCTCTCGCTGCCGGCCACTTGGTCAAGGCTCACATGGCGCACAACCGAAGTGCCGCGCCTTCAGGGGCCCCCTCAAGGGCTATGACCCCCGCCCCATCGTCAGTATCCTTGGCCATGTCCAACGGATCTGCGACCCGGAGGTGAATGATGATGAATGGTTTTTTCATGTTGGGTAATGTCAAAGAAATCAAGCGCAGTAAAAAAAAAAAAGGTCGCGCGGCCAGGTGTTGGTATTAACGGAGTTTCTTTTTTTGGGAAGATATGGGCTCAGGGCAATGCAAACGGCATGGCTCTATAGACGATATATGTGCGAGATATATAGTTGCGAAGGGGGGGCGAATAGCATTGCTTCGATATCCACGGATAGCCGACTGTTTAATCAATCTGTACTCTGTATCGTTTTGAAGGTTTATACTTGGGTTAGCAAAGAAAGTAATACGCATCATTGATGGCGACTTTGTAAGACGAATAATCTGGTGGCTTCTTCTTCTGTGTAATTACCTTGATCGCTGATTGTAGCATTTGGCTTATTAGCCGATGTCAGTGAGATAAGCCACTGATCGCCGAGGTGGGGCCGATCCAGGCACCGTGATTAAAGCATCACTGAATATGTAACTCAGAGTTGCTTTACCTCATTTCTCTCTCTCAACGCAGCTCCAGCTTCATTTCGGCATTCCGTTTTATTTCTGATATTAATTGGTTCGCGCGTCACCATGACTGTCGATTTGGAGTTCAAACCCGCGCTCATTATCGTTGATTTCCAGGAGGATTTCTGCCCGCCAGTGAGTTGGTCTTTTCATTAGCTTCACATGCCATCTCGAGTGAGAGCATCATCTCTCTATCAGATCTGTCATGAAATTCTCCCAATACAATACCTGTTTTAGTATCTTTACTTTTACTCATTCATCTTCACAGAATGGCTCTCTCGCAGTCCCCGAAGGCCGCGACATCGCCCCCGTCGTAAACTCCCTCCTCTCACTCCCCTTCACCATCAAAATCGCCACCCGCGACAGCCATCCCCAGAACCACATCTCCTTCGCCGAAAACCATCCTGGCGCCGTCCCTCTGAAATCGTACCACACCATCGTCCACCCCACAGATCCAACAAAGAGCGACACCACGCTCCTGTGGCCAACGCACTGCGTTCAAGGGACCACGGGTTCAGCCCTCGTACCCGAGCTGGACGCTGCAAAGGTTGATGTCGTGGTGGACAAGGGAATAGATGCAAGGGTGGAAATGTACTCTGCGTTTTACGATCCCATGAGGGTGAGTGTGAGTGAGCTGGGGGAGAAGCTGAGGGAGAAGGGCGTGACGGATGTCTTTGTGGTTGGGCTGGCGGCGGATTTTTGCGTGCGGGCGACGGCGGAGTCGGCGGTGGAGGAAGGGTATAGGACATATATCGTAGAGGAGGGCACGAGGGCTGTGATGCGGGAGACGTGGGAGGCGGAGGGGAAGAAGGCGGTTGAAGGGAAGGGCGTGAGGATTGTGAGCGTGGATGGGGAGGAGGTTGCGAGGGTGCGGGAGTTGGCATGATGCTGGAGTTGGTGAGAGTGTGAGGGTTCATCTTCGTCTCGATCTCGTTGTGATCGAGCTGGACAATGAATGACGTTTAATGATATGAGGCAACAAGGTACAGCCGCGAGTTATTTTGAACCGAAGCAGAGGATTCTTACATAGGTAATACAATCTAGTCTTGAGAAAATCATCCATCGCTTTCCATTATCATATTCATGCACAGCCTCTAATGCAACGCCTTGCATAACAATAAGTAGAGTTACAATTCTCATCGTTTTGCTAACGAAATGGCCCATGAGACAGACATCATCCTGCCATCTCTACATCACTTCGACTCCGGCAGCTCTGGTGTCCTCTTCCGCCGACGGACAGTCTTGTGAATGCGCGGCTGCTTCCCCACGCGCCACTTGCTATGCCTGTCGCAACCTCTCACCCTACGACGCCTACATCGTTGCCTGTTAGTGATGGATCGGTGTCGACGAGCCTGTTAATACATACATCAGGATGTGTCCCATTTCAAGGTCCTCATCAAAAGCTTCTGAATTTATGGGATGGGATTCATTGCTAGCCGGGGCGTCTTTTGGCTTGACGAGAGCCACGTCAGTCTGGCTTAATCCCGCCAAACTAGGAGCCATGTCATGGCTTGAGAAAGACGTCATGGTAAGCAGTGCTGAGGCAGCGTCGTTGATATCATGTGCTCTAATGGGTTCCGGCGACGCGTCGGAAGGTGTAGATGTCGCTGTTGTCGTCGTCGATCCCTGACAGCCTCTATCGTCGCAGTCTGTCACTGTGCCGCGAGTGGCTTCCGCCTGGGACACATCGCTTTCAACGTTCTGTATAATGCCTGGGAGGTATCTCCTGACAGTCGCCTTATTTATTCCCAAGGGATGCATGCCAAGGGGAAAGCGCTCGTGATAGTGCTCTTCCGCCAAATAGCGTTCTAGGCGAAGTACCGAGAGCGATGAAGATTCAGCACCATCATCCGAGGGAAGTGTGCCAGCAAATGGGTCCTCTACAGTGTACGTGTTAGGCAAATCGAGAGGCATCATTAAGAATAGCCCTGAAGTCACCGGGCCGTACACCTCTCTCTGTGGATGGCGTGTAGTGTAAAGATCGGACCTGCTTATGCCAATTACCAGAATTGCAGTTAGAAAATGACTTCTAGAGAAAACGGAACGTCAGAGACACAAACTTACCTTGAAATCAGTCCGATCTCATCATCCAAGCTAATGCTGCTGCCACGGCTTGGTTGGCCATCTTGCGGTATCTGGTTCTCCATGCTAAACAAAGTGTAGATGGACGGCTCAAAAGTCGAAAACCAGTCTTCAGCTCGAAAACCCCGGATGAAATAGAGATAGAACTTGGGAAGTGACTCTTGCAGGGCCTTCGGTCTCCTATTTTAAATAAATCACTGGGCTACCCGAACAAAACGCGGCAGAGAGACAATGTCTAGCACATTGTATGCCCATACCATGCAGCACGGCCCGCGAACCACCCACACGCCTTACCCAGGAACCTGGAACTGATACAACATCAACCAGCATCGAAAATCACGGCGTTGCATTGACATGCCAATGTACACGCCCCCTCTTTGTTCACCGGTCTCGTAGAAATGCTGCAAAGTTCCTATTTTCCAGTGTTGACACCCCCCAGTTTCCAGCTACTAAGAAGCAGCCACAAGGGGCCCCGGGAGAAAGCAAACCGGGCGTGGGGGGTGCGGAAATCATCCAATCCGGAATCGACTCATTAATATTTCTTTTTCCTTTCTTTTTCTCATATTGTTTCTTTTCTTTTTGCCCCTCTCCTTTTCTTTTTCTCCTTTTGCTTTAGTATTCCTCTTTTTTTTCCCTCATCGCAATTTTCTCATGGTCCTGTTTCCCCGATCCTTTTCTCGCTCGACAAGAGGCGTACACTAGCCCGTCGTGTTTTCTATCGGCAGGGAGAGAGTGGTTGGGAGTCTGTTTGTTACTCGGGGAAACGGCAGGCGGACGCGAAGAAGAGAGCCGAAACGGGGATAGTAATTTCGCCATGCCCTATAGAGGCCAGGCACTGCAGAGAGCCGAGAGGTATGGGCGAGTCCAGGTCTGTCCATAGGATCGAGCGCGTAACTGCAGCTGATCTCGAGCATGTCGGCGGTTGCTCATCCGCAGCGTCGCCCGACATCCCAATCATGCTCATTTTGCCGGTGTCCCAGGGCGATGGATGCACTAATGCATCTCTTGTTTCCAACGGCTGCAACCCGCAAAGCGTCGAGGGGTTATAAAGGAAACCGGTCTACCGGTTCCGTCGTGTTTTGCAGGTAACAACACGTCTGTATGGATGGACGCCTTGACTATATCCCATATTAGAAATAGCTGCAGGACGCTAATACCAATGGTTGCTGGCAGCTGAGGAACGGAACGAGGTCCGATGACCATGCAAAGATATAAATGGGTCGAGGGGCGGTTTCGCATTTAAACACAACCCGGACTCTACTGTACAGCATTTAATATCCGTTTTGGCGTGTACTCGCATCTCTCGGTCCCTGCTGCAAGATCTCTGCCCTGGCTGAGGAGGGAGGGACGGATGCTGGACCGCTGGCTCCGCGGACACATGGATGGCATTTTGGCAGGCTGAGAAGGTTTCGAAGCGGAGGAACTTGGCGCCAAGATTGGAGCATCGCATCGCATCATCCATCTGTATCTGTATCTTCATGACGATTTGTGTGGCCAACCGAGAAGCTGTGCTGTTGTTTGCCGGGAGACTCTCTCTATACTAGCTTACTCGTCGCTCTGGTCGGGTTACCTGTGCGCTCACTCACCTCGTAAAGCCGACGATAAAATGAATCCGCGCCGAGAGGGGAAAGACGGAGACGACTCCGTACTAACAACCAACAAAAACTTCCGGGAAGCTGATTTGACGGATCGGTCCAGGGTCGCGTTACCCGTGGCTGCTTAAGATCCCGGCCGCTTGGTCGGCTCCAAGCTGGCGGTATTCACCGTTGGACATCATCTTGAGTTTGTGGCAGTGGCATTGCTATCAGGCTGCGGGCCGTTATTACTATCGCCACCCTCCCCTGGGATGTCTGCTCTACCGTAAATGAAATGTGAAATGTGATTTCCAAGTAGGCGAGTGCCAATCCAATGCCATAAGTAGACGGGTGCAGCTCGGCCAAATGATCCTGGACGTCGGCTGAAGTTGAACAAATACTGTAGCTGAGGAAAAAGAAAAGAAGAAAAAACAAAGAGACAGAATCTTCAGACAGACACAGGGAACAGACGGCCCCCAATCACCGAATGTAGAGAATATAGACGACTCGGCCAATTACACCATCATCAACTGGCGACGATATCACATCTCAAAGACTCTGGCATCGTGGGGGAACCGCACGTGCTGTGTATACGGTGCACCCATATCTGCGACTGCTCTGAGGCGGCCAGCTATGTTGCAGGTCACATAATTCCTGTCTCAAGCCACATTGATGCCTGACCTGCTGGGGATGTGATGCTTGCGAAGCTGAATTGACGGATTTGATGACGTTGGTGGCCCATCCAGTTGGGACAGGCGACAGGATTCATGCCATCTGCATGGCAATAAGGTTCTTGGAAGAATCCGCGAAGGATCTATGCATGTATGGAAAGATTGGAGTTGGTGTGGCTGGAACTCGGGATATTCTCGACGGTCTGATATTGGGCCTGGCTCATTCTAGGCGCCCATTGTCCAGGTGAGGAAAGGATGTGCGTCAACCACGCTTGTACACGTACGTTAGTTGCTGCAGGCAGAAATGGAAGAAGGATAGCCTGTGCGGATTCATATGCCTTTGTTTCACTATCAATAAATTAGCATTCTAGAAGCAAAAATGTCGACGCCTTGTTTAGTATGTGGGCGTGACCATAACGAATGAGGCAAAAGTTCCGACACAAGAACCCCTTCAACCTGATTAGTGACCGCTTTTTCAGGTTGCTGAGCCACATCAGCATGGTGACAATCTCCAGAATCTCACAGGTGGAGATATTTGTGCTGAGAGTTGCTGTGTGTCAGAATAAAGTCTGGGGAAGGCAGAGAAAAGAGGCTTCTAGAACAGTTTCACTACGCCTGTTACCCTAGAGCCCGTTTGGGAGCTTAGCGGGCAGGGGTCTCCACACCTTTTGATCACCACAAGGCGCGGGAAGCATTTTGACGCCATCGAGAAGTGTGATGAGATAAGCTTGTCAAGGCAGCAGCAAGGCAGCAGTTTTGTTGCCGAGTTTCTTCTGTTTGCTGTGCTTTTAGAATAAAAAGGGTGGCATTGTCTGTCTTCAATTGTATTGTTGTTGAGCAGTCGAGACTCAATTCAACCCCGCAGATAGAGAGAGAGAGAGGGAAACATCACCCCCCAAAAATGGCCGCCTTATCGACAACCCTCCCCCTGACCCGCGACTCCGTCTTCTGGGCGCACAAAGTCGTCAAGAATCATGTGCATCGCACCCCAGTGGTGACCAATCAGACGCTTTCCGAGCTTGCATCGACTCCAAGGACGGCTGAAGACCTACAGGGCACTCGATTCGCCGGCCGCACGCCTGCAAAGCCCGTGCTGAGGCTGTGGTTCAAGTGCGAGAACTTGCAGCGCATCGGAGCCTTCAAGGTGCGCGGAGCGTTTTATGCGCTTCACAAACTGGCTGAGGAGCCGGGATGGCTGGAGGGAGGTGGAAAGGAAAAGGGCGTGGTGACGCATAGCTCTGGTAAGATGATCTCCTGTCTTGGTCTCATTACGATCGATCCTTGTGTCGAGCATGGGTATTATCTGGGGCGGAACTCGAGATTCACTTTTATTAGCATCTATTATCTCAGATTAAGACAGTCACTTACATACAAACTACAGGCAATCATGCACAGGCTCTCGCTCTCGCAGCCAGGGAAAACGGCATCAAGGCTCACATCGTGATGCCCGAAATCTCCATCCCGGCCAAGATTGCCGCCACAAAGGGCTATGGCGCCAACGTAGTCTTCAGTGGCAGCACCAGTGTTGAGCGTGAGGCTGTCACCGAAAAGGTCATTGCTGAGACCGGCGCACGGCTAGTTCCACCTTATGACCACCCCGATATCATGCTTGGCCAGGGTACCCTCGGGCTGGAATTGCAAGACCAAGTAGAGAGCAGCATTGCCTCGTCGGTCAATTCTGCTGGGCAGGCCCTTAGGGGTGTGTATGCGGCCGCGGCGAACAAGACAAAGGGAAATGTGCAAGGGCTCGATGCCATCATCACTCCATGCGGCGGCGGAGGCATGCTCTCCGGTGTGGCGCTGAGCTGCGAGGGCACAGGCATCCGTGTCTTTGGAGCTGAGCCTTCGTTTCAGGGAGCTGACGATGCCAAGCGGGGATATGAGTCGGGCGAACGCATCCCAGCCGTGTCTTCGCTCACTGTTGCCGACGGACTACGAACTCCAGTGGGTGTGCACCCCTGGAGTGTCATCTACGAACGACGTTTAGTGAGCGGCATGTTTAGCGTAACGGATGAAGAGATTCTCAAGACAATGAAGCTTGTATATGAGCGGATGAAGCTGGTGGTCGAGCCGAGCGCATGTGTTCCGCTGGCGGTTGCGCTGTTCGATGAGGATTTCAGAAGCCTCGTGGAGAAGGAGGCTGGCGAAGAGGGATGGGACTTGGGCCTTGTGTTTAGCGGTGGAAACGTTGCTGTTGAATCACTTGGGAAACTCCTCTCTAGAGAGAAATGAGAGGCGAGATTGATGATTTATAGACAAGTTCAATGATGAAGTAGAGTAGTATGGCTTCAAAGTTGTGCTGAATGACGTCTCCCTTTACACATATACATGTACTTGGAATCCAGAGATCATGGCAGAGCGTTTAAAATGAAAATACATAACTGCTAGGGTATCACAAACTCATTATATCTTCTTCAACGCCTCGTCCATCTCCTTCCTCCACCGAGGCGCATTCCTCCTTAACGTCCAAATGCCAATATAACCGGCAACCATACAAAACAAAGCCACGGTGGTAAATACCCAGCCTACACCGATAGCGTTAATCCAGGGCGCCGCGACGATGACGCCGACACAGCTGAGAATATTGCGAACGAAATTGTTGACGGCAACACCAGCAGAGCTCTTCTTGCGTACGAATTCTGTGAGCATGGTGGTGGCAGCAGACTAATATGAGGTTAGTATGTCGACTTGACAGTAGGTGAAAAGAGGAAGCTTACAAAGACAAGCATGGATGACGCGCCAAAGATGAAGCTGCCGATGGCAGGGACAATGAAAATGACACCATAGTTGAGCGTCCATCCGTAAATCAGCAATCCAATAGGGTACATGGTATTCGCCAGCCACATGTTCTCCCTGAAGCGATCCTCAGGTAAGAGGATGAGCTTGCCATTTTCGTCGTATCGATTTGCCTTAATGGCCTGTCTGGCCATAATCTTGTCGATCCATCTGCCTCCAAAGAGGGAGGCGATAAAGTAGCCCAGGCCCGCGGGGAGATAGAGCAGCCCGACGATAATCTCGCTGTAGTTGTAAGGGGGTTGTGAGAACTTTTGCTGGATGGAAATGTTGGAGATGAAGAGCGCGCCAAAGGCAATCGCAGCGGTGAAGACGGTGATGAAGACTGGGGGGAAGCGGAGGAAGAGGAGTACACTAAGGGGATCAATGAATACTCGTTTGGCACTTGCAGCGAGTTTCCTGGTCTGAACCTTGGCGGACTCGGCGGTTGTCATGCGACGAATCGATTCAGGGGCAGGTTCTTCAACGGGTTCCTCAGCCTTCTTTCGCGCCAGCGTCTCGGGTAAGAAGAAGATCAACATGGCCAAGATGATGAACCCGTAAATTGCAAGAAACCACATGGTAGATTTCCATCCGAATCCCTGAGCCAAAGCTCCTCCCACGATGGGCGCAATCAGGGGCGCAAGCAGCGGTCCGAGGTAAAACATGCTCATGGCACGGCCTCGCTCATGAGACTCCCAGATGTCGGCAATGGTGCCGGCGCCAACCGCCTGGACGGAGGCGGAAGCTCCACCAGTGAAGATGCGGAAGACGATGAGCATGGCGATGTTGGTGGAGACTGCGGAGAGGATGGCGAAGATGAGGAAGAGGGCGAAGGAGATGATGTAGATGGAGCGGCGGCCGAATTGCTCCGAAAAGGACGACCACCAGAGGGGGAAGATGGACATGGAGATCATGTATAGGGCGACGGAGAGGTTGGCAATGTCTTCGGTGGTGTTGAGACTTTTGGTCATTTCGGGAAGAGCAGCTATAAGTCGTTAGTACAGATTTCTGTTAATCTTGGGTATTAATGTTTGCGTACGGTAAAAGATGGAGGAGCCGAGAGGAGCAGCAGCAGTTGCGAGAGCAATAGTCAAGGTGATGCCCCATTTCGTCGAGTTCTTGTAATCATAGGGACGGTCAACCTCAGGAACAACGGCGAGACGGCCCAAAAGCCCACGGCGCTGAGAGCGAGGAACGACATTGAGAGTCTTGGATCGAGTAGTTGAAGCACGGGATCTGGAGCGGCCAGCTTCTTGCCCGGTTGCGTCGCTTATGGGCTGCGCTGCCGTTGCTAAGCTGACGGTTGGGACAAGGGCGTCATGATGAGGCTCAGATTCATCCTCGAGGGTTTGATTGCGGATCGTTTTCTTTTCGTGGCTAATGTCTTGTTCTTCTGATTGCGCTGTGGTAATGGTGTCGTTGGAGGAACGAATAGACGGAGGGGAGGATGATGGGGAGCCCTCTCCCTTTTCGGGATCGGGTATTGAAGCCATCGTGAATGATATAATGTGAGAGTGATGCTGTGATGAGTATCTGGTGTTGTGACGAACAAATCGGTGTGAGACAGAGACCCCCGAGCCTTAGTCGGCGATACGAGAAAGGGGAGCACGTTATGAATAATACGTCGTCTTTCTTCTATGAAATCATATCACATGTACGATCGTGACAGCATAAAATAAACCAATCCTTAGTAAAAAGAAGAATAAAGAAAGAAAGGAGCCATCAGAATGGTTCTCATCGCCATGCATTAATACACCAAGGAAAGGAGAAGAAGAGAGCAACCTGAGCGCAGGACGGTGAGCAGCACCAGGGTATTTGAATACCAACACACGGCCAAACTTTTTTTTCCTGCAATCCCTCCTTCGATCCTACCCCATGTCGATTTCCACTTTGTTACGGCAGAAATTGCCCTTCTCCGTAACAAGTGGGCCTTTCCGGATAGGCACCGGCTCAGATTCGATGGCCGAGGTCCGCGACCCGGGACCGGGAGCTGATTAGGGGATATAGCTTAGAAGGGGAGTTGTAAGTTGTTGATGCTTGTATCACTGTCGTGTTGTCAAGATCACTTACTGCTCTGTGTTACTGTGAAACACAGCAACTTGAAGCCGGTCAGAATCATCATTATTGTCCAACAGTATACGTACTGCCATGTATACTCATATAGCCGATCTAAACAAGCCGTGAATGATGCATTCAACATGCAGGCCACCGCCGCCAAGCAGGGGCACCGGCTCGATCCTCCCGCTGGGAATTAGCCGGGCAACGAACGAGTTCTTGCAAAGATTTACCAAGTATGTGTGGGGCGAGACATGGAAATCAGACTGACGATTGGTGGAAACGACAGCAACGCCCTATTAGTCATAAACTATTGGGGTAAATAACAAGGTTTGGGGTAAATTGAATTGGGGTGAAATGGAAGTTGTTTGTGTTATTGAGCTGGGTTGAGTTGGAGGCTTTGTGGCGATTGAGTGGTTGAGGTGAGTCAGTGGTGGATTGGATCGGATATTGGTGCCTTATTGCAACGTGATTATGAGCGGATACGGATATGATAGGCGTGGTGCATGGATGCTGAGTTGTTTAACTGCAGGGCGTCGGTGACTACTGACGCCAGGATGGTTGCATTTTGGGAATCTCGGATGACTAGATTGGTGTAAGTGGGTGAACCAAACATTAACAGCAGTAACCAATTTCTAGCCAACTACAATATAACTACATGTTGTGCATGTTCATGATTTGGTTTTCAGCTAAGTCGACATTACCTCAATACCAGGAATGATGCATGATGTACTGCTCTCTCATATTATCTTCACTTAAGATACCATGGGCAAGTTACAACGCAAGCATGCACGTTCACGCATGTGGAGCCATCGCCCCCTTACGGCTAGAATTACTGCCTTTGGCAGTTCATCCCAGTATTGACTAACACTACAGCTCAGAAGAGCCGGCCTTTTGTTCGAGTTTCACATCGATTATGGACTAGACAGGTTATCTTGATGCATGATGCTATGGATCTACTGCTTTTGAGAATCCTCCGGGGTGCTTGTGAGGTGGTGCGCCGACATCGGACTTATAAGTGATGCATAGATCTCTATCTTGAATAGTCTTGTTCGTATTCTATTCAGATGTTGAACTAATGCAATCCTACTGCAGCCACCGCTGCCGTGGTTGTACCAATCTGTAACCTGCGTAGCGCTTCCATATGTCATAATTAAATCTTGGAAGGTATGTGGTATATATCCACCTACAAGGTAATGTACGCATTGTGAAAGTACATTTGTCAAAACACGGGGATGATCGAGAAGTTGTACGGTACAGGGAGGTATTCTAGAGAAGAAGACTCAATTGAACGCTACCATAGTTACGATTCATTTCTAGTGTTTCCTTGAGCAAGCTAAGGCGAGAAATGGCATTGCCTGATAGATGATAGCCGTGGAAATGGCGACTTTTGACACCAGTCAAGAATATTTCGACACGATCGATTAGAGTCATGGGCACCAAGATGAAGCTCAAAAAGGAATTAACAGGTCCTTCAACGACGGGAAAAGACGATTAAGAGGCGGTGAATGAGGCTGGCCATGTCAAACCTCCGCTCAACTATCACCAGCTAGAAAATCTCCTTCTCCCAGCTGCTACGCGGTGTCATGGACGCGATAATCAGAGAAATGGAAAACTGCAGAAATCGAGGCCCAAACGGCACAATGTCTATCCTTCATTTGTGTTTTCCGTTTGTTCGGTAGCTGGAGCAACAGGGTACATCACGTAGGTACCTTCACCATTCCCGGAAGAAAGGAGGGAAGAAGACTTGATGGCAGCTCCTCGAGCTTCGGACCGTATGTATTTCCAAGTCCCGTGATGCAGTGAATATGTGCTGCACATTGACTTTTCTTTGTCATTTGATTATCAACCTCACCATACCTTGGGTATAATTACCACCTACGCAAGCGATTATAGGCAGTTTGATACCCTTCTTCTTCTTCTTCTTCTTCTTCTTCTTCTTCTTCTTCTTCTTCTTCTTCTTCTTCTTCTTCTTCTTCTTCTTCTTCTTCTTCTTCTTCTTCTTCTTCTTCTTCTTCTTCTTCTTCTTCTTCTTCTTCTTCTTCTTCTTCTTCTTCTTCTCCTTCTCCTTCTCCTTCTCCTTCTCCTTCTCTCCAAATTGGAGCTGTGATCCACAAAGCGACTTCGGGGACAACACGATGGGTGATATCTACGACGAAGATCAACACTCCGATACTCTCGACTGGGCTATTCACGGGTGTGCCACCTGCTCTATTTGTCTGTTTGCGGATGGATCGCGAGGCTAACACTGGCACAGGTCCTTCAATACCAAGCTGCATGCAGATGTCAGTATCCGTCTTGGCGATATTGAACTTCCGGCACATGGCATCGTGCTCGCCTCCCAGAGTGAATATTTCAAGAAGGCTTTGCAGTCTTCTATGAAAGAGGGCATCGAGAAGAAGTTTGAGTTTAGCGAGGGTAGCATGCATGCGCACTGGAGGATGTTTGAGTACATCTACAGAGGACGATACTGTCACGACGCCGAACCACTGCTGGGCTCGATAGGTTAGCATCTACCATGCGTACCTTGCACAGCACTCACTATGCCTTTGTACATGACTGATTTCGGATTTTCTAGCCGACGACGAAGACCTCTTAAAAGACATCCGCGTTTACCAGCTAGCAGATTACTTTCAAATCCCGAATTTGAAGAATTACGCAATGCGAAGCCTCAAGTTGAGATTGAAGAAACTATACGTCAGCGAGAACTTTGTTGGTTGCATACGAGAGGTGTATGGGATGTCGATCGAGGTAAGCCACGACATGAGGAAGGAGATTTCGGATATTGCGCGAACTCATTTGACGGAGCTTTGGGACAAGAAGTCTTTCCGCGCACTCCTTCGTGAGGGAGGAGATTTTGTAATGGACATACTGAAAGTCGTAGCCGCTGATGGTTATCAATAACGGAGCAATTCTGCAGGCGTTGCGGAAGAGGTGCCAGAGGTTTGGCTGAAGAAGGACAAAATTTGCATGGGTGGCAATGTGCCTTGACTATGGGCGGTTTCCCCAGATGATTGATATGCAAAATCATAAAGATAGATGAATAAGATCAAGAGAAAAATTGAAGGCCATCTAATTGCAAGAGTACCTTTGGTTGGAACTGTAAGTATGCAAGGTTGCAGAGATTGTTAGGCGTCGAATTCTGCAGACTATCAAGGGTGCGATATCGGAAACTCTGTGTTGTATGTATCAGCCAAGAAAAACAGGAGCATCAAGCAAACGTGGCCAAGCAAAATTCAATTTGATTTCAAAAAGATGTTTAAAATGCAATTGATATTTACAAGATGAATCAGATATTTTGTTTGTAATCCAGTGGCGCTTTCGGTGACGGTCGCCACAGCGATTACTGGACTAGGCAATGCGTGGGCCCCGATCGGAGCAGAAAATCAGATCTGACTGTACCTGACTCGGCTGATCTCATAATCAGAATCTCATACCTCAACGCCCATTTCATCCAGACAATTCATCTCAAGCAACGGCATCCAGTGACAGAGAAAAAAGAGAAAAGAGTACAACGTCGAGCAAAAGCAAATCACCAGGACAATGTCCCTCACAAACGGCTCCCCCGAGGCCGCCGCCACGGCCGCCAAAACCGCCTCCTTCACCCTCGCCTCACTCCCGGCATCAGCCCGCAACGAGGCTCTCGAGGCCATCCACGCGGCTCTGACGGCTTCCAAGGACGAGATCTTGGCAGCCAATGCTCGCGATCTGGAGCTTGCGCGGAAGGCGGCGGCAGACGGAACGCTGACGCAGGCGCTTGTGTCGAGGCTGGATCTGGGCAAGAAGGGCAAGTGGGATGACATGCTGCAGGGGATATTGGATGTGAGAGACTTGGAAGATCCGGGTATGTGGATGCCTATTTTTTGGATGATTTTATTGTTTTCGTATATGCGTGGCCATTGTCTTGTTCTTGTTGCCCTGTCTCTCTGCTGCTGCTCGAGAACTAGCCATCTCAAGTGAGATGTTCCTCTTGGCTATACAACTTACAAATCAACTCAAATGCTAACCTATACTCTTTTTTCGCCACCAGTTGGCAAGGTACAGCTGCGAACAAAGCTCGATGACGGCCTCATTCTCGAGCGGGTGTCATGCCCCATTGGCGTCCTCCTCATCATTTTTGAGGCACGTCCCGAGGTCATTGCCAATATTGCCAGTTTGGCGATTAAATCCGGCAATGCTGCTATTCTCAAGGGTAGGCCTCTATCTATCTATCTCACACTACCCTATAAGACCCGATTACTTACTCAGATATCATCTCGCAATAGGAGGTAAAGAGTCCACAGAATCTTTCATCGCCATCTCACAAGTCATCTCCTCCGCCCTCTCCAAAACTCAGGTCCCCAACTCGGCCATCCAGCTTGTCACCACCCGCGATGTGATTCTCCAGCTTCTGAGCCAGGATCGCAGCATCGATCTGGTCATCCCCCGTGGCTCCAACGACCTTGTTCGCTACATCAAGGAAAACACAAAGATTCCCGTCCTGGGCCATGCCGATGGCCTCTGCAGCATCTATCTCACTGCCACAGCAGACAAGGAGAAGGCCGCCGTCGCCATCGTCGACTCCAAGACGAGTTATCCTGCCGCTTGTAACAGCTTGGAGACGCTACTCGTCCAGGACAAAGCCCTCGACACCATCTTCCCTGGTGTGGCTGCTGCTCTGGCTGAGAAAGGTGTGACACTCCGCCTTGATGCTGCCAGCAAGGCTGCCCTCTCATCCACCTCTCTCCCAGAGGGCACCATTCTGGATGCTACTCCCGAAGACTACGATACGGAGCACCTTAATCTCACCTTGGCCGTCAAGACTGTATCCTCCGTCGACGAGGCCATTACCCACATCAACACCCACGGCTCTCACCACACAGACTCCATTCTCACCTCAGACGAGACCGAAGCCGAGCACTTCATGAACCAAGTGGACTCGGCCGGCGTGTACTGGAACGCCTCAACGCGACTGGCCGACGGTATGCGCTACGGCTTCGGAACAGAGGTCGGCATCAGCACCAACAAGATCCACTCGCGCGGACCGGTGGGCCTGGACGGGCTCACGATTTACAAATACAAGATTAGGGGAAATTACCAGCCGACGACGGGATACGGCGAGGGCGAGGGAAAGAGGCCGTGGAAGCACGAGAAGCTGTCTTTCTAAGGAGGGTCGATATAGGGCTAGCGAGCATGACGGGGGGAATAAGGAAGCGAGGCACTCTCCCCGAGAAAGGAAAGATAAAGAACGACGTGGAATACAAAAAAGAACGGGGTATCGGATCCTGCCAGGGGCAACCAAAAAAAAAAGGCTATCGAGTGGATGAGTGTTTGTTTGTTTGTTTTTGCCTCTCCCTGTTGGCCAGATCGCGGTGAAGTAGATCGGCGAAGAAAGACGACGCGGAGAGAAATCTCCTTGACTAGGGATGCCCGAAAGACATAGTATGGGGTAGCATGTAGCATCTGTATAGGTACAGATAGATGTCTATGAGCATTATGGTCTGATTATAATAGTCGTTCCCCCTTATTCAGACAGGAAGGAAGGTGATTGCTCATCATGCCCGAGTCAGGAAAAGAAGAAGAAGCAGAAGCCTGCTAAGCTGATGCCCCCCTTGTTCTGCGGACAAGGGCCCTGTCGCGACGGCGACACCCGGGAGTCCGTTTTGGTTGGCGGAATAGGATATCGGTCTGCATTGCTCGTACAGCACGAGTACCTGTACTTGTCCAATGGCACCATCGACATGTTGGAAAAAAAAAAAAAAAAAAAACTGATGCTGCATGGCTTAGCTCGCCGACCTTGTGATCTTTTTTCTCATCTGGTGATTTTTCCCACGATGCCCTCATCCGACCCGGGGTCCTTTTCTCCAGACTCAAAACTTGTGCCTCGGGCCTACGGCTTCTTCTATTTTTATCATATGATGTTTTTCCGGCGCCGTAGCTACTGTAATAAGCCAAATCTATTTTAAAAATTAAAGCATAAAGTAGTATTGCATGAAGCAGCGTGCATAGCCAGAGTCGCATCTGCATCTTGACATTACTCGGACGTGCCGCCGCATCGTATCACACCAAAAAAAGGAAGAAAAAAAAAAAAGTACCCGTTACCTACGGGCGAGTGCTGGCACCCCGCCTTTTCGCAGTACTAGTAACAGCGGAGCTAGTGAAAAGCCAAGCCCAAGCTCAATCTAATAAATTGCCCTTGCTTGCAAATGTACGATAGTCCCCTATTATTTTTGGAATACGAGGGGGAGAGAAGATAGCAAAATAAAGAGAGAGAGAGAGAAAAAAAAAACCACAAGGCCCAATATCCCGGCCTGGTATGCTCCTTCGTGTCAAATAGTCTTCACCTGACTATTCTAGCTGGGCGCGTCCGTATTTTAGCGATTGGGAGCACTATATTTTCTGTGTGTGTGTGTGTGTCGTGTGTGTGTGTCTTTTCTTTTACGAGTGCTCGTATAATACCACTTAGTCCTGACTCACTCTATCTTGTCTTATCGGTCTCTTGTTCCTGGGCAAATGTCTTAGACGCATGTTATGTATGTCGATGGAGCTGGACTTGCACACCGTTTTTGTTTTTCCGTCAAAGAGTGGACCCGGCGCTGTGATATCACATCACCGCCTCTTGACAGCCCGTCCTGCAGAATCCGCGAAAAGACAAAGAAAAAAGAAAAGAGCGATAGAAACAAACAAACAAACAAACAAACAATGGAAAACCCTATTTAGATGCTGGGGTCGATCTTTTCCGCATAATAATAGCAACATACGAGCACAAGGTGACATGGTCAATGCAAATTAATAAAGAGGGCGGCGGCATGTCGGGGGGAATTCAAGCTGCTGTAAGCGGGATCCATGCCCGCAACCCCCATTAAGGCCATACGCTGGATGCCTCAGAAAGACAGCTTTTTCGGCCCTAGCAGGCTTAAGAGTCTGACTGGCGATCAAAGAAGGGAAGGCGATTACCAGTGATATGGCCGATGTGATCTTATGGCGTGTATACATACCTAGTAGTAGTCCTCGTACTGCACTGTACAAGTCAATGGACATTACCCAAGGCATGGTAGCTATCCTCATGTACTCGTACTTGCACATGCTGCCTCAATACACTCGTATGCTCGTATACCTACAGCTAAATGAGTGATTCAAACAACGCATTGCATTGCCGCCTTACAGCAAGGTGACAGCTAGACCCATGTGATCGTATCATCTTTTTTTTCCCTCTCGCCCAGGCCAATTCCTGTCCCAACACTGCCGCGCTATTGATACGGATGCATCATAGTCGAAAGCTCGCCTTGCTCGAAATGGAACGATACGAGGGCACGTTTGCGCCTTGCTTGGGCTCGACTTGCCACTGGATTCGGCTTGGGCTCGTCTGTATGTTGGCAGTTAGTGGGCGGGAATGGCAATGTCTTTTTTTGGAAAGCCATGGCGTCACCATTTGTCGTTGTGGAATGAGCTTTTTTTGTTCGTCCACCTTGGTTTGTGTAAATCTTGTAACCTTTTTGCCATCTCGCCCAGTTATTCCATGGAACACAGTGCGTAGGGCTTGCGGTTTAGTGGAGGGATCATCGGGCAGAGATGGGACTTACGGGTGGAAAAACAGTGTGTGGCTGTGCCTCGCCTCGCGCACTGTACGGCGAAACGTTGCGTCGTGAGTGTGATGAGCCCAGCGCCGAACAGATTCTCCGGGGCGGCTTGCCGGTACGTACCAACCACCTGCCTGGAGACCCGACAAAACGTGGAGTTGCGAATGGGGGCATTGCGGCGCTATGACGTATTTTTGGCCAATGACAGCCCGCCATTGCAGTCATCCTTCCAGAAGAGGCTTAGCCCGCTCTGTCTCAGAACCAGTCAGCTGTGAGGGGAAAAGAAGAAAAAAAAACGGGGGAAGCACAACCACCGCGCTTTTTCGCTGCTACTAGCCACACTTGATCCTCGTCCAGCGAATCGAGCGCCAGGAAAGCTCGTATTGCTTGGTGTCTCGCCATTTTTTTTTTCTGCTCTTCTCACTCTTTTTCCCTCTTCGATTAGAATTGTGTGGCGCCGGCCGCTGCACCACGTTGCCGCAGTAGCCACACCTGTATTCTTGTTCGTCCTTGGCGCCTGTTATCGCTGGCTGGGCCTCGAGCCACGCGTGGCTGGCTGGGTACCGCTACCTCCGAGTACAGCCCGCCGCCAGTGGACGCGGACTGTCGGCCAAGTACTTGTACAGACCAGGTACCGCTACTCAGCTACGGGTGGGACGACGCCAGACAGGACCCCTGGTTAGCACCGTCATGGTTGGGCCCGACGGTGCTGCAAGCTCCCTTTCCGCTGGCTCTGCGGTGCGTGGACATACATAGTAGAATACGAAGAGCTACTGCTTCTGCGTCTGGACCTCCCCGGCTCTGATAGTCACGCCTGAGCTGCTGTTCTGCTCCTCCGGGGGTCCATCTCGACGGGCTAGCAGTGATACGAGTGAGCAATGGCCGGTACCGAGTACGCGCGCAGTACATCCGGCCACCACAACGAGACACAATGAGACCGGGCCAGGAGGGATCGGCCTGCGCCAACGGCTTGTCACTCGGCGGCCGCTATCCCCAAAGCGCAGGTACCAGCACTCGTACCTGTACTTGGTACTCGGCAGTCGAGGGACCCTGGCCGCCTCCCTGCATGTTGCCTTGTTTGGGTTGCTGGGACAAGAACAACCTCGTATCAAAGGCTCTTCCAGCTTGCAGTGCTCCGTAGACGGGCTGCATGTATATAATCGTGTCGTGTCCGCCGCACTCCTCTTTCTTCTGTTTCTGGCCCATCCCAACAACTACTACACTCGCTAGTTTTTACGCTCAGCTTCAGCTGTACTCTCGTTCAACGACCCAAATATCTACATCCGCCTAATATCTAATACCACCCTCACACCCGTTTTTACACCTATAAAAACAGAAAAACCAAATTTCAAAATGAAGACCTCTGCCATCATCGTCGCCGTCACCGCCGCTCTTGTCAGCGCTCAGGCTCCCCCCGAGGGCACCAACAAGGTGTCCTGCGCCAAGCCCAACGCCAACTACTGCCTGGGCGGCGACATCATCATCCGCTGCGATGCCAACAGCGTCGGTGTTGCCGGCCGCTGCTCCGACAACGTTGCCGGATACCCTCCTCTGGGCGGTGTTGCTGAGTGCTACCAGAGCTCTGAGACCGCTGGTGACGCTGCTTGCCAGAAGAACGTAAGTGAAGCTCTATACTATACAACACTGCCACAAGATGATCATGAAAAGCTAACAACCACCACCAGTGCGTCGTCTATGCTCAGCCTTCTTTCACCCTGCCTGCTTCTCAGTGCACTCCCAGCTTCACTGCCTCTGCCACCGCCTCTGTTGCCACTACCCTGAGCAGCTCTGTTGTTGAGAGCAGCAGCGTCAGCGTCATCTACACCACCGTTGTCAACGGAACCGTCACCACCACTGTTCCTTGCACCACCGTCCCCGTTGTTCCCTCCACCACCCCTGCTGGTCCTGTCAAGACCACCACTCCCGCCGGCCCTGCTGGTACTGGTGTCCCTCCTCCTCCTCCTGCTGGCGGCAACAACGGCACTGCTCCCTCCGGCACCAACACCCCCGTTGGCCCTACCTCTGCCGGCCCCAGCACCATCCCTACCAACGCTGCCGTTGCCAACCGCGCCACCGGCGCTCTGGCCGTCATGGGTCTCGTTGCCGCTGCTTTCCTCTAAGCGAGTGGCTTTTCTTCCTTGATCTGTCAAGTGGAATAACGTTTACGACTGATTTCAAAAAATCTCATGAGTTTGAGCATGATTATATATGAAATGTCTGGCGCCGACAGGGAAAAACGAGAACTTTAATGTTGATGGTTATGAAGGGGGGAAATTGGGATGTCACTCACGTCTGACTCGGTCATGCTCTTTTTCATTATTCCTTTGCGAAAGGTTGTATATAACGTGGTAGCAAAAGAAGAAAGAAAGAAAACAAGCCATGATTGGAGGGGAGATTTATTATACCTTGGGAAGTTAATCTTTTGGATCTCGGGAGTTTGCTTTTTTATTTTATTAGATATTGAAGTATGATGGGGGGGATATACGCATTATACCTTTTAGCATGTGCGATGTCATGCCTTGGCAACGGAATACTATTACTTTCATTAAATCATTTTGTGTCTTCGTCTTGCTTGTGTCTTAATTGATGTGATATTATAAAATGTATCTATGTAATGGTATATGTGAATGTATGTCTGTCGCTTTAAAGTACCCAAAAGTCATCGCTGCTGTGCCCATCGCTTCGAATTCATAACCCACAACTGCGGCGCCTCGCCTTCTCCGCTATAGATATAACTCAAATACAATGAATAGCGAAACAGCGCCTGCCGTAGCGTCTCCTCTGTGAGCTCATCCATACCAATACTACGTCCAAAGTCCCTAGCCGTGACGCTCATCTCGGAGCCCACGTCGCTCTCTTCACTATCGCTCCAGGCCCCACTAGCCGACGACACGGACGAGGCTCTGGACGAGGCTCTGGACGAGGCTCTTGATGTAGCCGGACTGGGACACGGCGTGCCGCGGAGCGCAACGTGCATTGCGAAGAGGAAGCTTTCCGGGACGGGAAGGCCCTTGGGGACGGAGCAGCCGGGGGACCAGATTGCCTTGGGGCGGCGGCTGAGGTCGGCGGCCATCTTCTCGATGGTTTCCTGGGCGATGGCGGGGTCGATGAATGTGGCGAGGGTTGTGAATGTTGGTTTTGCGAGGGCGGCGTTGAAGGCTTGGCAGGTGAGGCGGGCGGATTTGTAGTCGCCTTGGGGGAGGTTCTGGAGGATTTGGGAGACGAGCTCGAAAGGAAGAGAGTCCATTGTTGCTATTGATGTTGCGAGGTTGGATTGAGATGTATGGGTATCAAGTTTGGTGTTGTATGTATATGTGTGTAGTATCTATTATAACAAAGGGTATCGTGAATTGAGCAGGTGAGATGATGTATGTGTATGTGAGATGTCGTCCGTGTAGGATTGAGTGGGTATCGTGAATATCGTGAATGCCGTGGGTGGGTAGGAGAGAATGGTGATGTGCTTTAATACGTTGTTCGTGCAAGGCTGACAAGAGTCTATTGGAAATATTAAGTATTGGTGATTCACGACATCATAAGAGGCATAAGATCGTCAAAGGGGGAGAGAAATGAAACAGATCAGACCCAACAGCGAGAAACACGGTCAGATATATACCTGTGCTGCCAAAGCCAAAGCCACCTCGTGAGCCTTACCCTCAAGGTTCACACCCTCAAGGTTCGCACCCCCAACGGCACACAGCACGACCGGGAATCGGATCCGAGGGCAGATCCATTCATTCTTTGCGGAGAGCATCCAGGCTGGCTGACTGTTATCTGGCCAAGCCTGAGCGCCCCCCCCTATTGCTACCTGTCGCCCCTGAAACTACCTCGGGGCTGCACATTGGGAATCCTGACGTGAGACGAGACTGCCCTACCTTTAGTCCGCCTTGGTGTTATTACTAGCAAAGGGACGAATCCTAACGTCGTTCCAATCCACTGATTCATGCCCGCTCCCGCTCCCGCAAGCGGACTCGGACTCGGATTTGCTGAGTCAGTGCCTGTCATTTCAAGCCTCCTTAGGGCTGACCGGATTCCCTTTAGGAAAACAAGTCGTTGCTCGACTCCGTAATGGTTCCGAGGTTTTGCTGACCGGGAGATTTTAGCTAATGGGCGTGGGTCTGGCTGACGCGAGGAACTGCTGAGAGGCTTTTGGGGCATTTTCTATTTGTATTAAGCTCCGATAAAGCCAAAACGCGCATGCCACGCACCTGTAATTGGATCCCGATAAACCAAAAAAAGCAGTTAGAGGGAGGGGCGTGCGAATAAGCGAATGCGAATTGGGCTGTGTTTGAATGGTTCTTCTCCCAAAGCTCATCTATTTGCGGCATCTTGCGGGCTGGAACTAAAAAATAACACGGCTAATCGTTTTCTCCGCGGCTATCCAACAGGCCATCACGAGAACGCTTTATTTTATTGTTATTCCAAATAGAACCACTGTACAATAGGAATTCCAAAGAAGAGTGGCCCTGCTAGAAAAGTGCCGACGTCGCCGGTTCTCGGGTCAAAGCGCGCGTGGCTTGAGAGGCACGAGGGGGGAACAAGGGCTAGGATTCCAACCCATTCATGTTTGTATGAAGGGGCCAGATCCGGAAGGTTTTCGCGAATTGGAACGGCTAGAATCGCATCTTGTTTCCTTTCCCTTTTTTTTTTTTTTTTGGTCTTTTGTTTGACTGGTGGTAGATCATCGCTACGTGGCAGACGGATGCAATGACTCGTAAAGTGTCTGCTGGCCTGGACACGCGCGAATGGTGCCAAGCCTGCAGGAATCTCGAGGCGATTATAATCAAACTGATGGCTTTGCCTCTCCTTGCTTTTAGCACAGTATACGTGGCAGTAGTCGCTCCAGTTGATTTGATATGATCTCGCCTCTGACCAAGCTGAACATGCATATGTCAAACAAAGCACATTGGACATTCAAGTAGGGCTTAGCCACGCAACCACGCTCTGGATTCGCCATCTCTCTTTACTCAATCGAGGCGCATGGGGGCGAGTTGCATCGAGAACGTCCGTCAATCAAATGACGATTCCGCCCCCAGACAATGGCAAGATCCACTACTCCGCAGAATCTGGAAAACCCGTTAGTGGGTAATTCGAGCCCGGCTATGTCGCGTCCGGCTAAGTGGGAACTGGGAACTTTGGACGGCTCAATTTGTTAGCTGAGTGCCGGGCTGATGGCTGCTTTATCTGTCGAGGCTTAATCAGATGGTGTTGTGCAGCAGTTGCCACGGCAGGCGGTCATGAGTAGTAGAAGTCGGCTGTTATTATACCGGAACCGGAGTTGATAGAGAAAGGCTCATGTGCTCGCTGGAACCCACCTGTTGGAATCAGATTGTATTGACGGCGTTACTTGAGTCGAACATCTTACCGACCTAGCAATGAACCGTCGGATATCTTCTCATTCGTGCTGTAGAAGTGAGTCATCCACTAGAGCAGTTCAAGAAAATCCCTTAGTTAGCCTATACCTGTCGAGATGTGAATAATTCATGAGTTCACGTAAAGTCATTTCATTAATCTGCCTGTAGGGGAAGATCTGGTAGTCGTCCTCAAAAATAGAGAAGGCGAATCCCTTTGAGGAGACATGATTCACATTCAGTCGATGCAAGATCAAATGTAGGCAGATGGTCTAATTCACTACCTAGTACCTAGACAATTTGAAGTATATAATGTCATCAAGAGATTCGAATTCATCATCATTGACATATAATCTAACGTAAACTCTATACAGCAACAATTGTTATATCCCCCCATCTATTTCACTCACAATGTCCATGTTCCCAGTCCCTCTTCCTCAACTCCTTCCGTCTCCTGTCGCCACCACTCCTGCATCAGCCTCATCCTCTCCGTCCTCTCTCGCGCCATCTCCCTCCCCACATCCGTCTTCATCATCGTCTCCAGCTTGAGCAGCTTCTCCTCAAAGTGTCCGATCGAATCCCCCAAGCCCCTGCCCTTGGCTCCACCAAACGTAAATGCTCGTCCAATGCCCACCGCTCCAATGGCATCCAGCCGATCAGCATCCTGTACAACAGCAAGTTCCGGGTGTTGCTTAATAAGATTCTGCACGCGTGCCAGGTCCTTGATCTCGCTCGAGTAGCTCACGCCGAGACAAATCGTCTGAATCTTCTCCGCCAAATCCTCCTCCGCGCCGAGAGACGTGAGGGCCGTAAAGATCATGCGCGAGGCGTCTTCTCCAGGCTTGAGGTACTTCCTGTCGCCTACGTCGTGCATCAGGGCCGCAAGGGTGACGATGTCGCGGTTCGTGTTCGGCACTTTGGCCTGAATCGTCTGTGCAAGATGCACCACGCGCTTGATATGGCTGTAGTCGTGCGAAGGGTCATAGTTGGCCATGTAGGCCTTGATGTAGTCGGTCACTTTGGCAATGAGCGCCGGGTCCACGGTGATGGGGGAGCTCATGATTGACACTGGCAATGATGGAGATTGTGAAATCTATATGTGTGTGGCTTCTGAATTCCCTCTGCCAGTGGTAGAGGATGTGTCTTTTTTTTGTTCTTGTTCTTTTTATTTAGATAACACGATGTTTCCGCAGCCAAAGTCTTTGTCCTTGCTTTTTGCCAATATGGACTTGTCCAATTTACTAGCTTGGTCTGTCACAGCCGACCAAACCGTCCAATGTCTGTCAACTTAATGTTAGAATATCTTCACTTTCTAGAGCTAGGGGCGGATGACTGCTGCATTATATACATGGAGGGTTGATGCCTGTGTAAATCCTGATGAGGTGCGTTTTGCTTGTTTGGGCTCGCCGAGAGAAAGATAAGGTAGGCATTTATCAGCAGCCAAGGCTGGTACCTAGCGGTGAGTCAGCCGGCGTTGGCCCACGTGACTTCGTGTCTTCCGTATTGACTACTAGTATTTCGGTTTGGAGTTGCAGTGAAGATAACGCTGCACGTATTTTCGAGAGATGCAACCTAGGTATGTAATATCATCGTGTAATCAAGAAAAAATTTGTATTTTACGGCTGGCTCAGTTGTGATGGAGGGAAAGATGATTCATATGATGCAACATGGGGCCTATTGGTTCACGCATGCTTAGGTAGGTTGGCTTGCCTTTATATTGCCAATCAATCTACGCGGTGAAATGATCAAAGGAACATCTCGCAATTTTTACTCAATTACATGAAGAGAAACTTTCCTCAAGTAATCAAACTTCCAATATGCTCCAAATATTTGGGGAAAACCACTCTTTACCGTTGTTTCCAGCTCCATGTCAAAGAGCAGCCCGGAATAACTCCGGCCATCACACAGGATCTCCACTTTTGTGCTTAGTCACCACGAAAGATACTCTCTTCTTGGATCCCGATCTCGGTGGAGAAAAAACTCGAGTTGCAGGCAATATTCATCTCCACCCGTGCCACCATCCACGAGCCGTCTTCGATCTAGCGTCAAGCCAATCGCCTAACCCGCTAAAGCCTGCAAGCCATCATGGTGGTAGTACATGCCGGTGTCGACTTCAAGAGCATGCTGCGCTCTGGGCAGTTTTCTGACCTGACGTTGGTATGCCAGGGCAAAGAATTCAAGATTCACAAAGTGGTTGCATGCCCACAGTCGCCTGTGTTTTCCGCTGCCGTCAGTGGAGAGTTCAAGGTAAGCAGGGAGGCATTCTTCGTAGAACAGGCGCTGAATCTGGACGCAGGAGAGCCAGACAGGTGTGATCGAGATTGAGCTCTTCGATAGCGAGACGGTGAGGCGTATGGTCGAATTCTTGTACACTGGAAATTATGACTGCAACCAACCTCAAGAACAGAATACAGGTTTGTTCATGTCATAGACTGGAACAAATGTACCCGCTGGTGATTCTAATCTGTACCTGTACTAGCTGCTACTACAGATGCTGCGACACCCGCTACCGTGAAGAGCACAAGCAGCTCATCTTCAACGACAACGGATGTAGCCCTCCCAGTCCCTACTGCTGCTACTACTACAAGCACTCAAGACACGCTGACTCATGTGCGAGTAAATGCAATTGCCGACTACTACGGTATTCACCGTCTCACGCTGCTTGCCAATCAAAAGATCCAGCAAGTATACCAGGACAAGTGGAATGCCAAGGCTTTTCTAGCGTCAACGAGAGAGGCTCTCGACAACACTGGCGACAAAAAGCTGCATAGCGTGATGGCACTTCTAGCGGCGCAGCATCTGGAAGAGCTGATGGCATCCTCCAAGATGGCTGACTTGGTTGGCGACTTTGCTGCCGAAGTCCTGCGTTACCACGCCCTCAAGTTTGAAGCGACTAAACAAGAGCAACACCAAAGTATCCAATTGGAGCAAGCCGCTGCCCAGCAGCGAGAGGCGGCTGTTCTGGCCACAACCCAGGCTGCCGAGGCCAAGACTGCCCGCGTCATTGCGAACATCGACAGACTTGTCACTACAATGTGTGATAGGGAGTACTGTCGGAATACTGCTTGTGAAATGGAGTTTGGCTGCCATATTGAGAAACTTGCGGGCGACGAGCCCAACTACGTTCTTCGGTGTTCTTACTGTCGATGCAGGCACTAACTGCCTATCTTCTCCGAGGTGGAGAGGGATCGAGTGGGCCATTGAAACATGTTTTGTACATTTCCAAGTACCATAGAAAGTCAGTCTGTCATATACAAGTAGTAGGCCATTTGCCGCCGACGCTAGAGACATGTCACACCTACCTAGTTCTACATAGCACCTATGCATCCGATTAATGGAAATTACAGTATGACCATCAAATTACCAGCGTTGGAACGGAAATTGAATGAATCATCATCCTGGGTAGGACACCGAAGAAGAGGGGAATATGCAAGGGAGATGCTGCACGGGAGCACAAGACATGAGCAAAGCCACTTTACTTTAGTCTGGCGGTCGCCATGATGGGCCGCAGGAGGATGCCGTGATGCCCTTCTATCCGTGAGGATGGTGCGGAGTCTTTCGCCCGTGTCATGCCTTGGTAGACAAACTAAACGCCGTCAACCGCAAACTAGTTGATTCTAGCAGTGGGCAATGCGACGGAGGCCATGAGAATCAGAACATGATCCATGTTATCGTGCCGTCATGGGCCATCACAACTTTGTAAATCCTATCACGCTTACTCTACAGGTTGGTCGCTTCTCATGCGGCCTCGACGGGGAGATGCGGATGATGCCGTGGTTGGTCTGGTTAAGCGGCCGCTGGAGGCCCGTCTGATGGCCGAGCCATGAGGTGGAAGCCTGCTTTTACCGGGTGTTGAGTGTGATGTGACCAGGTGCGGCTGGAGACAGACAGGGATCAACGTAGTTTGGGGATTTGGAGATATATGCTGTTATCGAGGGTATAGCAATATCGGCCATATGCATTTTTCAGTCGTAGCAGCTTAGCTCTAGCAGCCGAGAATCAGCCGTCGAGCTTGGTGGGGCGGTCTGGTCTTGTCTGGCATCTCGTCACGAAACTTTCAGCCTCGTGATAGCGTGCCTCTCTTCGAAACCCTACGCATCGACACCAGCAGACAAGATGAGCTTCGTGCCGGTCAACCCGCGGCCTATGCTGCAAGATCTCGTCGACAAGACGGTCCTCGTCCGCCTGAAGTGGGGAGAGACAGAGTACAAGGGCAGACTGGTGGTGAGTAGAGCATGGGCGAGGAGGCGGTCCGCTGGATTATGCTAATTGCGCTTTGCTATCTCTAGTCCATCGACAGCTACATGAACCTGCAGCTATCCAACACCGAGGAGTACCTAAACGACAAGCTTACCGGCGAGCTGGGTCAGGTTCTGATCAGGTAGGACGCGCTTTTCAGGCTCTACTTTGTTCCATGGGGTTTTAACGATTACGGCACAGGTGCAACAACGTTCTTTACATTCGCGGAGCCGATCAAAAGGAAAGTGGTGGAGATACTAGAATGGAGGACTGAAGAGGGGATACATAAGAGCAAGACGCAGACTCTTCCGCTGAGCATTGGAACAAGGCGTTGAGGGCTGATTCGCTGCTGGGATGAGGGATGGGAAGCTGTACAGACTATCACACGGAACATTATTCAGGGAAAGAAAGCTTCACGATGGGAACGAATCAGATCGGCCTCGATGTCGACCTGCAGTCGAAAGAATGATACACCGGGGCGTACAACAGACGGGATAGGGAAGCCGCGAATTGTAAATGGCGACATCTTTCGAAATATTTAGCTATCCATTAATCAGCATCAGACTTTTTATTCTCGGCCTGAGTTTTTTCAAACGTTGTCGCTACATGAAGATTTGGGTTATCGGCAGTTGGAATATTGGCCTCGCCGTGGTCTTGCGAGGTTGTTCTAGGCGACTGCACTGGTATCGACTGGACGGCACTGGTGATACCCTGGAGTCGATTTTGGAGCCGGAGATGTGATGTCAGCTCACGAGGCTACCAATTAATCAACCAACTATGTACATCTATGCTATGGTACCTATCATATCATACTACGGAGCAGTATCACTCAACCTGCCTTCTAGCTGATCCACATTGACTCCAACAACAGGGCCATCACCAAGCAGAGCATACGGCCGGTTAGATGCATACTGACTTCCGTCGCACAGACGGTATGAACCAAGTGAGGCTTTGCAGCTCGGCGCCGTTACTGTATCCACCGCCATTGTGTGATCAAAAAACTGCTTCTGCAGTTTTAGTCTGTTTGTTTGTTTGTTTGTTCGCCTATATGCACTTGTCGATACTACCTTGGTCCACCCGCAAGCGCTTCGACGAATCACGGACGGCTCGGCCGGGCACCAAGAGGGCACCATGAGGGTACCAAGAGGTTACTATGAGGGTACCAAAAGGGCACCGGCGTGCGTAATTACGGCTGCAATCAGACGACGAGCCAGTGAGAGCGAGCAGAGGCCCCGCGTCCTGATCTGCAGGTGACGAGACTTGCGGGCGGCAGTCCAATCAAGCGCCGCATCTAGACGCCGGCAGCGCTGTGGATGGGCGCCACACATGAGTGGTTAACTGAGTGCTTAACCGCCCGACCCCTGCCGGGTGAGGAGACGGACGCCGAGATGCATGCAGAAGCGGCCTTGGTGTGTGCCTTTGCCGCGTTATTGGCCCGCCGTCATGGCACATTCATGGCTCATCCATGGCAGCAGGCCGAAGAGGTTGCAGTGGTTGCAGACACGGCTCACTTCCCTTGCCTCTTGGGGCCTGGTCTAGGCAATGGCTGGATCAAGTGTCATGACGGCCTCTCCCTTGGGCCCGCGCCTGGCAAAACGTATATCAAGGCGACCAACACCCGTCTGATGTTTTTCTTTTTTTCTTGTTCCTCAGCAAGTTCTGCCAACCTCAAATCCACCTTTCTGTTTTTTCCCCCTTGTTTGTTTTTGTTTTTTTGTTCTGGAGCTGGTCTCCCTTTTATCTTCTAATACACAATCTCGTCTTCACTTACACAATCCCCCAACACGTCAACTACACCATCAAACATCTCAGTTGCCGGTCAGCTTGAGACGAGATAATTTTTACATTGAATTTTTTGCATTTTTTTTTTTTTTTTTACGCATCACGACATCTTAATTGATACCCCCCTTAATAACAGAATTGTGGATTTCACTTGCTCGCTGGCGATCACCATTTTTACACTTTTGCCCAAGAATCACTAAAACTTCTACAAGCATCTCCCTAATCACAACAACTTAATCACACTAATCAACATGTCTGCTATCCAACTCTCTTTCTCTCTTCGCGTCTCTTCTGGCGTCAAGACCGTCCACCTTCTCGGCTCTTGGGACAACTACGTCGGTCAGCTCCCCCTTGCCAAGGACAAGTCCTCCAAGTCCGGCACCTGGAAGGGTACCTTCAGATTCCAGAACTCTACCCTTGAGGCTGGCAAGCGATACTGGTACTACTACATCATCGACGGCTACCACATCGCCCACAACCCTTCCGTTGAGTCCACCACCGAGCCCACCACCGGCCGAGAGCTGAACATCCTCGATGTCACCGAGGACGGTTCCAAGTCATCACACAAGTCAAGCAGCAAGAGCTCCCGACACTCTTCATCCAAGGACAAGGACGGCAAGTCTTCTCGCCACCGTGCTTCCCTGACGGTCGACATCCCCAAGGGTCGACCCCTCTCCATCTCTCAGATCAAGGCCCCCAAGCCCATGTCTCCTCATGCCACCAAGCACATCCTCGAGTCCGACTTCTACGGCAACGAGGAACTTGAGGAGCTCACTGCCCGCTTTGGCAGCGCCGGCCTTGATGATGATGTCCTCACCGACTTCAGCACCTCTCCCGTCTCCTCCAACGGCTCCAGCCTCTCGTACCGCTCCGACAGCTCATCCCCCAGCTCCTCGCTCTCCGGCTACAGCACCCCCAGCTCCGACTGCAGCTCCTGCACTTGCGAGCGCTACGGAATCACCCGCAAGGGCGAGCGTGTCAAGATCGACTGTGGTGGATCCCGATGCGGCTACGATGAGTCTAGCTCCGACTGCGCTAGCGACGTCAGTGATGACGAGGAGGCCGACTACGAGGTCTCTACCCGCCGCAACGGCATCATTGTTGGTTGAGAGACTTGGTCAATGCCTGATGATAATGATGGATGAAAAGCCTGTTTCGAAGAGAACAAGGCCAGCATGTTTTTTCCCCACGACAGGCGGACGCATTGCATAATGAACCTGCAACGTCTGTGCCTGCTCGGTGACACACATTAATGTTGTTGTGTGGTAATGTATATACAAGCACACTCGCTTTTATACAATCATTCCCCACCGTGCCCCATAGGGCGGATCACACAGCACTCCAAGCTGGTCTTGGATAACGGTGCTATGATCTCGCATCCGAGGGCGCGAGTGATGACCATTGGGTCGATGCTACGGCCCCTCGTGGAGTGGTCCCTCCCGCTCCGCGAGCAGTTTGTTTTGTTGATTCTTGAGCATCTTTTGAAAGAGTCGGATATGCACCACTCTTGACATTCAGCCAAGACCGGAGTATCATTCCTTTCGCTTCTCTCGTAGAAGATACAGAGAAGGAAAGGGATTGTCCAGCTCCGGACAACATTTTGCGACAAGGTCATGGATGTGGCTTTCGGATCAGGTTATGTACAATGATTCCGGGGGCTAGCCAGGAAAAAAAAAGGATCCGTGGATGAGGGGGAGGATTATGGCAGATGGTTAAGGATTACTGCCGCGTTAGATACTAGATAGATGACTATACTGAATCTACAAGTACTGACTGATGAGGGAAATACTTTGAACTTTGTCTTGATATTGTGACAATGATGAATTTGCTGTGTATCTGTGGAATTGTAGACGCCCCTGACATAAAAGCTATCCTGAGTGGATAGTATTAGCTGAAGCATACGATGAACTTGATGCTTCTGTGGATGCAAATTGAGATCCGCTGTATCCATTCGGTGACTCAACCTGAAAAATCCTCCAGCTTTGAGGCGCCAGATGTAGCCTCCGAAAAGGAGCCTCAATCACTTGGATCGAGTTTTTCACTTAGCAGAGCCTTGTACCTCTTCCTGAAGTATTCCTCCTGGCAGAGCTAGCAACGCCAAACAGGAGATCGGCGTGGATGTGGCTGGATATAAAGTGAATATAAAAGCTTATTTGGCCGTATTCGAAAAGGACTGGACAATATTCGATGCAGAATTTTGCCCAAATAATATTCCACATGCAATAGCTGAATACCACAATCCTGTATAGCCTAGTGCACGGGAAACAATCTGATGCCTAGAAAGATGAGTTTGCCATGAGGTAGGCAAATTTGACAATGCTTGCGCGGCTGCTTTTTTCGACGAGGCGATTTTCTTCATTTAAACTTCACTTTTTTTCGTGGTCCCAATAAAACGACTTTTACATATATCTTATACTTTCTTTCTCCTTCCCTTCTCTCTCTCTCTCCCTCTCTCGTTTTCTTCAATTTTCCTCTGCACTCTTCTCCAAGGACGAACGTCATAGATTCCATCACTCTCCGCGTTAACGGCAGAGGCCTTCATTATGGAGGACCCGAAGAGAGGAAAAGCTCCCGCGTACGAGACTTGGCCACAGAGAAAAGAGCAGAAGAAGATGCTCTGTTCGCGACGAGAGGCTACCTTGCGGGCAACTAGGCTGCTGTGCGAAAAGGAAGGGGAGAGCAGCAAGGAGAGAAAGGAGAAAGCGAATATGTTGGTCTCTCTATTTTCTTGCATTTGAGGACTGCGCTCATTGACTCGGGGGGTTTAGGCAGCAGAATGCTCTGGATACACCGCCTGCGGCGAATGAGGCTGGCAAGGCAGAGTCAGATTGGCGGAAGAAGAAGGCAATCGAGGTAGATATCCTCGTGTTAAATCAGTGGAAAGTGCTTTATGACCAGAAGTATAGTAAGTGGCTGCATATAACTACAGAGACCTATGTATTCTGCATCCACTCCGGGATCGTCGAAAGCGAACGCGTGCTCTAACATAAGAAAGGGCCATCTCAAACTCCATATTACTCAGATATCCCTGACGCGATGGAGCAGCTCGAGCTCGAAGAGAAGCAAGGCCAAGACGAGGAGAGGGAAAGGGAGAGCCAAAAAGTGCCAGAGGACGACTGGGTTGTTGTCGCGGATGATTTTGGCATATTGGTCTTTAAGGATGATGGTCCAGACGAGCTAAAGATTTAGAGGGATGATTTCGCGGTGGATATTTTTTTCTCCTTCTCTTTCCTTTCCAAGGGTTACTACAGAAGTAGTTTCGAGGGTTTTTCTTTTCTTTGGAGTACTGGATATTGGGTTGAGCGATGGGCTTTGACGGCGTACGGAATATCTGGGTTGGTGGAATTGAAGGATGTTTATTCAAAGCAGCAATTAAGCTACTACGGAGGGCAAACTACAGCTAGCTGAATTGAGGATCTTCTTTTTCTTCTTCCTTTCTTTTTGGCCTCTTTTCCCCCACTGCCTGTAGTTGTAATACTTGATCACAGCCTAGGGCTGAAGCTGACTCGAGCTGCATACCCAAATCTGACTAGGTGCAAGGATTATACGCGGTAGGATCAGAGACAGCCTCATGCAAATCAGCCAGTATCATGCAGAATATGATCTGTACATGTATACTCCGTAGACCGACAGCTGAATGGCCAAGAAACCCATATAAACAGCATGTCACCAGTCATGAATCGTCTCCTCCATTGGCATCCCTTCGTATCCATGACAAGGCCGTCCCTACCCTGGTCGCCCTCCCTCCTCGACGGTGTAGCGCCGGGTGACGATGGGGCCTTGAGTTCAGCTCGCCACTTTTCAAGGGACTAGACCGGATGAAGCAGAGCCTTGCCCTGGGCTCAGGAACGGCCGTGTATTTGGGAGGAGAAGTTCGCTAACCGTTGGATGAGAGGCGTTTGTGTCTCCACGCCGCTATTCGGTGTCTCGGCAATACTGCATTAATGTATCAATAAATACGGAGTAGATAAGGGTAAAGCGCGAAGATGCAGGAAAAAGGAAAAGGAAAAAAAAAAGGACCAAAAGTTGAGGACATACTGTACAGATACTTGCATCTCAGATCCGCGATTGGGGGAGACGAGGAGACGGACGCGCTTTGTCTTTTGGGGACGCAAGGAGGGGGAGGCCGTCTGACACGTCATTTTCGAGTTGAGATGGACAAGACCCAAGGGCAGTTCTAGATCCATTAGTTACAGGTGCGGTCTGACGACAGATGGTGTCACTGCATCTTGTGCGAGGCCCAGACTGGGCATAAGATTTCCATGTTCCATGGTGTTTTCTGGGCAAGAGGCTGATAATCAACTGGATGGAGGTTGTACAATACGAGTGCAGGCATCAGTGCTGAATCATGCCTGCATTTAGGCGCCTGTAAGTGCTGTAAACTGCCCGTAAATTCCCCGTTGCCAACCACTGCGCCCTGTAACCAAAGGCTGTACAGTATGAGCACCTGAGCATATTGAGATTCTGTTAATATTCCAAGGTTCAGAAAAAAACAATCTCCCCTCGCCCTCTCTCGACTTTCCCACTTCCTGTCACCGCATCATTCAACGTCTTCCCTGAGACAATTCCCCTCTAGCGCTGCATCGCCATTCGCTACCCCGAACCGAACAAATCATCCCAGCAGGCATCATTGCCTCTTGTCTTGCAGCTGTCCAGTAGCGGCCCGCCAACATCATCCGGACTGATTCTCGCCTCACCTCTCTCCACCAGACCCGCCATCGCTACGAACCGTCAGAGCCCACTTGCACGAGTAGTAGTAGTATTACTGCTAGTACTGCTAGTACCTGATGCCTTCGTCTCCTACTAACAGCACAAGCACATGTTCCTGTAGCCCTGCGATGGGGCTGGACGCTGGCTGGAATTAGCCCGAGCCCTGTCGCTGTCGCTGGGCCACGCCGACGAGAAAATGTGCCGATCGCTTGCTGAATCCGGCTGCCCATTGGCCCTCTCCTCATAATGGCACCCAAGACACTGAGCCGTATCTGCATTTCCGATTGGCGATAGCCAACAGGGGGGATCCTGGAGGCCGTGGTGGCCACGTACGGGTCGAAGAGCCTCGCCTGCGCTGTCGCTGCTGCTGTTAGCACCAAATATTATTGCCCCCTTTGATTACCATCCACTTCCGAAAGTGCAAAATGGGGCAACTCTGGCGGCCTTGTGAGGTTGTGAGGGGGCGGAAGAGGCTGACTTCCATCCATCGCTCCTCTCCCCTCTTGTCAAAGACTGCCAGCCTGCCCCCGGCACGTCCCAGCTCGGACCCTGCTCCGTGTCCCCAGTTGGCAGCCCTGGCTAAAAGCAATTTTTGCGTGGTTGCTCATGACGGCGTTGTGCAGAAGACGACGAGTACTTGTACAAGTCCAACGCCAACTGGGCTTGTGTGCGGTCGGCTCGTCTTGACTTTGCTGCCGCATTGGCTGGTTGACAGTTCGATTTGATTCCGTTGCTGTGCCTCGCCCGCATTGAATCCCTTGCCAACGGCACGCGGACAAGATACACAAGATCCGCCTGTTGACTTCTTCTCAGCGGTGAAGATGTCTTGCCCCTGCGATGCCTGAGCTTCAGTCTCGTTCCCATCGCCAGCTTGTCGATATCGCCATGTCATGGCACGAGCTCCTTGTGAGGGGCATTACACTGGTACGTCACATTAAATAGTCCCGGCTGATTTGCTATTATCGCGCCTCCAGTCTCGCTTCTATCCACCGCATTGCAGGCGGCGCTGCACCTGAAGAGCTGAAGCGGGACGCGGCAGCAATGGATCCAGCCACAACTTGAATCGTGCTGTGTACCGTTTACTCTTGTCTAATCATTTGATCTGATTCCCTTTGCCATAGCCCGATGACTCTCGAGTTGGGTCTGGCCGCGATGGCTCTGACGGTGGCACTCTAAGCACGGCAAATGGCAACAAGTCGAATTCTCTGTCTAAACTTGGTGCTACCTTTGCGCCTGTCGCCATATACCTGGGCCTGTGCTTGACCTGCTTCCTTTTGCTGCGGCCTCGTTCCAGACGAGTTTATGCCCCAAGAACTATTCCCGGCCTTCGGTATCCAGAGTATGTATCTCTCCATCTCTCCACCATTTCCCGTTTGTTCTCAAAACCATTAAACTTGCAATACCGGAACCACTATCTCATATAAGATATTATAGGAATCCCACTCCCGAACTACCTTCTGGCCTCTTTAATTGGTTCATTCCCTTTCTCAAGATTCCAGACACTTACATTCTCAACAATGGCTCCCTTGATGCCTACTTTTTCCTCCGCTATCTCAAGGTCCTACGAAACATTAGCCTTGTTGGTTGCTGCATTGTGTGGCCAATCCTCCTTCCAGTACACGGCACTGGCGGTCATGACCTCGGGCAGCTGGAACAATTGACTATTGGTAACATCACCTCCGGATCCTCGAGGCTATGGGCCCATGCCGTGGTTGCTTGGCTGTTCTTTGGTAAGATTATATTGGCCCATGTCCAATGCTACACCACCCCTATTAACATGCAGTTGAAGGATTCGTGCTCTTTACAGTTGTTCGAGAGTGTATTTACTTCGTCAACCTGCGCCAAGCATATCTATCATCGCCTTATTATGCTGATCGACTGTCGTCTAAAACACTGCTCTTGCTGTGTATCCCCAAGCCTTATCGCGATGAAGCTAGACTTCGAAAACTCTACGGCGATTCCGCAAAGCGCATCTTCATTCCTCGCACAAGTAAAGATCTTGCGAATCTGGTCAAGGAGAGAGAGCAAACCGCTATGCGACTGGAAAAGGCTGAGATTGCTCTTATTAAGAAGGCCAACGTCGCTCGCAACAAATACCTCCGCAAGCACCCACAAGCTATCAATGCCTTTAATCAAATTCCTAAACAAGCGACCGAGACGTCATCACATAACGATGTTACCACTCTAGATAGTGGCGAAACCGTCCAGCAATCTAACGGCCCGCTCGAGGTGACCTTGCCAGGGTCTCAACTTGAAGTGGATATTGAAAATCAGGCAGGCTATAGCAGCGTTGAAGGGGGCACCAAGCAGGTCAACCTTGAGGAAGAGGAAGAAATCAAAGCAGAGGACTTGGACTACGTGCATCCATATGGCCTCAGACCCAACTTGCCAGATGTCAGAGGCTCCGTCGCAGCCCAATGGATACCAGCAGAAGCCCGGCCACATCATCGGCCCATTGGTAACTTTGGCCGTCGAGTCGATACAATCAGGTGGACTCGCATGCGGCTCAAGGAGCTGAACCTCCAAATTTACAAATTGCGACGTCAAATCAAGAGGGGCGATGCCGAACCACTTCCGGCTGCCTTTATCGAATTTGATACTCAGGAGGCTGCCCATGCCGCACAGCAAGTTGTTGTGCATCACTTACCGCTGCAGATGGCTCCCGGGCTACTTGGTATTCGCCCGGATGAGGTTATTTGGGAATCTTTGAGGATGAAATGGTGGGAACGCATTATTCGACGCCTCTTGATTCTCAGCGGCATCACCGCCGCCATCATCTTCTGGTCTATCCCCTCCGCTCTTATCGGCATAGTGTCCCAAGTAGACTTTTTAACGGAGAAAGTTCCATTTCTCCACTGGATCAACAAGTTGCCCGACTTTATCATAGGCATTATTAGCGGTCTTCTTCCACCATTTGCTTTGTCCGTACTCATGGCGTTGGTGCCAATCTTATTGAGAAGTAAGATATCCCTTCATTTACAAATTCTGTCAAGTATATGGTAGACTGACGCTCCTTTCTCAGTTTGCGCTGCGCAAGCCGGTATCCCCTCGCTCATCATTGGAGAGCTCTTTACGCAAAATGCATATTTTGCGTTCCAAGTTGTCCAAGTCTTCTTGGTCACCACCATCACTTCGGCCGCCTCGAGTGCTCTGGAGAGCATTATCCAAAACCCCCTCGGCATCCAATCGCTTCTCGCACAGAACTTACCCAAAGCGTCAAATTTTTACTTGTCTTACATCTTGATCCAGTGCTTGGCTTCTGGTGGAACTCAGTTGCTGCAAGTGTTTTCCGTGATCCGCCACCACATCGTGGCAAAAACGTCTGATATACCAAGGAGACGATTCGAAACCTGGCGTAAGCTTCGTCCAGCTCGATGGGGTGGCATCTTCCCTGTGTTTACAAACATGGGAGTAATCGGTACGTTTCGCATTCAATTCATTCCCTTTGGAAGAGGAAATATTGTACTAATGGAGATGAGTTTTGTAGCGCTTTCATATGCCTGCATTGCGCCATTGATCCTCATATTTTGCGCTGGAGGCATGGCATTTATGGGACTTGTTTGGAAGTACAATTTGATCTATGTTTTCGACACCACAACGGACAGCAAGGGACTCTTCTATCCGCGCGCCCTACAGCAACTGATTATTGGACTTTACCTGGCAGAGATCTGTCTGATTGGTCTCTTAATTTTGAATCATGCATTCGGGCCCATGGGCTTTGTCATCACCCTCCTTCTCCTGACGGGCTTGGTTCATTTCCTTCTTAGAGACGCCATTTCGCGCCTCATGTGGAGCTTGCCGCAGACGTTGGCGGTGGAAGAACAGATCCAAGAAGAGGAAAAAGCAAAGCTCGCAGATCACAACGATGGAGAAGCACCCGGAAATGATGCCGGCGGCGCAGCTGCAAGCTACTTTGACGTGGAACAAGCATTCGGTGACGAAGAGATCGAAATAGAAGAGATTGACGAAGACGATCACCACGTTGTCTCCAATAGGGCCCTCGAAGGCGCCAGCAGTATCCGGCTTGCCATGACAGCGTGGATTAAGTCCGCTGCCATAGCAAAAGTCAAGGAGGAGATGGAAAGGTCCGGGCTTAACGCGATGCTGGACAGAGTATTCGCATTTGCGAAGAGCGGAGATGGAGAAGGGCCACCCGGCTTTCTTGCCCGGTGGCTGCACCCAGAGGAGCACGAAGACTTTGTGGCATTACGCAAAATGATTCCCACGGAGGACCGGCCGCCTATTTCGTACACGGATGGAGACAAATATGCTACTTATCAACCCCCAGAGCTCTGGATGCCGAAGCCAATACTCTGGATACCGAGGGACGAAGCTAGAGTGAGTAGGCAGGAGGTGGCACATACTCGGCTTTCCACGCCGATATCTGATCTGGGTGCAACATTAAACGAAAAGGGACGGATTAGTGTTGATCTTGACGCGGCCCCGTTTGAAGAGCATAGAATGTTATTGTAGCGAGCGTGTTATCGTTGTGTCTTTTGCGTTACCTACTAGGTACCTAGTAGTATTTACTATACCCGGCTACGGTTGAATATACGTGGCCACTATGGAAATAATATAATGATTGAATTTATGATAAAATCAGTCCATGTTTCTTATTCTCTTGTTAACGAAGTTTGGGTTATTTGCTTCCTTGTTTATGCCTGTATAGGTAGGTAGTCTACTATATATGCTGTAGGTCAACGCCACACAATTGGCCAGTCAGCCACACCCGTAGCTCACACTAACCCCACTACACTACAAAGCTCCAAAATTTCTTGGTCTCTTGCAGACCTTGAACTGCCATCTTGAACTGGGATTTGTCGCATGACAAGCTATTATTTCCTCGGTACTTTTCTGTCATAACTGCTCAATTCACATCTTCGAGCAACCGCAATGCCTCTCGACACTTCAACATACTCCCTGGCGCTTCTGCGCATTGACGGCCGACGATGGAACGACCTCCGCCGCCTGCACGCCCAGATTCACACCCAAGACGCGGCAGACGGATCGTCATACCTTGAGATGGGCCACACAAAGGTCATGTGCGTGGTGACTGGCCCGGCAGAGCCGCAGGCAGGTCAGCAGAAGAGGGGGACTGGCGGTGGCGGCCAGGCTGGTGGACAAAAGGACGGAGCGAGCATCGTGGTGAACGTGGTGGTGGCTGGCTTTTCAAGCGTGGATCGCAAGAGGAGGGGGAGAAATGATAGGTGAGAGGCGATTGATGGCACAAAACAGGAGATGCGGAGACTGACTGAAGAGCTTGTAGGCGCATCCAAGAGATGGAGATTACGATTCAGAAAGCGCTGGCGGCCAACTTACACGTCCATCTTTTCCCACACTCGACGATTACGGTGTCTTTGCATGTTCTGTCTCAGGACGGCTCGCTTCTGGCCGCGTTGATCAATGCGACGACCCTTGCGCTCATCGATGCTGGTATCCCTATGACAGACTACATTACGGCTTGTACCGCGGGCTCAACGTCATCCTATGCCGCTGGCGACGATTCAGCCGACCCTCTGCTCGACCTGAACACCCAAGAGGAGCAAGAGCTGCCTTATTTGACGGTTGCCACTCTGGGAGACTCTGACAAGGTTGCGGTGCTGGTGTGCGAGAGCCGTGTTCAGGTGAGTCGGCTGGAGGGTATGCTGGTGGTGGGCGTTGATGGGTGTAGACAAGTGAGGAAGCTGTTGGATGGAATCGTGAGGCAGAAAGGCAGCAAGATGATTAAGGAAGGCGCGGTGCAGAGGAGCGACATGATGGCTGTGAGCTTGGAGGATTAAGTGGTGGGTGTTTTGGACTGCGAGTTTGTATGGGCAAAACGATAATTGTTTTTTTTCTGAATGATACCAGGTACGTTTGCGCGAAAGTTTTTATAATGACTATATTCAATCTTGTTTGTTATTCTGTCTTACTAATTTGGTTGTATTTACTATATAGCTGGCAAATTTGCTTCCTCTAGAGCTCATCGTGAGCAGACTCTTCGGCTGCCTCCTCAGCTGCCGGGGCTTCAGTCTCAGCCTTTGCCTCTTCGGTAGTCTCGGGCTTCTCAACAATAACTCCCTTGGGAAGCTTCTGCTTCTCGCCCTCGCCCATTCGGACGGAGTCGATCCAGGACTCGACGCTGTGGACGTTGAACTCGCCTTCCTCGTAACGCCTCCACCAGCCGCGGCGGGCGTTGAGGGCGATGAGCTCGATTTTGCCCGAGAGACCGAGGGCTTCCTTCAGAGCAGCAGAGCCTTCGACATTGCTGTCGACGGAGAAGAAGGGGAAGTGGCGCTTTCCGTGGACGTACTTGGTGTGGAGCTGGGAGACGGACGAGAGGATCTTGTTGCGCATCTCCGAGGGGGGTGCGGGGACAAGCGCAAGGACACATGTGTGAGACTTGGACTGGAGGCAGTGCTCTTCGAGTTCGGCCTTGGAAGCAAGGGCGGGGATATCGATGAGGGTGGGTTCCGACGCGGCGGTCTCAGAGGAAGCGGTGGACGGCTCGGCCTTGGGGGCTTCTTTGCTGGCCTTATCCTTGGAGGAAGACGCCGCCTTCTTGCCAGGCTTGGCACTAGAGGGAGCTGTTTCGGGGTTGGGCTCGGCGACTTGCTTCAGGAACTCGACCATGTCCTTCTTGTTGAGCTCTCCGCTGTAAGTGATGGGCTCCTTGCCACTTCCGGGAATGAGAACGAAGGATGGGAATGAAGAGATGCCAAACTTTTCCACGGTGGCTGTTTCCTTGTCCCTGACCTGGCCGACTGTGATGGCGTCGAGGAAATCAATGGCAATGCTCCTGAGCAGCGCACTCGTAGTTCCTTTCTCCGTGAACAAGATGGCCTTTGGCTTCTCCTCATCCTTCTCCAAGAAGCCGTCAATCTCCTTGTCCGTCAGCTTGACAACGTGGTTGTTGATCTTGGCCACCACGGCGTCGACAATGGCTCCGGCGGTGCGCTGGCCCTGGTAATCCTCGACAACAGGGCGGCCAAACTTCTTGCCGGGGCGGACAATCTTGAGGGTGGGGAAGCCCTTGACGCCCATGTTGCCGCAGAAGGCCTTGTTGGCGTCATCGTCGCAGTCGACGGCGGCGACCTTGGCGAGGCCATCGAGGTTCTTGGCTGCCTTTTCGTAGGCGGGCTTGAGGTTTTGGCAGTGGCCGCACCAGGGGGCGTAGAATTCGACAATCTGGGGAAGGGCAGACGGTTAGTTCTAAGTGTATGTATGTAGGTATTTCATTTCATTTTGGTCCCATTTGCTCTTGTATATGATATGCTTGTTTTACATGATGGAAATCTTGACAGTGTTTGATGAGATGTGAGGTTGTGTTGGGCAAACTTACAGACGTGTGATTGGACTTTGCGATGAGGCGGTCGTATGATTTGGCGTCTACCTGCAGGACCGGAGAGTTTTGGGTGTAGAGGCCAGCCTGGGCGACGGGAAGGGCCGCAAGGACGGCTGAGAGGGTGGCAAGGAGAGTTTGTTGATGCATGGCTACTGATTTTTTCGTGTAAGTTGATAGGATGAAAGCCTTTGAGTACCTAAGTGGAGTGAGACTGAGAAAAAGGCCTGATATCTCCAAAAGGCGCTTCTCACGAACTCTTCCCTTTGAATGATGATTGATGCTATACAAGGAGAAAGAAAGGTGGTGTGAGCAAGAGGGTGAGGATTTAGCCAAAAGGAAATGTTGCAATGTGGCTGCGAATGCTGGTCCTTGAGATTTTTATAGCTGGGTTTATTGGGCTTATGACGATGGTCTGGGCTTGGGATTTTTGGAAAAGGCCACGCTGGAGAGAGATGCACAGTGTGAGGTGTGGCTTATGGTGTGTCGTGGTGGGTTGGTGGATGTGTTTTTCTTTATTTATTTATTTTTCTTTTTTTTGGTTAGATGAATGAAGTTATGTAGTATGTATCAATGATTTATTTCTGCTGTTGAGAATGCAGACTTAACATTGTGAAAGAACAAAAACTCTTGAGAGAGTATCGGCTAGTAACATCATTCATTCAGCGTGGTGACAAATTCAATACCTACACAGTGCTATATCAGCATCCACCATTTCCAGCTTCCAAATCAGTCTCGTTGTGGCGCGACCTTGGGCGGGGCAGTCGCTGTGGTGGCTTGTGCATGGAGCATGTATCATGTATCGTCTAGTCAAGGCCGCAGCTTCATGTGGGGGAAGCAATCGTCACCTGCGATTACGTCGATGCGCCCATTTGGATAAAGCGCTTCTTCCAATCCGCCTCTTCTTTTCTTCCTTCGTTTCACTCTGCTGCTAATCTACCCAGCATCAAACAACATAAACTAGGCGGATAAATTCATTGCTGAATCGCAATGGCCGAGCCAATCCCCGCTCCGCTCAAGATCCCCGAAGTCAGTCGGTTTCTCAACCGCGCGAACCAGCTGCGCGCCTTCAAGCCTGCCATCTCATACTGGTGTATGTGGGATCCTACGAGCTGAAAAATCACATCTCTTACCAAATATGTATAGGCGAATACCATGCCGTCAACCAGATTGTGGGAAAGAACCTGCACACCACCGACGATGAGTGCTTCAACTTCACAAAGACGCTGCTGGAGCGTCTCGAGGCAACAAAGGTCGAGCGTCCGGACGACGATGCCATCATGGATAATACCGCGGGTCAGGCCTATGTCGAGCAGTTTGCGCAGGAGACGTTTGATCGTGCAGAGCGCACCATGAAGGCGAACAAAGTGACGAGGTAAGGAGGGACAAACACCAAGACATGTCCGTCTCTGAACCGGATGCTGACTCTTATGTCGCGGCTAGACAAACTGCCGACACATTTGATGCCGCAGCCACCTTTTTCGATCTCACCCACGAATGGGGAACTCCCGAGCCAGACGTCCTCCAAAAGATCAAGTTCGCAAAATGGAACGCCGCCCGCATCCTAAAGGCCATCCGCGAGGGCAACGACCCCAATGAATCCAACCCCAAGCCCCGCGAAGTCGAAGACGAACCAGCCCTCGACGCCCTCGATCCCGCCGTCCAGCAATTCACCAGCCCCTTCTCGCCGCCGCAAGCTGCCTACGCCGAAGACGTCCCCGATGGAGGCGAGCCGTCGCGCCAGGAGCCCGTGCAGGAAGGGTATTTCCCCCCTACTCAGGCGGCCGAACCCGACAATGAGCCATTCGTCCCTTCGCCCATGAGCGCCAGCCCTCCACCGGCGGAGTCGCTTCCGACACAACCCCCGCACTCTACGCCTCAGCTTCCACCGCAGTTTACTTCCTATGCGCCTCCTCCCCAGCATCCCCAACCCGTCAATCCCTCTGTTCCTCCCAGCTGGACCGCTCCCTCGGTTGCTGTCCCTCCTGCTGTCGCATCACCAGCTGACGCCCCAATTCCCGTCGCAGCGCCCATCGTACCACCGGTTACAAACGTCAGCGGTGGCGGGCGGATAGTGGCCGATCAGAAGAGCATGGCGCAGGCTCAGAAACATGCCAAGTGGGCGATATCGGCTCTGAATTTCGACGACGTGCCCACCGCCGTGCAGGAACTAAGGAATGCGCTCGCTACTCTTGGGGCGCTGTGAGAGGAATTACTGGGATATTTTACGTTGTACATGAGATACCTAATGAGAATGAAACGAGTGTCAAAAGATGAAAGGGCTTCGGTTTTTCTTTTGTTTCAGGAGTAGTAATTTGCCTATAGAAAGAGCGGCATGTTTGAGCTACCTATGCAGAGATAGAGAAAAGGAGTGCTGACATTGGAGCTCTGAAGTTGTAAAACAAGAGCCAACATGAAATAAGGGTTGAAGAAAAAAAAAAATTTAACAAAAATAAAAATAAGAGTTAAAAAAAAAGCGCCAAGTCCAATCAGTCGGATCCATCGTCAAAGTCATTCCACAAGGTGTCGTACACAAAAAATCCCATTCCCATTGCTCCATGCCAATCCATGCTGTATGTATTACGCCACAACCATGATGTTGTGCGAGTTTCCGAACCCCTGGATCGGAACGCTCTCAAGAGGTCTATTCGGATCAGGCCCGGCAACAGTCGCCGTTAATTCCTCTTCCTCATCCGCGTCAGTCCAGCCACGCTCGGGCCCCCATCGGATCGTCACGCCATTGGCTTCGGCAGCGACCTTGATGAGGCCGGACATCATGTTGCCCTTCTTCTTGACGCTGGACCAGGCGTCGAACTCGACCGTGCTTACGGCCGGCAACGAAGCAATGACGTTGCCAAGAAGAGTGCGACTAAAGGCCTCGTAGAAGCCCTCGGAGCGACGGAAACCCTTGAAGATGCCGTCGCTGGGGTCGCATTCCACAAGGACCTTGAGCTTGTGCACATTGATGCAGTCCTTTAGCCCGAGCGCATCGTTGACAGCCCACCCTTTGGGTGGCGCATTCCACCCAGGCCCGAGGCGCAATTCCAGGGTCGTGAGGCATTCGCGCTGGCGGGGCTTGAGGCGGGCGAGCAAGGGCCGCTTGCTCTTAAAGTACTTGCCCGGATACGTGGGGAAGAGGCGAAAGGTCCGGGTGCCGTAGTAGTAGTACGTTGCCTCTTCATGGAGCAGCCTGCAGACGCGCATGAGGCCGAGCTTCTTGTGGATGCGCTTGTAGTTTTCGGGAGACAGGTCCAGGACCTCGCCGTCGTCTTCGAAGTAGTATTCGTATATCTTGACGCGCAGCTCCGAGGGCAAGGAAAGGAAGTGGAACGGCGTTGCAGGAACACGCGGCGCCTTCTTCCGGAGCGGGATCAATGGGGTGTCGAGAGTAAGAGAAGCAATTGATATATTGTTGATTTCATCGTCGATGCTGCCGGGAGCAGGCGCTTGTGGCTCTTGCTCCGGCGGTTGAAGATCCTGTTCTGGCGACTGGGGGCTTGTTGCCAGCGCCTGAGGCTTCTGCATCGTAGCTTGCGGCTTGCCCATTATAACGTGCGACTTATGCGCCGCTACTTGCGACTTCTTGGCCGTGGCCTGGGCCTTTCTCGGCGCTGCCGGCGGAGGAGGCTTGGTAAGAGATGGTCGTCGACCAGTACTCTTGGAAGGATGCTCGGACATGGTGAAATGATGAAACGAGGAGATGTTATGTCGGTTTCCAATCTCGAGGAGCGAAGAACAGTGGTGCAAACAGAGTCGTTATTCTGTAGTATTTCCCAATCTTGGTCTTGCGCGCATGCCACACCGGCGGTTAAATAGGACGGGTAGAGTCAGTCAATCAATCACAAAGGAACGAGGAGCCTCGTCGAGGGTGGTTCCATGGCGAGGTGACAGTACTCGAGATGAACCACCCTCTAGATTGCACCAAACGCAAAGGCCATGATATTGATTGGACTGATTGGCGGACCGGTTTCGCTTGGGGAGATCAGCCGATGTCGAAGGAATGGCGACTGTTCCAGAGCGGAGTGAAACAGGGACAGGGTTGAATGTGACGAGAGTCTCAGGAACAGTAAGATTAATGACAGCGGCAATAGGAGGAGGAGTGAAACAAGGGTTTGCTCGCGTGAGGGGGAGAGACAAAAGACGGGAGAAAAGCTGGGGAAAGGCAACTCTGGTGTCTATGACAAACCGGGAATCTACTTGAGAGGCAAAGTACTCGGTACAAGCCGGAGGTTTTGGAGATTTGACATTCCCCAATTGGCACTTTCACGTGAGCCGCTCGATTGCGCGCTAGTCCGCAGACGGCAGTGAGGGGCCCAAACGGGGCAAATGCAACGGACCCCACCACGGAAGAAGAACATGCCAGAATCGTGTAAACTTCGGCTGAAACAATCCCGGCAAAAAAATTCTGGATGACGGTGGCGGGTCAATAACTCGTATGCAAGAGGAGAGAAGACGACTTGACTTTGCGTTGAGCCACTAAACGTATCGTTCCATGAACTATTTCCTGACGTCGACCGTCTGAACCAGCCAACCAAGAGCCTTGGATCCGGCGGCATCGAGATCAACGTCGAGCGACCGGGACATGCGCAATTGAAGCGTCTCGCATCTGTCTTGAGGCCTTTGCACCGTCCATCCCACTTGCAGTCGCATCTCCACGATGCTCTCCAGAGTAGCTCAAGCCTCGCGGCTGGGGCTGGCGGCCAGCCGGCTACCACGAACAGCCGTGCGTCAGCCGATCCGATTCCCGGCAGCTGCTTCTCCGGCCTCGCAATTCCTCCGTACCTATGCGAACAAGAAGTCCAGCCCCGAAGAGACTCCCCGACCAGCTCCGAAGCAGCCCTCACCCGGACCAAAGGACCCCGCCGCAGAAAGCTCACCAGCGCAAGAGCCAGCCGAGCAGAAGCCCGCCGAGTCTGCTGAGCCGGAACCCATACCCTTCCACAAGCTTCCCGATCTCACCCAGGGCATTCCCTCGACATTGGAGGCCGAGCTCGAGCAGAGAGCCGGCAAGTCGCCCTCGTCTCTGACGCTCGGCGAAGAGGAGGCCGCTGCTGGCGGAGGAGGAGGCCGAAGCCGAGGACCAAGGGAAGAGTATGTCTCTACCAGCGAGCGCAACCGCAAGTGGTGGACTCGCTTCATGTTGGCCGTCGCGGGTTCGGGATCGCTGGTGGGCATCGCATACATGGGTCGCAACTGGGAAGACACCATCGAGGCAGAGCGCCACCCCGATATTCCCAATGGCTGGAGCCCTGCGCTGTGGTGGCAGCGCACCAGAGCTCGATGGGGAGAGTCTGTGTCGTACTACCAGGACCCTGCCTTTGAGAAGCTACTACCTGACCCCGACCCGAGCTTCGAGCGCCCGTACACCCTCTGTATCAGTCTGGACGACATGCTCATCCACAGCGAATGGACCCGAGAGCATGGTTGGAGAGTGGCCAAGCGCCCTGGAATGGACTATTTCGTCCGATACCTGAGTCAATACTACGAGCTTGTGCTCTTCACCACTTCCCCCTATGGCATGGCAGAACCAGTGGTTCGGAAATTGGATCCTTTCCGCTTCATCATGTGGCCCCTCTATCGCGAGGCGACTAAATATGAGGATGGAGAAATTGTCAAGGTAAGCCTTTAGCACTAGTCAAGCTCAACACAGCGTAACTAAACTCGTGCTCAAAATAGGATCTCTCCTACCTCAACCGTGACCTTTCCAAGGTCATCATCCTCGACACCAATGCATCCCATGTCCGCAAGCAGCCTGAAAACGCCGTCATTCTAGAGCCTTGGAAGGGTGATGCAAACGATAAGGAGCTTGTCGCCCTGATTCCTTTCCTCGAGTATATCCACACCATGCAATACTCGGACGTTCGAAAAGTTCTCAAGTCTTTCGAAGGAAAGCACATTCCTACCGAGTTTGCCCGCCGAGAAGCTATTGCTCGAAGAGAGTTCAACAAGCAGCGAGCTGAAAAGTCGAAGCATGGAAAGCCTTCCGGCATGGGTGCTCTTGGCAACCTCCTTGGCCTGAAGCCTAGCAAGATGAGCATGACGGTGCCCATTGACGGAGAGCAGGATCCTACCGAAGCTTATGCTCAGGGCAAGATGCTTCAGGACATTGCCCGCGAGAGAGGCCAGCGTAACTACATGGTTCTTGAGAAGGAGATTCGCGAGAACGGTGAGAAGTGGCTCAAGGAGGAGCAGCAAGCTATGGAGAAGGCCCAGCAGGAAATGATGAGCAGCATGATGGGTTCCTTTTCCGGCATGTTTGGCCCCAAGAAGGAGGGCGGCGACGGCACCAAGGCATGAGTCGCCTTACCAGAATGAAGAAAGGTAAAAAGAACAAAAAAAAAATGGTGATGGATACGACGTTTCTCTCTCTCTCTCTCCGCTACATAATTGCTTCAACCACATAATAATTGTAAAAACACCAAAAGGGGGAAACGAACGTGGCAAGGTTATGGTCCTCGGATTCGTCCACCGAGAACGGGATTATTTGCATATAGAAATTTTTCGGCATCATCGGCAGGGGGGCCAACGAGCCTTTTTTTGGCTGAGAGGGCGATTAAAGGGAGGGGAGGGGCGCGAGGTGATCTCTTTGATCATGTTTTGTATTTGCTACGAACAAGAAGGATGAAAAAATACTTCTGTGTAACTTGACTTGTATACTAGAGGATGTATGAGACGACGATGGATTATGTTGAACAGGAGCAAATGTAAGAGAGTGTCTGAGTGCAGAGCCGTGATGTGATTGATGTGAGGACTTGGTATTATTAGTAGGTATTAATTGTGTGTATCTAGCCTCCTGTTTCTCCTTTTGGTTCTGGTAATCCAAACAAACAGAGTGTAAAGAATGCTTGCTTCTGACTTGCGAATACCTCACAAGGTAGAGGCGAGTCTTGTTAACAAGCCGTTTTCAAATCATCCTGAAGCAGAATTAAGCCCTTCGGATTTCACCACACACCATCATCCCATTAAGTGCCAATTCTCCTAAACTTTCCAAACACGCCTCATCACTCGGTCGTAACTCCACCGCCGCCCAACTACCTCATGGAAAAAGACATATCACATAGGCGTTACGGAAACAGTCACCAAGCTCGTCCGCGTCAAAGTAACGAACCTCGTCGTCGTTATCTGAGAAGGCTCCACGACCACGACATGCATCGTGCCGTCCGAGGAAGTAAAATACGTTCCTGGCAGAAGCGTCATGTAGTCTGTGCTGAAGAGCTTCGTCGCGGGAGGAATTGGGTGGGTTGTTGTGGTGGTGATGTTGATCCAGCAGTGGTCGCAGCGGGGGTTGGTGACGCATTGGAAGTATCTGTAATGATGAATTTTTTATTAGAAGAATGTTTATTGAGGTAGTATGTGAAGGTGTTATCTTACTCTTCGCCGTTTTTGTCTTGGATGCGTGTGCAGTCGCATTCAGCACCGGGTTTACACATGTCTTTCCAGGGATCTGAAGTCGTTGTGGGTGTTGGGAACGACGTTGTTGGAGGCAGTGGTAGAGGAATTGGATGAATGGTAGTTGGAGGAGGATCAATTTCCACACTTCGGTTGTGATAATGAGTATGTGTGAGAATTTGGGGGAATGAAAGGGCCACAGGGAAGTGGAAGAAGATGGCGATGAGAACGCGTAGGAGCATCATTTTGACCGAGAGAATAGCGCGGTAGGAGAAGATCGTTGGTATCGAAGCATCCATTGTCTGTATGAAGGCTTTGAGAAGAGAGGAGAAAGAGAAGGATAACGACATATAAGAGGGAGCCCGTAGAGTTTTTATCGCCTTAGTTACAGTGGGAGAAATGGAAAGAACAAGATGGCCTTGTGGCACAAGATCTAGCCATCCGTCAAGCTTCTCGGGAACTATATCAAAGTGTTTGTTTGCTCACGGGCCATTTTCTAACGGATGATTGCATCTCAGCTATATCGAATCTTGCAACACCACGATTCAACATTACACCAAGCCATACTCCACCAACTCGTACTCCCTCAATGGAAGAGACAAGTTTGCTCACACATAATCAAAATAATGACATATAACTCGGTCCACCTCAACGGCTACAAAATCCCGGGCTTTAGTGTAACTCGGTAGAGACATGCTTGAATATCGTATACGTTACTCGGCAGCGGCAAACACTGGATCGGCATCTTGTGCATGGCTCCTGCAGATGAAGTCGCACAACAGAATGATGAGATGATCAAACTCAAACCCTAATGTCTTTGAACAATTTTCCAGAAGGCTATGCTTCAGAAGTTCATTGGCAGTGGTTCTAGCACAAGGCTTAACCTCATCCACATTCGTAAACTCCCCTGGCCAATATAAAGAATGGCATAGATCAAAGCAACAAACTCATTTTCATAAAGTACCCAAAAGAAATCCATATCATCCTAAATTTGTAAAGATAACAGCCCCCGGCTATGCATTCACAAGCCATGCGTTCCTTGACCATTACAAAGAGAAGCCCAGCAAACACGTAACAAGAATCCCCACCCCCAATTCATGCGTATGCTACATAAACACGTCTATTATCGTACAAGAAAACGTTGGGTATTCGCTACCATATCCAATCACCCCTTTATCCTAGCATGTCCGTTCTGTGACGCCGCGTCATCTCTCTTCTGATACCACCAGGGAGCAATCTTGCGTCCTCCCCAGGCAACCCCCTGAAAGAAGCGTGCATCCACATCAACTCCCACGAATCCCAAAATGCTCACCAGGATGTACACCACAAAGGCGACGACGACTCCTAAATCCAGAAAGTGAACGAACCACCAAAAGTGCTGTGTGCCCAGACGACAGTTGACAAACTCGTACTCCCACTCCCACGTCTCCTGGTTGAACCACATGCTGAGAAGGCCGGCATTGCCGCTAAAGTCGCCCATCATGCTACGCACGGTAATCTCTCGGCGGCCTGGGACACCTGAAGAGGTCAGGTTTGGCAGTCCTCGAGCCTGGGCATCACGCCATCTTGCCACTTCCCAGAAGCGCTCACTTGGGTCTGTGCCGTTTGTCTGGTTGATGAAATGGTATGTATCACAACCCTCGTGATCGTGTCCGTTGAGAATCAAGCCTTTGCGGCCTCGTCCGCCAGCGGCTGCGTTGGGGTCTTTGTTCATGCCGTAGAATCCCTCGAGGAAGCCTTTGCTTGCGTCCGCACTCAACAGATACTGCTCCTTCACACCACCTCCATCCTCTGGGCCGTGGAAGTCGAAAAAGGGTGCATCGACGCAGATGCCTTCGGGTTTGTACAGAGGAATATGGGTCAAGACGAGGGTGAAGATGCCTGAGTATTCGACAGCGGCCGAGGTTCCAATGACAGTGTTGATGAACTTGTACGTCGCATCTTGCAGGTCTGTGTCCTTCGCAGGAGTGTCGAGGTTCATATCATTGAGAACGACGATGCGGATCTCGGGCTCCAATCGATTCGACTCGGGGTTCCTTTGGTCGTGGTGAATAGTAGCTAACACATCTGTGTCGTTGATTGGAATTCCGAATCGAAGCTCGTAATTGACTTTACCAAAGACACGCTCGAACCGCTCTAGGCGCTCCGGCGTCAAGTCTCCGGCATATCCAATATCGTGGTTGCCAGCAACGTTGATAATTCGCTTTGTCCAAATCTCTTCCGCCTCGGATCCATCCAACATGCCCGTCAAATCATATTCGTGTGCCGGCCACGTGGCGACATCATCGGGAACTCTCTCTCCGCCGCGGAAAGCTCTCTGCCAGAACCTCTGACCTCTCTCCTCGAATTCATCGTCTTCTATCCATTGACTGCCCAAGAGATCTCCAAGAACACTAACGTGTGTTGGACGTGACCACCAGTGTAGGGTTCTGTAGATGTGGGCGAGGTAGAAGTCGTTGCCGAAGAGGTCCAATCGCTTGCGCCAGGAGTCGAGATAATATGGAATGTCTTCGAAGATGACGTCGACGATATCGTGCACCGTCCAGCGGATGCGCTCTCGGAACGACCAGTGCGGCGTCTGAAAGGTGAGATGCTTGTAGATGCTGATTACGTGGGGGAACGTGCCCAAGAGGACCGTCGGAATCGAAGTGTCGCCCTCGAGCTGGGGATCGCCCAGAGCAAGCAGTCGGAAGGGAGCCAATTGAGTTGGCACATGGTCTGGATCGGATTCGGTCTCGTTGAAGGGCCAATGCAGCCGTTTCGTTGCTTCAAAGGCTTCGTGGGCGTCTCTCGAGGGCAGGGGAAACGCGCAGCCGCCGAACAGGGGATAAAGATACAGGTAGATCGTGCAGGCTATCGCCAGAGGCACCAAGAGGCCCAAGCCATTGCGCAAGAAAGCCGCGACTAACATGTAGCCAGCCTCATGTGCAAAGAGCACGCCAGAAAGGAACAAGTAGAAGAGCAAGGAGGAAAGGAGAGATGATGTTTTGGCCAGAGGTTTCAGTTGGCGATGTGCTGCCAAACTACGGGTTATTTGGGCGTAGGCTTTTCAGGGGTCCAACTCGCCTTAACAGCAGGAGCCACGAGTACTTGCGTTTGCGCTAAAGTAGCGTGCAATCTTGAGTATCTGCTAGTGCCCCGCATTAGTGCCTGACCATCCCCTAATTGTTCCACGTGAAGAATCCATGGACGCATCTTGTAGTCTAGATGTCAATGGTTTGGAGTGAGATCTACATGTATTCAAGCCGGTGGAAAGCATACCGTACAGAGTATCTATCTTGAGGGCCGTGTATTCTATTAGGTATTTATTCAGTCTGTTGGGTAATGCAGAATTTATGGACATAAGCACTTGCACTAGTGCTGAATCGGTTGACGGAAAACAGATGAACAGTTACAAATTCAGTTCGTACTAAGAAAGACTGCTTCAACGTGTACTGAAACAAAACAAAACCAAAAAAAAACATCAAATCCATATCCATTTCCAGCCATTCCATTATTCCGTCATAGTCATTTCGTCGTAACCCAAACAAATGCAATGAATCGTCAATGAGGGTCCAAACGCTGCACAACTTCGGCTGATCCGAAAGAGTTGGACATTTCACCATCGATCAAAATGGCAACATCTCCCAGACCAAGGCCTCTCCATATTCGTTAAAAGCAATGATTTGGCTCAGGGGCATCATGTGAATCCATTTCTGCAACCATCTCTTCAAATCATTTGCCAATTCCGATACAGAGACTGTGATCTGCCACTTGTTGTCTCAGTCTGCCGGGACTCCCTCGAGTTTCCATAGTATGCTTGGTTGTAGCCTCACCTGAGGACTGTGCAATAAGAACAATCAACAAATTCTCGTTTTTTCTTGTTTTTCCTTTTAATTTTTTTTCTTTTCTTTTCTTCGTATCATAAAAAAGGTGGCTCAACCCCCGCTCCCATTCTAATCATTCTGAAACTCTTTCCTTCGGCAAATCTCCATCAGAATCAAGGCGGCTAACACATATAAAAACAAAGCCTGGCGAAACCCGGCAATCCTCAAGGGGCTTGAGGGGGGGTCTCAAAAAGGAGATATCTCAAATAAGCGGCAGCGGTGGCTGCTGCATTTTTATGCCAATCGTCATTCTTGTGCGAGTCTGCATAGTCGCAGATTCCTCGAATGACCAAGCAGCCTTTGGTCACCATCACACCAGTAGCCTCCATCTCAATGCAGATCGCTCCCGTTTCAGCTCCTATGCTGTCTCTGAGGGCAGCGTTCTTTACAACCTGACTTCCGGTGGCAATAGTACCGTAATGAATATGTGGCGTTCGGGTCCGAGGTTTTCTATTGATCTCAGGACCTCTACAGTCTTGACACCCAGAAGTGACTGTTTGAATACTGGAATCGGCCGATGAGTGCGAGCTTGACTGATGACTACCTGAAGCTCCTTTGTAACATGGCAAGGCGAAGTAGCCCGAAGCCATGGTGTCATCAAAAGTCGAGTACCCAAGCCTGAAATCTGGGTAATTGGCCATAATTCCGTTTTGGACAACCAAATCAAGTATCTCTTGGCAGGCGACGTCATCTTTTGACACAAACATGACAGTGGGGTATGCCCGCTTAGCCCGCTTTCCAACCATATGCAGTCTTATTAAAATAGGAAAAGTTGTCGGGGGGCGATGTTCGTCCAAGAGCTTGCAAATAGACTGCTTGAGGTTGTTTTCGTATACTTCTCTAACCTCCCCTATGGCTTCCCAATAAAATATACTACCCCGCTGCCTTACTTCTAAAGTTCCTAATAGCTTTCCAACGGAATCTAGGGCTGAGTTCTGTGCGTATGGAGAAATATATCGTTGCGGTGGATTATTATTCATCGTGGCGCTTTTTTTTTTTTTAGCTGCATTCACTGGGATAGCCAAGTTTGCTGATTTGCTGTTGGAAAATTTAGGGATGGCGAAGCTTTGAAGAGCAACAGAAGAGAAAAGCCTAGCAAGTAAGGCTTTCGGCGTGTAATAATTATGTTATTAAAAAAAGGTGTTTAATATTGAGCACACCAACTTGGGTGTTATATTGAATCGGTGAAAGTTTTTGGTTATATCGTTAAAATATGGCTGCAAGAGCTCTTATATATATACAATCTACGAGATTCGCAAATAGATATTTGTCAGGGACAATCCTAGTAAACATTAAATCGGGCTTAGATATGAAGAGTCGGGGGAAAGAGAAGGATGGCAAGGTCTTGGCAATGCTTGTGATGCCTAATATCCGCATCAACTATTGGACGAGAGATTTTTGTGCACTGCCTCGATATGCATATGCGGACAAGGTAAAGCAACAAGGCTCACAAGCGGTTTCACATGCTGCAACTCGGGATATATTAGCCGCCGATAGTCTCATCTCGGCCATGAGCGGGCTGGGTACATGTAACAATGCGTCAATGCCTCTTGAAACTATGCGTAATACTGCTAAAGATGGATTGAATTCTTGAACATGAATGCACGTAGCATCAAGGCAACTCAGGCATCACATAGCAATCCCATTTTCTAACTAAATTAATCCCATTCTAGAAGTATACTTCGCCCTTGATATGAGGCTTTTAATTCCAACTGTAACTAGGCGGTCGTACAAAGTGCCGAGATTGGATGGTTGCACAACTGATGGATAGTAAACACTCGTATGGAGTATACGCGCCCGGCTTGCTACAGTAAGCTATAAGGTCTATTTTAATCGAATACGAAGTCTATGTGAAAACCTCCCTTTCAATAATGCTTAATGAAAGATGGTATTTGCCCAAAATTTCTAGCTCATTATCCATACCGATACACCTAGATGCGATGAACATCCTAGGCACCGAGAATTCTCCTCGAAGACCTGGCGTATCAGATTTTGCCACGTCTTATATAAATATTAACTTGACTATTTTGTAAACATGAGTAGAAAAGTCGAGTCGTGGCCGCCGTTGACTCACGCAGTGAGCTTGAATTTAGAGATGGCATCGCTTTCAAGATAGCTGCGGAGCGTAGAGAGACCCGTCACGTGCGATATCCCACAAGTACCTAGAACCTCATGTTTAAATAAGAGCCAAGTTGACTTTAACAAGTGCCCACAAGCGCATGCTTAGATTCTTGATAGCATCATCTACTGTTGAGCGTCCATTCTCCCCATATGCGTCCACAGACAATGTTGATAGGCTCCCAAGGAAGGTCAAATGCTGCAGTTTGGAGTATTTTTGCCACCAAAGTTTCATCAGAGAGATATTTAAACAGTATTTCACTTGCGTAACGGCACAAACCTGCATGCTGCCGCCTAAATCTGCGGATGTGTGCATAAGCGCCTTGATAATGAGTTTATGCTAACACCGGCTGCCTCTCAATTTGGGGGCCATATCTTCTCTTTGGCTTTTTCCACGTGAAATCTAGGTACTCCTAGCTCCTGTTGTGAGACTTTTGATTGCTATACTTGATTGAAGTACCTGCTAGTGCCTGACCATCCCCCTAAGTGTTCCATGGATGTTGTAGGATGTAGCAGTACCTATGCAGTATGCCGGTTCAAGTCGCTGTGATGCTCTAGAAGAAGCAAGATATTAAGTCATTTTTCGCCTTGAGTGTTTTGGCCGGCCGTTGTATACATCACTTTTATTGTTTATCTAGTTATAAAGGACATGCAAAGTTCGTAGATATTCGCACTTATTAAACTAGCGCTGAAGCGTGACATAGACCAAGTTCAATAACTATTATATAGTTCAATTTATCCAAGATAGACCACCTGCACGGACGAAGAATATTTCTTTATTGATTACCGAACCAAAAAACAACGCCTAGCTACTATTCCATATCCAGCCGGTTCAATCATTCCGTCGTATCCCAAGTATATATCATGAATCATTAACCTTCGCCAACGTTGGTTGATCTGAAGAACAAGGTGTTGCCGAGTAAATGAGCATAGCGCCAAACTAAGGAGATGTGGAAATTCATCTCTCAAAAGTGTTCTGGGGTCGGCCGTTGTGCTGTTTAGTCTGTCAGGACACCTTCAATTTACCATAGTATCCGTGTCTACAACCTTCCGATCTAAAGAATGAGGTTTTCCAGGAGACATTGCTGCCAAAACAAACTACTTTGAGTGGAGCTGTTTGAGCAAAACATTGGACGACCGTTAGTGCCGACAATTGTTAAGCAATGATGTCGTTTTCAGGTATGCTTGTCGTTCGATCCAATAGTTTCTGATTTTTTTTTTCCCCTTTTTTTCTTTTTATTTTTTGCTCAGGTTATTGATTTGATCTTCGTCCCAGTGCCCCATGTGGGCTATCTCGCAATCGACGATGGGGGCATTGGCTGTGCCATACGAAGACGGATCAGCCTTGTAGTACGAAGCGTCCATGCTAGAATGGCTGCCCTCAACCGTGAGCGAGATAGTAGTGGAAGTGTTATTGGCGGCGGGGGTCCTGTCAAATATAGAGGCTAAGCGAGTAGCGAATTCTTGCTTGGCTGTGGTTGAGTGTTGTTCGTTAATAATAATATTGTTGGTATCGTTGGTGCTTTCGCTACCAATAGTATGAAGGCCGGTGGCAGAAGTGGTGGTTGTAGTCTGACTATAACCGCCTTCGATGCCCGGTCCATCTCTATTCCAGACGTGGTCCCACTCACGCTGAGCTGGTAAGAACAAGAGAGAATCTTTGACAGTGTCGGTGACGACTGAGAATGGCTCACGGATGGCATGCTCATTGTTTTCAGTGTTGGAGCTTTGTGGGTTTCGGGCTGCGGCGGAAGTAGAGGAGAGGTCGACTGCCTTCGGGTACGACGGCTGAGCAGAGCCATGAGAGGTAGTCAGATTGCTGCAATCCATGCATAGAGGTTTTTCCGCGAGACTTTGAGAATACAAACCCAAACTACTTTGGGTGGAGCAGTTGGAGCAAATGATCTGGTGGATATCAGAACTGTCATCAACCGTTTGCGTAGAGCTTGAAGACTCCGGTATATCTGAATTCATTACCGTGTCTTCCTTGTCGTCACATTCCATGTCTGAGGAGCCGCCATTTGTGTCTGCACTTGTGCCACCGGCTTCAGGGACAACTCGCCCATGTTTGCCAACTCGCACCTCACAACACCAGTCTTTGAGCTTTTCTGTCAGCGGTGTTCCGCTGTCACCGGTATGTGATTTCCCGGTGGCCGGGTCTCTGATATGCCTAAGATATAAGTGGGCTATTGCCCGATTCAAAGAGGTGTATTGTTTCTGTGCTAGGCAGGGTTCACACTTGAATAGTGGATTGATGGCCTGGACATCAGATCTGATACCAACGGAGGCGGGGTCGCGGCATATGAATGTCTTGGATATCTTTTGATCATCATGTCGAAGCATATGACGATCGAGCTCGTGAGGCCCTCGGAAGCCATCTGGGTGGTCGTTACAGACAGTGCAAAAGACCCTAGATGCTTTGCGCCTCTGGTATGAGTTTGAACGTCCGCTTGAATGGCTAGCGGTCGCTTTCCGTGGCTTGGTGATAGGGGCCACTGTTGGGCTATCTTCATCAATATTCATCTCTGTGACTGGAACTGAGGATAAGTTGGTTGAAGTGAGCGCTGGGGATGTTAATGGGGAGAAATATGCCCCTTGAACCGAATCAAAGCCAACAAATGGAACGAGTGATGGTGATACTAATGGTGTAAAACACGTATCATAAGACGAACCAGAAGCGACTGATATCTCTGGTGCGTACCCAGTTGACGGGACAGAAGAAGATGCCCACGGCTCCAGAAGTGGTTGATATGTTGCCATTAGGGGATCGCGACGGTCTATTTCATACGCGCTCCTCGCTAGTTCCCCCCGCCTCTCAGGAACGATATGCCATTTCATCTCCTTCATAGGCTCTTTAGTAGAACCGGCAACTTCTTCAAAAGAATTGTCAAGTTGAAGTCTGAGCCGAACAAAATTCTACCGCTCAAGGTCAGCGCGTATAAAAAATAAATTGCCGAAATGATGAAGCCAATTACTAACCTGCCAACCATCAGCCTCATGCAGGAGGCGATAGTAAGGATGACTATTCTTAATAAAGGTAAAGATGCCATCTATATCAAGCTCGCCGTTAGGCGCATTAAGAATGGCTTGCGTTATCAGCTGAGTATAGCTGTACTGTGGATTGATGTGTTGGTTGTTGTAGAGAGCAAAGTCGTCGTCACTGACTTCAGGAAGAGCCCCTGGAGTGCTCGCTGTTACAGGAGACTTTGCAATCGTCGATGTACTCGGCCCCTTCATATCTGCCTTAACCAGAGAACTGGGAGCTAAACTGGAAACCTCGGTAATGAATGTGGATAGCGCGCCCGTTTCATTCAAAAAGTAAAGAAAGTCAATATCCCAAGATTGGGATGGTGATACATGAGAATTGACGTTAATTAGCTGATAAGGGGAGTCGGAAGATGAACTGGGAGTCATAGTCGACAATGAATTTGGCGAGAAACTGAATCCGAGTGGCGATGTATTCAAGGATTGGGGTAGAGGTGCCAAGAGGCCGACAGTCTCCTTGCTAGAATTGGAGAGAATCCGATCTTTTAGAGGATGAAATGATGGCGCAGAGGGGTCGGTGTTGGAATCAGGAAGATATTCATTGGTTGAAAGGAAGTCTTCGACCGGGGTGTCATTGTCCGCACCAATTGAACCAGGAGATTCATCGGCCTCAACCTCTTCAAACCATAACCGAAGTTGAGACATAAGTGGCCAATTACCATTTGTCTTACCTCTACTTTTATTCATGTGGCCTGAAATCCCTAGTGGCCGCCGTTGCCTGAAATGTATCCGCCGAAGATGAGCTGCCGCGTTATAATATGCACCATATTTCTTCTTAGATGAACAGGCTCGGCAACGGGAGAGAGGATAATCAGGCTTTAGCTCGGAATAAAGACCTGCAGTAGCTGGATCCCGGCAGACGTATTTTTTGATGGGTTTAGACTGCGTGGGCTCTTTATCGTTTCCTGGTCCAAAAATGCCCGGGATGATATTTGGAAGGTGTTGTGAAATTTTGGTCATTGAAGGTTTTGCCGAGCCATATGTGCTGTCGTGATCATCCTCTACACTCTGCAATACCAGGTTTTCGAGTTCTTGATCAGACTCTAGGGACTCTACCAATGGAAATTGTTGATCCAACTGAGTCCGAGCGTGTTCAAAAACAAGCTTGGCGGGCATGATGGCAGTCAAGCCATTGGGGAGATTGCCCGCAAAGACATGCCCAAAAAGACGACCAGTCACTTCGTCTCTAACCCAGCTTCCGCAGTCTCCGGGGCCGAGGGATCCAAAGAATCTCGCGGTATATACCTCGACGAACTCTGTAAACTGAGGAAGCCGTACGGTGAGAGTATCCTCTGACATGACTCCACGAACGGTATCACCATTTGAAGTCATTGCCTTCACATCTGTCTTCCGGGGACCAGACTCGACCTTGTCGAGATCAGTAAGTGAAATGGCGTTGTTGAATAAGGCGGCGGAAGGGGAGATTATATCCACTTCAAAGAGGGCATAGTCAAGCGATTCTTCGCAGAGAACGGGACTGACTTTGCCGACTAACCGCCTTTCCGATAAAAAGGATTCTTGTGGAGAGATGGGGGATCTCCGTTGAGAATTTCCATCGCTTTCTGAGGCTGAGATGGGGGTATCTGAGTCGCCAATCTCGGATTCCTTACTCTCGTCCACATCAGAAATGCTACCTTGTCTTACTGTTTCAACAAATTCTGTGTCTGTATCATCGTCATCGTCATCGTCGAAATCGCCTAGACCTGTGATTTCGCAATCGCTGATCTGGTTCGCCTCGGCAATGTGCACTGGCAACTCGATAGTTGGTGGATCTTTGAGGAAATGGCTAACGGTGAGCAGCATATGTCTCCTTCCATAGCTTACAACACCACCAGCAGTAGCCAGTCGAAGCGGCTTTTCGGAATCGGAAGACGGGCGATATGCCAATTGGCAGCAGTCTGAAGCATCTTCGCGCTGAGCCGTAAAGGCGAAGACCGTCTCGTCTGCCCAAGCCATGAGCTTTTCAAAGTCTGAGTGCCCAAGTTCGAAGCCTGGGTATTTAGTCATAATGTCGCTTTTAATAATTAAATCATATGCTTCCTTGCGGGCGACTTTATCGTCTGACACGAACATGACAACAGGCTTTGCTCGCTTTGCCCGCTTTCCAACCATAAAAAGCGGTATAGAAAGGTAGCTGCCAGACTCTTGCGCCTTGTCGCTGTGTTCAATCAAATATTCGAGAATAGTCTTTTTAAGGTCGCTTTCGAATAACCTTCGAGCCTCCCCCTTGGCCTCCCAACAAAGAATGTCACCTAGCAGCCCTGGATGTAGAGTTCCTAATAACTTTCCAACTGAGTCCTGTGCCGAACTTTGCGCGTATGGCCACGTCTTTGGACTTCGCGAAACGATATTCATCGCGGCGCTCTTTAGTGGCTGTTTTTACCAGGACAGTCAAGCAGAGTTGTTGGCCGTTGACTCATTTGGTGTATTTAGAGATGGCGGAGCTTTGAAGTGTAATAGAAGGGAGATGCCTGGCAAGTGCACATGTAATTTTCGGTAGGCATGGATGGCATTGTTTAAAAAGGGTGTTAGCTAGACTTGGGTTTGAAACGCGGGAAAGGAGAAGGATGGTAACATTTTGGCCATGTTTATGATTCCTGATGTCATCCGCGTCAACTATTGGACGCGAGATATTCGTGCACTGCCTCGATATGCGTATGCAGACAAGGTTGATAGAGCGGCAGGGCTCACAACTAGGCTCACATGCTGCATTTTGGAGCATTTTAGCCGCCGATAGTCCTACCAGCTATTTGTAGAGGGTTGCGGGCAGTAAACAATGCATCTATGAGACCGTGGGCCTATGTGGAATACGGCAGAAGATGGATCAAGCTCTGAAATCCAAAAATGAATTCGCATGACATAGAAGTGGCTCCCCATGCATCACTTGGTGATTATATTTTCTTTCTGGATTTCTTCAATTCTAGGTGTGCTTTTCGCCCTTCTTGTGAGGCCTTATTTCCAATATTTTGTTCTTAGTGGCTTTTTGAAGGCTGTGTCCGCCTTACCTATTCCGCCACGAATCCTGGTATAAGTGAGGGTGACATTCAAAAGCCCCAGCAATGAACCTCTCAAATCGCCCCATAGGTAGGAGAATGAACAAAATTCAATGATTCTATCTATCCCTAAGTCCCTGTAACCTATAAATCTCATCTATTTCTGATGCTATCGCGATGAACCCCAACGTCACTCAAATTTCGCAGGTGGAGGCTTTGAACGAGCCGCTGCAGAAATTCCCTATCTCATCGTCAATACAGGAGGGGCTACTCGAGGCACTATGGCAGGCCTCAGACCGTCATGGTAGCATGTCGCCTTATTTCAAATATTATTCTAAGCGTATCCAACGTCTACGACTCGATGGCTGTGACGGATTTTGTGCCGACTCTCACGCAGACATTACCTCGATTGCTAAAAGAATCCTGTCTGGGGCTCCCAGGGATGATATATTTCAGCAAGTGGCCTTTGAAGCCAAATGCACATCTGAATCTGCAGCTGTGGATGTCAACCATGGCATAGACATGTGCGCGAGCTTGCTTGTCATGACGGAGATTGAACTTAATGGGAGCTCAGCTGGCCTATCCGGATTGACTGCTGTACCATGGAAGAATGGGTCGTTGAATGAAGCTTTGGCATGTTATTTCTGTCCTCAAAAGACGCTGCAAGCGGATCGGCCTAAACTTGGCAAAGTATTCACAGCTCGAAATTTGAGTCGCATAGCAGGCATTGAGATTCGTTGGACAACAAATTTGGCCGACCATCTTCGTCTTGTAGACGATGACCAGGTTGTCTTTATTTTTCACTGCGCGAGTTTTCTTCAGCTGCAAAAGAGGTAAGAAAACAACCAGAAAAAATACAGCAAAACGTAGATGAGAGGCGCCAAACTAACCGACCGCACAGTCTCGATAAGAGCCCATTTCCGGATTCATTTCTCCAAGAAACGCTAGACACTCTCGCGCTTCTCTTCCCTTCCTCAGATAATGAGACTACAAACTGGCTAAAGAGCCTTACAAAGATTGATCCACGACTAGCAAGATGTGGTTCTCTTCGTACTCGCGAGCGCAGGCTTGAGAACTTCAATTACTGGCATGATCAGCTAGTCATTTTGAAGCAGGCGTTTGATGAATCTAGCCCTCGAAATATATCACAATGGTGGTTTGACAGGAGGAATGGCGTTCAATGGTATACATTTTGGATAGCAATACTCGTTTTTGTGGTTACAATATTCTTTGGTATTGTGCAGAGCATTGAAGGTGCATTGCAGGTGTACCTTTCTTATAAGAGCATCCAATCCGGTTAGTGATGCACATCGGATTTGGAGAGAAATTTATGAGCAAATGTCTACACGATATATTTATCTACTACGTAATATAATTTAGATACTTACCGGAGGTTTTTTTATATTATAATTGAGGACAGAAAGGTTCTATTCTACATATGAAGAATAAGTAATGAGTATAATCGTAAAAACGATTTTTATTAATTTCTGCTACCTGAAAGAGATGTATTCAATATATGTTAAATTGTTAATCTTGATGGGTGGTTTTTTTTTTTTTTTTTAATTATAACTGTTATCTTTTCCCAAAAAATGAAGATGTGTTTATCAAGGAGAGGTGCGTTAGTTGTACAAGTTGCTAGGATTGGATGCACATATATAAAGATATGTTGGTTTACTATCCTAAGCTGCAATTGACGGTCTGATGTGGTTGAACATAAAGTCTGTGTGAAACCCCCTATTGAAAGAGCATATGGTGAAATGGTGTTTAAAAGAAACGCTGCCTCGTCGTCCATGCTGATACTCCTTAGGACTTGGGTGAATTCAGAGGCGTTGAACATCTTGGTTCACCTGAAGGTTCCGGTATATCGGACTTCATCACTTGTTGCCACAGTCCATACCCACCGAGCCGCCCTCAGAGCCCGCACTTGCGCCCCCAACCTTAATGAGGATTTGCCCGTCTTTGCCAGCTTGCACTTCATGCAACTGATTCTTGTGCTTTCTTTCCTGTAACTTGGTGAGAGCATGTTCGAAGACATCTTTAGCGGGCATAATGAGAGTATTGGCAGAGAGATTAGAGCATTGACCTATTATATGTCCGAAGAGGCGGCCGGTCGTTCTGTCTCTGACCCAACATCCGCCGTCTCCAAAGATGATAGGGTTGGCGAATTCCGCGGCATACAACTCTATATTAAGGGTATCTCCATCATCTATTACTGTAGTTGCTGACATACGCCCGTAAACAACCCCACCGTTTGGAGTTACAGTCATAACATCTGTTTCCCGGGCACCAGGCTCAATTCGACTAAGATCGTCCAGCGGAATTGCATCATTGTATAACGAGTCTGAGCAGGAAACTAAATCCATTTCGAAAAGGGCGTACCAAAGTCTATGATCCCGAAGAACTGGCTTAGTTTTGCCAATTAATAGCCCACGGAGTTCTCCTCTTGCGTAAAGTTGATCGACCGCTTTTGAAGATTTCCGTCGCCTCTCTTGCGACTATCTGAGTTGTTAATGTCGGATACCTTAGCCACATCCACGTCGTGGATACCACCCACCCTCATCGATTTAAAAAGTCTTATAGCAGTATCGTCATTATCGTCGCCATCGTTGCGTTCATAATTATCACTATCACTCTCGTCATTTTCGTTATCGTTTGAACAATCCTTTAGGAGCAGTAGTTCAGATTCTCTTTCTTTGGGCGCCCTCAAGAAATTGTCAGAGCCGAGTAACATAACTTTCCCATTGAAAATTATGGCGCCACCAGCAGCACCGCTTTGCGGCTGTTGTTTGGAATCGAGCGATGAGTGCCTAGTAAATCGGTAGCACTCCGAGCCAAATTCATGCTTGGCCAGAAAGACGGAGATTTCTTCATCGACCCATGCCATATTTTTTCGAATTATGAGTAAATGATTTAGAGCTTTGGGTGTTTTGCTGCGATGGTGTGTCTAAAAATCAGATCAAGTGCTTTTATGTGGGCGCCTTTATAATCGGCATAATATGACTAGAGGCTTTGCTCACTTTATTCGCTTTGCCCGGTTCCTAATTTTAAACAAAGAGATAAAAAATTAATTAGCCGCTTCTCGCGCTTGTCGTTTTGTTCTCGTAGGTACTTAAAAAGTTTCCCTTTGAGCTTACTTCTAAACAATGTCCGGGTCTCCCCATTGGTCTCCTAACAAAGAACTTGCCTACCAACCTTTGATAATAGGTTGCTGATGGATTCCCCATAAAATCCTTTGTGGCATCTTATTTGCATGGCAACCACATACTTAAGATTCGCAACAAAGTCACCCTGGTGCTTATGGGTTTTCGGGGGTTGTAATTCTTAGAACGCCTAAGCCGAATTGCTGACCGTTTCGTTTAGAGAACATGTATCCATCTATGGAAGGATATGAAAGAGATAAGACGATGAATTTGGGCAGATGCTTAGTAGTAAAGATGATCCACAATAAATACCTAAGGATTTCATTATTTAAAAAAAAGGGTTAGTTAGACTTGAGATAAGCGCTCCGGAAAGGCGAGTAGCACTTGGCATTCTCGGACTTGCCGACATCTGCGGCCTGGGTGTATTTGTCTAAGCAAATCCCATCTCTGTCGATTCTAGAAATTTTAATAAATGTGGCAAAACCCACATGGCCAGTGAATCAATCTCGGAGTCACAAAGGACAGAGTCAGAAGCAGGCTCATAACGTATAGTTCGGTACGAGGCATCAATGCAGGCACCGGTTTTTTTTTTGCTTTGTTTGTTTTCTCTTTGTTCAGCAAATGAGAAACCTAGCCAATAGTTGACCAAGGAAACATGTCTTCCATCGGTAGAGGATTCTAATCCTTGTATTATTGCCGCCGTCATCAACTGTTGAATGCTAGATATTCTTTCACTATCCTGGTGTACATGTATGAATAGAAGAATGATAGGTTCACAGGCCAGCACAAATATTGCAGTTGGGAGTAGAGGAGGGAGTAGTTACACTCGAGGCCCCCTTGAATCTTTCCATGAACGGGAGCACCTGGATAAGGAAATGCATAAAAGGGCGTGATTTTGCCTTCCAGATTCCTCCAGCCTCTTCCAGCCTCTTCCAACGGCTTGTAACTCAAATTTCCACCCAAATCTGATAATACCACAATGAGCCTCACTCTTTTTGGCAGTTATCATCTCAATTCGCTGAAGGCGTTGCTGGGAGGCCTCCCGTCTGAGACAGCGCAGGCGGTGATACTCGACAAGCTATGGACGGCCTCAGACCGTCAAGACAGCATGCGTGCGTATTTTAATTATTACGAATCGCGCACTAATCAGCTGGTAGGTCCATTGAGGTATTCGTGGGGTGCCACTTTTAGCCCCCGTAAATTCTACTCTCTCAATCATTCAGATGTTGTCAAATGCGTCGAACATATCTTGTCTGGGGATTCGAGGCACGTGGTATTTCAGCATGTTGCCCAGAATATGTCTAGGTCGAGTAAAGCTCAAAAAAATCGATTCATAGACATGTGCGCATGCTTGGTTGCCATGGCGGAGATTGAGCTCAATGAAAATAACCCCAGACATGGAAGCAATCTTGCAATTATATCGTGGAACGATGGAGCCTTAAAGAAGACTCTTGAAGACTACTTCCGTCCCCAGGATGCACTATCAGCGAGAAACCTTGAGCTCGATACATTGTTTATGGCTCGAAACTTGAAGGCAGCGGGCATCAATATCAAATGGACGCATAATTTGGTAAGCCATCTTAATCTTGGCTGTTATTATGGTGTCCCGACCGTCGAAATTTTTTATTGCATGAGCTTTCTCGAGATTCAGAAAAGGTGAGAAGAAGAAAAAGAAGGGAGGTAGGAGAAGGAGATGATGATAATGGAGGGAAATGAGCTACAAATGGGAAATGCGAATGACAAACGGCAGACTAACGATCAAACAGTTCAGTTAAAAAGCTGTACCCTGCATCTCTTATTCAGGAAACCCTAGACGCCCTCCATCTTCTCTTTCCCGCATCAGACAAGGAGACCAAAGATTGGTTACAAGACTATAGACCTATTGGGAAACTTGATCCGCGACTTGCATGCAATGATCTGAAAGATCAGGATCGCAAATTTGAGCATTTTAGGTATTGGCATGATCGACTAGTCCTCTTGAAGCGGGCGTTTGATGAGAACTATCAAGAAGTCAATTAAAAAGTCCGGCAGGATGGCGAATGATTGTCCTATCGAGAAGAGGAATGATTATCCTATCGAGAAGGCGATTGGCAAGTACTAGCCCCAGAATTATTTCTTAATGTGCTGTGACAGAGGGAATATCTTTCAATTGGTCAACTTCTGGGTATGAGTACCTCTTTTGGCGGCGATCAAAGTCTTTGGCATTAACTGAAGTATTCAGGGTGCAGTGTGGGGTGTATCTGTCATTTGGGAAGTCATGTATGAGAGAATAATTGCGCTTCATCTCCATTAGGGTCTGTTAAAATTTGTTATAGGATCTTTTACTGTATGTTTGAGCAAATGAAAGAGAATTTTGTATTACAGACATAGTACACAACCAACGAGTATACTTTGGGGAACAATTCTTTACTTTTCTGCGAAGAAAACTTCTACATTTACGATATAATCCATATAGAGGCCCTTTATTTCTTCTCATTATATTTTAATTGATCATTTGATGCGCTTGCAATACAGGAAGAGTTTTCTTACATGATGCCGGCATTAGAGACCGTGTTGATTATATTCGCGTATTGGCACCTGCACTATGTAAGCTGTATTCAAAGCTTAATTTTATCGAAAAGAATCCCCTGTTTTAAGAGACTGTGATGAAATGGGATGTTCAAAGGATTCTGGTTCGTTCCCCAAGTTGACACTCGTCAACAACAAACACTCGGACGAACTCGGATATCGTGAAGACCTGATTCTAGGCTTGATGCAGACAAGGATGTCCTTTTTCCATTCTTGGAATAGCATGTGGATCTGATCTCTGGCATCGGGTCCACATAATGCTAGTGCAGACATGGTTCTCTTATTTCCATTTTCGTCGAAGGCAGTCTGCTAGCTCGGAGATTGAAGTCATTTACACCTTGTGAACCGTTCATTATGGGCTTCGAGTATCTCAAGCATTTCGTGATGATTCGATTTGCGAAAGAGTAGCTGTCATATTAGCCCATTTATTGCCTATATTACAAATCAGCAAGCGTACGTACGACTGACTCATGTGGCTATGGAAAATGGAGTCTGTCAAGAACAAAGGAAAGAGCAACCAGACCTCTCCCTGGGAACGAATATAAATACAACCTTCATCTCTTCTTATAAGCTCCTCATCTTGAACATTCAATCTCAAAAATACAGTCTCTTCATTACTCTTCTCTCATAACTACCTACAATGTCAACTGCAGACTCCCTTTCCCTCGCTGGCAAGACAGCCATCGTCACTGGTTCCGGCAAGGAGAACGGCATCGGAGCCGCAATCGCCCTTGCTCTCGCCCGGAATGGTGCTCGCGTTGTTATCAATTACGTTTCAGAAGCTACTACTCCTCGAGCTGCAAAAGTTGTAGAGAGTATTGAACAAGTTGCCGGCAAGGGCAGCGTTATAGTCGTTCAGCAGGATGTAACTACTCCCGAGGGAACGAAGAAACTAGTCGATGAAGCTATCAAGGGATTTGGGGTTGAGCGTATCGATATCCTCGGTAAGGATTTGCTCTTTATGGCAGTATCGAGGTCTTGGGCTAACAATCTTCCTCGTCTAGTTAACAATGCTGCATGGGCTTCGCAAGAGCCTGTCTTGACTGCGAGCCGCGAAAATGTTGAACGGACATTTAATACTTGTGTTTTAGGGCCATTCTATCTCATTCAAGCTACAGTTCCATACATGCCACAAGGTGGAAGGATCATCAACGTTGGCAGCGTAGCTTCAAAGCTTGGAATCGAGCCCGTTTACGGAGCTGCAAAGGCAGCCATGGACGCTCTGACGTACAGTCTCGCAAGAGATGTAAGTACACGTATAAGCTCCATGAGAGTCGTTCACAGAATGCTAACAACAAATAAGCTGGGACAAGACGGCAAACGCATCACCATCAACACCGTGATGCCCGGCCCTGTGCTCACAGACTCACTGCCGCCAACCCCCGAGGTTGAGGTGCTGAAGGAGCGACTACTCCACCTGACACGGGCGGAGAGGCGATTTGGAAACGTTGAGGATATCGCAGACTCGGTGTTGCTTCTTGTAAATGAGAAGAGCCGATGGATTACGGGAGAGTGCATCTCCGTTAGTGGCGGCATCACAGGCAATTAGACAATTACTCCTGGCAACTCGGGCAAATTCATCTCCCGCAAGGAAAGGGCATCGATCCAAGATGTATTTAGCAATTCCATCCTAAATTAGTTTCTACGATCTTACAAAACCCTTATTCCGTATTTCCTACGGTGACGTTTCCTCCGCATTGGTCCGGGTTCCGATCTGTGGAGCGGCAAGCCCACCGACTAGGATTGGTGCTAGTAACAAGGAGACATTTCCCGGCTAGCCAGCCGGGGATTTATTAATGCATGCTCCATCTTCGAACCCGTGTGATTAAGCTTCTTCTCTTTAAGTTGCCATCTTGCATACAAGCCCATCTTGTTTCAGTAAAACTCGTCAATAATTATCGCTATGGGATCCAGACAATTCTCCTTCGTCAACATCTCACACCCAGAAGAGGGCCGAAGCCGCCACAACTTGGCCTCTGTTCGCCGCCATGTCATGGCAGATGTCGGCCGTTCCAGGCGCAAAAAGCCAAAGTATAGGGTCGTTCCCCTTCAAATCGTTACTAGGGAAGATGACTCTAGTGTGAAGACAGTGAATACCGCGACGGCTGAGTCAACTCCTCTTGGGAGAATGCCGCCGTCCTTTCAGACCCATCTCATCGACACTAATGCTCGTGCTTGCGAACTGATAAGCTACAGTAAGTGTCCAGTCCGCATGTGTTGGAAGAACTATTCTTACTTAATGTTGCAGTGGCTGCTGAGGCCGACTATGTATATCGACCGTTTCGCACCTCATGGGTTCAAATTGGCCTCTCCGATGCAACAGCGTTTGATCTATGGCTTGCACAGACCATTGTGATTCGAGATAGCGTCGTACATAAAGGTGTTGCAACGTGCTCCAATGCAGAGTATTTAAATAATTCCGAGGCGAATAAATACTACAGCAAATCACTCAGTCGTCTGTCTCGTCGGCTGAGCAATCGCGAAGAATGCGTAAGCAGCAGCGTTATAGCGATCATTATGGGATTTATATGTATCGACGTAAGGAATCCTTAGTGGCTGTTTCTCTTCGACCTAAGAACTCACCCAAGTCTAGACACGCGTTGGAAATTGGGATCGATATTCTATGCATATGAATGGTTTGGAGCGAATATTTCATCTCCGTAAGGGGTTCGATGAATTGGACGCCGATATTCCATTGATGGCATTTTTGTGAGTATTCTGTCATATTGGATTCGATATTTCCATGTCTGCTAACAAAGAAGTAGAGTTGATTTAATGGGTGCCTCCATGCTCAATCGTTATCCGCGATTTCCCATCCCAAAGCAATTCAATAATCCTTATTCAAAGGATTGTGAAGACGATATACCTCACATATTACGCAATTTGCTTCATAGCGCTGAAAGACTAGTTCCTCAAGGAAAACGGATATACGCCATGTTGAGAGTGGTGGCATCTGTCATTGCGTGGGTAAATCACGCCGATGATCCTCAATTTTGGACTCGAGATGCGACTCTGGTCAAAAAACTGGGACTTGCGAGCCATTTCATACTATCAGTACCCAAATCTCCAGAAGATGATCCGCATGTGGATGACTCCGTCTTCTTGGTACAGAGAATGGTACAGCTCGCGTGCTTGATGATCATGTCAAAGTTGAAGCAATTGGCATCTTTCCATTGGGCCGATATGGATCCTCTTGGAGACCGCTTCAGAGAACTGTTAAAGGAACCTTATTACGAGATTCCCGTGCATCTCAAAGAACTACGCCTCTGGGCGATCATGACTGCTTGTTCATTGGTGGACGCAGAAGTACAAGGCCCGTTTCTTGTTGAAGTGAAGCGGTCAATAGGAATACTGGGCTATCACACGGCTGAACAGGCAATTGACTATGTCAAAAGCCTTCTTTGGCTTGACAGCATAGACATAGTTTCAGCGGAGAGTCTATATGGATGCTGCAATGTATGACCTCTGCCTCGACTGGAGAAGCAAAAAGCGCCACAAGGGGGGACAGACTGTTTTTTTCGGTATCCTTTGGGACAATAACCTATAATATTGCATCTAGCCGAAAGGATAGAACAGAAGTATCACCAAACTTCAATAGAGCCATTATGTATACTTTACGCAACTCAGGTACCCTTTAGCAACAATCCTCTTAACAGAGAAGCAATGGAAACGGTTTGGTCATTACAATTGGAGAGAGAGGGTATATAACTCAAATAATAGACGATTTACGGAGAATTCATGACAGTAATAGATTACGAGCGAATTGCTTTTAATTTCGCTCTAAATAATGTTGAAAGCATTGTGTATACATGTACTTTGTGTTGCGTTGAAGAGACGGCCAATATGTTGGACGGAATAGCCAAAAGCCATTCACAGTTGGGTCGGCTTCACAACAACAATGAGAGCATCAATTAAAAATAAGTAAAATAAAAGATCTTTGAATCCTTTAATAAAAAAGAGAAAAATTAATAAAACAGAATTAATAAACGCATTCTTTCGCAGAAAATCCTTTGCTGCGTCGCTCATCGGGAGACTTCCAGCAGAATGGTTTGGTCGGATTTATGTTTATCCGTGTGCGCACTTCTCGTTCGCACCATCATCGCATTTTCTCTGGCGATAGGATCAAGTAAAGCTTCGGCAGACCCCCGAGCAAACGACAAACAGCTCCGTTCCCGCTGTCTCTTCCCATCCCAACCCGATAAATAGAAGGAGGGAGGAATTGAGTCGAGCCTCATTCTAGACGCCCCCAATTCGGATTCAAGGAGCGAACGTCCAACTATCTTCACCTCGATCATCCCGCGAAGATTCGGAACACCAAGCCGATATTCGATCGCCTCACTCTCTCGAGAGATAACAACGATTAAATTACGAGTTACATATTACCACCGTCTTCAAAATGGCCTCCTCCTCCATCACAGGGCTCTTCAGCCGCCTCTCCCTCCTCTCACGAACCACACCCTCAACCACCACCATGACAACCCCACGCCTCTTCTCGACAACCTCATCCTCCCTCGCCCGCAAGGTTCCCACCCCAGCCGGCCCCCCCAAAGCCGCCCGTCGCAACCGCGCCGCCCCCAAATCCGAAAACTTCAACCGCATCCGCACCCTGCGCCGCAACATGTTCTCGCCCGCTCCCCCCCCCCTGCGCATGGCTCGTCAGCGATACCTGCGCCACTGGACCATCCACCGCGCCTGGATGCTCTTCCGCCGCAAGCAGCACGAGGCCATTGCCAAAGAGAGGAGCAGGATGTATGCCGGCATGTACAATGCCTGCGAGGAGCTGCGCAAGACAGTTGGGCCTGGATCTAGGGACGAGGGATACCTGTACAGAGTTGCCATGGAGAAGAAGGGCGTCTATGGGCTTGAGGGCGTGCCGATAGAGTATGCTAGATTCCAGACAGACAGCCCGGCGAAAGAGCCCTGGAATCACGATTGGAAGAGGTAGAGAAGGGAATTCATGACGGAGAACTTGTGGAGAAAAATAAAAAGAGGAAACGAGATAGACGTTATGTATGAATATGAAGAATTGTATAATACCACCCATGAACTGTTCAAAATCGATTCCGTGGTTTAAACTCAATTCAAGAAAAGTGCGCATAATGAAAACAATAAGTCACAAGCGATATAAAGAGCACATAATTGGGAGACTCGACATTCTTATTGCCAAACAGCAGAGTATAAAAATCGTCCTCTCCATCATTCACCCTTTTCCGTCCAAAAAAAAGACCCATATACCACAAAGAGGGGACAAAAAAACCACAATATACCAGTTATTGATCTATGCCATCCACCATATTAGTACAGAGGTTGAAACCGCTTCGCTTTGAAGCGTTTTTTCTCCGCTGCGACAGAATACGCTTGCCAAACATTTGCGACAAAAAAAGGAACATTCAAAAAAACAAGAGTAAAAAGTAAATAGAGCTTTCCAACAAGGTAAACCAAAACAACGGTGAAAAGATTGCTGGCACCTCGACTCTCCCTGGTCGAGATTATGTTCTCATAATGGTTGTATGCTTTTATGCAATACTTGATGTGATGAAATCAGCTGCAATATCAAAGAACATCCGATGAGCTTCCGCGGAAGGAAGAAAAACATTGGTTTCGAAGTCGTGTGATGGCGAGAAAAACATTGCGCTTATGCTCTTCTCAGTAGAGATGGGGGGCTGAACTGTACTTCGTCAAGCAGCAACTGGCTTTGAAGGCGCAAGCATCATGTCATGACCTCATTCGTCAAGATGTAGGCTCGTAACGGTGCGTTTCTGGCCGCTTTCCTTTGGCCAAGTATTTCATGTCGACTTTCGCTCGACCAGACCAAAGTCTTACAGAACAACGCAGCAGCCGGTACTTTCTCCCTTCTCGAATGTGAGGAGGGCGGCTCGGGTGGCAGCCTCAAACACATCATCGACACCCTCTCCGCTCAAACTAGAGCATTCGAGATATCTCTTGGCTCCAATCTCTCGAGCGACAACCTCGCCGTCGTGTGCAGTAACGAATCGCAGCGACTTTTTGCGCATCTCCTCGATGGCGACAGGGTCGTCGCGCAAATCCTTTTTCAGACCAACGAGAATGATGGGTACACCCTCGCAAAGACGAGTAGCTTCCTCGATCCACTAGAATAGCAACAGTATGTCAGCATACATGCCTTCCATCGCATGCGAATGGGCGCCATCGAACCTTGTGCTTAACATTGTCAAGAGAATCGGGTGTATCGACGGAAAAGCCTATTAGGATGACGTGCGCCTTGGAGTAGGCAAGGGGTCGTAAGCGCTCGTAATCTTCTTGACCGGCCGTATCCCACAGAGCAAGCTGCACGGACTTGCCATCTACTCTGCAGTCGGTTACGTAGTTTTCGAAGACAGTGGGAATCTGCATCGGAGCGTTAATCTCGGATCTGCGGATGCGCAATCGCGATGGGAACTCACATAATGCTATACAGAGGTTAGCGACCGCATACACTTGTCTAGAGTGGAGAGCTTGGGACAACATACTGTAGGGAAATAACCGAGTGTGAAGACGCTGAGCAGACTTGTCTTGCCGCAGGCACCATCTCCAATAATGACGAGCTTCCTACAGGTTCGCTATAGTTAGCAAATAAGTCCCTTGCCTGGGTTTTGCCATGGCTCAAGCCGAAACAGTAGCTTGGTGCTCGACATCGGACGAATAGAAAGCCACAAAGAGACGGCAGCAAAGGCGCTGGTGTCGATCGTACCTGCGGATGACATTTTGCGGATTCCCACTAGCCATGTTGAAGCGATGTGATGAGCAGCAGCAGCTGGATGGATATGGATATGGATATGGATATGGATATGGATATGGATAGTATGCAGTTGTCAGGTGGTAAACAGACAGCCAGGGCCAGGCGTTGGTTCTTGTGCCAAACGGAACTCCCCCAGTCCCAACGGCCTTGTTCGCCGAAGATCTGTGGATGACAGGACCAGTTTAAAGCAGTGGCTCCCGGGAAAATCTTGCTCGATTATCGACTTTTTGTATCTTGGTTCGGGAACGCCGCTCTTGTGCTGCCTCTCAGAATCGTACTGTCGCGTCTAGGGGATACGGGTTGGCCAGGGCGGTGGAACGGATTGGTTGGTCGCCAGGCGATTTATCGGAATACGAGCTGGACGAGTCTCCAGTTATTCCCTGCGGCGCTGCTGCGGTCGGCTATGAAGGACTATGGCCGCGCCAATGGAACCAGGCAGGCTAGGGGCAGGATCACACAATGCAATGGCAATGCAATTGAAGCGAGGCGAGAGACGAGAGACGAGAGAAAAAAGAATGGAGGGAAAAAAGAAGGAAACGAAACAGCAGGGTTTAAGGGGAAAGAGGCTGCTCACGGCGCTATCGTTGCTAGAGGATAGCAGTCATTAGCAAATGCAGCCGGCAACGTTTCACCAACAAGATGGGCCGCTAGGTGCTGGTGGATCGAGGCCGAGTTGAGGCTTGCGTCTGACGCTGAGGCCGGAGTTTACGACTCAAGAGAGAGAGGAGTTCGCGCCAGATTACATAAAAGCGCGAGCTGGCCAACCAGCGGCTCAGCTGGGCTCGGCCATCCCAAAGTGTCTTGATTTGGGCAAGGTTGGAGACGGGCTGTACCTTGGCCGGAAGCATTGCGGGCACAGTAGCGTTGACTGCTAGTACCTGGCCGGCCGATTGAGCTGTCTTACAGAGACGGGGATGTTTTTAAGAAAAAGTGATCAATGTGTTTGGGATTACCACAGACCACAGAGGGGGTTTAGGGGTTGTCAGAGCATACATGAAGATGGCAACATGCCGCTGCTGTGCTGGATCAAGCTCGCGACTGCTGGCCTGTCCATCCGTCAGTCTTGTCTCCAGTCTTCTCGTCTCGTCTCTTTTCTGCAATTCTTTCTCCTCGGAGCCGTCCTGATCTTCGTCGGTCGGCGGAATACTACCGATCGTCCCGCCCTCCAAGCGAGGCTGAGCCTGGAGCGAATGAGCGAGCGGCGTCAAAGCCATGGTGTAACCGCACGCATATGAGCGAGGCGCTAGCAAAGCAAACAAAGTCTGGCTTCGCAAGTCGATTGGGCGCTCGTCTGGTTGCGCTGTACGAGAACGCCATGGTGCATTGCAACGCGTCTCGTTTTCTGGTTTTTCATGCAGGGACTCGGGCTGATGGCAGGACAGGACCGTGGATGTTGTGATAGTGCCTCCGTAGTATATCAGCCTGAGACAAGACGGAGAGTGGTCTAATACGGGGGCTATCGCGTTTGATGCCTGACAAACACCAAGGAAGGATTCGCTACGGGCCAGCTAGGGCTGAAAGAGTGCAAGCTTTGCGGGAAATGAAGCTTCTCGGGGCATTCTGGCGAATGACGAGCCGCCAATGTCAATAGTCCACCTTGTTGATTCATGGCTTGCATCAGGCACTTTGCGTGTAAAATGTCACCACTGCCCTACGAGCACCAACTACCCAAGCAGGCTACCGTGCTTGCTAGCAAGCCGCGATGGAAATGGTGGGGTTCAGCCCTCTGCAGGATTCTTACCTTGCATGGACGCCAGACAAACTACGCGGACCTGGTGCAGATGGGCTTATTTTTCAGCTGCCAGAGGGCGGCAAGGCAGAACCAGAGGCCATTGTGAAGCATCGTGTGCAGCGAGTCTAGAGATGCTGCGAGAGCCTCCTGACCAGCTTGCTGCCTACAGTGCGTCAGCCGCTTACAGACATTGGTCCATATCTACAGATCAGGAGACAGAACAGCCATGCTGCATCACCGAAGGCCGTCCAAGGCATTTCTGGGTGCTCTTGTCCGAAAGTGGTAGGTTGACTACATAGCTTGACGTAGAGCACGAGGGTCTCTTCTCAATGCGGAAAACAATCATAAGGTACCTATCGATAGCTAAGCTGCATCCTGAGGTGCATTTGTAGACCGATACTATGTCCAAATTGTGGTTCCTGCTTGATACTAGGTACTAAGTGGTCAACATCTGAGTACATGTAATCAATCCTTATACGTAGCAACTGCCTAGTAGAGTAGCATCCGTCCGTCATCTGCCAAAGGTGATGTGCTGCCTACTACCTACTAGGTACTGCCTATGACGCAGACTCGGGATGAATTCTATATGCTGATACTACCTCAGAGAGCCTTGCCGGAGCTGCAGCAAAACACCATCCACTACTCTCTAGCATCATACCATGGGTAGCCTCGTTATGCAAACGGCAACGTGGTATCACTTTGCATTATATAGCAGGTACCGTGACAAATTACAGCCACATTAGACGAGGGGAGCTTGTACTTGTATGACATTGATGCCCAACAAATTCGCTACTCCTTGCGTCTCTACGACGTGCTGATCATAGGACTATCACTCAGCTCAGCACTTCATCCTTGCCCTTGCACGGCAGGGACCCAGCGCTGAGCATAGGGAGAGTTCGCCCGCTATAAATAGGAAACAGTGCATCTGGCTCTAATTAGACGCCGCTTCCAAGCAATGACTAAGTTCTGCTGCTTTATGTAAGTCGGAAGGGGTCTGGTGTCTTAGCTCGGGCGCGGAACAAGGGCAGGGAAAGCATCAATGCCTCTACCAGTGATATGTACATGGGCTGTGATGTGATGGATGTGATGTGCGCTGTCCTTGCACGAAACGAAGCAGGTTAGGCAGGGCAGCGGCGCCGATGCCAATCACGGCCCGGGTACAGGCAAACGCATTCCAGTGACAAAGGCGGTGCTGCGCACGATGCACGGCGCCGAGTACCCATACCTCGCCTCTTTGTACTTCCATGTTTGCAGGCAGGCCATAAAGGTCCACGCCGATGCCCTGGTGGAAGCACCTGGAAGGGCCCCTACAAGTACAAGTATGTGCAGCGCCTGTTAGCTCTGTGCTCTGCACCCGGTAGGCCCGCCAACCCCCGCGCCTCAGGCACAAAGCCAGATTTCGGGTCGGATCTGGGAGCGAAAAAAGGGCATCACGTGCCTTTTCACAGGGTGGCCTTTCACATCCAGCGCGAAATCTGATGGACGGCTTTCAGCCCCGGTTTTCGCCAGCCTCAACAGGGACAGACATTCTTGCATAACAGAAGTACATGCCGCTATGTAACTACACCACACGGTGACTTCCATCGATTTCTGGCCGACCAAAGCATCGCCTACGACTCTCCCAATCGCCCTCCCCACGCAATCGACGCGAGCCTCACGACGCGCCGCATCTCGCAGGCCCAGGCACTCAACCGGGGCTCTTGGAAACCCCCACTGGCGTCATTGCTGACCTAACCCTGAATTGGCTTTGCGGATTGTGAGTGCCTCATTTTGAGTCGCTGGCAACCTCCACCAGCAAACCCAGCCATCGCCATCGACCACGACGCCTTGCCTTGCCACCCGCCGCTGGCCCTGTCCTTGACCGTCTGCACGCCCTTCCTGCTGCTGCTCTGCCCCGTGCCCCGACGACTGACTTGCTCGTTTTCTTGTTGCTGCAGGCTGCGTCGTTTTGAGTCCCGAGCCGAGACTTGATGCTCTCAACTGCCCTGCTTCCGTAGACTCACGATGCCGGCCCATCACCAGAAACCGGCCCCCCTCGCGCCGGCATCGCCTCGAAACACTGCCAAATACACTAACAAGGACGGCTCCAAGTTCATCACCGTCCCCAAGGCCAGCCCGTCAGACTCGTCCCGGCCCTCGACGCCCACCGTCGCCAAATCCAACAAGGCCCTGCCGCCAGCAGCAGCAGACTCGACAGGCCTCGACACGTCGGCGCCCACCGTAAATCGCAAGAAGCAGAAGCGGCGGCAAAAGGCCGCGGCCAAGGCTGCCGCTGCGCAGGCTGCCAATGGCCATCCCAGCCCCGCTCTCAGCTCCGACAAACAGATGCCCGCGGACTATGAGCTTGTCGCAAGTGACGAGGATGAAGATGACGCTTATGATCTAGTTGACGACGCGGAGCCCAGGTCGACGTCGAATGGCCACACAATAGATCCTAAAACTAATAAAAAGAACAAGAAAAAGAAGAAAAAGAACGGCGCTGGCGCCCACGCCGAGGAGATTGAGCCGGAGCAGCATCGTCATAACCATCACCACCATCACAATCATCACTATCACGGGGACGGCTCGGTGCCAGCGGCTCCGGCGCCGCGGGGCTCTGGAATGTCTAGGGATAAAATATGGAGTACTAGCAATCACGAGGAGCGCGAGCGTATCAAGGAGTTCTGGCTTGGCTTGGGCGAGGATGACCGGAAATCCTTGGTCAAGGTGGAAAAGGACGCCGTACTAAAGAAGATGAAGGAGCAGCAGAAGCATACGTGTAGCTGTACCGTCTGCGGGAGGAAGCGCACCGCCATCGAAGAGGAGCTGGAAGGTCTGTATGATGCATACTATCTCGAACTCGAGCAGTTTGCAAATCAAGGCGAGGGCCCCCCCATGCTGCCTCCTCCTCCCCGAGACTTTTCGATTCGCCCATCACGAGGTTTGCCCGGGGGATACCCTCGACCTCCCCCGGCCCGCGGTCGAATAGTGGAACACGTGGGCGACGATGACGAAGAGTTAGAAGAAGCATACAGTGAAGACGAGGCGGAGGACGACGAGTATAGCGACGACGAACCTCCCGAAGAATTTCACGGCTCTCCTGACCGAGACGTAGCTGATTTCTTGACGTTTGGTAACAGCCTCCAAGTCAAGGGTACGCAACTTCTTGAATCACTTCTGCACAGATATGGTAACATGGACTTAGGCGGCATTCTCACCGTGGCGGATGACCTACTCAAAAACGACGGCAGACGCTTCATCGAAATGATGGAGCAGCTTGCGGAACGTCGAATGGCCCGAGAAGAGGACGCGCGAGAGCACTTCGCTCGCGGCTACGGTCATCCCAACGGCTCATACTCCTCCGCTCCTCACAACCACGCTCCTCCTGAAGACGAAGACTACGAGGACGAAGAGGAGGAGGAGGAAGAAGACTACGACGATAGTCAAGACGAGGAGTATGAGGATGAAGAGGTATACTACAACCCCTCTGTGATGCCGTCCAAGTTCCATACTGAGTGCTGTTGCCAGGACCCGATGACGGAAGAGCAGCGAATGGAAGAAGGCCGTCGCATGTTCCAGATATTCGCCGCCCGCATGTTCGAACAACGAGTACTATCCGCGTACAAAGAAAAAGTGGCCAAGGAGCGCCAAGAAAAATTACTGGAAGAGCTGGAAGAGGAAAGTCGAGCGGTGGACGAGCAAAAAGCCAAAAAGGCCAAGAATGCTCAGAAGAAGAAGGACAAAGCAGCCCAACGAAAGCAAGCGCTTGCCGATGAAAAGGCTCGTAAAGAAGCCGAGAAAGCTGCCGAGGAAACTGCCCGAATCGAAGCTGAGAAGAAGAAGATTGCTGAGCAGAAACAGAAAGCCGAAGAGAAACGCAAGCAGAAGGAAGCCCAAAAGAAAGCCGAAGAGGACGCGCGGCTAAAGAAGGAGGCCGAACGACTGCGACGGATCCACGAGCAGAAAGAGAAGCAGGCCGAATCCGAGCGAAAAGCGCGTGAGGCTAAAGAGCGAGAAAAGAAGCTCAAGGACGAGCAGCGCACCAGAGAACGGGAGGCCCGAGAGCAGAAAGAGCGAGAGGCTCAGGAGCGCAAGGAGAAACAGGAGCGTGACAAGCGGGAAAAGGAGGCCAGGGCTGCAAAGGCCCAGAAGGAGTCCCAAGAAGCCGCAGAGGCTGCCAGAGAACAGCAGCTACAGCTGCAACGAGCCAAGGAAGAAAAAGCTGCACCAAAGGTTTCCTCTGTACAGGTAACCCAGACTCAACCCTCGCAGCCTGCCAAGCGTGGAAGCCAGCAGCAGCAACAGCCGCCAGCACCACCGCCGCAGCAGCCTCCTGTCTCTTTGCCCGCCGTCTTACCTCAACATCCTCCTAATCCAGCAAGCTTCATTTCACCAAAGATCCCCGTAGCCACGCCGGCAATCCCCAAGGCGCCAACTCCCATACGGCCGAGGACGACGTCCCAGCAACAAGGGACCGGTCCGGCAAGCTCATCTGACTCTCAGACAGCATCCGTTCCCAGCCAGAGCGCTTCACCACATTCTGTCACGCCAGTGTATACTAGCCCTAGCTCGACAGGGCCAGAGAGGAGAATCAGCGCAGGCACTCCGGTCACGATACAGCCAACTACGATATCAGGTACACCGCCTGGGCTGCCACTGCCCAAGGGCCCAAGCCCATCTGCTCCGTTCCAGCTACCTATGATGGGCATGCAGCCTCCTCCAGGGCTGAGTCCCCATCCTCCTCTGCCACCTCCAGGATTCTCCAGCAGACCAGGCCACGATCCTATTTTCCCAGTAGGGTTTCGACCAAGTCCTGGGCATAACATGATGATTCCACCTCCTGGCATCAATAGCTCAACGGTTCGCGGGTATCCACCCGTCACAATGCCTCCCCCCGGGTTCCCACAGCCGACTGGTGACTTCCCCATCGGCCAGGGCTATCCCATGCCTACCAGAGACGGCCCCGCCATGACACACGGGCGCCAAGGTTCTATAGGCTTCGAGAGCGCGCCCGGTACTCCTGGACAACCGATTGGACGACCAGCACCGATAGGCCGGCCTGGCAGTGTCAGTCATGGATATTCGCGTGACAAGGAAGAGGATACGCAACATCTCGGAAGCCGTGTTCTTGTTGAAGACGATGAGCCATTGGGTACAGATGCCGGCCTCGGTGGCATGCGTCATCACCATCCACCAGGACCTCGAGGCGGCTTTGCGGCAGGCCCTTTTATCGATTCGGGATTCCCAATGGGCCACAACCCTTGGGGCCCCATCAACAGCCCTCCGCAACCTTTTCCCCCTACCACTGCCCAGCAGCCGTTTGCCCTACCAACATTTGGCAATCCGGGCTGGGGTCCTCCAAGTGGTCCGCCGGGATTTCATGTTGGTTCCCCCAGTGGACTGGGATCCATTCGATCTCACGCTCAGCCTCGCCATGTAACAGTGCGATTGCTACTCTCCCAGGCGTGCAAAGAGCTGACGAATACGGCCTCTGCCGATAAGGAGGGATATGTCGATCTGATAGACATTAAGTCGCATGTCAGCTTAGTGTCTGGTGACCCCAGCATCTCAGAACAAGACCTGCTGAACCTCTGCGATACTGTCGGCAGTCTGTCGAATGGTGGAGGGTCTTTTGACGTGAAGCAAGATGCACACGGCCTCAAGAAAATACGATGGGTTCCTGACACAGACGAGGGACTAAATCCCCACTTTCGGGCTGTTGGAGCTCCCGGTGAGATTGGCAGTCCTTTGGTAGGCCATGCCTCTTTGCGCGGGATTTAGGAAAGTCCCGGTCAGGCGCAGCGCATGGGAACTGAAGAGAGCCCTTCTAGGCGGATGAATCTACTTGAACGGATCGGTGTCACCCGCCCATCTGCTACGGCTGAAGGCCGAGTAGGCCGCCTTGCGACGAATACCAACGATACTGCGCAGGTGTCGGCATATGCGTCCACTGGCGGCTTGACTAGAACACGCAATCACAGAGACGGTGTTTCCCCCTGGCAGAATGCTCAGAGCACTATGAGAGGAATGCACAAAAAGGGTATCAGCGAAAACATTACACACAGCGGTTTACATGAGGATGCTACGGATGAGAGCAGTAAAGTGGACACGTGGGTGGGCTTTTACAACCCCCGCAAGAATGGCAGAAGATCTTTGGGCCCTTGATGCTGGATGAAGACAGCAGCACTTGAGCTTTTTGAAGGCAGGGGAAGATATGAAAGGAGGACCAAACATTGTCGTTGCCGGACGTGACGACGGAGCTGTGAGATAGGCTACTATCAAAGTATCAATCAGCATGGCGCTTGCGCGTGTTCTTTGTGTGATTTTAGACATGTGTGGGTTATTATTGGGAGGGGAGACTCGAGAGTAGCAACTAGGTGCGAAAGCGTGTCGACATAAATACCCCCCGGAATAGTGTATTCAATCATAACTTTTTGTCAAGCCATTGCCTCTTTTTTTTCTTTTTCTGCTGAGATGTTGTATACGCGTTTCTAAGTGATTGATGCCGTTTTGGTCGAGGTAGATTTTGGGAGCACATGGTATTATTATTCACAGCATTAGGTATTATATGCCATTCGAGCACTTACACCAGATGACAAGGTCAACTAGGTATTTTCCAATGCGAAGCTGCAATATTTCCAAGTCACAAATGTCCGTCCAATTCAAGTGCCTTATCTAAATCAATGCTGCTTCTTTAAATAACATCAAGTCCCCCCCAATTTCCTACCCGAGGCTCGCCTCAAATCTCTAGCTGAATCTTTTTTTCAATGTTGCGTGCCTGCTTATCTTCTCGACAAGAAGAAGAAGAAGAAAGCGGCAAAGTCGCTGCCCACCCTACCATGAACCTTTGACCTTGATTGCTTTCTAAGGTACATAATTTGCCACACCCCTTAAGTCTTTGTCCCTTGTTACCCACGGCTCGAAGAGCAACATGATTGCGCCGAAAAACAAAAATATGAAAAGCAAGACATCAAAAATGTGCTGGTCCGATCCTCCGCCTTTAATGCCGTGGTGTCACAACCCACTCGTGGCCGGTTTCGTGCTCCCTGACCACCTCAAGCCTGCTTGGTGCTGGGCCAGCGCCACGACCTCTCCTCGCTCTCTAAGACTGGTGTCGGTCGGCAAAGGGATCAGGGCCCTCCTGGCGCATCAGGGGCGCGCGCGTCTCGGCAGCGCGGGCCTTTTTGGTCTGGGCTCGGGCGAGGGCGGTGGCCTCGGCGCGGGCCTCGAGGGCCTTTTGGTGGCGGCTCTCGCGGCAGCAGGCAAAGGTCAGGAAAGTGATGGCGACGACAATGGCGGTGCCGAAGATGATGGCGATGATGATGCCGCCGACGTCGAGGTTGTTCCTCTTCTTCATGCAGACGGTCTGGCCGAGGGAGTCGAGGGAGCACATGAGGCCAGGGGCGCAGTTGGCCTTGGCCACCTGGGTGGGAACACACGAATGCGTCACCAAGACACCCTTGTTGGTGGAAATATCGCAAGACGACGTCGACACGGTGGATGTGACCATGCACTGGAGGGTGCCGTCGCGGACCCAGTGGGTTGGGAGCGGTGCCTTCTGGGGGTTTCGGGCCTCGAGCGTCTGGACGGGGCTGCCGAGGACGCCGCGGTATCGCTTCTTCAGGTCTCCCATGTTGGAGAGCTCATCGCATCGCTTCAGAGCGTTCTTGGCCTCGGAGACGGCCTCGTCGATGGAGCATCCGGCGTTTGTGTAGCAGGCCTCGAGGTCGTCGTTGGTGTCGGAGTAGGAGAGGGTTGACAGGCAGTACTCGAGGGAGACGTGCTGGCCGCACTCGGAGTACTCGGCGAGCTGCTGGCTGTGCTGGGAGAAGCATCCTGCTTGTAGGGCGAGTGCACCGCCGCTGAGGGCGAGGGCAGCAGTACAGGAGAACTTCATTGTGAGAAGCTGTGTTGTTTTAGAGAGAGAGAGAGAGAGAGAGAGGAGGGGGGTTGAGTTATGAGCCGCAGCAGCTACTAATATGGTGTGCAAAGATACGGCGGGGTCTTCGTCGCGGCGGAGAAACGGAGGGCCGTGTGGGAAAACGAAGGTATTCCGACAATGAGGTGACAAGGCAAGGCTCGCGGAGAAGGAGAGATGAGGGATGAAACAAAAGTGGAAGAGCTGGAGCAAAATAGAAAAAGAAGCGGCTTCTGGCTAACATGAAAAAGGAGTCGAGAGAACTGGTTTGACGGGGAGTGGCACTTGTCCCCTTTCAGTTTAGGGGTCTACAGTCAGACCCAAGGCTGACTGGGGCTGTTCCCAAACAAGGGGAGGGGGGGCAGATTGGCCCCAAATTTGTGCGTGCCAGCGCTGCAGTTGGTGTTAGTTAGGGGACAGCAAAGCCGCTGATGAGACGCTTACAGGGCGCCGCCATCAAGGCTGTGCAGCGAGCAGGTTTGAGCCACAGCCGCAATGACAAGTTGGGATTTCACATGGACATGATGGCGCGGGCGGGTGACTTTGACTCTGATTCCAGTGTAGTGTACATGTAGTGAGGTGAACAAGCTCGGACTGGGCTGGCCTCGTTCATTTCCGTATACAGCATATGGGAGCTGAAGCTGAATCTACGATTGATTCCATTTTTAGCGACATGGGTGGGCAGCCATTGCCGGCCATCGTGAGAAGCATGTGTCGACCTCAAATCACTCACTCGGATGATAACAACACGTATGGATGAGATGGGGAGAATTTATTCCTTTTTTTTTTTTTTTTGTTTCATTTTCTTCTTGCTCTTGTACCCTTCTTCCTCTTTGCTATTCTTTTCTTTGCCTCTTCTTATTTTTTTGGTGTGCCCTTTTGACAGTGAGGCATCCATCTGCATGTGCCGTCTCAATCTAAGCGGCCCATCCTCCTGACTCCATCTGAATCAGCGCTACCTGTGGCTCGCTAATAATAAACCACCCTTTCCCTTGGCCTAATGCGCATCAATCCTGGTCTGGCCATTTTGCGCTTTGCACTTTGCGCAGGACATTCTCTCTCTCTCCACTGCCATACTGCTGATAAACAGAGAGAGCGTTTGCATCGACCTACCTCGTTCTATTACAAAGACGTGCACAGAATGATGCTGTTGGTATAACAGTTGGCATCAGAGCTCCCAAACTGGCAGAACCGAGAGCGTTCTTTTCTGGCTCTGGCGATACGTGAATGATGACAAGATGTCAAGTCAATATGAATAATCGGCATTCGCTCAATCTGTAAGAAAGCCCAACCGGGCGTGAAATGGGCAGAGCTGCAGCAATCAGGCGGAGACCACAAGCCGCTGCGTGAGTGGCTGGCCCAGCTCAAAAGTCACCGCTAGCAAATTGCGTGCAAACACTGCAGCAAGCGATATTAACACTGCTGTACTCCGTACTAATCTTGCTTTTCCATGACGGGACCCTTTTTCAGGTTGTCTTTCATTACTGTAGAATTGCCTGGCGATGGCGAAAGGGGCTCCGTGATTTGCTAAGCAGAGTGCATTACGTAGTACCTAGGTAGCGAGGTGCAGTACGTACCTATTTTATCTGAGACCCCTACGAGCTATGAGATCAAGCAAATCGGATAGCGATGCTGTGTCGACGTCATCGTCCGCGAGGCCTCGGACGCTATACAGCTTCGTCGTCCGGAACAGGAAGGAAATAACATCATTATAAGAATCTACAGCACAACCTTCTTTTCTACCTTCTTTTTTTTTTTCCTTTTCTCCTTTAAACATATCATCTCCCTTCCATTGCCAGCACAAATTTACTTCTGTAAGTCTAATCGCTTAGCACTATATCGCTTTGACATACGATAGGCATCTAACTAAAACAACCAGGCGATCCTACGAAGCAGAACTTGCATCTACCAACTCAACCACCCTTTTCTTGCTGCTTTCCTGCCACGCAATCAAATCCATCATGCCTCTCGTCGTGCCCGGCATCATGACCAATTCCGACGACAAGACCCAAGACTGGGCCAACAAGCTCGTCGGAAAGACCTTTTCAGAAACCGAATCCAATGAGACGGTACGTTTCACTTTGCCTCTCTATTTTTTTCCTACGCCCACGTCCTTGCTTGCGTAACCATATCTCCATCATCATGCCACCGCGTTTGTTTCGAGGAGCGGGGGAGGCGAAAACAAAGGGTCTAGCTAGCTAACGAATGTGACGGACAGATGTTTTGCAAAAAGGACCTGCCAGAGTTTCACCGCATCATCAAGCCGGGCTCGATTGTCACCAAGGATTTCCGGCCGGAGCGGTTGAATGTGCATTTGAAGGAGGACGGCACCGTGTCGCATGTTGTTCATGGATAGAGAGAGGAAGCTCCTGTTACTTAGCTATAGTAGCTCTGCTACGAGGAGTCGAGCAATCGTGCACACGCGACAAGATTCCTTAGTTATACCAAAAAAAAATTAAATTATTACGTCTTACTATTGAAAGAGGATGACGACTTTAAATTGGTCTATTTTTTTCTTTTTCTCTAATTGCTCCATCTCTTAGGCCAAAAGCAACACAAACAAACAGCGTTCATCTCCAGCACATTCTCGACGCTCTCTTTCCCCCGCCTGATTGCATGTTTTTGCCCCGCCATTTCTCCCGTCTTATCGATGGCGGGGCTGCTCCGATAAACCTGCACCTGCTTGTCTTGAAGCTGCGATTCCTTTCCCGCCAATGCAACCGTCACATTCCACCACGGCGAGAAACGCAGCGATTCCCCTTTCTGACGCGTCTTGGTTCTGGGCAATTCCCTCGTTATAATAAACATATATCAATTTATTTTCTATTCCGTCATAGTCTCGCCCAATCAGCTGCCAAAATGTTCAAAAAAGAGTGCGTCGATATAGTCCCCTTCTTCCCCCCTCCATCCAAGCAAAAAAAACCCACGAGAAAAGCAGCAGCAAGAAGAACCTCTCCCCCCAGCTAACTGACAATCTCCCTCCAAATCCAACAGCCTCCCCACCGCTCCCAAGCAAAAGCTCAAATCCTCCGTCCAGCGCTCGCTCCGAAACTCGCTCCTCGCCACGTACCCCCTGCTGACGCCCTACATCGACGAGATCATGCCCAAGAAGGGCTCCCTCGAGAGCATGAAGCTGCCCGACCGCAACACGCTCTACGTGCTCGACTCCGTGCCGCTGTTCTACCAGCAGGACGGCTCGGACCTGCTGCCGCACCTCAAGCTCGTGCACCGCTTCCCGCAGGCGTTTCCCAGCATCCGCATAGATCGCGGGGCGATTCGCTTTGTGCTTTCCGGCGCGACGCTCATGGCGCCGGGGTTGACGTCCAAGGGCGGCAGGTTGCCTGTGGACGGCGCGAAGCCGTTGGAGGAGGGCAAGGAGATGGAGCAGGGGATTGTGGAGGACGGGCGGTGGAGCCGGGAGTTGGCCAAGGGCGAGCCGGTCGTGATTATGGCGGAGGGCAAGGAGGAGGCGTGTGCGGTTGGAATCTTGGTTGCTGGTACGGATGAGGTCAAGGCCAAGGGCAAGGGGCCCGTGGTCGAAGATGCGCATTTCTTGGGAGATGGGCTGTGGTATTTGAATGCGTAGAGTGGGTTATGATATCGTGGTGTTTATACTGGATTTTGTGTTTTTGGGATTGTACAGAATAAGATGGCATATGTATAAATTTCTCAGTTGCTGCCATCCTTGCTTCTTGGTTATATTTATTCCAGGATCCCGATGAGAGAGCCAACGTCAACAAAGCGAGTGGGCAAGTAAAATGCCCTCGCTTTGGCTTCAGTTATCGACACCCAACTTTGGCTGGCTTTTATTTCGAAGAATCATCATTATTAGGTCAATTTTTGTGAAGCGTTTCAATTATTCAAATACTATTCCTCAGTTCCTAAGTGCTATAGTCCAAATGAAGTTTCCATTCTCAGCATTCTATGAAAGCTCATGCCTCTTTAGCGTGTTGAGCATTCCATGTACTTTTCCTCCCTATTGCCTGTTGAAATAAAAATGCTAGCGTTCATAGTAATAAGAATAGCGTGCTTCAACTCGTTTCTGCAAGAAACCACATCTTTGGTTGCATCTACTACACCCTCTCGCCCCTATACATGAAGAGGAGAGGAGTTGTTTCATCTGCTACACGCCATACAGGGCAAACTGGTCAACGGAAGAGAAGATGATGATGGCGATATTATGACTTGCGATTCGAAAACTGTTCGTCTAGCCGCCGGGACGGGACGTTGTATCGGAGCCAGCTTCTAAAGTCAACCTCGACCCCAAAATTGTTTGGTACACGTTTTAGGATGATTCTTGTTTTGTTTTAATCTTCTTTGTGGCTCTGCGTTGGGTGTAATGATCATTGTGGCGACTCATGGCTGCCTTCCCAACATCTTCATGATGATTTGCAACAAAGGCTTGAACATCTTCCATGTTGTAAGTACCGTCAGGATTCTTGAGGCTCTTTTCCGGCACAATGCCATAGCTCGTATCATCCTCGAGAATAATCCTCTTCAGGGCTTTGGCAAGACACGATCTATAAAGAATGTCTTGTGGTTCTGAGGATTTAAGCTCCGGGATGCCGCCTTTTATGGATGTATTCCAGATAAGGTCTCTTTGTCGCTCGGCTAGAAACGCCTTGCGTCGAGTGTTGAACTCCTCTTCAACGCCAAATGTAGAGAAGGCCTCTTTGGTCACTTGCTCCCTCGTAAATTTCTGCTCCGGGAACTTTCCAAGGCGGCGGCATTCGGGAAGGAATTCGTCGACCCATTTCTTGAAAACAGGCCGATAGGTCATGCGCCGGCGATCGTTTGCTTTGAGTTTCTTTGCATCGGGCTCTGGTGCAACCGGGGGAACGTACATGAATCGACAAAGAGTAGCGTAATCAAACATTTCTTCGACGCTGGGGAAAGACTTGTCCCAGTATCCGTCCATTGGCATATCAAGAAAGTCCATGACCTTGGCTGGATCAGACGTGAGATAGATCCTGGCTCGCTTTCTATCAGACTCTTCAATCTCGGGGACTCTGAGCCACATGGCACTGTCATCAACGGTCAACCCGTAAGGTCTGATTGTTGAACCCATAAGATTCCACAGGTCTCCATGGCCGTGTTTGAAAAGCATCCAGCGTAGCTTACGCTCTGTTTCGCATACTCGGACGTCAATTTGGATGTGCTTTTTATCGGACCCTTCCTTGGCATCCTGTTCATCTGTCGGCCAAGGAATGGCTAGACTGCCCGCAGGTTCATTGCCTCCTGCGATAATTGATTTCTCTGCCCCAAGAGCTTTGGATATGGTTTGGATCGCGTAAGCACCTTCAGAAGCCTCTGGTTTCGGTGAGGCGAGCAGAAAATCGATGTCCCCAAAGTCCGTTTTGCCTGGGCCCTCAAGAGGAGACTCCACGCAAGAGTACAAAGTGCGGAGAATCTCTTCGCATCTGCCTTTGGTGGCTTCGTAGACTCTTTTCGGCATTCGGGGAGTTAAGAGTGGATTGCATCCTGACGAGAAAGCTGAGCCACCCATGTTGAGAACCTGTCGGCAACGGCTTTATTGGGGGATTCTGTTGTCTAGCTTTGAGCAAATTCCGAGCGTGATCCAGTGTAAATTACACTATTGTATGCCTCTAAAGCGAGGAGAAGTGTTGAATGGGAGTCTGTTCTTGAGCAATTAGCAGGTCCTCTGTCAGGTCCAACGCGTAGTACAATAGCCAAAAGCAGAGCTCGGCAGGCGCTTTATAGCTCGGAAATCATATCATGAAGCTTCCCAACAGCTGATCTCTGATTGAGGGTATTCTTTGCACTGCTACTCACCAGCGATCACCTCGAAAGGGTTCGTTCGATGTGATTATCCAAAAGATATGAGATTCTCGGTGTGCGATGGCGGGTTGAAGCCAGATGACTCTACTCTGTAAAAGGACAGCAAATGAGCAAAAAGTTGTCACGAGTTGTAGACCCGGAGAATGAAGCCAAGAAGAAATGTTTGAGCGAATAAGTTGAAATTATCGTGCGATGAAAACTGCAGAATGCAGTGGCGCCTTTGTGAAAGAAGGAGAAGAAGTAGAAGTAGAGGCCGGAAGGCTCAACTGTTTAAGACGTAGAACGATAAGCGCGGGCACTGACATGGATTTACAGCGACGCCCCCGCAGCCACCTGGCGCTTACCCTGTATTTGATGGAGGCTTCCAATGTTTATTGAGACAAAGTCTAAGATTTACGACATCAGGAAAGGAGGCCTGAGTCAGTGACTTTTACGAAGAAACTGGAGAAGGAATCATCCATCAATTGCACCGATCTAGGAGAAATCAACCAAGGCATGAATCACTTGCCGGGATGCAAATCTAGCTGCGAGCAACTGAGTCACGTCGTTCAGGCTGCATGACTGCAACCACCAGCTGTAGCCATTCCGAACACGACCATTTCTTCTTCTTCCAATGGCCTTCTTCTTCTTCTTTTAGTTAGATGAAGGACTGAAACGCGGGTAGTACGAAGAAGAAATAAATAGCAAGGCGCAGCAGTTCACACCAGCCTCATCATGCCACTAGGCGTAATCCCAGCTCTCTAGCGGCTATCCACAGATTGGACTACTACTTGAATAAATGCGAAAACGCAAATAGCAAAACATGTTGCTTATAACTAGAAGCTAGGTACTGGTATATAATGAGAAGCGAATTTCACACCTGTAGATGGTTGCTGAAAAAGAAAGGAACGTTCTCTTGGTCTGCCACCGAGTTTAAATAGAGAAACGCTAGGGAATCGAATATCACGACGCTGCTATTGCGAAACAGGGATATTGGTATTTCAGACGATGTCTCAAAGAGGAACTATATGGTTTTTCTTTAAAGATAGAGCCAAATAGACCAAATCTGTTAGCCCGCCTATATTAATTAATGTCGCAGTGTTTCTTGTTTCGTCGGTGATTCCATTACCATCGGACTTATACAATGTGTTGTTGTGCAACGAGGACTAGGCTGGCGACAGGGGAAAGTTTCGAGGTCGGTACTACCTAGCACTGCACTTTGGTGGTTGATTCCTAATGTCTTCCCCATAATTGGTGATATTTGAAATAGTAAGGCGCCGAAGAATATTGAATCTTTGATTACCTCAATTCGCACGACTGATGGATTAGACACCTTGTTTTAATGGACTTGACTGGCTTATAGGGATGCAATATCTTGAATACATGTACCTTGCTATCGCCAAAAACCGCTCCGCTGCAGCTGACAATTTGATAACCCTGGCGGGGTTGGACCTGATGTCTTCGCCATTACCCCACTGCAGCCTTGCGCTCAACACCTCTTCTTCTCCTTACTCTGTCTTATATCTGGTGACCGAGATCAGTCCTCCAAGGTTGACGTTGACTGCATATTGTAGGAGTAGCTAGTATCTTACAGGATGTCGTCGTCCTTGGCTTCACTCTGCGAGTACTGCTCAGTCATCCCACTCTCTCACGATCCAGAGTCAACCGAGCTGAAAGAGGTGTCATGGAATCTGGGCTCTTGGGGGAGAATCAAGCATAGTGACTGTCCTTTCTGCAAGCTCGTCGTGCGTGCGGTACAGGCTTTCCACCAGACTCAATCGGCCTGGTTCCAATTGGAGCCAGTCTCAACGAATAATGATATGGAGCTCCAATGGTTCTCAGCAATCGGGCCCGGAGGCAGGGGTGCTTTTACAATCGACCCTGCCCTACAGCAGGTCTTTATTTGCGCTTCTAGTAAGCTCAGGCCGTCGCTAGACAGTATTTCACCGTCATCTATCCATGTTAGGCCGACCATTGAAGCTGCTTTTGACGTCGATAGGCTTTCGCAATGGATCTCCACATGTACCCAAACCCACCACGATACATGCACCGTAGAAGTAGCCGGCTTTGAACAGGCTTTCCCAGGGCTTGAAGTCTTACGTTTTATCGACACCGAAAAGGAATCGATTGTTAGTCTCCGCAGCATCCCGAAATATGTGGCTCTCAGCTACGTATGGGGTCAAGCAGCGAGCGCCACTCTCACGACTACCAACAAGGATGTGCTCCAGAGGACGGGAGGGCTTCAGAAGGCTTGGCATATGATTCCCCTGACCGTCAAGGATGCAATTGATCTGGTAAGAAGGCTGGGAGCGCGGTATCTCTGGGTGGACGCCCTCTGCCTGGTGCAGAATGACGCCGCAGATCTGTCGAGGGGTGTACAGGTCATGGACGCAATATATGAGAGATCCTGGCTGACTATTGTTGCTGCTTCTGGACACGATGCTAATGCAGGTCTACCGGGAATACAGGATAGAAGCAGGTTTGCCACCTATCCCACAAGGATAACGAATGAGTTATACATGGATATTTTCGTCCCACTCGATCGCCTTTTAAAGCGTTCAGTCTACTCTTCTAGAGCATGGACGTAAGTTTGCTGAGCTGTTCCATCTGTCGTTTCACAACAAAATTAGGGATACCTTGCATCCTGGTACACATGCTGTGCAAGCTCCTGACCAAAGTCGACAGATTCCAAGAGCAGTTGCTTGCACGTCGTGCTGTATACTTCGTTGAAAACCAGATATTTTTTCGATGTAGGGAAAGGATATACAGCGAGCATGTCTTTGATCAGCCCTCGCCAGGTGGAGACTACCTCTTCAACTGGGCCTCTATGCTGCAGATCACAGCTGCTATGGAAACCCCATTGACTGATTTCGAAATCATGCTCTTGTACTACACACCAAGAGCACTAACGGACCAGAACGATGTTTTGCGTGCCCTGACGGGGATCATCCGGCGCGTATCCGAGAGGGCGAGGTGCCAATTCTTGCAAGGCATTCCCACGGCCGCGTTCGACGCCTTTCTAACTTTCCAGGCCCACAATGGCCTTACACGGCGGCGCAGGGGCTTCCCGAGTTACTCTTGGACGGGATGGAAGGGCGGTATTTGTATCGACTACAGCCACAGCATGTTTCAAGATGTGAGCAGATGGCTAGAGGAAGAGACATGGATTATATGGTATAAAAGAAGCCCCTCTGGAATTGTAAGCCTCGTTTGGGATCCTGCTGCTAGCGATTCGTTTCCACCGGATGATCGGACGTATGCTGGGTATCGTCAGCGACGGCGCTTCCGGCCACCCCAGACTTCCACAGGACCTGTAATTGCATCGACTAGGACATATCCAACGGAGCACCTCCCTTCCGAATTGAGTCCCTCTCCGTATCCTCTACTACAGTTCTGGAGCCTATCTGTCTATTTCAAGCTCTGCCCAGACGATATTTTTATGGGAAGTGCATTCATCATCAACCGTTCCGGGATGCGCATCGGCACGATCACCCTTGACGGACTTGACGAAGGCACGTTCTTCAACTGGCAAACCGTTTTCGAATTTGCTCTTCTCTCCGGTGTCGCAATTAGCGAAGCCCGCGACAAGACACCCAAGTACTGGGTCATGTTACTGGAATGGAAAGACCAGGTTGCAGAGAGGAGGGGAATGGGAAAAATAGAGAGGGATTTCCTTTACAGTGGGTGGGCGCCTGGCCCGGTGTGGAAAGAATTCATACTTGGATAAGAAGATGTATACTGTGTCATCTCTAAGCAACCAGTATTCCACGGCGAACAATTTGAAACAAGCGGATAGGATACAAGTGACTCTTCAAATCACTGGGAAAGGCCATTTGGGCAACTTGAAGGATTGGTAACGATGTGATTATTCTTGGATGAGAGAATGCAAATTATGGCATTTGGACGATTTGCCTTGATATGGATAGAGGATGACTTAGCGTTGCAAAAAATTTATCGAGATCAGATACCTGCCATTGATTAGCCACTCGAGATACAAGTATTAAACAGTCAATCACTCGATTCACAGGTACAGAATGAGAAAGAACCATATGTGAATAATGTAATGAGGGATACGCTGAGAAGAGGATAGAGAAGACAAGCATTGGCCTTGTTTTGCCTACAAATTCAAGAAGTTTGTTCACACTAAACTAAGCGCAGGATCTATCCAACGGGCCAATCGCCTTATGGTAGAATAGAACTGCCCAGGTTTATTGACATTAAATTACTCTCCTAATGGGCCCATCCTATATAGCCTGTACAGAGCAAACGTCAGTCTGTCACGGACATTGTTCAATTAGGCCATCAGGGCTAGTATTTTTTTTAAGAATGGCATGGCGTTAAACCTCCAACCTACCAGCAATGCCAGAGTAAGTGCTCCTTCAGCCCATGCGCTTTTTTAGGCACAGTGAGCTCCATTGGTGGCCGTTTGCCCATTACTGGGGTGGAGAGTAAAGGACGGCAGGAGGCGAGACGGGGGGGGGGACATTATCTAGTAATATAGTCTTAGTCTATAAACAATCCTTGCTTCAATAAGCCAAAGTAAGACCTCTCTGATTCTGCTATAGTACGTTTGTCTCACTATACGAGTGCTAATATGCCCTACACCGCCAAGTACTTATTAATAAGAAGCCATATTCTTAAATAAGAAGCCGTAGAGACATGCATTAGTATAAGAATCATTCAAGACATATGAGATCATAAATAAGACATGCGAAATATATCAATTAATAAGACTTGACACTTTAATTTTATATATAAGCGTCCTTTCTCCTCTTGGTACTCCTGTTCACTCCCCAATAGGCCATCGCTCAATCCCACCATATCCCTCAGTCACTTGGAAACTCAACATTTGGTTATTTAATTAGCCTCAGCTATCAAATTTACCATTCAACATGCAAATTTTAACTCTAGTTACTGCTGCAATTGCTTCTGTAGTGTCCGCAACTCAGGCTGCAGACGATGGCGCGCAAGCCACCGGTGTAAATAATCCCCAACCAATCAGCAGGCAGTGTTGACTCAATGCTAAATGTCAGTGTTCTAGGTTATATTCTATGAGCACACCAACTATGGTGGATTATCTTATCAAATTCCTTCTACAAACCGATGCTGGCCACTTCCACAGCCACTGTAAGTAGTAAACATAGTCTTGTCAGGCCTACAAGCAGATTCTAATGCTGGAAACAGGTTTCAGAAGGCATCTTCCATTCAGTTTATTAGTGATGGAGTAACTTGTGCTCTTTTCCGGTAAGTGACGACCTGGCCATGAGGCAATTTCACTGGCCGCAGCTGACAAGCACCAGCAATCGTTACTGCTTTCCTCCTGTGCTCTATGCAGGATTACAACAGTCTGTACCCGATCTTCATGATCTTGGGATCGGTGATGAGGTTGGCAGCGTTCATTGCACTGATTTCAATAACGACAATCAGTAAATTGATCAAGAAGGCATCAATATTGGGTCGCCACTATGTAATTAGGTTTACCCATAATGTTGGGGCTTTTGGTCTTTTAGGTTAAATGGTCTTGTGTCGGCTAGTAGCCATATCATTTAGTTCTCTTGTATCCTTTCGCTACCCCATAGTCTTGTTGCCAGTGAATGATGGCATGATTAGGATATCCGAGGTTCCATTACTACCATACACATTCATGAATCACACTTCACATCCCAAAAGCACTACATAAGTTTATTGACCTTGACAATGACGAAAGTAGAAAGAATCCCAAGCAGCCCCGGATAAAAGAAAAACCACGCCAGGGTATAAAAAGCAGGTCCAAGAATGTCCAATAGCCATGCGAGATGATGGAAAAGCTGCGCCAGAATATAGCTAAAGCTCCCCAAGGTAGAAAAGATTGCCGCAGCAGCAAGAACACATATAGTGCCCGTCGTGAGTGCCACAATTCTCGGGTCGTTCCCAAGTCGCTCCCAAGTTTTCCTCTTTAACTCGGCGGGGTCAGTCGGTGGTTCCCGGTCCCCATTGTGAAGTTGAGAGCGATGGGCTTTCTTCTTATTAATTCCTTTTCTCGGCACGACCCTGGTCTTTTCAACGAGTTTGCCGTACCTGTGTACATATTTTCCAGGCCACAATCACGTCTTACAGAAAATTCATCAAGGGAGGATCGTTTTCTTGCTTGGCTAGAGATTCGGTCCATATACAGACAGCAGTGATGAGGTTGGCATCTTGCTGTCGAACCCCCGCTGCTGCTGTTGGGCTGAGCGGTCGCGATCATTGCTGATTGGATGTTCGGTCCGTACTTCGTCCGCAGTACGTACCTGTTACTATCGCGATGTATTTTTGGTTGCCTGCATCCAACACAGCAAATGACATTACATTCTTTTCCAGCCCCTGCGTTCTACTCTGAGATAAGGAATGGCACTGAATGGCACTGAATGGCAACTGCATATTTGCGGTCTATGGTATACACAATATCTAGGCTTTGCTATTGTTGTATGGCAGCCCCTGGTTCCTGAGTTGGGCATTTGCATTCTGTTATGCCGTTTTCAGCGTTGGATAGGCAAGTTGCGGTAATTGAGGTTATCTCTAAGGTCAAAGCTTCTTTACTATTATAAGATTGTTCTATTTACCCAAGCTCTTAAAGCTTTACAGGCTCTCCAAGCACCCAACAGCCGGTGACTTTGCGATGATTGTTGGCCCCAACTTGCAATCGAAAGTCTATGCTGTTGACTCTTGGTAACGCCAAGTACATAGTAATTTCCGTGTGAGTAACAAAGGCCCTTATACGAACAGGAACGAAACTATCAAAAGTTCATGGGTCCAATCAGATGAACAGTGCGTCAGCACACTATCTGTCTAGCGTATGACAGATCGCTGTGTGGCTTGGAGCAATGTTCTGGACGACGGCTTCTAGTGCATTTTCAGCTGGCGAAAAGAGAATTTCAGCAACATGAAAGTATAAGCAGAGTTTCCTAGCGGTAACTTCAATGACCATCTGGGCTATATGCGTCTTCAAGATAGACCAAGCCAAGGGAACATTAGTCCTCTTCCTAGGAGGGTGTGATAGATGATAGATGCTAGTAAGAGGGCCTAGCCGATGGAGAAGAAGAAGAAAAAAAAAAGACTCGGCGAGACCCCAACGGCCCCGCAATCAATCGTGTCCATGGAACGGCGTTGGAAGCCGAGTCTGACGACGACCTTCCCAACTGGACCGGATCCGTTTAACAGGCGGAGGATATTGTGCCGAGCATTGTGATGGTTTCTTCGCCGTGTGTCAGGTGTGCTTCATGCTGGGAGACGCACAGACTGGGCTTGCTTGACCCGCCAAGACGGGAGCGGTTTGGCAGCAATTTCGTTCTGCCATCTTGGCCGAGGCAGCGTAGGATCGTCCAGGCACAGCACATGCAAAGCCCATTTCCCCAACTCTCAGCCGTGCCCATTTCGAGAAGCTTGCATTCAAGTCCCACAGAAAGCCGCCTATCCGGACTCGGGCTTCTAGACTTGTCCAGCCTAGCGATTGAGGCGCAGGACGTGGACGAACAGAGTTGGTAACGCGCCGCCGCCACACCGATCGAGGGCTGTTGTTGTCCGTCCTGGAGATGCCGAGCAGGAATACGGAATACGGAATGGGCCCGAGTCGCGCGCCAACGACGCATTGATGGATTGGACGTGCTAGCTCGTTTGAGCATGGCAAAGGGCCGTGACAAGAGAAACTATTGATACTATTGATGCAACTGCTGGATGTGGAGGCGAAAACCCCAGACGCGGATCCTCAGCCTCCCTTCCGCCACGGCTGCGACGCTGGGCTGCTACGTAATGGAATTTTTATTTGTTCATGGATTCAAGGGAATGATAAATAAGCATCGTCGTCGGCTTCTTCCATCTCCGCTTTTTTTCCTCTTCTCTTTTTCTTTCTCGTTTGTTGTTGTTGCCTCTAATCATCGCTGCAGTACGGACAGAGTCAGAGTAGGTGCATAAGACCATCACCACCAAGCGCAAGACCTCCCAATCCCAAGCAATAAGCAGAAAAACACCGCCAAAATGCGTGGTCTCGCCCTGTCCCTGTCCCTGCTCGCCGCCAGCTCAACGGCCGCGGCAGCTACCAAGCCCGCGTGCGCAAAGGGCCTCTACATGGTTGTCGCCCGAGGCAGCGAAGAGCCTGCGGGAACCGGTGTGACGGGCAATCTCACCAGCCAGATTGCCGCAAAGGTGCCCAACAGCCAGGTTGTGGCCGTCGACTATCCGGCCACGCTCACCGACTACGAGGACTCCGAGGGCGATGGCGTCAAGGCGATGCAGCAGCTGCTCAACAACTACGGCCAGGCCTGTCCGGGAAGCAAGATTGCAGTTCTGGGCTACTCTCAGGTGTGTACTGCAGTGATTTACGACAGGAGGAGCGGTGACGGCTTCACTGGCGAACATGAGCATGGGCTGACCTGATTCATCTTGCACAGGGCGCGCAAGTCTCGACTGACTCCATCTGCGGTGGTGCCGGCGAGCCTTTCATCGACGACAAGGCCATGTCAGACGAGGTCATGAACAGCGGTGAGTTTTCCGTCTTGGGCTGGGCGCCAAGCAGCCCGTGAGGGGAAAGTAAGGAAGAAGAGAGAAGAAAAAAAGCTAACGAGAAGACTGCCCTAGTCGTGGCCGTTGCCATTTTCGGAGACCCAACCCATGTCGCCAACCTGACGTACGACCGAGGCACCAGCGTGAACGACGGCGTAAGTGTAGCTGATTCTGAACCAAGATTGAGAAGCAGGCAGCTGACTCTGTGATCTGTGATTCTTGTTGTAGCTCTTCAACCGAAGCGCGGCCAGTGTCGACGTGTGCAAGAAGTACGCCAGCCGCATCATCTCGTACTGCGACAAGGGCGACATCTACTGCGACGCCGGCGGCAACCAGACCGTCCACCACCTGTACATTGAGCGCTACGGCGACGAGATTGTCGACTTTGTCGTCAGCCAGTACGAGAAGAGCACCAGCACCGGCTCCGGCTCCAACACAACCTCCAAGCCTCCCGTTCCCACCATGTCTCCCACCCACGGCCCTGGTGGCAGCAGCAACACCAGCAGCCCGACCAAGACCGGCGCTCCTACAACTGGCCCGACTAAGGGATCTGACGCCAATATGTTGACGAGCAGCCTGATGCTGGGAGGTCTGTTGACGGTTCTGACGGCCGTGTCTCAGATGCTGTAAGCGCGCGCGGACGGATGATGCTATAATGCAATATGGAGCAGTCAGTAATGCGGAGTTAATTGATGCGGGAGTCTTTCGCGGGTTTCTCTTTGATGCAATTGTAGAAGATTATATATGCGATAGAGCCCACTAATGATGAGACATTTGACAATGTGTGTAATGCAACATTATGCTGTGTTCTGTTCCAGCCTGTGTCTCTGTCGAGCGAGTACCTGTACTTGTCTGTGCTCTGTGTGTTGTGATTTGTGATTCGAGTTGCGAGCTGTTAATGCCCATGAAGAAACAATGTTGCAGAAGTGGCCATTATTAATTCCAATGGAGATGAAGAGACAAGATTCCATCTTAGTCAACAAGCCTCAGCCTTGATGACATGACTAGACCACGCGCTACTTGCCCTACGGAGATCGGCCGAAGATATCCGAGCAAACAATGAAGCCACAAATAGCAATGACAAGGAAGAATTAGAGTAATTGCACGTACTCGTAATCGTTTATCGCAGGAGACAGAATCACGATCCGCCCGGCTCGGCATTCGGAAGCCAAACGTCAACTGTCAAATCTCAGCCCAGCATCTGGAATCTGGAATCTAGCAGAAAGATACCATTCAACTTCCTCATCTGGCCTCATATGTCCTATCCAGTCCGTCCGCTCCGCACCGGCCTCCGCGGCGAAACGGCTGCTTCGTCGGGAGATGCATTGCAGTGCCAATCACGACTCGATGCAGAGCCACACCGATCGAAACAGATCATTCTAGCGCTCCTTTCTATTATCAATCAGCTCGATGAGTCTTACGCCCTTGCTGAATCTGCATAGAATGCCCTGCTTTGCACCCAAAAGGAAAAAAACAAAAAAGCCATGACGGGGAAAAAAAAAGTTTAGCGGCCGCTCGCCATGCCCGCAAGGCCAGGCTTTTGCCTCGAAAAGGCAGCCAAGACGCAACTCGGGCGCCGCAGTAAACCGAACAGAGATCGAGAGCCCCCCACAGTTCCCAAGAAATTGGGCGTCTACTCTTCTATTTTCCTGATTATTTTTTGTATTAACGCCTAGTTTTTCTTTGCAAATACTGTTACTTACTAGCATCAGCTGGCTAATAGGAAGCCGGTGAGATCCTCCTTCTCACGGCTTCTCGGTGTGCTATCGACCTATCGGGAAACTCCCATCATCAGTTCATCCAGCCCAACGAATGGCAAGTTGTCGCCTCCCCCCTTTTTGGATGGTCTAAACCCTCCCCCTCTCCCATGATTATTCCCGGCCGCAGAAGAAAAGAAGACAACAATGGAGATTATGATTCATCCATTGGCGTCTTTGTTGCCATCTTTTGCCCCGATCCGGCCTCGACACCGGAAAAGCCAAGGCTCCACAACCCGCAAAGGCCCATGGCTAAGTCAACACGCCTCCGTACGAAGCGGAGGAGCCCACTAATCTGACGACCCGTATCCGATTTTTTCTTTTTTTCTGCTGTGCATTTTTGCCTTGGTCGTGGAGAAAGGGCAGAAGCTATGTGAGGGCGTGAGAAGCTTAAAATAAGACGAGAGGAACATCTAGAGAGGGCGAGAATGCCGCTGGGAAAAGACTGTCTGTCAACCACTTGACTCTAAATCAACCATCAACAGGAGTAGAGAAGCTCTTGTTCCGCCCTCTCACCCCGATTGGGAACACACCGAGTGAGGACACCAGAAAGGAGTACAAGACAAGAAAAAAGACAGTTCGAAATGGGCCAGCCAGAGCCTCTCGCCGCCCTGGAATCCGGCGTCCTCCCCTCTGGCCGGACATCCTCGGACAACAGCCAGTTTCCTGATAAGGCCGAGGTCGAACGCCTGGGTCGAGCCCGTCCGGCAGTGCTCACCTCATGGCTGAACGAGGTCCTCTTCGTCGCCACCATTGTGCTGTCCATGACCATGAGCGAGTACTTCATCGGCGGCTTCAACATCATCCTGCCCCCCGTGGCCGATGACCTCAACATCCCCGAAAACACACGAACATGGCCCGCCGGCGTCATCAACCTGACAACAGCAGCCTTCCTGATGCCCTTTTCCCGCCTGTGCGACATCTACGGCGCCCGCTCCGTCTTCCTGTTTGGCCACATCTGGTTCATGATCTGGTCTCTCGTCTGCGGCTTCAGCACAAACACCATCATGCTCATCATCTGCCGCGCCCTGCAAGGAATCGGAACATCGGCCTTTACGCCCGCCGGCCTCGCCCTCCTGGGCCAGACGTACCGCCCGGGCCCGCGCAAGAACCTCGTCTTCGCCATCTGGGGTGCCTTTGCCTGCCTGGGCTTCTACTTTGGCATCTTCATGGGCGCCGTGTGCGCAAACTTCTTGACTTGGCGTTGGTACTTCTGGATCGGCACCATCATCGTCTTTTGCATCGCCTTCACGGGCTTCCTTACCATCCCGCGCAATCTGCATGAGCAGGACGAGTCTATTCGCATGGACTGGTGGGGTCTCTGCACGGTTGTGCCGGGCCTGATCCTCGTCGTCTTTGCCTTTACGGACGGAGGCCATGCGCCGCGCGGTTGGCAGACGCCAGACATTTATGTGACATTCATCATTGGCATCTTGTTCCTCATTGCGGGTGTCTACACTCAAGGCTGGGTATCTGCTCAGCCTCTGCTCCCTTCGGACCTGTTTAGGCCCAAGTACATGAAGCGGTTGTCTTTGGCCCTGTTTTGCTTGTACGGTGTATTCGGCTTGTATCTGTTTTACTCAAGCTACTAGTGAGTTGAACCCCTTTTCCTTTTGCTTCATTTTGCTCAGGACCATCTCACTAACACGCACAATTAGCATCGAAACCGTACTCCACACGACCCCCATCCTCACCGCGGCCTGGTTCACTCCCCTGGCTATTGGCGGCGTATGCCTCGCTGTCTGCGGCGGCTTCGTCATGCACATGATTTCGAACCGCATCTTGATGATGATCTCCAGCGTGGGCTTCCTCTTGTCGGTGCTCCTGTTCGCCATCATCCCCAACCGCGTCGACGGCCACCCCTCGACCGGCTTCCTCTACTGGGCGTACATCTTCCCGGCCATGCTGTGTGGCACCATCGGCGTCGACATTACATACAACGTCACCAACGTCTTCATCACCACGTCGATGCCACGGCGCCTCCAGGCCACTGCTGGCGGGCTTATCAACACCCTGCTGTATCTCGGCATGGCGTTTTGGCTAGGTATTGCCGAGATGGCCGTGTCTGAGGCGAACAGGCGGAAACTGCCCGAAGGCCTCAGCCTGCGGGAGCAGTACAAGATTGGCTTCTGGATCGGCGTTGCCATGGCTGGGCTGTCGCTGATACTTGTGCTGACCATTAAAATTGACAAGGCGGCGGCTGAGTTGACGGCTGATGAAAAGGCTGCTCAAGCCGAGCGCGAAATAGCATCGAACTAAGTCAACATCGTTGTCTTGGTTGTGAAGTCTCCTCTCTAATGAATATTTAATCTAGGAAGAAGATCGGTGGACGCATTAATGATTTATGGAAAGCGATTGTTTATTTCATATACGGGTTCGAGCTGCATCAAAGGGGCATTTGTTGGGTTCTTGTTATACTCTATAAACTTTAAGGAACTCCTAATAAAGGATATCATATAGAAAACTATAGAATTTAATATAAAAAATATACCTTTACTATAGTCTTAAAGATTAAAATTAAAAAAACTATATAGTAAAATAAAAGTTAAACTTATTAATAAAATAAAATAAAAAATTAATTTAAAAAAAATAAAAAAAATTAAAGCGGAAAGACCAACTGTGTTTTGGTTCTCGATTGACTAAATTAAGCAGCATAGAACCATATATTTGTGACATCGAAGTCCAACATAGTATGGTAGTCAAACCCACAATGAGTCAAAACCACTTCACAGTGGTTTAAGAGCATCCATTACGGCATACTCGATTACATATATTACTTCTTTTAACCCCAGTCGACGGTTATATTAGTCGAGTAAACTATGAACTCGAGGCACTCCATGAAGGTTCACCATTCCGGTTTGCATTCTCCCGGAATTGCTTGTTGAAGAGTTGGTTGGTCAAGTAATCTCTTCCCACTCATCCTGGCTCCATATCTCCCTCATGTGGCCGTTCGTATCCTTGTAGAACAGGATTGAACCCCTGGCAACATCCTTTTCGGTGTTCCCTCTCGACTTTAGCTTGTACGCCTTGTAATATCGGGGCTTCTCCGCCACGATAGGACACAATTCCGGTGATTTTAGCACTCTCCAGATTGCGCTCTCGTTGCCGTTTTGTTCCTGGTCCGCATTGGGATCCGAGAAGAATAGACGGAACGGTTCGTTACTCGGTCTCTAGAGATTGTGTGATTGTCTTGTGAGTCATGTCCATCGCAGATGCAGAAGTGGGTTGAATCATCCAGTTCACTGAGCAGCCAGAGGGGGAGCAAGGTTAAACCCACCGTTTTACCTTTAAATCCCTGGACAATGGCCTTGATGCTGGAGTATCTGGGGTTGGCACTGCTATGCTTGTGCGATCCGCAGATGAGATACACATCTGCGCGGAATTGTTGGTAGAAATCGCTATTCGCCGTCACGTTGGAGCCGTGGTGCGGGATCTGACATAAAAAAGGAAGAAGATTATCAGTAAGAGTAGAGAGAATAATGGGTAAATGATTCCAAATACACGTCCCCACGTAGATAGTGCCCTACAACGAGGGGTAAATGGCACACCCTCTTCGGCTTGACAGGGGTTGAACCACCTTAAGCACATCAAAGTGATGGATCTTCTCCGGTCGCGGGTCGCTCCAGGCGGCCGTGGTTCGTCTGAGATCGCAGGGCTGATCATACGCGTCGCCCGTGAAGAGCATCCGCATTCTGAGGTCCGAACGAGAGAATACGGTGACGACAGAGGCGCGATTAATCAAAGCGTCCTTGAGCTCCAAGTCGGAGGAATCTTTGTCCGCTTTCTTGACTTTCTTGACTTTCTCAGCGTATACCTTGTAGAGCATGAGTTTGACCACTTCCCTCTGGATATCATCTTGGGGAGATGTTGTGTATTGGATTGCACATTCGGCCGGCTTTTGAGTCCCCGGCTCCGGACGGGGACCTATACACGTAAACAGGAGTTGATCAGAACGAATGTCGATAGTGAATTCTGGATGACAGAATGTACCAATTTTCGGCTCGATGTGTCTCACCAGTTCATAATCTACTTCCGAGTTGATCTCTTGGACCGCTGTCATCAACTTGAAAAGCGTGGGCTTGTGAGTCTTGTTTCTCGGCGGTGCGACCTCAACACTCGCGGGGTTTTTCAAATACTGGCGGGGAACAGCTGAAGCATCTTGTGAGTTGTAACAATTTGAGTTGGAAATTCTCTGTCAGGCGTACCTGTCGCTCCCTTATACCATTTCGTATCCTTTATCGTCTTGAACTGTCCAAGCTGGGCTATCATAACCGACGTAATTGCATTGTAGTCGAATTCAAACTTGTACGGCAGTCTGCTATTCACCGGCAGCTTGTCAAAGAGCGGGAGTTCGAAAGACCAGTCCTCTTGTGAGATTATATGGATCCCCAGCAAGAACTGACAATGTTTATTGGTGTCATCGTTGGTGACGTTCTCAAACAGAAGCTGAATCTGGGCGAGAGTCAGGCCAAGTTTAACGAGGTATGACCGATCTCCCTCATTGTCCGTAAACGTAGCAGGCTTGCCCGGGAGAGCTTCTGAGAAGACTTGGAACGCAGTGTCGATTTCCCCTGAATCAGATGCCTGTTTTTCGAGGCAGTCCGAATTAACACCCTTCCTCGTGCGCTCGTCCGGTTTCTTAAACTTCGCTGTGCTAGATCCCGATTCATTGGGTCCCCGTTTCTTCTGGCCATTAACAATGGTATCTAGAAACCTGACTACAATGTCCACAGAATAGGATGCTTCTTCCACGGCTCTCATCCACTCGTAGAGTCCGTCGACGCGAAACAAGAGGTTGAACCCCCCCGGCGGGCTTGACTCCTCGACCTTCCAGAACGCCATCGTCAACGTTGGCCAGGCGTGGGGGACTTTGTTCATGACAAGATCACACTTGTAGTTGCGGTCGCTCTTGCGCCATTCTTTGAATGAGGACTTCAGCCCGGTCATGATGGAGCCTGCGTTGCCGATGTGGTCATCGTCAAAGTGTGTGATCTGCATCTCCCGGAGTCTAGGTGTGTCGACCATTCCCTCGGGCAAGAGAGGCACAGCACGACTCTTAATCTCTTTCACGACAGCATCGGCGATGACTTTGCCGGCTCGGTTGTAACCGGTATCGATGAGAACGCGGCGCCATTGTGCAGCGTTTCGGCCACCCTGTCCAATCTTCGTGGGCTCATACAAGTCAATGAGGTTGCAGTCACCATGGTCTGCGTTTCACTCCGGGGCATATCAGCCATTTTCACCATCATATATTCATCGGCATGAACGGAGAGAACCATGGTAGATGGGGTTTGGAAAAATTGTACATGTTGTAAAAGCACTGGGAAACGAACAAAATCACCTACCACCGTCGAAAACAGTCACTTGGGCAAAAATCTATACGTGGTCAGGCAAAATAAGCACAACAGGAGAGGAGTAGAAGATTTGGAAAAGTCTATCATGAAACAGTTGGTGTAAGGGGACTTATACGTACGTTCTCCTCCTTCAGGCCCAGGTCAGAACCAATCGACAGGTAAGACTGTCCACCCGTGGAGACTATTTTGGCGTAGACGTCTTTTTCCATCGTTGGCCCTATTGAGCGTCTAGAGCAACGCTGCCAATAATTAAGGGTAGTTAATGATGACAATCCAGGTTTTGTCACGCCAGTCCAGGAAACAAAGATGCTATCAAAATGATTTATGGCCGTCTTTCAGCGCGAGACATTAGCTTCGATAATAGGAAATTCTACGTTGTAATTGGTACGGAGTGCGTAATGGTTGGTCTGGGTTGAACTTTCAGCCCAATTGTCCATTGCTTCGTGTCCAGTCTCGCATGCCCAGAAGAGGCCCAACTTTGGGTCATCCCATTTTGCCCTATCAGTTGAGCTGAGACATGCCGAATTGTGGGATCGACAACCTCCCCCGCATGGCTGTAGTCAATTACCTCGCCTTTGCCCAACTCGAGCGGGGGATACGAATATGATCAAAGGACGTGGTGGGCTGAAATAAACGTACACTGGATGTTTCCCCGACCTAATCAGGCCACTCATAGGTATAAACGTGGACTTTGGGCAGATGTACATATGCGCCTAACCGGAAGAGGCAGAAGAGTGCCATCAGATACTCTCTGTGATGGAGGGCGAGGAAAAGAGTTGATTCACCGTTGGAGATGAAGAGCAAATCAGACGGTTAACAGAGACGCCGATCACTGTTCGTCTCCAGCTGGACCATGTACTTTGAACTTCGCCATGCAAAGCTGGGAGACGGCAAACACGCCGCGTGTGTAGGCGACCGGGATTAAAGTGATAGAATAGAAGAAGGCCAGCAAATTATCAAAATACATCATCGTTGTTTATCTTTGATACTTCTCTTCATCCACTTAACCAGCACTAGTGTTGATCCCCATGGCTAGCACACAGCTCCCAACGTCTGAAGTTAAAGAAGTCAGAAAGGTCTCTAACGATGACGATGACGAGCAGGGTGGCTCCAGCCAAGCAGAGGAGACCAGCACTGGCGATACAGAGTCTGATACCTCCGTTATCAGTGATGAGGCTGAAGCCATGAGCAAGGCCATGGGCCGCATCACGGATAAATTACAAAGCCAGCTAAACATTCCCAAAGTCGAATCAGGCAAGTCTTCTGTAGGTCTTTACTATAATGTCGCAGCGCAAGCAACAGTGGAGCTGCAGACAGATTGGGAAATCATCCCAGGACTTAATCTTCAAGGGGTGAAGCTGAGGACCAAAATCGCAAAGACGAGCAAGCAACCAGGTACGCCGATATCTCAAAGCGCTTTCTTCTTCGACAACTGTTGTGCAATAACCAATTAACTCCTGCTGCCTTTGATGTAGTCACGCTGGGTGTCGAGCTCAATGCCTTTCTATTGATCAAGGATTATACGGTTATCGTGTCTGGAACCATTCCCCGGATACAAAAGGGACGCGATATCGAGTTTACCTTGAAGCTCAAGGCGAGCAGCTGCTTGGGTTCAATCGACACAGATGGGATCATTGAGGCCTGTACAAAGGACAACGGGAATGGCCCAACTCGTGAGTGTTGGTCCCTGCCACCATCTGCTGCGACAAAAGGTTCTGACGGTCCCCCAGATACAAAGGCGTGTTACCAAGACTTGCTCCAGAAGACAGGTCTACAAAATGACATGGGAGATGCTGCTATGGCAGAGCTAACTATCGTTCGTGAAGCGCAATCAGAAGAGATGTATCTGAAGAAGTTTGAGATCCACATTGCTGCAAACATCGATTGGCAAATCATCCCCGGGAAGCTGCGACTCCAGAAAGCCGCAGCACTACTTCGATTCTCTAAGAAGAAACGTGAGGATTCTCTCTTGACGCGATTGGAATTAGCTGGCAGCATTATCCTAGAAGACCCTCCCGAGACCACAATCGGCCTGCAAGCCTTTCTCTCTCTCAAGGATGGCGACGTCCGTCTTGCCCTGGCATGTAACGTGGCAGCCATGCAGGCTATCCAGCCATCGCACCTTGTGAATCTGATCACAGAGCAAGAGAACACTGACATGTCCCTTGACTCAGTTGGTGCTCCTCCTGACCTTGGCCTACCGCATGATAACTTCTGGTCATTCGATCTGTTTGCCGCCTTGGAAAGGAAACAAGCGGAATGGAGTCTGCAATACGTCCGCGTGGCTGTCGAGATTAACCAAGTGTGGGCCCCTTTGCCTGAGTTGGTTATCGGAGACCTGAAGGGCTTCTTGATGGGTTTCCGTCCGGACTTGGATGTCAAGGATTTCAAGGACGACACGAGCCTCGACCGTCCCGGGAACCGCGAACGATTAGCTACTCTTCCGAAGGAAATCAAGACGGAATCAAACTCAGCATTGCCCAGCTTAGAAGTTTCAGGGTGGATCATAGGCACCGTCTATCTTGGTAGCACTTGGCTTCAGGCAACGGTCCAACATGACGCCATCACCAAAGTCACTCAGGTCCATTGCTACATCGATGATACCCAGATTTGTTCCTTGACCCAGATTGTCTCGAATCCCCGACTTCACAGTCTGCAGTCGGGGCAGAGTGCACCCAGTGAGGAGGACTTTACTAAAGCCCTGGCCTTAATGGCCACTCCGGCAACCTGTCCAGTGGACTTCTGGCTGGTCTCGGCTCTTGGCTATGGAACGCAACGGCAGTGCTCCATCTCCATTGAGGGCTCGAAGCTGCAACGGCTCACGTTCTCTGTGATGTCGGCTGGCGACGCAAATGCATGGCAGCCTACCGATACCATTCATCTGCAGGATATGGGTCTGTCGATTTCGTATGAGCCATCAAAGAGTTCTACCGCCGGATTCGGGAACTTGAAGGGGTATGCGTATGGACACCTGAAGCTATCTAACGGATTGACACTATTTGGACTCGTGGTCGGTCGGAAGGAGAGCAAAATCGGAGAATTCATGGTCCATCTCTCCACTTCGCTTCAACCCAATGCTGGTCTTGGAGTAACGCCCGAAAATCTCTTCGCGGACCCCATTCTCGGCAGCTTGACTCCCAAAACTGAAGGTTGGGAGCTTCCATCTTCGTTTCTCGCTGATGAACAAGTCAGTTTCTCACGGATATTCCAATCAGCAGAGGCAGGGGTCACCCTCAAGTTCTCCCGAGACGAGATCCCCTCCACTGATGAAGGAACCCCGAGTTACCAGACCGCACTGCGCCTCGTCCACGTTTACCTGGATCTCCAGGGTAACTGGGAGATATTCAGTGGGCTAAAGCTGCAGGATGTGCGGTTACTTGCAATTATAAGCCCCAAAGCTACGGCACAAGGGTATATCGCACGAATAGAGGTGACAGGCGTGTTCCACGCCACAACTCCCGGTGTCTCTCTAGCTGTCTCGGCGAGATTCGGTACCCAAGGCCCCGTATCTCTCCTCACAGCTCGCCTGACCGGAGCCGTGAATGCTAGTACGAGGGAGAACCACAGCAGCGCGGCATTGCCATTGATGCCCACTAGGATTCTGGAGCTGTCAGCCTTCCAAGATTTCAGATCCACCAGCATGGACGAAATCTCCGTTCCAGATGACTTCCCCGTCACTGCCACACGTGTCATGTCGTCAACTCAGACAGAGTGCGAGATGAAGATTGACAAGGACCCATCAAACAATAGTTGGAAGCTCACTCGTATAACCTTCTCCCTCACCTCGGATGCGGAATGGACTGTAATACCTGATCTGCTACGCATTAGGCTCCAACTACTTGCCCTGCAGCTGCCGCGCTCAACAGAGAATCCCTGCGGAGCTTTAGCACTCGCGGCGGCCAATATTTGGATTGGTAATTTAGAGCTGACTAGCAAACTGATATTTTGCAGGAATAATGGGAGGAGTGATCTCATTTTTACTATCAGCGCGGGTCGTAGTGAAATGAAAGAGATGGTTTCAAAATTCACAGAAGAATCATTCTCGACTATGACTCCGTCTAAGATATCACATCTTGCTGACAGCGCATGTTTCGACGTGCAGGCTCTCTGTGTGTGGGAAAAGAGGAATTCTGTGGATAGTTCTCGTCCTTGGTTCCGGGAACTCACGGTCAAGTTTGGCTCTACGGCGTCGATTGACCTTGAATTCATGCAGCTCGGAGAGCTTTCCCTGTCCATCGAGAGAGACGAGGGAACGAAGGTGAGCGCCTCACAATGAACCGCCAGTGAATCTCCGGCAAGGAAAAGAGGGCTCGGTCACTAACACCTCCGGTTTGCTAGCGATTCTCTATAAACAGCTGTGTAGTATTTTTCGGAGAGTTACACCTCAAGCTCTCCCTGGCATACCGGCCGGCTACAGCAGGGAAATCATCGTGTTACAGCGGCAGCCTGACCCTCCCATCGCAGCCCAAGCCATTCGTCACCATTACCCATCAAAACGGCCACTGGGGCTTGAAGGACTGGTACATCAGCGAGAAGGAGCTCAAGACTGGGATCCAGTTTGACGAGGCCATCGAGAAGGCAACTCAAAAATACCCGTCGAAGTGCGAGTGTAAGAAGCTCGTCGGCTTTTTCTTGAAGGAGATAATCATGCTACGTTTTTCATGGAAGATCACCAAACCAGAAAGCAGTGAGCCCATGTTCAAGGATAATCAGTTGCATCTCCGTATTGTTTGGAGCTTCAAAATTTCCTTCTCCGCCTTGGAGCATGATCTCTCAGATTTTGACATGCCAGACTTGCCTCTTCACGTTCCTGGGCCATTCAGGCTCAGTGAGTTCCACAAGCTGCTGGTGAATACCATCAGGGAAACGGTCGCCGATATAGGCCAGAAGATACTAGAGCGGCCTGTAGACTTTGCCAAAATTATGGCTGCAGTATCTGTGAAGCACTTTGGCCACCAAATAATCTCATCCCTGATCTGTCGTCTGAATGGGAATGGGCAGGAGGTTAGTTCCAACTTGAAAGAGCGCGATGAAGAGCTCACTCAGGAAGAGGCCAGGGCTGCCGAAGAGGAGCCCGTAGAGGATGAGAACCCGTTGGAGCAGGGGGAGGGCACTGAAGAGCCATCTACTGAACCACCCACAGAACCACCTACCGGCCCGGCTAGCCCCAGTGTTTTGGATGCTGCCAAAATAGCCGGAAGTGCTGCTGGAAGTGCTGCCGCTGCTGGTGCTGGGGGTGCTTCTGATCTCGCTGTTGCTCTCGTGCTGGGAGCGACCGCATCTGTATTGCTCGGCTGGCTGGGAACGACCTCGACGGACCATAACATCGACGAGTCGGGTGAGCCTGGGAAGAGGACGCTCCTCGTGAATCTCAATAGGAAAATCGAAAGGGGTCTGACCATGCGTGGCACACCGCACTGCCAGCTCCACACTGGTCGACAAGTGCTCGAGATCGGCTGGAGAGCCTGTACCCCAGCAATCGTAGATGACAGCAGCGCAGAGATCACAGACACTGTGATTTGGACCGTTCGAATCCAAGATAGCACTGGACAGGAGGTTTACGCGACCACAATCCCCGCCGCTCAAAGGTCTGTTAGATACCAAATACCGGGGCAAGTATGTGGTGAAAAACTCCGTGTCCAAGTCCGAGCCTCCTTGACCTACAAAGGCCAGGCTCAGAACGTCCAGTTCAACGGACCATGGTCACCACAGGTGGAAGTCACCTGGACGGCCCCAGGCGCGGCCCCTACAGCGCCTGCTAGACAACAGGAATCTGCACTGGAGATCCCTTCAGCGAACATGCCTCCATCTGACCAACACATAAATACAGCTACTAACGTATGTCAGGGTCAAACTCTTGCTAACAGAACATACAAAATCACAACAGAGATCGGCACATCAGAAAGGACGTCCATAACTCTGAAAATTGGGCAAGTCTAGACCCCTGTTAATGTTACTTGACCAATATTTACAGCTCTAACGATGTCCAGGGAAATTGATCAATGGCGAATTTTGTACATTGGTGAGGACAACAACGGAGTAAAAAAATGTTATATCACACCAAACGATGGGGAATTTACCAAAAGGCTGCGTAGTGAGTGTGATTCACTGTCTGACTTTGTCATCCACTCAAGCCACTGACCGTAAATTTTAGCGCCGACGACCGATGGCTATCTTATAGTGGATAGCGAGATCGGAGGATCAGAATGGGAGCTCAACCCAACTGAAAATGGCGAAAACCACTACATGTATATAACCCCTTATTTTTCGACTCCAGGAGATATTAGATACCTAGATAACTTTGCTAACTTTATATACAGTATCACCCAATGCCATGGTTATTGGACACTTGGACTTGACGAAAGCAATGAGCCTAGATCTTTTATAAGCTCATTTCAAAGAAGCCCACCACCACAATGGCACTTTGCGCGAGTAGTATGATAGGATCCTACCAAGCAGCGCCCCGGAATCCCGCAAATCGTCACAATCTCACTGGTTGACTCTAGGAATGTGCTGTCACGGCTAAGGATTGCTGTGTTGATTGCTACACTTGCAGATTCTTGAATATAACCCCGACCCCCCTTTTTCCTCTTCTCTTTTTCTCTTTTTCTCTCATGCTTAGTTTTCTAATATGCCAGGACGTGCTGTGCGACGACGTCGACTATCTGCACTGCCGGTTCTGTCGGAACGGGAAGTATCATTGGTTCTGCCTGCAGTCCTGGAGCACGACCCAGCAAGGACTCCAAAAGGGCAACTATAAACCTATGCGAGGGTGTGCACCACACAACTCAATCCACGAAATGCTCCAGTTGCGTTGAGTTGACCTGGTCAACGAGACACCGCCGTGTAGTTGATAAATTATGTGCTTAATGGACATTTACTGATGTCCATCAGTTGATGTATTAGTCACCCACTCCGTTCGCATTTCTTACCTCCATTTCACAAATTGTACTTCTAATTTTGCAATCGCACGATTTCATCCACCTCATCACCGAAACTCTCCACCCCATCAGTACCTTCTGCAGGCCCCTCACCAGTAATAGCCTCAAGTGTCCCAGGTGTTGCCTTAAGGAAGAGCCTTTCGTTCCCCCTGAATGGCAACATCCAACTAGCCACAGCTCAGATTATTACGGATAGAATTGCATGATTCGGGAGATACCAGGGCAAAGCATATTAGAGGGATAAGGAGGGGTGGATTACGCAGCATTTTACGACAGAGCGTGCGGGCATGGCGAGATTTGGATTTGGTCCTTTTGGATAGAGTATATATCTGCATATAAATCGGCATGAAGATGAAGCTGACGATTGTTCAATCCCTCAGTGAATGAGCGTTCTTTGCTGAATAAACAGAAACAAGCCTCGGCTGATGGCGGCCGAAGCCAGAAAAGGCTTCTAAACCCGGGCATTTCCATCTCCACATTTCGCCTCGACGAGCCGTTTTGACGGCACTTGCAAGCCGGTTCCTGTCGCCCGAACTGATCGTCACAAGGGCGCATCTCAAGTAGCCTATAAGATCTGGTCTAATCGAGTTGATAAAGAGTTGTGGTTTCGGCTTCATGTTGACGACTGCCGTGACAGGAGTTGCTGAGACGTCTTATAAACCCCGCCAAGACTCCGAAACCACCACACTCACATGAAAGAGACTCCCAACATTATAAGAAGCTTCTCATAAAAGCATCTCATAAGAAGCACATGTAAGAAACAGAATCATGACCATCTCAAGCAACCTCGTCAACCGCACCTCCTTCTCCGCGGCCGACATCGTCAAGGATATCTGGACCAGCCTCCATCTCCCTCCCCACGCCCTCTCATCCCTCAGTCTCCCCGGCCATCAAACCGCACCAGCTACGCCCTCATCTTTCAAGATTGGGCATCTCGCGCAGAGTTCCATTGCGCTATCCGCTCTCACAGCCTCTCTCGTCCACAGCGGACGGTCCTCCTCCTCTCCAACATCAACATCTCCAGTCTCCCCCATTCCCCGCGTCAGCGTCCCCCTCGACCACGCCCTGATAGAATTCAAATCAGAGCACCTCTACAACATCGACAACCAGCCCCTGGAATCCGTCTGGGGCACAATCGGCGGCCTTCACAAGACAGCAGACGGCTACGTCCGCATCCACGACAACTTCCCCAACCACGCACTAGGAACTCTCCAGCTCCTCGGCCTGCCGCCAACCGCCAACCGCCAAGATGTCGCCGCCAAGGTAGCCCAGTGGAAGAGCATCGACCTCGAAACAGAGGGTACTGAGAAAGGAAAGCTCGCCATCTACGCTCTGCGCTCATATGCCGAATGGGACGCCCACCCCCAAGCATCAGCAATCGACGACAACCCCATTCTCATCAAACAGCTCGCCCCTGGACCGCCAAAGACGCTGCCCGAGACCAGCTCCAGCCGCTGTCTGCAGGGCATCCGTGTCCTCGAAATGAGCCGTGTCATCGCCGCCCCCGTAGCAGGCAAAACTCTCGCTGCCCATGGAGCCGACGTCTTATGGGTGACGAGCCCCAACCTGCCGAACCAGCCCGTGCTGGACAGAGACCTGGGCCGCGGCAAACGCACCATCCGGCTGGATATCCACAACCCGGACGACAAGCAGCGTCTGCTCGAGCTGTTGCGTTCATGCGACGTCTTCATCCAGGGATACCGCCCGGGCAGCCTCGCCGCATACGGCCTCTCGCAGGAGGAGCTGCAAAAGGCAAACCCGGACATCATCTGCGCCAATCTCTCCGCGTTTGGTCCGACCGGCCCGTGGTCTCAGCGCCGGGGCTTCGACTCCCTCGTGCAGACATGCTCCGGCATGAACGACTCGGAAGCGGCACATTTCGGGGCCGGCGAGCCCGCGCGCGCCATGCCCTGCCAGGCACTCGACCACGCCGCGGGCTACCTGCTCGCCACGGGAATCACCGCCGCGCTGCACCGACGGGCTCAGATTGGAGGGTCGTGGGTCGTAGATGTTTCGCTGGCGGGGGTGATGAAGTATCTGCGTAGCTTGGGACAGTATCCCGGGAAGACGGGGTTCGAGGGCCGAGATGTTGAGGCGCAGGCGGATGTGCCGGCGGACTATCTCGAGACGAGGGAGACGGTGTTTGGGAGCATGAGGGCGGTTAAGCATAGTGCGAGTGTTGAAGGGTGTGAGGTTGGCTGGGAGGAAATGCCGAAGCCACTGGGGTCTGACGAGGCGAGATGGTTGTAGAATGAGATGGATGTGTGAATTATGTATTTGTATTGTATACCCGTCTCTCCATTACATAGCTTTTCCGTTCACTAGATACTAACGCTGAAAGTACACAAGTGTTTAAAGCAGACAAAAAGTCTGTACCACGTCCTACCCCAACTCATGGACGCCCCTTGAATCCATTTCCATCACCGCCGGCTGCCCTTCCACCTCCGCCAACGGCGTATACGCAGTCTCCAAACCAGGGACATACGCCTGCTTCATCCCGAGAGATTCCACCGTCCCATGATTACTCACCTCTTGGCCGTCCTTCTCAACCCCTCTCATCTTCTGCTGCTGCTTCTTCTTCTTCCTCAACACCAGCCATACACCAATCACAGCGCCAATCACCGCAATCCCACCCAAAGAACCCCCTACCGCAGCTCCAATCTTGACCGAGTTATTGCTCTTATCCGTCCCACCATCCGTTTTCTTGTCCGTTCCAGTATCCGTTTGCGTTGGACTACTACCCCCTATTATTCCACCAGAAGTATTCGTCCCGGTCGTCTTCGCCGGAGTATCATCGCCCTTGGCATCAGGATTCCGATCGAGCAATCCAAAGCGCCGACTTCCATCTCTACAGCAATCGCCATGATCAAAGTCCGGATTGCAGCAGTACTCCCCCGAAGCGCACTGCTTCACCTGAAGCCACGAATTGGACAGGACTAAAACAAAACATCTCAGCTTCCAACTCTCCTCACATCCACATCAAAAAAAGAGAAAGAAACTCACCGTCAAGGCAAACTTGCGGACATCCCGACCAATCTGCGTTCGTGCATCCGCCTCTGTAATCATACGCGCCGACAGCATTCGTCAGATGCGTGCACAGGCCGTTGGGCGTGCAAATGTCTTCGCCTGGGATACAGCACTGGCTCCAAGTGGTGTTTTGGCCGCCGCAGGGCTGGTAGTTGTATGAAAAGTTTTGTTCGGGCTTGCCGTTGGGGTAGAAGCATTTCGACGATGACGATGGTTTGGGCGTCTTTGTCGGGGTTTTTGATGGAGATGTCGAAGATGTTGATGCGTTGGAGAGTGTCGCGAGCCAGATTGCTGCGAAGAACAAAGAGCATCGAGCCATGGCTAGCTTGTGCTTTCGGTCTGATAATGATCTTCAACAACTTTGATAACCTCTCCCCCCGTCACTGAGAAGAAAAAGGAGAAAAGTTCACAGTCCCAACAGAATCAAAACAAGGCTTCCCATCCTCCGCCTGGTGTCACCCTGGTGTCACCCTCCGCCTCCCCTTGTATCCATCCCACCTGTCTCAACTGTTCATCACCTATAAGTAACCCATGCCATGCTTTGAATCCTACAAAGGATCCCAACCGCGCAAAAAACAAGGCTAGCAACCGCAGAACCAACCAGTCGCAGGCCAGAGAGGCAGGGAAGGCTGCATCTTGTTCCACAATTGCTCGGCCTCTTGGCGGCCAGCCGCTCTCAAGGACGATCCTTTTCCCATCTAATTTTATTTATCACATCATCCCATTTTTATAAAAAGAAAAGACACTCTAATTTTGTCTCTTAGAGCTCTTCTTGTATCTATTGGAAAGACAAATTCCCAAACAAGTTTAAACTTCATATCCCAGCATAGATCTCTTCCCTCAGCAAAAAGGCCATCGTACGACGTACCTTTATGAAAATAACAAAAGTCCCCTGTCAGCAGCCGAAAAAAGCAAAAAAAGATTGTCATCCTTGGCAAGCCAGTGCAGATCCTCGCACCTTGATTGCTCCACAAATAAACTCGTTCCATCTCGATCCCACCTCCGCAAAGCCTAAAGCCTAAATCCAGCATCATACTCGTATGCCGCCTAATACAAAAATAAGAGTAGCAGTGGATAAGACAGACAACAAGGCACTTAAAGTGAATGTATTCCGTAAATTCCATATAATAGTAACAACTGCTGCGTAACATCAATTTCGTTTCTCATGTCGCATATAGTCCATATCCATAATCCTCAAAAAAACACGCTCAGTCCCAATCATCAAAATGTAAAAAAAAGCCATCAACAACTCACCAACTGCCCCCTCAACTCCCTCTTATTCACCAAAATGCACATCACCATCATCAAACCCCCTCCCGCAAGCAGCCCCGGCGAAAACTTGCCCTTCAGCGCCCTCACCACCGTCAATCCCACCACCGCCACCGTCGCCACCAACATGCCCACCCTCAGCATCTCCTCGCATAGGAGCCTCCTCCGGGAACTCTCTCGTCGTCGTCGTCGTGGTCCTTGTCCTTGCTCTCCTCCCTCTTCGTCTCGGTTTCTGCCTCCGTCTTCGACATGGGCGAGAGATGATGGTCGGCGACTTGTAGGTAATAATGTGCTCGTCTCACTGACATTTTCATTTCCATCGCCATCGCTATCAAGAATCGCTAAAACTCCACAAGCCATCATCAGCAAACCCCAAATCCAACAAAACGCTCTTCACCATAAAAGATCATATGGAAAAGAAATATCACATACAGCCAAACATCCACTGCCTCACCAAAAAATCATCCCCAGAACCACGTCGTTCATCGCCTCCTTCGCTCATCAAGCTATCATCGAACGATAACTCGCGAATCAAGCTTCTCAAAAACGCTTCGCTTTTATTCTCAACCTCCTCAGACTAGGAGATTTAAAGAGAGAAGAGCATCTCCCTTTCTTATAGATGATGCTTTTTCTTCTTTCAAGGTCGTCATGCAGAGATCGTCGAGGCGGGGAAACCCGCCATCCAAGAACTAACAAGTGCTAGGCCGGGCACTCGTTTAGCCTCGCCCTGGTGAAGTGAGGCTGAATTCACCAGTCCACTTTGGGGCATTTCGCACTTACAGACAGTACACGATACTTGGTGCCAAATCTCAGTAATAATTACGCTTATTCTTTGCGCTATACACAGGCACATGCTGGCATCAAAACTTTCCAATTTGGCCAGTTCCAGTTCAAACATGGAAGTATTTCTTCCTCTGTCATTAAAACAAAGTCATCACTTTAGAAAAAAAAGTTCAGTTGTATGCAGGCCAAAACTGTGATTTGTATCATTCAGCCCATCCCGCCATGCCCAACATACTACATGCATTTTTTTTTACCATTTCTTCATCCTATCCAAGCACCTTTTTTTGACTATAGGGCTGCTCTCTCTCTTCCTTGAACCCATCCGTCGCACTCTTCCCAACAAACTTTTTCAAGTGGCACAACTCTGATGAAAAAAAAAAATTGGTCTCGCCACCTATGAGAACCAAAACATGATAAAAAGAAAACTCCAAACGGAAACAGCATTGTGTGTAAATGACACAAAAATGATATAAACCCGAAGGGTGAAAAGAGACGGGGAATTGAACAAAAATCAGGGTCGAATAGGAAAGTAGACTCCTCCAATGATTACATTAATCGCTCAGGAATGCACACCCTTTGTTCTCTCCTTCATCAGCTCACGTCGCTCCTTATCCTTTTCTGTAAGCTTGTTAGTATGTCTTGATTCACGGTTCCACAGGGAAAAAAAAGAAACTCACCAGGGTCAAAGACGAGGAACTCGTGCAGAGCCGATCCAGCCGGCACCATGGGCAAGACGGGCACCTTCTTGTCTGTTACAACCTCCAAGAGAGCGGGGCCATCAGTGTTGATCAGCCACTTCAGAGCATCAACCAACTTGTCGGGCTCCGTGACACGCTGGTGCTGCACGCCCATTGCGTCGGCCAGCTTCATGAAGTCAGGATTCCTCTGGTGGGTGTGTGCGTAGCGGTCCTCGTAAAAGAGGTTCTGCCACTGAGTCACCATACCCTGCTCCTCGTTGTTAAGGACAACAACCTTGACGCCAATGTTAAACTGCGCAGCAGTGGACAGCTCCGTCAGGGTCATGTTGAAGGAAGCATCGCCATCAACGTCAATGACGAGAGCGTCAGGCTGAGCCACCTTGGCGCCAATGGCGGCGGGAAGACCGTAGCCCATGGTGCCCAGACCACCGGAGGTGATCATGGATCGAGGATGTCTCCAGCGGAAGTGCTGGGCAACCCACATCTGATGCTGGCCTACACCAGTGGCAATATATGTCTTGTCCTTTCGGTCTGCCGTCAGGTTGCTAATCTCCTCCATGACAGTCTGCGGCTTGATCAGACCAGTCCGCTCAGCTCGCTGGTAGTGCGACAGAGGGTACTTCTTCTTCCAGCCGTTAATCTGGTCGAACCAGTCTTTTCGGTCCGCCATGGTCTTGGCGTTAACCTGGGGAATGAGGAGCTTCATGTTGGTGCCGACGTCACCTTCCACGGCCTCGGTGGCCTGGACGACCTTGTTGATGTTCTTGGGCATGATCTCAAAGTGGACAATACCACCACGGCCCTCAGCAGCAGCTTGCCTGGCCGCAGGGGCGAATTTTGAGACAACACCAGTGACACGGTCATCAAATCGACTGCCGAGGGCGATGATAACATCAGCATGCTGCATGGCCATGTTGGCATATGCCGAGCCGTGCATGCCCAGCATGTGCAGCGACTTCTCGTCCAGCTCGTCAAAGGCACCCAGGCCTTGGAGAGTTGTGGTGACGGGGATGGAAGCCTTCTCCGCCAGCTCCTTCAAAAGCTCAGTACCGCCCTCAGACTGGATGACACCCTGGCCTGCATAGATGACAGGCTTCTTGCCCATGTTGATGAGATCGGCGGCACGCTTGATGGCAGCATTGAGCTGCTTCGTGCTCAGCTCCATGGCGGCGCGGGAGGCAGCACTAGGCAGAGACGGCAGAGCAGTCTCAGTAGGGATGGCTCTTCTCAGGATACCAGCAGTGACATCCTTGGGCAGGTCGACAAGGACGGGGCCAGGACGGCCGCTGGTAGCAATCTCGAAAGCTTCATTGATTCTCCTGGGCAGCTCAGCAATGCTCTTGACCATGACATTCCACTTGGTACAAGCTCTTGAGATGCCCACAACGTCTGCCTCTTGAAACGCATCGCTGCCGATTGCTGAAGTTGGGACCTGGCCGCAAAAGACGACCATGGGGGTTCCGTCTGACAGGGCATCGGTCAATGGAGTAATGACATTAGTAGCGCCAGGACCGGAAGTCACCAAGACGACACCGGGTTTGCCCGAGGCACGGGCATAGCCCTCGGCCATATGGCCAGCTCCCTGCTCATGACGGGGCAGGATAAAGTCGAAATGTTTTGAATTGTAAATGGCGTCGAAAACTGGGAGAATAGCGCCGCCAGGGTATCCAACTGGAAGTGACTCAAGGTTAGCGAGATTTGCTTTAGCTGGAGTTATGGAGTAGATGGAGCCCATGTGGGCGGCCGGCATCGGAACCTACAAATGTGCTTGACACCTTGTCGCAGCATCATCTCGTGGAAGATTTCGCCTCCGGTTTTGCCAATGAATCTAAAGAGTAGGAAAAAAGAGTCAGAATAAGCTCAATTGACTTTTGTGACTGTTTGTTTGTTGTGATTTTTGGTCCGTGTATGTATTCGTAGTGGTGGAGAGTGTGTTTTGACGTACGATTCATCCATATCAGGCCTCTGCGGTTTGACAAGAGGCTGCACATGGCTTCGATCTTTGTCTTCTCTGTTGAAGGCAGGGCTCGGCACGGGACGAACTTGTCTGTTTTGCGCGACCAATTGTCATCTTGTTAGCAAATGCCACTCAATGCGAATAAAAAAAACTTTTACAATGCGCGCGCCAGCTTGAGGCAGCAGCATTGAAAAAATGCAACCATCTCGTCCACATTTTGGCCCCCCGGTCATCGGCGACAAAAATCAAGACGTAAGAACACCTAGTCCTTGACGCGCACAAACCAGAGAAAGCCACAAATGCAAAGCACACAGAACCAATTTGCAACTTACGGAGCAGCGCTGGCAGTCGCCTGATTCCTCTGGCCAGAGGGAATCTTCTTCTGAGCGGCGACCTTGATGGGCGTCGTCGTCGACGTAAAGGCACGAGCCTGTCCCAGAGCCCGGACGGCCCTGGTTGTCGCCTGGCGACTTCGGAGCATCGTGAACAGAGCTATAGTGGGTAACAGGCAACAAAGGAAAAAAAGAAGACGACGACGACGAGTCGAGGAAAACTTTTGCCTTCAACGAAGAAAGATTGAGGATTGGAAAATAAAAGAGAGAGAGCGCAGAGATGCTTGCACGTGAGCGGATTGACTGCCCTTGTTCCTTTTGCAAAGTGCAACAATCGAGGGTATCGCGGGGGAGGAGTGGCGAGGAAGAATAACTGGATGGGGAAAAAGAGAAATAAGAGATGGAATTGTAGCTAGGAAAAGGCGTAAAAGAACCAAGGAATAAAAAAAAAAGGTAAAGAAATAAGCCAACCATGTCATCTCAGCCCAGCCGAAAGCTCGAATCCCCTCCCCATAATTCCCATCTATATGTTAGCCTGGGCCAGGTTAGAGTCAGAGGGTCCTCTAAGGGCGATGCCGGGCAGATCTACTAATATTTGGCAGTGATCACAGTCAGACAGGAAAGGTACATATACTTGGCGCCAGGTAGTGCTGCGGCAGCGGCACGCAGACAGGGTACGGAGCCGGCTGGTATTGCAATAGCTGTCCTTACTGTGCTTCACTGTGCTCTACTATGGGGTAAGATTTTTCTTTTTCCTTTTTTCTTTTTTTTTCCTTTGTATTTTTTGGTCTCCTACGCAATAGAAGAATTCTCATCCTTCTCATTGGGCCCTAAAACGCCAGAGCAGACAGAGGGGCGTGGCAACCAGCCAATCAGCAGGCGATTGCGCGCCTTAAAAGTGCGGGGCTTGGGCATTTGTCTGCGTGCTGCCACGGAGTACTCCGTATAGGTACTTGGAGCAGCACATGTGCGCGGCTCCGGCCAGGTACCCCATACTTGTGCAATCGCCGTAAGCTGTCGGATATCGTAATATCAATCTTGATCAATCCCAATTCTCATGTAAGATTTGCCCTGCTTAAAGCTACTTTTTACCTTCGCCTTGCCCCCTACATATTCGACTGCCACTTGTCCCAGTCTCAGCACAGCAGAGACCTCCAGGCTTACGTCTTCCCCCTGCGCTGTGCAAGTCTAGCGCGGCGACGATGCCCATCTCCAAGCCTCTACTACAGTAGCTTGCCAGGCCACTGCAACATTGAACCTCGGCGTCAAACAACTGAATCCGATCCAATTCCATCCGTCCAGCCAGCCAGCCATCCATCCATCCAGTATAACTCTCTCCAGTTTAGCCGCATACCAACTGCGATATACGGAGCGGCAATCCAACGCCCTCCGTTGACTCACAAATCGCAAAAAAAGTCATCCTGCTCCCTCAAATCCCTTATTCCCGGAAAGCCTTCGTCCACAGTACACGGCCTCGCTCGTGTTTAGCCTAGAGCACATGTCAAACGCGGCTTCCGGTGGCGCCTCTCACGACCAGACTACTGTCACGCAAGGGCAAGCTAATGCCAGGCTACTTCGTCTATTGGACACCGGAGTTTGCGGGATGCAGACAGCTTGTTTCTTGGATACCAGCGAGATCCCGATGATCAGACCCCGACTACGGATCCCGAAACAGTCCCCGAATCAGAGCCAATCAAGGGGAATGAATTAGTCTGCCCAGTATGTCTCGTTTACAGTACAAGTATAAGCAAATGACTGCTTTAAGCAGCACTACTGTAAACGGCCCTGGACTGACTTGCATCCAACCGAGGCAGACGCAAAACAGACCCGGCTTCATATAAGTAAGTCCCCTCCCTCAGCGCCTCACCACGTCGACAGATCTTCCTCCTGCATCACGCATGCTACTGTAATGCCAGCATGTGCTGTACGACCGCACCCCTCCAGCAAAACAATTCATCTCAAACGCCATGGCATCCCAATTGCCCAATAAAGAATCCCTGCAGCCCGCCTAAACCCAGCGCACATCCATCGCCAAAGCGTCTAGCCCTCACCGAGAAACGCCTTCTCGTGTATGTCGCACCACCATCTCCACCTCCCCTACAGCGCGAAAAAGCAAGGGCAAAGCAATGAAAGAAACCGACACACAGAGGCCCCTCGCTTCTACCAACCCTCGTGCGCTCGTGCGCCAATAGCAACATCGCTTGAAGAACCATCACACATGTGCCCCGGCCATCCGTCGATTTGCATTAATTCTGGGTGCATGTAGTGTAACCACAAACATCTTACGACATTCCATTCCCCCCTCTCCTAGAGTGCCCGTGCCTGGATTTTTCTGTAAATATCCCGCCCCTCACTTCAGCACACCCTCAGAAGAGAAAAAAGAAAGAAAATCCTCTCATCCCTCTCATCCTTTCCCATGTCGCCTTATCATCTCGTAGCACCAACCTCCCCCGTGTCGCCTTATCATCTCGTAGCACCAACCTCCCTCGTGTCGCATCCCCTAAAGCACGCCATTTATCTCATCTCTCCCGAAACCCTCAACTACCTACCCACTCATATGTACAAGTACTCGTACCAGACCACCCGCTTCAAAAATCCACCCAGAGGCACTTGATCATAAACTCCAGTCCTGACCCTCTCCATCTCCGCCATTTCCCCGTGTCACTCGCCCTACCTCTCTAATACTAGTTGCAGCCAAACAGGTGGGCCCCCAAAAGGCGGGTAAGCTGACGGCCCGATACGCAAATCCATAGTTGTATCTGTAGTCATAGAAAGAAGCATATTGGGCCGTGTATGCACGCGGAATAGCATCACGTTATTCATTCACGTCATATCGCAACGGGTCGTTTTCCCTTCCAAAAGCACGCGGCATTAACACAACTACACTGAGGAGAGAGAGCGCGAGAATTTAAAACATGGTAAATTGTACAAAATTTGTTTGCCTCCAATGCAAATGTCATATTCACCAGACATCACTACATGTATTCGTGTGTATCTTGGCTGGCTTTTCCAACAACTTCTCCCTTCGTCCATTGTAGCGTAACAGAAATAAAAAGAACGATTCGCTCCACATAAATGCCACAAATGACCTATCCCACCCTGTCTATATATGTGTGATTCGTGAACGACGCCGGTTCATCACATAACAGCAAAGAGAAAAAAGAAAAGAAAAAGAAAGAAAATGGTATCTCGGTGTCAGCAAAGTGACAAAATTGAATGCGATTTGATCCGCCTCCCCCTTTCCCCCCAAGTTGGTTCCCCCAATTAAGCGTACATTGCCGTCCCGGTCCGTTTGGTATAAGTAGTGGTATATATGTTTGAGAATACAGGAAATCAATCGCGGCAAGGGATATATGCAGAAGACATATGAGAAATCGATAAAAGAGTGGAGCCATTCGCTAGCAGAGCGTCCATCTAGTCCGTGCTGGCAACGAAGAAACAAGGCTAATGGTCATATAAATTCCACCTAGTCGTTTACATACCCATAATCATTCCCGGTGGTGTGTCAGGTGTCGACTTCTTGTTCGGTCGCAGGTTCTCCATGCTAATCATTCGACTCCATGAAGCCGGTCGTTTATGAGGGGTCGGAGTTCCTGGCCGCACCGTTGACGTCTGGCTGGTGTTCATCGAATAGTCGTACAGTCCATTCATCATGTCCGCCTGCTCCGGGAATACCTGGGGTGTCTGGTACGCTGGAATCTGCTGGTTCATCACCATCCATGCCTGCTGTGAGTTATCTTGTGGCGGCATAGAGTACATCAGCTGTTGCTGCTCCTGCTGATGCTGGTGTGAGAGTTGCGGCTGCGGTTGTTGATGCTGCTGCAGTTGCTGTGGTTGCTGCTGGTGGTGATCAAAGATGGGTGTATCCGCAGGGGTATTCATCTGTTTTGGCATAGAGGTTGGAATGTCGGGGGCAAATTTCGGAGCATCCGCCGGCCAAACCGTCTCGTTGGGGATAGGGAACGGTGTTCCCGGGTGCGGGCCAGCCGCCGAGTCGTCTCCCATGATTGTATCGGCGCCATTGCTCATGACGCTCGCAGGTGTTGTCGGCCGAGTACCCTTTTTCAATGAGCGGCCGGAAAACTTGAGCATGGTTTGGGGGATGCTGGTGATGCCCGAGCGGCTCTTGGGGAGGCTAAATGCAGGCGAGCCCTCTTCCATTTTCATCGAGGTGCTTTCCAAGGACGCATGGCCGGATGATTCCAACAGGCACTGGCTCCGGTATGGAAGCTGAAAGTAGATATCGATCTCGTTGGGTGGCGGAGTGGAGGTTACTGTGAATGGAGCAGTTCCGAGAATGAATGCCAGCCTAACAAGACTGGAGATGTTGGTGCCTAGATGGCGGCACTCAAGCATGCGTTTCAAGTCGCCAGATGAGCGTGCTCGCCAGTGAAGTTGCTGTCGCTTTTCCTTGGGCCATATGCACGTCTTCCAGATTTGCTTCACCTGCTTCTGGCGCATGAGGTTCTGCATCTGGACCTTGTACTCCCAGTTGCTGACATCGAAGCCATCCTCAAAGTGCTTAGCAATGTGTTCAAAGTGCTTATCGCGTGTTGCGGAGGCGTCATCCGAGTTGTGGGCCTCAAATAACCGGTCGCGACAGTTGCCGAAGCCGCAGGCGAAGACGAGCTGAGGGCACATTTCTGTCCGAGCAGCGCTGTTGGGGAGAGCCTTCATCCTGTGAGCCTCCTTGGCGTGTGTGCTGTATGCACGCTCGGTCGAGAATGACAAATGGCATCCCTTGGTTCGGCAAATCCAGACAACGTCGGCTCCGTGGAAGTTGTGCAGATGCTTCTTAAAATCGCTCTTTCTGCCAAATCCAACGGGGCTGTTGTCCAAATAGCACATCGGGCACTGGTACTTCTTGGAAGTTGGCGTGACAAGGCGCGGAGAGGGGTGTGACGTGACGTCGTGAGGCTGAATCATCGGGGATGGCACTGCTGCTACAGGTGAATCGAGCCATGACCGCTCAGTCGTCGTCATCTTGTTAGCCTCTCCGTCGTGCACAGGTGGCATGTCATTCTGAACGTCAGGCCACGTGTAGGAAGTGTGAATAGACGCCTCATCAGACCGGCATTGTGAGGCAGCCTCTGAGTTAGTCCATGCTACTGAAGACGCGCTCGCACTGCTAAGAAGGGTATTTGCAGAGAAGGCAGACGCCCGAGCTGAAATCATGTCAGAACTCAAAATCGAACTCGAGTTGAGATATTTGATAACCTACATGGTTCACCATAGCCAGTCAAGGCAAACAATAGGCTCGAGGCTCCGTACTTGTGAACGAGCCCGAGGAGCAACTGTTGGTCCTCGTCCGCCAATGGCCGCACGGTGGACGACTCATCGGGCGCGGCCCCGTAAGGAAACATGATGGAAGAAGGGTTGTTGTGATTCGACAATTAACCGCGCTTCGTCCTCCTGATGGAAATCAATGGCCAGCTGTCGCCGCAGCCACACAACGGCGGTATCGATAATGAAAAAATCGTTACCCACGGACACGTCCAAAAAGCAACGCGGTTCGATATCCTATCTGCACAAAATGGAGAGATGGGCAAGTCGGTAGCACGACTCGTCGTCAAACTCGCATAACCGCCGCGCAATGCGGCGATGGGAAAATCGACAGGAAAGAGGGGGAAAAGAAACAAAAGAGAAAGGAAGAAGAAAATCTAGCGCTCGGTATGCCGCTGGTATGAACGCTCAAGAAATTTCAGCTCAGTCTCGCTCTCGCGTGCCGCTCACGATCAAAGAGAGTTATTAACTGGTCAGTACGGCCTCAATCGAAGGAATCGATCTTCAGATTTGGATTAATATTAGCGTCGCCTCAACGTTGAGTCGCTGGGCTGAGAAGTCCGCCAAGGCACTGCCTATCAAGAAAAGGACGACTTTTTTCTGTAAGAATGAGAAGCCAAAGTTGGGGTGAACGAGCGACAGAGAGGAAAAGACGCAGTCGCCAGGGCCGGGCAAGGGGAGAAGGACAAATGGCGAGGGGAGAAACGGTCGAAAAGCCGGGGAAGGCTTCTAGAAGATCTGTCGGAGAAAAGCCTGACAAAGTGGCAGCGTGTGCAATCAAGCCCACTGGGTCGAGCGCTGGCTGGTTGGCTTGCTGGCTTGCGAGCTGGCTGGCTGGCTGGCTGATGATGGCAATGTGCAATGTGTGGTAGGGCCACATCTGGGACCCAACTCTTGGAAGCATGAATGCGCCCCCCCTAATCCCAAATCCTTTCTCGCCCAGCGACTGGCATAACCCGGTCGAGTCGTGGAATCCGACGAATTGGTGTCACGCATTCCCCTGTCGAGCAAGACGCACCAAGCCCCGTTTCAGGAACAGTGTCATTTCTCACAGCGGCCCCCATGCCGTCCTGAAACGCAAGTCGCCTCTGGCTAGTCAAAAGCCGCAAGCAAAAGTCTGTCGACTTGTGTAAAGTTTTCGATGGTGGTGTGGAACCAGGCAATGGCCAAACTGGCTGTCCGCTGTCGAAGGGCGCCCCCATCCGGAGAAGCCACGGCCAACCACAGGGCGAGCAGCCTCGTCGCCTGACCGTCGTAAATTACCAGCTCTTGGGCCCCCTGCATTTCTTACCAAGGATGCGGGAACCGGGCTGGGAGACCCCTGGCAGGTGGCTTCTGCCGTCCTTCTAGAAGGGAAAAGCGAGACATCCGGGGAGGGACCAGCTGGGCAGCCAGGCCAATCAGACGGCGGCCGAGCGACGAGGCGTCATGGACTGGCGACCATTGAAAAGCAGTGGCATAATGGCGGGTGTTGCAGCAGCGCATAGTGGCCATGGAAAATCGGCGGATTGAAGTCGGCGCCGATGGAGGGCGAAGGCGAGAAAAGTCAAAAAAAAGAGGCTCCAAGAGAGGGCGCGGAATGTATCTAGCGCAGCCGCTTGGCAGGCACTCGTACTAACATTGTAGGGTTCAGGGCAGCGGGCAGGCGAACACGTGCCTTTTTTGGCTGTGGTACTTGTACTTGTACATGCTATGTGCATTGATAGATTGATGCGCTCTGCTCTCTCCGTCTAAATCCCACTTTTGACAGAAATTATATCAATCCTACAATCCAATCCAGGGGTCATGCGATGCGATGCAATGCAATGCAATGCATCATCCTCAGTCGGTCGGTCGACTGGGTGAGCAGCAGCAGCCTCAGCCACCATTCCATTCCTGCAGCCAGCAACCACAGCAGATCCTCCGCCATGGATGGCCAAAATATAACGAGTCCCGAGCCTAATTGCCTAAGAATATGTACCTTGGAGTGCGAGCAGCGCAAGTGCTGACGCTTGGCCGCGCATCCAAGGTATCTGTACCCAGCTAGCGTAGCTCCCGATAACAACAGCACAGGCTACTGTACAGTAGTGTACTCGTACTTACAGGGCACCCGCGCCAATGCGTGCCGTCAAATACCGGCTAACCACCACATGCAGAACGCTGAAGATTGTGTGTCGCCACGGCTCGTCACATCCTCGTATGCTTGATACAGGTACATATTACGAATTGCCGGTGGAGAGCAGAGGCCCGCGCTTCTGAACCGTCTCGTACTATCCAAGGTGCGAGGGCTATCAAACGCCAGGAACCCGGCTAGGCCGATCAGCCAGCGGACTCGTTTTGGGCGCAAACAGGCCGGGCTCGACATGGTAGGCTGACGCCAAACACGGGACGATGAGCATGGCCCGCTGGGATTGGCTGGTTGCCAATAACGCCTAATGGGACATCCAGACTCGAGCCGACCAGGGTGCCAAATATCAAATAATAACTTACTCGTGGCCATGCATCCATCAGCTTCTACTGTGTGGTACAAATACCGGGCGTGGACCGACGGCAATCAAACTGAGACCTCTGGGCAACACAAGGCTGAGGCAAACGAGCAGCAAATGCGGAAGCTGAGGGGATTTGTTTCTGCGGGCAACGAGTAATAATAGTAAATGGCCGCCCTGTTACTAATTTCTTCCATGGTACGAGTAATTACAGTACTGCGTCTATAATGTACTCGTACCCGTAGCAGGCCGGCAGATCGCCTACTGTAGCAGCATCGACAAGACAGGATGGAGCAAAAGCAGAGAATCAATGCGAAACGGCAACTCGCACAGGCCTCTCCATGCTGTACATAGTATTGTGCCGTGTTGTGCTGTAAATACGCCACGCAGTAGTAATGCTCGGTAATCCAAAGGGTCTCGCGTGCGCATGGTCCCGGGCTTTAGTAGATATAAACGGCGAATCCAACGTCTTCAGCTCGCTTTTTGATGCTATTAATGTCAAGATGCCCTCCGCTAATGCACAGGCGGCTGCAGCCTGCAAACACCAGCCCATCGCCAGACCACTTGCTTGAATCGCCACCGCCTCTATTGGGCATCCCAGCCCGACTGGTAGGATTTTGCCTGCTCCAGCTCCTGCTCGATACGGCCATATGCCAAGCGACGGCAGACGACAAAGCAAGAGGGAAAAATCAGCTGCTGAGGCCCAAAGCGGCGCTGTGCTCCGTTTATGTCAGCTCGCCTGGGCTCCCTCCAGCCTCTCGTCGGCGAGCTCTCCACACGTCTGGACACGCACGTGGGCAGCAGGCGGGAAGGCGATCCTGACGGTGATACGGATTCACGGGAGGCCGGAGTACGGAGTACGGATTATATCCTATCCTGTCCTGTCCCGTGCTGTGCTATCCTATCCTATCCAAGCCATGCCAGGCCATGCCAGGTTCAGGCCAGGTCAGGCCAGCACGGGTACACATACAAGTATATCGTCGTCGGTCAGGGCATGGATATTGGTGGCGGCTATCACGGTTATCACACTTATTTCAACTACGGGCACAGATACGGACCTCGCGGCATTGATGCCTCTTCAGAACATGACCTGGTCCAGCGCGCACAAGCCCATCGCTGCCCCAGCCCTGCTTCACCGAGCCCTCAGTGACAGCTTCGTGCAGATATGCTAGCCAGGCAGGCCAAGCAGGCCAAGCAGACTCTGCCCCGTCCCGGCAACGCCGCTCTCCGGGCTCATCTGCCCATCTCTCGGTGAAGACCGTCGTCTTTGGGGCCGCGGTTGCTTGGTGTTTGCTGTCATCTGCTGAGCCTCCATGTTTGCCACATTCCTCTCTCGCGCGGTCTCGTTCTCTTTCTCTCGGCGTCTCCTTTCGCGCGCCTCCACGGCCACTAGACCGCATGCCATGTCTAGGCACCACTGCCCGGGGCATTCGTTCCTCGGCGATGCTGGGCGATGCTGCTGCCGCTACCCCATACAGACCAGGACAGCGTGACAAGATGTGTGTTGGGATCGGATTTCGGAGTAATGATGACCACAGAACCCAATCGCCAGGACCAGCTCCATGGACACCTCGATCCCTCAACGCACGGTCCCCCGCCCACTTTGTCGCTGACGCCGTCTCCGTTTGTGAAAATTGATAGCAGCAGGCGATGAGGGAGGAAGAAGAAGAAGAAAAAAGTGAGAGAGACAGAGAAAATCTTCGCAGGCAATCTTTAGACATGGCTCCGAATCCCTGGCCCTCCGCACAAGTGCCTTTTCTGAGGCCCGCGGGTGCCACCTGATGCAGGCTCACGAGTAATGAGACTCGGACGGCATCCCTCTTTTGCGCAACGCTCGAATCGCAACCCAAGAGAAAACGCTGGCCATGCGGAAATGAGAGTGGGCTACGAGCTGAGCCATACAAGTCAGCTACAGCAGCCAAGAGAATGGGCATCCAGAGCAGCTACTGCAGCAGTGCCAGCCCTGCGGACGATACTATCCTGGTTTGGTTGAATCCTTCTCAGTTCATCTCAGCCCTAACAAAGATCCAGGCCCATCTGCATCGATGGAACCAACAACATTCGGCCCAAAGAGCCAGAAAGAGCAATTCTCGTATACGGCCGTTGACGATCTGCATTTCATCGAGGGCCGGTTCTTCCACCAGTCGATCTCATTACCGCCGCACTGCTGCACTGCTTTTGCTGTTGCCATCGCTTCTCAGCAACCACATGCGACCACTATTTAGTACCCCTTCGGCCCAGCACCACACCACCACCCAGCCAGGCGCCTTTGATATGCCGTTGGAACGTCCAGAACTCGTAGGCGAAGCATCCAACAGCACCAATATCAACTGACGGCATTGGCGGGAATGGAGACACGACAGACCAACCCGAGGAAATTGGCGCCCACACCAGCTAACCTTGTTTCTGCCAACCACAAGCCGTGGCGTGATTCCTTCACAGTCCTTTCTTCACCACCCTTCCAACAGCCTCCGCCACGTGGTGCCCCGGAGCTGTGCTCCCTTTTCACTTCCAGAAATCTTCTTCCCGCAGTGGTTGCACGAGAGAGCCCAGCCGAGCCTCCGAATGTTAGCGACCATCGGCTTCTTGTCACTTCTGCCCTACACAAGTACGATTCCAGTGCCGGCATCACAATCACAATCACACGCGCACGCACACGCACACGCACAGGTACACCCCTTTGCAGACTGATTAGTTTACTTGACACATTTGGCCCCCTTCTGCCCACCCAAATGCTACGCCGGTTGACTCGCTCCATGGGTGTGCGCAGTTACAAACACTCGTAATATGTACAAGAAGCAGGGACAAGCAAGAGTCTTCACGTCGGGCTTTGCTTGATAATAGACTGTAATATGATGTTTCTTTCCGTGCTCCAGATGGATTCCAGACCCTTCAGCCACAAACCTAAAGTCCAATTTACCCTATCTAGCGCGCCATCGTCCAAGCAAGTAGCGTCTTGTCTCGCTCCTTGGCTGCCATATCATTCCCATGGGCTGCCGGGCAAACACTCATCGTAACCGTACATTCTCAGCTGATTAATTGCATGGATCAATCAACCTGTCACTGCCCATCTCATTCCTGCGTACTCGTATACTACTTAGCATATGGGGGCAAACCCCACGAATAGCCACAGCTGTACTGTGCTGTATACCGTTCTGGTTTGTGCCATGTCTTTCCTGACACCAATTTTGGCAACATTGAAAGGGAACCCCCCCGCCGGCAGGGCACATCTCGACGCCAGTCAGCTGAGCGGCTTGTCCTGTGGTACCCCATTGCCGCGGATCTCGTCTCTCTTGTCCGCCAGGCGTGTCACAGCCTGTCAAAAGTTGCCGCCGGCCGTTGGGGCCCAAGACGCAGTCCGTCCCCCCCTCCCATTTGCGGCATCTAGAACCTGCTGTTATTGTTTGCTGTTGGCAGCTTTCTCCGGAACGATTGTAGCCTTGTCATACGGCCTCTCCGCGAATTTTCACTCGCTCAGTCAGTCCATCATGTCTCATTCTCACCTGCACGTGGACTGGGACAAGACTCGTTACATACATAGTACATAAGACATGCCTTACATCAAGGGCCACCGCCTTTAGCCGCGCCTTCTACCTACACGGGCGAGTATGGAGGTGTTAATTTGTCCGTAATGAAGTGCTTACGCACTCCCCCCGCCAGCCCTCTCACCTCCCATCTGCTTGCCTATTCCCGGGGATTCCAAATTCGAAAGGCTTGCCCCAAACAAAAGAGAGAGAGGGAGAGAAAGCCATCATTCCCCCCAGACCCCGACTATCCGTTCCCGCCAGCCCTGTCGGCCCCATGGCAAGTCTCGGAGACGGCTCCGCCACTTGGACATCTTTCTCTCTCTCTCTCTCTCTCTCTCTCTCTCTCTCTCTCTCTCTCTCTCTCTCTCTCTCTCTTTTTTTTTTTTTTTTTTTTCTTATCACACGCCCCCCTCGGCTGTGTTAATTGAAGCTAAATACCTGCTTGTCAGTGCTGTCTGTAGCCTGGATTAGTTTCACCACTAGTTCTCTAGACAGCATGTTGGCAGGTTTTGCCCAAGTTGCCGTAGAGCCGCTCGCCAGGCTGCCATCTCCAACTCTCTTTATGCTTCCCGTCTAACTGTGTACGTAGAGTTAAGCGGGTAGAGAACAGAAAGAACCGCCTTCTCGCCCGTCATTCCCCTTTGCCGAGATACAGTGCCACGACTCCCAAAAGGGAAAATGTAGAAACAACTCTTCATCAGCACTCTATTAATACACGCATGTCAGCATCCGGGCATTCGGTACCTGCTCACGCACCCCCAAAATCAAATCAAAATCGAAACCAGGTGTCAATCTCGTCCCCCTCTGGTCTAGCTGCGTCCCAAACCTCGCCCAACTCTCTCACTTCCTTCTCCCCTCGTTGGCCAATTTATTTGCTTCTCTCACACGCAGTATTACTCACACGAAAAGCATTACTCGTTTGCCGAAATTCCATCTCACTTGGACAAATACGTGCTGTAACTCCGGATTCGCGTTATTGCTACTGCCACTACCACCTCCTCCTAGCCTTAATGCCACCCTTTTCCCGGCACATGCAACGCCCAAATATGATCAATCACTATTCATCAGCAGATAATCATGCAACAGCAGGATCAACACACAATAACAAAGCAAAACAGAATAAACAAGTTTTCAGCAATGAAAAAAAAAAAAGCATATCCCCCTCCTCCTTCTTTTTCTCCCCCCTCCAAAAAACGCCTTCACCTTTCCGCACACCCCCCTGTGCTAAACTTCTCACTTTGCCCATCCATTCCCAATACCACCCTCTTGCTTTTCTTTGCATGTCTCCTCCTTTTGATACCTGTAACTTTTCCCTCTCTTTTCTGTCTGTCTGTCTGTCTTTTCGTAGGGCTTGTCTTTTTGCGCCTTGCAGCTTTATGCAGTCTTAGCTCCGTGCTCCCGTAAGATGTGCCGCCTCACCCTTTCACAAGACCAGCCCCAAATCAGATGGGAGCCGAAAAAAAAAAACGACCAATAATCCACACCCGTAAAATCCTCCCGAGATAAAACGGAAAAGGATGCGCAGAGCCGCTTAAAAGCCTTCGCAAAAACGGATAATGATGTTAAAAAAAAAAAAAAAAGCCTAAGATGCCTGATTCAGGATTCTACCACCTTACAGGGTTCTCAATCCGTCAAAAAGAACTTCGTAGCATCGACAAAACAAGAAGAGAAAAAAGAAAAAGAAAGGAAAGAGAATAAGACTGAATGATTAGCACATGGGGAAAAAGGCTTCAACTTCGTATTTACTCGTAAAAATTTGTCATTGCTTAAGTGGTTCAACGATGAATCACCCCCCTTGTCTCACTCCGGCTTGTTTTCCTCCTCCATGCCCAAGGATCTGTTCTCTTTCAAGCAATTCTTACGGCGCATTGCACTACATGCGCGCTTGCAACACGAACAAATAATCATCCATCACATTTCTGAAGGATGACGAGGCCCACCTAAACCGCATGCAGAAGACCACAGATACAGAAAATAAGAGAAATCAGAAGTAAGTAAGCAAAAAAAGGGCCCCTCCCTGTAACAAGGGAAAAAATCAAATCAAAAACAGGAATCCCAGGACACAGAGAAAGCAGGCAGAAGCAAAACAAACTTTTTATTTGCTTGTCCAACTCCCCGAAGCCCCAGTCTCAACGAGCACTCGCAGCAAGTCTAATGCCCGTCATCACATCCAGCAAAAAGGGCTCTCTCGGCTTTATGCCCCATCTTCTACCAAGTATTATGTCGCATTTCGTCGGGATATTCCGTCCTCGGCGCTTTTTCTACTTGCTGATGGATTTCATTTCATTTCATTTCATCATTGGCATCTGCTGTGATGTTGGTAAACAAACATGATGCGTCACATTACCTAAACGCTGTAGCAATACTGATACTAGGGAGGGGGGTATTGATACGTGCATTGCTGCATCCACGATGGAATAACCACTCGTCTAATAGGTCCACACATCCTGGGTCTAGGTAATCTTGCACACAGTAATCCATTTTTGTTGCTCCTACTCCCGCAAATAATGATTCATTCCGTTGAAACACTTTCCCAAATGAATAAGCCAAGACCAAGACACAGAGAGAAAACGTTGCCCCGTTAATTCGCCTACACCGTAGTCGCAGATATCCCCTTGACCTTTACCACATCCATAGTCGTGTGCCAGACCCAGAACAAAGGAAAAGGGAAAGAAAAGAATCCCCGATGCTCTCTCGTGTATATTTGAGCCAAAAAGAAGGAAAAAAACAAGTCGTAATGTGAAACCACAATGAACGTCGCTCTTCCGCTTGACTCTCATCTCTGAATCAATCTTACTGTCGAAATAAATGCGTGCCGAGGGTATATATATATATATAATGAAAAGAAAAAAGAGGGACGGAGAATTAGAAGAGTTGGGGAAATGAAAAAAATAGATAAAGCAGAAAGAAGAGGGAAATAATGTGTATATCGGCCGTTAATGTGTCATCATCTACCCCCCAGGAGCTCTGAGAAAACCCTTCCCCTCTGCCCGAACCGGTGCCGTTGTAATATATGCATATCCGTCCGTGCCGATACTGTCTGGGCACATGCCTTCCGTATCAAAACAAAAATAAAATGTTCGATCTGCTATGCCGCGAGGCCAGTAACCACTAGGGGAGAGTGGTTACATTGGTATTGTGTATGTAACTCTAAGTAGTCTTGAGGTACGAGGTGCTGCTACCCTCGTGATTTAGTATGCATACGGAGAAGAGTTGTATGCGTACGTATTAGTTCGCTGCTCCATGCTCGAGCCCGGACTTGCGGTACCGCAAATATCCGTGGGTGCGGGACTATGCATGCCATTGGTGCCATAAGCAGCGGGCATGGTCTGGAGACTGCCATTCGCATGTGGTACGTAATCCGACCCAACCATCGGGGTGTCGGACATGCCCATGTACTGTGTATGCTGCTGTTGCTGCTGCTGCTGCTGTTGCTGTTGCAAAGCTTGTTGAGCGTCGTATCCCGGAGAGGGGGGCGCATTATGAAAGGTGTAGCCTGATGAGTGCATCTGCGGCTGCGCCGGCTGAGGCATGTATGCCTGTCGCTGGTAGTATGCGACCATGGCTGGGTTGGGACCATTTGTCGACATGCCGTACTGAACCATGTGATCTGGCTCTGGAGTGGTCGTCGCGGCTGGAACACCTGCTCGATTGTTGCCGTGGATCGCCATGCGGCACTCACTGCGGATTGGGGTCACAAAGTCCGCACGGAAGTTCTGAATGGCGCCATTGGGGCTCGAGCCAAGCGCAATAGCGTATTGGACGAGGAACTGAAGGTCGCCAAGATGTCGGGTTTCTAGGCGCTTTCTCAAAACACTGCTAGTTTGGGAATTCCACCGCAGGCGACTCGGGTCAGCATCTGGCCACAATGACTGTGACCAGGTACTCAAGACACTGGATTGACGGAGAAGGTTGCGCATTCTCGCCGAGTAGCTCCACTGGCCGCTGCTTGCACCCTCGTCAAAATGCTTGACAACATGGCTCACGTACTCCTTGAAGGTAGGCCCCGCATGCGCGTCGCTTGGCGCCTCGAAAACTTGGAGACAGTTCTCGAAACCGCACGCAAACACCGTCTGGGGGCACAGCGGAACCTTGGCATCGTCAAGATTCATTCTCGAACCGCCGTGAGAGTTCTTGAGATGAGCCTTGTAAGCCGTTTGCCAATCAAAGACCATCTGGCAGCCCCGATGCCGGCAGAACCATTGTGCGTTTGTGTGGTGGAAATCTTCCATGTGGCGCTTCAGGTCGTTTTTGCGTGTACATGTTTTCTGAATGCCCTCCTCAAGACAGAATCCGCAGGTAAATGAGCCCTTTTGCTTGGGAGCTGCTGTTGTGGGTGTGGCGTCCTCGGCATCCCAGGATGATTCGTCGGTAAGGGCTATGCTCGCTCGAGTCGTTGACGGGCTTGCGTTGCGCTTGCGACTGGTACTCGCTCGAGGTGAAACGTTGGAAGTGACGCTGCCACATGTGGACGACGTATCTGAAAATGCGTTGTTGCTGCTCGTTGAGTCGCACATATTTGATGAATCATCGTGCGAGCTTCCGCTGGACATGTTGCTGCTGGATAACATAAAAGATCTTTCCTCATCTGTGGTAAAGTATACATGTTAGAGGCGCTGATACAGAAGTCTCCAGCTACAACATATCAAAGTCGTGCATGTCGATCAATAAGAGTATATGAATAACTCACATGATGAAGATGGTGACTGGCGCCCTTCTTCCTGTAGCAGTCGTCCCAGTTCCTCTCGTGAATATTTACCAAGCAGGTGTCGAATCATTTGACGATCGACACGCTCTTGCTGGGGTAGATTGAGTTCGGGCGACATGCCCTCCTGATCCGGCCAAAGTCCCTGCGCCATGTCTGTCGTAAAAACCAGTCAAGCAGAAGAAATTGGCTATTCCAAGACCATATACGGAAGGGGGGTGAATATTCCTTAGAATTGAATAGAGCAAGGGGTTCTTGATGCCAAGCCACAGAATTATTTTGATGCGGCGTTGAGCCCAAGTTTAAGAAAAAAAGACAGGGCCAAAGGTTGAGCTGGCAATGGGTATATCGAGAGACGTGGGGGACGTTGCACGTTATCTCGATCGGTTATTATAAGCAAAGGTCGGAAAGACGACTTCAAGGCGGTGAGGAAGTTGTCAGATATAAGTAGCAGTATCCGTGAGAGTTCAAGACGCGGAGAAGAGATCCATATACTCGTCAGAAGGAGGCGGGCAGGGTATGGTAAGAATTAAGTGGGATGCCGGTTGGCGATGGGAGGGGATCGCTCAACACGTGCTGACCGAGGCGTTCGTGTAGGCCCGTGGTCTAGCTTCCGTTTTGTCAGACGATGCGAACAAGCACTGAGTATGACGATCACGAATTTTGAGTTGCTAGAAAAGGTCTTGAAGCTTGTTTTGCAGCAACAGGAAGAAAGAGTCGGTTAAAGAATTAAGATGCGCCGGAGGCGTCTGTCTTTATGGAGTCGTGATCTGAGGGAGGGCTCCGCCTCGGTCGACACGGCACCTCCTCTAGTGCGGGCGTGCAAGCAGGAACAAGGACGAAAATCAATGCCACGCAGAAAACACAAGGCCTTCGATTCCACCCGGCTAGATGGCGATGAGATAGCAGCAGTAGCAGCGTGTGCGGAGCGTCGCCGAGCGGCCTCAAGGCAAACGCCCCCCAATATGGGTGCGCTCTTCCTTGGAAACCAGACGAGCCGAAGTGCTAGTACATACGAGCAATCGACCCGTGTGCCACTGACAGCACGAGGGAGCGCATGCGTAGGACGCTAATAACAGCTGGGGGGGTGTGGGAGAATCAGAACGACGAGATGGAACGGCTTTTCGACAGGCGGGTGACAATGGGCAGCAAGATTCCCACCGGCCACAAGCTGGCAGCTGCGGATATCGCTCGCTCTTGCTGGTATAGGATAGGTCGAATGGATACCTTCTTTTCCCTTCTCCCATGTCCAAGGGAGTTAGTTTTGCGGCATCCAGAGACCTACTAGCCTTTTCCACCTTAGTGGTTTCTGATGCTGATTGTACTTAGTCCCCTTTATCTCGCCTATGGCTGCAGTCTTTCCGTGGTGCAAGCAACTTTGGACTTGTATGTAGGGCGTGGTGATAGCGCCAGCAGTAGGCTACTACTAACATGACGGCTTGCTACCGTACCGACGGTTCGGGGGTCCACCTACAAGGCAGTCCATGCCCGGGCCAACTTGATGAGTGAGCAGGTGAGGGGTGTGCGGCATGAGACGGTATGGGTCGAGTGGCTGTCCATGCACCATCGATGGATCCAGATACAAGGCCGGGTAGCGGTCACCAAGCCAGCGGACTGGAACCGCGGGTTCCACCCAAGAATCCAGGGATTGAACCATCGAGACGAAACATAGGTTCCCAAAGGCTTTGGAACACAGAAGCAGGCGGTCCATATCCCCAGACAAGGGGCACCAGTTTGGAAGCACGTATAATATAATACGGCCTCATTGGGAACGAGAAGGGAGCTGCAGGGTCAGTTGTCCCATGCTGTTAGTGCTCGTGCCATCTCTTCCCTTGGCTTTGCAGTTTATTCAATGCATCGTTAGCTTGCATCCTTTCCATTTCATCAGAGTATTGGGCTGAGAAGGTTGGGCAGAAGTCCCAATGCAACGTCAGTACCAAGCAGAAAGCACTTGAGCTGCGCTGTGAAGAGACACTGGCTGCCCTCCATGTTGCATCACATCAATACGGGGAGCCAAGAAACGGATAAATTTTATGCCCGAGTTTCTAGATGCCAGATGCAGGCTGCCAGCCACCGAGATGTGTGGAGATGCAGCCGTTGGGTTGGACCAAGAACTTTCGTAGGCAGCGAAATACCTGAGCAGCAACGGCGTGGCTAGACGACATGGTGAATTACCTAGACGAGCAATTCCCAACCGGAGAGATGCCAGAGTTGAGTAAAATTGAGTGCCACGACGTCAGTCTTCTCCACGCTGCTGTAGGGCAGAGCTACATGAAAAAAGGACCGAGTATTGCGACTTTGTGTGAGAACAAAGAGAACTTAATGAGGCGCCAAGTATCCGCCGTCAGCCGTAGTTGTGCGGAGTACTGTACAATGCCCTGGTCCTCGAGGAACAAGTACGAGTAACTCATATCCTCTCCACCCTGGTAGGGCCGGCGTGCGGCCTAAGAAGCATTCCCGCATTCCCTCCACGCACGCCTCTCACACGACCCGACAGCAGGGCTGAGTACGACTGGGATATCCCAGGAGCATTAGTGAACGACAGGGCGGAGGGGCCGTGCTCTCGGGACCAGATTGCGATGTGATTTGGGAATCGCATGGGCCTCTCGGCAGCCACCCCTCCCCCCCTTTTTTTTCCCTGGCTAAAGCGTCTGGCGAGACAAAAGAACCCATCGCAAGATGCCATTACTCACCTGCCAGCGGGCTGAAGTAGACAGAGACTCGTGGCTTGACTCTGTAGTTATCATGAATTTGTGCGCGTCAGATACACCAAATTGATTGCACGTCAAGCATATCGCCTAGATATCTCCATGACCTTACCTCTCCTCCAACGCTCTCAATGGCAGCATGCATGCTTTTCTTAGCTGCTTTGTTATAAGCTACAGCCTCCGTGGTATTGTTAGCCCGTATTAAGGTCGAGATGATCAGCTTCATGAAACATATGTATGCAGGGAAAAGGGTGACGATGGTGGTGATATGCTCTCCGAAACGTGTCAGCCATGTTTTCGGCATGGCTTACCGCCGGAGATTGTTGCGGATATGAGGGGAGAAAAGAGTCATTTACCTGTTCGTCGGTAACGCTTTGAGAGGTTGTAATTGAACATGCATGAACGACCGCATTGGCACACAGCTAGAGTTTGATATCCGAGTCAAGAACGCAGAGATGCCGGCCCATTCGACAACTAGCGACAGCCGGACGGACGAACTCGGATTGGCAAATCCTGGCAATCTCTTGTGACCAAGGCGGGCGTGCGGTAATCCATTGAGCCCTGCTCGCTTTCGAAGACAGTAGCAGTTCTCCGTACTTAGACTAGCAATCGTCTGCTGCAAGTAATGTATCGTTGGAGAGCTAACCGTAAGGCTGCCCGGTGAAAACATGACGACGGCCCCTCCCCCCTTTTTAGGATACTAGGCTCCTCGTTACTCCCTTACCGATCAGACTACTGCTCCGTTCCATGAGCAGGGCCCTCGGAGGTGTTTGGTGGAGAGCGTACCTGTCCTGTATCGTACAATTGCCCGCGCGGCATGGGCGCAAGTATCAAGTAGACTATATTCGTACCCGTACGGTAGCAGATGCAAGCGCTTGAGTGCATTGACGACAGGCTGAGGCCGTCGCATCCTACAACAGCTAACTTGAGCCGGTCAACGTTCGTCTTTGTATCCGGACGCTATGGTGCCATGTATTCCGTCAGCTACCTTAGTTCGCATAGTATGCCACACTTGTACAAGCATCGGATTAGGGCCGTCCTCAGTGCGGATATAACGGTTTCCGGCGCAGTGACATCCGCCTGCGAGACATGGCTTGCAAACCGCGCCGCAGGTATCGAGTGCCATTGGCCGGCACGAGTTGCCAGCAATCGGGTCGGGGATAACGTTGACGTGAGGGGGATGGGAGATGGGGGATGGGGAATCAAATCAAAAATGCATCGTCGGTCCTTAGTCATCAGGCAGCAGACAAAACAAAGATCCAGCTTCCGAAATTGGGGCGATCGTTGAGCAGCAGCATGGATGCCAGCCGGACTAAATGGCAAAACGGCGGGTGCGTCAGAACGGCGGTGATGCGGTGCGACGGACACGCGCTCAGTTGGACGACCAACAGCTCCTGCACACGACGGCATGAGATGAGATGCGATGAGTGCAGTGCAGTGCAATACAATGCGAAGAAGCCGAAGCAATGCAACGTGATCGGTCACAGCTCGGGATCAAAGGGAGGGACGCAAATAAATCCGAACAGTACTCCGTACTCGTAAGACCGACGACCCCAATGCATCTCGGAATAATACAAGCACCGACTGGGCATCAGGAAGATGGAAGGAGGGCCTCTGATCTACTTGGTACCTCTGCTGCATCACAGCCTTCCCCCTAATTCCCCCGCCTCGTCGTCTTCCTCCCATCGTGCCTTTTACCCTTTCCCTTTTTCCCTTTTTTTTCCTCATCGGATATAATGGTGTTGGTGCTGATGTTGCAGACAAAAAAAATTGGGTGAGTTTCACCCCTGGCCAACGATCGTCCCGGGCTTCCCGTCAGCCAACAAAAAGACCCTGACGGTGACGGACCCGAGAAAATCAAATCATGATCTTCTGGCCTGATTCGAATGCCATTGCTCAGCGCTCAATATGGACCCCAGCAAGGTGCTCCAGCCGTGCTAACCCCTTTCCCGTGATTGCTATTGTAATCACTGGCCAAGCGACAGAGCCGTTGCAAGGTCAACCACCTGCCCATGTGGTGTAGGGTATACGAGGACTCTCTCTGTCCATCTCCGGTCAGTCTCTTCGGACTTGCTCCCTAGCCCCTCGCTGTTGCTGACCTGAATCGAATAAGGCCCTGAGCCCACACCACACAGAGGAAAAGTTCAAGAGGCGCTAGGCGGCCTTCTCGATTATGGATCCGCGTCTGATTCCAGATCCCGAACATGTTCATTACTCGTACGCAACGTTGTCCGCAAATCATGGACCTCCTGGGCGAGTAAGCACCTACTCTGCACTAGTGGTATGGAGGGTATTTGTTGCGCCACCAAAAGCATCTGAATGAATGGTTTCCCATTGCTCGGAGGATATCAGAGCAGATACTTGGCATGTATGTACATCATCTGAGCATCTCTGGGGAGAGGGACACCGAAATAGCTGGACCCATCTATGTGGGTTAATCTTCTATTACGAGTACTAGTACTGAATCTGTAGTACAAGTACGAGTGCCGTACAAGTACTGCGGCTGGTGGTAGTGTTATGACTAGCAATGTTCTTGATAAGTGCTCCAGACTGACTAGCAAATAGGGATAAACACCAGTTGACAGGGGTTCAAGCCCAGTCAGATCGCTTAAGACCTGAGGTCTCCATCCTCATCATCTTCAAGTGGCAGCTAGGTCCACTCATAGGGCGGAGCTTTGGTCACCACCTGGCCGTGCTTGTTCTGTACGAATGAGCCACAACTGCCACCTCCGCAAAAAGCGCAACCATTCCGTCTTTGCCCTCGATATCTGCAGTACCACCTTACTTCGCTCAATTAGAGTGTTAGCATGAACATAAGCATGCCTAGACATGCCTAGACATGCAAGTACTCGTACTACCAGGCATGCTACCCGCAAAAGCTGCCAACGGCAAGTTGTCGAAAGCTTGGCCTCTTGCATGACATCCGGCACCACTCGGCGGCTTTGCAACCTACCCCAAATTGTGCCTCAGGTTGCCAGCACTAGTGCTAATAATTATCAGATGCTTGCGCCAGAAGCGATCGACTAGACTTGCTTCGATGCAACTACTGGAAGCGGTACTAGGCACGGAAAACTTCCGTAGCCATAAGCATTTCTAATCCGACAAAGCACCACTACTAGCCCTCCTGATTCACATGGAGCAAGAGCAAATTCCGCACTACTCAGGTGTTTGTGTAGGTGCCTGGCCTTGAGATGATCAACCCTTGGGCGCTAACGAGCTCCTTGCTGATGAAGTCACCGCTTATCCATCAAGAATCCGCGCCAGACGTTGTTTTAGCCCGTCCCGTGGCGTCGAATGCTCAGAGAAGGCGAGGCGGCATAATTAGCCCACTTTACCACAACGTGGCAGATGCTAGCCAGCCTCACCAATCTTACATACAGCAGTAGCTGCCTCGGCATCTTGTACTTCCGCCAAAGATGGGCGTCTTTTAATCAGTGCTCAAGTATGAGAAAGTATACACTGTTACTATCAAAAGGGAAGGGGAAATAGGGCGCTTCTATGTTCTATGTCCGGTGGTAATGCCCTGACCCCAGTATGCTGCTTTCTCATGCAGACACTGCGGTGTTCCAGCATTGCAGGTACAAGCAGTACGAGCATTCATGCTGCAATCACAGAGCAATAGGATCATACAGTTGTTGCCCACTTGGCGCCTTTTCAATCCTTGCTTCACTTTGGCCCGTCACTCTGGTCTGAGAATTTCTCCGTTCCGTGAATGGCGCCTTGATTCTGATAGCCTTACCGGGAGGGCGCAAGCGTCGACATGTTTGCCATGGCTGTTCTATTTTTGGGATAAGGGGGCAGCTTGATGACATTCGGGACGAGTGCTAGTCAACAGCCTATTGATCCTCATCGATCAAGGGTAACAGGGTGTCGGCTTCTACTTTTGTCTAGCATGGACACTGCGCCAGTTATTCTAGTAGGATGTGCGGACGACACCCTTGATCAAGACTCGGGTAAGGTGAGGCTGCATTTACGCACTGACGTTGAAATACAGCTATGCGATTGACTAAGACGGAAGATACGTGAAATGTTCTAGCATCTACTGGCCTGGAGAGGACAAAGACCCTGTGTCTACTGAGTGCTCGTCCGGCAGATGCCATTAACCACGATTATGACTCTTGTTGGTGCTAGTGTGGGTGACAGGGACTGTGTGTCTCGTCTCCGGAGCACGTACGGATCTGGAATACGCCCCCCTTCCGATTGAGAACTAGCCGGACCAATGATACGAGAGGCCACTGGCAAACCCTCGTCCGAGATGAAAGGAGGTAGTCCAACATGGATGCGAGCACAAATTCCCACTGCCGCCGTTGACGGGCGAGCTGATACAGAGTAAGTCATTGCGAGCGAGCCTGGCGTCTTGGTTTGGTGGTTGGATCTGCTGCCCCTAAACCGTTTAGTAACATACGGAATGGAGAACGGAGCACTAGAGAAACAGGCGAGAACCGTCACAAACCAGCACGCCCCGGGGTGTCTTGTGAATGTTAATGCGATGAGTGCCGTTTTCCGAACAAGAGAAACCCGTTGACCTGGAGGGGCCGCATTGTGCGCCGTTGTGTGATGCCGCTCCAGGCCCACGACGGGCGAATCAGGAAACCACTGGCGGCACTCGGCGCTGCTCGGCGGCTTGGACATGTGGCATAGATGCTGCAGTCTGTGGCTAAAGGAAAACGACATTGAGATTCTCCTACAGCTTTGGCCGGCAGTTGAATCATATGTGGTATAGCTCCTCAATGATGACTGATTCGTGTCCAATCCTGGCAACGACTCAAGCCAAGCACCTTTGTTTCATGGCTACAGAGTACAGGTAGGAAACAATCTATTACCTGACACAGCTAGTTTACCGTATTCCAACAGAAGAAGGGAGACGCCTTTGTTAGTGATTACTCTTCTCCATACCAGCCGCTTCCCACTCCCTACTTTTCCCAACACACTGGTCTGGTGGTGCCACCTGAACATCCTCCGCATTACCGACCACAAGGTCCGCTAAACAGGCGGCAAAACCATTTCGGCCCAATGACGGAAGTTGGAATTCCTTAATGAGCTTGCTAAGCCTTACAGGTCCTCACCCTCCTTTGACAAAAGGTTAGCCTAAACAGTCATTAGTCGAAACGGGAAAGACATCCAGATAATGGTTGGTTCCAAACGACACCCCCCTTAATGTTGAGAGAAGGGGAAAAAAAACTGACCTATCCCCTACATGTCGAATGCTCAGTCTGCCGACTAATATCTTACACTGTTTTCGTTCGCTTCTCGTTGGCCATCTCCGGGCCATACCCGGCAAATAGAGCGTCATACGGAGTATGCCTAATAACACGGAGTACAACTAGCAGCCATTTTTTCTTGCTGGCCATCCCCACCTTTCGGCGCTGGTGACACCGCGCTATTCCCGCATCCTTGCTGGTTGCCTTGTGCCGACAAGTCATCTGGCCCTTGATGATTCCTTTTGAGAGGGCTTCAAATTTGGTAGAATATGACTGATGAGGCGTCTCCGTGTGCGAAACCCAGATGGGCTGTATATCCGAATGCAAGAAATTCCTCCAATGGGCACACAACACAACCTCAGTGACAGGATCGGCAGTTAATTGCCACGGATGAACTGATTTGCTTTCCAGGAACACCCTTTTATCATTGGGCTACACTCCGTGGTGGTTGCGATGTTTACTAATTTGGTGGCTGGCCACAAGTCTATCATTTGTTGGAATCACGCCACAAAACAGCCTAAGCACCGGGCAAAGATGACGAACAATAGCAGAATGGAAGAAACATGGTAACATGATAGGAAGCCAAAAGTGTCTCCGCCTTGTAAGCTTCGACAGTGGCCGTGCGCCATCCGAGGCATTTACTCTTTCCCTCTCTCTCCTTCTTTTCGACTGTGGTTTGTATCAGTCTCTCAATATGTTTTTGCCGACGCTTGCGCCCTTTCGGCAGTTGTAATCTCGGTATCCTCATGACGCGCCATCACTCTCACGCCAAGGGCAGCAAGGACGGAAAAAGGACGTACGCTCGGCTACTCCTCGATGCTAATTGGGTACCGACTGCTCCCCCCTTCCCTTTTGCTTTTTTTGCCCTTTTCCCGTTTTCCAACCTCTCATAAGGCTTGGCTATGAGATAGACTTTTGTGTGTGGGGGGGTGCCAGGCGGCCAATCAATCGTCGATCCTCTCTCTCTTTCACACCTTTTACACACCCCCTTTCGATATCTCACCAGACGGTGTGCTTTTTTTTTTCTTTTCTTCTCTTCTCCTGTCTTTTTCTGTTTTCCGATTGGCGTGGGGGACAAGGGGTGTAAGAAAAAAGTGAGCATCAGTGGAACGGACTTTTTGTTCATTCGGCCGGGATGAAACTGAACAGGTGTAAGACGAAAAAAAAGTGCCCCAACGATCAACTTGTTTTGTTTTTGGCAACTACCCGAAGGAGCTGGTTGCAAGGCCATGCGAAACAGAGTCTTGGGAAATAAATTCTCCTTTGGTCCGTAGAAGCGAATTAGGCTTTTGTCCGGGGGAGGGCGATTTGGGCATGGGAAAAGATGAATGGGAAAAAAGAATCCGGGTTAATCTTCATGGGTAGGGTATTTTTTTGCTGAGGGACTCCTTTTTTTTCGGTTCGTTCTTTTTCCTGCCGTGTCTCACTGAGACAACTACCGAACTGTGAACCGAGTTTCACAGGGATTATACATCATATTTGCTCATTCACCGGCTCATGATGCGGATGAACGCTCTGTTGCCTGCGATACCAGGACTTGTAAGTGTAGGGTTCAATGTAAATCAAAACATGGTGGAGGAATTCCAAATTCTTTTTTGCTCCACATACATACATACATACATGTACGAGTATGTTTATGTCCGGGGTGTATATATGCTTTCTTTTTTTTTGTATTCCAAATTGTACTTGTCCCATGTCAAGATTCTTCTTCTTATCCCTGTATTAAAAAAAAAAAAAAAAACAAAAAGAGGTTAAAAGAAGAAGAAGAAAAATGGCAGGCTATCATCTATCCAAAATACATAGGCGAAGAACAAATAGATGACAGAGAAGGGGGGAGAGGAGGACACAGCCTCGCATCGCAAACTCGTCACATTACCTTTTTTTTTTAACTTCTTGACCTGTCCCATTCACCTGACCTGTCCTCCCTCGACTATATAGACGGCGCTCCCTCGAGCGGGCCGGCTCACCACGACAGCCTGTTCCTTCTGCTCGTCGGTCAGGTCCATCTTGGCGTAGTACTGCTGCTCCAGCGCCTCCTTGACGGCCTGCACCTTGTCGACGGGCACGAGGTGCACGCTGCATCCTCCCCACCCAGCTCCCGTCAGCCTGCTGCTATAAGCCCCGGCGCCACGTGAGATGCGGCATATGTCGTCTAGCTCTGGGCAGCTGCATTCGTACAGGTCCCTGCACGAGTCCTGCGTCTCGTTCATGAGCCGGCCCAGCTCCTGGTTGAACCGGGTCGTGTCCGTGGCCCCAGTGTGCAGGGGACGCTCCAGCAGAGTCAGGAACTCGAGGACTCGCAGCGCCTCGGTGAAGACATGCAGGGCTCGCTGCCTGAGCTTGAACCGGTCAGCGCGGACGGGGAATCTGGACATGAAGCGCTTCTCTAGCTCCGGCACGGACATCTGGAGGACGGCGGCGATTTCCTCCCGCGTGTAGCCGTCCTCCCGGGTCAGCGTCTCCTTGGTCACCTCTACGAGCTTGCGCAACTCCTCCTCCTTACTAAGGCTCTTAGCAGCGGCATAGTCAGATCCGCCGTTGTGGTAGAAAAAGGTGTCATGGAATCCCTGGAGACTAATGCCGAGAGGACCTGCGTCTTCTGGCAACTGCGTACCAGGTGGGTTGAGCACCGCGTGAAGGTAAGCAGCCGCAAAGCTGACCTCAACAACACGAAGGTTGTAGTGGATGGGTCCTGTGACGTGTTTGTTGGACGTGACAAAGGATTGTGCGATAACAAAGCACAGCTCAGGTCTGGTAGGGGGGAACTTGACGGCTCGGGCAGACAAGCCGGGGGTGAAGGACACGAATGTGGCGGATCCTTGCTCTGAGAAGACTGATGCAGATTGATCCATGCTGTGGCGGTGATTGTCAGCAATTGTACGATTCACAACGAGGATCTGTACGAGAGTCTATGCGGTAAGGCAGGGGGGCAAGGGCGAGGGGGAGGGGGGGAGGTGTGGATTTGCTTCAGGGCAAGCATGTAAGAGTAGAGTTACGTGCTACTCGGCAACTCAGCCAGATGCGTGTCCACCTGCTGCGAGGAAAATCATCGAGGACGGTACCAGAATACGGGAACATGGGAGAGGCAGCTCAACGGAGTAAAACGGAGTAAAATGGGGCCACAGTCACCAAAAACTTACCCTCCAGAGTTGACCCCAACGGCTCGCTCGCTGACGATGGCGAGTTCTGTTAGCTCCTTCTTGTCCACCGTACTCTCGCCATTGGCAGCCATGACGGCCAGAGCACTGGCTGTGACAAAGGCGGCGCTTGAGCTCAGCCCTCCGCCAACGGGAACGTTGCCGTCCATAAGCACCTCCATGTCGCAGGGGCGGAAGTCGGCCCCTTTCTTCTTGTACAGGAGGCCCAGGGCGCCGCGGAGACCGCTCTTGAAGTAGTTTGTCCACTCAAACTTGGTGGAATCAATCTCGACATCGCCTCCGATCGGCACGTCAAACTCCCTGGGAGCAAACTTTGCATCCTGGACGTTGCGCACGTGGATCTTGAACGTCGTTGCGTCTGCGGCGACAGGCTTGGTCGAGACGGCGATGATGGCATCGGCAGTGATGGCCATGGGCAACACCGAATAGAGCGAGTAGTCGATGTGCTCGCCGATGATGTTGACTCGGCCAGGCGATCGCGCAATGAATTGTGCCGGGTGGCCAAACTCCTTTTCAAACTTGGAGAGCAAGTTGTTCCATCGTGGCGTCTCTACCTCAACCGCAGTTGGGGGGTAGATGTCTGCCAGAGAGCTTGCGACTGGGACCGGGCCAGACATTTTGCACTCCCTTGATGTGATTTTTTTTCTTTTCTTCTCCTTTTTTTCTTTCTTGATTTTTTGATTTAGAATTGTCTGGTAATGCAGCCGGACTTGGTTGCAGCCAGTGTCAGGAGACGAAGATAATAAAGACCCCGCGATCAAAGCTTCGCTCTCCAAAAAACAGTACCCCGCAGTGGTTTTCGCAGGGAAATCAGGGGTTCTTTTTTTCGCCCTCTATGACGTATGCAGATCTGGAGCTTCAAAAAAAGAAGAGAAAATAAGCAAGTTCAAAGCCTCGTCGATCGCTTATAGCCGGGTATGACCAAACAGGATCAAGTGCAAACAAAGATGGACAACTTGACACGTTGCACAAAGACGGTCAGGAGGAGGGAGATGGTGACGAGAAGAAAACCCGGCACAAAAGTCTATAGAGGTATCCAAGTATCGCAGACAATCCGGATGACACGCGATAGATATTGTCAAGGTGGCGATCCTTTTGGCGTGACCGTGACCTTGAGGACCCCGCTAATATCGTCGGCGGTTTTGCGGGTACTACGGAGAATGTACGAACGGCTTCGTGGAGCCCAGGCCGTTAAGCGCACGAGTGATGTTGCGTCAAACGAAGCTGAAAATCTCGTGGCGCGATAGCAATGGAGAGCTCTGTGTCGTGTTTGCTGCTAGAGTTGCGAAGCTAAATAGTCGAGACCAGCGCAATCCCGCGGGAAATCCATCGGGTTTCGATCCTGGGCCGAAAGTAATGGCGAGATTTTGCTTGTGGACAGCACCACAATTTCAATTTAGGTGAATACTAATGCATCAAGCCGCGAAAGGATCCAAGCCGGAAAATTATTCGGGAATGACTGTGTCAAAAGACCAGCAAAAAAAAAAGCGCTGTTAGGTAGGTGGTATAATGCTGTTGACAAGCGCGGTTAGTGACAACGCAATAGAGCATCACGCATCACGCATCACGCATCACGGACTGGATCTTTGAAAATCTTCAGACAGATTCTGATGAGTTTTTGCGCCCCAGTTAACAGCTGCATGCTGAGAAAGATGTATCGCTCTGAAAGCACAGGCGAGCTGTTTGGAGTATGCCGTTCAACAGAAACGACTGGCTGGCATCTGTCAACCAGCTGGTATTGATTAAAGGCTTTGGCGAGTTGTGTCTCAACCTGGCCAACCAAGAAGAACTCCAACTTTACCCAAGTCAAAATAGAGAGGAAGAGGAATAGAGAAAATCCAAACATTCCAACCTCGGCCTCTCCATCATTCAACGCATCTGATCGATGAACATTGGCCACACGCGCCCATCTCATTGCTCTTGCAGACACGTGCCCGCCATCAACTTCAACATACAACAGGCTTGACACCCATGGAGCTCAAAGAGAAGCGCTCAGTCATTAGCCGTGAGCTGAAAACCCTTGAACCTGGCTCTCTCTACATTACAATCTCTGTTCCTCGATCCAAATCTCACCAGCATTACGGCCTCGGTTCGGATGTCAGCTATCCGACATCCCTCTCGGAGGATCTGGACTTGGCGTTGTATGAAGTTTCTTGTGCCAAGGGCATCGATAGAGAAGAATTCGACTGGGGCGTTTATTTTCATCGAGATTATGGCAACGGCACCTGGTACGGACTCCGCAGGCTAAGCAGCACGATCGACACCGGCATGGACGGTACTCGGGGTTCCAGCATGTCAAGCATGGGTACGACAAATATGGGCGATGGCGCCAGCGTCCCGTGTTCCTTGCCCTTCTACACTCTCTCCAGGCAGGAGATGCGTCTGTCGCCACGTCTGCAAACCCGAGTGGCTGCCCTTATCAGGGTCTTGCGCGTGCCTGATTGCTTCGCAGACGGCCTGACACCCTACCTGGATTGGCTGGCAGTGCAGACGGCACCCAGTGCCATGAGGTCTTTTATCTGGGCGACATCCATGTATCTTCGCACGCGTCATCACTTTTCGACATATCTCAATGGCACAGCTGGCGATGTGGCAGCGACGGGCTTCACCACGACAGGGTTTCTTCAGGAGGCACTTGACTTGGCGTACAAGGAGGTCTGGTATGGGTTGGGAGGCCAGCTGCCACGGCCGATGATAGCATCGGCGTTTGGGGTTGAGATTGTCCTGGGGGAGGCTAAAACCGCAAACATGCAGCAGCAGCAGAATGCCGACCAAAATGCCGACCAAGATGCCGACCAAGATGCCGATGGTGAATCAACCCAATATCTATTGGGGTATATATATCAGCACGCAGAGACAGGGCTTTATGACACCCCTTGGTGGAGTAGCATTACCTATACGGGGGTGGTTGTTTTCAAAGCCATCTCGATCGACTCATCGATTTAAGCATTCAAACACCGGTTCCCCCTCGATGCTCATCGCCAAGGATTCTGGGGCAAGAAGTCAGGGGAGAGGGTGAAACGGGGGTGTGATTTTTTTTTTTTACAAATCATTCAGGATGGACTACTCTCCTGCAGGCCCATGCAAAGAAAATGGAATTCCCGGTGATAAAGCACAGCGACAGATAGCCAGGGATAGGGGATAATGCTTGCAAACAGGAGTACAAGTGCCTGCTCCGTGCTTCTCAAGGGGTACGTGTAACCGGTGAAGGCTCCGTAGCTGCGCATGGGTTCGATAATTGACAGCTTCACACCCCTCCCTGACCGATGCTTGGCCCATTCATGGTGGAAACGAAACTGGCAGGTCTGCAAGGGCCTCGGATGCTTCCCCAGTCTCTGTCTACCGGAAATAAGTCCGCAATTATGCCACAATGTTAATGCCCGTTATCTCCAGAGACGAAAATGCGGAGTTATCTGCTTGTAGCAGGTAGCCGTGGGTTGTAAGAGTTAAGAGCCAGTGCTTTTCAATGTAACTACAGTATGCAGAGCAAGTCAGACCGCTGCAAGCATCATCCCCGTGGCATATGCCGTCTCCTGATGGGCGTTGTAACCGTCTCTGAGCATCGAAATGTTGGCTTACTTGCAGCCCAGCCTGACGAGGCGTTTCACGGAGTGGCGGTTATCCTTGAATTAACCATGATAACTGCTGGAAGGTCGGCGATTTTGCTGGCCATCCCTGCTTTCGGGCTGCTGACATCCATGAGACACTTGGATTTTTTGGGCAACTTCGGCGAGGGTTGAGCTGATGCTAAATTAAGGCGTCCCATGTGAGATTTGTAAGAGCTTATCGAGACAGTTGATGGTTTATTTTGTCGTGTATTCCGACAAAATACCTATTATTTCAAATACCCATTTGGGGGCGTCATAATGAGACATGAAGCGAATGCGAGGGGTGTACAGCATTATGCTATACTTGGCAAAACTGATTAGTATTCCAGGTTTGCATTAATACTTGCTAGGCACAAGCGAGGATTGCGCCAGCAAGATTAGTACCTACCTACTATACCACGAATATGTAGGTACGGCACACTTGTAAAGCAATCATGGCGTGTCATGTTGTGTAACGTCGAGGAGAGCCGGGAGCTGCAACTGTCAGTGGACAAGGCGGCCGGGTGTCGATCATTCCGATCCGTCCAAGCCGTCTTGCCGTCGATGATATCTGACGTGCGGCTTGGCTGGAGACTGGCCGGCGAAAACTATACCCAAATGGGTCCAAGGGAAAAGGAGGGGAGATTGATTGGACATAGGGTGGCAAGCAATGACGAATGAGACACCCAAAACAACTTGAAGTCTCGCGTCGTCGCCACTCAGGTCTGTACTGTAAGACGATACTGTACTGTCCTGTAGGTAAAACGCCCATGTGCCTCGTCGCACAGAATACCTACGCCTCTCTCCCAACGCCGTTTGCGACGTCAAAACCTGCTGCGAGAGGCTTGGGTCGCACAGTACGGCCCAATGAGTGGCCACGTTGGCTGGGCTGGCGATGCTCCGATGGGATTCCGCGCTAAACGCTGTTCTCGTCCCACCCGCGTTCTGCGCCAGACTGGACTGGACTGGCAATCGAATCTTCCATCTCCACACGTATCGCGCAGACCCATCAGATCTCCTCAGCCAGGACAAGGGAGCCGCTGATGTGAAGAGAGGGGAAGAGAGAGGGGTAGAGGAAGGGAGAATAGAAGAATAGAAGAAGAAGCAGCAGAAGAAGAAAAGGAAGAGAAGAGGAAGAGAAGAATAGAGCAGATGCCCGTACTCAGCTTAGCTCCTCCCTCGTCTGACTTCTCTGTGCTTCTCTCTCGTGTGGGATCCCACGCGTGGGAGGCATAAAAAGGCAAGATGAGGGGTGGGCAGCTGATGAGGGGCAAGTGATGCACTGTGCAATAAGATTGCCTTAGCACCACCTCTTACCACCTATTACCGTCAATGTTAGCAGTGCCTAGCGTAGCTCAAACTCAACTGTCCTTGGCTATATAAACCTGACCGCCCATTCCCCTCGCTGGCTAGAGCTTGATCTGTTAACCACCCTGCAAGCAAATCCAAATCTTGGAAATCTCAAACCACCAGCCTACCAATCTTTCTCTTCACCACTTATCAACCAATACCAACATCATGGGCGGTTGCGGCTGTGCTGAAACTGGCGCCTGTGGCTGCGGCACTAGCTGCACCTGTGACGGCTGCCCTGTGAGAAAATAACATGCCGCCGCCGAGATGAAGACGGTGTTGGAGGAGTCGCTAACTGATCGGTACATAGCACAAATAAACTGGGCAATGCTCTGTACTCGATCTAACGTTTCCTCTACGACATCGTGTGAGCGACGAGTTGCCATCGCAAGGCCGATAAGACTGCACGATCAACATGGATTATGACGACTGGGACAAGTACGTGGAGGAACAGCAGACGAAACAAGGGGGAAATGAAATAAATAGCTAAAATCAAATAACAGAGATTGATTTTTTTTAATGAAGCCCTTGATATCTGACTTGGTGATGAATATCGTAGCGCGACCTAATTATTCTAACCTATGTTGAACTACTCTAGATGCTCTCTCGTAATGTTGGATGCGTACTGAGTACCAAACGACCTGTATCAGCATGTTGGGGTAGGTAGATACGAATCTCTCCATAGAGGGGATCTATCCACAGAGTTGGTGGCTGGCCCAGGTTTCATCCACTGCATCTACGTTGTATATCTGATGCAGTCCAGAACATCCCCATCCAAAGTGTTTGTAGGGTAGAGGCTGTACGTAGAGGTGGATGTCGACATGTTTTGCCCGTGCCTGTACTTCCAAGCCCTGAGGAAAATACAAGTACCTGTAACCAACTCATATAAACCTACCTAATCCATATATATCTTTGCCACTATCAAGAGCCCAACAGCTCAACCTTGGAGCTCTATTCTATTTCCTCCACTATCTTTAAATAGCCTGTCAGTGCTGTATCTGCCGAGTGCTAATGCAGCGCTCCCTGGAAGCGGTACGTATCCACGGAATGCTGCCGAGAGCACTAAGGAATATCTGGAGTCTTTGATTGGGCCAGGCCGCCCCAGGTGGGTCGCTCTGACATCAATCCTCAGGTTGGACAAGCTCGTCACGCCTCGAGCGGCTTTTGCTCATAACGACCAAACGACGATACGCCTCTTCCGCCATACGCCGCTGCCAGCACACGCCATATCCTGCTCGACCACTGCCTTGATACGCCTTGTCATATAGACTTATTTCTTCACATCCCGAAACCGCTTTCCTCTGACCCAGCGCCATCCCGTCGCGTGTCCAGCCAGCGCAGAAGATGCTACGAACCGAAATCTAGCGTTCGAATAGTCCTACAACAGCTTCGATAAGACCTGAGAGAGCGTCGACAACATGGACTCGTCGGCCAAGGCCGAACCTCGCACGTCGTCCTCGGCCATCCAAGCCGCCACCGACGATCGCCCATCGGATGCGCCGCGACGATGCTTCATCTGCCTGACGGACGAGGAGCCCTCGGATCCCCCAGGCTCGTGGGTTGACCCATGCCCATGCACGCTGGAAGCGCATCAGGACTGCATGCTCTCCTGGGTGACGGACTGCGAGCGGTCTAACAAGCCACTCAAGTGCCCAGTGTGCAAGGCCGACATCGAGATGGACGGCCCGTGGGACCCCATCGCCTCTCTACACAACGCCATACAGCGCAAATTCACCCGCGCAAGCCCCTTCATCCTCCTGACTGGAGTGTCGGTGGGAGTTCAGTTTAGCCTGCAAATGTACGGCGCCGTGGCGTTGTGGACATTTGCTGGCAAGGAGGCGCTGCTTCAGTTTGCCCTGGGACCTGATATGCTCATCGACGGGCGATCACCCGGAGCGCTGAGATTTGCCAAGGAGCGCATAGTCAACGCTCTGATTCTGATGAACGTTGCGCCGACATTGCTCATTAGCCAGCTGCTGCCAGGTCTTACTAACAGATACTTTATGCAGTCTGCATCTATTGTGAGTTTATTTCATTCACGATGACATTCTTGATAGTGCACTGTAGATAAGGAGGACAAAGAGAGAGGACAAGAAAGAATGCACGCCTAGTTTGCGAAAACGTTCTCGACATATGCTGACATTCGGATCTTCACCAGTACGGAATCTATAGCATGATTCGAAATGACAACTTTTTGGAGTGGCCGCCATCACCCCGTATGGCCATGGTGGCGCTGCCCATCATTCGCAAGGTGTACTACAGCTTCTGGAGGGACTTTGTTATGCCGTATGAAGTGAAACTCAACCGACAAATCTCGGGCCTACCGCCACTCGATCCGCAGCAAGTGGCTGATGGTGTTCTCAATCGGCAGGATGTTGAGCGCAACGGAGAGGGTGGATTTATTGGCCTTCTCCAGAACATTCTTGATGTCCTGGATCCCGATGAAGAGGAACCAGCTGCTGGGGCTAATAATGGTGGGCGCGAGGCACGACCAGGGGCTCAGCATGAGATACGTCTGGAACAGCGGGAAGAGGGAGACGAAATCAGGGTTGAGCTTCTCATTGAAGAGGTGATTGAGGATGCAGTTGACTTGAACGGGGTGGCCAACGATGAGCAAGATGGCCATGCGCGCTGGGATCAAGCCCAGGATGACGCTGCCAACGAACACGCTCAGGAAAACCAGCGCGAAGCACCCCAGGCGCCACCCGCAAGGAGGATGGGGCTCGGCGGTCTCCTGTCAAACGTGTCCAACTCAATCGTCGGGGCGCTCCTTTTGCCAGGCATCTCCTTTGCAATGGGCGAGGCTTTACGACTGATACTCCCACGGTCTTGGACAACAGTCCCGCCTAGGAACCACTGGCTGTTTGGACCATCACCGTCGGGTCGGCCTGGCCTGTTGCAGCAACAATGGGGGCGCAGTCTGGTGGGCGGGTGCCTCTACGTCGTCTTGAACGATGCCATCCGGGTGTACAGCAAGTCTCGCCAGGTGGCAGCCATGCAGAACCGGAAGGTGAAGAACGTAGACCGACCACGACGGAGAAAGTAAAGGTGGAGCATTTGGAAGCGACTTGTTATTGCGATTCGTTGTGCGTCAGGGCTGCAGCGAGCATGGGAAACATGGGCATGGAATGGAGTTTTGGGCGGAATCAAGGCAGGGCTGCTATTCAATCTGCGGAACCGCATCTTCGTATTAGACTGGGACTGTCTACTGAGGGATGGGTGGAAAGGCTTCTTTTTCTTTGAGCATGGCCGATATATTATTACATACCTTAGCTAGTCGTAATGGTAGAACGGCTACGTGTATGTTATGCCGGCCACAGGCTGCGGAATTCATTTTGCTTCTCTTGGTAAACGCCGAAGACGCTCGTTGCCAATAGTTGGCGCATGTGATATTGATGCTGTACCTTAGCAGCATGTCAGGTAGGTACCTGTATACAAGCCAGTACGTACCAAAAATAAAATAAAATAAAACAGTCGAAAATACAGGAATATTCCAGCGCCCCCTCGGCACAAGCGCTTTGCCACTTTGGGCGCCCCTCCCAAAATCTATGACAGCCTAAACCAGAACAAACCAACCGGCGCCGCGGGGTCCTTTTTTGCTTCTCTCGCCAGAACTCCCTTTTCCGCCCATCATCGTTTTTTTCTCCCATTTCCTCGCCGTCTGGATTTAGAAGAAAAAGTATCCCTTTGTTTCTTTCTTTTTCTCGTTTCTTCACGTTTTTCGCGCCTCTCTTCTTGTCTCCTGCGCCGAAAGCTCACGCAGCTCTCGCGCCACAGAAAAGAACAATCAAGCCGCAGCCATGGTACGAAATCCAGCGATTCTCATCAGCCCCCCCTCCTCCTCCCCTCCATTCTCATAACACCCCGCTTGAAGCCCAGATTCCGGTCCGGAGCGAGCAGAGAAATCATGCGGAAAACAAGAAAAAAAAAGAAATCGCGCCGTTGTGATGATTCAGGACAAACTCGGCTGACCGTCGTAAAAAAATAAAACAGGCCGCTCAACAGACTCCCAAGCAGCGCCTCGCGCTCGCCATCTGCGACTTCCTGACCACGTCAACGACGGACGGCACCCTTACCGCCGAGGACAAGGACTCCATCGACGTGGCCATCAACTGCATCGCCGAGTCCTTCAAGGTCGACCCCAGCGACGATGCCGCCGTAAAAGCCGCCATTGGCCCCCAGAAGCTGCTCGACGTCTTCGCCGTCTACGAGAAGCTCCAGGCCAAGGACAAGGCCGCCTCAGCCCCGGCCGCCGCCGCCGCCGCATCCTCCTCAACCCCCGCCTCCTCCTCCTCCTCCGTCCCTGAACCCTCCGAAGCCCAGAAGAAGGAGGCCGAGTCGCTCAAGTCAAAGGGCAACGCCGCTATGGCCCAGAAGGACTACGCCGGCGCCATCGACCTCTACACCCAGGCCCTCGGCCTGCACCCCTCCAACGCCGTCTTCCTGTCCAACCGCGCCGCAGCCCACTCCGCCGCAAAGGACCACGCCTCCGCCCGCATCGACGCCGAAGCCGCCGTCGCCATCGACCCCTCGTACACAAAGGCCTGGTCCCGCCTGGGCCTCGCCCGCTTCGCCCTGGGTGACCCCAAGGGCGCCATGGACGCCTACCGCCAGGGCATCGAATACGAGGGCAACGGCGGCTCCGACGCCATGAAGAAGGGCTTCGAGACGGCCAAGCGCCGCGTTGAGGAGCTCGAGTCCGACCAGGCCCAGGACAACCTCTCCCGCGCCGGCCCCGGCGCCGGAGCCGGCGGCATGCCCGACCTCAGCAACCTCGCCTCCATGTTCGGCGGCGGCGGCGGTGGCGGCGGCATGCCCGACCTGGGCTCCATCATGAGCAACCCCATGTTCGCCAACATGGCCCAGAGCCTGATGAGCAACCCCGACCTGATGAACAACCTGATGAGCAACCCTCGCCTGCGCGACATGGCCAACCAGTTCAGCAGCGGAGGTGGCATGCCCGACCTCGGCTCTCTAATGTCCGACCCTAGCATTGCCGAGATGTAAGTATTTTCTTCTTTTTTCTCTCCATTCATTCATTCTTCAGAAATAAAAAAAAAGGTGCTAATGGTGAAAAACCTTACAGGGCACGGAATATGATGGGTGGCGCTGGAGGCGCTGGAGGCGCTCCTGGCTCTGGTGGTGCAGGACGGTAAAGCGACTCTTGTTTTATATTGAGTACGACATCCCAAGAGAAGGACGAGTAGTCGCGACGAGGGTTGGCTGCGTGGTATCATGGTTATGGGCTCTAAAAAAGAGAGAAACAAGAAAAAGAGAGACAAAGGGGCCTACGTCTTCATTTAGATATGACTGAGCAACAGGCGCAATGACCGAAGCGTGGTTAATGATTGTAAATAGAGACAGCTGTAAACGAAGCACTCGATTTCCATTATGATTATGCTCGCCCTTGATTCTATCTATACCGGCACCAGACAAAGTGCCCCCTGTGTCAACCGCTAGTATATACATATATAAAACTGGTAATGTCGTCTCCTTGACGCTCCCCCCTTCGTTAACTTTTGTCTCCAAGTATGAGGCTTCACTGAGCCATCCCATGTTCCATTTTATTCATACAAGACGTCCCCCTAAAACATATACGTCGTAAAAACTTGTCTAGGCATGCTAAACGAGTATGCATATGATAATGTCTATACAAACCAAAATGATATTGCGTCGGAAAGCGCCTACGCAGCCCTAGGCATCTTTTGCTTTCGCCCCCTATTTTCTATTCTTGGCTGCTGGGTGCCTCAGGGCCTCGAGAAACGCGGCCTCGGCGTCCACGAAGAGATCCGGTTCGTACGCGTCGGACGCTTCGACCACCTCGGCTGGAAGTGGTCATAATTGTCTGATTTTCGCCCGTCTTTGGGGGTGGTTGATTTTCGGGTTTGGCAGTGGTGATTGCCGGAGCTCTGGCCGTTTCTTTCACGTCTTTTCTGACCACCAGGCTCCTCTCCAGTGTTTCCTCGGAGTTGCCTTTGGGCGTTGGGGTTGGATATGTGCCGCATTTGCCGTCACTAGAGTTCCGTGGAGGAATCGGCAGTTGCCTCACAGCAGGCGAGCCTCTGTTGCCAGGCTTCGGAATCATGGACGGTGCCGGGCTGCTGCTTTGGGCCATTGGGATAGACACACGACGCTGCTCCTATCAAATGAGTTAATGAGTTAGTCACGTTCACACTTCCACCACTGAAATTGTCGGTTATACATACGACAGTGTCGTCTGGTTCCTTTGCAGATGGCTCGCTGCATTTTACAGACCCTGATTCAGGGGACTTGTGAACGGGCTCGCTCTTTGACTGGACGCGACGAGAGTAGCGCGGTCGCATGAAAACCACATTGCTAATCTTGGGAGGGATATCTGTGGCCTCTGTGATGGAATCTGTGGAGCTACTTGCCAGTGACTGCAATGCAGGCTGCCTAGAAAGCTCGATGCTCCTCGGTTTGGATTTTCCGCCGACTGGGAGTGGCTCGACGCCTGGGCCTTGGGTGGCAACCACTGTGGGCATAATTCCCGATGCGCGGAGTTCTGATACGGCAAAACTGCTCTCTGAACTGCCTTTTGCCTCGAATCGGCGGCTTGACTCAGTCGAAAGGCTCTTGGGTGTACTGCTCATCCCACGTTCGTCCATAATTGACACCTCATCGGACCACCGGAGTTTGCTGGGGTGGCCGGTGACTGCCCAAGTCCCAGTCTTGCCAATGGCTGAAGATGTAGTCGGTTGAGCTTCAGATGCCGGTTTGGGTCCAGAGTTCGTTGCTGTTGCCGCCATTGACCGAGGTGTAAACTCAGGGGCCACAGGATTCAATCGGGACCCCTAACAGGATCCGTCAGTATTCTCTGAAGCGCTCGAGTTTGTTTCAAAATCTATCATGTCAGAATCTACCTCCTTCTGACACCTCTTTCCTGTTGCTAATTTGCCATCGCTTTCTTGTGTCGCGTTGGCCTGACCGTTTTCGTCTTGTGGCTTGTCCGTCTCAGTGGTGGTTCTCTCGGAGCAAGAATCGTTGGCAAGAGTGTTTGCATCATCGAGCACTTTGGCTGCGTCGTTGCTATCCTGAGGTTTCACGAATGTTTGCTTTGACCACAGATCCGCATATCGACCGGCCTTGGCAATGAGCTCATTATGAGTACCTTGCTCGATGATCTTACCGTGTTCTACAACTACGATACGATCTGCGTTCATAACGGTAGAAAGTCGATGACTGGGCGCACAACAATTCATTAGTAAATACAAGGCTTGGTGAGCACAAGAAGGAACCTACGCCACGATGAATGTTGTGCGGCCTTGACAGAGGTTCTTGAGCGAGGCCTGAATCTGCTGCTCAGTATCGGTATCAACAGAGCTTGTAGCCTCGTCTAAAAGAACAATGTCAGGTTGCTTCAAGATCGCCCGGGCAATCGCTACACGTTGAAGCTCTCCACCAGAAATTTTACTGCCATGGTCAGCTTAAAAACTCCAATAAAGAGAGAGAAGAACGGCAAGTGAGATGTCTGATACTTACACTCCGCGCTCACCAACCCGCGTTTCATAGCCTGGTCACACACAAGGTTAGCAGGGACGACACGACAGCGAGGTTCATTGCAGTATTACATACCGTTTGTGAAACTCAAAATCTTATCATGGATACTAGCAGCTTTGCACGCTTCAAACACTTCGTCGTCGCTTGCGGTGATTCTACTGTAGCGTACGTTGTTCACAACGGTGTCATCGAAAAGAATTGGAGCTTGAGGGACGATGCCAATGCGATCACGGAGGCTAGAGATTATGAGTTAGCGTTGTTGTAGGAGCGATGAGGCCAATGCCCTAGGATCAATAACTTACCTATAGAGGTCAACATCGCGAATGTCTTGGCCATCTATTCGGATGCTGCCCGATGTGACATCGTAGAACCTGTGAAGAAGTTTGAGCAGTGTCGATTTGCCCGCTCCAGTTGTCCCCACAAAGGCAACTGTCGTTCCCGCCGGAACGTGTAGGCTGATTTCGTTGATAATGTTCTTCTGCTTATCATAGCTAAAGCAAATGTCATCGAAATCAACCTCCCCCCGGACAAACTTGAGAGGTCGTGCGCCCTTTTTATTCTCAATCGAAGGCTTCGTCTTCATAACAGCCAAGAGACGTTCCGCGTCAATGAAGTCATCGCTCATGCTCTTACCAAGGGAGGCGAAAAACTGCAGTGGCGCAGTGAGTTGAGTCCAATACATGAGAAGCATTGCAAACTGTCCCGCTGATGCTTGCCCACTGTGAATACGGTAGACGGCGAGAAATGCACTTGCCATGAGGCCTGTAATGAGAACGATGGTTTGAAACGCAATTGACACATGCCAACTCATGAGATATTGCTGCTCATTAAGCCATCGAGTCGTCACTGCATTAGCGTGTCTGTTGTCCTCATAGCCGATCTGGTTAAAGGCGCTGACGGTCGGCCATGCAGTCAATCCAGAGGTACGAATGTAATGCTCTTGGTACCAAGCATTTGTGCGTTTGCGGCTAGACGATTTGGAGTCAGCTACGAGGCGGGTGGCAAGTGTTATAAATACGATCCCGGTAGCCACTGTTATCAAGCCTTCGTATGGGCCGAATGTGATGGAGAGGTAGACGACGGCAACACACATGTCGACCAGCATAGGGACTGCCTGAAGCAGTACGCTTTCAATTGCGCTCGAGATAGCGCTGCCGCCTTGGATAGCCACTAGCATGTCTGATGAGCTTTTGGAGTCATGGAAATCAGCAGATAGGTTCATGACATGTGAATAAGAAGCCCGAGACAAGGCATCCCGTGAGTAGTATTTGACAGGTATCCACAACCACTGGCGGATAAGCTCGATACCAGACTCTGAAGCCACCAGTCGGAGAAGCGCGAATGTGATGACGGCTGTCCATGGATTGCCGGATTTCTCACCACTGAGTGTGTCCATGATTATGCCCGTTTGCCGGGGAATAAGCAGATGCAGCGCGTTCGAAACCAGCAGGCAGACCATGACGGCCGCTGCTCGCAGCTGTAGGCTGGGGTTTCCCATAGGCCAAATGTGCGGGAACAGAATCTAGAAGAAAATCAAAGAGTCAGCTAAAACAAACTCAATCGTTATTTAGTGGTCTAGAGCACCACAGGGAGAGGAGCCCTGTGGCGAGTAACCCATGGCCGTTGGGTGAACATTGGAAAAGATGTAGTGGTGGTAGGCCTGAATCGTCAAGATCTAGGATTGCATACCTTGAAGCCTTTGGCATATTCAAACCAGTTCCCGTTTTCTTCGAGTCTCTTGGCCATTTCCTCTCGAGCTTCTCTTTCTCTTCTTTCCCAGTTGAACTCCTCAGTGTTGTCAGAAGCGGTTTCGCTTTGCGCTGTCGACCCGTAGCTGGAGCCGTTGGCGGGCTTCCCAGCGGTTGCTTGAGCCTCATTATCAGGAGACAGAAGTGGTTGTGTTTCCTCATCCAGCCCGGAAGGTTTGGTTTTTGTCAATAGACCAAGGCAAGTCCAAGCCACCAGAACGAGGAGTGAAGCAAGCCTCAGGCAGAGGAACGTGCTATGAAGCATGTCATAGGGGGTTAGTACAGCTTGCCTTTGGCTGACGGCCGTCAAGATGGCAATGGCAAGCTCAAAGGGTAGCGCGATGAACCATGATCCACGGAATGGATACCATACGACATTGTCCGACTCAATGAGTTGAGTGCACAGAATGCCGAAGACGAGTGTGCACGACAAGTAGTTGATGACCTGGTGTTCAAGGGGAGCAGTCCTTTCGATTATCGACTGCGTGCCGAGTATGATGAGTTGGGCCCCGTACGTCGAAAGAAAGAATCCAAGTATATAGACGACGGCCCGTCGGCCGGGACGATCCGGCTGCGCATTTTGGGTCTTTTTCAGAGCCTGTAGAGTGCAAGTGGCCAGGAGGGACGAGGCCAGGAAGTAGATGAAGACAACAGCCGGATACAAGTACTTGAGAGTCACCAGGACTGCGCCCTCGCTGGCAGCAACAGCCATGTTGGCCAACAGCCAGATGCCGAAACCCTTGACGGATGGAAATGGCCTAGCGCTGTCGCAGATGCAGATCGTGGGTGGGACGTAGATCAGGGCCAAAGTCGAGATTGAAGAACCGAGTTTGGGATAACCAGGCGTGGGAAAGACAGGGATCTAGTGTCTTCCAGCTGCCGTTGATATGGCCGTGGCAGGACGCAGGAGCTTGGTCTGGCGAGAAAGGGAGAGAAAGGCTTGCCGCACAACGAAGCTCCGGCGAGAAGGCCTACCTGCAGTAGCGTGCCAGTATGAGGCGGACTAGAGCGCGGGAAGACAAGAGCTGAGATTTCGAACGACAAGATGCAGCGACAGATGGATGTGGTTTTGGTTTTGGTTTTGGCGTGCGCCGTTGCAGGGTGCAAAACAACGGGATTGATGGGCAAGAGGATGAAGAAGGAAGCAGAAACAGAAAACGAGGCTCGACAGCCGCAGAAGCAGCGTTGCTTTATTCGCAGCTGAAAACGAGGGAAAACGAGGGCTGAGGCAGGAATCCGGCAGTCCGTCAGAATCAGTCAGGTGTGAGGCCAGGCACTCTTGCTAGAGCGATGCAGCAGCACAATTGGCGATGCAGGAAGCGATACCCGGAAAGCAATGCGATGCGAAAACAACCATGGAGAGACCGGGCAGGAAAAGATGGATGGATCCCGATGCTGATTCTTATAGCTGGACCTGCCTCTTTCATACGCAGCCCTGGCGCCTGAACAGAACAGGTGAACATCCAGGTTCTCTGCTGTGTTCCTCTGTTGTTTTTTGTTCGCGGCTCGAGCTTTTTTTTTTTCTTTTGTCCGTCAAGGTTTACCTCTTGCCCCTGTCCGCCGCACGACACGGCAACCGGACCCGGCGCGGAGAAATGAAGCTGCTGCTCTGCTCTGCTCGAAGCTCGGAGCTGCCTGTGGTTTGTTTTTGTACGAGCACTCCATGTACCTGTACCTGGCGAGGTTCAATGGAGGCGCATACAGGTAGCTCGGGCAATACGACGCCACGTCCGGCACCCCTGCCATGGCATCTCATGCGGCGGGTATGGAGTACATGTACTTGGACCCAGCACCTTATGCATGCCTCGCCCGGGGTCTATTCCAGGTACCGTGCTGTATCTACCCACCAAGGTGCCTCTTGGGTAATGCCGGGTCCTAATCTTACCGACCTACCTTAGTACCTACCTACCTGGGTAGTACCAATTGAAGGTGTTCAGGGCTTCCTTTGTACGGTAGGCGCTCGTATACGATTCATTGCTTTGCACCACCAAGAGGACGTAGTTTGATTGATGCCTGCTGCATGCTTATGGCAATTGACTTTGTTGCTGCTTTGTCATTCAAGTTAAATTCGTACCACGGTGTAATACTGGGCTGATGGATGGCGTTTTTCTTTTTGTTTTTGCAGAAGCCCCTGTCGTCAGTCATTACGGAATGCATCGAGTCCCTGGCCTGGACACGTGCAGATCACGTTGAGACTCTTGTCTCCTCAGGCACCGAGCTGTCATGGTACTTTGAGGCTTCTGCCGCTTCTACACTCAACGGCATTCATTCACGCTATTGAACAACCTTCATCCCCTTGCTAAGACAAGCACAGCCAAGGAAATAGCTCAACTGACAGCCGTGTGCCATCGTGAACAGCCATCGAAACTCTAAACAGCTGCGGCCGCCATCACCATAGAGCCTACTCCTCTAGCTCAGGTTAGGCCGGCCTTAGCACCAGGCGATGGTCCATGAGACCACCCAGCGGTCAGTGAGGAGCTCCCAAAGGCTAACGGAGACCCTTGTCCAGGTGAACGATATCGTCCTTTTAAGCAGATGGCGAAACAAGGTGGTCCTGGAGACATGGGACTCGTACACTGGCATGATGAGATGCTGGGAGGGATGCCCATCAGAATGACGATGACGGCCACGAAGCAATGTCGTGCAGCCACCGTTACGGCCCGAAACCCTTTTGCCGTGGCCCTGCCCATCATCCTCACAGCAGCCAGACTGCAACAGCTGACGGATTACGCTTCGCCGGCATAAACACGGACGACTACGGGCCAAGAGAGGATAGCCAGAGCTGACCCATCCACTCGGAGCCGACCAAACGCTGTCGGATGTGACATCAAGATCTCTGCTCCATACTTGGTCGGCTCGCCTGCATATGCATGGCCTCTCCAGTCGTGTCTGATAGGCGGCAGCAGAGCGGCAGGTGCACATGTAAGATGATGTCTGCATCCTCATCCAGCAAGGGAAAACACCCAAGTCAATGTGTTGATGCCACGTGAAGGGACAAGGCTTGGGCTATTGGCAAGCCCGCCTCGGCCCACCACTTATCACTCTGCTGCTGAGCCTTCCACTGCGAGCCACGTCTAACGGTCTAGTAGGCAATGCTGATTGTTTTGGCTCTCCATTCCCGCGAATTATGGCCATGTGGAGTGGGAGGGGCGCCATGGCCCCATCTGCCAACACCACCGAGGAGAGTCGAGCTGTGGATTGCATGTTCTCCTGAGACGACGACCAATTTCTGGTCAAGGTCTACACCAACTTACACATTGAAAATGCCAATGCAAGTACCGCTGCCAAGGGACGGGGCAAAAAAGGCTACAGTATTCCCACTATATCGTCGATGCCCAAGCTACGAGTACTGCCGGCAAAGCGGCCACTAGCTGCAATGCTTTTCTACGGTACGAGTTTCTTGGATATTAACGAGCCACCAATTCTCTCCTATTCGACAAGAGTTTCACACACCAGTTCTAGGTACTTCTACATGGGCTGTTAGTGCCTCACATTCGGACTCACCGGCTGGTCTGCGGGCGGCCACGACAATTTCCGCGTCAATTCAGTCCTTCTTATTAGTGGTGACGGGTCTGACAACTCACCCAACTCCGGGTGCATGAATAAAGAGGTTCTGGGCAGCGTGCCTCTAACACACCATGCATGCTTGAACCTCCCCCCAAAGTAAGGCAGCAATGCTCGATGCTCCGTCAATCGACAGCGACGGTGACGGAGAGGCAACTTGTGCGGCTACGCGGCGAATGACCCGAGTGGCTGGCTGGCAATGTGTTTCCACGATTTGGTGGGTTCCAGCCCCCAGCTGCCACCTCGGGAAAGGGACCACGATTGCGTTGATACTGCATTACCCGCCGTTTATTTTGTTTCTTCTTTACTTTTACAGGCAAATATGGAAACATGGACCCTTGTCTCTGCATATTCGGGCTGATGCAAGCTGCTTTCATCCAAGACGATCCTCCATTGTCAGCAGGATGCAAAACTACCATGGGAAATGCAAACTGTCCTAACCAAACTAGCCACGCCGTGCAGCTGCCGACGCACGACGACGTATTAGTATAGTAAAGATTGGCATTAGCCATCTTCCCTGCTCTCGTGAACCGAATAGTCGAGGCTACCTGCTTTACATGATTCATACAGCGCAACGCCAACCCTTGCATTTCGAGTGCGAACATAGACCAGACTCCAGAGACGCTGAATCATCACCCCATTCATCAATGGGTAATATGAGTAATACTCACCGCTGAATGATTCGGTCCCGGAGGATCAAGGTGGGTAGGACACAGATATCGCCGCATTTGACACCCACTCTCCATCATGGTAGCGCCGCCTGTATTCATTGAACACGCCCCATGTGACGGCTTCGGCAGCACTAAGAGGCATGGTATAGTATAGCCATTGTCCCCGAGACCGAAAACTCGTCCAGTCGCACTACAGCCGCCACGTCGGTGCTACAGTACCAGTGCTTTGATGTATAGTGATTTAATTTCCACCTCTTCATTGGCGCCGAGCCTCTCGAGGGAATCGAGGGAGCCACTTTGATGAATTGCCGGGGGCCAGCAATGCAGTTGACCCCCTTGCAGGCCAACATCCTTGAATAGTCTCCATCTCCACCAGAAAGCAGATCTGGTCTCATTTCAGCTGATCCGGATTTGCAAAATGCCAGCTGCCGTTGGCGAAAGACTTGGGTCTGTTTTCAACGAGGAGATTGACGCCTTTTAGTGACGGATTTTACGTGATGATGGTCGCCACGAGGGGTTCTTAAGATGAACGTTTCTATTAAAATACTGTGAAGTAAACAGTTGAATCTTACAATGGGTCATACATGGCAATATTTCGCGTGACAAGAGGGGTCACGCCGACATGATGAGAACGGAAAAGAATCCGAGCTTATGAAGTAAAAAATATCCATGCATCAAATACCTGGTGCCTGGTGAGCTTCAAGGATTTGGAATACTGGGAACTGACCACATTCCCATCATTAGGAGGACACACCAATGATGTAACTAAGATGGGGCCGCGTTTCAGGCTTAAATAGACGTTCGTCTACCACCATCAGTCCTTCATATCGCATACGGCAACTTTGAGCCATGGTTCATGTCAGTTGTCGCTCACTGGCGTACTGCAGTGAGTGGATTGTGCTTGAAGGACGATCCAAGAGTCCACTTGGTTTCAGTACATAATATGCTCACATGCAATCTGCGCAAGTTCGGTACTAACCATGACCAAAAGCTACAAGGTATAATATCGCATCGTATAGCAATATTTTCATCCTAATATATGTTTTGATGGTAGTATTTGCTAGGTTATGTGGCATACCTCTGGCGAGAACGACGCCAAGTCCGGGCTTGTGCAGACTTAATCTAACACCATTCTCAACACCCAACTATTACATGCAGATGGCAGAAAGTTACTTGAACGAGGGCCAACGAATAATATCGACTGTTTTAAAATCCAGTCAAGATGGTAAGAGACGAGTACTCGTATGCGGTACTTGAGAAAGTGGAGTCTCTCCAACCGGGACGACAGTCCAAGACCAACAGAATCGAACTAAACCCAACAAACATTGAAGGATGCGCGTCTCCCAGCACATTCTCCCAACAATCAAATTCCCATTGGACCATTAACTAACACGCGGTGTCATTTCTTCTACCGTGTTTTACTGTTGGAATGAAGAGTATCGAACCTATGACAACTTACATCACTTCAACGTTGGCTTTTCAATGTCCCCCTCAACAGAATTCTGGCCTTTCGAGACAATAGGACAGGATATTTACTACGCCTCTCGATGTCCAGATCCAATAAGCACAAACAACAGCCCGCGACTCATTATTATATGCACTTGGCTGGGCGGTGCAACGCCGCATCGTATCAGGAAATATCTAGACGGATACTCGTCTTTGTATCCTAGCTCATCAATCTTGCTAATCACCGCACGGTTCCTCGAAATAGCTGCTCTCCCATTTAGCGTATTGCATGCACGTCTAGCCCCAGCTCGAAATGCCGTGATAAAACATATCGAGACAGAGACAGAACAGCCTTCGATTCTGTGGCACATCTTCTCGCATGGGGGATGCAACACTGCTATACAGATGGCTCTTAGCTTACACCACCAGCGTAGCGATATAGATCTTTCCAAGCATATCGGACTGTTGGTCTTGGATTGTTGTCCGGGAGACGCTTCATTCGAGAATGCGTACAGGGCCGCAGCTTATTCTCTGCCAAGTGCCTTTCCCGCTCGCGTTGTGGGCCAAACCCTGCTTTATCCAACCGTGGCGATAATCAATGGCCTTCAAAGCGCGGGTCTGATGAGATCGGTGAAGCACTTGCGGGCTCATCTAAACGACACAGCTGTACTGGGAACCGCAAGGAGGCTTTACCTGTATTCCAAAGCAGACCAAGTAGTGAGATGGGAGGACGTGGAGGCTCACATTGAGAACGCAAGGACGCAACGAAGCCTCCGTGCGCAAGGAGTTGCATTTCACGGCAGTCCTCATTGTGCCCTGGTACGGGATCATAGTCATGAGTACTGGCAAACGATTGCCTCACACTGGGATGCTCCAGAAGCTGGGAAGTCTCCGGGGCCCAAGCTTTGAGTGATGGATGAGTGGATTGCGGGTATCATAAAACTATTCCAACTGAGATTATGCGGCTTGCCGGCTCTAGTTGTTGGATATCGGTGATTGCGAGATATCAAGTACCGGTTGAGCATGGGATATCAACCAACGTCGCTGCACCACTCCACGAGCAGTACGGTGAATGACTCACTGCTGCTATGGGGCTTAAAAATACATGCTTGTACTTGTACTTTGTGCAAATGGGAGATTGGAATGTGTACTTGTACTGACAAACCTTGGAGTATCACATATCGCCAAGAGACATCCATTGGAAGAAGTGGCTGTTTTAGAGAACACCAATTCATTTCTGTGGCAATTGTCTGACTTTGTTACATATCTAAATATAAAACTTAATCTGGGTCTATGAAACTGACTGCATGCCGACCAGCCGACCAACCCCAAATCTAATGTGCATGGTGAGCTCTGAGCTTGTTGCAACGCGACAAATGCTAAAGATGACAAAGAGTTTATGGAGTTGCTCTACCGGCATGACTCAAGATTTCTAGCCGGAGCTCTGGAACTGTCTCTTTGAGTCTTGTGCGTGACGCATTGTCCTGTGGAAGTTACGGAGACCTTTCACACGCGAGACGACTGTTCTGCGACTGTTACTTTTGTTAGGCCACTCATGCCTTTGAGCAGAAATGTTTGTTCCAATTGATGTTTTTGGTTCATATCATACTATTTTGTCAAGAAGTTCAACAGGAGGCTGAGCCTGGCAAAGGCGCACATGACAGTCTATATTTACGTGGGACGGCTTGGGCAGTGCATGACGAATTTGCAAAGGCTCTGGGTCATCTGCCGGCAATTGATGAAGCTTCTCAATCAATGCCACAACATTCGGAGGCGCGTTCTAAATACTGTTTCCGAGATTGCTTCGAAGTCGGTCGTTGAATATAGTACCGCCAATAGCAACTCCCAAAGCTTGACCCATCGAATGAAAGAAGAGGATCAAGGTTGCCGCAATTCCAGCCCCATGTTGAGGCACAGAGGCCTGAATGGAAAGATTGGTGGAGGGAGATAAAAAACCAAGGCCCAATTCAGAAGCTACACATGCGTCGTAGCCGCACCGCTTCTATTGTTTCCATAGATAACGTGTCATGTCTTGGTACATGCGTTTTCAGCCATTTAAAAATAGCTATGGCTGTAGACATCCTGGGACATAATCAGGGAAAATTGCCTAGTCCACGAGTGTTGCTTTGAACTCTTTTTCAACTTGCCGAGGCTCGACAGCACAGACCGGTATCTGGACACGTTTTGGAAAGGGACTTCGGCACATTGAAACAGCCTTTGTTCCAAGCCTCGATTATGTCGTCTTCGAGAATGACCTTAGCCATCTTTGAAGAGTACCAGTTGCAAAGATTGGGGAGTGGGGAGTTTGTGATTGGGCAGCCGCATCATAATAGCATTGGAGCTGCTTGAAATTGGAGTCTTTTTTGTAGATGAGCAGGGCAGGGTGGGATGATATTCACATACTGATCCATAAAAGCATATTTATTAGATGGGAGGACGGAGTATCCAATTGAATTGGCGGAATTTTTTTGGGTTGAATTTAACTGTCGAGATACTGGTTGGTCGGATATTAGCAAGCAGAGCTTAGAAATCGTATTAGAGTGTCTTATATGAGTTTAAAAATCTGTAATCCCATTACAATTTTTATTCTTAGGGCTATATTTTTCATAGAACCAGGTCTCGCATCGTACTGACAAAATAAAAGCTTCGATCAAAGGGTCACAGTTCTTAAATATCATATCAATAAATCATAAAATATATGGACTGTACAATTCTGAGCTACCATTCCTATTGGATTTAACAGTAAAGTCAAATATAATGCAGTCCCTGTTGTTACTTGAGGATTAAACAATATCAGTCCCTATCAATCGAGGAGTGTGATATTAATACCAGTGCATTATCGTCGAAAGCCAGCATAGTCATTCATGATTATGAGCCCTACACTACGTCAGATGACAGAGAGACAAATCTATTTAATCCCAATGACAAATATACAGCTAGAGTACTTTTTGGCTAAAGGGGGGTTTGACTAAAGATCAAGCTGTTCAGCGTCTTGCTAACTTGATAGCAATATTTGTAAGGATTGTTCAAGTACTATAGCAATAACGCCGGTTTGAAAGTGGCATGATGTCGAATTACACGGGAAATAGATCATCCGTATTAAAAAGCATTGGAAAATGATGAACGTTTACTGGAGCCATGTCTCTCTCGGAGGTAGGGCGGTAGTGTCGGCAAGAGGTCCAAGTTAACCCCCACAGACGTCAGATGCCCTAGTCTACGGTAGGGTCGAGATACACCATACAGGTTTTCGGATTTTGATAATTTGAAAACAGCCCCGTGTCTCAAAGCGGCGAGGTAAGCCGACTGTTGCCATATCTGGATCTATTCGGGGGCTGTTGACTTTGAGCAGAAAGGAGGCACAGGAGAAAGTTGTTCACTGGCTCTATTCTTGAATAAGATTTCAAATCGTATGATGGATGAAAATTTTATTCTCATCAGGGATAAGACATGGGCTAAGTTTGCCTGTGCAACCTCAGCAGGCATACGGAGTACTCCGTCCCAGCATCTGAGCTTCGAGACATTTCAAGGCGACACCGGCGGCAAAATGTGGATCTTGCAGTCAGCCGACCAGCGGTCCACGGTCTTCATGTCCGATTTTAGAGCAAAGGAGAAGAAGGTCTCGAACTCTGAGCGGCCGGGAACGTTGCCTGTGGGAGCCTGCCTTGTTCCGATGCAGGCAGGTATGATGGAATCCAGGTCCAGTGAGGAGGAGAGCGTGCGGATACTACATGATGACATGAGAATGGAGCTCTTTCATCACGGTGAATTACTGGGCATGGAAAAGATGGGGGTTCGGGCTTTTGATTGGCGAGGTTCGGTCGGATAAAACACGAAGTTAACAAGCGATGCTAGATTCAAGGGCAGATCTGAGATGAACTGCTAGCTTGAGCACCAGTAAAAGTTTCCCCTCTGGTTTCCCCTCTGGCACGATCAGCGTCAATGTGTTCATCTGCCTGAACGAGCAATGGCGCCCGCCATCTAAGATTTAGATTCGCTCGCATTTGGGACGAGATCTGGGGATCTCCTATTTTGGAAATTTACGGCGGCGCTAGCCTCCCATCTGACGCCAAAGATGGAAATGCCGCCGCCGAAAAGTTCCACCAGGGTCCAGGTTCGTGTCTAACAATTGACCCATCGTGCAACCTACGAGCAGCACATGGCGATGTTTTTTTGAGGGGGTGGAGGATCTCGTTAAATGACGTAAAAAGGCAATTCGGTAAAATAGGCAAAGTCGACCATGGGACGTGGAGGGATACTTAAGGCCTGCGATGTCCTGGCTCGCAGAACTGGCTTTCTTCATCCAGGAGACGACTGTTGAGAGAGACATACAGCAGAGCGTCAGGAATATCACAATTATCATCAGTGCAATATTAGGTTTATATAACAGTCTTTCTTGAAACACTGCATTTATTTTTTCTTCTCGATTGACTTGTCCATTTGACGACACTTTCTCACTATATTGACGGTCGATTTTTGTGCCCGTCAACTACATCACCACATCACACTACTACGCACACATATTTTCTCTCGCCATGGCACCAACCGCTATCGCTGATCTCGGCGAGACCATCGCCTATTCTACTGGCCAGAAGCTGGAGGATGTCTCCGACGCCATCGACGACGTAAACTGCATCAAGTACGATTCCGAGTCCAAGTTTGACGCCAACAAAGACAAGGCCAATTTCCGCCAGTACGAGGACGCCTGCGACCGGGTCAAGAACTTTTACAAGGAGCAGCACGAGAAGCAGACGGTCGCTTACAATCTCGCTGCTCGCAACCGCTTCCACAGCGCTTCGCGGGTGCGCCCGGAGATGACCATCTGGGAGGCCATGGAGAAGCTCAACACTCTCATTGACGAATCTGACCCGGACACGTCGCTGTCTCAGATTGAGCACTTGCTTCAGTCCGCCGAGGCGATTCGGCGTGATGGCAAGCCGCGATGGATGCAGGTCACAGGTCTGATCCATGACCTCGGCAAGCTGATGCTCTTCTTCGACGAGCTCGGCACTCAGGGCCAGTGGGATGTGGTTGGCGATACATTCCCCGTTGGATGTGCCTTTGACAAGCGCATCATCCTGCCTGATACCTTTGTCAACAACCCCGACTCAAAGGATCCCATCTACTCGACCAAGTATGGCATCTACTCTCCAGGCTGTGGTCTTGACAACATCATGCTCAGCTGGGGCCACGATGAGTATCTCTACCACGTCGTCCGCGACCAATCCACTCTGCCGGATGAGGCGCTCGCCATGATCCGCTACCACTCGTTCTACCCCTGGCACCGCGAGGGAGCCTACAGGGAGTTTATGTGTGAGAAGGACTGGGCTATGATGAAGGCTGTGCAGGCCTTTAACCCGTACGACTTGTACAGCAAGAGTGATGATGTTCCTAGCGTGGAGGAGCTTAAGCCCTACTATATGGAGCTGATTGATGAGTTTTTCCCTCAAAAGGTTGTCAAGTGGTAAAAGGAAGGGAAAGGAAACTGGGGATCTATTGATTGAAGCGGGCGTTTTTAAGGGTTCTTATTTTCAGCGTTTTTTTTTTTTTTTTTTTGTTGTATGATGTTAGATAAGAGAATAGGGGATTGGATAGAGATGGCACAGCATGGATGAATAAACATGCGACTTGGCTCATAACACTTGCGGATGTACTTATGTGAAATTAATGACATAACGTACTTGTTCTCCCATTTTTTTTTTATTTTTTTTTTTATTTTTTTTTTTTAATTATGATTGTTCTTCCGAACCCAAGCTTTGTCGTATTGGTGAGTCTGCGAGTGCTTTGGGTAAGCATACAGTAAACGTTACTGGGGACAAATACCTTATCAGGAGACAGGCAGGTTTCAAGTTGCTGTTAAAGCGCATCGGCATGAAATAGTGAGATGCGAAATTCTGATGGTATCTAGAAGATAAGTACATGTTTAAACAGAGATGTAGTTCAATGCTCATTGTCATTGTTGAAATCCCCTCGTCTTACTTAGGATGAAGATAAGGTAGGTAGGTAGAGAGAACTCACTGAAATCACGTGGCCGCCCACCTTGGGTACGAGACCCAGTGAAAGTACCTGCTAGCTCCTCTGGCAGCTCCAGTTTCCAATATCCATAATAACCAAAGCTGTCGTCACTGGCAGCCAAGCCACTTCGCGCTGGCCTTTTGCCTTGTCTCGCCGCCTCGAGGCTAATCATACATCACCAACCCGGCGCAATCGCCCTCGCCCAGCCCGTCAATGCGTAACTGAGGGCTCGTTTCTGGTCTCACCGTCCCTGCAAGCTACCCCGCCGCCTGCTAGAAACCCGCGACAATGGCCACGCCCGCCCCCCCGGAGGATCAGGCTCGGCTGCTGGAGGATGCCCTGGTTGCAGTGCGCCAGCAGACGTCGCTCATGCGGAAATGCCTCGACACGCCGGGAAAACTCATGGATGCCCTGAAATGCTGGTAGGTGCCGCTGCGACGTTGAAGGAGGCGGGAACAAGACTGTGTTTGTGAGAGTGAGAGAGAGAGGGGCTGACGCATTCATTTTCGCCTCCTGGCTTTATAGCTCGACACTCGTCTCCGAGCTCCGCACGAGCAGCCTTGGTCCCAAGCAGTACTACGAGCTCTACATGGCCATTTTCGACGCCCTGCGCTTCCTGGCGGTCCATCTTCGAGAAAACCACCCTGTTAACCACCTGGCCGATCTCTACGAATTGGTTCAATATGCCGGAAACATCATCCCAAGGCTGTATCTCATGGTCACGGTGGGCACGGCCTACATGTCCATACCTGATGCGCCCGTCAAGGAGCTGATGAAGGATATGATGGACATGAGCCGCGGTGTCCAGCACCCAATCAGGGGGCTGTTTCTCCGTTACTACATGTCTGGCCAGGCCCGGGATTTCCTCCCTACTGGCAGCGGCGATGGCCCCGAAGGCAACCTCAGCGACTCGATCAATTTCATCCTGACCAACTTTGTGGAGATGAACAAGTTGTGGGTTCGCCTACAGCATCAAGGGCACTCGCGAGAGAGAGAACAGAGGATTCGTGAAAGAAAAGAGCTCCAGCTGCTGGTGGGAAGCAACATTGTGCGCCTAAGCCAGCTGGTTGATCTTGAAACGTACAAGACAGGCATTCTTGCACCTCTGCTAGAGCAAGTTGTGCAATGCCGAGACGTTCTAGCCCAGGAGTATCTCCTTGAAGTCATCACCCAGGTGTTCCCCGACGAGTTCCACCTCCACACTCTGGATCAATTCCTTGGCGCCGTATCAAGGCTAAACCCCCACGTCAACGTCAAGGCCATTGTCAGTGGTCTCATGGACCGTCTTTCGGAGTATGCCGAACGCGAAGGCGCGAACGAGAGGGGCCCTGATCAAGAGAAAGCCGAAGCCGAAGCCCTCGCCAATCTGCTTGAGAAAGTGAAGCTCCAGAAAGAGGCCGAGCCGCCCGTTGCTCAACCAGCAGCCGCCTCCGAACAGCCTCCGGCAGAGGATGCCGGCGACAACAAGGTCAGCACCGAAGCTGAACAACAGCAACCAGAAGAGGGCGAGGCATCGGCACCGCCTACAGCTAGCGAGGCAGATGCTACCGCCGTGGCAGATGAGCCGGCCCCCTCAGTTGCTGAAACAGAGACAACGGCCGTCAATGGACAGGAAGGGACTGGCGACGCTAAAGATGTACCACTCTATGAAGTCTTTTTCACACAGGTCAAAAACCTTGTTGAAGCCCAGCACCTCCCGATTCAAGACACTATTGCGCTGCTGGTATCCCTCTGTAACCTCGCGCTGAACAACTATCCCGACCGACTGGACTACGTCGATCAGATCTTGGCATACGCCACCACGAAGACCAAGGAGAATATCAACAATGCTGATCTCCACTCCGCTCAAGCTCAGCAGAGCCTCCTCGCGCTGCTGCAGGCACCCCTCAACCGCTACGTATCCATATTTACCGCCCTTTCTCTTCCGACATACGTGCCTCTCTTCCAAGCTCAATCATACCCAACCCGCCGTGCCGTTGCTGGCGGCATCATCCGCAACCTCCTGAAAGACCAAATCAAGATTTCCAAGACGGACCAATTAGAGCATGTCCTCGATGTTCTGTCAGTGCTCATCAAGGAGGGAACGCAGGCGCCGCAAGGATACCCAGGAGCCACGCAGCGCCGAGCCGTAGAGACAGACGAGACCTTGGAGGAGCAAGGGTGGCTAGCAAGAATGGTGCATCTGCTTCAGGCTGAGGACAACGACACGCAGTTCAAGCTGCTGCAGCTGACGCGAAAAGCATTCGCGGAGGGCAACGACCGCATCCGAACAACCACGCCGCCACTAATCACTGCATGCCTAAAGCTGGCCAGGAAGTTCAAATCTAGAGAGCATTTCGATGACAACTGGGAGTCGCAGATCAACGCCCTGTACAAGTTTATCCACTCTGCAATTAGTACGCTGTACACTCGCGTAAACGGCGCGGGGGTGGCTGAGCTGGCCTTGCGTCTGTTTTGCTCGGCAGGGCAGACGGCAGACCTGACCGGGTTTGAGGAGGTGGCATATGAGTTTTATGCGCAGGCCTTTACTGCGTATGAGGAGTCCATCTCGGATTCTAAAGCCCAGTTCCAGGCCGTTTGTGTCATTGCAAGCTCGCTTCATCAGACTCGCAGCTTTGGCAAGGAGAATTACGACACGCTCATCACCAAGTGCGCCCAGCACGGCAGCAAGCTTTTGCGGAAACCGGATCAATGCCGAGCAGTTTACCTGGCGAGTCACTTGTGGTGGGCGACACCTGTCGCTATCAATGGCGAAACAGAAGAGACTGAGGTAAGATATCCAAATAAAAGGAGGAAAGAAGTAATGCAGCTTCCGCTGACAATCTCTAATCAACAGCTCTATCGTGATGGCAAACGAGTACTCGAGTGCTTGCAGCGGGCTCTTCGTGTGGCCGATTCATGCATGGAAACGGCGACTTCAATCGAATTGTTTGTTGAGATTTTGGACCGCTATGTCTACTATTTTGACCAACAGAACGAATCGGTATGTTTCTGTCATCAAGAGATATTTGTTGAATAGCTTACTGACATTTCCCTTTTTTCTTCAATCAGGTAACTACCAAATACCTCAACGGGCTCATTGAGCTGATTCACTCAAATCTGGCGGGTAACCAGCAGGACTCGGCTTCGATAGAGTCCAGCAAAAAGCACTTTCACCAGACACTGGAGAATATCAAGTCTAGGCAGTATGAAGGGGTCGTGCTGTATCCAAGCTAGGAGAATGGACACTTTGTCGTTCGGCCAGGGGGGTTGAAAGTCGAATTCTGCGGTACAACAAAGAAACTATATTAAGAATAAGCTCTTGGGAAGGGGGTTTAGTAAAGGTGAGATGGAATGAGAGCATTTAGATGTATAATTCACCACTAAGACGCAGCCGGAGCAAACAAGGACATGGCATGACTTGATGTATTTTTATTCTTATATATAGCTTTGGTCGCAAGAGGCACGTTGATTGTTGAAAAGCTGGGTGTTGAGCGAGGGTTTATACATGTCTTGTACTGACTGACTGACTGATATGAGCTGTATCTGCTTCGCAACATCGAGTATTACCTGTAATCTCGCAAGTATCCTCTCAGTACTAAGTGAGTGGTATGTACCTATTTTCGCAGCGCACGAATACGATGTGGAGCTGAAAGATGGGCTTCGTGTCGCCTTATTTACCCCGATCAAGCCCGACATGCCGTATTTCCTTTTATTGCTGCTAGGGTACTAGTTTGGGTGGCTAGTCTGGCTGTGCTATTGACAGATCATTGGCAGATTTGGCATGGATGCTGATCAGCGCGAACGAAGGACGGCAAGCTGGCGTTTCCAAGGGTCCAGTCAGCTGGAACATGGACAGTATCAAAAGGGTGTGTTGGCAAGGGACTTGTAGAGTTATTTTTTATTTTATTCTAATTTTTATTCTAAGTTTTTATTTTATATCATTCCTACCTCTTTAATAGAAATTGATTCTTCCATATTGTTTCAATGTTTTGAAATCGCTGCGAACGGAAAACAAACCAGCTCAATTCGGCGCATCTCTCAACATGAGGAAAAAAGTTACATGCAAAAGTCCGCTGGGCTGGTGGCGTTATAATAAGACTTAGCCAAATGAGGTGCAGCTGCCAAGCGCGGATTTTAATGTAACCCGTCACGTTTCGAAGGGCCTAGGAGGCGATTTCAATTTATAGGGGCGGAGTCGGCAACTTTGTCTTGGCTAGGCTGGGCTGGGGGGGCAATTCATTCCAGGGAGGGAGAATGCCAATGGCAGTGTATTTTGTCTACGATGTAAAATACCGAATGTGGCCTGCAGGATGAGCAATAATAAATATTGGACAGCTGTAATATTGCTGTACTGTAGCTTCTATATTCCTGCTATTGCTGCTGCTGCTGCTGTGCTTTCGTATTGATGTATTATTCATCAAGCATCAATCATCAAACCAAAATTACTCCGCATTAGGCTCTCGCTGGCGATATCGATCCAAAGTGGGCGGTGCACAGAAGCCCAAGTGCTGGCGGCCCCCCCGGCTTTCTCTGTAGCATCGTCATCCCTTATCTTTTCGACGGCCTCGTAAGCCTCTTTGTTCTTCCATCTCCAGCGAACTCGACCGGCTGCGTAACGCTCATCAGCCCTTTCTTGGATATGTGGCGCTCGTAATCGGCCTCGAACCTCTTCTTGTTCCTCTTCTTCGTACTGACTTTGCATTCCTCTTCTAAACTTTGGTTCCTCGTCTTGCTTTTTCCCTCTCTCATTTCTCGACGCTCGTTTGATTAGCCCGCCTTGGCTTGTTTCTAGACGGAAAAAAAGACACCCCTTCGATCTGAATGGCCGCCTCGACATCGCGTGCTCTTCCATACCAGTTCGCCCGCCGACGAGTTCCCGTATAGACGACCCTCTGCGGATGATTGCGCGACCGTGCTTGTACACTACACTTTTTTGCTTTTGCTTTTCTTTTCTAAACACAGCCCACCATGCCTTCGGAAAAGGTGCCGTTTTACGACCCGGTGCCGCCGACCTACGATGAGGCATTGGCCGGCAGCAGTCGTGCCTGGGCACCACCCACAAGAGACCCCGTTGACGAGCGCAACGCGACCGAGACCGAATCGCGATCACTGCTGCCTCGAGCCGGCGACAGCTCACAGGGCTCCAGACGGCCTGATGGCTACCGGGCGCCGACGGTGGAAACCGATGATGAGGACAGCCTGTGGGACAGCGACAGCGATGCCGACGAGACGAACCAGGTGCGCCGGGAGATGGAGGAGCTGGAGATTGAGGAGCCCGGCCGCACGGGAGGCACACTATGGGGGAAGAGGATAGGCTTCAACCTGTCGCTGCCGACGTGGAAATGGTCGTGGCGCCCAAGATTGCCGCGGATACGCATCCAGCTGCCGTCGCGGCCGTCGGCGCCAGCGGACAATTCGACCGCAGAGGAGGCTGTTGACCGGGAGGATCCCGACAACATGAGGTCGTGGCTGCAGGACTTTGCCTTCCCCAAGGTCAATAGCATGATGGTGATTGTCACGGTTGCGCGACTGCTGGCGCTTGGCATTGTCATCGGCTTCATGTACTTTCTCTTTGCGAGCGGCATGCTGACCGGCCTGACTAACGGCATGAACAATGGAGGCATGCGCTTCGACCCGGAGGATCTTCGAGTCCACTTGCAGAAGAGCGTCGATCCCAGGAGAATGCGCGCCGCGGTCAAGATCTTTTCGAGCTACGCACACATTGCCGGCACCGAGGGCGACTATGCGACAGCGCTAGACGTCGAGGCCATGTTCAACAAGGCAGGAATGGACGTTGTGGAGATGGACGACTATTACGTCTACCTCAACTACCCGCGCGAAAACGGCCGGACCGTGCAGATTCTGGATGAGACTGGAGACAGTGCGATTTGGACTGCCGCTCTCGAGGAGGTTGAGCGCGGCGGCGAGTCGGCTGGAAAGCAGACTTTGGCGTTCCATGGACACTCCAAGTCTGGCGATGTCCGAGGGCCCTTGATCTACGCCAACTATGGAGCAAGAGAAGACTATCAGAAGATTAAGGACATGGGCATCAATACTACTGGGGCAATCGCTCTTGTTAAATACTACGGCACGCAGACAGACCGCGCTCTCAAAGTCAAGGGAGCTGAGCTGGCAGGCTTTGCGGGATGCATCATCTACAGCGACCCTGCCGACGATGGCTTCCTCAAAGGTGACGTCGCCCCTAACGGGCGGTTTATGCCGGAGGACGGTGTTCAGAGAGGCTCCGTCAGTCTGATGAGCTGGGTTGTCGGCGATGTCCTGACACCGGGATGGGAAAGCAAAAAGGAAGTGCCCCGCATGAAGGTCAGCGAAAGTCAGGGACTGGTCAAAATCCCTAGTCTCCCCCTTGCTTGGAGAGATGCGCAAGTCTTGCTACAGAATCTCAAGGGCTTTGGACAAAAGGTGCCGGATGCTTGGAAAGGAGGCGTGCCCGAGGTGGGCGAGTGGTGGACCGGAAACGAGTCTTCGCCTGTTGTTCGTCTGCAGAACGAGCAGGATGAGAATGAGAAGCAGCCCATCTGGAACGTGTACGGCAAGATTATAGGCATGGAGCAGTCGGCCAAAAGCATCATCCTCGGCAACCACCGAGATGCGTGGGCATTTGGTGCGACCGACCCGCACACCGGCACGGCCATCATGATTGAGTTGGCACGCATCTTTGGAGACCTGGTCGACCGCGGCTGGAGGCCTCTCCGCTCCATTGAGTTTATGTCCTGGGATGCCGAGGAGTACAACCTCATTGGATCTACCGAGTTTGTGGAGAAGAACGTGGATGCCCTGCGCGAGAATGCATTTGCCTACATCAACCTGGATACTGTAGTATCTGGGCAGAACTTCCGCGCCGCCGGTTCGCCTCCCCTCCGAAAGAGCCTGTTCCACGCCATGGAGCGAGTCGTCGATCCAAACTTCAACACTACCCTCAAGGAACTCTGGGATCGCCGCAATAATAAGCTGGAGGGCTTGGGTGCGGGCAGCGATTACGTCGCTTTCCAGGATATCGCCGGGACAAGCTCGCTGGATCTCGAGTTTGCCGGCGAGGCGTTCCCGTACCACTCCAGCTACGACAACTTTGACCTGATGGAGCAGGTCATCGACCCCGGCTTTACGTATCACGGCATACTGGCCCAAGTCGTCGGCCTCATCATCCTCGACCTGGCAGACCGGCCCATTATGCCCTTTGACATGGTCAACTACGGCCGCAGCCTCGAGACCTGGGTCGGCGATTTGGAGTCGTGGGCAAACAAGGAGGCGGAGAAGAAGAACCACAAGGGGGTTCTCAAATTCGAGGGCCTCAAGGACGCGGCTGCGACGGTCTCTATGCAGGCACAGCAGTTTTCGAAGTGGGAGATGGAGTGGGACCGGTTGGTCATTCGAAGCGGTGGCTGGGAGACGCAGGAGCTGGGCACGGCGCGAATTGCGTATAACGACAAGATGGCCGCGTTTGAGACGGCTTTGTTGGATTTGGAGCTTGGCGGTGGTGTAAGTCTCCTTTTTTCACCTCCCCTCACTAATGATGAGCTTCTCAGGGGAAGCGATTGTTGCTGATACTGATCTTTTCTTTTCTTGCTAGATTCCCAACCGTACACAATTCAAGCACGTCGTTTTCGGTCCACAGCTGTGGTCAGGCTACGACGAAGCTTTCTTCCCTGCCGTCCGCGATCTCGTCGATGCAGAGGCTTGGGATGACGCCAACAAGTACATTGCCAAGACGGCGGCGATAATGAAGCAAGCGGCAGCGATTTTGGAGATATAGCGAAACGATTTCCTCCTTCTTCTTTTGCCTCTTTTTTTTTTTCGAATCGTGATTTTTCAGACGCCAGGCGATGTGCAGCACCGTCAGGCACCGTATCGAAACCCAACGTCAACGCATCCTTTTTCATCTCTCTCTCTCTTATACATATATATATATATCCGAACTTCTCGCCATACATAATCCAATTTTCTTTTATTAACGACGACAGAACCCAAGAGGAGTCAATGGGGGGATAAGATGTGTTTTGGGAGACGATGGATGGCTTTTTTTTTCTGGAGGGCATGCTGCTTTGTTTTTCAAACACCCTTTCTTTGTTTCCTCCCCCTTCCCTCCGTGGCTACTTCACCGGCCAATTTTTTTCCTCCTTTTTTCTTTGTCAATCTACTCTGCGTCTTTGCGTGGAAAGAGTGCGTTTTTACTGCTGTAAAAGGGATGATGGGTATTTGGGGCTGGGGGAGCTATCACGCGATGTGTGTACGTGGGATTCCCGGTCCAGTGTTTTTTTTTTTTTTTTTGTTTTTTATTTTTGTGTGAAAGATCCTTTCTCGTATCTGAGAAACGGCATGGCATTGGAGTTTTTTAGGTCGCCGTTGTTTTTTTTTACTTTGTCATTTTACCCTTATTTCTCTTTGAATCAAAGCAAAAAAAGGCTCAGCTGTTCCCGAAAAACAAAATCCATCTTTGAATGAAAATCCCATTGCTCGCTCATTTCTTCATGCTTATGTATTTCCCGTGAAAACCCAAACCCCATATATCTCAGCTTTTTCCGCATTTACGTGACTGAAAATCACTCCTTCTTGCCGAGCTCCTCGAAATCCTTCATCGACACAAACTTGCCAATGATATTATACTTCTCCGTAAATCGCTCCTCCCAGCCCCTCAGCGCATCCATCTCATCCGGTCCCAAATCCGCCAACGTGTCCAGCGGGCCATCCAAATCCTTGGTCAGCATGCTCTCATCGAAGCTCCCGCACGCAAGGCCACGAGTGGCATCTCTGCCCGCAAAGTTTGCGTAGGGACCGCCGGGGCCGTAGAAGTTGCGGCCGGGGGTGACGTCGAAGACGACGCCGCGGACGGCGAAGAAGATGGGGGCGCCGTTCTCGCCGTTGAAGGGCAGGAGGGTGTGCGGGTTGTAGGTCTTGAAGACGACGGGCGGCGGGGGCTTGGGGAGCTGCGGGTAGGAGGTTTTGGCGAAGAAGGTGGAGTAGCCTGTGTAGAGGATGATGGAGAGGAGGAGGATGTTGAGGGGCGAGACGAGGCCGGCGCTGGTGAGTTATTGGTGAGCTTTGAGATGTATAAGAATAGAGGAGGAGGGGATGTGTCGTTACCTGGCGGCTGCTTTGACGGCCTCGTCGTTCATGCGGTGCTCGACGTACTCCATCTTGTAGAGGCGGGCACAAGTAACAGCTCGGTGCAGAAGCTTACTGGCGCAGTGATTGAGGTGCCCAACGAAAGAGCCCGAGTCGGGGAGAAAGCAAGTTTATACAAGAGCGATAAGCACCAAGTCTTGCTCTAGCTCGGCGGTACGTCCGGAGGGTGGAGATGGGCAGAGATGGGAGATGGAAGATGCCCCGCCGTTGATGGTGATTCGAAGCAGCGCTCAACGTCGCATTGCAGCTGGGGCGGCAAAAGCTCGGGAGCTCAGATGCCGCGGGTTGTGGGCATTCCAGACACTTCTATTTGCTATTCCATGGTCTTATCTGTTGTGCTGACAGGATTTCTGCAAATGCCCAGTATTCGTATTCGTGGTTGTCGTATTGCGTAATACCCCGAGGTTGTGGTTATGATTCATTCTATTTGCCGTGTTGAGTCGAGAGGCCATACAAACAACCTCGGGAGCTAGTATCGATTGAATCATTACCAAGGCAGATGGATCTATCTGCTTGGTACGGAGTAGATGCAAGCTGGTTTATATATACAAGGCGCCTCTAGCAGCAAATTCTTGTATTTCATGACGACTATCACTTTTTTTATAATACCGGAATGAAGCACATATATATAAATCTGTCATATTGCTACAAGATTAGAGTGCTGAATAGCAACCCACTAACAAGAATGAACACACTGAACTAAACTAAACTAAATTAAACGCCGTTTCCAGGGTATCTGCTTGAGCCGTATGACTGGCTCCCAATGTCTAAATCTATAGTACCTGCCTGCTAAATTGTATCAAGTTGGACTTCGTCGCTAACGATGGTCTGGGTATGTTAAAACGATTTTGATTGCTTGATCTCTCCGCAAGTCAATCTTATAGAGCTTATAAGAATGACTTGGGGAGAGATCAAGCGATCAGAACGGGAAATGTAAGCTCTCTTATAATACTTTGGTTTTCTTTGGGGAGGGAGTGATTGGTGTTGGTGGTGCTTTGCGTTTCTTGCATGGCAGGTCCATCATGGCGTGAATAACCGGCTGCTCTGGAAGATCTTTAGCATCATGTTTTGGTGAGAGCTGCGCCTGAGGTTGAGATCCGATCTGAAGTTGAGGCGGAATTTGAGGTTGATCTTGAACTTGAACTGAAGCCTTGGCCGGAGCCTGAGGTTGTACCTCTGACTCTACTTGCGCCTTAGCCTGTGCCTTTGCTTGTCTCCTGGCCTGGCGCCTCTTTTCTCGTACTTCGCGAATTCTCCTTCTCCACGGTGGCTCGTACTCAGAATCTGACGTGGATGGTGAGTCCAGATGCAGCAGCGCGTCGCGGGCCTTTCTTCGGGCTATCCGGATCTCGTTCGCCAAGGCGCGCGGTGTCCTCGAGATGGGCCACTCGTTGGCAAACTCTTCGCCATAGATATTCTCGCGTATCGACTGTCGCAAGACAAGTCGGCGTAAGCGGTTCGACAGCTCTACGCAAAACGACGAGGCGTCGTGGCGAGACTCTACCGCATTCGGGGATGATGGAGCGGAGATGAGGTGGGCGCCTTGCGTTTCAACTGGGCAAGGGAGGTATTCCTGCAAGACGGTTAATCGAGGAGAGGCGATATTGGAGGTGATGGGAGGTTGTACATATTCGTTAAGCTCGGTGAACCTAGCGTACCAATATGTCCATGTATAGCTAAGCTTGGGTTCTATCATCTCCTCCTGGTCAACGCCCGCCATTTGGTGCGTGGGCGGTAGCATGGTCGTGGTTGCGCTCGTCAAAGTTGTATTGCCATCGCTAAGTTTCTCGCGCCCTCTGGAAGAGGTCATTAATCCGGCGAGCAAGGCTGGTCAAATCGCGGTGGTGAAATGGTAATGCCTGGTCGTGAATTTTGCGGTCGCAGTATCTGACGTGAACTTTCAAGGAAAGATCATGTGACATCCAGTGACACATTTTCCCCGTGTAACATCAACAGCCTGGGCAACTGATGCCTACTAGTACGGATTTGCGCAGTTTTGTATTGAATTGGTGATTTGGTTTTGTTTTTGTGTTCGATCTATTCTTTATGCATATTTATGTTATTTTGTTTTTTAGCATTTGTTTGTTCGATACCATTTCAACCGTTGGGTCAATATGGCGTCTCCAAGCCTGAGCGAAGCCACCGTTTGGGACCCGTTGGGAATGAATAGTCCTGCTGGACGAGCCCTCGTCATCCTCCGTCCAGAGAATGAAGCCGCCAAGTTGGCCTTTTCCGACGTTGTCGATTTCATTAAAGAACAAGGAGATGCCAAAAGCGAGGGCGATTCGACCGACGTCCGGAGTCACTACGCTAAATTCATGTGGTTCTCCGACGACCAGATCTTTGATAGTGCAGTGTCTCGATTTTCCAATCAAATGTCTCTTCTTGAGAGCTCCTCTTCGTCTGTATCCAGTAGTGGTGAATCGCATCCGACAATGATCTGGACAGGATTCTTCTTTCTTGACGCAAATAAAAAACCAATTCATTCCGACTTGGGATGGTTGGTCGGTCGTCTCAGCAAAAAGAGTGTCTCGTTTGCCCAACCCACCGTTGACCTGGTGCTCACGGTCAAACGGTTCGGCAATGTTGCCAGAAGACACGCCGTCATTAGCTTCTCCAAAGAGACACACCTGGCGACTGTATCTCTTGAATCAGGAAGCTCTGCTATTGTTAATACCCAAACTCTGACGTCTAGGCGCAGTGTTGCAGGCTGTACTGTCGCTGTAAATCGTGTCAATTTTGGAGATTTGCTGTACTCCCTCGAATACACCTCGTTCTGTCGCCTACCTCACGGCCAAGAAGACCTAGAAGACATCATTACAGCAATCCACGGTGATGACCGGCCTACCAAGGAAGTATTACAAGCAACCCCCACCCCCCAAACGACAAATGCACAGAGTATAGGGAAATATACAATCACGGGTGGCTTGACGGGACGGGGCGCTTTTGGTCGTGTTCGTCCGGCCGTTGGTCCAGATGGACAAAAGACTGTCGTCATAAAGACGATAGAAGCCAGGCCTAACAGAGTGCAGTATACTCGAGACAAAATTGAGCTGATGGAATTCATTGGACAACGTTCCAAAGTCGAAAATCAACATAATGTTTTATCATTGATCGAAAGTATTTATATACAAGGACGACAAGTAGATGAGTTCCACATTGTTCTGGAGCCTTATGTCGGGTTCACGCTGTCCGAAATACCCAAGGACACACAGTAAGCAAGCAGCCCGCGTCTTGTTCTTATTGGTGTATACTTAATGCTAATTCCGCATAGCTCTACAAAGTACGAACTCATCTTACACGACTGTCTCCGAGGGCTTGCTTTTCTACATTCACACAGCGTAGTACATACGGACATGAAACCACCAAATATCGGACTCGTGGATTTTCACAGGGATGAAATGCACAAGCCGGCCCAGCTAGCGTCTTATTCACGTCCTCCACGTACCGTTATCCTTGATATTGACTCCATGGAACAGATTCCCAATGGTCAAACTGCCATTAAAGCAAGACCTGGAGCGAATGGGACAGTTGGTTTCCATTCTCCAGAGCATGAAATGTCAGAGTATGATGGCAGAACAGATATCTGGGCTTTAGGAGTCAGCCTTTTTCGAGCGATCTTCGGTGCGCTGCCATGGTCATATGGCCCGGAAGGCAATCCATGGAGAGAGGATTGCAAAGTCTTTGAAGCCCGAGACAAATTCCATGCTCGATACGGCAAATCCGTGAACAAGGTTGCTAACCACTATCACGTCCTAGGCGGTGAGTTCACCCTGGCTGCCCGTACTGACCTTTTTTACATGCTTATTTGTGTGCATGCCTTTTTATAAGAGCCCATATGCGATTTCTTGATTGCTGCCTTTCGTTTTCCAGACTCGGAAATAGCTGCGCAGAGGAGAATCCGACCAACGAGCGCTGAGTGCGTTGACCTTGTAGAAAAGTCCGAATTATTGAAGGAAAGATTGAAAAGAGAAGCAAAGATAGCTACTGGGGCTACTGAAGCTATTAACGACACTTGGGGAAATAAACGCCCGGCATCAGACTCCTATGAGCAGATTAACAAGAGGGAAACTGACTTTAGATAGCAAAGGCGATGTAACAGTGCAGACAGTAGGACGGAACGGTATATGGAGTAGAGGAGGTAGCTGGAGTTGCTGTAATTAGCTGGAGTAGCTGGAGTAATAGCTGGAGTAGCTGAAGTAGCCAGAATTAGCGAGTAGCCGGAATTCCCTGGAGTAGCAGGGACCAGACAAAGGAGATAGGACTAGATGAAGTAGACGGATCTAGCTGGAGTAGATATAAACGGAGTACGGAGTATATGGAGTAGATTGGAAAGATAAAGAGAACAAAAGAAAATAAATGGATGGGTATTTAAAGACAGACATTACAGGGCCACGGCCAGCATACCAAGGATGTGTTGCAAGCAAACTTCTACCCCTCAGACAAGGAATGCGCAATCCATCAGGAAGTATAGGTGGCAGAAACTGGAACAGAAATGAGGAAAATGAAAATAACACAAAAAGAGAGAAAAAAAAAAAAAAAGACAGCGCATCCTACTCAACAGCAATAAATATGCATCGATGTGAAAAAGGCGCAAAAAAAGAAGAAACACGTGGAGACAGAGGGATTTGAACCCCCGACCTTTTACAGGCTTGTATTGAATGAACAATGCAAAGCAAACGTGATACCCCTACACCATATCCCCCGTTGGAAATAAGGTCCTTTCATTAGTCATTATAAGGCTGTGCAGGGACTAATGCCACCTAGCTTTAGCCCACGCAGGGACTCTAAACGACGTTGGTCTACCCGGAAGGAAATCACGATGTGAGAATAATCTAAGAGAGATTCCATCATAGGAATGATAAATACAAGTAAATAGCAGTTCTTTGGTTCATACATACAAGACCAGAGAAACTCCATTCGTGGCCATCCAGAGACAAAGTTTGGTGGTTCGCATCTCTTCACCGGTAGTATACGACTATCCTGTATTCATACATGTTCAGTCAATCACCCGTTTACCCTCTTATAAAACATTTGCGCCGCCTCCTCCATAACGGCCTTTACCTTTGCCGCATCCAACTTCTCCTGCCGCATATACGTATACAGCCCATTCGTCTCCTGCTCAATATCCGTCCTACTAACATTAGCTAAAAACAATATCAAGTAAACATGAGACCCTCAAAACTTACAGCTGTGTGTATACAAATCCGCAGCAATGCCCCCCGCCAGCAACGCCCTTGACGACCCTCTCGATCCTCTTCAACAAATCCTCGGGATCCGTCGCAGTGGTATAGCCCCAATCTCGCGATTCCTCGCTGTTGTCTTTCTTGGCTAGTGCAATATTGATGCCGCCACACTCGGTGCAGATGATGGGCGCTCCCGGGTTGTGGCGAGTGCCCTTGTCGACGTTGGCGATTTCGCCTACGAAAAAGTCTCGTCCGGCTTTGGGGCCGAAAATGGCCTCTAAATCTGCGCAGGTCTTTTCCAGTGCTGGGCCGTCGCTATAATCGTGAAAGGTGGAGAGGTCGGTGCAAACATGTTCCCAGCCACAGTTGTCGTTGATGCTCCGGGTGGGATCCAATGTCCTGGGAATTTTGTGAGCATTCATGAATCCCATCATGCTACAAATCAAAAATATGAACAAGGTGAAGATACTAACTTGGTCAGGTAATACAGAGAGCGTATGTGATTGCGCTGCTCAGTGTTATCATTGAGCGATGGATACCCCCAGCTCTCATTAACCGGCGTCCAAGTCACCACCGAGGGATGGTTGATTGCCAGTTTGACAGATTCAGTCCACTCCTGGTTGAAACGGTCGACGTATTCTCGGCTGAACTGGTAGGCGTTGGCCATTTCACCCCAGACTAAGTATCCCTTTCGATCTGCCCAATAGTAGAACCGCGGGTCTTCAACTTTTTGATGCTTCCGACAGCCGTTGAAGCCCATTTTCTTTGCGCACTCAATGTCTACCTCTAGGCTGTAAATGAATTCTGGAGTTAGGAACGAGTTTGGCCAGTAGCCTTGATCCAGATTCAGCATCTGAAAGTAAGGAGCATCGTTCAGTCTCCACAGGCCGTCGCTGCTGGACCATTGTATCGAGCGCATGCCCGTCGTTGTTTTAATTTCGTCCACTTCCCTGCCGGAAAATGAATCAAAAAGCCTCACTGTCAAATCGTACAGCTGAGGATGCTCTGGTGACCAGAGAGCAACGACATCTCGCCAGCAGGAAGCGTCACTCAATGGGGCATTCCCAAGTGTTGACTCGGGAAGAGCAGAAATACTCTCCTTTGAGAGACGGGCGCTCAAGCTGAACCTACCCGATCCTTCTTTGACATCAACCTTGGGGGATTTGGAGACTAACTGGCCCCCAAAACTAACCTCTGCCTCGACAACATATCTTCGGCTTGCTTGCAAACCCTGTGTTGCAATCTCGAAATGAATATCTCCAGAATGGATATCATTCGATCTGATTACAGTTCCATAACTGCTATCAGCTATTCTAGCTGCAGGCACAACTTCTAGCCATACGGATTGCCAAATCCCCCCAGAGGGAGTGTAGAAGATGCTCTCCGGCTGCGCGCCCCAATATTGCTTCCCCCGCGGCTGAGTCAAATCATGGGCTGAATCGAAGACACGGACCGTCACCCGATGGTCACCACGGGTATTTGCATCCAGAGCATCCGTGATGTCAAACTGGAACGGGACGTGGCCTCCCCGGTGGCTGCCGACGAAGCTTCCGTTGACCCAAACAGAGGCTTCGTAATCCACGGCGCCAAACCTAAGCAGAAGACGGCGACCCTCTTGTCGTTCGCTTTTGTCGCGCAGGTCCGAGATAGTTCGCTCATACCAGAGAACTTCGTGAATGCCACGTTCATTAATGCCTGACGCAGGGCACTGGAAGACAAAGGGGACAGCAATTGGGCGCTTGTGGTTGATTTTGCCCGAGGAATCCCGTGTAAAGATGTTATCCTTGAGTAGGTTCTGAGTCCCGGCGGCAATGCGCTGAGTGATGGTATCGTTTTCAGACTGGTTGCCAGCCTCGCTCTTCTTCAGCGTCTTTTTGACGGCAATTTGAGCTGGCAAGCCAGATTGCTGCCATCGCAGGCTCAAGCCGACGTCATCATCGTCAAAAAGAAAGTCCCAAGGGCCGTTGAGAGACAGCCAGCGTGACCCCGTGCGTTGGAAATCCGGACGAGGATACTCTGACGAGTCGTGATACTGAGGGTGACCTTGCATCTTTGCTAATCCAACAATCTGTCAACGAATTATTGCCAATTTGTAAACGCCGTGCGTCTGTTGCGAGTGTGTTCAAGTATGTTATAGACACAGAACACAGGTGTGCACATAGTTGGACCCCCGCTATTTCCTACCTTCAGCTCCGCCAGCTCATGTAAGTGAGCGTCTATCACCAGTTATTCGGGTCGCCGCGCGTCGTTATGAGGGGATTTGCATCTTTGCCCATTTTTGGATCGTCAAACTGCGTTTCGCAGCGCACATCATTGCTTCAAAGATGGTTGCCAGGCCCAGTATTTACATCTTATGTGTGCCAATCATGACGTCGCTGGCGGCTACAAAGCATTAGAACGAATCTAAAAATCCGTCCACCGGCTCAGGGTCCGTATTATTTCTCCATATTGCATAAATGGTTCCTGGTTCCTGGTCAGGTATTCACATGACTCATTAGGTGAGTTGACCTTTTTGCAATATCCATTCTCTGTTCTCCCCGGACTAGATTTTGGGCAACTTTCCCATTCGCATATTCAATCGCGGCATCAGAGATGTTCAGATAGTTGCATCATAGGGTCGAGCGAGGTGGACAATGGAGAGTCCCGAGTCTCGGTACTGGTGGCAAATCCTCGCGATACACAATTACACAGCTCCTGCAGGCTGTGCCCTTTGCCCAAGGAATTGGCGACGGTTGATTCTATTTAGAGAATTGCACAGTAAGAGCGGTCAGTAGCCTGGCTGGATGTCGTATAACACCAGCCACGTTCAGCCTCCCATTTGGGGAGCACAGCATAGAAAAAAAGAAGCACGCGACTCTCAGCAAAACCCAACAGTCGAGATTGTGTTGTGAGTCAAGGTTGCCTTGGGTCGGGGATCCCGGCTACAGACAGTTGACCGGCAGATCGCACGTTGTAGTAAGATCCGCACGTCCTACCAATATGGGTGCAATGGATGACGGGGGCTCTGAGGAGCATTGTTTTTGTGTACGGTTACCGCCATCAAGGTTGTTATATGAACACCGAGGAGAGTATGGAGCTGGGCTTCTGCCTTAGTCACATGTTTGCGGTGCTATTCACAACGGTCCGTCTGTCAAGGGAGTTTGCCGTTGCTAGTGCCGATGCATGACGTATCCGAGGTCCGAAGAGGCCGATGAGATGGAGACCGGATGGCATTGATGACACCGTCGAGGCAATGGCTGCTGGATGTTTGTTGAGCTGGAAAGATGCGAGATACGACAGTGTTACTCTGTGTGAGCTGATGTACGACATTGGGTCAAAGTCGAACGAGTTCCGCGCCACCTTTTTACCAGACAAGAACTCGCATGCTCGGCAATTTTTGGTTGTCGTCGGTCAGAGCAAATCATTCTTGGGCTCTGTGCTTGTTACTCTGCAGAGTTTCCGCCCTTGAACGTGGCAATGCAATGCAAGGGATCCATAGTTGCTCCCCCTCAAAGCCCAACCAGAGCTGTGCTTGTTGTTTTCGTGTAATGCTACTACGGCTACTAGTAAGCATAAAGATTCGACCCTCGGGCTCCGGTATACTTGCAGAAGCCGCTGACTAGAGGGAGAGCTGAATGGACCCCAACCAGGATCAGCTGTTGGAGCCTCGCACGACGTGGCAAGTGTACCTGGAAGGGATGGCTGAGCAATGTCTCTGCCCTGTGACTCTGAATAATATATCTTGCCACGTTGGCAAGGGCATTGCGGGTTATTTTTGATCATTGTTCAGGCGTTGCGAGGCGTCGAGGGTGCTGTGATACAGAGAGGGAAGAGAGGAAGTTGAAGGATCTGCATCAGAGTAAATTGAATGTCTTGGTCAAATTTCCTTCCATTGTTTTTATAGTGCCTGTTTAGTACCAAAGCGTTGTAGGAAGGTACAGCACATGGCCTGGATGTTATTGTACATATCATGTACTCATCCATCTTCTACACAATTGATGAAAGTAAACAAAACTGCTCACCGCATCTACTAGTAGCTGCTAATTGCGGTCTGGCGATTCTTTTCTCAGCTAAAAAAAGAAAAGAAAAAAGAGAAGAAGCATGAATAGGGCGATGCTACTTGACTGGTACCGTTCAAGTTACATTCATGCAAGCACAAAATACGAGGTTGCGGCTGTCGATCACTGCAGCTAAAAGAGCCCACCTTATTCTTTAGCGTCCGCGAGCCGCTAATGGCCGTGCGGCTCGCCCATCAATCCCTTGTGGCCACCGCTACAGCCCGCTATAAGCACAGTGCAGAGCCCGCAAACCAGCACCCAGGACCCTTCAGGTTCCGCCGATGGCCCTTCACTGCCCCCTTACAGATGCATCTGCCGGGGACACTAGACTAATAGCACTTTGTGGTCTGGTCACTAAACCAGGTATAGAGTACCTCTGGTGTAGCCAAGACAGCGCCCCGTAGCTCGTACAAGATACCCGCCCTCATGACCTGACACCGACTTGCCGACGGCATCCAGCAAAGTCTCGATCCGCCACGCCGATTCCTTTTTTCTCCGCGCAAACGACGGGATACGAGATTCGTGCTACGTCATGAAGAATGGCTGGGCCGGTGTTCACTTTCCAGCCTCTTGTGCACCGCTAGTCGAGCCTGCCGGACGTGATCGGAGCTCAGCGTTACTCTGACTACGAGGTTAGCTGTATATAAGAGAAGCGATGATCCCGAGTTGGAGAGTCAAGATGGTATAAGGACATCAGCATTAACCAGCACTCTTGAGACTCCCACAACACAACCTTGTCCATTGCGCTGCCTTGTCTTGATATAATACACAACTTTCATCAATATTCCTCCCCAAACATCACCACATAATCCCGCCACCATGCTAAGCATCTTGTCTTCATGTCTCCTCCTCGCCAGCTCGGCTCTGGCGCTGCCCTCTACTATCCCTCGAGCCGACTCGAATTATCCCTATCCAGTGCCGCCAGCAGCACCAGGATGCACAGACAAGTCGACAAACCTCACAGAATGGACCGTCGGCAGCTTTGACTTCCACGCTTCATACACCTTCACAACGCCTGCCCACCAAAACTCGTGGGGCTACGTCAACTTCACCTTGATCAACCCGGCCGTCAGCTACACACCAATCTGCAGTGCCGCCTCCAACCAGCTCTCCGACTTCTTCTATGGCACCGTCATCTACGACTGCACCGTGCCTGTCGCTTCCGACAAGGCCACCTTCACCTTTTCACGGCCCGGGTCGGAGTTGCGCATCAACCAGACGTGGAACTGCGCCGGCGAAGGCAGCCGATTCACGGCCATTGGAGGCGTCAAGCTCAACCTCACCTGCGACGATACGACCTGGCAGAACCCCAACTGGACGACCGGCCAGATTTACTCGTCTCGTACGATTACCTGTGGCAAGGTGACGGTCCCTGCGCCCATTGAAGAGATGAGTGCTGTCCTGTAGTACAGAAACAGCACCGTATTCCTTCCTGTGCAGAAGATGAGGCATGTTCGTCACGTTGTCCGTCACGTGGAATAAAAGGGATGCATAAACGTGAATAATTGGGAGTGGATGCTCCCGGGAATTGGACTGTACGCCTTGCTGCGAGGAGTGTTTTTTTTTTTTTTTCTTTTATCGGTTTTTACGGCTTGTCGACTACAAGTTTTGATGATCAACGACGTTCTTTATGATGATGAAAATATGTCTTAGAGGGGACTCTTGGGTTGAATGAGACGGTTCCTAATGATTAATAGTACACTGCATAATACAAATAATGTTAACTCTGCAATTTGTTGGCCACCATCTCGTATTCCATTTCTCATACTACCTACTCGGTTGTACCTGATGGCAGCAGATATCAGAAGAAATAGCGATAGCAGCAGGTACCGGGTAGAAGAAACAGAACAAAGCAGACTCAAGGTAGCTTCTTCTTATTCTTCTCTATCTTGCTGGCTAGTCACTCCCTCACATCATTCAAAACCTTCCATGTGATGGACCGGGATGACACGACACAGACACGTGCGCCTTAGTCTATAAGGCATCTGGTCTCGACTCCAGCTTGCTCCCAACATCTTGCTCATTTCTTTTCAGCTGTCGTCAGAACTAACAAACGCAAGCAAGCCTCTGCATGAGGCAATGGGTCTAGAGCTTGGCAACGGCTTCACATCACCAAGCCTCCAAAGTAAAACCACCAAACTCCAGTCCAGCAGCTAGGAAGCCAAGCTTTTCCCGCCGTCAGCCATCGAGTCATGCCACATCCATAGAACGAGGCATTATCCCCCTCGCTTGCAAAGGCGTCATGAACCATCCCCATCCCCATGATCCCCATGGGCGGTGCGCGGCCCCCTCGACCCTCATTAGCGGTTCTGGTATAAAACGAGTCACCCTCGTGTCTTGACAGCCCATATCCATCACGTAAAGGAAACCATCACGGACTGCCAAACTAAGCCTTAACCAAGAAACTAGACGCAGCATCCACCTTTCTTATAGTAGTACCCATATTCCGCACCGCGGCCCTTTTATTCAATTCGGGACTTGCCTCGCCAATGGGGAGGCTGAGTTTGTCGCGGCGTGGTTTGCCGCCCGCTCCAGCTCAGCTCCTCTGGAGTTCCCATCTCCTGACCGAGAGCCAGGGGACGGACGGGAAGCAGCTTCTCCTCTGCTTCTAGCTTCTACGCCTTTTGCTTCGATATTCTTTTTCTCTTAAGCTTCTTCAGCGCCACAGAATGATATTCCTCCGTAGCGGCGGGTTTGCCCTCCCCCCCCCCTTGTCCGCCAAAAGGGCGCGAACTATACTCGACCTACCTGTAATACCTGTTTAAAGCCAAAACCCGGCATTGCTAAAAATCTCAGAATTCAACATCAGGCGGCCAAATTTGCAGCGCCGGCAGACGTGATTGGAAGAGCTCCGATCGCGTCATCGGCCCACGCCGGGTCCGGGCGCGACAGAATCGGGAAAGGCCCCGATGTCGTGCTCGGAGCGGATCCATTCTTTTTTTTTTCTTCACCTTTTTTTTTTTCTTCCATACGGAAGAGAGGCCGCCTTTTTTGCTTTTTCGAGAACGATTCTAAGCGTATTTTGGCTTTGCTTGCTGCTTCTTAGTTGTTTCCTGTATTGGAGTTAGTTTGGCATGTGAAGGGCAGTGGATAGCATCGGCTTCTGTTCGTTGGGTGATGCTTGGTTGGATGGCACCATTGTGTCTCATGTTTGGTTTCTTTTTTCGACTTACATGACGGTGAATTGTATGTTATGCTATACCTGTAATCTTGTTACGTGCTATTTCGTGCCTGACTACACGTACCATAGAGGAGCGACTTACTCGCCGCTCCATATTACTAGGCATGTGCTTTGGTTCACGACTCATGGCCCGCTCTTGGGGCATCAGCCTATCTACACACGAACAAACTCCAAGAAATACCTGTAAATGGAATCAAGGCAGAGACAGCATCCCTTGTCTTAAAGGCCTCGAATTCAATCCTCCTCTCTTGGCGTGACACGGCCTGCGCCTCTTACCAAGCCTAGGTAAAATCATCGCCAAGTCCATCAACCCTCCCAGCCCGTTTTCCCAGTATCACACACCTCGATGCTACCCAAAAAGGGGGCCCTGGAGCTCCTTTGCGTACGTTTAGCACCCGATGGCACCATGCGGGCCTGCCCCGCCCCAAGAACAAGCTTTTCGTCTTTCTTCTGCTTCCCTGACAGCTGTTTCGTTCTGGTGGCTTTCTAGCCTTGATCCAGTTTTTGCCTTTCCCGGGTTGTGTGACTCGATCCAACATGTGCCTGGGTCGTTCGTATAAGTCTATAATAGAACGGATCCCTTCACCTCCTTCTCTTGCCTTTTATGAGTCATCATTGCTTCGGCCTCTTGTTTAATAGGCTTTGTTTTGCATATTTGCCCTTGGTCTTTTATACACCTGGAAGACTGGGCTTGTTTGTTTTGTGTTTCTCTGTTAACCGACAGAAACCATGTCGGGAATCAAGGGCTTCTTCTCGCCTAACAGCGAAGATGTCACAAAGTTGACTCAACAGTCTGGCAGCGACGCTGCTTCAGTGCAAAATGGAACTGAGAGTATGTTGAACCTCTTTTCAAAAGAGGCCAAGAATAACAACATATACTGACTCTTCTTTCTTTGAAGCCCAGTTCGAACAGGCCCGCGAGGCCAAACGCCAGATCGGCATCCCCTCAGCCTCCATGCTCATCTTCAACCGCATCATCGGTACCGGTATCTTTGCAACTCCCGGCTCCATCCTCGCCCTGTCAGGCAGCACCGGTCTCGCTCTGTTCCTGTGGGTTGCCGGTAGTCTCATCGCATGGGCCGGCACGGCTGTCTACATGGAATTCGGCACAGGTCTCCCCAAGAACGGCGGCGAGAAGAATTACCTGGAATACGTCTACCGCAAGCCGCGCTTCCTCGTCACGGGCATGTACACCACCTATGTCATCCTCTTGGGTTGGGCGGCTGGTAACTCGGTCGTCTTTGGAGAATACATCCTCAACGCCGCGAGGGTCGAGGTTACGGATTGGAACCAGCGAGGAATTGCTGTGGCCTGTATCACAACTGCCTTTTTGATCCACGGCACCGCGCTGAAATGGGGTATTCGACTCCAGAACTTCCTCGGTGTCATCAAGATTTGCATTGTCATCATCGTCATCATCGCACCGCTGGCCAATATCAAGAAGGTCAAGGAGATTAACTGCCTCCACAACGCCTTCGAGGGCACCACCGGAAGCGCATATGGTGTCGTCACTTCTCTGTACAACGTCATCTGGAGTTTCATCGGCTACAGCAACGCAAACTACGCCCTCAGCGAGACCAAGAACCCCGCGCGAACCCTCAAGGTCGCTGCGCCCCTGGCTGTCGGCACCGTCACTATCCTGTACATGCTGGCCAACGTTTCCTACTTTGCTGGTGTGTCCAAGGCTGAGATTCTCGAGGCCAAGAGACTTGTTGCCGCTTCACTCTTCCGAAACATGTTTGGCGAGCGCGCCGAGAGAGCTCTCTCCGTCTTTGTGGCGCTGTCTGCCTTTGGTAACGTCTTGAGTGTCATCTTCTCTCAGGGTCGTCTCGTCCAGGAGCTCGGCAGAGAGGGTGTCTTGCCCTTCTCTCGACTCTGGGCCAGCAACCGTCCCTTCAACGCTCCCCTGGCTGGTCTGTTTGAGCACTGGCTCATCACCATGATCACCATCCTTGCACCCCCTGCAGGTGATGCTTATAACTTTGTTCTCAAGTAAGTCCACTACACTTTCCAAAAAGAAAAAGAAAATGGATGCTAACTTGTTTCTGCAACAGCCTCATCTCATACCCCCTCGCCATCATCAACGTCTTCGTCGCCGGAGCCCTTGTTCACCTCTACCGCAACCGTGCCAGCTGGAACTGGAACCCCCCGATCAAGGCCACCTACCCAGTCATCATCTTCTTCCTTCTCAGCAACATTTACCTCGTTATCGCGCCATTTGTGCCCCCCGAAGACGGCCAGAGTGTTTACGAACACCTCCCTTACTGGATCCACTGCGTTGTTGGTTTTGGCGTCCTTTTCCTTGGAGCCATCTACTGGTTGCTCTGGACCAAGATCATGCCCTGGGTCGGCAACTATGAGCTGGTGGAAGAAATCACCGTGGATCCGATTGACGGATGGGAGAGGTCTACCTTCACCACCAAGAAGAAATAAAGGGAAGGGCCATGAGTACATAAACAGGGCAGTGTTGGTAATGAGGTTGTGTTGAAAGCGTTTGGATACCCCAATAGATCAAAATAATGTTAATGAATTTATCTCTTCTCGAATTCCCGCAAGAAAGCCATCAAAGTGACAAGTACGCGTAAACTATGTAATTGAGTAAATGAAATCGCCTTGTCATTGATACAAAAGTAAAGTTAGAAGGGCACCGCCACTGTGAAGTGACACTAATGTCCCAACTCATAGATATCTATCCAAAGTCGTAAATTCCTGGCCCAACCCATATGATAATCCTAAGAAAATGACACAATCTGAAAGAAAATCAGGGGAAAAAAATATCCTGGCCTATTGCAACCTGAAAACAATCTGAGAGTCATAGCCTGAAAGAGAAATAGATGCCTCCGGTAGTTCATAAAGGGAAAGGATAATAAAAGCATATCAAAAGGAGGGGGTCCGGCCACATGTATAGAATGGAAGAATACCCTCCAGTAGTATTCGTTTATATGTCCGTTTCGTGATTAGATGCAAAAGTAGAAACAAAATAGGGGAAATGAAAGGGAGGTTCCATGTCAACACGCCTCCTCTTTCTCTCCCCTAAATGGAATGAATGTAATGAGTAAATCGATGAGGCTATTTTCCAGTCTGATTTCATCAAATTTTCGTGTCTGGTTATTTCTGTGATTGCTTGGGTGCGGATTTCTGGCGGGGAGCCGTTCGTGTGCCCTGTGTGATTTGGCGCAGTTTGCGGTTCTTGTTCATGTTGACCTTCATATTGTTGCCCTTGTGCTGTGTTTGCACCGAGTTTATTAGTACCCGAGTTGTAGGTCAGGAAGAAAACAGAGAGGGATGAAAGGATCGAAGAGACTCACGCCAAGCTCTCCTTGGGGATTGTTGGCGATGCGGAGCTTCCAGCCGTCGCCTGCGGAGAGGAGAGATTTGACGAGTTGTTTTGATTTCTAGGGGGTCTATTAGTTTGGAAGAGGGCGGGATGTAGGTGGTTTGTCCATGACTCACCCTTAGAGCATAACACATTGCCTCCACACGCTGCGCAAACGAGTCGTAAGCCTCCTAAGCTCCGTCGGCGCCGCACCAGTGCGGTATCTGGGTGATTCCCTGCTGGGACTGGACGGCGGCCTCCTATAATTTGCAAACGAAGTGTCAGCCCGTTTCCCGTTTTCCCGATTGCCTGCTCACTGGCGTGTCCGCGTGTTTGTCAAGGTTACTTACAATGAGCTCCCAACAAAGCCACTCGATCGTCTGATCGCTAAGCAAGCGTCCCAAGATCCTCTTCTGCTGGTCCTGGAGGGGCGGAAGGATGGATTCGAGCTCTTCTTGGCTGGGGCGCATGTCGTCGAGCGAAACATCCGCTCCCGCATCGCCATTGCCGGCCTGTTTGCGGCGTATGTTGTCCATGATTCGGTTGCGCTCCTCCGTCTTGAGAGCCTGCGGCCACTCTCTGAAATTAGACCAGTCGTTGATGGCATCAAATAGGTTCCTGATATAAGTCATCTTGTCCTCGCCGCTGGTGGGAAACGTGTCATCGGTGGAGGGAAAACTACAGCTCTCCCTGGGCTTCCGATACAGCTCGAGAAGCCGCTGCAGCTTCTTCCTGGCCACATCGACGGTATGAAAGTACGCCTTGTAGGTGCCCGTGGGTGGTAATTCGCTGTCCTTTTGGATCTCAAAATCCTCGCTGTTGTTGACTTTTGCTGTCAGCTGGGGTTTGATGACGCGTTTCTTAGGGGCCACAGGGCTCTTTTCGAGTCCGGCCACGGAGATGTTGCGTTTGCGGGTTGACGATGTGAGGGAAACCGGGGGCGAAATGACGGATAGAGGAGACGGCGGGTTTAGCGACTGGTCGAGTGGTTGTAGCATCATGGATGTCGGCATTGATGCTTCTGCTTCGCGCATTGTCACCATTACCGGAGCTGTCTGCCCTGGGAAACCCAGTCTGTTGAAGCTTCGGAAAGGGATGACGTTGGGCGACGCTTCAGAAACCGATTGTTGAGCTGAACGGTTTGACGTGCTTCTTCCGGCTGCAGTCAGATTTGGGTCGCAAATAGAGTCTGGGGCACCATCTACACCACGGGGAGTATAGTAGGTGACTCCAAACGGATCAACATCATCGTCAAAGTTGGCCATGTCCGCACGAGGGGGAAAGGGTTCTGATTCTGGCCAGGGTAACTGGGCTTCATATTCGCTGCTGATGTTGTCGGCACCGTACCCCATCAGGAAGGCTGGCGCGCCTCCGTATTCGCTGTTGAGGAGGAGACTGGGAGATGGCTCTGAAGGACACCAGGCGGGTGCGGAGGTCGAATTAGGAGACCAGGGATTGTAGTGGACATCTCCGGCTAGCTCACTACATGGTATCAACATCCAGCCTCTCAGGCTGCTCAGCGTGAATACTTACAAAGGAAATTGGTCTTCATAGCACTCTTTGATAAGCGGAGAACGGCGAGCACAGAGAAGGGACGTGCTGTCATGGAAGTGTCCTGGACGAGACTCATACGAAGAGCCTGAGAACCCGCTGGTGTCGCGCTGGCGGAGAGGGGAGAGACCGGTTGCTGTCGTGTCATTGTAGGTCTCCATAAATCCCCTATTGCCGTCAGCAGAAGCCAGTTTGTAGCTGGTCTCTCGGGCGTCCATCATGCTCAGGGGGGATTTCAGGGGAGCGATGGTATCTTTGTCGCCGCTGTCGTTGTCTTAACACACCCAACACACCCAACAGATATCAGGGGGGAAGGACGAGGATCCAAAAAGGGGGATGAGACGCTCTAAATATTGAAGTGGGAGGAGAAGTGGAAGTAGGAGTTGAGATGGAAGACGGAAATGGAAATGGATTTGGCGACGGGCGACGGGAGCGGTAGCTGCAGAAACGCGATGTTAAGCCGTCGGCTGAGTCTCTTCATATACCGTGTCTTCGTTTGTTCTGGCAGGTGAATCAAGGAGCTGCAGACTGTTCATGAATCGGTGAGTTAGCGACGGGACGCAAACATGCATGTTCAGTTGAAGCCTCGCGCTGAAGATGCAGACGCGAACCATGTCCATGAGTGTCATCATCTAAACCAGCTGTCTCAAGACTGACAACAGTGTCCACTCATTTTCCCGTTATCCATATCTTCTATCTGGGCCCCCAGTTGTATGCATTTTGCGCGACTCTCTTGCAGCTGTCACTTGGGAGTGACGGCTGTCGGCATCCCGCCATGTAAGAAGAAGGCGGTTGGCCGCATGATAAGGCTTCCATGGCATGCCGCTGTTGAGGCGCTGTAACTTGCACAGAACATATGGGTATCAACCAGCAGACGTTTGGAGGGGAGAAGAGAATGCTGCCTGTCTGGTTTCCACACTCAACGCTTGACACTCAACACTTGCTCCAATCTCCCTCCTCTTTGCATCTCCCCCCTTCTCTCCCTCCCTCTGTGTCCTCCTTTTCTCTCTGCCTCTGAAGTTCCTCTGCGGAAACGGCTACATTGAAGCCACCGATCAATCTCCCATCTCCCTGGCGGTCCGTTTGCAAAGTCAAATCAGCGGAAGCATTTCTGGCTTACCCCCACGACAGGCTTGGCAACGAAGCCGTATCACCGGCCATTTGATGCCGACAATAGCATCAACAATCAGTAATTGGGCCACTTGCGAATATGACTATCGAGTATGACTATCGAATTCACCACTATCTCTCGCCAGTACGGCTTGGGTCGGTCCTCAAAGCACTCAAAGCCGCGGCTAACCTCTGATTCTGATTGCAAAGGCCTAGAGGGTAAGCTTTGGCGTTTCACCTGGACGAGCCTTAGCCTCGGCCGGGATCTAAACATGGCAACGGAGACATTGATAGATTGCCTGCTCGAACTATTTGCCTACCGCGTGTGTCATTGGAGAAGCGGCTGAACTAGAAACCGACCCACCTCTCGTTTCCACGACAAACAGCAGGTGACAGTGTCATTGAGTCGTGATAATCCAGCTCAACTCTGCAGATTGGCTGTTAACAGGCGCCACTCCCACGTGTCGGAGGGGTAGAAATGCAACCCTGGGCCAGAGAGACGGTGTCTGAATCGAATCTGTACCTGCGTTTCTTGGAAACAACTGGTATGGTATGGGGGTATGGTGGTATCCAGAAGTTGTTTGACTCGTGGCATCCGGGGTGTGGAGATGCGGGGAGGTGCTCTGGGGAAGCGAAGTAGCACGTCCACAACGAAGCTCTCTCTCTTGTGTTGTTTAGGTTTGAGCCAATCTTGATCCCACAAGGTAAACCACGAGACGCATGAGTCGTCAGTCGATTTTTCCATATCGCAGCAACACGGAAGATGCCCCACTTGGACGCCATCCAGACAAAAATCACGGATTTATTGATTTCTCATCTGACCAAAGAGCGGAGGAGTGGCCGCTAACTCCAGAGCTGTGGATAAGACGGGGGAGGAAATCCGGACCGCTCGAACAGCTTCTCCAATTCCCCAACCACGAGGGAGGCGTTGCGGAGAGAGAGTTAGAGTAGGGAATAGGGAATAGGGAGGAGGGATGGGGGATGAGGGATGCTAGAACAAGGCCTAGGATGGCTAGACCAGCTGCTAAAAGGCGTCCGTCAACACCATGTTGAAGCCCGTCAAGACCAATCTGGGAGCCAAAACCCGGGGAAACGGGGCATAGAAGGGCGATGGATTCATGCTGAGGTTCTTTTTCTGTGGCGGGGGATGGTTTGGGTTCGGCCTTGGCACGCAGAGCCAATGACAGAAGATGCCTCGGGAAATTCATGTGCCGCCCGACTTGTTCTGGCGCAAGTCGTTCGTCGCCATGGGGAGATTCATCCCCGGCTACTGCTGCCAATAACATGGACAAGCACGCGCATTAGCCGCTCTTCTTCAGCTCAGCTCAGCTCCCTATCAGAGTCTCCCAACGCATCCGACTTGTCGCGCTTCTCCACACAACAAGGACGGACGGCAGTCGGTGAATCTGGGGCACCGCGACCGCAACGACTCTGTGCGTGGGGATCCCTGGTCGGAGACAAGGATTCGAGAGCAAAGCGGCTCCACAGACGCCACGATCTGCCAGGATGCCTTACGAGTACGCAGCTTGACTAATGTGGCCCGGATGGCGAAGACGGCATGGAGTGAGTCGTACTGCATACTGCATAGCACAGCAAGGTCCGTGGACGGTCCGGACGACAGTAGTCGACTTGCTGCTCTTGGAAAACGAAAAGCTGGTGGCCCCCCCGTCGCTCGCTTGTTGGACGATCCCAGTGGCTCCGACTAGGCCCTAGCCTGGCGACCTGTGTTGATGACAATGCGACGGTATCCTGGAGAATCCTCAGCACGAGCGCTCAGCTGCCGAGTACAAATAGGGTCCGGCAGATCCCTCTTGTCTCAGTGTTCCACTCGCTTGTTTCCTCGTCCTGCCAACGCCGAAGCCTGTGCTTCCTCTCCCTCCACTATTTCACGTGGGCTTTGCCCTTGTTCTTAGAGTTCAGCAGCAGAAGGAAGAAGAATTCTTTCGTTTTGACAAGTGGGAGGCGTTAGTTCTTCAATTCGTCTTAATTACAGACGTAGCAATGGCCGTCTTGGACGAAAAGCACAGCGGCTCGGGTCGCAACTCGAAAGATGTTCGCGATACCGAAGTTGCTTATGCTGCCGAAGAGGTTGTTTGCCCGTCGCACACAACCGAGCGTCGCCTGATGACAAAGGTCGACATGCGAGTCGTGCCGTTCCTCTGCATCATGTACTTGCTTGCATTCTTGGGTGAGTTGATGCGCATCTACTACATTCATATACCATGTCAAGCTAATCACCCACCACCATCTACTAGATCGTGTCAACATTGCCAATGCAAAGCTGTTTGGCCTGGCCCAGGACCTGGACCTTGGCACCGGCGACAAGTACAACACGGCTCTGGTCATCTTCTTCGTCCCCTACTGCATCTTCGAGGTGCCGTCCAACATCCTGCTCAAGAAGTTTAAGCCCCATGTTTGGCTTTCTATCAACATGTTCCTTTTTGGCTTTACCACTATGATGCAAGGCCTTGTCAAGAACTACAGCGGCTTGCTCGCCACGCGTTTCTTCCTCGGCCTATTCGAGACGGGCATGTTTCCGGGAGGTGAGTTTCTCAATCAAGCTTTGGTGTCCCTTTATTCATTCGGCGAGCTAATCGGTGTAACTTTCACTTAGCCTTCTACCTCATTGGCATGTGGTATAAGCGATCCGAAGCCCAACGACGCTACTCCTTCTTCTTCAACAGCACGACTCTCGCCGGTGCCTTTGGTGGTCTCCTTGCCGCCGCCATCGGCAAGATGGACGGCCTCCGTGGCTACAGCGGCTGGCGCTGGATCTTCCTCATCGAGGGTGGCCTCACCGTCTTCGTCAGCTTCTTCTTCTACTTCCTGCTGCCCGACTTCCCCGAGGAGGCCAAGTGGCTCAAGGAGGACGAGCGCGTCTACGTTGCGGCGCGCCTCCGCGCTGATCAGGGCACCGGTTCTGGCCTTGCGCGATCAATGACGGTCAAGGATGTCCTGAACGTGTTCAAGGACTGGAAGATTATCGCCGGTGGCTTCATGTACTTTGGCCTTATTGTCCCCGCCTACGGCTATGCCTACTTTGCCCCCACGATCATCTCGACCTTCCACTACAGCCCCATTGAAACTCAGTTGCGCAGTGTCCCACCGTGGGCCGCCGCTTTCGGCTTCTCTCTTCTCATCGCTACCTTGTCGGATAGAGTGCGCCACCGATTTACTTTTGCCATTGTTAGCATGTTCATTGCCATTGCTGGCTTTGCGATTCTTCTTGCTGAGCATAACAACAAGAACGTCCAGTATGGCGCGCTGTTCCTCATCACGTCTGGCGCATACACGGCTATGCCCATTATTGTTTGCTGGTTCAACATGAATCTGGGAAGCCACACTCGCCGTGCCGTTGGCAGCGCGTGGCAGGTTGGCTATGGTAACCTCGGCGGTATCATCGCCGTCTTCATCTTCCTGACCAAGGATGCGCCCAAGTTCACTACGGGTTACAGCGTGTGCCTTGCCTTTACTGTCCTCTCCATGATTGCATCCACCATTTACGGAATCGGCTGCATGATGGCCAATAGGCAGAGGGATAACATGACAGAAGTCCCCGACCTGACGGAGGAGGAGAAGACAACCCTGGGCGACTTGTCTCCCGAATATCGGTATCTGCTGTAATTTTTTATTGTGTCATGAGTCATGACGGGGGCTGCGAACAGAATATGATTGTAATTTAATGACTACCTAGTTTCAAATATTCAAAAAGATTGGATAATAGCATCTCTTCCATGTCTTGGCCTGCACTCCGTTGCTCGCACACTAACAACTGCCTGATCGCCGAGCCGCTGTGCGCATATCCTTGTCCCGCCACGGAGTCCTCCGAAGACGGATCTAGCTCTTAGCTGCTTCTTCGCTCCCAGCCCAGAGATGAATAGGCTAGCTGTGCTGTTGTGAGACGGAGGGCATGCCAAGAGCGGGATTGAGATGCCGGCATGGTCCTCTCTGCGGACATGTTTCCGCTCCTCTCTTCAAGTCTCTTTTGAGCATCAGAGCATGTTTTTGCGAAAGAGAATCAATAGTAGCTTTGGAGATAAACCGGACATTCTCGTACCGTGGCGTATTCAAGCCACAACTGGGAAAGTTTTACTAGGGAAGAAGCTTCTTTGGTGGTTTATCTCTTTTGCTTGAGTCAGGTTTCCCGCCGTGCGGAGAAAATATGGGACCCTTTCTTTGGGGACCTCGGGTTTGGTCATCTTTCGCATTGTTGATGCTTTTTTTTTTCTTTTCCTCGGTGGAGACTGGGCCGAAGAGGAGTCATGACTCTTTTTTGGGAGTTGGGGGAAAGGATGAGGTATCGTGATTCCTGATGGGGAGTAGGCGTTTTGGTTTCTAATTTCCGTGTTTGAGCTATGGATGAAGAGATTTGAGGTACTTTATGGAGACGCAATGCCCTTTTTCTTTCTTTTTTTCTTTTTTCTAATTTTTTAATTTTTTTATTCTTTTTTATTTGTTTGTTTGTGTGTATTTTGAATGTCGTGATAGAAGCTTATTTTACGGAGAACTTGCATGAAAGATGGGCCTGTATCTGCACCCCTATGTCGAGAAACGGAAAGGATAAGCAAAGCGCATACTTCGTATACATGAGGATGAAAATGCCTGTCCATGTCAAGATAGCATCGTATTACTATTGACCCGCGTGTTACTGTCATCCCGAGCTTTCTGTCCTTACTGAGCCTATCTTGGAGTGAGATTTTTGATTGTGTAACATGGCCGTACCTGGCAACGGTTGCATAGGTCGCTGTAATCCACTTTCGCTGCTACGGGAGCATGCAAGTAGCCAGCTGAAAACAAAAAAAAAAAAATTGTCGAATGAAAATGAGAAGAATCATCTTGTGGTGGTTGGGGGCAAGATGACGAACTCCTGGTTTGGCATGTAGCGTTTATACGATCGTAGACTCACCTACTCGAATAGCAGCCTGCAAACTTTCCGGGTATGTCCAAGTCGATTGATCTGATACCGTTTGAAAGACAAGCATGGCTAACACTGTTAGAGGCGGAAATGGCCCTTCACTTCCTGTCCTGCACCGCCAGATAGCCCACCCAGAACTGCTCGCTGCTCCGCGCATGCCAATTGACCGGCGCAAAGTCGTTGAGCACCCTGAGCAATGTCTTCCACGCATCCTCGGGACAAGCTGTCGTTCGCACCGTCTCCTAGAGCATGGCCACGACGAGCTTGAACCTCTCGACAGGTAGAAAGGCCACTTTGCATACCGTCAGCACCAGCCGTACCCAGTTGTCCACGAAGCCCTGGTTAAAAGCGACCTGCGCATGCCGGAACTCGAGCATGTGCGTGATGCTATCGTCTTCGTGCGTATGGGTGTTGATTTGTAGGGCTGTGAGGTGAGGATCGCGGGTCTTGGGGTGGCGTGAGAGCATTTGGCGCACCTGGTCGAGGTCAGATGCGGTCCAAAGAAGCTTGATGGCCTTTTCGATTGTGCCGTTGCCAATGAGGATGTTTGGTGGTAAGTTTGCTTCTGCAAGAGGAGTAGCTGGGGAGTTTGAAGCGTAAGCCAGACCTGAAGCAGCGGTGAGCTGGTGATGGGTTTGACGACGGATCTGCGAGCACAGGTGGAAGAGCAGGCTGTTTTCGAGAATGACCACCAGTGTGGCGACACGTTGAACCTGGAGAACGGTCAGATCCTGTCTCTGTCCATGGTGTTGTCCCTGATTCAGCCCCTGAGTTACTCCCTGAGTAAGAGATGGAACGAGAGCAGGGCCGACATGGACATGCAATCCGCAGCTGTCGTTGACATGCACCCTCGCCGGATGCGCCGTCCAGATAGTGTAGACGGCCGTGTTGAGGCCTGGGAACAGATTGTTCGCCTCTGATTCTCGCAGGATCGGGCTGCTGAGCTTGGTAGGCTGCCAGGGTGCATGTTTGCCGTGCCCGCTGATGTCGCTATCGGGCTTGATCAACCAGTATCTAAAGAGCGGGTTTTCTTTGGCGCCGGCCTTGATCCAGGGGATGGACGATTGGGGGCTCATGATGAACATGTCGGGGTTGTGCTTGGTCTTGACGATACTTCTCTTGGATACCTGGACGCGGAGCTGATTTTCTGTCTCTAGGCTTTCCGTGTCTTGGCTATCATTACCGTTGCTGCTTTGATCTTTGGTTTCAAGATAATTCTCGTTCTTTTCCTTGTCGAGGAGAAACGCAGCTTGGAGTCCAGCGTTTTGGAGTGCAGAGGCAAAGAAGTGGAAGATGCGGTCGCGATCGGACAACGTCTGCAAGACTTGCGATGCTGACAAGGGAGGAGTGAAAAATTCGAGCTGGACGCCGAATTGGATCTCTGTGACGAGCGATAGTGCCGACTGCGGCTTGGGGAGGGAAACGCGCATCGTTTGGAGGCCGTTCGATTTGATTTGATTTGATTTGATTCGATATGATCCTTTGGAGAAGGAAGGATTGTCTGTTGTATTGCCTTGTGTGTGATGGTTGAAACGAAAGAGATGGAAGTGATTGAGAAGCAGACAAATCGATATTGCTTCGTACAGTCTTTGAGATGCAACAGGTGAAGAGGGGGAGAGTTGGTTAGGTGAGATGCTGCTGAAACCCAGCTGGTCCTCTTTGGCAATAGAAGGTGAATTGAAACTGACCAGTGTCGAATAGCACACAGCTGCCAAGTTTATCCAATGATTCACGCCCTGAAAAAGGAGACAGGCAAACAGCAAAAGCCGGAAAAATCAGCGAAAGCTGAGTATCAAGCGCAGAATACAACTGAACCGACAAATACAATCAAAGGCAACTATTACAACATACAGGCAGACTGCGCACCAAGCAAGTCCGCATCTTGGAAATGGTACGTTACGAGAGTTGGTTTGTTTCACACTGACCAATCTTACACCAGTTAGTGGGCAGATGGTCATTTGCCATCGCAATGGATGACGAGCAACTCGCCAAACAACGAAATGCACATCGCAATCTCCCATGAAGACAGCACAACACTTGCCAACAAGAGAAATCAAGTGAATGCTTATCCTTGAATAGCACGCATCCACAAATTTCTCACATGTCAAGCTTTGAAACTCTCAATTCAACCGCATGAAGTCTTGTGATGATCTTTCGTCATCTCAAACTTCACCCGGTCACAAGCACCTTGTCAAAAACGATCCATCACCATCAGCATCACCTCAATTTTTCCAAAGAAAAAAAAGGACCAATCACCAATTCCCCTACATCATCTCGTTTCTCCGATTTCTCACACACTCACCCATGCTTTTCGTAATACTTTCGTAATATTCACCCGTACCAACGCCCATGGTCACCTAGTAAGTATATCATGATCCAAACTAGTGCAAGCCAAAGAGTATCAAAGTCCTTTCGGGGAGTGTCGGCTTCTCGAAACACATGCAGGGCAGTTCCCCGATGCCGGAGAATCGGAAGTGCCGCATCGAGTGAAAGCTGCTGGATTGGGTAATACGACGGATAAATTGCAGGCCGGTAGCTGGAGCCTGGAGCTTTAAAATGGGCTGCTGCGTCTCGTGGTTCATGTAGTTTGGCTCGTCTGGACTTTGTCAACTGTAGATAATTCTATCGAAAGAAAAAGAGTGTTATTAAAAAAATTCAGTATACAGGCTGTGGGAATATATGTACTAACCTGGAACTTACCATACAAATCATGTCCAAGACGACCGTCACCACAACAGAGACGATCCTCCTCCAGCCACTCTCCCCTCCGGCCCCCATAGCTTCCATCTCGCGCCGATCTTCCGATCCAGATCTTTTAGCTCCCATCACTGAGCATTCGGTTCATGATGCCGAATCAGCCTTACCGCCTGAAACTGCCGTCTCCACGGCCCAGAGATGGAATGATCCACCCAGGAACAAGTATCGTGTACTGTCGTGCTTCTTTGCGTTTCTCGTCTATGGCATGAATGACGGCGCGCCAGGTGCCATGGTACCTCTCTTTGGAGAATACTACCGTCTGTCGCATTCAATTGTCTCGCTCATCTTCCTCAGTCCCATGGTAGGCTGTGTGCTTGCCTCTTTCACTTCCAACCGTCTCCATGCCGTAGCTGGAAGACGGGGCGTCGCGGCAACGGCAACAGGCGCATATATCCTGGCGTACCTGGGCCTCACGCAGCATCCCCCCTTTCCAGTTGTCGTCTGCCTCCTTGTTTTGACGGGGTTTGGAAGCGGATTGATGAACGGAAGTTGGAATAGTTGGGTTGGGGGCCTGGTTCAAGGAAGTACCCTGTTGGGGTTCCTGCATGGGTTTTGGGGTGCGGGTGCAACGCTGGCTCCAATCGTGGTATGTTGTGCACTTTATTGCATATTGTGATTTGTTGTACTCATGCATGATGTTGCAGATATCGAGAATTGCGACAAAGGTGGAAGATTGGTGGATCTTCTATTGTAAGTGGCATCTGAGAATCAGCATCGTCTTTGCAGCTGCATTCAACTGACACAACCTAGGTTTGATGGTTCGTTGAATCTCTTCCGCTTCTTGTAGAATAACCGTCAACTCACATGCTCGCATCTATTTAGACAGGTTTGGCTTGCCTTGCCTGTGTGGGTGTCACTTCATCTTTCTGGGATGATACTGGGTCGGGATTCCATCGACAACATGCCTCCCCATCGCCCAATGCACAAGAAGGGACTATCAAAATCTTGAAAAATCGGGTATTGTCTCACTTCGATTGTAAAACCAAGTGTTTGACGCTAAACTGATCATGACTAGGTGACTTTGACGCTCTCTGCGTTCATGGTTCTCTATGCGGGATCTGAAGTAACCATTGGCGGTTGGCTTCTGACTTTTATGATGAGCGTACGCAACGGCTCGCCAACCGCCTCATCCCTGGCTACTTCGGGCTACTGGGTCGGCCTCACGGCTGGTCGCTTCGGCTTGGGCTGGATCACTGGATATGTGGGAGAAAAGGTCATGGTGACAGTATATTTGCTCAGCGCAATAGGCCTGGAGATTGGATTCTGGCTCGGCAAGGAGTTTGCAGTCAGCGCCGTCATGGCCGCGCTTATTGGCGTGTCAACGGGAATGATTATGCCATCGGTGAGTTGCCTGACACATGTCCAGAACGGAATGGGATTCTTTTGACTCAAGGACGATGATTAACGACTTTATGATAGGGAATCCGGGTCATGACCAAGCTGTTGCCTCCAGAAAAGCACCTTGTTTCCGTGGGCTTTGCGACAGCGTTTGCCGTGTCTGGGTCTTCCGTGTATGCTTTCCCCATCTTAATTCACCTCATCATCACGGGCGTGAGAGTTAGAGCTAACATTCTTTTCATCATCCAGTTTTCCCTTTGCAGTCGGTGCACTTGCTGAGGCGTATGGTGTACAAGTTCTTCAGCCCGTCGCCCTAGCATTGTTTGGATCGCAGCTGGCGCTATGGCTGTTCATCTCGCGAGGAAAGCTCAAGGTCTAGATGGCCAGATCTGTCGGACCGTCGCCGCTGTGGACTGAGAACACTTGTATGTAAATGCCAGCCCTCCTAGCGGAACTCGGCAGCCCCTTGACCAGCCACTGCATGGTAAATGGTTTGAATGGATCGGAGATGGACTTTAAATATGACCGCCCAAATTCCGTCCAGATATATTAGTAGTGGATCAGGTAAGCCCACCAGAAGGGCGATTTTGACGACAGCAAAGGCGCAACAGAATGGAGGCCAAAAGAATCCGCGGCCGCTGACTCGTTGCGACTTGCGGCGACCCCGCCATGTGCCCCTCTTGAGATCCGAGACGCTTCTACTTTGTTCTCCGGTTTGGGCAAATTGATTTTGCATTTGTCTTGCCCCACTGTATTTCTTCGACTTTACTTAAGAGCCGCATTTCGCGTTTGTAGATGTAATTGAAGTCCCTCAAGTCCGAATCAACTCAGAATTCAACAGCGTCTTCGGTAGATCTCATTTCTCAAGAACTCATAAATCAAACAAGATGGCAACTGTTCGGCACGCATACCGCGAGGGTAGGCTCATTCCTCCTGCGCAATGGCTGGGGAAGCATGTGAGGGACATGATCCGCTAACTTGAGTGCATTCGCAGATGTCCCCACCATCCTGGGCTTCATTCAGGCTCTGGCCGACTATGAGAAGGAGTCCGATGCTGTCAAGGCGACTGTCGAGTCTCTGGAGAACACAATTGCGTTTGCGCCTTCTGGTGCCACCAGCCCTCAGAACTCCCTGCCCGTGACCGAGAGCATCTCATCAACTCGGCCTTCACGCTGTCTCCTTCTCTTCAATGAGGAAGGCAAAGCCGCTGGAATGGCCATCTATTTCTACAACTATAGTACATGGCGGGCCAAGTCTGGTATCTACCTGGAAGACCTTTACGTTGACCCCTCACAACGCGGCAAAGGATACGGCAAGACGCTGCTGTCCGCGCTGGCAAAGGAAGTTGTCGCCATGGACGGCGGCCGTCTGGATTGGTCCGTGCTGAAGTGGAATGAGCCGAGCATCAAGTTCTATGAGCTCATCGGAGCCACCGCAATGAACGAGTGGGTGGGAATGCGCGTTGACGGACCGACGCTGAACAAGTTGGCCAATCTGACCGACTAAATACCGTATATATTCTGCATTTGAAAGTCAAAAATAAAGAAAGTTCCTGTCTTCATGATGATGGTGTCTTGTGCTGTTTACGACCGTTCTCATCCACGCCTTCGAATATCTCGCGCTGATGCTTGGCCGCAGGGGGGAGCCGTGACTGGATGCTACCCCACGTAAATGAGTATTTGAGAGTGTTGGGATCCTGTGCCATTGTTGGTGTAAGTTGCCATGCTCGGGTGTAGGCTCTTTGAAACCATCTTGTTGACAGGTTGCGGTCGCGATCCTTGACGCTATATGGGCCGCTATCTTTTTGGCCAGTTCGCCGTTGTTGCTTTAGGGCCTTTGGCTTTTCAACAATAGCTGCCGGCTTTGTAGCATAGTCTTTCCAGTTCCATTGTGTCTGTGCCGCCCTCTCTTCTGTCGCTGCCAAAGAGTTTGCAAGTGGGCGCCTTTCCGGTATCTTCCACTCGCCTCTCTCCTGACCTCCATTGCTTAGCTGCTTGAGCATCTCCCATTCACCCTTGCCCAAAGGAGGCATAATCTTTTCGGCGTTTCGTCGCCACCAATTAGCTCTCTTTGTCTGCTTCAGGCTTTCTCCGGGCGGTTTTCCCCATATGGTCTCTTTAGGAATGAATTGGTCTGGGTCAAGCGTCTTGACCGGAGTCCCAGGCCAGCTGGCGGTCCCCTTTGTGTCTCTTTGCTGCTGTCGCTGTGAATGTAGAATTCGCATAAGCTTTTCTTGGTCCCATTTCTCGAAAAAGGCCTTTTTGACTTTCGCAGCGCCGTCTGCCGTGGCATGTGTCGCTGAAGAGGGACCCTTTGAAGCCTCGTTGCTTCTACCTGCTAAATCAAGAGCTTCTTTGAGAGCACTTGAATCCTTTGGGCCTTGTGGAATCACAAACTGTGCCATTAACTCTCGTCGCCTGCTTCCTGATCTCCCAAAGCCTTTGGATATCAAGCTCTCCATTGCTGCCTTTTCGCCGCTGTTGGCAGCTCGTAGCGTTCGCAGAGCCGTGTGGGCTCGGGCAAGATGAGCTTTTGCACGCGTGTCATATTTGCGATGACGGTGGAAGCGATCTTGAATCGTAGACGCAATCTCAGCTCGGAATGCTGGAGGGAGGTAAGAGCATTCTCGAAGTAGATGACGGTAGAGCTGGACTGGGGATGGAGAGGTGGGAAGGGGATATGCTGGGGCAGGCATATTGAATAGCTGAGGTTAAGGCTCACATGAGCTAGACAGAACTAATAGGGCTATCCCAGAGGAGAATTGGAGAAGTACAAGCTGCTTTGTAGACGGCAGAATTGTGAATGGATGGAGCTTCTATGAATGCACTATCTTATCGCAAGCTTTGGGAAAGATTCTATCGTAATTGGTTAAACCCCGGTTGATCTTTGAATTGTAGTCGCTGTGTACAATACTCACTTGAGATCAGCAGTCAGTTTTACATGCCAAAAGACAAGGCTTGACGTTATTAATGCAATTAGTTATTTTTTGTACATGATTTTACTATATTGTACTTTTTCTAGAAACTGGCTAGTAGTTTCCAATGCCCATCTATTTTTCGATACTGTATCAACTATAGCTGATATCTTCAAAGTTCATCTCTTGAAGATTGCTTTTTTGATCTTGTGATTATATATATGTCGTGAAAAAGTTGCAAACAATGCGAAGCCGGTAGGCTACTCTAAGGTAACTCGCTTACTCTGTCCTTGTAAGTCTTCTCTGCTCTCGTCCAGACACCCTCGGTGTCACGGCGGTCCAAAGTGAGCAAAGCTGGCAGCAACAGGCCAGAATACTCATCACTGGATTCACGTGGAATCATGGTTGGAAGGTGATCGATAGCGATGACTCTCAATTCTGGGTCAGTGACAGGCTTGGAGGTTGCAATCGTAGGCTTGTCGAATGTGGACCAGGTAGAATAAACGGGGACGGGGTTGTTCACGCTGCGTAACTGTTAGCATTACTAGAGCCAGGATTTGGGCAACAAAAGGGCAGCTGACCTATTCGGATCACATGAAACATCGCAGATTACTCTTAGTCGTCTTTCAGGGATCGCAAGAGACTCGAAAGTGACGAAGGGAGGTGTAGGGTTGGGACCCAAGTAGACGCAGTTAACAAAGATGTCTGACTCCGCGACCTATAAGAAGTTAATATATGCAATATTAGATCATTCAGAGAGAGAGAAAATACCTCTTTGAACGGTCCACCCTTGGCCGTCTCGGCGAGATCAAATTTCAGGACGGAATCTTCGCTAAGACCAATCTCACGGCAGAAGTCTACCGCGCCGCTACCACATCGACCCAAGGCTCCAATAACGATAACACGAGGAGCTTGGCCGTTGTTTGCACGAATGGCAGGTTCGAGCGCAGACTTGACATGCTGAACCAGAGCAGGTGCGTTCTCAAAAAGAGGCACTTCACCTTGGGTGACGCCGGGGTTGAGGACTTGGTGAGCCCATGAGATGAAAGCAACTGCAGCACCGGCATAACCGGCGAAATAGCCAAATGCGGCGATTCTGCGACCCTCCGCCGTAGTTAAAAATTCGAGATCGTAGAGGGTGCCACCGGCGCGCGCGAAGCGAGAAAGTGAAGGAGCCCATCCAGTCTGCTTCTTGAAGATGTGTTGGAAGTGTATGTATGTATGGGGCAGGTCAATGTCATCCTCAGGGAGCTCCTTGAGACCCAAGATGATGTCCTCCTTTGGGGCCTTGATCCATGATCCAGCAGGCACCAATTCAGCACCAATTTCCGCGAACTCTTCGTCCTTGTAGATACGTTCCGTAGATCTCTCGACACGGACAATGTAGCCAGCGTCGAGGAGTGCCTTGGCAGTCTTGGGAGAAACTGATCCAATTGTTAGACATGTGATGCAACGCAAAAGTGAGCCTGTATGGGCAACGTACGGGGCGAGCGGCGCTCGAATGGCTTGGTATCAGCTCTTAGATGGATGACGGTAGGCATATTGGGCGCGAATTGGTCGTCGTGCTGTGTGATGATGTGGAGGAGAGTGATTGAATGAAGAAATTGAAGACTTTACAAAGGCAAAAGAGGTCAATATCTACTAGGCGAAAATCGACATCATCGGCCTTCTTGAGTCACAATCGCAGCGATGGTGGGGTAGCAAAAGTGAAATGGCGGGGCCAACCATGCCATATCATCACGTGAATCGCCAATTGAGTGTTTGACAGCTCCGACAACGCTTCGATCTGTTTGTTAGTGGGAGGGTCTTTCGATGCGCTTTTTAGCATCAGCCATTGGGCTGCAAACAAGCCGTATTGACTCGTTGGGTCGGCTATTGCCCGATGATGTGCGGCATTTCCATGATGAACCTTATTCTATCCAATGGATCTGACCGGCTGCAACCGATGCAAACCATAGGATATAAAAGTACAGTACATATGTCTATTGGGGTACCTCCATACAGTATCGAAAGTCTAGGTATGCCAGTTGTTGAATCAACTTTCGCAGCTTATACGCCATGCCCGTATTAAGAAATGCTTATGTAGGATCATGATAACGAAGAGCTGCCGTGAACAGAAAAAGGCCCCCAAATGTAAGAGCCGATGATGACATCCCGCTCTTGGCTGTATCATTGTATCGGCTGTATGGTATTACCTAGGTAGTATGGCTCAGCTGTCAACAACACTCAGCAGCACACCGCAACCTCCAGCTTCTCGCCGTGATTGGCAGAGAGGCTAAATGTTGACAGTAAACAAACACTTTGAATGGCCCTCTTAACAGCGCCACGCAAACCATCTTCAACAAACAAACAGTCTCACATCAAGTCAGAGCAAGCCCAGGGCTGTTTAACCCCACCATGGTCCACCTCACCGGCATTAAAGCGAAAAAAAAGGGTCACTTTGTCGCGTGGCGCGACACGCACGACACGAAATCACGAAACAGACACGTCGGCGGCGATTCAATTAATTGAGTTGCAATGTCAACGCGCACCGCATCGAAATTGACCAAGTACCTGTGCTAGTGTTCGTACCTCGCACAGGCAATATTTCCTGCAGTGCAGGTCTGATGTACATACGGGGAAGCATTGTGCATATGCCTCTCTGCTCTGTTCCTTTCCAGGCCCCCACACGTCATTTTCATTGCATCACGGCCTGATCCTTTTTCGTGGCTCCTTGATCCGTGCAAAGTAGTACCGTTCCAGAGTCCCTGTGAGGTTTCGGAACTCTCCACTGTAGCCCTCTGTTCTAAACACCAAAGCCTCACCTCACCTCGCGTTTCTTTTCCCTCCACAACTACGAGTACATCGTTTCCTTTTATTATTATCCTCTCGGTCGCTGCATCTGTGGCCGTGATTCCGCCGTTTCATTCGTTACAATCCTGCAAAGCGGAGCCATCGCCGAGCCCCCTCTCGGCAGAAGTAGTAATAGTTACATACCTGACCTTGCACACAATCTTTGCTGCAGATTTGCTCCTTGTTCCCCTGCCAGCAACCCACGCGGCCCGAATCTCATTTCGCTTCCACCACAGGCCTCGCTCAAACCCTCCGAGAGAGCAGAAGCTTTGCGACAAGCAGCAAAGAGAGAGAAGAAGGAAAAGGCGGCGACGCACTTTGGATCCGGCGCGCATCGACTTTTTTCGTGAGCCAAGTATATGGATTAGACTTTTGGGTTGGGAGAGCTCGCTAGTGCCGCCATTTGTCGTGTCCAATCTCGTGCGACAACCGCTGACCGGCATCAACTCCAACCTTTCCTCGACACTCACCTTCCGCCATGCCATCCGCGTCGCAATCGTCGCAACAGTCCTTCACAATGAGCCAGCAGTCACAAACGGGGCGTGCGGCCTCATTTAACCGCGGCTACAATGGCGGCGTCGACGGGCCTCAAATCTACTCGGTATGCATTCCCGCCATGTGCCGACGCAGCGCTTCGGGGCAAGAGATGGCCTGTTCCCGCCATATCGAGCTATCGGGGAGCCACTGACTGACATTTTATGAAATAGGCATCGTATTCGGGTGTCGATGTGTACGAGATGGAAGTGAACAACGTGGCTGTCATGCGCCGTCGCCACGATTCCTGGCTGAATGCCACGCAGATTCTAAAGGTCGCCGGCGTCGACAAGGGGAAGCGCACCAAGATTCTCGAAAAGGAGATCCAGATTGGCGAGCACGAAAAGGTGCAGGGAGGCTATGGCAAATATCAGGGCACTTGGATAAAATTCGAGCGAGGAGTCGAAGTTTGCCGCCAGTACGGTGTGGAAGAGCTGCTGCGACCATTGTTAACCTACGACATGGGCCAGGATGGTGGTGTTGCAGGCCGAGGCGATTTCAACACCCCTACCAAGGAGCAAGCCATGGCGGCGCAGAGGAAACGCATGTATAATGCTGGGGGGGATGGAAGACCCAATGGTCTGTCGGGCACCTTTTTCAAGAACATTTCTAGCACGGCCTCACACGCAGTTGCTGCTATCAGCAAAGCTCGTTTTGGCTCCCCTGGACCCCGAAACCGAAATGCCCCGTCAAGAGCCCCCAGCTTCAGCCGCCAACCCTCGATGCAGAATGGCGACGATTTTCCCGGAAACTCGCAGCAAAGTTACACCTCCGACTACACTAACCAAGGCGTTGACTCTGCTTACTCCACACAACAACAGCAGCAGCAACAACAACAGCATCAACAGCAGTCGCAGCACCAACAACAGCAACCGAATGGTAGTGTGAGCATGCCTGACAACGAGCCGCCTAGAAAACGCGCACGGGTTACCATGACTCCCGCCGACAGCTTTGGGGCCTATGGACAGAACATGGAGGTCTACGCCAACGCCTTTCCGGGATCACCCACGGAACCAAACGAGTCCTTCGTATATACTCAGCAGAGCGCAATTAACGATCGCGACGCCGTCGACGAAGGCAAGGGCCCGTCACCCCCGCTTCCCTACGAGATGTCTCCCGACGTTGAGATGAAACGCAGCATGCTGATGGGGCTCTTCATGGACTCAGCTACGGAGGAACTATCACATGATATGCTTCAGACATTTACGCCTCTGGAACTCGATATGCCCATTGATCCTCAAAGCCACACTGCACTTCACTGGGCAGCCACACTGGCACGAATGCCTCTTTTGCGGGCTCTCATCACCGCTGGAGCCTCGCCGCGACGGGTGAATGCTTCGGGAGAGACTGCCCTTATGCGGGCATGCCTCGTCACAAACTCCATGGACCAGGGCTCATTCCCAGACCTTCTTGAGGTTTTGGGTGGTACTATTGAGTTCCGTGATCACAAGGGACGAACCGTTTTGCATCATATTGCCGTGACAAGTGCGGTCAAAGGCCGCAACGCCGCCAGCCGATATTATCTCGAGAGCTTATTGGAGTGGGTAGTTCGACAGGGCAGCGTCCCCAACAGCCAAGCAACACAGTTGAATGGTAACGGTATCAATGGCTCACAATCCATTCCCAAAATGGGCATCGCACGATTCATGTCCGAGATTGTCAATGCCCAGGACAGCTCAGGAGATACAGCACTCAACATTGCAGCTCGAATTGGAAACAGGAGTATAATATCTCAGCTTCTCGAGGTCGGAGCCGATCCAGAGATTGCCAACCGCGTCGGTCTACGGCCACTGGATTTTGGTATTGGTGGTGAAAATGCTGAAGGAAAGCAAAATGGGGATGCAACTGCTGAGAAGAATGGCGCCCCGGGATCCAGCCAGCGAAGTCGTGAAAGTAGCGATGAGATTATTGATTGTGAGTTTTATTCCTGGCTCATATTCTCCCCCTTGCGCATACTAATATTATATAACAGCCATTACCCATCTCCTGAATGAAACTGGCGCCACTTTCCAGCAGGAAATGAAGAGCAAACAGGCTTCTCTAGACAACCTACATTCTACCCTCCGAACTACCTCCACCCAGCTAGGAGAGGCCCGCCGAAGCGTCGAGCAAATCACGGCCACCCTCAAGAAGCAACAACTAGCCCGCCAAAAGGTCGCCAACCTCACCCATGCTCGAGAAGACGACCAATTCAGAATCATGAACGAGCAATCCAACGCAGCTCAGTCCAACCCATCATCATCATGGGAGACCGAACTCGCCGCCATGCTGGAGGCTGCAGAGGAGGCCTCAACGTCAGGTGGTTTCGCCAGCGAGGGAATGCTGCCCTCTGCGACAATATTGCGGGCACGAATCCGCGCCATCGAAAGCCGCAGAGAAGTCACCCGCAAAATGGTCTTGGCCCTCAAGGGGCGAAGCCGCGACGTCGAAGTTAAGTATCGTCGTGTCGTTGCGCTGTGCACAGGCGTCCCGGAGACGGAAGTAGATGCCGTCGTGGACGGTCTCCTCAAGGCCGTTGAAAGCGAGAAGGACGAGCTGGAGATAGGAAGGGTAAGGAGATTCCTCGGAGGAGTCGAGGGTGTTGTGCACTAGTGATCGCGCTCACCTCGTTGGATCTTCTTATTCCGCTCCCTTTTTCGCTTTTACTTTTGCTTTGGTCTCTTGAAAAGTAGCGCTTTTTGTTTTTGTTTTATTCCCGTCGAATTCGTTGTATATTGTACACTGCATATGTGGGACAATTTTCCGGCATGGGCATATCGGACATTATTCTGGCCTCTTTTTTTCTCGACCTTCTTCATGACGGTCCTCATTTCACCCCCCTTTTTGTGGCGGTACATCACATTACTTTATATATATATACATACATACATATATTCATATATGCGTGTGGCATTTTTCCGGCTTGCTTTTTTCCTGTACACTCGGATATCAAAGGAGGTGGGGAGAGGTGTTTGGTTCGGTTGAGGGTCTGGCATCGTTGGATGTATATCACCTTTTTTTTTTTTGGACGTTTTCAAGGTCCTACGATGGTGTCTCTTTTTTATTCCTTAGTTTGTGTTCATTGTATACCGGAGTTTTCATCTTGATGTTTATTTTTATTGCATGTAATGTAATGAACGCATGTTTACGTGAGGGCTTCGAAGGAGAACAATGTCTTTATTACTACTCAAAATTTGATGGGATGCTCAATACGGTTGATAATAATGTGTCGAGAACAAGTGATTGACTAATATCTGCTACCTATATTACTTCGACGTTACTCTAGAGATATCGTAGATTATTGCTCTAATCAAAATTCTCAAATAACACCCTCCCTAACATGGCTTCGAAGCAGTGAGAGACCCAACTTGCCTTGGCCCCCCTTGAAAAGCAAACACTCAGATAGCTTCCGGTCCGCCGTAAACGCCATACAATGCCAGTAACACCAAGAACCACGCAATAGTCCCGTCTTCAGCTCGATAAATATTCGCCTCGGGAGGATGGTGCAAAAAACGAAAGAACGAAAGAAAGGTTATTTTCCACCTAGGCACCATTCCGATATGCCACCTCCCACTTCTTCTCCACATCCCCAATCTTCTTTCTCAGCCCCTGGATCTCGCTAGTGAGCTCGTCCAAATTCCTGGACAGGGCACTGACTTCTTCGAATCTCCTTGCGCCATGGGCCGACTTGACCATTTCCTCAACCATAAACTTTTGCTCCTCGAGGACGGCAAGGCGCTCTTTCAGGTCCTTTTCTTCCGTCTCCAACAGGCTGACCACCGTACTAGTTTCGCTAGGCGCCTGGGAAGCGTTCTCGGACTCGGCAAGTTCTGAATGACGCAGACTTGACGTCGAATGATTTGTTGAAGGAAGGAAATGTGAGTGTGATGAGGATGTCGACGGAGTAGATCGGTGGCGCAGCAACTGTGGTAGGTTTTTCAGCGGTAGCATATTGGTATGTAGAAATGAGCTCGCGTAAGCGTAGACTGCTATTTGCAATCTTTGCTGAGTCGGGTTATCTGTGTTCAAGTCGCGCAACCTCTTGGCTGCGGATCCATACTTGGAGAAGCTGTCTATTAGACGCTTCCGTATCTTGCTAGCCTCTTGGATTTGCGCGTGCGTAGGCGGAGGTTTGTTTAGATCGACCTCCCCGTTTTCTTTAACCTCTGGCTGCAGGGCCAGAAGCGCTCGATGGAAACTTGGTAGAAGCTGCCGTATGCCTCGCTCAAACTGGCGAAGCGTTTCATAGGCTCGCTGATCTGGAGGTCTATACGCCAAGGATGCTGCAAAGTCGCGACTGGAGAAGATAGTATCGTTACATTCCTTGCACATTCTAATATCCACGGCCATATGGCCATTAGCGGTAGAGGAGGGCGGCTTCTCTGTGCCGGGGCCGGTTGCTATATGTGGGTTAGTCTGGAGAAGAGGTGAGGAGTATACAAAAGGCCAGGTTATACGTACGTCCAGCGATGCTTAAACTGACTTCCGATGAGCAGCCAGTTTGAGGGTCTCCGCACACTACGCGGCCACAGATTCGGCAGTGATGTCGCCTAAATGTCCAGGAGCCGAACTCCTGGCGGCAAAAGGGGCAGTCCGGCACCTTGTCATCCTCCTCCCATGTCACCACTGACTGCTCGATTAATTTCCGAGGATTCTTTTGGCCTGTCAAAGATTGAACAGGACCTAACAATGATCCGTTCGATGCGTTGGTAAGCGCCTCAGGTGAATTCGCAAGTAGTCTCGTAAGCTTGGTTAGTCGCTTCTCTAGTCGCGAAACCTCCAAGGTGTGTCTCTCGACTTTATTCCTCCTAATAGCCTTAAACATGTCCGTATGGTCGACCGAAGTCCCGTTGTGATCGTTGTATCCTTCCCTAGATTTGTAGCATGTCTCGCAGACTCGTGCCCAGAAACCGCGAACAGGTTCATGGCTTGCACTCCTACTGAGCTTCATCTGGTACATGGTGTGCTGTTCGCAAAAGAGTCGCCCGCATTTCCTGCAGTTGACGCTTCCGTTTATAGGACCAAGGCCCTTTCCACATGTTGGATCCGTACACATATCGTAGCCCGTTGAACGTTGCCAATGACTTCTGGTTATGAATTCTTCTGGGTCGACGGGCGTCTCTATGGGGAGTTTGCCGGAAGAGCTGGTTCCTGTCGGCAGCGGTGGCGTGATGGGGTTGGATTCGTTGGATTCGAAAACCTCGAGGCCGCGCAGTTTCATATTGATCATGGACAGCGGCTGGAAGCGCTTCGCTTTGAGGACCTGCTTGTCGAACCATGTCTTGACCTCGTTTTGTTCTTCGGCAGGGAGTTCTTGGTGGGTGTCGTCGATGTGGCGGTTGAGCTGGAGCAGCGTCACCTTGAAAATGCCATCAGCGTTAGCATGCGTCACGGTAAAGAGTTCCTCTCTCATAGCATCACGGCATCATACCATTTCCTCGCTGCAGATGGGGCACACAAGGCTCGACGCATCGGCTGCGCCGCCCTTTGGTTGTGCCCCAACGCTGATGCTGGAGCCGATATCCTGGCTCAAGTCGGCCAAACTCCCGCTGGCAGGCGGCGATATCGAAGAGGAAGCGATAGAAACGGTGCTCTCAGACGGGGCAAACGGACTGGATGCTCGAGGCACAGCCGGAGGGGTCGGACCAAGGCCCTTGCCGCTCCCCAGGATCCTGCCGCCGCCGAGCCTGCGTCCAGACATGGCGGTTTGCGGTGTTGAGCGAGAAAGAAGTAGAATAAGGCGACGCACAGGAAAGGGGAAAAGGAGCAACAGAGGCCAGAAATTACAGAGGCAACCCGGAACGACGAGACGACCAGACAAGGCCGATCCGTGCCTGGAGCTGCATAGCTGGAGAGCAAGGCAAGGCTAAGAGGCTGAGGGGGCTGTGGACGCATGTATATGCGGCTTGTTACGTCGCTGCCGCAGGGTGGCCCCCCGCTAATGATTTAATGATTCGATGATTAGCGCACTTGGCTGCTACTGCACAGCGCCCTCACAGCGCGCTTGACGCTTCCCGCCCGCTGTAATGGCGTCCGCGCGTGCCCGTTTTAGCGCCCTTGCACGTCAAGCTGATCCCTGTAGCAGCAACATGGAAACAACTTGCAGTGGGTCGGCTCCCCAGGGCTGCTTATCGGCTCACCTTATCGGGCTGCGAAAAGGCCCCGTCCCCAATTCCGCCGTAAGACTTGCACCGAGACCTTGTCTTTGACTCCGAATCCAAAACCGTGTCGCGTGGGCACCCAATATTCGCTTTCAACCCTTTGCAATTGATCAAAATCCTTACTTGAGTACAATATTTGGACAATGGGCAAGCCGTTTCCGCAAGTTCAGCCTGGAGGAAGCCTGATTCTGGCATACCGCGTCAAGGACAAGAATGTCCTGGTGGTAGGCGGTGGTGAGGTAGGTCTGGTCTGGTCTCTGTGTCTGGAGCCCATCTATATCTTGACACCCCTTCGAGTTCACGGCCAACTAACAGGATCATCCCGGCAGGTCGCGGCTGGCCGCATCCTCAACTGCCTCAATGCCGATGCCCAGGTCACCGTCGTCTGCCCTGCGTCGGGCCTCAACGAAGAGGTCGCCTTCCGAATTGCCGAGAAGCAGGTGACACACATCGACCGCCTGTTCGAGCCGTCCGATCTAGACAAAGCAGACATGGTGCTGGTGGCCATCGACGACCCGGCAGCCTCTACGACTATATGGAAACTGTGCAAGGAAAAGAGAATCCCGGCCAACATTGCAGACGTCCCCCCTGAGTGCGACTTTTACTTTGGCAGCGTCCATCGTGACGGGCCTCTGCAAGTCATGGTCAGCACCAACGGCAAGGGACCTCGGCTGGCGGCATCACTGCGGCGACACATTGCCAACCAATTACCACAAAATGTCGGGAACGCTATTGAGACAATTGGAGAGCTGAGGACGCGGCTACGCAAGGTTGCCCCCAATCCTGAAGACAGCCAGAAGCGAATGCGATGGTGAGTTTGGACACGCCCTTGGGGTCGACACCTAGCAATTGCACATGGAGACACTGACAGAAATAATAGGATGTCAAAAGTCAGCGATACCTACAAGTGGGAGGAGATGAGTGAGATCACGGAAGAGGATATGGACAACCTCTTGCTCTTCTACCCGGTGAACAAGGTTCCGGATATCGATATTTTGAAATCTCTACGCGGCCCGGACAACGACGTGAAGAAGCTCGACATCTTTGACGGGTCGTTTGGATTCAGCGTGGGGTCATGACGATGGTGAAAGTGAAAGAGCCGGCCATACGGGGTTGTCTTTTTTTGTTTGGCCAAGTTAAAATGGGAATCTCCTAATCATGTGTTTTTGGTGTTGATGTACTATAAGGAGCAAGCGCAGAGCTTTTTTGAATACCAGATATAGAATGACGTGTTCCTATTTTCTCATTTCTTTGCCAATTCGGACATCAATTCGGCTCCTCTTCTAGAAGAACAAAAAGAAGAAAAAATGAAAGAAAAAATAGATTCCAAGGTCTCAGCCCAGGTGTAACTTTTCCGCCCATCACGGGAATTCCGAAATGTGGGATGACGTCGTACGGCGACCGGAGTTGAAGCCCATTCTCCGGCCATGTTCTTCGGATATGCTCTCAACCACAACACCGGGCATCTAATATGCAGTGGCTCGCCGGTTGACTCAGACGGCGAGTGAATTTAACTTTAGATGTTATTGTTCATCGAACTTCTTTATATATAGATACAGAGAGGATGGAGTATGGCTGAAGAAAGCATCCTCACTCACCATTAAACAGCAACACATTACTGCTCCCCTACGAGGATTTTTTCATACGAAGATGGCTCCCCCCACCGTTCTCATTATTGGCTGTGGCGTAGCCGGGCCGGTCCTTGCAATTCTTCTCAAGAGCAAGGGCTATCATCCGATTGTCTTTGAAAAGGTCCGAGAACTTGGCACTGCCGGCGCATCGTTGATGGTAATGTCGAACGGGTAAGCGCTATGCTAAGGAGCAATACATCAATCATGATACAAAAATATTAATTTCGGAATTTACAGGCTCAAAGTCTTTGACTTGATTGGAGTTGCAGATGCCATCAAAGCTGATTCCCTTCCACTAACAGCCCTTTGGGATGCCAAAGCATCAGGAGAGGTTTTAGGACAATCCAGTCTACCGAGCACCTTTGCCGAGAAATACCAACAGCCCGCCACTGGTATCAGGCGAACGAACCTTAACCTGCTCCTGAAGAACAAGGTGTTGGAAGCGGGCATTGAGGTCAGAGAAGGATGGGGGCTTGTCGATATACAGGAACACGAAGACTCGGTGACGGCGACTTTCAGCAATGGAGAAACAGTAACGGGATCTTTCCTCGTCGGATGCGATGGCATCAAGTCGGCATCAAGAGCCGTCTTGCAAAAGCAAAAGGGGGTTGAAGAAGGCGCTCCTTCATTCACAGGTCTCACACAGGTTCGTCTGACGATAACCTGGTCAAGATGATGCCAGATTACGGAGTGGCTAACAAAGAGATGCAAAGACGGCCTTCTTATCAGAGACACCGGAAGCCCTTCGAGACACAGCAGCGATGCGCAATTGGTACGGCGATGGAGTTCACGTCATTTCCTACCCAGTTGGCCCAAGGACCATGTCATGGGCCCTCACGCAGCGAGAGACTCAGGAGAGGGAGGAGACATGGCGCCCCTTCACAGCCGACGAGATGGAAGCTCAACGAGATACCCTTTGCAAGCTCCTCGATGGTTGGGATGCCAACATCGCCCTGGGAGTGAGATCTGCTGAGCGAATCATCAAGTTCGGCCTGTTTGATCGCGATGAGCTGAAGCCGGAGCAATGGTACTCGAGGCGTTGTGTGTTGGTCGGAGATGCTGCCCATCCCACAAGCCCCCATCTCGGTCAGGGAGCGAACCAGGCCATGTAAGTGATAATGGTATTCATCGTATTACCGCGTGTATTCTAACAATTTGGCTTTGCAATACAGGGAAGATTGCTACCACCTGAGCAGCGCGCTCCCGAACCTCTCCCCCGACGCCCAAACCGAAGATTACGCCAAGAACCTCGAGGCCCTGGGAAGCAGTCTCTCGGAATCCATATTCCGCCCCTTTGCAGAGAAGCGCCAGCCACGGACGTCTATTCTCGTCAAGGGCGCTCGCGCTCTGGGCGAAAAACGAGTTGCCTTGGGTCCCGAAAAGGGCAGAGAGCGAGACGAGTCCGTTGCGCAGTCTTACGAGGGCAAAGCCGAAGCCATTGTCGCCAAGTTTGAGGGGCTGCTGAGCCAGCCGTTTAATTAGATGTTTCGGAGTAGATCATGAGGTTAATTTGTCAAAGCGTAATGACTCTACCACTTCTACAGAAATAAATGTACATATTATCTGGAGCTATCAAAAGGGAATAGCCGGGGTGTATGTGTCTGTTCGGGGTTCGCCCGGCGAATGACTGTCATATATCGATTCTTGAGTCCAGAACCAGCCAAAACTAGGTCAAGCCGCTGAAAACCTTCCAACAAAATCTTAACCCAAGGCGTCCAATTAGTTTCTCTAGCCTCCAGTTCTTAATTCTAGTTTCTTCTTTAATTCTTCTCGATATCTTTTAAGCTTTTATTCCTATTTCTCTGCAGTTAGTTGTGTCCCGTGTTGAAAATTGTCCGACCGGGGAACCGTCTTTCTCCGAATAGCCTTCATGTCCGAATCTCCGGTCAACAACCAGGCCGGCATCGAGAGCCAAAAGAGGCCCCAGCGCGGTGGCCGCAAGCCCCTGAGCTGCCTTGCTTGTCGCCGGCACAAGCTGAAATGCGACCGCAAGGTGCCCTGCGGCACTTGCATCCGCTATCGTCGGGAGGCCCTCTGCCGCCAGAATCCCGCGCCTCCGAAGCGAGGCCGGGCCAAGAAGGCAGCTCGGGATACCGATATTGATGTTGGATCGGAGCTGGCAGATGCTGATCTTGCCGAGTCGGATGCCGTTGGCGAAGTTCTGCAAGCCCCGGACCAAAATCCTATTGTTGCCGGATCTACCGGCCTGGGCCTGGTTCGTCTTCGGAATAGCTTCAGAACTCCCGGAGCTGAGATCAAGGACACTCCCTTCTTTCTCCGGGCCCTCGGCTTAGATGCCAACACCACGGCCATCCCCGTGTCTTCACTTTCACAGCTTCTGGCTGAAATTCAGAGTGCTGGCCAACCGTCTCTCTTGTGGCACATGATGGAGGGAGCTACCAGGAGGCGATACTGGGAGACGCAGCTGCGATCTGCCCTGCCCTCACGGACCATGTGTGATCTACTGCTCAACTATTACATCGATCACATCAATTGGATCTTCCAGATCACGCACGTTCCGTCGTTCCGTCGCGAGTACGAAGAATTTTGGGATGCCGGGGATGACCACGAGCTGGACTTTATTTTTACGGCCCTCGTTTTCACCATCATCTCAGTCAGCGCCCTATATATTCCGCCAGGAACAGTTGAGATATTCGGATGTCCGAAGGAGTCGATCCGAGACCTTGCGCATGTGTGGCATAGGGCGTCTCATCAGGCGTTAATGGCTGGAGACTTTGAGTCGAAGCCGTGTATTGTGCAGCTTCAGACGTTTTCAATTACGCAGTTTTACTGGTACGCCACGAATGGGATTGATGCATTGAATTCGTAAGTCGTTGGCACGGCGATACATGAAACGCATTCATTCGCTAACTGAACTATATAGACGGCTGGGGCAGGCTGTGCGAACTGCCCAGAATCTTGGTTTAGACAAAGATTTGACTCCCTCTCAAACATTACAGGATGAGATGAGGCACCGCATCTGGTGGGATCTCGTTGATTCAGATACGTATGGGTCCGATACTATGACGTCTGATTCTTCAATCACAATTTCATTCAACTAACTTAATTACTTAAAAAGATTCCAGTCCATCTGCCTAGATCGCCCTCCGCTAATCCGCTTGGACTCTCCGGGAGTCCCCTTTCCACTCAACTGCAACGACAGCGACATGACCGATTCACTCTTACAACCACGTCCGCATGATGAGCCTACCATTATGATGCTCAACATCTACAGAGCCCGGTTCTTCAAACTAATGAATCGCCATCTGTGTCAGAGCAATGCCGATGACCCTCACTCATACGACGCCATCTGTCAGTTGGACGAAGAGGTACTTAAAATCACCAGAACTTACCCCTGGTTCTATCAACTTGACCAGGACGGCCGACCTCCTCCGCTGCCGCAGCCCGTTGGAGAAATACTCACTTGGCAAAATCACATCATCCGTACATGCATCAGCACGCAGCGCATCCGAATGTATCGTCCGTTCCTGTCTCCCCGCATCGGAGACTCTTGGGCGAAATGCATCGAGGCAGCGGAGGATGCAATGGTCGTCTATAGAACCATCCGGACCAACAGGTCGATCACTTCGCTGCAAAAATTCCTTCCTCAGGCATATCAGATCTTTTCTGTTGCTGTGACGGTCACGGCGCTTCTTCTGGTTGAGGGCTCGCTGCCTATATTGCATGTGCGGCAGCAGATCAGGGACCTGGCGGAAGATCTTCAGATCCTGGAAGTCCAAGGTTGCGTGTCTCCTGTTGCTAGTCGCGGGAGACAGGTCTTGCTGAAGATGTTGAGCCTGGTGGACATGGGTAATAATGGGCCATCGCCATCAGACCAAGACACTGATAGCCTGGTGTCAAGCATAGGCTTCATCTTTGGGGGGGAGCAAGCCGCGCGGACATACATGCAGCGACTAGCATCGCGAAACCAGCGGCTCAAGGAGTCAGCAACGAAGCAGCAACCCACGCCCAATTCGACGGAGAACTCGTCGTTTTATCAGGGTCAGTTCAGAGGGGTTATTGACGATAGCACGGCGAATGCATCTGCCGTGGAGACGCCGATGGAGTATATGGGAGAGACGCAGCCTATGGGAGTGCATCAGATGAATTTGGTCATGGATGATGTGGTGTTGCAGAATTTGCTTAATTTCGATATGACGGCGCTGATGACTGATTCTCAATACGGCTGATGGATGGCTTGTCCTTGATGATATCTTGAATATGCTTCGCTTCTTCTTAGATGACTATTTAGAAGATATACCTTGATGAGTCGAAACTGGGGATTATAGTGATCCGATATACCGCGAAATACATGCGAGGTTTATCAATGAAGAGGCAGCCTACCCTCACCCCAACTCTATCTCAGTCTCACTACTATATATATTGCTCTGTTCTCTTATCTCAATAGAGAACCAATCTGATAGTCTGCTCCATCCAACATCTAGTTCACTCAACAGACTTATGTGGCAAGAATACTTCGCCCTCCATCCTGAGTGATCCTTCCCCGGACCCGAATCTTCAAGTGTCCATAAGACAGCTTGATGAGCTGCGGCCTTGCTTTTCCTGCACTCTTCTCCCCCTCCGTATCCGCCAAGTTCTTGTTTGCGGAAGATCCGTTTTGCGATGTCATGGCCGTTGTGCGCACGCCAACTATACCCGATGGGCAAAACAAGAGAGCTTCTCCGCGCCGCAGAGCAACAATCTTGCTGAAGAGCTCTGCTGCAACCTCATTGGGATTGATACGGAGGCGTGCAACGCCTTCAACTTTGCCATCACCATTGGAATCACCATTGGAATCACCATTGGAATCACCATTGCTGGTGTGTTGATTCCTGGTCAGTAGCGCGGCCGATGCGCCAGCTAGGTGTTTATTCAAGCTCTGTAGCCAGTCTGGCGAAGTGAATCGATGCACGATAGTCACAGAGCAGAGATCCAAAAGTTTCGGGGAAATTGTGGGCTCTTGAGTCGATATGATGACTCGAAGGCCTAAATGGCGTTGCAGTCGAATATTGGAGAGAAGTGCTTCCGTCAGCACTTGGCATTCGGCTGTATCCGTCATATACTTGTGCGCTTCATCTAAAGCAACCACGCGGCCGACTTGAGGACTCTGCTCCAGGAATAGACTGAGGCAGATATTGAATAGGGAACACGCAGTCTCCTCTGTCACGCACGGGCAGGACAGGTCGACGATGGTGAGTTGGCCGGTCTACATGAGATTTCCATATACTTAGCGTTGTACAAGAGAGATATGCTAAGAGGGTAGAACAACTTACTTTGGGCTCCCAATCGGTTCCTTTACCTTGGCTTTGTATGGCTTTCTTTTTGGAAATATGAACAACTTGCTCCTTGACCATGAAGCTCTCTAGAGTTTCAAGTCGTAGCTGGAGAGGTTGGAGCTGGGCAGGAGTCAGGGCGGCGTCCAACAAGCTCTGTTTAAACTCGCGATAATTGAATGTTGTTTCCTTTTCCTGCTGTTCGATGCGCAAATCTTTCAGAATACGCTGAACTACATGCATGTACAATGGCATGCCGCCCTGGACGGAGCTAACAGCCATCAAGTCCATCATTCTCTTCGTGTTCAGATCCGATTGATTTATCCGAAGAGTCTCGACTCGGACGTTCGGAAGTTGCGAGTAAATCTTCTAGAAAAGTGTTAACAGGATAATTGTTACCATTCTTGAGTTCTTTGTCTTGACGCACCTCAATTTGCTTCACGTTTGTTGGCGGACAGAGCACTCGCACCGAGATCCCTTTGCCAGAAGCCAGATAGGCGGCTTCACAAGGCGAGAGCCTAGAAGCAGATACCCAAGGATCGTAATGAAACACGATTCCCGTCAATGGATGAGGCAAGAAGTTTGCCTTTGACTGCATTAGAAAGTTTTCCAAAAGGCAGCTCAAAGTGTGACTCTTTCCAGAGCCCTGACTGCCGCAGATGAATACGCTCGAGGGAGCGGACGTGTTGAAAAACAGTCTAGGGTCATCTGCGGCAAATTTGGGACTACTGCGAGCTTCGGATGTATCTTCAATGACACCGGCAAGCAGTCCGTATTGAGTGGGCGGCTTCTTCTTCCCTTTTTTTAGAAATGAGCCATATTCGCGAACAGCCTGAGTGAAGATGGGCGTTGCGGCGAGTTCTTCGGCATCCTCATCGTCGTCATCCAAGGACAAGAGAGACAGGTGAGCCGCGAGGTGTGGATCCTTGGTTGATGGATTACTCGAAGAAAACGAGGCACTGCTCGAAACTGAGAATGAAGGCATCATCCACTTTCTTCTGGAGGCGTAGTTAAGGAGTGTCCTGTATGAGGAATAGCGAAGAAAAGAAGATGGCGACGCAGACTTAGAAAAGTCTTGTTTCTGAGATAGTGTGAGAGCAAAGAGAAAATAAGGAGGGCGGCAATCAGTCACTTAAATACTGCGGGAATTGATGGCATTCACTCAAGGGATGAGTTGTTAGACCTCTAATGTGGGAGGCCTACAATATGTCTCGACTCGATGCCGTGTATGAACTTTAATTCGCTGTAATATACATGGCAGGCAAACTAATCATGCAGGAAGCTCGTCTAATCTCATGTTGTGATATTTTGTCTCGCAAGTGGGAGTCGGTGAGTTTGATCGTAGTCACTCGTCCCTCTCCCGGACAGTAACCATCACCATATGGTAGATGCAATTCACTGTAGTCACCCGGTATCTATGACTCGGCTAATTGGACAGCCAATCTCCCAGGTATCGAGTGCGCCTTGAAGAGGATCCTGCAGCTTGCCGATAGCTATCAGTATTCCGACTCGAAGACTGTATCTTACTTACTTGTTGGCCATATTCGGCACTCTGCGTGTGCCAGGTAGCCAATCTCATCTTGTTAGTAGAACGGATGCCTGGCCATATTTTGAGGTGACTTAGGTAAACTGAGACAATTTTTTGGTCGGACAAGGCTGTTGGTGTCAGGTACTTGTATATACAAGGTACACGAATATTTGTGGCTTTGCAAAAAGTTGAGGAACACAGCGCTTTTCCAGAGGCGCCTCAGGCTTAGACGGTGTAAGCCGAGATAAGTAGGGAAAAGCTTCAAGGCGTTTCGCAATTCTGCATGGACAATTCAGCTCGCTGGAAGCGATGTTGGCTTCGTATATACATATATGCCAATAATTACCCCTCCATTGTCACAGTAGGTTGCATACATCAATTACTGAGATGGTGGGATCCTCACGCGGGGCGCGAGCGAATAACGTCATTGGATCTGGCGAGAATATGCGTGGATCGTATTTTGGCTCAATCATCCTGTCTGCTGTCAATATCAACCAAAACTCTCATCTCAGATCTTCTCATATTCATTCCCGTGGCGATAGAGGGAAAGGAAGAAAAATGCCCAGTATCGATACTTCCATTCACTCAGCACCAAGCGGTGCCGCTGCTCAGCTGGCAGCTCGCCATGCAGAGGAGCAACCTCTCAAATTATACGGGGGATGGTTTTGCCCCTTTGTCCAACGGGCTTGGATCACCCTGGAAGAGAAGAATATCCCCCATCAATACGTGGAGATCAATCCGTACAAGAAGGAACCAGAGTTTCTCAAGCTGAACCCCCGTGGTCTGGTGCCAATTCTCGCTGTGCCCGTCGATGCGGCTGGGACGGAGCAGAGGCCGCTCTTTGAAAGCTCCATCATCATCGAGTATCTCGAAGATGCATATTCGGATGAGTCCAAGCACGGCCCTCGCCTGCTGCCGTCGGATCCGTATCAGAGAGCCAGGGCTCGGCTTTGGATAGACCACATCAGCACGAGAATCATTCCGGCATTTTACAAGTTTCTGCAGCACACCCCGGATAAAGAGTTCACTGCTGATCAAGCACGAGAAGAGCTTCACGGCCACATCAAGACCCTTGTGGCGCAGATGGATCCCGAGGGTCCTTGGTTCTTGGGAGAGAATATCAGCTTGGTGGACATTAGCTTGATTCCATGGGCGAAACGGCTCTTTTTGCTAGATCACTATAAGCCAGGCGGGCTCCAGATACCACAGGAAGGAGGCGAAAATAACGTGTGGACAAGATGGAGCTCGTGGACGACGGCTGTTGAGAATCGTGAAAGTGTGAAGAATACTTGGAGCGAGAAAGAGAAGTATATCGACGTCTACAAGAGATATGCAGACGATACAACAAATTCGCTGGTGGGACAGGCAACGAGGAAGGGCACAAGGCTTCCCTGATGGATATCAAGGGAAATTTCATGAGCATTATTATTCAACTTGAGATAAATGCAATATTGAAATTAAATCCTTTGACTGTTTCTCTTCTTACATTCGAGGTCTAGGGTATCAGCATGCTGGAGTGTATACAGTACGAAATCGTTTATTAACACTATATCCATCAGATAGCAGATAGCAGTAGACAGCTCCAAAACCTCATCTTCTCTCATAACCAACTCCTCGATCCCAGCATCGGCATTGCAGTCATGTCGAACCAACAGGCCTCCCGCTTTACGCCCCAAAACAAAACAACAAACGAGCGACTATCGACAAACACTGTCGGCCTCGTCGCTCTCTCAGACTTCCGCAAGCGGCGCGCAGAAGTTCGCGAGCAGCAGGAGCGCGAGGCCCGCGAGGCTGCGCTCTCAGGCACGTCAAAACCGGACCGCTCGCTGACAGGCACTCCTGACAACGCTGGCAGTGATTCCGCCGGCAGCGCTGGCCCGGGGCCGCTGAAGAAGAAGCTCAAGAAGAAGACGAAGAACCCAGGCAAGAAGCTTCTGTCCTTTGACGACGACGACGATGACGGTGGCGATTCCGAAAACGTGAGCGCGAGCGCTGTTTCTGAGCCGCCGAGCGATAGAGACGGACCTCAAGGCGAGAAAAAATCCAAGATAAAGGCGAACGCTGCGGTTGGGCTGGCCCCCAAAGCAGTGACGAAGGCGGCGCTGCGCAAGGAAGCTGCCGAGAGAGAGGCTCTTCGACGTGAATTTGTTGCCCTACAAGAATCCGTCAAGGCAACCGAAATTGCGATACCGTTTGTGTTTTACGATGGCGCCAATATCCCCGGCGGGACAGTCCGCATGAAGAAGGGCGACTTCATATGGGTATTTTTGGATAAAAGCCGAAAGGTTGGTGCGGAGCTTGGAGTTGGAGAGCAGGCAAATGCACAGAGGGCATGGGCTAGAGTTGGCGTGGACGATTTGATGCTAGTGAGAGGGACTGTTATTATTCCTCACGTAAGTGTTGTCTATTTCATGCTCTCGTCTATCTATCATTCTATCCTTTCTATCGCTTTGTATGCAGAGATGCTAATTCTGATGCTAGCATTACGACTTTTATTATTTCGTCGTCAACAACAGCATTGGTCCTGGCGGCAAGCGCCTCTTCGATTACAGCGCCGAAGCGCCGATCCAGACATCTTCGACCGACTCCGACGACGACCTTTCCTCGGGTGTTTTGGTGACTGCGGCTGCCAAGGCGGCTGCGGCTAAAGCGCGACAACCAGATGTCTCGACGCTGGAAGGATTCGGCGAGGACCCAACTCTGACAAAGGTGGTGGATCGTAGATGGTATGAGAGGCACAAGCATATATACCCGGCCAGCACGTGGCAAGAATTTGATCCGGAGATGGATTATTCGACGCAGATTCGGAAAGACACCGGTGGAAACACGTTTTTCTTTTCGAAATGAAGAGGTCGAATGCGAGTGTGAAGCCCGAATTAAAGAATCGAGCAACCAAGAATCGGCCTAGTAACTGTTCGACTAGTCGCTGATACAAGGAGCCGGAATCGTGTCGGTGGGAGTTGTTGTTTCCTTTGATTGGACATTTCAGAAATATGGCAATTCAATCAATCAATCAATCAATCGAGTCAGTCAGCCAGTCAATTGCCACAGGGCGAAGCAGGCACCGCCGAGGATCAGCCAGCCGGGCCAAAAGACGACGAGGAAGAGGGCGTTTCCGCAGCCCAGGATGAAGACTGCAAATTCGTAAAAGATTCTAGCGCGGACTTTCTGGACGCTCTTGGAGTCCCAGACGTCGACAATTGCTTTGGTGGACATGGCGAATCCGTGCTTGAGGATGAAGGCAGAGGCGACAAACGCATAGAAGCAGGCATATCGTGTGCCGACGAGGAGAGCATAGGAAATGAAATAGGATTGCAGGCAGATGAATAGGGAAATGTGCTTGAAACGATGATGTAATTGAAGGGGAATCGCAAAGGCTCTGCCAAGGCGGGCAACGATGGTCGAGTGGGGCCGGATGGCGACTGTGGGCTCGAGCCGAGATGCCGTCAACAGGGTGACTTTGTCCATTTTGATTTGGCTGGGATGAGATGCGATTCACGAGGGAAAAGGGGGAGATTTGGATGCTACCACGTCCCGAGCAGTGGACGGAGACGCCTGGTGATGGTGTTGTTTATATGAATGGCCACCACCACTACGAGACACCAGCATTTCCGGCTTGGGACGTCCCATGCACTGCTCCGTTGCTATTCCATGCGCAGTTCAGTCGATAGATTAAATTGCCTTCCCGGTCTGTCCAAGGGTGGTCTGAGACCCCAACTCAGATCCGCCATTTGGAGCCAACCAAAGCCCGTTACTGAGGCAGATGCCGGTTCCCCAGGTCCGATTTCTCGCAGCCAAGAATGCAGCACCACCGAAGCGAGACACGCCTAGCCAGCACATTTTCTCTTTCCGGCGCGTTACTCGCTGCAAACTGGGCGTGCGAGTAGAGAGAATACGGAAGCGTGGAGTGGTGCAGCAGCCGATTAAACCCCTCAATGGAGCATCTCGGTGAGGTTTGTGAAGCCCACGTGGGGAGGTGATTCGTTGGGTGGATGAGCAGGCTTGGGGGTTTGAAAGATGGATGGGCGGGATGGAAAGATGCTGGCGGCAAAGACTATTCTTGGTAATTAAATAAATGTATGCTGATTCAACAACGTGCATTCGTGAAGAATGGATTATTGTAGATGAGCACCGTGTCCGAGATGTTCATCGAGGTTGAACGCCAGGAGAATTACGCGGAAAGACGACATACTGAGAGTACTATCCTACATAGAGACCTTTACAAGCTACAAACTAACGCACGATTTAAGCGCCTGGAGGAGCTGCATCTCGCGTACCAGGGCCCTACATGCATGAATCAGACGCGATCAATGTTTAAACGGCAATTAATCGACCGTGGGACAAGGTGTGAGAAAGAGGCGGGTTTGGCCTAGCCTGAGCGCCACAAGGGAGCCCACGTGGTGGTGGCCTGGACCGGCGTTGGTGGGATTTTGCTGGAGGGAGGAATTTGGGTGAGTAGAGATGAGAGACATGGTTGAAGATAAGTTATTGATTTGGCTGGTCATGGGGTTTCAGATAGGCCGTTTTCAATGATTATGTTGTTGTTGTTGTCTTACATTTCCGGGTGTAGCTGCTCTGCTGTGACTTAGACATGGTGTATTGCGCCATTGATGAATGGTCTAATCGTAGGTAAACATAGACAGACACCTTACAATGCCGAATATATGACAAGTAATCCATCTAAACAAAAGATATCAGCTGCTCAAAACACATGTCCTCCCCCATCCACAACAACATCCGCTCCGTTCATATAAGACCCAGCCCTACTCAACATCATCACCACAACCCCAGCCAGCTCCTCCGGCAACCCCATCCTGCCGGACGGATTCCTTTCGTTCCAAATCTTTCGTGCGGCAGCCAGTCCCTCTCCCTCATTCAGCACCGTATCCATGTATCCCGGACTGATGCTGTTCACCGTGATGCCGTATTGCGCCCACTCCGCCGCCAGCGAGCTCTTGAGCATCAGCAACGCCCCCTTGCTGGCATTGTAAGCAACCTGCGGCTGCGGGAAGTTCACTCTGTGCGCGGATATCGACGCCGTGAAGATGATTCTGCCGCCGTTGCCTCGTAAAACCATTGTTCGTGCTGCTGCGCGGGCGCAGATAAAGGCTCCTGTGGTGTTGACGTCGAGGACTCGTCGCCATTGCGAGATGGGCATGTCTAGGGCGTGTGCGCATCCCACGATGCCGGCGAGACAGACTAGCATGTCGACTGAGCCCAGCGTTTCGACTGTTTGGTCGATGGCCTTTGTTACGGCTTCTTCATCCGTGACATCAACTTCACGAGCCTCGATCTTTGCGTCCGGGAACTCGTCCTGTAGAGCCTGTATGGCCGCCCGCGATGCATCGACATTGAGATCGAACAGCATCAGGCCTGAAGCCCCATGCTGGAGCACCGCTCTGGACACAACCATGGCAATGGCGCCGGTACCGCCCGTGATAACGGCGTTGCCGGCGATGCTGAAGCGGCCGGCTGCGGAGGCGCGGGCGGCGGGGTGGAGAGAGTCGATGCGGGCTTCGGAGGCGGGGGAGCGGCCCTGGGAGAGGGTCATTTCGGGGAGGATGCGCTTTGTGAGGGCGCTGCGGTCGGAAGCGTGGGAGGCGGCCATGGTTTTGATTTGGTTTATGTGAGATTGTAATGAGAGGTGATGTGAAGGGACGTGAATGTTGCAGATGGTGTTGATGAGATGGGGAGGCTTGTATGTCGATCGGCTAAATGAGTAGCATGTTATGTAACGATGCAGCTTGCTTGGTTCCATCCAAGCATTTGTATCTCACTTAACGTGAGCAAATCATGGACATAGTCAATGACTTTTTGCATATGAATTATTCAGACCCTGTTAACAGGCATTGCAATTGAAGGCCCCACGCTCGGCTCCCAGAATGAAGCCCATAAGAGGGAGTCTGAGAGAGGCTCCCTCCACCACTCATTACCAATTCTCAGTCACAAGTATCACTGCGCCTTCAGACATTGGCCAGAATACTCGTGTACGTAAAAATGAAGCCATTACAATAACAGCTCGACCGCATCATACGCCTCTTCAACAGTTCCCGTTTAGGATACTCCGTCAACTGCTTCGCCCGTCGCAGGGCGTGCTTAAACAAACCCCACTCTCGTATAGCGGGCTGAAGCCTCACTCCAGCCGCCTCTCATCTCATATATATAGATGCCATAGAGCCCTCACTTACACTCCACGCTCACTCACTCACCCTCAGTCACAAAACAAAACAAAAACGAAACAGCAAATAAACCTTCACCATGACTGCTGACAGCGATCAAACCCACAAAGATGCCACCGTCGTCTACAACTACCACCGCATGAACATGCCCCTCCTCCTCGCAGACGCAATCTTCTGCCTCTGCAGCCTCGACACCCGCATCGCCGCCCACGCAGCCCAGCTCTACCTCGACGGCCTCGCCCCCTACCTCATCTTCTCCGGCGACTCGGGCGCCCTCACAAAGGGCCTCTTCACCGAGCCCGAGGCCGTCGTCTTCGCCGCCATTGCCCGCGAAATGGGCGTCCCCGACGACCGCATCATCGTCGAGCCCAAGGCGCGCAACACGGGCGAGAATGTTCGCTTCACGCACGCCCTGCTGCGGGAAAAGGGATACTTCTTCAAGAGCCTCGTGTTGGTGCAGAAGCCGTACATGGAGAGGAGGACGTATGCGACGTTTCGGAAGCAGTGGCCTGACGAGGCGACGATTTTCGCCGTGTCGTCGCCGGCGCTGAGCTTTGATGAGTACCCTGATGCGAACAACCCGCGGGAGCTCGTCACGAGCATCATGGTGGGTGATTTGATTCGCATTAAGGAGTATCCTGCACGCGGGTTTCAGGTTGAGCAGGAGATTCCTGATGAGGTGTGGGAGGCTGGACAGAGGCTTGTGAAGGCGGGTTATGATAAGCATTTGCCGTGAGGAATTGTGTGATGTGGTAATGTAATCAAGTTTCATAAAGACATTTTCATCTAGAAATAGTAGAACTAGTAGAATTAGATAAGACAGTATCAGCTAAATCGAGCTCTTCTTAGAGAGCTCGCCATGAAATATGAAATAAGGATCAAACATCTCCTAAGCTCCCTTCTTCGCATCCTCCGCAGCCTTCTCTGACGCCGACTTCAAGAACCCCCTAAAACTCTCCAGTGCCGTCTCATCATGCCCTTCCACCCACCGCGCTTCAACTGAAACGTGTTCTCTGCTTACCCTCACAGAAACTTTGAAGCCAAATGCGCAAATCTGCTCCTCAGTGGCTTTACTTTTCTCCTCCGTCTCTGTCCCCAGCTCCATCTCTCGCTTCTTTCGCCGCCGCCACGGCCGTCCCCATACTTTGTCAACGGCCCTTCCAATCCCTTCGAGCTTCTCCTTATCCCAGTTCCAGGAGATGAGATCCAGCGCTGCAATAGCGTTGCTCAGGTTCTCAGCAAAGCCACCCACGCTTCCTCCCAACGGCATCCTGTACGCCAAAACCTCCGTCACGGCCGGTAAGATGCCCCTCGATAAAGCCGCCTTGGTCCCTCTCGCAACACTCTGCGCAGGCCGTAGAGGTCGGAAGCTCCACGCAATCGCCCACCGCCTCGTCTTGTTGCCCTGGTGAAATTCGGTGATGGCATAGTTGTCTATTTTGTGCTCCCGCAGCTTGTCCACGATACGTGTGAGACTTGATAGGAAGCCCACCATGGCTGTGTACCATTGGACGCGTTCGCGCAGAACGAGAGATTCTTCAAAGATGCGGTTGATGAAGCCGACCTCGCCGCCTTGCGTCACCATCTCTACTTTAGCGCCGGTGCAGGCCGTAAAGGGCGGGCGGGATTTCTCCTGTGCGCTCTTGACCATTGCTTCCTCGGATTCGTAAAAGGGGGGGTTCGTCATGGTGAAGTCGATGGAATCCATTTTGAGATCTTCCAGCGGAATGAGGGCATCGTCGGGTTTGCGGCCAATAAGCTGAATCCGGCCGTCCAAGTCGTTGAGCTTGACATTCTTTTTCGCCCACTCCAAGCTTTTATCATCGATATCTTTTTATATCCAGATCTGTTAGTATCGCTTGCAGTGGTGATAACTTGAACAAAGAAAACAACAATAGGAGAGAACGCACCAGTTGCGACAAACGACCACGGCCGTTGGGCACATCCAAGCAGCGGGTATATGCAGCTTGCCCCGGTGCCGATATCCAGCCCAACAACTTTCCTGCCAGGCTCATCATACGATGTCGTGTCCAGCAGATCCTTCAGCCACAGGATGTAATTGTGTCTGTTCGCGACCTAGTCTCACGCGTTTAGATCCTTCGCCACAACGAAGAGCAAAACAACCTGGTCCAACTCACTGGAGGGCACAATCGATCATCTGGCAGCTCAACATGGAGATCAAAATCCACCTTGAGCAGCGTTTTGGTCAATTGCATGACAGCTTTGGGGTCGTTGAAGTTTAGGTCGCGTCCCTTGATGCTGTGTCTCATATTAACTTGGCCATCCAGGATACGAGTCACATCAAGGAAAGAGAAAAACAAACACGGTAGCAAAGTCCGGATCCAGGAGGGCGATGGCTTTGAAATCGGGTGCTTTCGTGTACAAGTTGCGAAAGTAGGCATCTTTAGACTCCTTGGCCAGTGGTTTATGAGATCCCCCAGCTTTGGCGTGCTGAGGGCGGCCCAAGGCATCTTCCATGCTCTCCATTGGAGCTAAAAGAAATCAAGCACCTTAAACTCGATTCCTCATCTGTGGTGTAGCGACAAGATAAAATAAAAAAAATTATGATGAAATTAAATAATGCTCAATGTTATCGACATGGTATGTAATAGATAGGAAATACATCAAAAAGCAACTTGGGCAACCCAAAAGCTGGGTTGCGGTTTGTGCACATGCTTCGTTACAATCATGCACCTTTAGTAGGATATGTATCGTCATCATCATTCTCGCAGCCAATTCACCATTCCAAAGCCGCCATTAGTAGAAAAGCGGCAAACTCTACTGCAGGCTCCATGCAAGCTTGTTTCACCACAGAATTACTCTCCACCTCCATCCGTCCAGAAGCTTCAGGTCCTTTTCGTCAATCTCCTGGTTGCCGTACTCGAGTCGCTGGGAAAGCTTCTTTAGGCGCTTCTGCATCGTCTTGGCCACGCGCAAAGTCACCTCGTTCTGGAACACATACATAACGGAAAAGACAAAGAATGCAATGCTGGCAAGGCGATGATGGCCGAGAACCGAGTCCTTGATTCGCTGGAGGAGGCCCTTTGACTTGCGGAATGCGTACTCGGTGTTGTTGGAAGAAGCCAGCGACTCTTTATCGTTGCCTCGGCGAAACAGCTTGCGCACAACAGGGACAAATGTCGCGCTGGAGATTTCAACTTAGCCAAGAGGTTCTCAAAATAGGAGGCACGGATCTTACAGGAATCCTCCAAACAACCATCGTCGCCATCGGTGATTCTTGGCGTTCTTGACAAGCGTCCGGACCTCGTCTTGAAGCGTCCGCAGCTCGCCGATCAAAAGGCCGGTCTGGCTGCGGATCTGCCACTCCAGATCCACAGCCTGCGATGAGTAGCCAAATGCGCGCCGCTGGTTCTGGAGGTAGATGAGGTGCTTGAGGTTGCGCTGGCAGTTGGACTTGATGTCGGCTAACTCGAGCTGGGGCATCGTGGGTTTGTACGGGGACTGGAGCTGCTGCATCGGCCTGACCGGGTACTCATACGGCCTAGGGGGAAACTCGTGAGGCTTCGGATAGCTGTTGTCCTTGGGATAGTCGTTGGTCTTGGGGTAATCGCTGGCCTTTGGCGGGAAGTCGCTGGCCTTGAATTCGGCCGCGCGTGAAACCGGTGTCGCCCTGGGCAGGTCCATGTCGTTCGCGCGCTCCGGTTGCTGGTCCATGGCCGGTCGCATAGGCAGAGGTCCGGATGATGTCGTGATGCCAAAAGGTCTACTGGACACGGGCGAATCAATGGGCTCGGGGTCGAGCGTCTTCAAGGGCGAGCGAGAATCCATGGCTGGCAGTCTATGGTCACGCAGAGCAGAGCAGAGCAGGGCAGAGGAACAGAAGATGTCAAGAATCACGGCTTTGGGGATGCAAAAGCTTTCCCTGGACAGACCTGATGAGCGCCAAATTGGAGGTGGCTGGTAAGGCTATGATAACACTATTGCATTTTATTACTCGTACATGGCCATGGCCCCTTCGAAGCTGAGGACGGTTAAAAGTGGGGGTTTGGCATCATCCCGTACCGCCAGTATGCAATGAGCCGAGGCGAGGACGAATTTATGCGTATAGACGGAGGGATTGACACCAGGTGGGGGCGCTGAATTGTGCATGACTTCTGCATGTACCAATGCACGTACCTAGGTAGGTAGTACTTAATTGGTAGCTTACCAGCACGGAGGAATTGATTGGAGGCAAATGCTTCTTCATTCGAATGCTACTCTTCAGTCAGCTTTTCATTCTCAATGGCAAAATTGTTATCCGTTACTCTCCATTTCTGTTAGTTACCTAGCTATAGTGGATTATCCGTCCCGCGACATCCACTATATGCAATCCAGAGCCTCTCCACGACCCTGAGCACAAGGCCTCACCGACATGTTGATGTGAATGAATCCCACATCTCCTTGCCAAGGTTCTTTCACAGTCTGTGCAGCTTATTAAGAGCTGTGTTACCCCTAAACCCCTTTGTCAGTTTTCTTCAATTTCCATCCATTCTTTTCATGCTATCCACTACTTCCTTTGTCTGTATCTTGTCCGTTCCGAAAACCAATTGCACCTATACTACTCCGTACGGGCTAATGAAATCTCCAAATACACTGCCGGAGCAACCCAAGTACTAATTTACTACACTGCCACAACCTGCTTACACATTACCGGACTTGCCTCTATGCTCAGTATAGTCGCGTTCATTTTTCCAGAATTCCTCGTATTGAAAAGCATGTCGTGTTGACTTTAACATGAAGATTCTCTCATCCTTGCAACAGAGGAGTACACTGGCTTGTTCTAGACAGTCCGGAGTAGAGCTTGTCATGTACATAATAGTAATTCTGGTAGCCTAGAGCGCAATCTATTTTCTGGTAGTTGGCTTTCAAGGTAGAAAAAATGTAGTATACGTGTAGTACAACTCTAGCATCTCCTAAAACCACGTAGCAGTAACACAAACCATGTCCCTCAGTCTCATCAACCAGGTAGGCATCAAATAACTATCATCATTCTCTGAAGCTCAGCCACTTCAGCTCTTTCGGTTGCCCGGGCCAGACCAAAGCGGAACCCCAGCCGTCGTCTCATTGGCAGCCAGCAAACAAAGACTATTCCTCGAGCTGTCTTAGCGCCAGGTAGCCACTTTAGAGTCAACGGCAATGACGCACCCAGAATCCCCCGCGGCCAGGAGGGAGCCAATAATGGGCAACGTGGAAATGGCCAGATGCCAGCATCGCGTCATGTTGTTAGCTGGAACTCAAAGACGACGTGGCAGATGCAATCTCGGGCGAATCAGACAGCAGCCAAACACGACAAATGCGACTCTGATATGCAATTACACGCATCTGCCCCGCGTCTGCCTACGCTTCAGCCTACCGATCTAGGTAATTACCAGGTGTGCCGTAGTTCAAGCCGGCTTGTTTAGCGTAAGGTAGATGGTGTAAAACGCCTTACATTCAATGTTTTATCGTATGGTTCCTTGGCAAGTACTGTATTCTGCGTGCTTATAAAAAGACTCAGGCATCCCTCTTTCAATCTCCTTCATTCTTGATCAAACATCATCATCTTCATTGTATTGCAAGGCATCTAGTATTGCCGTTCAATTTGTAGCCCTGCTAGACAACTGTCTCCAGCTCAACCAAGTTATTGTGTCAGCTGTTTGTTTGAGTGAAGAATAGTGCACAATGGGTGTCTCAACCGCCATCAGTGATCTGGAATCAGTCCACAAGATTGAATATGTTGCCAGCGATCTCAATACCTCCTCAGTGACCCTCTTTCCCTCTAGGGCGCAAGTATATCGAGAGATTAAAGGCGTCCAGCTCAAGGTAAGCTACCACATTAGCTCATGTTACTTCTACCAAGTTCCTATTAGCTAACAGTTCACTTTAGCGAGGCACAAACGAAGTAACCATTGTTGGGCTCAGCCAAACCATTGATTCGGACTCAATCAAAGTCGAGAGCAATGGCGGCGCCACCATTACCAACTTGGAGGTCGAGGCTGTGACTAACCGCCAGCTATTCCACGAGGTGTATCCCGAGTCAGAATCCGAATCCGAGTCAGATGAGGAAGAATTCTCAGATGATGAGGTAAGGATAGAATACTCGCAACTGACGTCCGCCCGGGCTTCTCTTCACAAGCTTCGGGATGAGTTGGCCGCTGCCCGCGACGGCGCAGGCAACGCACAGAGACGGCTGGACATGTTGGAGGATTTTGGCAGACTTGGCGAGCGCAAGAACGAGGACTTCATCAAGTCCACCCTCGAGCAGTACAGGAGTGAGCGCTCAAAGGCCTTCCAAGACCTGACGGAGAGTAACAACCTCCAGAAGGAGGTCATCAAGCAGCTGGAAAAGGTCGAAAAGCAGTACAACAAGCTGCAGCGAGCTGAAGACAAAAAGTATGCCAAGCAGGACAAGGCCAAGGCCCAAGCAAAGAAGGAAAAGGAAAAGAAGAAGGCGCTTAAGGACCGACTCAAGGGAGAGGCCAAGAGAGAGAGGCAGCGCCTACGCGACGAACAGCAACAATTCTGGCCAATCGAGGTATATAGCGTGCGCATCACGCTCGAGGTTGCGGCCTTTACGCCCATGACTTCACGTCGGGGCTCCACGTCCAGCGACGCCGACATTGCCAAGGTCACAGTGGCTGAAGCTGAAGGCGACGAGGATGCTGGCCCTGTCGAGGTCGATCTGGCCTTTTCGTACGTCACGTCGTCGGCATACTGGACGCCAAGCTACGACCTTCAGCTGTCGACCACAAACGCCTCGGCGACGCTCTACTTTGACGCCATGCTCACCAACCAGACCAGCGAGGCCTGGAAGAGCTGCAAGGTCACTCTTTCGACGTCGCAGGCGACATTCTCCAGCCTCTACGACACGATCCCGACGCTGGTTCCCTGGCGCATCAAGCTCGCCAAGGCCACGCAGTTTTTGGGAAACAACCCCGACATCACTCGCAGCACTGAGGAGCTGACACATTCGAGCAACCGTGCCCATACTCCGATGGTGCTCCATCAACAAAACGCCAAGCGGAAAATGATGGTACGGTCAGCCGCAGCGATGAAGTCAGCCGCAGTAAACGACATGATACAGCACGAGTCCCTCAGGTCGGCGCCACGAGGCCTCTTCGGCAGCGCTCCCGGTGCTCCTCCGCCCCCGCCTGCGCCGATAGCACCGGCTCCGGCGGCCTTTGGCGGAGCGTATGGGTCTGCGGCCCCGGCTGCTGCGGCAAACCAGTTCGTAGGACAGCAGGCACAGCTGCAATCACACGACGTCCTCAACGACTTCGACTTTGACTCTTTCCTCCAGCAGGGCGACGAGGGCGGCCACGATAGCTACGACGCCTCGCTCGTGGAAGAGACGGGCCTGACGACGACCTACGACCTCCCTGGCCTCAAGACGCTCGTGCCCAAGCACAACGGCTCCAAGCAGCGCGTGGCCCGCATCCCCTTCTCCAACGTCGTCTTCAGCCACACCGTCGTCGCAAAGTACAAGCCCATGGCCTACCTCAAGGCCAAGCTCAAGAACAGCAGCAAGATGGCGCTGCTCAAGGGCAGCGCCAGCCTCACCCTCGACGGCACCTTCATGGGCAAGACGTCGCTGCCGCGCTGCAGCTCCGGCGAGTCCTTCAGCCTCAGCCTGGGCGTCGATCCCGCCATCAAGGTCACGTACCCCAAGCCCGAGGTGCGCCGCACCTCCGTCGGGCTCTTCACCAAGGAGGACAGCGCCGTGTACATTCGCACCATTGAGATCAACAATACGCGCGCTGTGGGCGGCAGGGCGGTCAACTTGCTTGTGCTGGACCAGGTGCCTGTTTCCGAGGACGAGCGGCTACGCGTGGAACTCGCGTACCCGCGAGGCCTGGCGATCGACAACGCAAACGGAGTTGCAGTGGGCGAGCCTGGCAAGGCTGGCAAGGACGAGGGCTGGGGCAAGGCTTCGGCGAAGCTCAAGAAGGACGGCCAGGTGACTTGGGACGTGAACTTGAATGCGGGCAAGACGGTCAAGCTTTCGCTGGAGTATGCTGTGTCTATGCCGAGTGGAGAACTGGCTTATCAGGTTTGACGGGTTGTGACAACGTGGTTTGTGGTGATTTTTGTTCATGTAACAGGCTTCCTGTTGGCCGGGTTTTTGTGGTTCTGGTATAAGTGAGGGTTCTATTCTGGTATTGTCTGCCCCCCTGCACAGTTTATATGCATGCCAATCGCTATTGATGGGCGGATAGTACAGCGCAGTATTAAAAGTTAGCACGTTATATATGACATGGAACAGTATCTTATTATTGCTACTATTGGTTCTCAAATCATGTAGGCCACTATAGAAAATGCGAGTGGTATTAATCCCCCTACATCTAGGTACCCCTAACTCTCATGCAAGTGACTACACATGGCCGACAACCACCTGCAAGGCTCAAATACCCAACACAATCTCACAAGGTACATGTTATCCACTTGTATAAAATGAACTGCTGCTCCATCCATATTCACCTTGTACAACGCCGCGGATGCGGATGCCGCACTGCAAGACAAAGGTGTCTGGAACCCGGCCCGGTCTCGGATTAATTTCCCGCATGTTTATGCTTAATAAAGCGAGCAAAGCTGGGGACTGTTCAGACAAAGAAAGATTGCCGTAGAATACTGCATAATACCGAAGTGCCTACAGTACTCCAGATCTGTCGCCTCAAAGCCGATCACGGCTGGAACTGAGATAGCCGAGGCTGGTCAGTGGCTATCAAGGGTGCTGTGGATTCGCCTTGCCGCCCACAGAGCGCCCAAGCGTGCTCCGTCCAAAAGGACAGTAGCACAACAATGTACTCCGTACTCCATACTGTACCACCTGTTCATTTCGCACTCCAGGCCATGACTCTCCCTCCGCAAAGTCGAGACAAATTTCAAAATCCTCGGACATGTCTCGGATTCATCTACCAAAGCGGCAATCCCGTCTGGTCCCTTTTCGGCCCTCCCAGGTGGAGCCCCAAATTCCGGAACAAAGACACAAAAAGGAACATCACGTGATCCCTCTTCCCGGAGCCGGCCTACAATTCTCGTCTCCATCCCTCTGCCGAGAATAAGCCGCCGCTGGGGCCCGGGTAACGTTTCGCGGCGGCGCCCCATTTTTGTCGTACATACGAATTAGGCCTCGAATTTTTCCCTTCTCTGCTCTCTTGTTGGTGCAAATCCCTTCTCCCCGTAGCACAAGGACCTGCTCCACCCCGGACAGCAGATGCCGCTAGCCGTTGCGTGAGAGCCATCGGCTGTTCCGAGTATTGCGATGGAACTGGAACTGGCCGCCAGGGAAGCTGTGGGCACAGACCGGATTCATTCTTTCTTTCACTGCTGCCTACGGCACCCCCGTGCCAAAAGAGGGAAAAGAAATCCCCCAGAGAAAAAGGATTGCATCGTGGAAACGGAGCAGCACGTGGTCCGGGGCAGACACCCACGATTCATCTGTCGCGGCACTCTAAAATGGCTCATCCCCCACAGGTACCTTTGTCTGCTTTGCTTTAAATCCGCCGTTGGCACGGGGTAGGAAACCGTTTGGACAGTTCGAGACGTAGTGCGGAGAGGTGGCATGCCCATCTTGGTATAATGCTTACTTGCTAGGACTCCGAAAGAAAGGAAGCAGGAGGGAGAAAAGGGGTTTGATTATCTCATGCGCGTAGCACACCGGTAGGGACCGGAAGATGCGGAGCTTAGGGGACGCGCTTGCGAACAGTTGGATCTCAGATCTGCCAGCCGCCGACACGTCACGGCCCGAATCGCGCTGCCTTGTCTTTGTCTTTGCCGCGGCGGTTTTCTTTTTCTGTCCCTGACAAAAAGTCGTCTATCCTGTACCATAGTAAGCTTGCGAATACTGGAGGGCGTAGCAAGTACAAGGCACGGCGAAAAAGGAATCTGCCATTCTACCTAATCAGACGACCGTCGTCTGAATAACACATGTCAACGGCGTCTTAGTCCCCTGCGTGGTATGATCCTTGCCCAGGCTGGCGAGAATGATCTGACGCAAAGGGACGTGGTGCGAGGATCGACTGGACTCACAAGCCAGGACCTCTGAATCAAAAGGGCGAAATTAAAATTGTCAGAACTTGCATAATGCTAGCCGCAAACTGCAGCGGGGGATGAGCGGAAGCGTCGCCGCACAGACAAGCACACAAACTGATGCTCGCTCCGATCCGGCTAGGGCTGCAAGTGGTTGCGGGAGAAAGCATAACAACACGAGATAAGGTAATTATTAATAATGAGCACCAATCGCCAAGTAAAACTCCTTTGGGGGGTCGCGCGAAACCGAATGAGAACAGAACTATGGATCAAGGATGTCTATCGGTGAGCAGTACAGTAGGTGCTTGGTACTAAGCGATCCGTTGAATGGTACCTCAGCATCACCAGCACGGACAACCGGTGCGACATGGAGACCCGAGAATTTCAGTCCTCGCAGCAGGCGAGCTCGGCGTCATTGGATACACTCGCATGCAAAACCCAACACAGGAACGGCGTCTTGTTTACAATTCGGGGGCTCAAGTCGCCGTAACTGGCATATCCGCGATTGCGTTGATCAAAGGCGGGACCAAGGTGGACCAGAAATTGGACAAATATCGGAGCACACGGAGGGTCCACCGAGTGCGTCGTGAGGTGGTATTTCTCGGATTTACTCGCACCACTTGTTTGCCCATGGGTACCCCAGAGAGGCCGGAACCAGTTCCATCTGGATGGCTGATGTCCCGGAGATAGCACCCATAGTGAGGCCGACGTTGTTAGCCAACGGCGTGGCCAGCCAGTGTGATGCATGCTGCAACAGAGATCAGCGGCTGACGCCCAGACGATGGTGGCTTCTGGGCCTCTCCTCTCCTGCGTCTCGCATTTCCTTGCTTTCCGCTTTGGCGGAATCTCGCGGTGGCTTTGCGCCTTTGCGCCTCTGCGCCGTTGCGCCTGTGGCTGGCGATGACCCCGTTGCTATAAGGCAAGGACAAGGCGACGAGACACGTAGCATGTTTTGTGCTTGCCAGCAGGAGGCAGGCGACGAGAGGCAAGGGCCAAGGCAAGGCGCGTCCTCAGTGGCTCACTGGCGGCACCGTCCGGCTGCGGACATGATCAAGCTGTTCCGTGGATAATTGGGTTCCACCCCACCGACTGCGACTCTACTCGCGCGCGCGTCTTCTCACTGGTCGCCTCCTTTTCCCCCCTTCTCTCTTTATATCGCCATCAAGCTTCGACACCCAGGCCCACAGCCATTGGCAAATCTGGCAACAGTGAGTTTTGGGCCCCCAGTTTTGACTTTTCTTTTCCAATGTTGCCATGTGTCCTGCAGCCTGCGCAGAACAAGGACGCGACGACTGCAGGCGTCGGTCCCGGAGAGCGAAACTGGCTGTTCTGTGAAACCGGGACGGCGCTACAGTCACCCACCTGCATATTCCGTACTAGCCGGCGCAGACCGTGCTCCGAGAGTACATCGACCTCCGCACAGAAAGTGGGTTGGCCCTCGGATTGGTGCGCGCTGCGTCGTTGCTTGTGAAAGAATGGATGTCCCATTTCCCACGGCGCCAAGCTCAGGTGCTTGCATACGAATACGTCTGTTGGTAGTAGTAGTAGAAGAAGATGGGCTTTCTATTGTTGCAAAGCGCGTATGAGGACCCATACAGGTCCCAGTACAGTAGAGTACTCGTACGGCAGGATGAGGCTCTGGAGACTTTGAGGGACAGCGCCGGCCCCACCCATGCCTTTTTTTTCCCTTTGCCTTATTCCCTTGGTTCTCGTGGCCACACCCTCGGCCCTCCAATGGCTAAACAGGATCAAATGCGCCTTGGACGTGCGTGCCCGCCGAAGCTGTGCCGCCGTCGGAGAGCCACGGTGCACGGAGTACTCGTACATGTACATGGATGGACTCGAAGATAGTTGACACTGGCGCCGTGTGCGTACATGATCGGACGGGCAAAGTCGCAAATCACCAGATCGGGTGCTGCAATTTCAGCAGCCAGCCGAAGCGTCTTTTTCTGCCTCCCTCGACGACTCAACGAGGACCTGGGGGTAATCGGACGATGGAGCTTTTTCGGTTCCGGCGCGGCTCACGGAGAGCTTTTCCAGGTGCACCACGCGCCGCGTCAGTCAGCCCATCTGCTGGGGCACGGCGTAAAGGGACTGGCTGATTGGCCGCATCTCAGCAAGCTCGTCGTCATTGGTCCCCCGGACCAAAGTGGGCGAGCCCGGCTGTGGGAAGAGCAATCGGCGCTTGCTGGTAAAATGAGAACCAAGGTCGGGGATGAGAAATGGGGGAAAGGGGGCGAGGGTCGCTCACCCATCGGCAGACGTGGGCATCCTGTAGTGCGGACGCGCGATGACAAGAGCTCGAATTGCCTTTGGACGGGTTAATGCACCTACTTAGCTGAGCTGCATACAGTGCACGTTGACGGGAACCTGCGGGCCCTCGACTCTGCTGTCACCAGAGAGGATTGATGATTGATGGATGCTTGACTGAGTCGCGAGAGCAAATCGTGCCTCGATGGGCATGGATCAAGTACAGCAAGTACAAAGCAAGTACAAAGCAAGCACCAGCTGTTGGACGCTTGCTGGTCCAGGCCTCGAGTACTGTGGCTGTATCGGGGAGAAGCACGGCAGGCGACAAAACTCCGATCTGTCCTGGGCTGGCTGCGTCATTGTGGGATACCTGACTGGATGTACCAAGGGCACTGGCACTAGCCCGGCCGGAAGAGCGCGACACTCGCTTTCGCACACCCCAGGAAAAGAGCGCAGGCGTCTGTGACTTGGGCCAACGCTGGGTGGTAAAGAGGACGGGAGGCCACATTCCGGGGCTTTGCGAAGGCCAATGCCTCAACTGTTTCTGCTGGAAGTAGAAGGCTTTCTGATGCCGAGTAGACTTGGATAGCAGAGCGCTTGCTTGCTATATTGAGATGATATGACGATGATGAAGAAGAAGAAGAACAAACGAGATCCAAGTCGAACCGAGTACTGCTACAGCACTGTGCCGCTGGAGGAACTCGCTGGGCGCACTGAAAAAACGGCTGTCCAGAACCCTGTGGGTGGGGCCTCGAGGCCGGCAGGACAACGCCTCAAGCCGATCCGCCCGTGGGGCTTCTCAAGCTGTGGCCGCTGCCCGCTGTCCGCTGGAACACACACTCTCTCGACACGCCCCCCGCCTTTCGTCCCCCAAAGACCCTCGCGCCCGTCTCCTGTTCCATCTCTTCCTCCTTCACCCATCGCCAGACTCATTTTTTCTCTCTTCTTCTATCCCTTCACTCACCTGCGCTGTGCAGACCTGCCATCCTCATCCCCTCCATTGCCCCTTTCCCGCGGCGTCCACCATCTTGCCTGCTTCTTTGCTCACGCAATCTCTGCCGAGACGAGCCAGTCGCCAGCGCGCGCACCGTCTTGATCCCGGACCTGCGGTGTCGCCAACTCCGGGCCTCTGCCAACTTGCCCGTCACCATCGCGACGCAGCAAAAGCCCGGTGCCGACCAAGTCGTCTCTGTGACGGCCACGCGCCTCGCCTCGCATCGTGCAGTTTTTCCCTCGTCAATCCCCTCTCCTCTGACCCGAAGCTTCGCCCACAATGTCCTCCGGCGTGGTGCGCTCCACTGCCCTCAGAGCCGGCGGCGCTTGTGTGCGCTGCCGCAAGGGCAAAACCAAGTGCGTCTACGAAAACGGCCGCGCGCCTTGCAAAAACTGCGCAAAAGGCATGCACGAGTGCTATCTGCCCTCGGAGAGCATGGCCCATCACCACGGCCAGAGCCCAGCTCGCCATACCGCTGCCCATCGTCCTGCTCGCGACGCTTTGCCGGCCTCCGGGCCCGGTGCCTCTGACGCCAGGCAGCCCGTTGTGGGCTCAGGCGGAGCCAGACATGTTCAGGCCACCTCCGAAAAGTGAGTGCTTTGTTTCCTTACGCGCCCCCCTCTTTTACCCTCTGTCGCCGCCCGTCACAAGGAAAAAAAGGAAAAAAGATAATTATTATTATCTATCCTTTCCTTCTCCTCATTCCCCCTCCTTGCATCGACGCCATCGTTGCCTTGGCCTCTCTTCGAACGGTGTCAATCCCGTCTCGTCCCCTGGCCCTAGCCCTTGGCCCTCGGTACAGCCTCTGCCCCCGACTATTCCCCCCGAGTGGCCCGGCCGCCCTTTTAGCCTCGTGCACACGTTGCTATGCTACTTGTTTCTGGTCCCCACTCGCCCATTTCCGTTCGGATGGCAGAAGGCCCGATTTTTTTCTTTTTACCGCCGCCCTATGCGCAGCCTGTCAAATCCCTCCAGTCTCGCTATTGGCCGCTAAAGCCGCTGAAGCCGCCGGAACCCGAAGCGGAATATTTTGCTAACGCTGCCTCAGGCTTACACCGGAGCTCCTCGCTGAGTGTGAGCGTGTTGTGTCAAAGACATTCCCGGCCTGCGTGGCCTTTCACAAGCCGACGTTTGTGCAGCAGCTCAAGAACGGCACGCTGGAATCAAGCCTCGTCTACGGTCTTTTGACATGCGCCGCGCGGTAAGTGTCTCTTTTTTTTCTTTTCTTTTCTGCTCCAAGGCATGTGCTGCCGTCATGCAGCAAGGCCACATGTTTCAGCCGCGGCCGGCTCCAGTGGATCAAAAATGCCCGATCCGACGCCGCATGTCAGGCTGCAAGCCTTGTCCGTTGTGGCTTGGCGTCCAGGAACGCGCATTGGTCTGGGCCGGGGAATGGTGTTTTTGGCCATTTCTATGCCTGTTTCTTGTTTCATGTTTCTTGTCTCTGGAATACTGGAACATGTGCTGATGCATCTCCAGGAGCTCTCCCAACCTCATCCGTCGCTATGGCGGCAATCCCACGGCGGCGGCCGACACCTTTGCCGGCAAGACAATCTCCCTAATCAATGCCAACCTGGACCAGCCCAATCTCGCCGACATCCAGGCTCTCTGCCTCGTCATCATTCACGAATGGGGTAGCCGGAATGCCGTCCGTGCCTACGTCTACCTTGGCCAGGCCACGCGGCTGTTGCAGATGTACCGGATTCTTAACAGCCATCACACATCTGACAATGCCGACCAGTTCCTGCGTGACGAGTCTTTTCGCCGCACCCTCTGGCTGACTTACATCCTCGACTGCCTCCTCACCTGTACGCCTGGCCGCTACCCCGCCCTGGCTCTCCAGGACACTGCTGATGTGGCCCTGCCTTGCTCGGACATCAACTTCGCCTTTGGTAACACCGTATATGTGAAGACGCTTCCGCAGCAGCTCGCCCAGCACAACGCCCATGCGTCGCCTGGCCATGTGCCCACCGGCGAGATTGGCGAGTATGGATACATCGTCTTGGCTGCCACTATCTGGCGCGATGTTGTTGGCATGCTCGCCGTGTCCACCTTTCGCGAGGATGACTGCACGGACCTCATCATCAAGATCGAGAGGCTCCGAGCCACCCTCCCCATGCAGTTTGTCGACAAACCTGGCCAGATCAACCTTCATATGACGATGGGGTCTGGCTATACTTTTGCCATGCTGCACTGCCTGATTCACTGCGCCACCATTTTCGTCCATCGCCGACGTCTTTTAGAGGATGTCACGTCTCCCACGTTCAACTTGGAGACATACCGCATGACCCCTCGATGCCACGATATCGTGGACCGTCTCTTCACTTCGTGCCACGGCACCCTGTCTCTCCTGACTGCGGTCGAGTCTGGCGCTGAGAAGGATCATGTCACCTGCTTCCCCATTTTCATGCTCTTCTCCGCATTCACTGCTGGCGCAACCATTGCCTACCTTTCACTCAAGGGGTTGACGCCTCCCAATGCGGTCGAGACGGCGGCGCACATTGTCAAGGACGGGCTGCGCTTCATGCATGATGGCAACGAGAATTGGCCTCTCATGACTAGTTGGCTTAGGCACCTGACCGTTATGCAGCGTGTCCTTCACAACGATGCCGCGGCCATCATGGGCGGGCCTACTGGCCACGGAGGCCATCCTCACATGCCCCCAGCCGCCATCAAGGATGAGATGTCATCAAATGCAGATACCAATCCAGACGCCATGGAGTATGATCAGCAACCCCCTGGTGCCGCGCCTGGCCAGCACGCTGCTGAGCCACGCTCAGTATCCGGCTCTGCCCGAGGGGAGAGCGAGCCGCCCATTTCTCTTCCGCGACGGCCCGGGGTCACAACTATCAACGGGGGTTCTAACAACGTCTCCACCCCAGACACCGTATCCCCGCCGCCCGCCGGTGCACCGCAAGCAAATATGCAGGTGCATGACATTAAGCGGCAAAGCCCCGAGATGGTTCAAAACGGCATGGTCTCAGTCCACGACGGCCAGACCACGAGTCAAGACATGACTGCCCCAGAGCTGTGCGAGGCTTTTGAGCGCCAGCTTCTCGACCTCGACGACCTTGCTGCCTTTATGGGTGGCGGAGTTTGACTCGAGGCAGCGGGTGAGGCATCACAAACGGCAATTACGGACGGAGCCATGATGCTAATGACCCTCGCTGGACGCGCAATCTAGAGAGGGTGAGCTAGCTTTGCTAGCATCTCCTTCTCCCGTTTCTCTTCTCTCTCTTTTTATTTTTCAAGAGCGTACAAGATGGGATCTGCAAGACAATGAAGGGCTATACAAAATTACGGCATCGTCAAGACGCATATAATGACACGAGACGGAGACTGAAATCTTTACGGGTTGAATTAATATCGGGGTTTGTACGTGTGTAGGACTATTAAACGGGCAAGTCTCCTTTTTTTTTTTTTTTTGGTTTTGGTTTTCCGATACCCCGGAGGGAGGGCGGCAGGAGAGGCGTTGAGGCAATATAGTGATGAGGAATAGTCGACCTGAGTAGTTTTGATAGTTTTGGTTCAAGCTGGACTGAATTAAGATTATGCAATTCGGAAACTAAGTCTTGTTTTTGAGCTTTGAAGCTTTAACCAGTCGTGAGCATGACTCGCAGTAGTAGATAAGTAAGGAAGAGTTCGGAAGTGGCGCGGGAAGTGGGAGTAAGTGGAAGAGAATGCTTGACAGGCTTATCAGAAACACCACGAATATCTCTGTATGTTGAAGCGATGACTTGTGAGAATGATTAATGTAATTGCTTGGTCTATGCTTGATTACGATTGACGCGGCCCTCCTCCCGTATCATTCCGAACCCCCCTTTTCTCCGCATCGCTGAGAGTTTCGTAAGGTTGAAAAGTCGAACGGGCGTTGGAGAAGCGCCGTGATGAGACGAGAATTTTTGGGGTCGAGATGTGGGGAAACAGAAAAGAATGGGACGGACGTGGGGAAACCGGGGGAGAAAAAATCAATGGTCTTGGTTGGGGCGGCAGTTGGAGAGGGCTTAGTGCGCGGAAAGGGACCGAGCATGAATAGTGGATTTTTTTGGGGCCGCCGGTGGTTCGAGGCGAGGTTTTACTGTATATGATTCTCTGGCGACATGCCTGTTGCGAGCGAGAGAGGAGATTTTCGTCTGCGTGGAGACGAGAAAAGTTTGGGGTAAAGGGGATTTGATTTGACGTTCCGGAGATGTGGTGTTACATGGAGTACGAGAAAAAACCGGATCTTAGATTTGGAGATGAGATTTGCGGAGGAGAAGGCGTTGCAATGGTGGATGAATCCGGAGAGCTGTCGGAGACGTTGCAGGGATTTGACTTTTTTTTCCTCTTCTCCATTGCTAATCAGAACTTTTCAAAGGCCGAGGAATGGAGGCTGAGACTAGTATTCGGTGTTTGAAGCTCACATCGTGTTCACCCGCACAGGGCATGGTGACGCTCCGTGAGCTGAAAATGAAAGGATTGCTATTCCTGGCTACACTAGGGAGCTCTCGCGTGGCCAACGTCGCATTCTGGAGTCTATCTATTGTCCTGTGGGTTGCATCTGTCGTCTAGTGCTTAGATTTTGCAACAGACGAAAACGCCGCTGTTCGATCTTGGGCTCCGGAGCCTCGTGCTGTTCGCGTGGGAAGACATGCCAACTCTAACGCCCTGGGCTCTAGGTTCTAGATTGTTGGCTTTTGGGGCTGGACTAGTATTTTCCATGTCAATTGGGCGGGACTAAATCCTATTGTTGCCCATGAGCTGGAGCCCTATTGTCAAGAGAAGTAATCACGTGTGTGTCGTCTGTGCTTTTTTTTTCTTCTTTTTTTTTCCACTTTGGCCGTTTTCAGATTTTGGTGCATCTCATTATGTCCGTATTCGCATGCCCTGGCCTGGACGAGCTGGGAAGCCGCTTACGTTTTGCCTCTGTCAAGGTCGCATCCAGACACCAGCTGTGCTGCAGGGAACTAGGATCTGTGAACTGAGTCAAAAAAAGCAGACTACCTATATCTGGGACTGTTCGGACTTCCTCCGGAAGAGCCTGCATGTGAGCTGGCTTCGGCCTCGCGTCGCACTTGTACATAGTACGAGCCAGCAAAACTGCTAGTGTCTTCTTTTCTGCTTCTCTAAGCCTTCCCTCGTCTAGTTGGTGGGCTTTTCCTCAAGCCTTCATGCTTGTTTTTCCTCCTTTCAAGCGAAGAGGTGCGGTGCAGCGCCGGCAATCAGAAGTAATAGCCGAATCAACCGAATTTGCCAGCCAATGGAAGGGCACCAAAATGCGCGTACTAACTTATGTAATACCGCTAGTCAAAGCTGTGGCTTGCAAAAAAAGAAAAAAAAAGAGAAAAAAAGAAATAGAAAAAAAAGAAATACTGGTGCCTGCTGCTGAGGCAAGCGGACAGAGTTTCCTTGCCCTGGCCTTGCCTTGCATTAAGCGGCAGCGCCAAAAAAGCAAAAAGGCTAACCCCATGCGAGCGGGGAAGCAATCTCGAGAGCCTCATTGGCCTGTGCTCGCCAGAGATGCCACGCCAAGACCGCATACCGGCAATCTCGTGCCGAGAAGGCTGTCATTGCTGCCAAGACGGGATTAGGCTTGGCATCTAGTGCTGCAGATCCTAGTCCAAAGACAAACTATTCGTGACTTCGTTTTGGCGGGGAACAACACACCTCGAGGCAAAGGGCCTGGGGAAAGCAAAATCCGATATGCGATGATGGCGCCAAGTACGAGCAAGTGTGCCATGTTTGTAGATCCGTGGAATTGCCACTGAATCTGGAGAAGCTGCTCTGTGATTTTGGCTGTTGTTAGCTTACTAGCAGCTCTGGCAAATGGCTCATTGTCACGAGTTGGAGACGGGCTGCTTTCGCGATTTCCGAATCATGTTATGCTTGAATGGCGGAGAAAGAGGGCTGACCACGGCTTGCATCATGGTCAAGTTTCTCGGCTAGGCATCTCGAATCAGGGCTCTGGCCAGCCATAGAGGCGTTATTCCGGTCGGTTGGCGTTTTATCGAACTTGGTTTTTAGGTTTATCTCCAACTCGCAAAGATATCGAGACGAGTCAAGCAACGACGATGATCGAGTAAATGCGGCTGCTTCTACATTGTTGCAAGCATCGTACTTTGTAATACATGACCCTTCTTCGGCATGGCCGCCGTTCTTTTCCGAAATTGGAGACTTCTTCGCCGTCATCCGATGTGTGCCCGCTAAACAGACTTGAGGTCACAGAGTTTGGCCGCTTCCGGCTGTCAAAGCAAAGGCAGGCAAAGCAAGGGTAGGAGTATGCATTACGAATTCCCACGAAGATGCGTTTGAACGGCAAACCATGATTTGGGATGTTGCTCCGTTGGTTTGTGACATCCATGTAAGTCACTTGCGATGGGCTCCATCTCATGGTGTGTGACTGGCCGGCAGACGCTGTCATGGTGGTTCCAACCCGGGTGGATCACGCTTTGCTTTTCTCTGATTCTACCTCTCTTCGCCCCGACCCCGGTTGTTGCTTCGTATTCTCATTCATTGCACAGGTACAGCTACCCAGGCCATGGCTGGCAGATCCTACAATAGCCAGGCTGCTGGTACGCGCACCGGGCATGACGATGGGTCTCAGCCCACCTCAACAGCAACAGAGAATAAGCTTGTGTTGCCGTGATGTCTGTGGAGGCAAGGCTAGAGAATAACTAGGCTTGATTTCTAGCCCCATCCTGGCCCCATCCCCGAGCCAGTGCCAGTATCACACACTGGCATGTACTCGTGCTTGTATTGTTGCGATTTCGCCGTTCTAGACTGGCTCGTGGGCCGGCCCCAGGAAGCGTGGAGATGGGCTAGGAGCACAGGCACAGGTAAGCCTCAACCCTGGATGATTCCCGCTTTTGTACATGATCATTCTGGGGTTCCCCAACTTCGTCTGTGTCTGCGAGTACGTATCGCCCCTCGCCCTCTTCCCTTGCTCCGCATTTTCTATATATCATCTCCTCCTCCCCCTCCTCCTCCAGATTTTGGAGCTCATTCCTCTTTACGGCCCTTTTCCTCTTCTTCTTTCTCCCCTCCCTTGACCTTGTCTCATAACATCGTCATTTCAGCAAACACCGCCATCATGGTTGGGAATCAAGAGGAGTACTGGGTTCCCGAGAACTACGACAACATGTCGGCTGGCCGCTACTTGGCCACGCGGTTCTCGTCGCTCAAGCCTCCCATGCTCAACGTGCCCAATCCATGGAAGCTTCTGCGCATGCTCAACCGCCAGCAATGGTCCTTTTTCGCCATTGCCTTCTGGGCCTGGACGTGGGACGCCTTTGACTTCTTCACCGTGTCCCTGACCGTGGCGGACCTGGCCAAGCAGTTTGACAAGACCACCACAGACATCACCTGGGGCATCACGCTGGTGCTCATGTTCCGATCCGTCGGCTCAATTGCCTTTGGTGTTGCCGCCGATCGCTACGGTCGCAAGTGGCCGTTTATCGTCAACAACCTGTTATTTATCGCCCTGGAACTGGTAAGAAAACCCCTCGAATCCTATTTTCGCGATTTTGAAGCATGGCGTCCAATTGCAAACTGGGACTTGGCGAGATGCCGCCAAGATTGAGCCGGCGGTGCCACCCGCCTTGGCTACAGACCCCCAAACCCCGCCAGTGGTAGCGGCACTGCACGCACTCAATCAACTGCCGGGGCTATTGATTCTGCTTCGCAATCATGGCTATTAAAATCTCGGAGAATAATTTCATTGAGGAAAAACCGCTAACTATGGCTGGCATTTGTAGGGAACCGGCTTCTGCAACACATACAAGCAATTCCTCGCCTGCCGTGCCCTGTTTGGCGTTGCCATGGGAGGTCTGTACGGAAATGCGGCTGCCACAGCTCTGGAAGACTGCCCGGAAGAGGCTCGCGGTATCATTAGCGGTATCCTCCAGCAAGGTGTAAGTTGGCGTCAATATTCCCTCTGTTTAGAAGCGCGAAACAATAGGAATTCCTAGTTTGCTAATCATTTTGACCTTAACAGTATGCCTTTGGATATCTTCTCGCCACTGCTTTCGCTCGTGGTCTCGTCAACACCACCTCTCACGGATGGCGCCCTCTGTTCTGGTTCGGCGCCTGTCCTCCCGTTCTCTTCATCATCTTCCGTCTGATGATGCCCGAGACCCAGACATACCGCGAGCGCGAGCGTATGCGTATCGAGGCTGGTCAGAGCAGAAGCGGGGACGAGTCTGTTGGCAAGGTTTTCATCAAGGAGGGCAAGGTGGCCATCAAGCGCCACTGGCTCCTGTTGACCTACCTTGTTTTGCTCATGGCAGGCTTTAACTTTATGAGCCACGGCAGCCAGGATCTGTACCCTACCATGTTGACGAACCAGCTGCAATTCAGCCCCAACAAGGTCACCGTGACACAAGTCGTTGCTAACCTGGGCGCCATGACGGGCGGTACTGTTGTTGGCTTCATGAGCCAGTCTCTTGGCCGTCGTTTCAGCATCTGCTGCTGCTGCATTGTCGGCGGCGCTCTGCTCTACCCCTACACCTTTGTGCACGACACGTCCGTCATGGCCGCTGCTTTCTTCCAGCAGTTCTGCGTCCAGGGCGCCTGGGGAGTCATCCCCATCCACCTGATGGAGCTGTCTCCCGGCGCCTTCAGAACCTTTGTCGTTGGTACCGCCTACCAGCTGGGTAACCTAGTGTCATCCGCCTCTTCCACCATCGAGGCGCGCATTGGCGAGCGCTTCCCTCTGCCGCCCACAGCTTCCGGCACAAAGCGCTACGATTACGGCAAAGTCATTTGCATCTTCATGGGCTGCGTCTACGCTTATGTCCTGGTCTTGACGTTCTTGGGCCCTGAGCAGCTCCGCAAGAGCTTCGATGTGGCCTACGACCACGACGCCGCCGAGGTCGCCGGCTGGGACGACAAGCCCAAGGCTGTGCACGACGAGGATTACGATGCCAAGACGCGGGATTCCACCGCGGAGAAGCGAGCTACTGAGGAGGTTTAATCTGGATACCCGTAGTTTTGGATGTGTTGTTTTAGTTTATTTTGGGTATGGGAAATGGAGGCCAAATCACGAACACATTTGCATTGGCCCAATGGTTTTGATATGATGCTTTGGGAGCTCCAGGCAGTGGAACCAGCCACTGTACGTGGATTATGATGTGACGCAACCTGCGGTTTATATATAACACGCAAATACCAAATTATATGAAGCCCACCAGTTGGGAAATGAATTATTGAATATTCTATTGATATCGGGTGATAAGAACTTGAGGTTAAGAATGTGACGAAACAATATGATTGAAGATACCTTGTCGAGCGACAAGTAAGACAGTGGATTTCAAATACAAGTGAGTACTATATGTGACATGTAGATGCATCCTATGTGGGTTCAAAGTATTTGTGTCCAAGTCCGTATTGTAGTCTATGGACTCTGCAACAAACGCCAGTACATCAGAAACCAAAAGTATTGCAAGCAACCAACGGGACATGTACAGTCGTCATGATTCTTATTTCATATAAAACACAAGACATTAAACGCCCCTCATATATCATGAAATGCTAACAATATAAAAAGCAACTAAAAAGTCCTCATCGCGTTCGATACGCCCCGTTTAATCACGGTGGTGGTGGTGTCCCTGTTGTTGGCCTCCATAGTACATGTTCTCTGCCTCCTTCTTCTCCTTGTGCTTCCTATAACAACTCTGTTAGCATACACATCCCCCTTCTGGCCAGATTTTTTGGAACACAACGCACTCGAAGGCATTCTCAATCAAGTTGGCGCCAATGGCACCGGCAACAGCCGCGAGGCCGCTGCCAATCAGACCGCCACCGGCCTTCTTGGCGGCGAAACCAGCGACGCCGCCGCCGATGAGGGTTGCGCCGAGGCCGCGGTCGCCGTCCTGACCCTCAGCGCCGGGGGCACCGCCGGGGTACTGCTGCTCGGAGCCGGGGTACTGGCTGTAGCCGGGCTGGCCGTACTGCTGCTGCTGCTGGTGCTGCTGGTACTGGTGCTGTTGCTGCTGGTCGTACTGGGGCTGGCCGTAGGGGGAGGCGCTGCGGTTGTTGTCGTAGCCCTGGGGCTGGCCGTACTGCTGCTGGTGCTGCTGGTATTGCTGCTGAGGCTGGCCGTACTGCTGCTGTTTTTTGGGGGGGAAATGTGTAAGTCGAGAGAGCTGGGATGTTTTATCGGAGGAGTCGAAGACGAACCTGTTGAGGGTAGCCCTGCTGCTGCTGGGGATAACCGCCGTACTGCTGCTGCTGCTGGCCGTATTGCTGCTGCTGAGGGTAGCCGCTACCGCCGGCGGAGTTGTAGTAGTCGTTGGCAGACATGATGGCGGGGTATCTGAGGTTTTAGAAGAGGCGGTTTAGAAAAATGTCGCGCGAAACACGAGCTGGAAGGGAAGAAGAAAAAGCGAGAAGGGAAAAAAAGACAAGACTAGATAGAAAAATAAAAACAAGAGTGTCAGAAGCAGTCCGGGCAAGCTTATTTATTTCGCTTTTATAATCATGCGGGCAAGGGGATCTGGGCTTGGTGGGGGGGGAAACGCCGGACATGGACACTTGATCCTTTCTCCGCGCGTCTGTCTGTCTGTCTTGTCTTCTCAGCTGGACGGTTAGCCTTAGCGGCTGTCGATGGCCCTGTGCCACGAATCAGCATGGCTGGTGGAGGCGTGTGGATTTTGCCTCGGATTACATGCTGCTGTGGTTCGTGCCGGTTGCATGCAAGGTACATACAGTAGAGGGAGAGTGGCGCAGTCACTGCGGCTCTTGGGCGGCGTTGGTGGAATCCAGCAGAAACAATGACGATGATGACGAGGAGTAAGTTGATACTACTACCTTTGCTGGGACTACTTTATGTATGGAAACATGTTTGAAGATTACGGTGCCTTCATAGAGTATGCATTCATTTTGTGACACTGGTTTGGTGTCTATGTTGCGGTGAAATGTAGGTGAGCGGTTACTACTGTTGACAGAACCGTCTTACAGGGACACCCCAGACTACGGCTTTCCCGGCACATTCTGGAGCTGTCGACAGACTTTCGGCCTTTGAACCTTGAACCCATCAGGCTAGAGGTTTTGGTGAATGGGAAGAGGAGGGATTGCAGAAGGATTATACGAGGGGTATGTGCGTGCAGCAGGAGAGTATCTAGACGTATTGTAGTATGCCGCGATACATGGGTCGACATTAACTGTAGGTGCCTGTATTCAAGAGAAGTTGGCTTCGTACAATACCTACCTAGATGGCACATGAAGTGCACTGACGTCAAAAAAAGTAATTTTACGCAAACAATATTCAGCGCATTTCAGTCATGATGGAGCCCAGCTCTGACGAAAAAAAGAGGGGGAAGATGGAAAGCTTTCCCAAAGCCCGAAACAAAAGTGGCGGCGGACTACTCCGTCCTACTACAGCAGATTTCGCAGCCATCCGCTCAGCCACGTCTATTTCTTCTTCTTTGTTCCAGGGGCAATCATGTGCAAACAAGCCACAACTATTTTATTTTGGTAGTTCCGGCCAGAATCAGCCGACCCGCATCTTTTTTTGCTAGACGCCAAGGCTGATTTTCTGTTATGTCTCGATTTCTGGTGAGGGGCCGGGCGGTTACAGATTGCAGGGTCCATGTCCCTTACCTACCCAGACGGGACATTTGGGGGCGGCGCATCTCGCGTCTTTTGTCCTGTTTCGAGGGTCTGTTTCGAGGGCCGTTGAATTGCCGGTCGCTATCGTTTACCTCCATGTTCACGGTCGATGTTCAGGGTGTCTCTGGATATCACTGATATTTCTTTTTGTCTCTTGTTGATATTCACAGGCGATGGTGCTGTCTGCTCCGTGCAGAGGCTTAGCTCTGGACCACCTATTTCTTGGCGACCTCAGCGGCGGTCGAGCCACGGCCAAGAACTCTTGGCTGGCATTCATTCTCTATCCAGCGTAGCATCTAGTTGCCGGTGATTATGACAAAGTAAAAAGAGACAGCTCAGTCGAATCAGGTGCTCGTACGCTCAAAGTCACGCCTCCATCGCCGGCCAAAACGCATTCTCCGCCGCCAACACCTCGTGCCACTTTGCCAATGCTCTGTCCAACAACACCGTCTTGACAACCTCGTCCGCGTCCCGACGCAGCTCCATCTCCCGCTGCACCGCAGAGTCGATGATCTCGCCCAGCTGGTCGACAAACTGCGCAAACTCCTTGGAGCTCCAGTTCGGAATGAATTCCCGCCTGAGAGCCCCGCCATCGGCGTCTTCTTCGCTGTCTGAGGGAGTGGAGAGCCGGGCTGCGGCACCGGACCAGGCGTCAAGGTAGCATTTTTCCGTTGCCCAGAAGATGATGGCGGCTTCGAGCCAGGGAAGAAGCACGCCCTCGTCGCTGTTGGGAGAGATGCCGTCGAAGAGGGCTTCGAAACGGCGCAGGCCCTCGAGCTTGGAGCTGGCGGCAACACAGCCGTCAGCGCCAGCAGGTAGATTCACGTCGATGCCGTACTTGCCCGCGGTGCGGACGAAGAAATCCTCTTCTCGACGGATGTTGACCAGTGCGTCAATCATCCAGTGAAGCAGCTTTTCGTTTGGCGAATATTTCCTCTCGGCAGCTTCATCACGAGGAGGGATCACCACCTCAGGCAGCTGCAGAAAGCTCAGCAGACGGCCCACGCCACGGATGTATGCATGAATATACAGCCGGTCATTGGCGAGCCATTGGCCAAGAACGCTTTTGGAGAGGCGGCCTTGAGCAGCGTGGGCGAGGAACGGGGACTGAGTGGCTGATTTGTAGGCGAGGGGATCGGAGATGAGGATTGCTTGCGTGAGGGAAAAGGGAGTAGCCATTTTATTTTTAGTTGTTCTACTTTCTTTTTGTGGTGAGTTTATTTAGATGTAATATTGATGTCAGTGATGCGTAGTTGAATGACAGCAAGAAGAGGCTTTTTTGGAGGATTGAGGTGTAAATGCGTAGTAGACGAATTCCTGCGCATGTGTTGATGTAGATGCCGTGGTATATTACGTCACGCAGGTGACTTCCTCTTTACTCAATATGCCAAGTATTTTGCCAATGTCTCACCGAGATCGCTGGCTACGCTCTATTTGGAAAAATTGCTCTTGTTTATAGCAGCACTTGATTAAAGATTCGTTAGAGAAAAGCACCAAGGAGGCTAATAGAGTTGAATATCCTCTTATTTGTACTAGGTACCCTATGGTTTTGGTGTTCTATGTTGAGTGCTCAGCGGCTATTGAGAAGAACTTTCTATCTCGCAATCTGGATATTGGAAACCCATTTCTTCAAGTCTATTTCACCGGCATCTCTCGTTACTTGTTTCCTCCAAGCTGTTTCTCGTCATGTCATTGGTTTATATCTTGCAGTCGCCATAATTTGGAAAGTAGTTGTATCTTCGTTCTAGGAACAAGGCGGCTCGTTTGTCCATTTTAAAAAGTTGAAAAAATTCGAAAAAAGAAAAGCAAAAGGAAAAAGGATGTTGCAGCATCTCAGCTGCCAAATAGATCATCCATATAGATCCCCTCTTTACGCTTTAACAGGCGGAATCACCATGCCATACTTCTCATACGGGAAGTTCTCCAGGCTGACAAGGTACTCAGCCCAGCCGTCGCCCAACTCACCAACCTGGTGCAGATCGACCTGTCCAGCCTCACCAGTTCGGCCAGCAAGGACTTCCTCCTCGCGGCCGGCGTACTCCTTCTTCAGCATCGGGTGGGGGCACCAGATGACACGCATGCCAGCACGGCGGCCAGCTTCGACGCCGGGGACGGAATCTTCAAAGACGAGGCATTCCTCAGGCTTGATGGGAGCTTCTCCCTCGGGCAGCGAATCATTGATGGTCTTAAGAGCGAGGAGGAAGATATCTGGGAGAGGCTTTCCGCGACCAGGCGTGAGGCGGGTGTCATCGCCCACAACGCGGCGATTAGCAGGGAAGACGGAGAAAAGATCGGAGAGATGGTTCGTCTTGAGCTTGAAGTTGCCCAGGTGCGAGCTCGTGGCCAGAGCAATGTGCACGGGGGGTGTCTCAATACCAGCCTCCTGCGTGCGGACCAGGCTGGTGAGCAGCTCAGGGACGCCAGGCAGAGGCTTGGTGCCAGGGAAGAGCTTCTGATGCAGGGCAGCGTTTTCAGCTGCGAATTCGTCTGACGAGATGGGGAGCTGAGCCCAGTCCAAGAAGATCTTGTTGGCGGAGGGACCAGGGCGGCCCTGAAGCTGGGCCTTGATGGACCAGGGCAGAGAAGGGCGAGAGTACTTGTCCAGGATGAGATTGACGCAGAGAGTGTAAATGTCCTCGGTGTCGAGAAGGAGGCCGTCCATGTCGAAGAGACAGGCTCTCACGGGGGGGAAGCTGGCCGTGGTTTAGCATTCAGTCGATCCGATGAGAACGAGAGATGGAGACATACTCAGTTCGAGGCGCCATTTTCAGAGAGGGGCAGAAGCTGGATCTTGGAGTTCCAAAGGGTTTAAAAATGAGGGTGAGGGTGATTAGACACGAGGTAGGTGTAGGTGAAAGAGGTTTGTTGAGCGAGGCTGAGAGATCGAAAGATGCTCTTTATCCTCGCCACCTTTTTTTTTTCTTCTCCTGCGCGTTGGCGAGTGGCCGCGGTTTTATGTATCGATCAAAGCCTCTGATCTTCGCTGGCCGAAGTGGGGGCGGGGCGCTTTCAGTATCGGGACTCGCCGAATGACTCCTTCTGCAGCCCGTCTTTTCATGAATTGATGGGGGGCATCGTCTCATAACTAAGAGTTGGCTCTTTAGCCTATTGTTGATTGACATGCTCTCAGTTTATGATGAGCTTATACAAGGTGAATCTGCCAATGGAGAAGTCTTGATAGCCAATGATACCTCCCTTAGCAACTTAGGTACCTCCTAACCAAGTACATTGTATTGCACTCCGGAAAAGTTCACTGAAAATTCTCCTCCAGCTCGCTGACGTAATCACATACATGCCACTTCCCCCACTAGCCACGCCTCATCCCGTAGCCTCCATGTTCAATATTCATAATCTCATCCATTCCTCGCTGCCATTCAACACATTAAAGCCATACGCCGCCCAAACATGAGTGACAAAGACAAAGCCCCAACAAATACAAAAGAAGTGTCTCAGAAAGAGAAGCCCGACGATGAGCCGGAAGTGGTGAAATTCTCCCCTGAAGAGGAAGCAGTAAGTACAGACTAGTGTCGTTTATGTCATGGTTAGGCTCAGATATCGCATCTCACCTCCTTATATCGGGCTTTTGTTTCTAATGTTGAGCTGTATTTTATTTTCTCCATCACATTTGGAGAAGCCTATGAACTACCTGTATCATTTCATCGCGCATGCATACAAAAATACAACCAGTTCCTATTTCTTCCCGATTTAATCTCAGAGCTTGCCTCACACCATCTACGCTCACCCTATCCGGAATGCCCTTCACAACATGAGCCATCTCTCTTTCAAATGGATCTCATATCATCCTAAAACTATCAAAATGCTCATTCAATCTCTTTCATTCTAGGCACTCCTCAAAGAATCTCACGCCATCAAGGCTGACGCCAATTCCCTTTTCACCTCCAAAGACTACCACAATGCTCTCTCCAGATACGACGATGCCATTGCATCATGTCCCAACTACCTCCACTATGAGCGTGCCGTTCTACAGAGCAACATTGCCGCATGCCACTTGAAAATCGAACAGTGGAAAGAAGCAATAAAGGCCGCATCAGATGCCCTCGACGGCTTGGCAAAGCTTGAAACCGAGTCAAGTCCAAATGATCCAAAGGCCGACACCAAAGAAGACGACACATCAAACAAGCCAGAGACAAAAGCCACCGAAGAAGACGACGAGGTCGAAGAAGAAATCGTCAGCTCAGGTGCAGCTCGCTCCGCACCCATGCCCGCCCCCGAACCAACCCCCGAGCAGGTAGCCCTAGAGAATCGCAAAGCAGACATCCTCCGCATCCGCACCAAGGCGCTGCTTCGACGTGCTCGAGCCCGTTCTGAAGCCGGCGGGTGGTCGAACCTAGCTGGCGCGGAAGAAGACTACCGCACGCTCTCTCAAATGCCTGGGCTGACACCGGCTGATCAGCGCACCGTTCGGACGCAGCTCAAGGCGTTGCCGCCGCGAACAAAGGCTGCTCAGGAGGCCGAAATGTCGGAAATGTGGGGGAAGCTGCGTAGTCTTGGCGATGGTATCCTCAAGCCATTTGGACTGAGCACAAACAATTTCCAAATGGTCAAGGATGAGAAGACTGGAGGCTATAGCATGAACTTTACGCAGGGAGGCTCATCGTCATGACAGAGCGAGATAAAACTGTGTATTGGCAAAGTGCTACGTGGATTACTACTGGTTCTGCTTGGATGATATCTGGTCATATTTCTAGCGATGTAGATGATAGAGCCGTTATTCAAACAATCTCGAGGCATAAAACTTTGTAGATTTGTAATTTATCAGAGCTCGTACCACCTATGCCCACTACCTCAGCGAAGCCAAGTACCATCCAAGCCCAAGGTAGTCCTCAACATCTCACTGCGGATATTCGACTTGGGCCTTCATTTTCTGCAAGACATTCACAACTTCCATCCGCTCTTTGTCTTCCGTCAAGGCGCCCAAAGCAATCAAAAGCGACTGTACGGATATCGGGCCCAGACAGCGATCCTCGGTGTGTGCTACAATCCCACATGCTTCACGAGCATGATGCAGCTGAAGCGCAATCATTTCCTCCGACAGCATGGTTTGCTCCATGGGATGTGTCTGGGTGAGTATCGACTGTGCGGTGTGGTATAGAAGACGACAAAAAACTGCCTCTCGTTTGGGAAGCCTAGTCAAAAGGAGATCAGCTCTCAAGTTCCCATCATCGTATAAGAGATTCACGTCAAACTTACCATGCTTTCGGAAAGGCAGAATTATTTTCTGTCTGATCGGGGTACATGTATCCCAATGGACGCATGTTCCTCGGGCATGCGTCGTTCCATTGATCGCAGAGCTGCTTCAGACGCTTCCATTCCGGCAAAAGATTCTCCAGGGTCCTGTTCTCCAGCAAATCTATATCCGTAAATGACAAAACACACAGTCTGTAGCTTATAACCTTGGCTAATATGAAGAGTATCCTTTGCACCCACAAATCTTCGCCACCATGTGTCATAACTTCGCTGCTGTCGCTAGGCATGTCCATATTAACACTCCATGAGTCAACAAAGAGACAGTAGCCTGCCTCCAGGCTGCCCACAATGTCTAAATAAGCATTTAACCAGAAGCATGCTGATCCGATGCCATCGCTCTCTGCATTCCACTGGCTCTCGCTGATGATAGAGTTGAGTACGGCAGGACTATGCCCCCCACTCTGCGGCCCTTCTCTGAACATGATGTTGTAAAGTTTGAGAATGACCGCTACAATCGAGCACTCTTCTATGTTGCGCTCTGGATTCTCGTGATAGCGAAATAGCTGCATATTCGCTGTGCTGTAATATGCTGCAGCTGTGTCACCCATGTTGGGGTGGCGTTGTGACAAGCGTCGAATCCCACAGGCCAAGAGGGAATAGAGCAGCAGAGGAGAGTCGAGTGCTCTGTACGGAAGACACTCGCTAAAGTATTTCCCTTTGTTGAATGAATCCATCCATATCGCAACTTCTTCCACGTAAATTTGCATATATCGAACGTGCTCGGGCATGTCAAGGAACTCGCGCTCAGAGGTAGCTGGCGTAGTTGTTGGACAGACGACGCTGTCATCCTCAATTGGCTCACTAACATTCGATCTGTCTTCAACTTCGGACAAGCTCATTGGCCCTGATTCGACTTCGCCTTCTTTTCGCCATTCAGTAGCTTGTAGTATCAAACTGTCGCTATATATGCTCCTCGTTGTGTTTGAGCCTTCTGGTGAGATATAGACGTGCCATATATGCCCTTGAAGAACATGGTCGGATGGTCCTGGATCTGGACTTGGGGATTGCGTCTGGGCCATCATGTTGTGACTAGTGGCTTGGCTATGGGCAGTATCTGCGTATCTGTTCGACCCCCCTTCATACTCCGAAGCGATACGTCGAGAATCATCTTGAAATAGGACTAGATGTATATATCAGCCTAGAATCAAAGACAATAGTTGAGTAGACTCGACCATACAATTACAGGGACCAAATGGGACCAAGTAAGATGAATCATGGATCGTGACATTTGAGAAATTGAGTCGAATGCCACGTATACATTTCCGGCCACCCTTTTCACAATTTCGGCAAGCCGGTACTGACTCGTCGCATTTGAGATGCCGATCTCGACATGTTAGGCAGCCGGTGCGCACTCTCTTTGGCTTGGACGCGGGCTTGGAATCGGGCAAAACAGGTGGGTAGATGCCTTTCATTGCAGACTTTACCGTTGGCATCGGTCTGTGGTATGGATATATGCCGGAATATTCAGCGTGCATAGCTAGCTTTGTCGAAGGGAATGGAATCGAGGCTGCTGATTTGGTGATGCTCCCAAGATTGAAAGCCCGTATTAGCAGAATCTCCTGGCAGGTTAGTTCTTAGAGGACTAGTGGCAAGTCAGTCTTTGCATTGCCCTCCAGAGGGTATTCTGCCATACCTGTTAGTAATCTCCGGCTCGAATAAGTCGAAGGACGAAGTTATACTGCTTCCCAAAGAAAGAAGGGTTGGTGTACGTTTGATGCTATTACTGCTGCAATTTTAAGTTTGAAACCATGCTTCATGAGCAGTATCGGTGTGATTAGCTGATCCAAAGTGTAGGAGAAAGTTTCAAGCAGTAAATAATCCCAAGGTGATCAAGTTCATCCAAGTCAAGTGCTGCTCTGCGTCTTGCGGTGAACAATCTCGTCTATAGAATGCTTGTGCAGAGACTTGCTGCCAGCGTAGTATTCGGACGCTACCTCTTTGATAGCGGGTTGGAGCAGGTAGCCGTTGGTATAGGACCGCCTCTATCAACAACGGATGAATCGTCATTGAATGCTGTGCAAAAAGAGTTTGGAGGTTATGACATGTTGCTGCTGTTTAACCCAGGCCAGATTGCATTAGCGTTTGTGACGGTGATACGAGATGTTTTGGCGTCTGTCTTGCCGAGTAGAGGCTACAACAATTGAGGAGAATGTGCAGATGGAACCACAGAGCAAGGGTGTAAGCCAGTGCGTGAAAGATTTACACCACCAAGTCTTCGTAGCACCAACATTGACAATTTAGGACTACGGGGACCTCGAGATACCGAATTTGGAATATAAACAGTCTGATGACTACAATCCGGAGAGAACCTTGTTTATAATGCGGCCGATATTAACCAGAGCGTGGCGTCTAGGGACACCGGGCCGTATCCTTGGCGAGGTCGAGGGAAGTGGCAAGTTCGTGTGGGATGGGTATGAGCCCCCCAGCATTGCAGCAGTAGCATCTGCCTTGGACTCGTACAGAACACAAAGAGCATATGTCCAGGAGGCCTGAGAGACTGTCAAAGCATGATGCATACTCAAGAAGTGGCTAGTCTTATCCACTTCTGGCTGGCAGCAATCTAGTCCCCTCATATTGCGGTAAAACATGAATGATTAAAGGCGGTAATTGCTAACTCGAGTGAGACCATCGAAATTGCACACAATGAAGCATTTGGGTAATACCTCTCGGTCTGAATTCAAGGCCGTCTGCATATTTGATGTTTCTGCCAACCTGCCGATACGAGTGCACACAGCCGTGTTGACCCGCAGCATTGAGCAATGATAAACGCCCCTTCAAAACAACAGATGGCGTATTCTGCATACGTCCAGCTGGTGAAGGCCCCGTGGCCTTGGAGATGCGGGCTGACCGAAGGACTACGACCTCAGCTCTCGCAGCAGGGTGCACTGGAGATGCTAGTTCCCAATACCGCTTCCGAAGTGTGTTTTGAGACACGCGGGGGTTAAGGCCGCAACGCAGCATCTTCGGCTGATCCATCACCTTCCAAGACATCTCTCCTTGCTGCCCGACTTATTGTGAGTTGCTGCCAGTAGGATTTCATATCTTGGAGAATGTGAGCTAGTAGGATGTATAAAGCAGATGCGACGTTTGCCGAGCCTGCGCAAGGCGTTCAGGCATCCGTCTTGAATTGCCCAGTGGACTGACTTGCTGAAAAACCGTGGCGGTGGCTTGCTCCAAAATCAGACGAGCTACTAGCCCACGAGGTCTTTTTGGATCAGGAAGAGCCATGCCAATTAAACATGGAGGTGACCAGCATACATAGATTTGCCCTATGAGAGGTGTCGGCGTTCCCCTCTTTCCCATCCATGCGGAGGCCTCGAGGCAAAAAGAGTAGTCTTATCGGCAGAGTCTGACGAAGCTGGCTCGTGGCATAGACCAATCCGGAATCACCAAGGCTGGTACTCAGCTCCCAAGGTTCGCATGCATGTCTCAGAAGGGGCAGGCAGAAATGAAGTAATTTCATGAGATGCTTTGTGATAGTGGTACCTCCCGGGATAAGGATCATCGCTTGCTGTGGCCAAAGAGATGAAAGATGGCTTATTGAGGTAGCAAGAGTCTGAGACTTGGGAGGTGACGCAGCATGGGAGCAGCCTGTAGGTTGCCGGTCACGGGCCCTGGATGACGTTCATTTAACCTCTGCTCATTTCCCCCACGCGTTGGAGCATTTTAATCACATCTTAGTGTCACTTGCGTGCCTGGAGGGATAAATAGGTAGTTGAGAGGGGGAGTTTGTGAAGTGTAGAGAAGCGGAAGGTTGCTTAAGAGAACTGGTGGGAGATGTACGACGGCTATGCACGTGACTGATAACAACTTGCTCTGTATCACTCGGCGCCTCTTCGACTTGTGTTCTTCGTCCTCTGCCATAATCCAACGCATCATGGCCGACTTTTAAACAGACGCTCTTTTCGTACTCATGGAGTGTCCTGTTTTTCTAGGGTAGCAATGTTTCAGCTGATGAGCAGTGATCAACTGGCTGAAAAGGCGGGGAAAAAACATGGCTGAATCAACGCCGTCGCCAAAAGCGATATTACGAGGGCACAAGGCCCAGATCCATGCTGCCGCCTTCGTGAGACACAACGAGCGCCTTGCGACGGGCGATGCGGAGGGCTGGGTTGTGCTATGGGACCTCACCATTATGCGGCCAAGGGCCGTTTGGAGGGCTCATGAGAAAGCAATTCTCGGGATAAAAGGGTGGGGTCGCGACAAGATCATCACGTATGTTTTTGCTCTTAGCGGGCATGAAATCAGATTTGTTACTGATCAGATTCCCATAGCCATGGCCGCGACCACAAGCTTATTGTGTGGAAGATTAGAGAGGAGGACGAGGGTCGGCTCAGCGTTTGTCTGCCCCTGGAGGACACCCCCACGCCACGCCCCCAGCCATGGGTGCTTCATCTATTGGAGGTGAACACAATGAACTTTTGCTCATTTGCCGCCTGTCTCAGTGACGCTGCGCAGGGCTCTCTCGAAGAGGCCGCACCAACAGCAGAAGTCACCATCGCCGTACCCAATACGCTGGCGTCTGAAGCCGTAAGTAGCCGCGGTATTTGGCATGGCGTTGCGTCTGCGTCTGACTGACGAAATTTGAAGATTGACATCTACACCCTCCCAAGCCAAGACAGGATTCACACTATCAAATCGAGTCAAAAAAATGGCATGGCCATGAGTCTGTCGCTTTTTCATCACCATGGGTGTCTGACACTAGCGGCGGCTTTTGAAAACGGGTTTGTTTCTGTACACCGTCTGGGCTCTGATGGGTCTTGGACGATGACCTATCGATCTCAGGCACATACACAACCGATTCTATCTATAGATGTTCATCCGAATCGAGAATACTTCTTCACATCAGCAGCAGACGCACTGATAGCGAAGCATCCTATCCCGATCTCCCAGCAAGAGGTGGATGCTGACTTTGAGCCTGATCAAAGGGTTACAGAGGTAATTGAGCCTCATCAAAGTAATACGGGAAACTCCCTCCTCTCGGCGGGGTTAAGAGCTGCTTCTGCTTCAGAAACTAGCTCAAGGCGCAAGAAGCTGAAAGAATGGGAGCATCCGCTCAAAGTGATTAATACAAAGCACTCTGGCCAACAAAACCTCAAAGTCAGATCTGATGGCAAGTTGTTTGCCACCGCTGGATGGGATTCCAAGATACGTATATATTCGGCCAAGACTCTCAAGGAGCTGGCCGTGCTAAGTTGGCATAAAGTCGGGGCGTATGCCGTCGCTTTTGCCACTGTTGATGATGCAAGTCCTTCATCAAATCCCCCCGAAATCGCCAAGCCTACTCCGTCCGAGCAACCAACGGAGAGTATTGTTAAAGAGGCCACTGGTGCGTCACCGCAAACATCATCCAATAATGCGCAAGAAGCAACGAGCCTGATAAAGGGACCCGGAATGAGCGTCAAAGACCGTAGACTCCAACTTGCAAAGACAGCACACTGGATTGCAGCAGGTGCCAAGGATGGGAAAGTGAGCTTATGGGATATATACTAAGATTGCCTATCATACATCAAATTCATAACATCATGATCGCGTTGGCCCATCTGATCGTGTCAATACCGCCGCTCCACGGCTTTGAAGTCGCTGAGAGAAAGCTTACCTCAAAGCCGCTGGTTACTTCTCAAACTTCATTCTGGTTCACTACCCTTAATACAGCCCTCTTAGCCAAATGGGTCGGTCTTCTTCGCAAGCTCTGCCCACACTCTCGACATCCACGCTGAAACGAGCGCGTCTCTCTCACCAGTGCCCATCATGGCACTGACAACCAGTGTCATCACATTGCTTCCATTCACCTCTCGTGCCACAAGCTGACCGTCCGCATCGCTCCATTCGTATCGAACGGCCTTGTCCTTGGTGGGGACAGCCGAAAAGAGAATATCCCGACGCACTAATTGTTGATGGTCATGCGAGTGCGTTGCGCGCCGAATGCGATAGCCTTTTGTGGGTGACAGTTTCTTTGGCCGAAACTTTTCTAATCCAAAAGCGCATAGGCTCTGCCGCGAAGTAGGTTCCGCATGATAAGCAAATGTCGGACCCGTGACCAGCAGGGGATGCTTCAAGTCATAGATGTGCCTCTTCCGCGCTGCCAGCTGGGCCACGCCGTCTCGTCGCTTTATGGAGTAGTCGAGCCTCTCGATGCGCACGCTGCGATCCGTGTCCTTGAGGAAGCCGACCGAATGTGAGAGTTCGTACAGAGGCGGCGCCCAGGGATCCGTAGAGTGGATGAAGCGGCCGGCGACGTACAGCGTTGTCGGTGAGTGAACATCGTCTTGCGTGCCAGGCCCAAGGCCGTAGACCTCGCTGGAGTCGTTATACGGAGGCGGATCGTCCATGGATACATATGCGACTGGAACTCAGGTCCCGAGTTTGTACAGGGGAGAATGCGAAATGCGAGGTGACTCTTACGGGATTCGTGAAGTCGATGCTATCGGTGGCTGTGCGTGCCAAGAGAGCGAGGATTCAGCTTGGACCGTGTGAATATGCTTTTGCCGCGAAGCATGACCGGAAGTGACGTGATGCCAGGGTTCGTTCACGATGGTTGATTCGCGGTCCCGAGCTTGAGATTGTCCGTGCGAATTCCCCGTCCAATAGGCTCAGAGATAACGCTCTCTTTCGCCAATCTGATGATGATATAGCTCATTGAGCTATGGATGACATCAAGACACTAATGCTAGCTGGCGACTAATTCCGGCTAGTCGTGGCTTGTTCGGAATATTGGCGGCAGACTAGGGTTGCTGTCACAGAAAGCGGGAACACCAGTTCATCCGTCGACTGCTTTCACTCATGCCGATCTGGGTTGGGGGCTCGGCATTGACCAGCCGTGGTGAGATTTAGAGGCAGATGGGCATGTGGTTTATCTAAGATCGGCGCTGCATTGCATCCGTAGCATAAACAGGTGGTCAGGTAAGCTTATTCTCAGCACGGGACGGGGATAAGTTCTTATAAATCCTCTGTGCGTGCTATCGCTGGGACAAAGTATATTCTAGAAACCGCTTCCTCTTTGCTGGGTTAATACTGTCTATCTCTGCTAGAAACCACTTCCTCTTTGCTTGGTTAATACTGTCTATTTCTGCGCATCTCTCGTAACCACCTTAGTCTGGAACGATACAAATCCCTGTGAATTAAATGAGGTATGACCTCGATGTTGTTCATCTGTTCAGCAAAGTCGAGCGGCGTCATGCCCTTTGCATCTGGGCTGGTGAAATCCACCCCGTCCATTTCCATGATCATCTGGAACGCAGCTTCACCATCGGTCCGGGCCCCAATGGCATGAAACAAGACTGATCGCCCATTCGCATCTCTGGCGTTGACATCGGCGCCTCCATCTACCAATGCTTTGAAAATCCCAGGCCGATTACACGTCGCTGCTGTAGTCAAGAGCGATTCCCCACGGTATATGGCGTTTACATTCGCGCCTCTCCGAACCAACAGCTTCAAGTAATTAACATCGTTGAAAAGAGTAGCAGAAACAATGGGCGATTCTCCGTCATCGTTTGTGGCATTGACATCTGCACCTCTCTCAATCAACAGCCTCGCGGTATCGAAATGTCGACGAGAGCTAGCTAAAACCAAGGGTGTGTTTCCTAGGTCATTCTGGACGTTAACATCAGCGCCTCTCTCTAATAGCAGTTTTATGATATCGCCATTCCCAGAGGCCATAGCTTGGAGTAATGGTGATTGGCCGTAATCGCTTATGGCGTTGATGTCGGCACCTCTCTCGATCAACAGTCTTGTGGTTTCCATAGTTCCAAAGAGACAAGAGTTGAATATGGGTGTATATCCAAGAAGACATCTAGCATTCACGTCGGCTCCTCTGTCCAATAATAGTTGAGTTATCGCCAGGTTGGTCTCGGAAGTAGCAGCGAAAAGAGGCGTTTGGCCGCAGCGATCTCTCGTGTGTACGCTGGCGCCCTTCAACAGTAAGAGATCAACCGCGCTGGTGCAGCCGTTATAAATCGCCGTTTGAAGAGGTGTCTGCTCGGTGTCCTCATCCTTTTGCTCCACGTCGGCTTTGGCATCGATCATTGCCCGCAAACGGGTGAGATCCCCTTTCTTTGCGGCCGAATGTATTGGTGCCATGCTAGTTTTGCTGTCTGTCGCATAAGTATTCTGAAAGCGATGTCGGGATTTGGCGGCTGATAGAGAACTGTGATGATTTAAATGCAGAGGGTGATGGACGCCGTTCACTAGATTCAGGAGACACCGAAGATGGCTGCTGGACTTTATTAAACTGCTTATCTGAGCGGGAAAGTTTGGCTTAATTTAAATGAGGGAAGTAATTGTATTTGAGCCGAATTGTCGCAGCGGTGGAAACACCGCTGCTCTTGAATAGAAGTTTAGTAGACGTCTTGTCTTCGGAAAGTGCAGCTGCAGGGAACGGTGTTTGGCCAGCACGATCTCGTGAATTCATACCACTTCCCTTTTCAAGCAGCTTGATCACCGCTTCGTGCCTGCTTTGATAGCCTACATGATGGGTGTAGGACATATGAACACCCCGGGATAAGCATGAATCAGTCTCTGAATGCTTACTTAGGATGAAGAGGAGGAGAGGAGTGATGAGCCAAATACCGGTACACCAGTACTACCATCCTTCGTTGATGAAAAAGGCCATCTGGTTTGAATTGGTTTAGGTTGGTTGGAGACCTGCTCAGACGCTGGACTGATGGCGTCCAGTTGATGATACAGATGGCGTTACAGAGATATCACCCTGGCACATATTTTCCTTCCATCAGATCTAGCATAAGCCCTGAGGGTGCGTTTTCAAATGAAGCACCACTGTGTCAAAGCGATAACTGATCTGAGATATAAGAAACTCGGCCCATTAAAGAATGAAGCTCAAGATACATACCATGTCTGCCCAAACCACTATAACACCGCTGTAATTAGACATCGTGATATTTATTAGGCTAGGCTGTCTTTTGCTATTTAATATTCTTATTCGCACAATATTCTACGGCCAATTGTAAATCCCCACCGTGGTGCGTACATGCAATCTTGCCTGTTCGAAGTAAAATATGCATGATACTCGTGTTCTTTAAGCTTATCGCTAGAGAGATCGGCGACATACCCTTCGCATTTCGTGTGTTGAGGTCAACTTCGTCCATATCTGCCATTAGCCGTACGACAACTTCACGGCCGCCTTGAACGGCAATAGATAACGCTGAATCACCGACTGTATTTCTCGCGTTGATGTCGGCGCCATTATCTATTAATATTTGGATAATAGTGGCCTGTCCCCCTAGCGCAGCATAGTGCAGGACTGTTCGACCATTGCTATCTCTGGCATTAATATCAGCACCCTTTTCCACCAACAGTTTTACTATATCAATTTTTCCATAGAGGGCAGCGTCCATTATAGGCGTCTTCGTTCCATCGCCGCCGTCTCTAGTATTGACATCTGCCCCTCTTTCAGCTAATAGCCTTACGGCATCGGTTCTTCCAAACATGACAGTTAAGTTAAAAATTGAGGACAGCCAAGCAGATCTGACATGAATATCGGCGCCTCTTTCAACTAACAGGATGAAGGCATCAAAATTTCCAACGAACGCAGCTGAATAGAGAGTTGTCATTCCCCCGGCTCCCCTAACGTTAACATTGGCGCCTTTGTCCAGCAATTGTTGAACTGCCCAAGTGTTTCTACAGGCAGCAGAGAATAATGGGGTCATGTTGCGATTATCCACCGCGTGTATGTTGGCACCTCTCCGCAATAGAAGTTCAACCACATCATTCTGCTGTTCCTGAATGGCTAATACTAAAGGAGTATGTCCATATTGGGACTCTTTAGCGTCGAGATCAGCTCCAGCATTAGCCAAACGTTCGACAATGGATAGATGCCCTTTCTTCGCAGCCCAATGCAATGCGGTCATGCCTATTTGGGGGTCTTCCTTGTTCAGATTGGCCATCCCAGTCCAGATAAGCAGTTTGATAAAGCTCTGTTGATCGTTTTCAGCGGCTAACGAAAGCAGCGGACGGAGAGAGCTACCCTTCGCAGACAAATTGTGGCCATTCTCTCTCTGCTGCTGAGTATTGGAACCGTTGGAAAAGGAATTAGAAAGGTCCTCAAGTGATATACTGCAGGCAAGTAATTTTCCTACTATCACCGAACTGCAGTCCTCAATACCACCACCACTCCGGAGCAGCAACTTGACAATCGTCTCTTGGTCATAAAATGCAGCTAAAGCTAGCGGCGTTAGGCCGCTGCGATCTTGTGAATTAACGTTACTTCCCCTATCGAGGAGGAGCTCGACCACCGCAATATGCCCCCCTTTGATAGCCCATATGAGTGGTGTGCTTCCAGTTCTCGCATCCTTTGCCTCAAGAGCTGCTCCAGCATCAATCAATAGCCTAGCTGTAGCTTCTTGTCCATAATAGGAGGCCCGGATTAAAGGGGACCACCCAGAACTATCTTCTGAGTCTGGGTCATAGCCTCGTTCAAGCAGCGATTTCATGACTTGTACCAGCCTAAAATAAATAGTTAAGTGGAGTATCGGCATGTTCCATGGAAATTCTTGACTGTAATTTTTATGGAAGGAGTGTTGTTTCACGGCATTCATTGCTTGAAGTGATGCCTCGACTTTGGTTTGGCTTTGAAGGAAACACATGACCTCCTTGATTGGCTCTTCGTCATGAGAAATATGATGCATCCAGCAATTAGCGGCATAATCATACAATGGAAAAGACTTGACTCTGTCTTCAAATTCCTCATCTGATAGGCAGGCCCCAGATCCAAAGGCGTTGAATGAAAGATAGGTAAGACAGCATCTAGCGATGGTGGCATTTGCGGTGGAAGACCAACGATTTTGCGTTCGCTCTAAATATTGCTGTGCTGTATAGTGTGCTAGTCGAATTATGTGGCTGTATTCATCAACAGTGACTAGTCCCAAGCAAACATAGCTTATATCCTTGAGGTCTGGCAAGCAGTCATGGTTTAGAGTAGGCGTTCCAACTTCCGTTGCGAGGGCATGTTGAAGCTCCAGTATGGTAATTTCCCTTTTAACAAACGTAACCCAAGTTAGAACTCGCATTGCGAGGAATCTAAGCCCTTCCTTTTGACTATTGATTCTCTCGATTGCTTGCTCGTACGCTTCTCGGAGTATTTCTCTTTTTTGGTTGTCCTGCTTGCCTTGAGTCTGTGATTTGAAGCCCCCTAATTGCTCTCGTATCTCATTCACTGTCATCTTATCTTGAAGCAGGGTAAGGTAAATCTTTGCCAATAAAAACCTAGACTACATCAGTAAGGCACATTTCGCTCAAAGTTCTGCACGTACATTCCATCGGCAGCTTCTGAAATGACGACCTTAATCTCTTCTGCTAGAGGTAGGTTTCTTTGGGCAACATTGGGCAACAACCCTATATGGCCTTCTATATACTTCGTAATGTCACTCGTTTCGGAGCGAATCTCAAGTTTGGTGCTATTGACATTGCTGAACCAATCCACAATTATCGGAATAGGTCTCGAGGTTGCCAAAATGTTGACGACGTGGTCCTTTTGAAGATTAGAGAGTTTAGATAAAAATTGAACTAAATCGGAGGATTGGCATTCGTCGAGAGCATCAAGGACGATAAACAATTTTGAGTATTGCGATATAATGTACTCAAATTCCGTTATAAGCTCCGCAAGCGATGGTCGCGTCCTTGTGATGGAATGCTGTCTGTACAGTTCCTTTGTACTCTCAGGGAGGTAAGGTAGACTTCCCGCAAGCTGTTTCAACAAACTTGCAAGTAGCTTCTCAAGTTTCTGTTCTTCCACTCGCTTGTAATCGAAGTAGATATAAGCCATGCCCACCTCATGACCTCCTCGAAACTTGGAGAAGAGGTGGTTAATGGTTAGAGAAGTTAAAATAGTTTTGCCTGATCCCGGAATGCCGTGACAAAACAGTATATGATTGTTACCCGTAATCCAATGTTGGAATTCTTTCAAGTCAAGGAACCATTGTCCCGTTCCACTTTGGTGTGTCTTTAAATGGTTACTTTGCAATGGGCCATAGTCCATTGACGTAAGCCAGTCAAGTATTTCTTTGTCTTCATCTCTGTCTAATTTCGATTTAAGCTGGGCTACACCTGTTCGTGTAGCAACAATTTCTTCATGAACTGTATATGCTATTAATTCCTCTCTTGTAAATAGACGAGGTATAGAGACTAACCTTTATTTAAAACATCTCCCACTGAAGGTTCTTTCTCAATTACAGCAGGCGGTATTATCTGCAGAAACTCCTTCGCAAATGCTGCAGCTATTGCTGCAGCATATCCCCGCCACTGATCATTCTTTTTTGAGTCTGCATAGTCGGATATTCCTCGAATGACAAGACATGGGAAATTATTCATCAGTCCTGCTGCTTCCATTTCAAGACAGAGAACTTGGCCGCCCAATCTCCTGTTGATTTCATCTCTAGTGAAACTGTCTTTAATAACTTGGTTTCCGGATGCAATCAATCCGTAATGAATTTTTGGATCACCGGGCAATCTTTGGTCATCAATCACAACTGTGTTGACATCAATGGTCCTTTTGGCTCGCCCAGGCTCTTCACCATCCGTTAAATAACTAATCTGGGCTGCTATTGTGTGACGCAACCTGGTGGATATTGCTTGCAATCCATCATCGATGGGTTCCGTATTTTCTGGTTCGAACAGGGTATCTTTGAGCCGATAATTCCAAGTATACTTGGAGGCCAACCTAAGCCATTTTTTTGCAAGTTCCTCTAGGAATTGAGATATTTTGTGTCCCTCCATTTCATGGTTGGTCTTCATCGTCGTCAAAGCTGACAGTAGTACCTTGGGAGGGCGGTCCAACGACCCAGTTCGCACGAAGCCGTTCTCAGTAGCCTTGCCGAGATCCCATTGAACGACTCCCGGGTATTGCCCAACGGGTTTGCTGACAACAATATCGCCCAGTCGGACGTGTGGTGGGATACCGCCGCCGATTCCAACCATGAGACCGAACTTGATTGATGGGAAAGTACTGACCAACTGCATAGCTACGCTCGCAGCAGAGTTGGTCCCTATCTCGCCTTCGGGCAGACAGGCCAAGACAACATTATGCTTGCCGATAGTCCCCAGGGTATATGAGTTGTTGTCGTTCGGATTGGATACCGGAACTGGGTCATGCTTCTCATCCAGCATTGCTGTTGCGGCTGTTCGCTCCTCTGATAAGGCGCAGATTCATCCAACACTGTAATCATTATGACTCAAGCTTTTAGATGCCATGATGTATTCCTGGACGAGTCTGCAATGGAAAGCTGATAAGTTGAAGAGAGTTTGCTTGTGAGTATGCTCAAGATCAATTGTTGCCAGGGTATGGCTTGTCGGGCTCTTCTCTTGCCTGCCTTGCTGCCTAACCAAGCAATAGCCAATCGAATATCGACATGTTCTATTGGCGACACTATTGGCGCAGCCTCGTCTGACAAAATGTTACGTGCTACCCTATTAGCTCGTCTAGTCACATTAGCTTTGGCTTTTTCAATTGCATCTTTTTAAACCCCCATGTTCAAAAGATGCTGTGCATTGCTTGAAATCCATATTCGTTACAAATCCTCTGTCAGAAAACCTAGGGGTGGCTGTCTATGTAAAGGACAAACAAAGGTTTATCACTGTATATGGAAGCTTTCTGACTATATGTATTCATTCAATCTTTCGCATACAATAGTAACTTTGCATGGCTGCACAAATAATAACGATAGTATCACAGTTGAAGGAATAAATTCTTTGAGAAGATTGAAGGAAGAAAGTATACTACGCCAAGATTGTCTGATAGGACTGTATTCAATTGAAGGAAGGGGTACGGGCTCCCGCAAGGGTGGGCACTTTCATATCACGGCCACTCCGTATGATATAAGATGGCGAGTAATGATCCTACGACATCATCGGCCAACTGCTTTACTCGCTATTAATCTAGTAGATATTGTAGTCCTGTCTGGGTACATGTAAAAGGACGTGCACGTCGCTGATGGATGTTGGTTGGATTATTATTCTTGCCAGATAAGAATCTGTATGGGGCGGGCTTACCATTATTCGATCCAACAAATCACATACGAATAATATGCTATGGATAATGACAAGGGTAAGAAGAGATGGAGCAATACTGGCCATTTCCTTTACCGCCCCCTTTTGTTAGATATCTATGTCAGTCCAATCGCACGTTTTACGCCTTATACAACGACAACCGGCTCATGCACCACAGAGAATCTGAATCTGAATCAATATTTTCAAACCACAATTTACATGGTGCGACGGAAATAGCCATGATGTGACACAGGGATAGAACATTGCAAGGGAGGGGGGGTGGGTGATTTGTTGGTTGTTGGCCTTCATCTGTTGGCTGCTCCGCCGCCACTGAACGATATCAATAGAGACCCCTTGATCTACAAGGAAAGGTGCAATGGAGCTTTAAATGCAAGGAGCCACATAAGCTGGTGGCAAATAGCGTTCTAGCCAGCCGTATCCTAAAGCACATCGTTCACATCTCCAGTAGCATTGGCACACCGGATTCACTACATCAGTGACACCCTTCACTGAGACGATGGGATATCCTGGTCAGGTTATCGTATGCGCAGGCAAAAGTATATGACAGTGCGTATTTCGCGCGATGAAGTAGTGCGCTTAACAGTGGCCAGTTTCAACCCCGCAACATGTATGGAACATTGAATATTGCAACTTTGAAGCAACCAAGACGGGCTTAAACTACATATAGGTGCCCCAGCTTGTCGAAATCCCAGCACTAACAGACCCTTTCATTGATCATTTGAGGGTTCTCGACAATATATCCGAATTTGTGTCTTGCATTCTCTGTGAATCGACGTACAGTACACGATATGGCACGACAGTATAAGCCCAAGCTAGGTGTGGATGTTGGCCTCTGGGCATGTTAGTCGAATCTAATATTGGATGGTATTAGTGACTTTCTCGCTCTTGGCCAACCCAATGTAGCCCTGCATTGAAAACTTTCTACCTCGGTTACCTGCACTGAGTGAAAGTGTGCGGTCACGGTCAGTGTCCCATGTAAATAGCTTCAATTGTGACCGAACATTATGTAGCAATGACGTATGATACCTGCTCGAAGAAAGCTCCCTCTCAGTATCAGCTACTCCTTTGGAACTTCAAGTCCACATTCTTCCACAAGTCAAGAGCCTGCCCAGAATACCGTCATTAAAATGGACAAGTGTTGGTTCGTCCTCCGTCAGACCCACTACCCGGCGCCCAAATACACGGACCGGAACATGGCGTACGGAGAAGCCAAAGGGCCTCTCCGCCTGGGTCATCTCATCCCGGGTCCTAAAGCGGTCGATGAGGTGATCAACTCGGACGCAATAACCCCCTTCCCAAGCAATATGCACATCTTCTCCACGACAACGGTCAACTTTTGGCTCTCTAACAAGACGGAGAAAGAAACTGAGGCCGCCGCCCAGGGCGAGATCCCGATCGCCGCTGCGGCCGGCGTGACGGTCAAAGTCGAAGCTGGGGTTGTGTTCCGGAAAATGATGGGCGACACCTGGGCAATTGACAGGCTGGAAACGCAGATTGTGCAGCCGACGTTGACCTACCTTGACGCTTGTCGGAAGTCTGCGCAGGTGGCGGCTTGGATAGATAAGAACAAAACGTTTGGCTCATGGAAGGTCTACATGATCAGCGGGCTGATGATTGCTCGCGGCGCCAAGAGTGAGAGGACGAAGACAAGCACATCTGGAGCACATGGGGGAGCTGGCGGGTGAGTACACAGACTAGTTCCCCCATTGGTGGTCAATCTTTCCAAGTTAACAACCTGTTAGGAGCGCAGCGGGTGCAGGGGGAGCAATGGCGAGAGTCGGGTTTACGGCTAATATAGCGATTGAGACCTCGGGGCAGCATGCGGATGATTTCGTCTGGGCAATTCGCCTCACAGAGGTGTCAAAGGGACCTTTTCATTCCGATCTGTCGCGAAAGCCTGTGATGAGGGGGGCTGTGTTTGCGCCAGGTGTGAATAAGGTCGATGTTAACGCTGTCTTTGCTGAAGAGGGCTTAGACGGGGATGATGTGCATGTAACTGAAATGTTCGATGGAGATAAACAACAATTTCTTGTCACTATGGATGGGTATTAATTGCTCAATGTTGCTCCGCTCGTTGGAGCAATTGTAAAGGTGAATATTTTAAACATTTAAGTTTAATCCCAACAGCCTAGTGAGATCATTTGCCAGATACGTTTTCTTGCCCCCCTTTTTTCCTCGTCAGAAGGTAGGTCTGACATCGTAAATGGAATCCTATTTCGCAGTTCCTCCGGTAATAGCTTCCAAGGCTTTATGCAGTAGTACGGATCGTCCCACTCGTGTATATGCAACAAGACTTGAATCATAGAAGACTTATTCTTCATCTTTTCAGCGTTCTGTATGTGACACTTGGCGTCGTGGTGTCTTGAAAAGTCCATCAACCGGCCTGTAAATCCGGCAGCAATGGCGGTCGAGAAGGACGTCCCGCAATTCAACTCGCCTCTGGGGGTTTTTATATCTTCCCCAAGAATGGCGAGGTTATACTTTTCCGGTGGATTGGATGGATTAAAACGGGATTTTCTAACTGCACCATTAGTCGAAAACATGGATAACACCTCCCCGTAAGCAGCTGGATAGGCAATCTCGCTTGCGTTGCCATCGTTGGTCGGCGCTGCAATAATCAGCATCTTTTCGGAAGCCCGGCGGACTTTTTCGTGCAATGTGTCGTAGTTACTAAAGAAACCGCATGCCATGCAGATGATATCCATTTCCTCGGTCATGCACCAGTCGATAGCCTGCGTGTAGGCACACAACGTCAATAATAAGTCTATAGCTTCCTAAATAGCCATCAGTTCAAACAACGTACCTCGGCGGCTAGCTCACGAGTATTCTCGTTTGCCTTGTCATTTTCGAAGATCCTGACGGCGTATATGTCGGCTGACTCACATATACTAAAGACCAGGTTTACTGAGGTCGTCCCGTGTCCTGTATTGTCGCACATTATGCTGTCATTCCTGCTCACGTAGTCTTTATAACTTTTAATGTACCTAGCGGCAGCGTTACTTGGATCAACGCCGGTATCGAGAACCGCAATCTTGACTCTGGTATAGTCATCTCCCTCTTCTGCGTTGAGAATATAATTAAGACTATTCATCCGGTCCAACCAGTCTTCTGTTGACGTCGAGTTTGCACTAGAGACTGTAAGTGTCTGAAGGAATATCCCTTAGAACTTAGAGGGATGTATACATTCGCGCCATGGTACCTCCCGGCCATATCTTTGTCTCCGAGTCCGAACATCCTGGTCGTGCAGAGTTTGTTGCAGATGGCGTAACGTGTCCCACACATCCTGCATCTAATTGGGCTATGGGCGGTCTATTGCTTGTACTTGATCGCGGGTCCGGCAAGCCGTATGAGGCCTCCGTCTGCCGCATACGCTCTTGCCGCCTGGCATCTTGGCCTCTATCAAACTCGCCCTCTCTTTGTAGTAGCGAGTCTAGGAATTGCCTGGCTCTATCAAGATCTCCCACTCCTTGTAGTTGAGAGTCTGGGTGTCGCCTGACACCCCGGTGTCTATCAAATTCCCTCTGTTGAGGACAAACATCGAGATACTCATCCCGTGGTCCTCCATAGAAATTACTAACCGTCAGTCCCATTCCCAGATGGGAGAGAAGCTCTTAAAACGGGTTGGAAGATGAGAGTATGGTGGGCTTCTAAAGATGAGACTAATAGTGGCCCAGATAAGGAAGCGTCGAGGACAACGGGCCAATTCACCCTCCGGAGATAAGGGAGGAAGGGAACAATAGTTCGAAAGCGAGGTAAGGTGATCAAGGTCAGGATATGAAGTGCCTAGGCTATTTTATCTCAGTGTTCGAGGGCTGTCGATCATCCACGAAATAATATGTTCATGCTGAGATTTCGGTAACCTTATAGCCACGAGGAATTTCGAGACTTTTCTTCTGGTTCGATGCAGAATTGCAAGAGTGCACAGAAAGGGGCATTCGGGGGTTGGGGAAAAGGGGGTATGAGGCATACTTTGCGTCACAATTCCGTTAAGCAAGGGATGGCAGCGGTACTTTGCTGCACGAACTACACACTGTCCTTGAACACCACTGCGACTTGTTCAGACATTTCATAACGCTAAAATGTGGACGCTGAACCTAAATTCTACTGTACCAATATCACAAAATCGCATCAAGCCAGTTGGCACCTTGAGCCATCTGGCACCACCATAGTGGAAGACCTAAATGTCCAGTGGGTGATAATTCTCTGGAGTATCAAACTCCAGATTTAAAAGGCTTCTATAGCCCCTGTGCCATTCCAGTGATTGGATATTTTTATAATACAAAATCTGCGGATGTAATCTGGTATAATGCTTTAAGAGCTTACTGATCGAATATGGTGGATAGCTACCTCGAGGAGCTTGGTGTTTAATTTGTTGCATATTATAGAGAAGTATAATTCAGAGACACCGATTTCGCCTTCTACTGCACTGCCTTGGCAAACACTTGTCTCATGGCAATATCCATCAAGGTGCCACCTCGAGATTGTAACACAACAGTCGCCATTGTGCAGTTTGTCTCACCCGACATGCCAACACACGACCTTGGCGCTGCAGCGTCCATGTCATTCAGAGGAGTACTTCTCCGGGATCGATTCCCTCGCAGCTCGGACTTCATTATTAATGTATTGATGCCTGGCGGAAATACCCTCGCGGATTTCATGCTTTAGGTCGGGAGAGCTTGCTGCGCATGTCTTCAGCTCCAAATCCTCAAGCTGTCGGAGTTGCTGGCCTCAACACCATCTCGACCCTATTTCCACGTTGTCGTCATGATAGCCTCTCTTTGTTTGGCGGACATTACAAAACTCCGCCAGACGGAGGCTTACAAACAACTCCAACACTACGGCGTACTATAGCCATAGCGTGCCAAAAATACCTGCTCCTCAGTTCGAGATTCGCTACAACTCCGTTAGCCTCAAAGGGCCATGGAATTAGCTACTAAACGCGGCAGTGGCTTTGTCGCAGTCCGGCGTAATATTTCATCCGCTTGCTTCCGTTTGGTCGAGACGAAAAGGCTGGGCAGCAAGTCGTTCGAGTGCTCCGAGTCCTAATTCCGTATCCGAAGGCTGTCGGAGAAATCAGGATGGGGCTTCAGCTGCACTTTGATGCATCTCTACAAGTAGAGGCGGACAGGGGTCCCGACGGGAATATACACGGTTTTGTGTGCAAAAAGTGTGCGACACAGAACAAGCTTCTCACTGTCGTTCGTAGAGCTGACAGGGGGGTCACGCCGTGGTGATTCGGCAAACCTTCATGGATCAAGGTGTGGTTGAGCAGAGATTTCCTGCGGCTAGTTGAGTCACCGGGGCCTTGCGGCGATGCCCGTTTGAGTCAAAGCTGGATCCTGCTAGAAGCTTAGCGGTCGGTAGTGTAGCTCCATGGTTGGGCGTTATGCTGCTTATGTCGTGTTAGTCTGTGATCTCACGTTAAGCTGTTATGTCGTTGCCCGTTGCTTCAACCGACTTCTGACTCGCACGGCTTTGTTTTAATCTCGTAGCACGGGCTACCAACAGATCAATGTAAAAAAAATTTACGGATTCACCGTCTCGTGATTGTCGTGAGTTGGGTATGTGCGCATATCTTTGACGCAAGGGGCCGGATTGCCACTTGGACATGCTCTGAATAGCTGCAAACATGGCCTGTTTCTAGATGGGTTACTTGCAGACGCAGCATCACTGATGCTTCGGTCTTTGATCATGTCCGGGTTCCAGAGCAATTGTAAACATCAAGAGTCTCATGCATGCCGCTTTGGGCCACATTACGCTTGCGGTACGCAGTTCCACCCCGTCACTCCGTCTCCGTTTCGCACAACGCAAAACATGATTTGAAAAGCTAAACATGCAGAAGGCGGCCAACCAGGCTCGACAATCTGCCTCACACGCCGTGATTCTGAGCTTAATTGAGTCAGCATTGATGATGTCCCAATCACCCCTGCGGACTTTGGAGATTAAGTGTCCGAGAGAATGGGCTGCAACGCACTTACACCAAAGAGCGGGTCGACGAGGCTGCTAGCCGTGACTTCGTTTGCGCATAACGCCCATACGGGGGCGTGTGAGTACCAAAGTGCGAGATACGAGTGACGACGACCCCTAGCGGACTTGTTGGTTTCCGCCTTGATGGAGACCTTTTTTTTTTATTCTTGATAGTGACCCATTGATGTGTTGTGTTTGTTTTGGCATATATATAGAATGAGCGAGGGCCAGGATGTTGCGATGGATCATTCTTCGACTCCTTGTCAGCCCAGCTGCTTATTGCTCCTCAATACTACCCTGATCTCGATCCTTCACCCAAGAGACAAGGCCCCCTAGTCGCAATGGCAGACTTACACCCAAATTCGCAGACCCCTAGTCGGCTGCATGCAGCTGTAGCGTCGACGGCCACGACCCTAAACGGCGAGGATTTTGACAGCAAAACTCCAGTGCCTAGCATTGGAGACGAGGACGAGGCTATCGACCTTGGCCTCAATGACGAAAAGCGAGATGAAAAGCAAGAGGGAAAACAGGAGGAAATTGCTTCAGTCCAGAATGATGAACTTTCAGAAGATGAATATCCTTCGGGTATCAAGATGTTCTTCATCGTGCTCGCCCTGGTGCTGAGTGTCTTCCTTCTGAGTCTCGACATGGTTAGTTGGAGCTCTAGTCTTTATTATGCGACAACACATGAGTGCTAACGCCTTTGGCTTCTTTCAGACAATCGTTGCTACGGCCATTCCCAAAATCACCGATGAATTCCAAGGTCTCGACAAGGCCGGCTGGTATGGCGCTGCTTTCTTCATGACCGTCGGGGCATTTCAATCTACATGTAAGTAATCCAGCAACGTCCACCCTAAAAGATATATCACCGTAGTAACAGCATCGTAGGGGGAAAGGTATACAAGTACTTTCCGCTCAAGATCAGCTTTCTCATCGCCATCTTCATCTTCGAACTCGGCTCTGTCATCTGCGGCGCCGCCCCCAACGCCGAAGCCCTCATCACCGGCCGAGCCATCGCTGGTCTCGGAGCCGCTGGCCTCGGTGCCGGCGCCTACACCATCATTGCCTTCTCCGCGCCGCCTAAGAAGCGTCCTGCGTTTACGGGCATCATTGGTGCTTCGTATGGTTTCGCCAGTGTCATCGGACCGCTGCTAGGAGGCGCTTTCACCGATCATGTCAGCTGGAGATGGTGCTTCTACATCAACTTGCCCATTGGTGGTGTCTCTGCCGCCATCATCTTCATCTTCTTCCAGACTCCTCGAAATGCAGTTCCCGTCAAGGCGCCTCTGATGGAAAAGATCCGACAGATGGACCCTCTCGGTGTGATTCTGATGATGGGAGCCACCATCACCTTCATCCTGGCTGTCCAGTACGGCGGTATTGCACACCCTTGGAACTCTTCCGTCGTCATTGGCCTCCTCGTTGGATTCGTCCTCATCATGGGCACTTGGGCGTTTGTCCAGTGGTACCAGGGCGACTACTCCATGGTGCCGCCTAAGCTGTTTGGCAAGCGCACCAACTTTGTCATGTCTCTGGTCGCCTTCATCCAGGCTGGTGGCTTCTTCGCCGCTATTTACTACATTCCTATCTACTTCCAGTCTGTCCACGGCACCAACCCAACCATGAGCGGTGTCCGCAACCTGCCCTTCATCATTGCCGTCTCCTTCTCTACCGTCGCAAGCGGTGTCCTGGTCACTGCCACTGGCTGGTACCAGCCTCTCCTCCTTGGAGGCACATCCGTTGCCACCATCGGAGCCGGCCTCTTGTACACGATGGGCGTCAACACCTCGACTGGCAAGTGGATTGGCTACCAAATCATCGCAGGAGCTGGCTGGGGCTGCGCCTTTCAGATTCCCATGATTGCGGTTCAGGCATTGGCCGAGCCCGCGGACCTCGCCAACTCCACTGGAATGCTTCTCTTCTTCCAGGGCCTTGGCGGAGCTTTCCTCGTATCTGGAGCTCAGTCTGCCTTTGTCAACACCATGATTAGAAACGTTCTCAAGAACGCTCCTCAGGTCAGCGAGGCGATGCTCGTCTTGACCGGTGCAACTGAGATCCGCAACAGATTTCCCTTGGACCAGCAGCCATTTGTCATTGATGGCTACATGTCTGGCATCAAGGTTGTATTTGCCATGTGTGTCGCTTGCACAGGAATCGCAACCCTTGTCGGCCTCGGAATGAGGTGGCAGAGACTCAACCAGGACGCCCTCAAGAACGCGGGAGGAGCGGCATAGATGGCCTCATTTCGTACGTGTCATATTTGGGATATATGAGACAGCCTGTTGAGTCCAGGCTTGGGGATATAGCATGTTCTAGAAAATTGCATCGCCGGCGTTACTTTGCATCAATGTTTGATGAAACGGAATCGATTATACATGTACGACTTGGGTAATAATAGGTGGAGTGGGATGATATCATGACGCTCTAGGCTAGCACTTTTTTTCTTCTTTTTTCTTTTTTGTATACCATATAGATAATACTTCGCAAACAGAAATCACAACTTACGTACGATTATACGCTTGGGCGCTGCTTTACGAGAGAGCTTTTGGACCGTGATGCATAAAGTGGGTAGACAGTCAGCTTACTCGAATGAGAGAAAATGATGGCAAACTGCAAGGTGCAATGAGAGGTCGAGTAATGGTGACCCCAACAACAGACGAGGCTGCAGCTGCATGTACTTTGGTCTTTTGGTGGGATAAGGGCTTGATATTCAGTCCGCTCTTTTCTCATCACTATGATTTGCATTGACAACAACTAAGCATCTTGTACCCAATGCAGTAGAAGAAGCTCTATTAATGCAGTAGCTCCAGTATGACATCTTACGCGACGCAATCCCCAGCAGCAAATCTCCCTCCAAGCATCTCACGTGGGACAAGACACAGCTCCTTCGGCAGTCATCCAATCCAGCCGCAGCTCCTTCACGGCCAACGCAACACACCCATTTTCCCTTGAATCCCCCCCAAAAGCGCAAGGCAATGGAGGGGCAGAAACCCAGCAGCCTGGTTCCAGCACCAAATCATGGCCTGTCATTGATGACATAGCCCGCCAAAAACAGAAACTTGCAACACCAAAAAAAAATTACGGCAGCCAAAGTAGCCGTAGCCGCACCCCTCACTCGTCCCCAAAACTCCGCGGCAGAAACCATCACGAAAAAAAACTTGACTCAGCCATTGCGCGTCGGCGATGGCGGCCGAGGCTTCGATTCCTACCTGATTGCTTCGGCTGAGCGAGGAGCTTCACCGCGACGTATTTAATTGCTTTGCATCCGGCCTCGTCAGGACGCTGTTTCTCGTGAAACCTCGGCCTGCGTTATACAGACACGATACGATAACCTCCAAGAATCCAGCGATCCACGACCAAATCAATCCCACTCTTCGAAACTAAAAAAAAAACAACCCCCAAAAATCCTCCCACAATGCTGCCTCAAGCCTCCCTCTCGCGCCTCGTCTCCCGCGCCGCCGTCCGCTCGCTGCGCACCGCCGCCGCCGAAACCATCCCGTCAACGTCCATCAAGGTCCTCCGGGTCGTCGACGCCGTGCGCCAATGGCGAAAGCCTCACATGACAAACTTCCGCTCTGTCGGCCTCGTGCCCACCATGGGCGCCCTGCACGAGGGCCACTTCTCGCTCATCCGCGCCGCCGCCCGCGAGAACCACCACGTGGTCGTCAGCATCTACGTCAACCCGGCCCAGTTCGGCATCAAGGAGGACCTCGCCTCGTATCCCGTCACCTGGGACGCTGACGTCGCCGCGCTGGCCCGTCTCGACCGCGAGTTCGCCGACGATGGAGCAAACCTGGGCCGCATCTCGGCCGTCTTTGCGCCCTCCACCGCCGAAATCTATCCCTCCGGCTTCCCCGGCCAGGAGATTGACAGCAAGGGCAGCTTTGTCACCATCACGCCCGTGGGCGAGGTTCTCGAGGGCGCCAGCAGGCCGACCTTCTTCCGCGGCGTCGCCACCATCTGCATGAAGCTCTTCAACATCGTCCAGCCCGACCGCGTCTACTTTGGCCAAAAGGATGTCCAGCAGACCGTCGTCATCAAGCGCATGGTCAAGGACTTCATGCTGCCCACCGAAGTCGTCGTCTGCCCGACCACGCGCGAATCTGACGGCCTCGCCCTGAGCTCGCGAAACGTCTATCTCGGCACGCGCCGCCGTCATGTCGCCATCGTGCTAAGCAAGGCCTTGCGTGCGGCCCAGGAAACGTACGACTGCGGTAAGCTGGACCGCAACGACGTCCTCGGGGCTGCAAATACTGTCGCCGACACCATGCTGCAGGCTCAGATGGAGCTCCCGCCTAACCAGCGGGTTACTTGGGAGGTCGACTACATCTCCCTGGCCGACCCGGACACGCTGCAAGAGGTCGATGCCGTGGACCCGGCAAAGGGAGCCGTCCTCAGTGGCGCCATCAAGATGCTGCCAGTGGAGGAGGCGCAAAATGGAGAGGATCTGGGACACTCTGGAGGACCGGCGGTAAGGCTGATTGATAACATCATCTTGCCACCCAAGGCCCAGTAGAAAGGGGATGCTGCGACGGCATGGATTACGATTGATGATGAACAAGTACGGCTAATGGGAGTTTATGAGAAGAAGAGGGAAAGAAATAGAGATCAGGGATGTTATGGCGGGTAGAATTGGAATATCTCGCTCCTTCTTCAGCGGCTGCTAGTCTGCGCGCTCTTGTTGGGTCTTTTTTCTTTTATTTACATAGCATCATTATATGGGTATAATACAAAACAAGACGAGATAGGGGAAGAAGAAAAGAAAGAAAAACAACCCCAAAATTCTTACAAGTGCGCCCTACCCTCCAGCTTCCTCTTCCTTCGTGCACTCTCCACGTTGTGATCCAGCGCCTCCTGCTCCTCCTTGCTCAGCCTGCTCGGCACCTTTCCGCCCTTCCTCTCCGCCTCTTCAGCTTCAGCAAAGAGCCGGCTGCCAAGCTCATCCGTCAGGCGAAGCACACGGCTGCTAACTGTGGCTCCATCACGTCGATTCTTGCCTTCACGACGGGAGCTCGCAATCTTTTCCGTAAAGTCCCATAGCTTTCCCTCAGCCAGCAAAGCGCCCGTCTCGGGATCGCGGCTAGGCCGCCAAGAAGGATCGAGTTGAAGGCGGGGAGGGATCTTTGAGTCTTTGGATTTGACGACGTTGATGATTTGCTCTTGCTGGAAGCGTGCATAAGAGTTCTTGAGCGTTTCTTTGTTGACGGCCTCGAAGTAGGAGAGGTCGCCCTGGTGATAGAGAGTCTTGCCGAGCTATAATATCGAAGTGTGAGCTGAGGTTTACACAAACAGAAAACAAAAACTAAAAGACCACGAGCAGAATTGTTCCTTACCAGTTGTGCACTATTCTGAGCCTTCGCCTCCTCGACCCATACATGGCCGTTTTTACCTGCGGGAGGAGTGAGGCCCATCAACGAGACCGCAGCCAACCAACTAGCCTCAATAAAAGGCCAGATGAGGAAGCAGTAAAAGTCGTAGTTTTCTCGCCCCGCCTTGCGCTCCTCATCCGACAATCCAATGGTTGCAATGTTCCCATTCTCGTCTCTATCCAAACGAACCACGTGGTCAGCTTCCAAGCCACGCAGAGTGGTATCCAAGTTTGCAGCAAGACCGGCGCCTGAGAAGATGAACTCTCCACGGAACAGCGAAGACAAGAACCCTACTTGTGTCCTGAGTTCCTCGTAGGGGATATCTTGGTTCGACGGGCCGCCTCCGCGCTTGATGCGCGTGTACATGGCTGCGCTAACAAGAGCTTCGTAAATGAAGAGATGGATCGTCATGTTGCGGTAAAAGGAGAGCTGGAAGCGGTCGACAGCGTAATAAGTTGGTTCCGCCAATCCCTCAACCACTCCGACCAAATCCTTGCCCAAGACTTCCAGTCCTCGGTCGACAATCTCAGAAAGGGGTGCGTTTCCAAAATGTGCCACTCGCCCACCCTTGGCTCGGATACGACAAGTCAACCACTCGACACGACGGACCAATTCCTCTTTGCCGACACCGCGACCACGCAGAGTGAGAAGAACAGTACCAATGAGGGCAGTGGGCATCACGACCGATACCGCGTTGATGTCGCCGAGTACTTTGTAGCCAAGGGCACGTAGAAGCTTCTCCCGGACTGCTCGCACTTCAGGGTTGTGATGATCCGTATCTAGGCTTGGCGGAATGCTAGATAGCTTTGAGAGGTGATTGTCAACAAACTTTCTCAAACTCCACGGCTCATGGAATCGGACGTCGACTCTGCCCAGCTTTAGAGAGAGAACAGAGGGCCCGTTGGAGAGAAAATCGGCCAGATTTTCTTTCTTCTTGGGCATACCAAGCAGCTCAGTGACATAGCCCTCTGTCTCAATAACCTTGTCGTATTGAGTGCTGACAGGGCATACAATGCAGTCCTTAACTCGGCCTGAGAGAATGCTGTCGAGAACGAAGCTCAGGATGCCGAATTTCGGGGGGAGCAGCTTGCCCGTACGTGATCTGCCTCCCTCAATAAAGCATTCAAAATTGTAGCCTCCTTGTAATAGCGTGTCGATATATGACTGCACGAGTGTTGTGTACAAGGCATCATCTCCAAACGATCGCCTGATCCACATGGCACCTGCATGCTGCAAGAAAGCTCCTACAACCGGAAAGTTGAGGTTATCTCCAGCCACGACGACCGGCAATGTCAGGCCAAGGCGATAGCAGATCAACTGCAGGGAAACGTAATCGATGTGTGATCGGTGACTAGGCAGGAATACAATGCTCTGCTTGTTCTTGGCCGCCAGCTCTGCCACTTTTCGTATTCGCAGGACCTCTTCGCTGGAAACATGGATTCCCTGGTGGTAGGCGCGCGTCACCAGCTGCATACAAAGGTAGTATGCACCGCGGATAAATGCGTTGCTCTCCATCTTGCAAATCATGTTATCTGTAAGCTTCTCTGCGACCTCTAGGAGGGAGTTTTCTAGTGTATTGCGTCGCTGCGCACGCTTCGTGATGTAGTCTTTGTCATCTTTATTCAACAATCCCTCCTTCTCCTCCACCGCCAGGCGATCGTTGGCGAGCTGTGAAATCCGCTTCTGCAGCAACGGCGCCGACAGGACCATGGAGGTCATGTTCTCCGAGAAACCGGAATAGAAGACCGGCTGGCCGATGACGCGGTCGTAGGCTCGCCATCCTTGGCCAGACACATAGAGTGAGACTTCGCGAAGAAACCTGTTGCCAGCGGGATTAGCGGGAATGAAATGAGGGAAACCGGCCAGCCTCGGCAATACTCACTGGAGCGGCTCGCTGCGAAACCTGGGCGATTGATTCATCAAGGCCTCTTCTTTCTCATCATGGACTATCCCCTTGGGCTCAACGAAGCCGCTGGGCTGCAGAGTGATTTCATCGCCCAAGATTTGGAGGTCGGGAGCCGAGCTATTGGCATCGTCAACTGCGTCGCCATCGTGGGACATGGCTGAAGGTCGCGAGCCGAGGGATGGGATTGTTGTGGTGTGGAATTGATTTTAGGGACGACAGAGGGGCGTTGGCATAAATAGCAGCAAGGCCATGCTATAAAAGACGGCGCTTCAGCTGATACCGCGGTTGATGCATACGATATGCAGGATAATCAAGGCTGGTGAAGAGGAATAACAAATAGCCAGACAGGAGGAGTCTGATGATTATCCGGGGTACCGCAATAGTGCTGTGGGGCGACAGCGCGAGTGCTAGCAGTTGGATTTCCAGCGGTTCCTTGGCCCGAGGACATGTGAAGCAAAGCTGTGGTAGCATCGAGACGGCTGAGAACGCTAACAGCCAGCCCGTACCCAGTACGGCTTAGGCGCGCTGACAGGCCGCAAAGCTGCCCGTATCGACGACTTTGCTCCACCTGCAAGGCTGCCAAGCTGTAACATCCAAAAAATTGCCGATTGGGAATTTTCATCAACATTCGATCTCACAGCCGCATCTGCCTCCTGGTTCCTTCACAATCGATTTCAAAGGCGCCCGAGGTCCAAGACCGCGCATCGCCGTCATGGCATCTTCCGAGCAGATCAAGGTGACGCAAGACTTGCTGTCAAGGGCACACTCTCCCGACAGCGCAAACCGCATCTACAGTGACAAGATTCAATATCGAACTCTCCAGCTCAAGCCAACATCGCCTCCGCCTGCCGCTCTCAATGCCAGGGCAGCACGCCAGAGAGCTCGCATACAGGGAAAACTCCGTGGGAAGCAGAGGCCAAAGCCGCTGTCTGCTCGGGAGCGCCGCCAGCTGGGCCTCTATGACATTCCCAAGGAAGGCCAGAAGTATGAAATTTACGAAGGGCTCAATAAGCTATGGATGGGATATGTCTTGGAAATATTGGGCAACGACATATACACTGGTGGCCCATTGGCTGCTGCCAAGCTGGCAAGCGCCGAGTTTCACGGGGCGGAAGCTGAAGTGGTGAGGAGCCGGTGTCCAGGACGAGTGGGCATCAAGGGCATCATTGTGAGGGACCGCAAGTTTGTTGTTGAGCTGATTACGAGGAAGAGGGGGCTCAAAGTTGTTCCCAAGGAGGGAACCACCTTTCGTGTGGAGGTCTCTGCGCCCCAGCCAGCCAACGATACCACGGAGAAGAGATTCGCCTTTGAGGTCCTTGGCGACCAGATGATGCTGCGATCCGCAGATCGGGCCAACAGGAAGTTCAAAGCGCATTTCCTAAAGAATGTGTAGCGATCGAGTGTTGCAGCTGCTTCGATCTCTGATTACCTCCTTCACGGCCTGTAAGAGCTGCGGGAATATCTACCTAGGTAGGTAGCCACTACGAGCTCCACGACCAAGGCTGGTTTGCCTATTTTAAGTTTCAATACTGGTATCATATGGTCGTCATCCTCAGCTCGTATTCCAGGTGTTGTTGGGGCGATATTAATATCCGGGTTTGTCCCCAATGCTCTTGAGACGCACAGCAAACTCGTCAGTCATCTCATTACCTACTGGGTAGCTCACGACCACCGATCAAAGAAAAAGGTGCGTAAAAGGCTGGATACCTGAAATTGGCGGCTTCAAACGATTTATCCCTCTGCAAGCGAAAGGGAAGCGGCTATCACAATGTTTTTTTGCGAACCGCTCCCATGGAAGATTCCCGTGCCCTTTGTTGGCCCTGCGTTGAGGACTTTTGCGGCTCTGATCCTGCTGGCCAACGTGAATGCCCTCTACGATAAGATGGAAATCTTTGGCGCCGACATATCTCTACCCATTTACGTTGCAAATCTTGGGCTGGTAGGTCTACCCGGCAAGTGTGTACATTGTCTCTAGAAGCACATAGCTAATTGTTGCCATAACGGTTGTTTAGATTGGAGTCATCTTTTTAGCAGTGTGTATATTTGCTGCCCTGAAGCAGCGCAACTACACCTTCGATCTCAACACTCTCTTGGCTACCATTACACTGACCGTCCTTTGGGGTGCGACCTGTTGTTTCAATATCGGCATTGTCATCGGTGCTTTTGTAAAATGCCATCTTCCTCGCTTTAAACATGACAAGGGAATGAAGTATTGCCACTTCTTTGGCAACGAAGTTGTGGCTAAATCAAGCGGGTGGGAGGGAAAGAGTTGGCCCGTATACTACTGGATCAGCCTGGTTTCAGCTCTGATAATGGCATTTTGGCAGATGTGCGTAATATCTCCCGCGAGCTCTATGGATAGGGTGCTGACTTGTGATTTCCTAGGCTCAACTGGATGGGCTGGATCAAGGATATACGCCGTGCCCTTTCATTCAGACGGAGACGGCAACAGAATCAACTGAATGAATGGGCGTAGGTGCCTCCTAGTTGGGACCTTTTTGCATGAATAAGGAGCAAAACTACCAAAGCTAGCAGGCGGTATTTGGCTGTGAAATGTATATATGACATGGACTTCCTGAACGGCATACAGGTAGATAGAGTACTTTAGACAGCGGATAAATGGCAATAATTAAGATGGCAGCAGCGACATTGATCTGGATACGTGTACAATTTTATGATTTATGCAAAAGCCAGCCTTTGTCGATCCTCTTTTGCGCCCTCAATGATACCTCCCTTATTGGGCACCTAACTTATGCAATTGGGCTCCATATGCGGCCAAAGGTTGATCGGCCTGTGATTTAAAAGTCGGCCCATTGTGAAGTTAACATTTGCCGTATCTCTCCGGATACTAGGTTTGCATAATTAACTTTTTTTTTTTCTATATATAGTAGGTAGGTGCCTATCTAGGCGGAGCATGGCAGAACCATAAAGGCCAATATATACAGTACCTGTCGTTGGTGGCCGTTGCTGCGTACAACAGTCGCCAAAGCCAATAGCACGGAACCAGACGTCCAATGCGTACTATGTAATACAGACTGCCGAGTTGGGCCGTTACCCCAAACAAAGACGGCTGCATAGCATTAGTAGTGCAGTGCCATTACTCCGGAGATGCTACCCATCCTTTCAGCTGCCGCATGACCCGTATTAGGGCAAATATCACGCAGTCGGCCTCAGGGCTCACATGGTCAGATGCAACTCATTCCGGGCCGTTGTCGTATTGTATGATTTGATTTTTCTTGACCTAATTATTTTGCGCTATTCGGCTCTCCTCAAAGCCCCCCGCCCCAGTGCGTTGCCGCACTTATCGCAGCATGTCGTAATACGGCTCTGGTCGCCCTGCCGGTTTTCTCGATTAGGATTTAGCCCTCGCACAGTAGGCTCGGTTAAGGTTCGGGCCTACCCTGTTGCGGAATAGCGGCGCCCAGCCTCGCTGTACATACAGCCTGGGGAATAGAATGGAACCAATTTTATCTTTCCCAAACCTCAGGTTTTTAACGCCAGCAAAGCCTTGGTAGCATTAGTTTCTCATTCAAGCATTCTGTCCTCTCGCGACCTAGCCTCCTGCTATAACTACGACTCAGACGACTTTTTACACGCGCAATTGTATCACCATCCATATTGCTAATCCTAGCAGACGTCGGAATTTTTCCACCTTACCAGACATTACCCACCCGTGTCTGCATTCTCACTCTTCAGTCGTCGACCCACGACTGACCTCAACTCGACCAACACCCCGCGCCTCGGTACACGATCACGATCCGTGGGATAAGTTCAACTATGCCGTCCAATCTCCCGTCAAGCTTTGCCTCGGCCGCCGCTGGCCAGAATGCAAACCGCGATGCGAGAGGTGGTAGGAGTGATGGAAGGGGATCCGCTGGAGGCGAATGGTGAGTCCTTGCCCCTCGCCAGAAACTGCGTTGGACGCGAGTTCTGGAGACGACGGAGATTTTGTGTCATGCATGCAATTTGTCCTGCTTCCGTGCACTAGTGTGCGCCGTATGAAATATGATTATTTTTTTATTTTTTTTATTTTTTATTTTTTTTTGGCGGGGATGGCCGCTCACGACACAGTGCCCCTCTGTTGTTTTCCGAAAACGGTCATGACCTCTTTTCCTTTCGTCGAAGCTAACTTGGATGCTTAGGTCTAGGAGAGACGGCCGCTCAGCTAACGGTACCCTGACTTTCCGTCGTTCCTCTACCACGCCCCTGAGCCAGTCCTCAAACCCTCCCCCTGCGAGCGACAATGCCGTCCAGCTACCAACCGTCGAGGCCCCCATCGCACAGCCCACAACCTACGAAGTTGGCCCCTCACGTTATACCAAGGACGATCTGCTGGAGATGTATCAGTCCCAGCGGCCTGGTGGTAACCCCTCTCATTTGTTCATCTCAGGCTGGGATCCGAGCAATGTCAGTGGCAGTGGCGTAAGGGGCTGGGGGAAGAGCAACGAGAACCACGTGCCACAGGATCCTGGCACCTGCTGGGATTTCAACGGCGACACGGCGCCCATAGGATTGTCCGGATTTTCCCAAGACGAAAAAGAGGTTCGAGATCCCAACTTGTCCGATCAAATTGCTCCATGGACGCTAAATAACTAACGTTTGGGCCAGGCTTTTTCTACTGATATCAACTCGCCACTCAAGCCTCCTACGCAAGCCAAAGAAGGTCACCAAGCTGCGGTCAACGGCCGGAAACCATCTCTTTCCCATGCTCCAGGAAGCACCTTTGGAGTGAGCTCTCCATCATCCGCTGTCCGACCTACCACCCGCCGACGAGAAACCGTCGATTCCAATCCGTTCAGCCCCACCAACATTTCGTCGCCGACTGCCAGTCGGTTTTCGCGAGATGACCCCATGTGGTTTTCGAGAAAGCCCGGTGAATTGAGAGAGTCAGAAAATGATGATCCCGACAACACCGAACAGGCCCCGCGTGATGCCCCAAAGCCGCCGATTCCTGGTTTAATGCGAGCCAACACGTCGACCGGTGTGAGCATGACGTCAATGTGGCCATCATCTACCGTGTCTAGCGCTGGTGCGTTTGGCAGTTTTGCCTTGCCCACTTCACCAGCCGTTGGCGACAAGCGACCGGGCGGTGCTCCGGGGGGGAGTCGACTGGTTCATCTAATCCCCAAGGACAATGCCGAAAGCGCGGCCAGCAAATCGTCCGAGAATCCCCTGGGGCAGCAGTCTTGGAGAACTAGACCGCGAACTGACACCGATCCTTTCGGCGGCAGTGAGGAGGTGTCTGGCATGTCCGGCATGTCTGGCAGTGCTGCACTCCAAGGTGAGCAGGATATCGCTCCGGGGAACCAGCAACCACCAAGCCGAGGGATGCCCTTTGGCACTCCAATTAAAGGATCTACTGGAGACTTTGGAATGTCCAATTTACATTTGGGTGGTTCATCTTCCGGTGATGGTGGTCCTGCTAGTCCTTCGGAGACAAACCCGTACCGAAGCCCCCCGACTGAACGCCACGACCACGATGGGCCCCCTGATCAAGGTGCTGGGGATAAGATTCACAGCACCGGCCATGAGCAACCGCACTCCAACTATAGTACGCTTTCTCGAAGCTTTGCTGCTGCCTTTGATGGGAGCGACCGTAGTCAGACCTCTAGCGTAGGTGCCAAGGCGGCCTATTTGTCGTCTGGTTGGCCCGCGCCGGCTGGCCCGTCCACCGGAACTCCCGACCGTGAGCGGTCCAATTTTGGAGGAGCCTTCGGCAGCTCTCTATTCAGCCCTATTGGCGACATCCAATCCCCTGGCTTGGGTAACCTAGGAGGCGTGTTTGGACCATCCAATACCGGTAGCATCGGCCGGCAGAGCAAGCTGGGATCCCTGTTCCCTCCTGCTATGCAGGCCCAGATGCATGCGCATGAACACGAAAGCAGCCTCTCCGACTCTCTTGGCGACCTCCGACAGAGCAACCCACTTGGTGCCATTGGCCGAGGCAACTTCACCGTGCCTACTCGAGACACAGACAGCCCCATGAGATCTAATCGCGGGGTCTTCGAGGAACTCTTTCCCTCTAGCGATAGCTCGAGGAACCTCGCCGCATTTGGAACCACAGATGCTGGACAGCCCGGCATCGCTGCCGCAGCGCCCCAGTCGTTCACGCCGGTCAGTGGCGGAATGCCATTCGGGAATGCCCAGGCTGGCGTTGAGCCCCCATCTGCCCAAGTTCGCCAAATGGTAATGCCTGATCGGATGCGATGGGTCTATCTCGACCCTCAGGGGCAAATCCAGGGTCCGTTTACAGGTCTGGAGATGAACGACTGGTACAAGGCCAACTTCTTTACCCCTGATCTCCGAGTGAAGAAGGTAGAGGACCCCGAGTTTGAGCCTCTTGGCCAGCTCATCAGGAGAATTGGAAACTCTCGCGAGCCATTTTTGGTTCCCCAGATCGGCATTGCTCATGGACCTCCTATGCAGAGCGGCCCATTTGCACCTGGAAGCGGAAGTGGAATCATTCCTCCTCTTAGTGGCGTTTTCCCAACCTTTGGAAGGACTCTCACTGCCGAAGAGCAAAACAACCTGGAGCGCCGCAAACAAGAAGAGCAATTCCTCATGGCTCAACAACGAGACTTTATGATGCGACAGCAGGCCATGGCCAAGTTTCAAATACAGCCAAGCCTCCAGCATCATTCCAGTGCTCATAGCCTCCAGAGCCAACCAAGCTTTGGCAGCATGACGTCGCCGCTGGGGGTTCCCCAGCAGCAGCATCACCAGTTGCAGCATCAACAACCCATTGGAGGCTTGGGCCCGGCCACTGTTTTTGACACCCACCCCGGTGCCGCCAATCCCGCTGCTGTTCGCGCCGCTATGGGAAACGGGGAGCTTTTCCGACCAGAAGACCTGGTTAACCTCTCGGCCAATGAACGCCAAATGCTCGTATCCTTGCAGGGTGAGCCTGCCGGTACTGAATCTGGTGCGCCTCAGCCCATTGGGACTCCGGGCGACGCAAGTCTACGGTACGGTCTGCCAGAAGCTAACGAGCTCAAGGAGGACGATGAAGGTTTCAAAGATCGTTTGAAAGAATTTGAAGATCTACGCGCCGAGCATGACGCCGAGCAAGCTGCCGCGATCGAGGAACCCCAAGAGAGCTCCGTAAAGCAAGAAGAAGCGACCGTAGCAACGACGACACCGCCCTCCGTCGAGCCGCGAAGCGAACCTGCTCCCGCAGCCAGCAAGCCTAGCAAAGTATCCAAGAAGAAGGCCGCCAGTGAAGAGACATCGTCGCTTTCTCTAACTCAGCAGGTGCAAAAGACCCAAGCCTCTGCGGCTGCTTCAGCAGTCACCCCTCCTGCTCCTCAGCCGACTGAGCCAGGCATGCCGATGCCATTCCCTCCGCCAGCTTCGATGACCCCCCTTCCGGCCCCTACGGCACAGAGAGCCAGATCTAATTTGCCAGAGCAATTCAACCGATCTCAAACCGCGACTCCCGATGCCATCGCCCAGCCTCCTCCATTGGCCCCGTGGGCCAAAGATCCCGGTCAGGAGGGGCAGAAGGGCCCAAGCCTGAAGGAAATTCAAGAGGCGGAAGCGCGCAAAGCTGCAAAGGCCGAAGAAGCTGCTGCTGCACTCCGTAAGGCTGCTATGGAACAAGAGGCTGCCCTGCTCAGAGAGAGAGAAAAGTCTGCGGCTGCGGCTGCTGCCGCCGCCAACGCTGGCCTCCCAGCGACTAGCACTTGGGGCCAAAGTTCGCCCGTGTCATCTGCCAGCCCCTGGGCTAAGCCGGGAGCTACCAAGGCCAAGGGAACCACACCTAGTGTAGCATCTGGAGCGGCTGGAGCCAAGAAGACTTTGGCCGAAATCCAGCGCGAGGAAGAAGCACGAAAGCAGAAGGCCAAGGAAGTCGCTATCCAGACGGGTGTTGGCGCCCCTGTTAGCACCGCCAAAAGCTATGCCAACCTCGCTGGTAAGCCCAATCACGGCTCCACTCCGACGGCGCCCTCTCCCATCTTGACTAGTGGTAGTGGCTGGGCCACTGTCGGTGCTGGTGGCAAGGTGAAGAGCCCATCTACCGTCCCATCTCAGATCCAAAGCCGGTCGGTTAGCACAAGCAGTGCCAAGCCTGCTTTAGCCACTCCCGTGAAATTGGCACCCAAGTCCATCGTGAGCAATGCCAGCTCTACCAACACCGCCATGGATGAGTTCAATAAGTGGGCCTATAGAGAGCTCTCTAGGGGAATAACTGGCGTTAACGATAGTAAGTCGTCTTTATACAGTTCAAATATTTCATGTTTCTGGAATTTTCTAACACGTATATTGCAGTTACGAGCTTCCAAGCAGATCTTGCTGTCTTGCCCCTTGACACCGGCTTGATTGCAGATGCTGTGTATGCCAACTCTACCACTATGGATGGGCGACACTTCGCTGAAGAATACGTTCGACGCAAGAAGCTGGCTGAAAAGGGTGTAGTTGAGAAGCAGACCCAGGCCGAAAGCAAGGCGTCGAGCTCTGGCGGCGGATGGAGCGAGGTTGCTAAGAAGAGCGGTGCCACCCAGTCCAGGGAAAGCGAGGCATCAATCCAGAGTGCCGACTTCAAGGTTGTTCCCGGCCGAAAGAAGAGCAAGAAATGAAGCTTTCTGTAAATGTGCTGTTGCTTATAGTTACATGGTTGAGCTTTGGAGTTTTGTTGCTGATTTGGATGACTGGAAGATGAGATAGTGAGCGGAAGAAAAGCGACCTGTGTATAAGCGAAGATGACAGCTATTTAGTGTAGTTTCATGTAACATGCCTACCTGGTGTTGACAATGATAAATTAAGCGCTGCAATGTAAATCAGTTTCTGCTGCCATGGGTAATGATGATTACGCGGTTGAATATTGTTGCTGGTCAACTTGGGGTTCACGAGGCGACGTCATTGCTTCGCTCTATCGACGCCCATTTATAACATGGATGCTCCCTACTCAGACCAAGGTATTGTTTGAAGCTCTTGAAGATCAATTTGCTTTTTTTACATTCATTCATCTTATTCTAATCTATTCAATTCCTATCTATTTTCAACCCCTCCATGAGATTTTCCAATGTTCGCCACCCCTGGCTATCCTCCCACGTCGCCTTCGCCCGTCCCATGACGCTGCGCACGGCACTCCGCGCCTTACCCTTCCACTTCTGTCCAATGGCCTCGACGTCGGGCCCCCAGTTCTCCAGCACCGAGACCAGCTCGTCGGTGCGCTTGACGACTTCCGCCCAGGCTGTCTCGTCGGACGTCCAGTCAGCGCTGCCCGAGGCCGATTCACCGGGCAGCAGGCCGCTTCCGGAGCCACCTGAGGAACCGACGGCGGCACGCCAGGCACGTTCTGCGGCGTCGATTGCGCCGGCGTAGTCGTTGCGCCAGGCGCGGAGGCGCGAGACGAGGGTCCAGAGCTCGGAGCGGGTGGTGATGAGGGGTGTGATCTCCTCTTCGATGAGGCGGATGACGGCGCGCTCGACGGAGCCGCGGGCGGGCTCGTAGATGCCGCTGCTGGCGGGGGATTTCTCCTTTGACAGGATGGCGTCCTGGAGGAGGGCGGAGAGGATGTCGATGTCGAGGGCGGATTCCGACTTGCGGATCCGGATGGTGTTTGAGATTGCGATGACGATGTCGGAGATTGGGGTCGGGTGGATGCGCGAGGCGAGGGTAACGACGTTGTCCCAGATGCGCCAGTTGTCGTGCGCGATGGAGGCTCCCTTTTTGTAAGCTGCGAGGGACTGGGAGAGGAGCTTGTTGGGGTCGCGAGACGTAATCTTTTCTTCTGAAGCTGTGGCGATGCCATCTTCATCGTCCTCGCCCACGGGGGCGTTTCCATTTGTAGCCTTGTCCTCCTCTTTGTCCTTCCCTGGGGCTGTCAACTCGCAGTAAAGGCTGTACAGGGCACTGCCAAGGTTACTCCATGTTCTGGCGCCTTCACCTCCTTCGGTGTCGTTTGCGCTGCTGATTGATCGACTGTATGCCTCTGCCGCGTCTTCAAAACGTCCCAGGCGCAGGCTGATATCGCCGAGGCGACCCCACATGTCGGGACTGAGTCTGTTGACGCTGGTGGCCTTTTTATACGCCTCGAGAGCCTTGACCAAATCCTTTTGGCCGAGATAGTATTCTCCCAGGGATCTCTGGGCACGGGCGAAGCGCTGCTTGGAGATTTCCCATGCGCGCTCATAGTGAGCCGGATCGTTTTCCAAATCACCGAGAATGCACCACAGACGGGCGGCATTAGGAGGGGAAGGCTGTCGCTCCGGTCCCGAAAAGTCGGCTGCTTTGAGTAAGCCGACGTCTTGGCCCACAACTTCGTCCTCCGGCTCGGAGGAGGAGTCCGCTGCGGCTCCAGTCTTGTTGAAAAGTCTCCAGCGGATGATTGCCTTGGCCTTGTCTTCTCCTCCGCTGCCTCGGCCATCTTCGTCCTCGGCAGCTGCGCTGCTGGCATAGCAGAGAGCTACTTCTGCCCAAAGCTTCAGGCGCTTGAAGATTTCCAGGGCTGATGTCATGGAGCCAACGCCAGCCCAGGCGTAAGCAAGTTCGGATTCGAGATGCCATCGCGGAGGAGTAGATAGAGCGTGGATATAACGGAGACGAACGTGGGCAGGGGCAGATTCTGAGTTTGTTGCGGCGGGCAGGAAAGTCGTGGGCTTGGAATCATCGACAGGGGCAGCGGCTTGACCCGGGGCAGTAACTTGAATAGCGGGAACATCCGATTCGTTTGCCTCCTGGGCTTCTTTGCTTGGAGTAGAAAAGGTGGTGTCAGTGAGGACTTGATCCGCCACAGCCTGTAATTGGAGGACACCACGCTCGACGGTTCTGCTCCTGTGGATTTCTATCCTTGAACGGACGAGCAATGCTTGTGTATAAATCTGCCAGTTAACAGACTTGTCGGTCAAAACACGGACTGCAAAAGGTAGAATCTGCTCAGAAGTGAGACTGTCGACGGGTGAAAAGGCATCTTTAATTGTTGCCTCGGTAAGAAGAATGATTTCATCGAGGGCGGACAGCTGCGGCTGGTCATCTGGTGCCAGCTCAGCCAGCGCAGGTGGCAGAGTCTCAACAGTTGTTGTGCTCTTCACGGGTTCCTTTGCGTAATGAATCTCTTCCAATAGGGTATCGTCGTTGAGTTTGAGGGCATCTGGCTTGGTTTCATCATCTTCATTACCCGCAGTTGCCGCAATATCTTGTTCGGTGGCGCTCTTTGCAAAGACAACAAGCTGACTGAGGTTGTTCTCCTGGAATTTTGTCCTCTTTCCAAGGGCTCCGGACAGAGCGTAGGTAACTCCGGTAGCCTGTGCGGCTTCATCCAGGGCCTCCTTTGCCTTGTCATTACGACCAAGTAGAATGTAGTTGTTAGCAGCTTCGATGAGGAACAAGGCTTTCTCTTCCCTGGCCCAAGTCTCCTCCGTGGCCCAGACTTCAGTGTTGAAGAGTTTTCCTCTAATAGCATCTATTTCATTGCTGATTTGTGTTGCTAGTGTAGGCACATCACTCCACTGCGAGCTCTTGTTGAAGTTGGATGATGAGCCCAGGCTTGGCTGCGTGATAATCTTATAGTGCCAGACGTTGACACGCAGTCTTTCCCAGGCAAGGCTACGCTTTGTTGCAGCCCCTTCAGCTGATGGCAACTCAAAAACATCCTTTGTTTCGGATGCCAGGGAGTCAACCAAGATGTACTTGGCGAGAGAGAAGAGTTCTAAATAAGGAATGTAGGCATAGGGAACAACGCCGTCAACTTCGAAATATCTCAGACAAGCCCTCCGAAGCTGGTGCAGAGCAACGGCTGAGTCATGAGATTCTGATTTGCTTGAGTTCCAAGCACTGACAAACAGCTTCTCGACATGAGTTGACTCCTTCGCTGGCAGAACAGGACCAGTAACGGTTGCTTGGAGGAAGGCATCGAGAGCCGCCAGACCTATAGCGAGGAGTTCCGGAGCCGAGTGATTTGTGGGTGCAGCCGAGGTTGTCTCATCTGATAAGGACACTAGATGAGATACATGTGCCGTTATGAGTTGCTCCGCTACAGCGCTGCCAACCAGGGCGGCCAGGGTGTTAACGTTTTCAGATGCTGAATCCATGGTGGGGTTGACGCTGATATTTGGAGTTGGTGGTGGTGACCAGCAGCCCTGGCGATCACAGAGCCGCCACGACCGAGGAGCAGATGGAGATGGGTATCAAAGAATGTTACTTCTGTGATCCTGAGGTAGACGCAAGCTGCCATGGGATTCCTTGATACAGGATCTTGCGGTTCTTCCACAGGCTTCCTTTTTTTGTGGTTTTCTTATCGATAACGACGATGAGGTGGGATGGCGGTTTTCACCAAGAAAATTTTAGCGTCCAAGAACCCTTTACCCCACCTATCAGAACTGACAGCCCAGCGATTTACTACTACTACTTGAATGAGAGGGAGCTTTCTCTACTGTTCAGTCTATATTTTCAGTAAATGTCGAAGTAATTTCTGGAGTAACATAGCATGATCGTTACGACTACGGATACTAGATGAGTATAGGAGAGGAAGCTCCGGTCCATCAGCGGTGAGATCCAATTAGTTCTGCTTTAATGTGCCTTGCCTGCTTCACAGCTTCAATCACTAGCCTATTAACATCCTCACCGCTAGCACATATAGACGATGCTCACCAAATTCAACAATTTCATCAGCTTCAGAAATGCCATCTCTTTGGCATGTGATTTCCCCAAATTGGCAATCGGAATCCGGGGCTGCATCTACTCAGTTCTAGACCATGCCTCGCTTAGCAGAAAGCCTTATCGCAACGTTACGCTATGATTTGTTGAGCTTCGCCTTTACACGTTGAGATGGCTTCATCCAAGAGAGATAATCCATCTTCACATGCTTCATTCATCAATGAAGAATGCTCTGACAATTTTTCCGTTCAACTTTTTTTTTTCCCTCTCTTTGCCCCATCTCAAGCCTGTTGGTTTTATTCGACACGCACCGTCTCGAAACAGACCCACAGGCTCACCAAGTTGAGTGTGAGTGGACTTGGCAGATTTTTTTCTGACCTGTGCGGGTTTTAGTGACGATTCCATACTAATTTGTATACCTGCGAGCATTGAGGCTTCAGGCTGTGGTGGCAAAGGCCGAGTTATGGCAACAAGTTCGTTCAGATGCAACAGGGTATCGATCACAGCAGTGAAAATCAATGTTGAACATACATTTGGTGTTTACACGAGGCCAATAACCTCTTTGGGCCCGGATAAACCAGAGGTCACGCGACAGCCGCAGCAGAGATGCGATACGAGGCATATGCGAGCATACTCGTACAGATGGAAGGCCAAAAAAGCCCGAGAAGAGAAAGAACTTGCGCTGTAATTTACCGTGAGCGTCCGTTTCTTACGGCACTCTGGACGCTCATTGGCGACTTGCCACCAAAACCCTGGCGCTGCTGAGGCCCTGAAACGACGTCGGCGCCGTCTAATACGTCTTTACAATGCCCCAGGACCAAGCCAACCAAGGCATTTCTCATTGCGTACTCGTACGAGTAGTACAAGTAGCACCTACAGTAGAACAAGACACTAACTAGTACGGAGTCGTCCATTCACATCGAGGGCGGAGGGACTTTTTGCCGCACGAGCGCTGCACCCAAGAGTCCTGTACTCCTGTACTCTGCCACAGTGCGAGGGCGCAGACTCCACCGCCTATCCAGGTCAGCATGCAAGTACGAGCAAGAAACCTGAATACCGTCAGAAACTAGCAAGCACAAGCGGTCTCTGCGAGGTAGACACCCCATGCTCGGGGTTAGCCACTTGGGGTGTGCCGTATTAACAGGAGCCCACACAAAAAGTACGGCGAACTGCTAATCCAATCTAATCACTCCGTATAATAAGCCCCCACTCCAAACGGTGGAGAAAGGCTGGTCCACAAAATGGCTGGCGACGTTTCATTCCCTGCTTCTCGCCTCAACAAACCACCGGTTGCCCGTTTGATTCGCATTGGCTAGCCTTGGCCCTTGGGACTCGCCGTCGCCTTCAGCTAAGGGCAAAAGATGACGAGCATGGCTTTGGTGATGTACGACTTTGATGATGTTCTGACTCGCGTGGTCTAGCCTGCCGCATGCAGCGCATCTAATACCTGTACGGCCTCTTATGGGAATGTATTCAGCCGACAGCCTCGCCTCCTCTTCGCTGGCACTCGAGACAAGGATCGGGGTAACCACCAATCTCCCGCTGCGGCTTTCGGCTGGGTGTACTGTTCTTATCTCGTCTTGCTTATTATCAAGTGGTGTTGCAATGCCGGGTTATCAAGCGGTGTCGCCATCAAAAGAAACCATACGAGTGTTTATAACGCAGCTCACGCACACACATCATGAGCCGTCGCAACTATCATTCCGATTGCTACTCAGAATGGTGTTTGCGTCTCGCTATCGCACACTGTCTCAAAACTGTGCGACCAGGAACATCGTCGACTGAGCCACGGATCGGCGATGCCCTCTAGTCCGGTACGAGTTAGTAGTGGGACAAGGCTTAGGCGGGGTGACGTCAGTGTTTGGTGCAGGGGATTCACTCCTTCGACGAAAGCAGCTGGATCATGCCGCTTTCAAGCGTTTGCTGAGGAGTGTTACTCGCATCTCCATGGAGTAATATGCACTTTATACATCCAACTGGGATGGGAAAGTTACCAAAAGAAGCGACTTTGGCGTAAGCCTAAAACCTTTGGCTGAGCAGCTAAAGGTCTTCCGGCGACTTGCAGCGAAAAGGCCGATTTGCACAGTGCTCATCTGAGCTGGACAACTCCGTGAAGGTGACGAAAAGAAACAATGAAGATGGCCTCTTTTTCAATGGCAAGCGAGTAAAAGATTATGGGAACAATGATTCCGGAAATATCGTCATGCAGTGAAAAATGCACGAGATTCAAGACTGAGGCGCATCTCAGGCTTAATGGAAGGCTCAATGATCGATACCGAGCGCATTCTCTCTGATCAACTTAGGTAGTTGAACGGCCGATCTCGAGATTCTAGAACCGTTCTTCACTGAATATGCATTATTGAGATCGATTTGACTTGGCAAAAAATACCTAGCCTTGTTTCCGGTTATATCACAAGATTAATAACCAGATTTCGGAACTCAGTGGACAATCGCAGCTATCACATCACACAGCGACTTCAGCCCCCTAGAGTTGGTACAGGATCAAGGATATCCAGCCAGGGATTAAATGCGAATCCAGATTCATACAAGTTATCGGCCACTGAAGCTAATAAAGATAACCAGATATCTGACTTTGAAATCTCGCTAAACCATCGATTGTTTGTCTAGGAGACACCCTACTTTGCTTCATGGAGCAGCCAAGATCCCGGATGCGTCAAGCATCGCTGGCCAGTTTATGGCCCAGACTTTGAGGGATCCTATATTGAAAAGCTTGCCAGGTACTCTCGTGACCGCATAGTACCACTACCCGCGTCTACTCCTTTATTCGATACTAATCACTCTACCAGACGTGCTGTACCTCCTTTTTGGCGACACCGTCTGTCGGCTGCAGGCTTCTACCCCAGCATCGCCGACGAGTATTACAGAATGTCCGGAAAGAAGTACAGGGACACACAGAAAGGTTGAGAAATCTGACACTGTGCCCTCCCCCCTGCTCGCCTCTCTGGGTCCCTGGCCCTCGTGCTCTGTGTGGGTGGCTGCTCATCCCGTTCGTTCTAAGCAGGGCCTAATGCGCTAGCTCTCCGCTGGCGTCCTCCTTGGCTGCTCCACCATGAACGACAATGGCAGGGTATGCGCGCAGAATAGAGAGCGACTCGCCAGTTGTAGGACAAGAGCAGCCTTGGGACAGTGTGCCAAGACGAATACAGTCGGCTGCGCAGCATCAAGCGCAAAAAATGGCCTGAGAGCATGCTGGAAGTGTCTCCAGTTCGGCCTTCCCCCCACATAAGATTCGGCGTCACAGTGATGCTGTCCAATCTAATTGCGATTCTAAGTGCTCAGTGTTGTCTTTGCTCCTCCCTCGGCCCCTAGTTGAGGTTCGTTCATTCTTTCAGCCAGCCGCAGTCGTATGTACTCTCGGACGTCCCTGGCCCGTCTGATTCGCCGCCTTTTTCAACAATTGCTACAAATACTCTTCCATCGCCCATCACTCCTCCCATGTGGAACTTCATTCCTCTTCCTCTCATCCTTTTTTGTCCTTGGGTGTTTTCCTATTGGTTTTCCCCACAGCAATCATTCACATAAAGGATCAGCATTCTGACAACACTGTCTGTCAATGCTCATCAATTAAGCATCTGTCTATCGTCGCACTCTCTCATGACGACAACAAAACACGAGACAATACTGTCGTTGCGTTACTGATTGACCTCCAAAATGGCCACTACAGATGATGAAAAGCAGCCCAAGTTCGAGGCTCCAGGATCCCCAGACGTGGGATCCCAAGAGTTCATCGAGAATGCGGATGGCCTTCAGCGACGACTTAACAATCGTCAAATCCAGCTAATCGCCATCGGCGGCTCGATTGGTACTGCTCTGTTCGTCAGCATCGGAAGTGGACTTTCCACAGCCGGGCCGGCCAGTCTTTTCTTGGCCTATACTCTGTATTCCATGGTTCTCGGATTGGTAAACAACTCTCTCGCTGAGATGACCGTCCTTATGCCTGTGTCCGGAGGTTTCATTCGTCTCGCAGGTCACTGGGTCGATGATGCTTTGGGATTTATGGCTGGCTGGAACTTCTTCTTGTACGAGGCTCTGCTGATTCCCTTCGAAATCACGGCACTCAACCTCGTCATCTCCTTTTGGGACGAGAACATTACCAAGCCTGGTCCGACTGCCGGTATTTGTGCTGCCGTTATCGTTTGCTATGCGTAAGATTCCCAACCTTCATCGGGAGTGACAAAGAACGCGCAGGGATTCCCACGCTTCTAAATTTCGCCACCTTGTTCTTACTACCAAATTACCCTTGCTAACCATTACATGTAGTCTGCTAAACGTTCTCGCTGTAAAGGCCTATGGTGAAGCGGAATTTTACCTATCCGGCGGAAAAGTTATTCTCATCTTTATGCTCTTCTCCTTCACATTCGTGACCATGGTCGGGGGCAATCCGAACCACGACGCCTATGGCTTTCGATACTGGAACGACCCCGGAGCCTTCGCCGAGTACCATTCGCAGGGCGCCCTTGGCCGCTTCGAAGGCTTTCTGTCAGCCCTCTGGAGTGCAGCTTTCGCCGTCGTCGGTCCCGAGTATATTTCCATGGTAGCGGCCGAAGCCCAGCGCCCTCGCACATATATCAAGACTGCCTTTAAGACCATTTACTTCCGCTTTGGCATTTTCTTTATTGGCAGCGCCTTGGCAGTCGGCATCATTCTTCCGTACAACGACAAGACACTGGCTGATCTTGTCAGTGGCGGAGAGGGCAGCGGCACTGCAGCGGCTTCGCCGTACGTCATTGCCATGCAAAACATGGGCGTCTCCGTGCTGCCTCATATCGTCAATGCTCTTATGATGACATCCATTTTCTCTGCTGGAAACACATATACCTACTGTGCAACCCGATCACTGTATGGTTTGGCTCTTGAGGGCCGTGCCCCTCGATTCCTGCGCAAGTGCACGAGCAAGGGTGTGCCCATCAATGCCTTTTTGGTCGTCATGTGCTTCCCATTCCTGTCCTTCCTTCAAGTCGGCAACGGCTCTGCTGTCGTGCTCGACTGGTTGGTAAGCTTGATCACCGCCGGCGGAATCATCGACTACCTCGTCATGTCCATCACATATCTCTGGTTCTACAGAGCTTGCAAGGTCCAGGGTGTTGACCGGAAGACATTGCCTTATTTTGGCTGGGGACAGCCCTACTGCGCCATTATTGCGCTTGTCATTCAGCTTCTCGTCGTTGGAGGATATGGGTACGAGGCATTCATGCCTTGGGACGTCAAGGCCTTCTTCCGCAGCTACACCATGCAGCTTTTGGCCCCTGTCCTATTCATATTCTGGAAAGTGGTGAAGCGGACCCGGTTTGTCCGTCCCAGTGAGCTTGACCTTGTCTGGCAACGACCAACGATTGATGCCTACGAGTCACACTTTGTCGAACCTCCGGTTGGATTCTGGACCGAGATGCTGCAGTTGGTTGGAATCAAGCGCAATAAGAACGCAGCTTTCCTGGTGGCGTAAGGCGGGAAATTAAGAGCCTATCCTGCGTTCTCCCTCACGGCTTAAGCCGTATTATGAGCACATGTCTTCATTACGTCCCCTTTTTCGTTTCTATGTTATTGCTTTTTATATATACCCATCACGTTTTGTGGAATTAGAGATTCTACATGGGATATACGGGACTAGACGTGTAAGATGAATGAGCTATAGAGATGATATACCCAGGACATATGATGAGAAGAATAGAAAATACATTTCATACTTTGACCAGCACTTGCAACACACGAGAGCAGACGAGGGATGCCATCATCACCACGGCGAAGCGGCCCCACCAGAGTTCATCATGCCTCCACAAGCATCTTCAACCCACAACCACAAAACACAAAACCACCAAGAGCAAAAAAAGAAATCTCAATGCGTAATCTGGGAATCGAACCCAGGGCTCCCCGACGCTGCTCGGATGGCAACGGAGAATTTTACCACTAAACCAATTACGCTGGAAGAGGAAGAACCCGTTATTCTCTGTGGTTGAGGCAGAGAACGGGGCTCAGAATGCGTGAACTGGGAATCGAACCCAGGGCTCCCCGACGTTGCGGATGGCAACGGAGAATTTTACCACTAAACCATTCACGCTTTCTTGGTATTTGTTGGAGGATTGGCGGACTAGAATCGGATCTTCTTGGTTTGAGAGTGGGAATTGGAAGGAGTTGGAAAGAGGGTGAGGATGAGATACCCTAGAGGATGGAAGATTTTCTGAATTAATGGGGTGGGAGATTTTTGTTTGGGGAGAGATTGTGGAATGCCAATTGACTTTTGCCCATGATTAATTCCACAGAGTCAGAACCCTGTCCCATGTTCTTGGAGATGCCGACATTGTCTCATCCGAGTGCGAATCAAATTCGGAACACTTTTAAGGTTGAAGGTAATGAACTATTTTGCCTGCTAGAGTCAGTCCCTTAATTCTGGAATGAGATGTTATGAATGCCCATTATTTATCATGATGTTGTTCAATCGGCGATAAACCACACTAAGTCGCAATTTTCCATTCTTGGTGATGAACAGGACCGAATATCCTGCTGGTGAGGTAGAAGGGCGAATACAACCCCTTCCTCAGGTTTTCGCCCATATATTCACCGAGCGCTTCCTGTTGTACCAGGTTGAGCCTATATACCTTTTGAGGTTCGGATTGGGTTCTCTCTTTCAAATTAGTGGTCCCATTGTATATGCTGCGGAAGGCAAGCCATTTTTTTTCTCTTCGACTGGCGTGAGGTTTCTCAGATATGAATCTCGTCCGGCTTTATCGTCGAGGAACTTCTGGATTAACTCGTCCGGTTTCTGCTCTCCAGGGCTTGCCAATGTGGGCAAGTTTCCTCTGCCAAGTCCAACATAGTAGTAATAAAAGTAAAATTACCGGTAGGGGGTTATCCTTCTAGGGTAGTGATTCTCCAGCAAGCTTCTTTTGGTGTTTCAGGATACCTTGGTGATCCATCATTGTCAGACGTCGTCATGACATCCGGTCCAACTTAGACGGGCATGTTCCGGAGCCTTGGTTAAGGTGCTTACTTGTCGTTCGGGAACCTTTTGCCACCTCCTCTATCGGCAGTCGCGGGCAAAATGCCCTTCTTTCCCACAGCTGAAGTATTTGCCTTTCTTAATTGGCTTTTTTTAAGTGGCATCCAATTCCATGGAGCTGGAATGGCTAGTGTTAGAAGATTGGTGCCTGGCGTAAAGCCGCGACGCGAGGTACTGAAAGGGTGCTTCCCTTTGTTTTTACTATTGAAGTGTCTATTCTTTTCTCGTCAACGTTCACATAGCCGATTTGGCAGTCAATAGACACAGCCATAGCAACATAAGTAGCAGATTTATCTAAACGATCCTCCTTGATGAGTTCGTCCTTGATCTTGTCTAGTGTTTCAAACAAATCAAATAGGACCTATATTTTAATTGAATTGAGTTTAAAACTGAATTGAATTCAGTCCTCTCTTTTCAAATCGTTAGCACAAACTACAACACCCAGGTCCCGCTATCAACTTCCGGTCAAGTGTCAAATAACTTACACAGCTCAAGACCCCAGTTTACGAACCAATCCCATGTCCAATCCAAGACTTTAAACATTCAAGCTGCATTAGGCTTTGACGTATGTTGATGGTTGGTGCGGGAAGCCGGGTAACTCAGGCGGGAAAGGTGGGCCTCATCGCCTTGGTGCCATCTGTCACTGTCTGTCACTTTTTTCGCTTTGCCGAAAGTATCTTTCTCGATGTCATTTCCGATTCGTAACAAGATGGTAGCGGTAGCTGCTGAACTGTCTGATCACGACGAAACAGTTTCAGATGACGTCCAGATGATGGAGGCTCTCTGAGGTGCCATATCTGAGGCGAGTTATCGTCATAGGGCGAATAAATCAGGTATCCAACCCAGCCTCTTCTCTTTCCGGTTCACACACCATGTCTCAAACCAGAATCCCAAACCCAGCGCCAAGAAATGTTTCTATTCGGTCTCCTTATCCTTACCACGGGGATTTCAGCGTCCCTTGACCCTAGGCAGGGAACCACTCAATGTCCTTCCTCTCAGATATTATGCAGTGGGAAGTGTGTTCCTATCAATGACCAGAACTGCGGAAGCTGTGGCAAGGTATGCAACAGTCCACAAACCTGCCAGACTCAGAGCGGGACATGCGGGTGTCCATCCGGAAAGACTTTCTGCCCTGGAGCCGGCACAAGTCCTGGGACTTGCACAAACACCAGCACCGATAACAACAACTGTGGTGGTTGTGGAACAACTTGTACTGGCGGACAAACTTGTCAGAGCGGGAAATGCGCGAGCCCATGCCAATCCGGACAGACTCTCTGTCCCAGTACCGGCACAAACCCCTGGATCTGCACAAACACTAATACCGACAATAACAACTGTGGAAGCTGTGGCAAGACATGCACTAGTCCAGCAACCTGTCAGAGCGGGACATGCACGAGCCCATGCCAATCCGGACAGACGCTCTGTTCCGGGAACTGCACAAACACCGGGACCGACAACAGCAACTGCGGTAGTTGCGGAACAGCCTGTGCCGGTGGACAAACCTGTCAAAGCGGGAAATGCGCGTGCCCATCCGGCCAGACTCTCTGCTCTGGAACCTGCACAAACACTGCAACTGACAACAACAACTGCGGTGGTTGCGGAACAGCCTGTACCAATGGACAGACCTGCGGCGGCGGGAAATGCGCATGTCCATACGGTAACTGTGACTACAGCGCCTGTCAGTACCTCGGCTCCTGCGACTCAGGCTGTGTGAACGAGTGTGTTCGCGCGTACGCGTGTAGGAACTGCTGTCAGATCCATCCCTCTTGTATGTATAGCGAGGTCTGTATTGGCGGCGAGAACTGTGGCCCGACCTGCTGTGTCTACTGTTCACAGCTCAACTGTTGTGCGAACTGTTAATTATCTTTATTCACATCAAATCACATGTGGGAGGATTGGTAGTGGCATGGCTTATCAGGCTGAAACAAGCTGAACAACCATCAAACGGATTCAGGGGGTCTCTGGAAAACCCCTGAATGGCCAGGTTGTATGGGGGTATTATGGAGATGAATATGGCTGGAACTCGCTCTCTTGGATCATGTGTTTTGATTCTATTCAGTTCAATACGGTCTATTGAGATTCATGCCATCAGCTTCTGGCCCGTGTCGGATGTACGTGGAAAAGGAGTCACTCCTGGAATTCGGCGACAAACCACTCGAGCGATCCAACTCCGAGCTCGTTCGCGTCCTCCGGCATATCCTTGAATATGTTCTTCCCATGCAAATCGAGTGCTGGACGAAGCTGATGGAAGAGCTCGAGTATCTGCACGATATTCAAGCTCATCTGGCTTTGAGCAGAATTTATGAGGCTTCACATGAATACTTGATTGCAGAGGCGAAGAGCGATAGCCAGGTCAAAATCATGGAGACTAAGGATGAAGATAAGAAGTTCTAATATCAATAAGGACTATATCCATATTCGTAAAAAAAGAGCTAAGGAATACGGGTACCGTGACACTTCAACTTTTGCACCACCAAAATTATGGCACGCACGGAATTGTACATATATCATGATGGTGATGTGTGGACTACTTTATACCAAGTAGGTACGATGCCAAAAGTCCCGAACAACGCTACCTGTCATGGGTTATTTTGAGCTTGTGTTTGAACCATCTCCCGTAGATTACATAGACCCGCTATATTCTTGCAACCGAATTCTCCATTAATCAGGGCGAACTGTCATTGATGAGAGTGCTTGTATTTTATAGCTAAAGTCAAGAGTCTCCTGATGATATTCATATCCAACCAGAGAAGCAATAATGACCACCTTGTGACAGGAAACTGAGTTTAAACGGTTGACGCTCGCTCCACTAGAGCATACGTACTTCCAACTGCTCAACATTCACGGCAAAAAGAGGCACACAAATGTTAAATTCAAGAGGTTTTTACTACTTAAGTCTATTCGGGCTTCTATCTACCCTCTACCTCCTCTATAGCCCAAGGTGCGAGAGCTTGTGACAACATGGGGGTCCTCCTTCCCCAGGTCGTGTGTCCCACACTCATCCAGGCCATCAATCTATTGAGAAGGCCCTCTCTATCGGCAGCCCGAGCATACAATCATCGCAAGAACGCATCGCAACTTTTCCTTTACCAATCCGTATTTTTCATCAATTAAAAACAAAAGGAACATGTGAAAAAATATCCTCTAACTTGTCAGGGACAAGGCGTCATCGAAATGCCGTGATGTGGGGTATGTTGAATCGTTTACAGGTCATCCTCGTCGCTGAACACCTCCTCACCACGCTTTCGGCGGGCCATACGGTCTGTAAAGAGACAAACATGTTAGTAAATAGCTTCATTATTAGATCGTGAGATGCTTTCGCGATTGACATACCCTTCTTCTTCTTTCGCAGCTCAGAAGAGGTCAGCTTGGCCTTCTTCTTGGTGCTAACAATCTTGTTGCCCATGGCATCGAACTTGTCCTCCTCATCGTCATCGTCCTGCTTGAGACGAGGACCAGCACCCTGGCCCTGGACCCAGTTGTGGCCGGAAGGAGTCATCTTGCCGTCCATGACAGCCCAGACTTCCTCAGTCAAGTCCTTGGTGAACTCGGCAGAGTGAGTGATGATGATAACACCACCCTCGAACTTCTTCAGGGCCTTGGACAGAGCACCCAGAGAGTCACGATCCAGATAGTTGGTAGGCTCGTCAAGGACGATCAAGTGGGGTCGCTGCCAAGAGCAAGCAGCCAGGACAGTCTTGACACGCTGGCCACCAGACAGACCACGCATACGGGAGTGAGAAACCAGCTCAGCATCGAGACCGAAGTTGGCGCAGTGGGCCTCAATCTCCTTTCGGACCAGAGGTCGGAACTGACCAGAGGCAAGGGCCTCCTTCATATCGACATCAGCGACCATCTTCTGGTGAGAGGCCAGCAGCTCGTTACGGGGCAGCCAAACGTTGTCAGCGGTCATCATGGGAACCCATCGCTCGCCCTTCATGCCAACGTTCTCACCCAGAGCGAATGAACACTCGTACTCGTAGCTGTTCTTGAACTTTCTACGGGCGTTGATGCCAATGACACGACGCAGAGTACCCTCGATCTTGAAGACCTTGTCCATGGCCTTCTCATCAGCCTCGGTGATGATCTTGTTGGCTCGGTCCATGGTCTCACGATCCTCACCAGTCTGGAAACGCCACTGGATGTACTCGGAAGGAGTCTTGTCAAGGTGGTTATCAATGTGGGCAAAGGCGTGCTGCTTGATGTAGGCGATACGGATGTTCTCGTGCTGGTAGATCTCACCACCGGTGGGGATGAGCTCACCGCAGAGAACGTTGATCAGAGTAGACTTGCCAGCACCGTTGGGACCAATGACGGCAATACGAGAGCCCAGAGAGCACTGGAAGCTGATGTCGGTGATCTGAGGCTTGGAGGTACCGGGGTACTGGAAGGACATCTTGGTGGCACGCAGGATAGCCTTGGCCTTGGTCTTGACACCCTCAAGGAAACCGGGCTCAGGGAAGGTGAACTCCATCTCGGAGGCACCGAGCTCGTAGTAGGACTTGGCGGAAGGAACACGCTTGACGAACTCCTTCAGGTTACCACGGTAACGCTTGAGCTTGAATCGCTCGTAGTGAACGATGTGCTGGCAGACGTTGTCAAGGAAGCCAGAGTCGTGAGAGACAATGATGGAAGTGCAGGGGGAGCTGGTGAGGTAATCCTCGAGCCACTTGACGTTCTTCACGTCCAAGTGGTTAGTAGGCTCGTCGAGAAGCAGGATATCGGGGGCCTCGAAGACGGCACGGCACAGAGCCAGCTTCATCTTCCAACCACCGGACAGAGCGGAAATCTCGCCCTTGACCATCTGCTCGGTGAAGCCGAACTCATCCAGACGCTTCTCGACATCAGCCTGAGCGACGTCGACCTTGGCCTCGCCAAGCTTCTTCATGGTCCAGTCAATGGTAGTCATCTCAGTATCAGCGGAGTCAAGGTCGTGCTCGACGAAGACGGTCTTGACCTCGCTCTGCTTGGGGAAACCCTCGACCTGCTCGTTGTTGATGGCACGCATGAGAGTAGACTTGCCGGAACCGTTGGGACCGCAAAGACCGTAACGCTGACCACGCTTGAGGCGGAGGTGGGTCTGGTTGAGCAGAATCTTGGCACCGTAGGCAAGAGAGAAAGTGCAGTTGCAAAGGTCCTCACCCTCCTCCTCATCGGCCTCGCCCTCCTCCTCCTCAGCAGCGCCGGGAGAAGCACGCTTGCGCAGAGTGTCGATGGTGCTCTCAGCGTTGTCGATGCCGGTGACGACAGCGACGTAGGGCTTAAGGCTCTCGACCCAGACGGCAGACTCAGTCTCCTTCATGTCGATGAGCTGACCAGCAATGGCGGAAATGTACTCAGAGACGGGCTCCATCTTCTCAAGGAGGGAAGCATAGCGGGTGGAGGCAATCTCCTTGAACTTGGCAAGGACGACGGAGATATCGCCGTCGTTGCGAACCTCGGGGATCTTGCCGTCGACAACGTTACCGACACGGTACAGGGTGTCAAGGGCCTGCTTGGTCTTCTCACGAGCCTCGGGATCAGCAAGGTTGTCGTAGTTCTTCTGGAGACCTGGCATCATCTTGGGCAAGAAAGGAGCGACAATGTTGGGGTCGTCGACAAGCTTGCACATGTTGTCAACAATGACAGCAGACTTTCGCTTGATGGCAGTCTCACGCTCGGCAAGACCACGGTCCAGAAGAGGGACCATGAGAGCGAGGGTGGGCTCCTGAACCTCAGTAACGAAGGTGGTGGCACCGAGAAGGTGGACAGTCTCGGGGACGTTCTCGGGCTTGGCGATACACTTGATGAGCTCAGGAATGAATCGCTCAATATCCTTGTTGACAATGAGCTGGCAGATGGTCTCCATGACCTTGTAGGCGTGCTCCTTGACCTCCTTCTTGGTGTCCCACATAGCCTCAGAGACGACGGGGATCAAGTCGGGAACACGGTAGGAGAGCTGAGCAGGGGCGGTCTTGACAAGGGCAAGGATGAAGTCCAGAGCAGCCATCTTTTCAGGCCACTTCTGGGCAGTGCGGATAGACTCCATCAGGTAAGGGAGAGCGCTCTTGACAGCGTTGCCGTTGATGGCGCTGGCAACAGCCAGGACAGCAGCGGTAGCGGCATTCTTGACAGCGGTGATCTTGTCGCCAACGGCGGCAAGAAGGGTGGGCAGAAGAACGATGAGGTAGGGCTCGACGTTAGCGGCGACCTCAGAGTGAGAGGCAATGGCCTCAACGGCGAGAGCACCCTTCTCACGGGCGGTGGCGTCCTTCTTGTTGACGAGGGACTTCTTGATGTCTCCAATGATCCTAGCAAAATGTGCGTTAATACCCTTGTACACTAAAAATTGACGTCGTAGCGCTGAAAGAAAAACTTTTCAGGGAGTTTGGTAGCTAACGTAGCCACTGATGGAGGGGTAGACAGCCAACCCCGCTGTGAGTGGCGGGGCAACTGTCGCAGGCGAGATAGGAGGCAAAAAAAAAAAAAAAGTTTTCCCCGCCTAAATAAACCCAAAGGGAAAAAAAAAGGGACAATCGATCCGAAGATGTTGCAAAGGTCGACTTACTTCTCAGGGACAGCCTGGTCGTCAATGCGGCCGTTGAGGAAACCGGCGAGCTCAGCAGCGGACTGCTTAATGTCGGCGGCGTCCTTGGACACGGTGAGCTTCTGGAAAAGCTCGTCCAGGACCTTGATAGACTCGGCACCTTCGCTAGGCATGTTGGCGGTGATGTAGAGGATGTAGAAGAATTATAAGAGTCGGACGACGAAAGGGAGAATCGAAATCGATGAGAATCGTTCGATTACTACTGAAGCCAACAGAGCCGATGGAGGAATCGACTCTCGTATCGAGGCTTTTTTGTGTAGATTCGAGGTGGCGGGGCTGTTCGATGGGGAGGAGCCAAAGAACAACTCGTCAAAGAAGGCGGATGGACTATCTGGATAGACAAGTCCAAGGTCGAAATCAGTGACGACCAAAGTAGATGAAGAAAAATAATGAAAGGAGATGGAGGTGAGATCGAAGGAGAAAAAGAAAGTGGGTGGGAGGGAGACAAGATTTTAAAAGGCTGCGGCCCAAGAGCCAGCAAGTCCACAACTTTTTTTTTCTCGCGGGGTGTGTGGCTAAAATCGGGCAGCCCAGAAAGATTTTTTTGCTGCCCCTCCATTGGGCGTCCTGGAGGCTTATCAGCTTTATCAGCGCGCGCTACGCCTGAAGGGGGCAAACCACCACTGGAGCAAAGGCGGTGAGGCGTCTGAGTGCTGAGAATTTTTAGTGGGCAAAAGACGCTGTGGCGGCCAAAGAGAAGGAATTCGATGCGCAGCGAATGTCTGCTCAACAGAAAATTTCACTAGTGGCTACGGAATCTCTAACTATCGAGGAGAGATCTCGGTGTTTTGCACTGTCCAATTTGCATGTGGTCGGCTTCTGCCTTCTGCCATCACAAGCCCCTTGCGTTAGGTTTCTACTTTTAGCAGCCGAGTTGGAGATATGCTTTGCGTGTACTCTGTATCAATGCATGAAAAAGATGATTTGATTGGGAGGTTCCTCCTACCAAGTAACCCCCAACGTGGAGGCAAGCAAGCTCTTGATACCTCTTGTCCGTGGAAAGCTTTGTTATAGTGGACATTGAAGCTCAACCGTACTCGTCAGCTCTCGCAGTCTTGCTCGCCAAAGACCTCTGGATGCATCGTCTACTAGTCATGTACAGCGCAAAGGCTGGTGGGGGACACCCTCACCCATACTCCTGTGATCTGCCGCCACGCATTAATATAAGATAGATTGCCTGGCTGATGGCAGTCTCACACACTTCCCCCAGCCGAGTCCGCCCCTGCAGATGGAGTAGCACTGCTACTCCAGCTTATACCAGTACCCATTGGTCCCGTAGTCGCTGCTAAGGTCTTCGCAAGCTGGCCCTGCATATGAACCGAGGCGGTGTCAGAAGCTCTCACACCTTACCGGCTTAGCCGGCCTGTCTGGTATGAATTTCTGCGTCCAGTCTCTCCTCAGAGGAATGAGACAGTCAGGCTGCTGCGTTGTCAGCGCATCCTGCCTCATCTCACATCCTCAGACCTGGATGCTCCCTATTGTCCGCACATGCTCAGGCTTAGCAGGCAGCTCATACGCTTGTATCATCCTCACGGCAACGGTGGGGCTGGCAGAAAAAAAAAGACCGTTCCAAATAAACTTGGCCTGCCATTCCTGTCCAGCTTTGGCGCCACGTTGTCACATCAAGTCCGTCTCAGTGGTTGGCTTTGGGACGACGTGGAGCAGCGCCCGAGACTAGCAGCCACTCGATGTCGTCCTGCTCTGCTGAACTCAACTCCCCTCGCTGGTTCGAAGAGGCGCTGTTGATGTCGAGATCGAGGCTTCGCTTTGGGCCAGTCCGAACTGACATTCAGCAACCAGATAATTGCATCGCCAATTCACTAGATCCATCGCCCTGATCCACCACCATCGCGGGGCCCCAGAGTCCAGTCTGCAGTCTCTGCTCCATGGCGCATTAGCTGGGGACGGACTCACCGACTTTCAGATGCGGCATGGACGGAGCTTGTTCATCAGGCCCGTCTGTATTTGTACTTGAAGTTGGGCGTTTATTGGAGCACTGTGATATGCTGTAGAACCTCTGTTGGCACGTCTCGTATCAAAGAAGAGAATCATGGGCATTGATTGATTGGTAGGATATTGTTACTCAGTGGTTACAACGAAGGAAGGCAGGTTTAAGAATGCAGGTTCTGAGGTGCCTCCTGAAGCTCCATGCTGACTCATCTGGACATCGATATCGCCTTGATCTTTGCCTCCTCTCAGAGCACTGCTGCGTTCACTGACTCACCCTCTCAGCCCCTCAAACGAACAGTTCTAGGATATGAAACCAAGATTTGTTGATTGAGACAAGCGCCTCTGTAACGCCAAGGCCAATTTGTCTTTGGATGGATCCACAGCAGGCCGTTTATCTTTGTTGACTCCTCCTCGAATAGCTCCCCAGCTTCCGTTCTGTAGGCTCCTAACATTGAAATGGCTGATGTCATTTTCTGCAGTCTCAATATCCTACTCCCGGAGCATACCACTAGTCTACACTTGGTCCTTATTGAGTTGCGTTTCAACAAGTGGATGACGACCTTGTGCCCGATGGTTTGCGAGAGTCTATATAATAATTGCACGCCAGAGCCATCTCGAGACTACTTTGCGTCCTCAAGGGCAGCATATTTTAAGAAGGAATGGGTTCAACTACAAGCAGATGGGAGCATTATGCTCAGTTAATTCAGGAGTTCCTAGAAGTTCTGACAGTAGTGTTAGGGTGGATCCGGCAAAACGCAAGTGATGCTCTGTTTCCAACAGGGAATATCACATGCTACGCTAATTTGCATGTCGCAGCTCTTCTAATGGGGTGAAGAGAGTGGTAGGATTGAAAGTGATATTTGGATGCAGTAATAACTGCAAATAATGGGTTTTGGAAACCATAAATGAACTTAACTTTAGCCCTATTCAATTATATCTGAGTCCTCTTAGGTGGTGTTGATATTTTGAGTTGACATGTTGTGGTCGATAAAAGGTTGACTGAGAAACGCCAATTAACAGCTATGATAAGAGGCCATGGCTCGTCTTACGTTATCACTAGAATACGGTAAGCCGTTTGGCCGTTAGTTAGGCTGGCTGTATTCGTTCAAAAGGTTCTTTGTTGCGGCCCTCTGTTGCCGCCTCCCGCTTTAAATCCGAAGAAACACGCGTACTCGTGGAGGAGACATTGAAGTCTGTATGACGGTGGGTCAATCACGGACCCAAGGGGCCTCGTAAAGCCACGAATTGCAACGTAAGTTGCGTAGATAACGTACCTATATAATGCAACACTTTTCCGTCAAGGAATAAACCTCCATTTGTCGTAATTCTGTTAGACCTTAGTACACATTACGATAACGCTTACTCTAAACAAAATGAATGCTGAAAAGCACCCCGCGCAAGATGTTGCAGAGGCTTATGTGTCGTCATTGTTCGTGCCCGCAGCACCGATACGGCTCGACTGCATTCTACCATCGTCATTTGGCGTCATTCAACACCAAAGCCAAGTTATCATCACAACACTCGAAGGCCTAGCTTCTAAATCTATTGGCATAGTAGAGGCTATGCCTAGCTATAAAAACAACAGCACCGTCGAGACTGTTATTAAACCTGGCCCCATGACTTGGATGTACGATGACATTGCCGCCATATTACTCGAATTCGTCATTATTATCGACGGTGAAGAAGTGCTTGGTGGGGCGGGCGCCTTTGGAATGCTCAAGACAGACAGTGGTTGGATGATATCCGGCATTGAGAGTGCTCTACAGCCATCAACACAAGAATTACATTCAACATCCCAAACTCCAGAGGGAGCGTTGCACCGGGTTGAATCCTTTATTGAACATTTGAAACAACACGATTGGAGTGGAATGATAGCAGATTGCCTCCCAGGTGGAGGAATCACTCTTTCTCGTGTAAGCGGCTACAAGACCTTACCGTTCCCCGACTTAATCGAGCAGTTAAAGAGGATTCTCAGTCAAAGGGGGGACTTGGTCGAGGAGTTACATGACGTGGAAATCAAAGTTTTGGGTAACTTGGCTCTGGCTTGGACTCCATTTACTGTATCCTTGGAGGGTAAGATTGACTCGAAGGGAGTAAATATAATTACGCTCCTTTGGGATGGTGACAGATGGGATATCTCGGGTATTCAAGACACAAATAGGCCAGTATAACAACATTGATAGCTTGCAAGGTTATGCATCAGCGACAAATAGAAATATCAGGCATATGCATTCAAGTCTATCAGGTATCGATACGCCACACCAACACACTACAGTGGAATGATGAGGTGTGGGATTGCCTTCAGCCGGCTCTTCGGATGGCGACGAGGCTGTTTTGTCCAGATGATCCTTTCTTCAAAGCAATACTCATCGTGGGCAACTGGTATGAGATCACGGACATCGCCGACTCAAATTCGCAGAGGACGAAATCATTAAGTTTCAAGATTGAGCATCAATACTGTGGAATTCGAACAAGACGAGAGTAGGTTGATGGAAGATCTTGGACGGAAAGAGTCGCATGCGCTTGTATACACACAAGAGACTACCGATCTTGCTGCAACACTAGATCCCAACCTTGTAGGGAACTATCAAGCACGGCGGCCTCGTCATGCACTGGAAGCTGGCAAATGAAACAAAACGATAATTCAATGACAGCGTGCAGATTTGTACCGCCAAGGGACCTATAATCAACCCTCCTCCAGGAGTATTAGTTGGCGATACTAGCTGCAGGATGTACAGCGCTTCAACAGTGCTCATTCAGATCTCATCCAGATCTCAAAGTCACCGAGCCGCAGATCACATGAGTTTTCATGGAAGATCGCACAGTCCATTCGTCAGCCCAAGGATCAAGAAAAAGAGAAAGTGGGATCTTTACACCAGTAGATTCGACATCCTTGAAGGTCCCATGACAAAGAAGCGATCGGCTGACAGATTCTCTCCAAACGTTCAATAGCCTATCAGACCTATTAGCAGAGATCAACATGGATACCAACGATAATTCCCCTGTTCCAGCAGGGCGCTCCCCGCAGCTGAATCCCCCAGTGATCCAAATCTCTGGTGATGTCATCCATGAGCTTGCTGAATCTGTCCAGCGAGACGTGGACATGATGGATATTGACTGACGAAGAGTTTAAAAGACAACAGACAAGCCGGATGTTTGTAGGCGAGATACAAAACGCAATAAAAGGACACAAGGAAACTCTGGCCAAGGCGAAGGAGCACCAAGCACTGGCTCACCAGCTTGCTCAGCAGGAACTAGACAAGGCAGCGCAAATGCAGCACACCGAGGGAGATGGAGCTTGAGGAGTATCATTACGTGAGTTTGACTAATGTATTTCATGGGATATTGTCTCATAATTCGCTTCTTGGCTCTCAGCTGAGATCATTGTGTCGAATGGGAGGGACGCGGAGCTGTTCCCCTGCTCAGAGCTAGCCCAGCCTCGTCACAAATGTGAAGGGATAGGGAGGAGAGCTGAACTGGAAGAAAAAGGAAATATAAAGTTGAGGCACTTAAATATTGGAGCTGACCTACTAAATCCACCCAATTCTTTTCAACTCACCCGACACCACAGTCTATAACCAATACTTACTTACCTATATGCCTACCAAACTCGGCTAACGCTTGAGAGAATATATTTGATACCAATTATATACATCAAAATGAACATGAAACTTCTCATTCTCGCAGGCATCTTCACTACCGGCGCTTTTGCTTCCATTCCTTGCAGTGGTAACCAAAACACACCGTTGTGTTGTGCAGTCGATGTCCTCGGAGTCGCTAGTCTCGACTGCCAGCCCCGTAAGCATAGCCCTATAGTCGAGGCTTCTCACACAAACAATATATGTATTGACCTATAATAATTACAGCACCGGGTCCCGTTAATAGTTCCGAAGATTTGCAACAACAGTGCCGTAGTGTCGGCCTCGAATCTAAATGCTGTGCGCTTTCTCTGGTAAGCACCTCCCGAATCACGCCTTAATGATGCGAGTGTTAACATACCCCTACGTAGCTTGGGCAAGCAATTGGCTGCACCAACCCCGGGAATTAATAAGTAGAAAAATATGTGGTGTATTTCATATAGATACTTGATGATTGAAATCACGGGTCAAGGCATGAATGGACAAGGCGAGATGAGGTGTCAACGGAATTTGCTGGTAGTCTGTGTATGTCAATGAAGCGGAGCATGATATGAATGTAGGGATACGTCTACCCAAGTTTAAATAGCAGTGAATAGGCAGTTCGTATTCTATCTCAAAAGCAGTTCTCTGAGGGGAGCATATGAATAGTGAAGTAGGAAAGCAATGGAAGGATATAAGCTTTATACGGTACCCGCCTGTCCAACAAGCACACAGCAGTAGCAAAACAACCATTTTAGAACAAGAACATATGATTTTTTTTATTTTGTATGGAGTCCTTGGTCTCAGGCATTTCTGCACATGAATGTAGAAAAAAGATATGGCGGCAAGCTGAGAATGAGAGCCAATGAGACCAATGAGATGGATGGATTTCTCACTGCGGGGATGGCGCAGCAGCTCTATACCGATTGGAGGCTTGATGAGGGGATCAAGCACATTCATTCCGTTCAAATCCTAACTTTATAGTGTTGGTAAACTTGAAGGATTTGTGTTTTAGTTGGGAGAGGAATTATCAGGCACATGCGTTGAGGTCTATCAGGTACCCATACGCCACACCAACACGTGCCAGCAAACCTTCCATCAGACCTACGTGTGCGTGCATCGACAAACTGCATTGTCCTTTTACACTCATCTTGCTTGTGCCTCAACTTGACTTCTCGCTTTTCTGTCATCCCGGCGGAGAAGCAAACAAAATAAAGAGTGTGCGCATTTCAGCTGGCCTAGGCAAAAGATCTGAAGCCTAAAAAATTAAAGTATCCTAGGACTTTTAGGTATGCAGCATTCACCTACTCAAAACACCAAAATACTGACCATCACGACTCCCAGCTAAATCTCACCCTCACACCACGTCTTCTCACAAAGCAAAAACCATCATCTCCACCACCATGCCGTCCGCAGTCCTCCGCAACGTCGCCGACATCCCCACCATCGCCCGCCTCTACGCAGCAGGCCGCCTCTCACCACCCGCCGCAGCCCCAGCCCTGCGCAACCCCTCCGCGGCACTCAACCGCCGCATCAGCCTCCTCCGCGCAGACATCACCACCCTGCCCGTCGACGCCATCGTCAACGCCGCCAAGAACTCCCTCCGCGGCGGCGGCGGCGTCGACGGCGCAATCCACTCCGCCGCCGGCCGCGCCCTCGTCGCCGAGTGCCTCGCCATGTACCCCGACGGCTGCGACACCGGCGACGCCGTCATCACCGCCGGCCACAAGCTCCCCGCCAAGCACGTCATCCACACCGTCGGCCCCGTCTACCAGAGCCAAGCCGCCAGCGAGCCCCTGCTCAAGAGCTGCTACGAGTCCTGCCTCGACGTCGCCGTCGAAAACGGCTGCGCTACCATTGCCTTCAGCGGCGTCAGCACTGGTATCTACGGCTATCCCAGCGAGAAGGCGGCTCACGTGGCCTGCAGAACCGTCAGGGACTTTCTCGAGGAGGGGGACGACGAGGGCAAGATTGAGCGTGTCATCTTTGTTACGTTTCTGGACAAGGATGTGAATGCCTACAATGCCGTGTTACCGTAAGGAATTCTGTTTTGCTTCGACTCAGTACCCATTCTCTTCTCAAAGACAACCGCTAATGCTGCTGTATAGCCTATATTTCCCCCCCGATGAAAGTGAGATGAATCAGCCAAGTCAGCCTAGTAGCAACTAAGGGCTATTGAAAGGAGAGAGGGAAATTGGATGGTTGTCAATTCGGCGTTTACGGTTAAGAAAAGAAATAGCAACATGAACTTTGATTTCACACACATGCGCACACCTGCAGAGGCTGCCCAACAAGACAGTGATCAACACACACACCCATAGAACTTCTGCTCGTATATGTGAATAAAATGAGATAAATGCAACCCACAATTTTCCGTGCTATGTAAAACGTAAATACAACCATTTCCCAAATCGCAACAAGCAAAGTCATTCATACATTGAGCATCACCTATTCGTCCAAAGTCCCCATGTCTTGGCTCAGTCCACGACATACAAGAAAACGCCGCCCTGCTTGAGCAGCATTTTATCAAAACAGAACCATTAGGGGTATATACGCCGTCCTTAGACCAAAGATAAAACACACAATCTTCACTCCTTTGCCGCGCTGTCGTGTCCAGCCTTGGCGTCTTGAGCCTCATTTGCTCAGCTGCCACCGCTCGGGCCAGCTTGTGACTGCTTGTTCTTGTTCTTCCTTCTTCTTCTCTTGGCCTTTGGCTGGGGAGCCTGTTCGCCCTCGGCCTTGGCTTCACCAGATGGACTCTCAGGGCCGGCATCATCGCCTTCGACTTCCTCAGACTCGACACGTTCGACGCGTTCAGGTGCAGCCTCTTCGGGAGCCTTGGACGATGTGGCTTCAGATGTCTCAAGAGGAGCGCCTTCAGATGTGTCGAGAGGAACGCCTTCTGCAGCCTCTGATGGCAGGTCTTCGGGGGCCATAAACGGAATATATGTGGAAGTCTCAAGTGGAGCACCTTCAGGAGCCTTGAATGGAATATCTTCAGGGGCCTCGGACACAGGAGTCTTCGCCGGGACATCTTCAGAGGATTCGAACGCTGCATCTTCAGATGCCTTGAACGGTGCGTCTTCGGGTGCCTTGGATGATGCATCTTCAGGCGCCTTGGACGGTGTGTCTTCAGGCGCCTTGGACGGTGCGTCTTCGGGTGCCTTGGATGGCGTGTCTTCGGGTGCCTTGGATGGTGTGTCTTCAGTTTCTGGTGCCGCTTCGAAAGGATGAGTAGATTCTTCAGCTGGTTCGGCCGACTCGTCAGACGGTTTGACGGGCTCCGCAGAATCATCAACAGGCTTTACAGAATCGTGCACTGGCACTTCGTAGGTCGGCTTAGCAGAATCGTCAACCAGTTCAATTAGCTCTTCCAAGCTGCTCCCCGCCTTGGCTTTTCCCGATGTGCTTCCTGACTCGTGTGCAACGTCTTTGCCAGTGCCCACGATATGATCCGTTTCTTCATGGGTTGTTTCCGACGACGGCTTGAATTCATAGGCGCTACCGTCTCCAATCTTGGTATCCTGGCTAGTCGGAAAATGGACATGGTCGCTAATGTCCGCCAGCATAGACTTCAATCCAGCAAGCTCAGCTCGCAGTTTCTTAATCTCAAGAACAGCCGGGTCATCTTCCATGTTTGGCTTGACAGACTCGCATGTCTTGGCCCATCCTTCAGCGCCGAAATCGATTTCGTGCGCAAGCTGCTCCCATTCTTCAATGATATCATCGTCTGCTTCCCCACGAGCCCGATTGCGGCGAATTGCATGTGCCGTGCGAGTCTCGAAGATTGCCGTGATCAAAAGGAGCGGTGAGTAAAAAAAGCCCATGATACAGTCATTGATGAACGCGTACGACTTCTTGGGCATCCACCACTCAAATAGAGCAGAGATGATAATCTCGATCAGGTTGAGCGGAGCAATGTAGACATTCTCATCTGGCGCGCGAATGAATTGCATCGTCTTTTGGGCGAATAGTGCCAAATATTCGTCATCTGCATTATCATAGATATCCTGGTAGGCAGAGTTGTACAGAGCAATGAGAATGTTGAGGAGGATAACCTGGCATCATTCATTAGCTTGGGATTCGCCCCCGCACATATAATAATCAAGACATACCATGACAATAAATGTAAAGCAGTAATACAGGATCCCACCCCAGGGCGGTCCGAATCCATCAAATCCGTCAAATTCCGGGCTTCCGAGGATGGCTCTTATCATAGACTCGATAATGAACCACACGTCATCGGCAACGTTGTCCTCAGTGAGGTCAAGACCAATGAAGGCCTGTAGGAAGCCGACAATGATGACAACGAGCAGAGCGAAGAATATCACAGACTCCTTCATCATGACCTTGAGCACCACAAGCATGGCGCCAAAGAACCTGAAGCTATCCAGGTAGAGCAAGAGACGACACCAGAACAACGGAGCGGTAAAAGCCAGGATGTTGTATCCCAACGCGCTGTAATGGGCACGTCCATCGGTGTCTTCTGCAAAAGTCAGGCCGACGACGCGGAACACAAACGAGGCCGTCAAAAACGCGTACAAGATACCGTTGAAAGCATTCCAGAAGCCCAAGATTTGATAACCTGCCTTGTAGACCTTGAGCAGCTCATCGCAAATGTAGCCGAGTGTAAAGACATAGAGGGCTCCTTCAGCGATGTCAATCACACCGCTAGCGTTGACTGAGTTGATGGCAATGGTAAAGAGGGCAAGATAGAGGAGCGATAACAAAAGCTGGGCGAGGTTTTGGTTTCTAGGAGTTCGCATCCGATCTGGATCCATATGAACCAGAAAATTCGGATTGTCTTTGTCATTGTAGTCAACAAAGACAGATGGGTCGTTTTCATCCTGCACCAGCCAGCCACGCCAGAGATAGCTGATACATTTTTGGTATCCTGACGAGCCAATGACTCGAACAGCATGCAGATCGACAGCCTTCTCGATGACATTGACGGGAGGTGTCGGGATGCCATTTGCAATGTACGAATATCGACGCAGGAGCACCGAGTGTAGCAGATACGCCGTGTCTTCCTCTTCCTCAATACTAGTAGTCCTCTGGTCAGTATATATCGATGCGGCATTTGCAACTGGGCCACGTACAGGGCTTTGGCTATAACACCGCAAGCTTCGGCTCGGAGCTTGTGCAGACCAGCATCCCAGAGCTCGACATTCGCCTCATGCGTGAACCAACGTTGATTGACGAGTAAAGCGTAGACCTGAGTGTTGTTAGTGAACAGTTACCTCATTAATGGTCGGCGTATATTCAACCCGCCACGTACCACACAACCCTTGTACTCTTGACCGCCTGCTTCCTTGGCGGCCCGGATAACGTGCGGCGTAATGATGCGGCTATGAGGCGTCGTGATTCGGCTCTCTTCCATTTCGCATGGCACGCATTCTTGAACCAGGTGTCGTAGCCTGAGGCATACTTTTGTAACGTCGGCGGGCGGAATGGCAGAGTCTATCTCCTCATTACGCAGCTGTGGAAGCACTGGAGCCGGGGTGCAAAGCCCTCCGTTAGCAAGATGGACTCAAGAGGCACGTGGCGAGGGTGCGGAGGGCATTGGATGCTCCACGACTTACAAGCGCGCTCCTCTTCATGAATCCATTGGTGACGAGAGCGATGGCCATGTCTATCGAAGCCAAGCAGGCGATCAATGTTGCGCCAGCGGTTGGATCGAGGCATGGCGGCGGCGATTTTCGAGACGGTGAGAAAACAACAGGTCCAGCAAGCGCAGCAGGCCCAAAAGCCTCACGTCCTCGGTCAATGGACCTATAGACCAAAAAAAAAATTCCAAAGAAGCCAGAGACAATGGTGGATTACGACAAGTCTGCGAAAAATCGCGTGGCGGCGAAAGGGAGAGCTGCTGGGTAGGGCAACTGGCCAGCTGCATGAAAGGACGAGGTTGAAGTTCCAACGCAGAGCCCTGGAGGAAGTACTATGTAATACCATCAGGTCACTTTGCTGGCAGAGAGATGGATGCCTTAGCCAGGGAACAGCGTCTAGCCTTGCTTAAGCTTCCTGCCATGGCGAGGTCGTGCATTAGCTGATAAGACAGCTGTCACGGCCCCAAAGGGCGTTATCGGCGTTAGGGAGCTACAGCTCTGTGCACTAGCACCCCGCATGACGCAACATGACGGCCAGCTGCCTTTCCCGTCGCAGCTTAGCAGCGACCATCCTCCAGCCTCCAGACGTTAGCGCTTCTTCAGTGCCTCTAGTGAATCGGCGCGACCAGCGGAAGACGCGAAGATGCAGCGGACTAGGCGGCTGGCAGCTCGTAGCTTCCATGTACCGAGTCTTGAGGTCATCTCGGGCAATTGTTGGGCCGTAATGAAGCAGTTGAAGAAATCTCAAGCATCAATTGGTATTTTGCCTGCTGCCCGGTGATGAAAATGGCGCGACGTTGCATGGATTGATACCCAACATTGGGCCGTAAAGCAGATACGAGGGCAAGGCACCCAATGCCGTGCGGCTCTCTGTCGGGTATTTCCTCATACAATATCGGATCCGGACTGAAATCCTCCTTCAATACGCCCAGCTACAGCACATTTTCCCAGAAATGCAAGCTCTCAACGTACGAATGGCGGGCCAAGACATGCATTACACGCACATACATGAATTGCAGAATTTTACGGTGCAGCCTGGGAGTCGCAGCCTATGAGACAGACCGGGCATGGCACATGGCCTTTGTGACTGGACAAAGCAAGGAAAGATAACGGCCAGGTTGATTGGATGCGAGGCAAAATTACATGCATCCCGAAGCCGCTGTTTTGTCGTACATACAGGAAGAAGCTGCATATGTGGACGGATCCAGCGAGGAAATACCCATCAAATGTGATATCACGCCATGGAAGTGCGGACGAATGCCAATGTCGATGCGGCCGCTATCTGTGATTCGCTTGCAGAGGCCAGGGTCATTGTTAGTACATACATGCATCCGTATCTACAGCTTCGTTTATCTTGACAGCGTCGATCCTGCATGTGCTTGTCAGAAGGGGCCGTCTTCACCTTAGTCTGTACAGTGGATTCAGCACGCCAACCCAGTAGGTACATGTACACGGCATCACCTGCGAGACCATGGCTCCTCTTGACATGGAGGTACTTTAGTTAGGTACTAAGGCATTTGTCAGATTGTTATAGGCATCCAGCGCATATTGGTGTTTTGCTCGAGAAAGGTGTGTATGATCTTATCAAGATCGAAATATGGTAGGAATATTCTGAATGGGAAATAACGTACCTGCTTTCCATCTTCGACTCATATAGATCTGATGCCAGTGAAGATCTAGTCTTTCATGAGCAAGGCACAGATATTCTATAGCAACTATAGATATACCACTATTGAAGATAGTTAAGTTAGGTAGGTAGGTAGTTTACATCGTTGGCAAGTGACGTGCTTGACGAAGCCCAAACTCAGCCGTGCCTTCTCCTTTTCTACGCAAATGTCCATAGCGTTATCTCTTCATCATATCCAACTCAGTCTTGTTCACTTCTCTCGCATCTGCTTCATCTTGCTCCCCAAACAGTGAATCTTGCATCAACACTCATCAGCATTGTCTATATTCATCAGACACATTAACCTTCATCGATTACTCTACTGTTCACTTGCTGACTACGAACCTCGAGTCTGTCAACTACTTATCATCTTAACCATGCAAACCAATAACAATGCCGACAATTCTACAGAGCACCAGTCAAGCCCCGGGAAAGAAAGTGCTGTGGAGGAGGATGGTGATAGTTCCATTGACGGCTTGGATTCTTCCGAGATCCTCTCATTGTCTCCAAAGAAGCGTAGATACTCAGAAACAACCGAGTGCATAGGAGCACGTCGAAAAGCCCCAATCGAATGCCGGGGTTCTGTACCCGCCTCCAAGTCGGCTCAGTCGTCACCCACAAGCACCTCCAGCTGCTCCTCAATGACGCTTTCTCTCCCCGAACTGCTGCTACAGCATGAACTTGAGAATGATCAAGGCAATTCATGCCCTCAATCACCGGCTGGTGAACGCACCACGACTCCAGTCACGACTGAAGACTCGCAACCACCCCTGAATCCGCATCTCAACACCACAGCTGCAGTGAGAGTCCAATACTTCACCCGCCGCTGGGATGATAATGGGGGTTACACTGTATCTGAATTCGAAGTGGATGAGCAAGTTCCCGATATTTCAACTCTGAGAAAAGACGACACTGTCTTCGCCATTATCCTTGAAATCAATCGCAATGACCTCTCTCACCACAAAAATGAACGATTAGAAATTTGGAACAATCGTTTGAGAATTTATCTCCAGAAAATTTTCAACAACAAACTTGACGCTGACCTAGCAGTAGCAAATCCCTCTCTGTGCCCCCAAGCGTTGTTTCGGTGAGTACAATTGACTTGACGAAGACGTGTCGTCTGATGTCATCCTCAGTTAACGGTATCCTCATTTGATAGCTATTTGGGCGTTCTCGAAAACCAATTCGACTCATTTCTCGAACAAGAAGCTCAGGGCGAATATCCAGGTCCGCATTGGGTTGAAAAAGAAGGTTTGAGGCTCCTTATCGTTTACCTCAAAACCAAGTTCGCCTCCACTATCAGTGACCTTGAGCTACTGCAAGGCCGCGGGCTAATAACCTTTGAGCATTTATGGGTACTATGGAAGCCCGATATATTACTTTTCTCACCGACTACCCAGGGAGTGGATGTCCCAATGGTAACAATGCTAAGACGATCAGCCCTACTCAATGACGAAACAAGATCGTGCATTATACACAGCGATTACCTCGTTCTAGACGGTAATACCACGCATTTGAAGGGCACGTATCATACCATCAGTCATTTCAAAGGGGCCGTCAAAATTACCAGCCTTCCTATCTATCCACTCCACTTGCACAAGAATCAGGCCCTTATTCGCACTCAGTTAATGGAACGCGGCGCGAAATACATGGCTCTGCAGGGGGGGAGCATGCAACAAAAGGTATTCACCGGCAGGGCGATAAAGGAGCTCACACAGAATGGGAAGACTTCCATTGTCGATATGCGGCAGGAGAGGATAGTCATAGATGCTGTGGCCTACAAAAGGGGGACTTTGCTCTGCGGAAAACCACCACCAGCGAAAGCGCCGACTTTTGTCGAGGATGACGAGATGCACTTTCGGATGCTTGTAGATAAGATTTTGGCCGACAAGGCCAAAGATACAGCACAAGATAACCAAGATGGTAGGCAAAGCTATGATGACGGCGAAAGGGCAAATGATGCACTACTAGAGGAGGCGAAAACCACTGCCCTGCTGCTGTGCTGTCCCTTAGTATACGGATATTCCTTGGCTCATTAGGAATGGCATTCGTTCCCTGTCTCTGGCATTGAAGATGTCAACTGGGATGGCGACGCCTGGGATTCTCTGGTTCTTGAGCAGGAGACAAAGGATTTGATTCTGACAAAAGCGGCATCAGTTGACTTCGGTGGCATTGAACCAGCGTAGGGGCAAGGGTTAACGAGTAAGTGGGCCAATCTGCGCAGTCTGGCGCGAGAGCTCTGCGGTAATCTTCATTGAACTAACATTTGACCAAGTGATGCTATACGGCCCTCCAGGTACGGGAAAGACTTTTGCGGTGGAAGCACTCGCCGAACATCTCCAGCGTCCTTTGATGAAACTATCTCCCGCTAGCCTCGAGATTCACCCACAAATAATCGACATAGCACTGCACGAAGAGAAGATGCTAGACATTTGCCAGCGCTGGGGTGCCATTGTGCTTATTGACGATGCCAGCGAGCTTTTGGAGTTATTGGACGGCAAGCGTTCTGTAGCCTTTTATATTGTTCTTCGCCACCTCAAATATCCCAAGACTGTCATCTTCCTCACAAGCCACAACGTCGGAATAGATGTAAGTTGAGACGATCACTGCCATGGCGGCGAATGTACTACACTAATACTCGGCATAGGTGTGTAACGATATGTATAAAATGAGAATAAGCCTCCCCATATTAGTGAGCAATCCAAGCCGTAAAGGCAGAATGGAATTGTTTCAAAGATGCCTCAATCGAGCGAAAGCGCTTGGCCGATGGGAGATTGGGCAACTCACGGAAGAGGAGGCGCATGAGCTGGCACGCCGCAACCTCAATGGCCGAGAGATTCAGATTGTAGTCAAAATGGCTTTGGATTGGGCGTCTACGAAGAAAGAGGAGGTTGGTGTGAAACTATTGGAGAAAATGGCGTGTACATTTGACCGATACAATCGGGATTTCAAGGGGATACACTGGCAGAGTGGTGAAACATTCTACTCGTAGTCTTGTGTGAGCGGGCGATGGAGATGTTGTCATATCGCTCTGTTTGCAGCGGCAGTGCTTTGTTTTACAGCGGCTAGAAGTCTTTGATCTTTGTTCTGATTGCAGGGGATGAGAGGCAGCGCTTAGGCAATCGTGTATATGGATGCTCGTCTTTGGCACGACACATACCCTACATGTCCATATTACGTGCTCTATGGGACTTTGTCTGGAGCGGTTTGATGCTTGGAATAGGTTGTATAGATGGCAATCATTACAGCGCTGTTACTCGACATATCTTCATGTATTCTGTGCAACTGGAGTAGTATGTGGCCATACGTGTGCAGCAGAGAGCTATCTCTGTTGCCAGAGCCGTCGGCATTTTGCATTCCTTGAAACGCACCCGGCATGATATCTCAGCCATAAAGCGGGGAGCAAGAATCGAACGATGCTGAGTTGTTCGTGCATACCTAGCACATACGGCACATGGATTACTGCACTTGCCACCACTAGGCATGTGCTTGTGCTTGTGCCCTGTACAAGTATACCTGTATGTATATAATATAATTCACGGCTACGAGCATCAAGTATAACGTCCAAACCACTGCGTACGTATGCAGTGGCAGTGCTCCTCGGAAGCTGAGCTTTTGAGATTAGTATTTCCAAGGATCAGAGGCTTCCATAGGGGGTTTCGAAGCAGACGAGCCGTCGAATGATGGGTCTGTTAGGAGAATGCCGAGAGAGGGGGTGAGGAGCTGACGCGGATCCGAAGCTGCGGCTGGGGGATGTGGAGAGCCGGAGAGTCGGGATATGCACTCGTACGGAGAATAGGATGGATCCCAAGGGGCGGTGCCTGTGTCAACGAGGATTATAGGAGAGAAAAAAAAAAAAAACAGGGAAGAATCGGGTAGACGGGACAAGAATAGCAGCGGTGGATATTGCTGGCAATGGTCTGTGTGAGAATGCGTGCGAGTACTTTGGATGGTTGGATGGATCAGCGTTGCTTTGTGGATAAAGTCAATGCTATATGTAGTTATGCATGCAGAGACGATTGACGTGTCTGTGACGCGCGAAAAGGGCGGTTGGAATGGAATATTTTTTGGCGTCCTCGACAGGAGTTGCTCTAGTATTGGCTGCATGTGATGTGGTGAATCAAATGGGGCGTGAAGTATTGAATCCATAGACGCCCTGCATTGCACTTGGCTTCAGGATTGTTAGTGCATGGCGTTGAGTTTGCAAGCTATTGGACGAGCACAAAGCCGACGAGACAAATCACTGGTGCAGCTGAAGCGCTGTGCTGTCCAGACCGCCAAACGCCGTACGAGCTAGGCCTGGAGTCAAAATACGATGGGCGAATGGACGAGATTGGACGCGCAATAGGCGAAACACTGGGAAAGCTTCCAAGACGTCGACTCGTATTCGACGACAGCTTCTCGTCACAGCAACGACTCAGTTAGGTAAGCCTAGCATGCTACCCATGAGAGAACGAAAAATGGAGGAGAAAACTGCCGGCTTTGACCGCCCATGGCCAGGATTTGTTTTAGCCGTTGGGCTTGGCTTCACGAGCCGGTAACCCGATGCAGAAAAGCCCCGATTTCGCGCGAAATTACCTCCCAGGGGGGTCTCATTTCCCTCCCAGCCGGTCGAAAATCTATTCCTCATTCCAGAAGGCGTGGGCGGCGGACTGCTGTGTTCATTTGCGGCCAGCGAGATTGATGGGCTGTGGCGGCGGTGGGAGAAGGGGGGGAGGAGAAAGTGTAAAAATAGGAAAAAAGGAAAAAAAGGGAAGAGGGGAGAGGTTGGGAGAACAAAGAAACGTGTCTGTCTCATGCTTGGCGATTGAGCACATTAGGTAACGGTTGAGAGAAGGGACTTTGCCGAGAGCAACTTGGGGGGAAACGAGGTGGTGAATTTACTGCTGCAGCGGAGGTGACTGATTCAATTTCTGGAGGAGATTATGCAAGTACACCCTGATGGACGGGTACTTGCGATGACCCATGCCAGACACCGCCTAGCACTGCTCTCCACGGTATCTTTGTTGAAATTGGTACGAATGCGTTCGACATGGAGGACGCAAACCCATGCGTGGATCGCGCGTGGATCATCGACAAAGAGGATTGCGTGCGTGAACTGCAGCGTTTCTGAAGGTCTGGATGTCCGGACGGCTGGACGTCTGGATTGGCTGTCAGTTCTGTCATTGACGCATCATCAGCGTGTCAAAGTAAACCTTGTTTTGAGTTGTGCATGGCAGCGCGGAACAAGCTTTGAACAAACCACAAAGTTTCCCATCGTCCACTGAATTCTCCGTTAACCTCCAGCTCAGCTCCGGTTGCAGAACAGAAACAGAACAAAAGGTTTGTGCATGTGGGCTGACGCGACAACAGCTCCAACCCCAATCCGGGCCCTCTGGCCAATGACAGGCAGCGGGTACCTGGTGGTTCCTGGGCTAGCTCGCGACAGGGGTCTCCTAGCCAGGTTTCCAGGTTTCATGGGGGGGCAGCATTGAGTCTTTAGGGGCAGCGCCGTTACGAGCCAGGCGTTGCCACCCACTAAGGAGCCCCGAAGCACGGTTCGCTTGCAGAAGTTGGCATCGTGCACCTCCCCCCCCTGGCTCAATCCAATGTTTGTCCCCTGGCATGCTGGGCCTTAATAACGGCCGCTGCCCTCCCGCTCCCTTTGTTCCTCTCTCCTCCTCCTCACCGTCTACACCAGGCCTGCAAGTCATTCCTTAAAGACAAGACATCGTCGCGTTGCCAACCACTCTCTTTTCGCACTCCTACAAACAAGGCTCTCGCCGCGCATCTAGTCGCCTCGCTCTTTCGGCCTCAACCCTCAAACCTCCAGCACGGTATTCTGGAAATACTTAGACGATCGCTCACTCCTTTGGATATACAACTACATCAGCATCTTTTATATATCGCCAACATGAAGTTCTCCACCGCCTCCATCTTCCTCGCCGCCCTCGGCGCCTCTGCTCACCCCAGCGGCCACGCTCACAAGCGCGCCCACAACTCTCTCGATGCCCGTGGTGACTTTGTCATTGCCAACAAGCCTGCTGATCCCAGCCCAACCTCTACCCCCGTCGCCTCTCCCACCCCTTCGCCTGCCGCTCCTCCTGCCCAGAAGGCTGCCAGCAGCTCTTCCAACTCTGCTGCCGGCCAGGGCTCTGGTCCCTCCGTCTACACTCCCTTCTGCCGTGGCAACAGCAAGCGTGCTACCGCCCAGGAGATTGCTTACAAGGGCAATGTCGGTGGCAGCGGCCCTTACGGATGCAACCTCATGGCTGTCAAGAGCAACCTCCTTGATCAGTACCAGTACACCGTGGTTTTCGAAAACGCCGGTGACGACTCGACCTGCTTCTGCTGGAACAAGATTGGACCCGATGGTGGAATTAACGGTTTCTTCAACGGTAACGAGGCTCTGAAGTTCGACCTGCCCGCCGGTGGCAAGCAGGTCCTCGCTGTCGACTCCAACTCTCAGTTCGGCTGTGCTTGCGGCAAGGGCGGTCCTGAGCTGACCCCCATCGGCCAGTTCGCCTCTACCTGGGTCGAGGGTGATGTCGGCAACCTTTCCAATGCTGGCTGGTCCGGCTTCGACGCCTCTTCCATCGTCGCCGCTGCTGCTGGCATGGACATTCCCGGCCTCAAGGTCTGCGGCACCGGTGCCCAGGCCAACACTTGCTCTACCATCTGGCCCGGCGGCAAGGGTGACAACGCCTTCGTTGGCGGCACCGAGGCTCTCGACGGCCTAGGCCTCAACATCCCCGCCGGCAAGACTTCCGTCATCGTTACCGTCAACTACTCGTAAGAAAGTATCGATTGATTTCACCGGAGGGGGTATAGAGAAAAATGTTGGGATGGGATTTGGGATTTGATACATGTGTTTCGGCTTTAAGAATTCTTACGTGGAGAATATCTACGGTGTTTGGTGTGTGGCTTTTACGGATTCCCCCGATGTCCATTCGAGACTATGGACATCCCAACGCAAGTTACTTTTGAATCCGTTTATATATATATTACGGTTCTCTTATATATATAATTTGAAATGTTTATTGCTCTTACAACAAGTTTCGCCTCTTGACGTCTGTGGTTGGAGCTTAACTCTAACTTTCTTTCAAAGCATTGTAAAAGGTGTTGTATGGCGTTACACCATCCCACCCACAAAAGTCCATCCAGATGTGTCGTCCTCGTCTGTGAGTCGTTGGCAAAACCTGGGCAAAATGCGCCATGGCGTTATCCTTTCCGTAGCTATTGTCGCGACCCAGCGTATTCCCAATGGTTCGGGTCTACGAGTACTATCCAACGCCTAGTCTATGTTCTAAAGCGCCTCGGAGCTTTTCTATTTCAACGAAGCAGCGGCCTCATAGCATGAGTTCTTTTTTTTTTTTCCCCCGTCTCAAAGGCCAGCATCAACGGAGATTTTTATGCGGAGTGGTCGCCGATTTGGTCGCAACTAATGCACGTTACAGTTTTTTCTCTCATCCAACGCTTCCGATTGCACCGGATGTTGGAATTCCCTTTGCCAGAAAGCCTTTTCCCCTCTTTTTTTTCTCCTCCTTCCTAGATTGTCACGTCTGTGTGGATGAGGATCCGAGTGGTTGAGGTACGAGTACACTGCATCTTACATATCACATGAAACAACGCACATAAACCAAGGCAAGGTAAGCCGAGCTGCAGCGGGCTGATCGGAAGCCGGCTCGAGTCATTGATGAGCTGGCAAAAGGTACGGTGGGTTTGTCCGCCACGTGGAAAATGGATTGTGGTTGGCTTGTCAGTCGTGCTAGCGGGCGACGGACAATGATTTCAGTAGTCTTTTCTTGTTAGAGGAGATGGGCACATTCGGGTTACGGCCGATATGCAAGGAACGCACTTTTTTCTTTTCCTTGGTTACGCCGTTTGTGATGGTGGGGGGGTATGGAGATGAGGTATTATTTTTTTTACAGTAACACCTTGGGACGATTGCCGAGCAGTGGCAAAAACGATGGACGTGAAGCTAGTATGATGGATGGGGTGCGTGAGAGTTCATGTAAGTGGTTGGATATTGTTTGGAGGTGGATGGAAGATGGAGACGTGCTGCAGAGGAAAAAGTCTGAGGGGTGTTCGGGTGAGTAGTCCACATATATTTCATAAATATTTATGAATTTCATGTATACTTGTGAAATGAAAGTCGACCTACTTATAGGTACGAAGCGTTATATACGTTTGAAGGTACTGTACATGATGTTCATGAGAAGACTGGGGTGAATGTAAAATAGGTGGTAGTTATTGCGAACGCTGCCTGAAAGGCTGTGATAGCGTCTTTGCTAGTGCAAGCTGGGCCTAATCTAGACGAACTGAGCACCGAGGTTGGACTCGTTCCTGGTTTGATTGTGCACCCAAGGAAATCATTGTGCGTAGGAAAAAATAATGTTGACTAAATCCGTCCGATTTCTGAAACCATACAGCCCACGTCTTTTTATGATTGCTACGAACAATTGTTCAACCACTCAATAATGCCAGTCCTTGGTGAAGGGCTTCACACAAGCATCTTCTAAATGAAAGAGCCTCGGAGCCGGTAGAAATATGATCCGTAGCACAGTACGAATTAGGCACCCACAAGTTCCCACGAAGGCTTCATGCTGTAAGGCTGTGTAATTTTTAGGCTGTAAAATCACCGTAATGGCGCGAGATCAGCGGCCATGAAATACCCGAATTTGGGTAATCACTATTGCCTCTTCTTCCACTGAATACAACCATCATGGGCTCAAGAACCATCGAGGAGCCAGAGCCTCACCTCCTCCCAGGCAGTCAAGATGATCTTGCTGCCACAAGGGAGTTGATGCTGCAAGAGACTCGTAAGAACATCCTTGCGTGTGACTCATACATCCCCGAGATTGAAAGCTTTCTCAAGACCATCGAATCAAAGGTTAAAAACCTGCGTGTGACCGGTCTGCCTGCTTTTATCCGTAAAATAAGCAAAGAGCATGATATCCTGAAGCGAGTCGAATCTGAACTCGTCGACGATGAGCAGGATGAAACTGGACTGAGTCTATTAAACAGAAAGCTGGTAGCGAGTGCTACAATTGTACAGCATGGGGCTGTTCATTGGGAGATTCTCAAGCGGTGCCGCTCCTTTCTCGTCATCGATCAGACATTTCAGGGGTCAGCCAAAGAAGACCGGAAGAAGCAAGTCTCCCAGATCGTCGGCAATGGGAGAGAAAAGCAGCAGCTGAATCGAACGCTCAAAGAGCAGGCCAAGGTGGAAGTCGACGTGGTTGAAGGAGGAAATGAATGGCTCGACATTAGATGGCTCCAGGCGGACAGGTTGGCTCGACAAATGACCGACTGCGGCTGGGGATGGGGAGACTATCATTTGGGAGATACTGTCGACCCGGAGGAGTGGGAGGATACGCCTCTTGCTAAGCAAGTCAGGCGGCTCGTTGCTGCGACCAAAATAAACCGTCACGAGTATCGTATTCCCCGACTGCGCATCGTCTTTCCTAACCTGAAGAGAGGAGAAAATGAGGATATCGATGTGCTGTTGGATCAGATATGCCGTCTCGACCCCCTGGTTGACATTGTTGTGGAGGACTCCAGCAGCGTCTTCATGCAGACACCACCTCCGCCCCTCAAGGATGCCATAAGAAACCTTATAGGAGACGAGTTTGACGGTCTAACGGATACCTTGAATATGGATCACACTATCCTCATCGACCTCATCTCCGACATCACCCACCTCCAACTCGAGCCCCAGCCCTGGCAAGCCCAGACAACGCGGCTACAAATCGAAGAAGAGCGCCAACATGGCGGTGTCATGGTGCGCGCCCTATATCCAATCCTACAAAACCGCACCCTCTTCTGCACGCAAGAAGCCGCAGAGCACTTCCACGAAGTCCTCCGCACCGTCGGCACGCCTACTGAAAGGGAACGCGGAAGGCTCTTGGTTCCCTTTGACGATGATACCCGCGATATGCCGGTGGAGGAAATTCGCAGACGCTTCGAAGAGCTGTCTGTCCATCCTCTTCCTGATAATGTGCAAATTCCTATCAAAATCCTCGATGAGACGTGGACTATGACTACTGTTAACCAGGCAGTGGCTGATGGACGACTGCCAAAGGTTGCTCTCGATGTTGCCAAGTGCGGTGCTTTCAAAAGTTCCAAGCTGAGCATCTACATGTACGGCTGGGCGACGGGCAATGTCACAATCACATCGAACAAAGAAGTCCGCGGCCAGATTCGCACATGGGTCGAGACCAACAGACGCCATGACGAGGAGCGCGGCCCAATTATTTGGCGTATCGATGTTACGAGAAATCTACTGGCCAAGAGCGCTACGCCGCCGCCAGCAATGCGGACAGAGAACGGTCTAGATGGCATCACGCTGAAGAGACAGAGATGAAAAAGGATTATATGAATTTCAATTATATTTCAACTACCTAACTGCCGACATTACTATTCCTCTCAAGTTTTCCAGCGAAACAAGCCAAGAAATGATTCGCCTTCCCCAAAGAATAGTAATTAGTAAAAACATCACAATCAAATCAACACGCCATTCAACTCCCAACGCATGGCCCAACCTATTTTCCCGCAAAATCATTCCATTGTCATCAATCCTTTAAAACCGGGTCTTGCAAACCATGGCGGTTACAGTCGACTTCCCCTTCTTGGTCACAGTGGTTGGCAAAGGCCCGACGGGAACAGGATACTCACCCGTCGCCCAAATCAGTGCACAGTCACCGCAATCCTTGTGCGCAGTCGAGGTGTGAGTGGCAGTATAGATCTTCCGTGTTCTGCCCAGACGAGACGGGAAGAGATGATAGATTCTGGCGCAAGTCGCAACGGTAGCCCCGGCAGGGTAGTCCGTGTACGATGTAATAGCCGGAGGCCAAGGGTCGATCTTGGTGATGAGTGTCGGTATAGCAGGAGGGAACATGCCGGGGACGCCAAAATCTCTCTCGAGAAACTCATCTGCACGAGTAGCTCGGGGCTCGCACTCGAGGACAGTCGTCGTGAAGGGCTGGATGGCCGTGACGGTTGTGCTGAATTTGACGACGGGTTCGATGCCCGGGGAGTAGTAAGGGATGGGCGAGACGTTGGTGCAGGGGCCGCAGTTGACATAGCGGGAGACGGTCGTGGTGGTGGTGTGCATGGTCAAGGTAGGCCAAATGGTGATGCTGGGGCCTTCCATCACTTGAGCTGTACAGTCTTCACTAAGACGTGGTTCGAGATGAGAGTCATCATCCTCATCATCCTCATCCTCATCATCATCATCCTCGTCGATATCTTCCTCATCATCCTCTTCCTCATTGTCCTCTTCCTCATTTTCATGTTCAAATTCGCGTCCTCTAGGAGGCAAATCAACATGGCCACCACAGTATTGCCGAGTACTAGTCACCGGCCGAAGAAGATTGTTCATATCGCAAGTCGGTTTCGGGGGCGGCGTGGGAATCGGGCCATGGATGCAGTCAACGGCGACATTGCTAACAACAATAGTCAACTGCTTGGTTATTGTCACAACCGAGGGCATGGGGAGGCCCAATCCCTGATAAGCGGCCTTGATGAAAGTTAGTTTTTTGCGCAGTGTGAGGCACTTTTAATTGAAGAACTCACCGGTATAGAGATAGTGGGCCGATGGAAAATGGGTTGAGAGACATTGGCTGTTGATAGGGGGCCTGCGGCAGTGACGCCGGCAAGAGCGCCAACTGCAAAGGCGGATTTAAGTGCAGAGAACACCATCGTCTTGACTATTGTCTGGTTCTCTGTTCGTGTTGCGCGTTCTCTGCTTTGTATAGGCAGGTGAAGGGTACGACACTGGCGTTGAGATTAAAAAGGAGGAAAGGAGAAACCAAGGAAGAGATGGGACAGAGGACCATTATATAGAGCAGCTCCTAAACTATCATGTTTGAAAATCTTGTTCTAAGCCTCAATAGATAACCAGAAACTATAAGAATTAGAAAAGAGAAGCAGAAGAAGAAGAAAGCAAAGTATAGGCTCAGGTTAGAGTTTATATCGCCGCCTTCACGCTATTCTCCACAGCCTCAACGTGTACCTCGTCCTAGGCATTTACTATATTCGAGACATTGCGTGTAAAAACCGTTTACGATAGGCTCAAGCTTCGTAAAAGGAAGAAGCCGAAAGCTAAACGTGTGGACGATAGTAGATCTTGGGGTTGGCGGTAGAATCCATTGATCCGGTGGCGTTTTCGCAGTCGGCCCTATGAGGCATATGGATACATCTACTTGAAGCTTGAGAAAGCATCGTGGGTTGTGTACACGCGATAACTAGTGAGATATATATTATGGAGATGTACACTCCCCATGAAGTTGAGAAATAAAGTTCATAATCATGTAAATTTATGAATTGCACAGGATGAATCCCAAGAAGCTGATCATCTCATAGAGAAACATAGAATCATAGTAAATTTCGCAAGGGAAGCCATGTAATTCTTTGCATTTTACCGAGCCATCCATGGTGCATGATTTGATAAAGAGCCAAATCTGAATATGGTTCAAACAAAAGTCCCCGTCCAAAAGCCAATCAATCAACAGCCACCCCAAACTATCATGCCCATTCCCATCTCTCCTCCATGTGCTCCCAGCTTCTCCATGCCGCTCTTTAAACACTAAACAGCCACCACATACCCTCCCCCCCCACTTGCAACGATACTTTCACGCATCAACTTCAGGTGTAGGCGTCGCCGAGCAGACCGTACGATACAAGGTCGAAGGTGTCGACACACGTATGACCGTCGAAATGATCATGACCGGGCAATGAACGATTGGGACTTGCACAATCCGGACATCTGTGCAGCCATCGCAATCCACCGAGCCAGTAACCGTGACGGTAGACGGGTATGCGGTGACAGTCCCGTTCCAGGAGCACTGCGGCCAGAAGGGTGGAGTAGGGAGGCGAGATTGTGTAAATGTCATGGTGGACGTGCAGCCAGACTTGGTGGGAATGACAATGTCCTCGTCAGCCATGGCCAGCTTTGCGCAGAGCGTGGCGAGGAGTAGGATGTTGGTCTTGAGAGCAATCATTTTGCTGCTAGATGAATAGTCGGGTTTGGAAGCAAGGGTCTTGGAAGAATGGGGATGCGAATTCGTCTAGTATTGGGAACAGTCGAAATCAGCAACTTCGGAGAGAGAACCTTTTCGCTCACTGTCACTTGGCTCTTCTTAGATGATTCTTTTTTCTCCTCTTTGAGTATGTAAGATGAAGAGAAGACGAAAGCTAAATATGGCGGTGTCACCTAAAGGGAGGATCAGTGTCAACGGCTCGGCAAAAACGGAACTGTATGCAGGAGCAAAAGAGAGACAGTTGACGTATCCGATGCCTCCTCCACCTATTAATTAACAGTATTTTGTATGGAGTCAATAAGTGCTGCTATTTTGGGCAAGTGGTAGGAGCGTGTGAGTGAAAGTGCCAGAGACAATGTCTTGCCCGCTTCTAAAGAGGCAACTAGAAGTCAAAGAACATCACGGAAAAGGATCCTCGGCACTATATATAGGTATTGAAGAGAGATTTTTATTTTCCAGTAGTGTACAGGCCCTCACCTCCCCCTCTCTCAAACTCAACCAACCTAAAACTGACCAATGTCAAACCCTAATTCCTCCATAAAATCACCTGCATCGAAATCAGGATCCCACTGCGGAAACGAAATCCCCTGTGTGTCATCCCACGCCCAATCCTGCATCCAGTCCATGGGAATGTCCCCCAGAGAACTGCCATCAAGACTCGTTGTCTCATCCTCCCACTTAGACCTAGGTAATCCTTCCCGCTCGGCAACCTCCTTAAGAATCTCAAAGCACTGCTGGCCAACCTCCGTCGCCGCTTGAAACATCATGCGCGTCCTTTGCTTACAATCGACGCCCTGTTCCAGGGCCTTGACGTGCGCGAGACAGGCCGCCGTGAAGATAATGCCCTTGACGTTCGTCTCTCCGGAACGCACCCTCTCGAGCTTCCACGTCCGCGTGGCTTCGAGGCGGGCGCTCAAGTTGGCGCTGCCTACCGTTGGGAGATAGCCTAGGCTCGTAGGCTGGCCAGCCTTGGCGTGGAGGAGCTCTATCTGGACGATGATCATGGCCTGCGATGCGACATTATGAAACATGCCCGTTCCGTTAGTGACTAGCCTCTTGAGATCAGGATCCATGGCTCCTGTTGCGGTAGCTTTATCTTCGGACCAAGCATCTGGAAACCCCCAAATGTGTGATATCTTCATGGCACTGTCCAGACACATTTGTCGCGAAAAGTAGAATCTGGCGTCGTTTATATATTTGACAATGACGGGCTGGTGAAGTGCGTGGAAGCAACGGTAGAGAAAAATCTCCGTCACCAGGACGTGAAACTGGGTGATCGGTGAATTCGCTACGGCCTGGAGAGATTGGAGGGCCTCCGAGATGGCTCGGCAGGCCTTTGTCAGATCTGAATTCAGTCGTAATGTTTCCTCATAGTGGTCGCCTGGCCTTGTGTTGTTGACGTGGTTGATGAGATTCATGCGCAGTGGTATCGTAGCCAGCAGAGCCCTCAGAATGGACGTCTGAGTCGGCACCTTGGGGCCTTTAGCGTTCAGTCTTCCATTGTCCTTTTCGTCTGTGAGCTCATCGTCGTTTAGATTCGCGGGAGGAAGAGTATCGTAGTGCGCTGTAGACAGCAGTGGCGAACCGCCTCCTTCAAAGGAAAATTGCATATTCAGCTCCAAAACAGTCGCCCACAAACGACGCCGCATCTCGGCCCGATATATAGTCAAGTCTCCGAGATATTGAGGATCTCGATGCAGGCCCACAAACATGGCGTTCCTTACCAAATTGCCAGCCATCATCCACACCATGTCTACACCGACGTTGCACGTAGACTTGGCCAGAAGCAAAAGACACTGTATCTGAATGCCCTCCATGTTGATTCTTTTCTTCTCTGGCGGAATCATGAGCCACATTTGGGCTTCGAAAATCCATTGCGTTACCATTGGCCTCAGGGAGAAATGCTCATCGTACAAAGCCGCCCCAAGTGCCATGGCGAGCTGCATTAGAATCACAAAGGACTCATTGGGCGGATGGTTATTCTCCCAGAATTTCGCGTAATCAGCCCGGAATGTAGGGATGTGAACAACGCGGAAGACACCTTCAAAAGTGCGGAGATAGTTTTCGACAAGCACATCAGCCAGCTCTCGGTCAGGTATTTGGGCTCCTAGGTTAGTTGAAGAGAGTGGCTTAAGGCGGTTCTTCTTGATCTTGCGGCCAATTGTCTTGCATTTCAGGAGTGAAGCATATAATTCACCCTGATTGATGTTATCTTGACCAACAAGATCATGCTCAACCTTGAGCTAGGAAAGGGTATAGATTAGCCAAACACTCACGAATATCAAAGAAGAGAAAACCCACAATGTTGACGCCATATATCCAGTGGCTGTGAGCGTAGTACCGGGACTTGGCCACAAATCCATCTCCAGGTTCCGCCGTCTCCGGTGTGGTTTGGTGCCTTTTTGGCCCATCTTGAGCATCATTAATACGTAGAGCTTTGGCGAGCTTTTCCTCCAGCTGATGAACCCGGGCAACTAGCCAATCGACATTAGGAGACGATGAAGTAGAAGAACCAGCGTTAGGGCTGATTCCTTTTGACGAAGATGCGCTGATAGAGTCTATGCTGGTGGACGGCAGGCTCGAATGGATGGCGTCTATTGCATCTGAACCCGAAGTCTCGGGTCTCGGTTCCGCTGCTTTGATGGTTCTCAACGAAGGCCTTGCCGCATTATCGGTAGCCGAATTGCCATTGCCGTTCATCATCAGATCCAGCTTCTTGGTCCGCCATGCCGGAATGTGAACCGGCGCATATGTGCAGCTGGGGGCGTTGGATTCGACGCATTTGTTGCACGGCTGCGTGCGGTCGCAGCGAATTTTGCGTCTCCGGCATTGCTCACAAGACAGCGGCGGTCGACGGCGTTTCTTCTCAGCAAAGCTTGGTGGAGGGACCTTTGGAAGGTCTTGATGAGATACCGAGTCCATATTTACCTCTTGGCTGTGAATGTGGAGCTGGTTGCGGGACTTGGTGCTTGTCTTGCTTCTCTTGCTTGTCCTCTTTAGAGCGCCTCTCTACGACTCACGCGATGCAGCCCAGCACCGGCAATAGCGGCATCTGGCAGTATTTTCTCCAAGAAGAATTGCGTCGTCAAGAATGCCGCGCAAATCCTGAATCAAAGAGAGATTGGCGATGACGACAATTGCTTAGCCAACAGCTTGAAGCTCGGAAAGCGGCATCTTGGAAAGCAAGCCGCCCGGTGTTTTGACGACTGCTCATTGGCCAGCCTCGGCCAATTCACCGAAGCAGCCTTGGACAACTCTCGCAGCCTCGAGATGCTATGTAATGGACTCTCAAAACGCTTCGTTGGTGGGACTTTTCTTGAATGGGGAAAGCTGCACTAGCCAAACTAGCAGCGCAGAGAATGATTACATGGACTCCGTAATTATGGCCGCTCATCCATCTTCAACTAGGATTACTTGCAAATCCCCGGCGGCCGCGCATTTTGTGAGCACTGTAAGACGACTTAGCACCGGAGGGGCTTTCCGGTGCTCCATGTCCTGTCGTTTGAGTGAGTGCCGCGGAAAACAGGTAAAAGGGCTAATTAAAACATGTCCAGAATGAAGAGAGTATTGTTTTGGAAGTCGCGCTGTTTCTCTTCTCGTCCATGCATTTCCGTGGATTCAGTCCTTTTCACAAGACGAATTGCAGGAAAAGGAGTTTCGCTACAGGTTAGACCTTACGTCAGCACGATGGCGTCTAAAAATAGGCGCCTTGAGGAGAGGATCTCCGTTAGGCGAACACATGCATAGGTGAGTATCTGATAAATTGCTCCGAGTGATATCGCACTCAATGCTTTCCACTTGAGTGTTGGGCTTCTTCTCCCACAACCATCAACCGAGGCATCGGCGACTTTATTGCTTTCAACTCAGCGTATTCTGTTAGCATCAAAAAAAATAGAAGAAGAAACTGAAAATAAAAGGAAAAAGCAAAGATCCCCTCGGAGAAATGCGACGGTCGACAGGGCCCGCCATCACCGTTCAATCCTTTCATCTACCTACACTTCGTACCTTGGTTAGACCCTTTCCGACGCAGGTTTACCGGGTCAAATACGACCGACACAGGAATTTGCAGCGCCTGCAAACTGATACTAGTCCTCACCAAACCGTGACTAGCACTGCTCACAAGGGTTAGTAGAACTGACATAGTCCTGGTAGCTGCAGGGACCAAATCATCTGGTCCCTGAGCCGTGTGGACTCACCAACTTCCAAGAACCCAGGGCCCTATTGATCCTGCCTTGCTGCTCTCTCCATATACTCCCCTCTTAGTATTACCCCAAACAGAGCCTGTCATCGTATTTCCTCTAGAATGTTAGTATGAAACCTATACGAGCGCACACGGATCGTCTCAGCAAAGTCGCGCGTTGTCCGCCCGCCTTAGCGATTCCACCGCTTCTACAGCATATTCCAACAAGGAACAACATCGAGTGCCCTCGGCCAACTTTTCCCTTCTTTGGAAAGGTCATCAATATTAAAGTTTCGACTGATGCCCGTGCGCCAACTCCCGGCGACTCCTCTTGTCGTTTGGGGTAAAGCTCACGTAGGGATTTGCATGCGTTCCCCCTTGCCCTCTGGAGGGTTTATCAAACGGTGCTAGCCAGACGGTATAATGCGATGCTAGTCGAGTTACTCCGTGCTAGGGCTGATCGGTGGAATATTTCTTTCCCTGTCTGTCCGAGATCCCTTGCTTAGAGGCAAGGTGGTTTGTATGTAAAAGTCGTAATTCAAGCAGCAGTACTCATCACGCTTGGCTGGAGGGTAAACGTATCAAGGCAAATCATTGCCGGGTTGGAGCCATCTAGATCGAAACCCGAGGTCCGTGTATAATCTAGGCACGGCCACGAGCTATTGCTATTTGGCCATACTAGCATATCCCCCGTAAACCCCGTTGCATCTCATCGCATGAGACGGACGTCTTATCATATTCAATCTGGTTAGTATGCCGAGTTGCTGGCCGCACTCCTAACCCAGATTGAGGTTGAAGCGCCCATCCGTCTCATAGCAAAAAGCTGGCTCACCTATCATGACCGACGGCCCGGCCGTGACCGAGGCGCCGGGCGTTGCGAGCTGCCACAAATGAAAGCTCCCGAGGCTATTTGTCACAATAATAGCGTTGAACTTACTGCAGCTTGGATCAGCATCCGTAATAGTCTCAAAGGGAACGTTGCTTACCCGTCCGTTCCGCACCGTTTTTGGCGCTTAACAAAGTGAAGCTAGCATCACAACAGGGCTTACGAGATTCCTTCTTAGCGATGCGTTGCTTACGGCTTACCAGCAAACAAGTCGGAGAAGCAAAGGAACGTGCTAGTGGTAGTATATGGTCCATCACGAGGCCGGCGTCGTCCGAGTTGCACCCTTACATTGTTTCGGTTCCTTGGCATCCCTGAGAGAGGCTCTCGACGCTCTTCTTCATATGGACACAGCTCCAGTAGTCGTGGTCTGGATAGCCTACCAGTAAAGAAAACGGGAAAACAGAGGACACGAATCGCAGAAGATATCGGCGGTATATCGCATCACATCGTGTCCATCTATTGGGTTGTGTCCTGATGTCATTCCGAGTCCTTGGCATCCCATGTAATCACTCAGTAGGGCCGCTTCTTGGCTAGGACCGCGGTGCTAGTACCGGTACTCGTATGCTCAATGCCACGTTCCAAAACGGATGCCGAATAGGGAACAAGGTCGACAGCAAGCGGTGATAAATAAGTGCGGCGCAAGGGACGGTCACCAGTCCAAGTGCAGACTGGCTGGCCACTTGGCTAAGTCCGCACTGTAAATCCGCTCGGAAATATGTAATAAGCGCAAGAAAGTTCCATCAATCATCATGCCGTATCGGTCTTGTTCTCTTTTGTCTTCCAGGTTCCTTTGTTTTTTCAATTTGGGGAATAACGTAGAATCTCAATAAGGTTCACGGGCCGAAAGGGGAGTTCCAACAGGCCCACAGATGCCGGGATACGATGCAGAGACAAAAGAGACAAGAGACAACGGATAGAAATTTTCCAAATCGCCGGCCAGCATCCATCTGGCAGCCCTCCTCGTACTTTTCCGTGTTCGCATGATCTGCAGAAGTTTCAAGATGCATTAACTATGATATCAGTCAACGCATATGCAGTGCAAGTATAAGGCCACCACGAAGTTACAGGGCTCCGTCTTGATGCAAGTTCCGTGGCAGCATCTGATTAGAGAGGGCCTTGCCCTCCGCATTAGTGCGCCCAGGATCACGTCGGGAAGAAGAGCCTTCTTAGCATAGCTCTTGTTTCTAGAATGGCGTTCACTCCGAGCTAATTCGATACATGTAGTCAGCCCTGCATACCACTTGGAAGATGAGCATACCTCATATCTCTCTGTAGCTTCATTCTGGTCGTTCTCGTTTATCATGTGTGAAGCAGATCAATCGTTATTCATTCCTCAGATGCTCAATCTGCTCTTGTTGGGGTTTTTTTTCCCCTTAACACCAGGTAGTATCTTTAGATCTCCTCCATATCCTCCAAATCATCGAGAGCCGGATAATCTCCAATCTCCACCCTCTCTGGCCTCACAAAAACCCCATGCTTTAGTTCTGAGGGTTGTCCCCAGTAACGCTTGCCTGAGATGCTGCCGTCATTCTTCCCCACAGGCTCGTCCAGATGAACCCCCACCCATGGTCCAGCACCGTTAGGAATCTCTTCAACGTCACCAACGTACTTGACCTCACCTCGACGAGTGTCCTCTCCACCGACGCGGCATCTCTTACCAACTTCAACGCCACGCTGGGCAATTTCCTCCTTGAGGGCAGCCACCCTAGCCTCCTCACGGCTTGGCGCTGTAGGGTCAAAACGGCCAAGCTTTTCCGTCTTCTTCCAGGCTAGTACGGAATCTGTCTTCTTCTCGTACTCCTCATCGGGCATCACATACTTGTCCACGCCTGAAGTATCGGTGAAGTTGGGCCTGGCTGTTGGTGGGCGGGTGTCAATGACCTACGAAATCATGGCGTGTTAGCTTCGTCTCCATCTAGGCCCCCCTCTTCTCTGCCGTCCATGTCCCCAGCAAATGCATAGAGGCGCTCCATTACAGATAGCAGGGGGCACGCGCCCAGAAGAAAAGCGTTTGGCTGCCCAAAGCCTCCATGAGAGGCCCGCTTTGGGATTTCACCCGTTCTCTTTCAGGCGCCGAGTTGATTGCAAAGCAGCCCCCCCACGCATACACATAGAGAGTAAAAAAAAAAAAAAAAACAAGCAAAAAGAGGCAGAGGGGGAAGGAGAGAGAGACAAGCAAACCGAGACGTCTGCGCTGCAGAGCAGGGTATGAAGCAAAACGCTGCATCCCTGACCAGCAGCACTCTCGGCGGCTAATGAAATCAACAATGGCTGACTTACATGCAGCTCTGCATACGGAGCCAGGGGAAAGCTGGACAACCGGACAGCGTCCTCATCTGCTGCCACCAGGGGGATTTTTTCCGCGCCAGCTGACGTTTTGAGACTGAGAATCTGGCACGAGGGGGGAATGCCCGTGACGGGCTCGAGTTTGGTCTTGAGCTGGAAGATTGTCCACGAAGGCGTGATGCGCCGCTCGGAAGCAGCGTACTCCGAAATGACCAGCAGAGGGACGTCCGCCATGGCGTTGTTGGGGTGAGTTTTTAGCTCGGCAAAGGGACCTTTTGGTTTGGGATCTGTGACGTTTGTCGCTAAGGACTCAACGTGATGGTGGTTGGTATCAATCCGGTAGGTTTTTTGAGGACCAAGAAGCCGCTGCCTTCCCACCGTCACTTCGGACAAACTAGCGGGGTTTGACCCCCTAGGATATCGACGCAGTATGGAGCACGGAGTAACTTGGTCGAGGCACCTCGCTAGTGGCCCAACAACAGACCCTAGAAGGCAATGGATTTGAAGTCGAGGCAAGGGATACGATACGATAGCGAGGCAAAAGGTGAGAGAAAAGTGCACGGCAAATTTCTCATGCACAGTTATATGCTGGTTTTTCAGGCTCTTATGACTAATTACTAACGCTGTAGCCAGGCGGAAAGAGCGAAAGGCAGCAACGAAGCAGTTATTTCCTTGCCAAGCCAAGTACCTATTTGACGCCACAGGGGATATCGGTTAGTAATGATGTTGCTTAGCAGTGGGCGAACACAGTACCTAGACTTGCGTAGGCAACCGAAATACAAGGTAATCCGCTGTATCAAGGCGCCAAGCGAAGTACTCAGCGTCCAGCAAATGTCCGCAGCTACCTCGAAAGACCGTAAGCCACACTTGCTGCCCGCCACCTTTTTACGGCACTACAGCGGAGTACCTCTCGTACGGGGTCAAGAATATACAGGCTGCCTACAACTTCAATAGTACTAACCTACCTACCCACCTACCCACCTAATGCCTAATAGGTAGGTATGTAGTCGGTTGCGGCGTATTAAATACGGAGCACCTGGACTCAAATCGGTACCTAACCATTTTCTCGCTGGACCCTCAACCGCGTAAAGATGGAGCACGGTTTTCCGTGGGACAGCGGCTAGCGATTGGCTTCATCAGAACTGCCTTGGGTTCGGGTATCCAGCAGATAGATTGGTGTCTAAAACCTTACTGTACACGGATATCATGCTAATCTAGCTAGCAAGCCTACAACCGAGCGGTCTCGTTAGAAGAGATTAGCCCGTCATAGCATGTTTGGGACGGGAACACACAACACTCTTCAGCAAGTCGTGGGAATGAATACATCTGTGTGTACTCTGTAGAGGACCAAGTCGACTCGGCACTTGGGCATCAGTTCGGGGCCCTGCAGAACCCTTACCCACATGGCAGATGGCAAGCAAACAGACACGACACCGAGACCCTTGCTCAACGGGTGTATCACCCGCCTCGGGGGTATCCGCCGACGGCTGCCTGTATACATACTACTTCGAGGTGGTATACAGGCCATGTCATAAATGACTAGATTGATTGGGTGACCCTGTGTTTGCATCGGAGCATTGCCGCAGAGCCCATCTTGAATGGGTGGGTGGATGCGTCAAAAAGGCAGGATGTAAGTGCCCAAGTACTAGACCCAATCGATGCATGGCGATGCTACGGCACAGTGCCGTACTCGTCCACACTTGTACTCTGCATTATCTTGCCTATGCGGACAGAATACGGGTATGCCGACTATGTGCATGGTAGGTAACGGTTTACATACGGAGGCAAGGAGGATACCAAGAGATGACACGAAACGTTTCAAAAATCGCCCTTAGAGCAGAGATCAACAAATAAAAGCAGCTACTACCTATCTAGTAAGAGCTTTACCAGCAGACATCGCATTCCTTAGTAGGATCTGCGTACCCTAGAACAGCCAGAACCAAAAAGAAAGTCGCTTGCGGTTTGGTCTTGACTAAAAGATTTAGTCATTTCTGACTTAAATCGCTCTTTTTGAGCGGTGATGAGATCTAGATAGCACGTCGAGTTCGCAGAGGTACCTGTGTATTGATTAGGCCAATTGGCTGACGGCGACTCCATCGGCTCCATTCAATTGGTGTGCAGAAACTTTCACGTCACACAGCATACTATGTACGGCAGCCTTGCCCACATCTAGATCGGAAAGTGCTCCGTCCGAGTAATCAAGACAATAGTGCAACTATGTACTTCAATCCCGTACCGTGATGTTGGACAGAGAGGAACAAAGGGTGAGAGAGACGGCTCATGTCTATGAGAAATCGTCGTCAATCCTTTCATTCTCTCCCCATAATAAATGGGCATCCTGAACTCTTTATGCAATGGATAAGCCCAAAATATATGCATTACCCTTTGTGTCAAGTTGGAAGGCGTTTCATCAATGTGCAAAATTTTGTCCTAGTATGTCATCGAAGGACTCGGCTCTCTCACTGCCACGCTTCATTGATTGATAGACGACGTCTTACCCTTGATGACTGTTAAATTACCCCGTAGGCTGCTTAGGACGAAGCAGCACCCCGGACCCCTGGTGGGATGACCCTGGCCAGGCATGAAGAGGGAGGCAATGCTACCCTAACTACGTATCACTCAACCTCCTCCCAACCTTCGGTGATCCCCCCGTCCTTTTTGGGGGGGCCATCATGGCGCCTGGCGCCTGACCCAATACTCACCGCCGCCACGTCACGACTTTCTATTGCTTGGATCACGTACAGCCTGCGTGTTGTACATCGGGGAGGGGGAGAAGGAGGTAAAAGAGGAGAAAACTGAGGAGGCCCAGTAGCCGCAGCCGCATATTATAGCTGTGGCAGCAGTTCTGTAAAGCGGAGCTTCTCGAGCGGCGTGGAGTCAATACCTCTCCTCAGGTTGCGCTACCATGTGTGTAAGAAGACGCTTTGCATGCGGAGGATAGCATTAGATTGGCTGGTGGGCTCGCTGGTAGGGTGTTGGAATTGGTCCTCCCGGGCTCGCTGCCCACGCGATTGGTAACGGGCAAAACTTGCTGCACGTCCCGCGATGACAGACAGATGTGAGATATGATGTCCCGACCGGGGAACGGCTGCTGGAGCGACGTCGTCTGACAGGGATGTCTCTGGGGATGGCGTGTCGAGCCAACAAAGCCTCTTGTGGGTTCATCCATCCGTACTTGTACAGTACAGTAGCATCTACGGAGTCGGCCTGCCGGCTGATACAGTAGACTCTGATGATGAAAGTCTTGGTTCACACAAGTGACCGATAACATCTATAGTGCCTTGAGCTGAGGGATGCAGCGAGTGGCTTTGTCGTCATCGTTTTATTTTTGGCAGCATGGAGTTGGCACATTTGTGCCACGTTAATGTACTCGTATGCACCAGCAATACTAGGAGCTAGTAGCACAGCTGTACGAGGGAGTACCTGGTAGTTAGTACTGCAATAGTTGTTGATGGCTCTCCCGAAGGGCACCGCGGCAGATGGAGGGGCGGGATGTGTGCTCCGTACGGAGCATTGAGGCACGGAGTAATATTCGCAATGCTAGCCAGGGAGGGCTGGTTCATGAGTAAATCGACCAGGGCGGTCGCGGGCTGAGAAAATGGCTCTGGTGATCTGTATCCTTGTCTGCCCTTTCAATAAAATGCACTGTAGCACTTTGTACATACAAGGCACCGTATTGATGCCACTAAGTACGGAGTAACTGTGCCTTGTTCCATTAGCCCTACTAGGTAGTATTAACATGGAGGAATGAAGTGCCCGTGGGAAGCGAAAGCGGATCAGCCAGGGAGGATGCTGGCGGTTTTCGGTTCTCGCTGCTCAGGCATCAACAACGGAGCTCGGTACTTGCAGGTTGCGTAGTATGTACAATTACGTGCTCCTATAATATTAGTGGCAATAGGTGCGGAATACCTATTTGGTTGCTGTTCACACGATGACCTCAAGCGCCCTCTGTCCGTGGGGGAGAGCTGTCTGCTGTTCGTCTGCAGGAGCGTGGTGTGCGCAGAGTGGACGTCGGAAGGGCCGCCTGTGACATTGCCGATAAAAGCGGCTTGCTTTGTTCACCGCAGATCTTTGAGTGCTTCATCAAGCTCGTCTTGTGTCCTGGAGATGTTTGGTCGCGATTAAGCGTGCGCCTCTTGGTGTCTTGGTCCAGTAGCAGGTCGTATATAGCGACTAATAGAGGTGTGGTGGACCTGAGACACAAAGGACATGGGGCATAGCAAGCAAACGGCGGCGCACCATGATTCAATCTCTCAAGCGGCTCGGATGACAGTGCAGCTGAGGCGCAGACCGCCGGCGGAACAGACAGCAAGCAAAGGGCCACGAGGGGCGTACGAACAGGATCTCGACGAGGTGGCAGTCTCATGCGGCTTTGGACTGGGCGATCATGGTTCGCAGTCAGTTCGAACGATGGTGCCCTGACCCTGGCCCAGCTCCTGAAGCCAACTCACTCACACACGCACACGAGCTTGGGCGAGATGTGCCCATACCCACGCCTCCACGCTTCTCCCACGCCTCTTGCATCCTTAGTTCTCGTAGGTGCAGCCAAGTGAGTACACAAACTGGCGGCTGGAGTTTCACGCACCGCAATCGACGACGTCCTGAGCACCTTGGGCTGCCTGAGCAGAGTCTAGAGTACTCGTAGCTTGTAGTTGACCGCCAATTCATCGGCAGCCCCGGACAGGTTCCCTGGAAGTGCTGATGGTGCTGAAAGTCAGCTTGCCTGGCCTGATGATCCCTTTGATCCGCCATGGCCTGTTTAGGCTGGGGCGGCGACGCAAGTCGAGGTCTGGACATTAGACCATTAGGTATGAAGTTGTACAAAGTCCAGAATGACTGTGGCGAAGATGAAATTCATGGGGGCCTGGAGCCCTGGATGAAGTGGCTGGGGCTGGCATGACCGACATGAGTGCTGGAAGATTACAGGCGGAGGTACCTGTACCGATAGCTGCACTGGTACCTGTGCCGGTACCTAAAGGAGGCCGTAACCAGGCACTTGTGTGCGTTTTAACCTGTTGCAACCAACACTCACGCGATAGGCACCCTGAAACAGCTCAATATTACAGCCCGGTCTACTTCATTTCATACCCTATTGGTGGATGCACTGTTGGACTGGGCGACTTGATAACCACGGATGTGCAAGTACCTATTGATGCTATTTTTAAAGACGTCGCTCATGGAGTGCCAAGGCGGTACTCCATGAAGCATCATCCAAAACTGCTAAACAAGGACAGTCTCGTAAGCATAATCATAATAGTAGCGAAGAGCCCAGCGAGTAATCAGAATAATTCAAAAGGTGCTAAATTGCTACTAACTGCGGACCAACACATTTAGGCGCAGGCCGGCATTCCTTAATTACTTAGTAGGCAATAGATTAGGGTGCGGCTTGAGGCGCTGATGGCTGACCAAGGAGCTGTCCGCAGCAGCTCTTTAGAGTACCTGTACGGAGTACCTATTGGACAAGTTACGGGTATACGCACCTTGTTTGAATCTTTCCATCCTGTCAGCTTCTCTCTTCTCTCCCTGTTTCGACCTTTGGACTTGAAAGCCCGCTTAACCCCCTTTCTAGCCTCTGGCGGACGGTTTTTTGCCTTTTTTTTTTTTTTTTTTTTGCCAGAGCAACACTATGCAACCACACCTTCTCTTCTCCCTGCATTGACTTCTGCCTACCAGTATGGAACCCTGCACCTGGACTGGTAGGGCTTGCGAAAAGTGCCGAACGACAAGCTCTGACAGGGGGGTTCGTTCGTTCAGTTGGACACTTCCCTGAATCTGACTTGCAAGTGCTGTGTGTGGTATTACAGAGTACGCCCGTCGAAAAGAGCCGGCAGCCTGGTTACGACGTCAGCCTGATCATCTTGGTAGTTTTTAAGCTCGGCTCCCGCAATGTAACATCGCTCTTGGATTTTTTTGTATTACTATTGGACCAGGTCCAGGCTATGCCTGCTCAGACGCATGTGGCTAATCAGGTTATAGATGTGATAGATCTAGCAGAAAGCTCTAGCGTGTGGCCGCGAACAGGGTATACCAGGCACTCTGTGCGAGTACCTTGATGGGCGACATAAAGAAAATACTACTACTACTAAATTGGTAGGAAGGAGCAAAAGGAGCAAAAAACCACTAAGATGAACCAGTTACGGAACGAGTGCCTCCAGATATGTGAGGGCGCTGATATCATTTGGTACCATGTACCGCGTCCCACTCCGTCTCCCCGGACCAGCCACGGCACGGGACGCCAAGATGTTGGACGGAACGCACATCCGGGAAGCGATATATATTACTATGTACACAGATGGAGACTGGCGCTTCTCAGTGCTTCTATGCCATACGAACTCACAGGTGACGGCATGCAGCAGCCGCGGACGTGGCAGCCCAGGAGGCATGGTGTTTACGAAGAATACACGTATGGAATGCACTTGATATTCTCCGTGCAACCCCGAGCGAACACGTTCTTATCCAAAGGCACAGAATGCTCACCGCGGTTTGGGCTTGGCGAACTAGGACAAAGGTTGCTTGGCCTGCTGACAACGATTATAAGTTTCACCTTGAACCCTGCTGTGGCGTCCTAAGACACGTTCTAGAGGAGCCAGGGAAAAGGCAAGAATAAAGGTGAGACATGGCAAAGACAAATGAGAACAGAAGCCGCCGAGATGCCTTAAATTAAAAGCACTGCAGGGTTTTCTCGGCGACAGAGGAGCTGACACGGCGGACTGAAGGCAGCTTTGCCAATTTGACATACGAGTACTCGTAGAGGTTGAGCGCGACTTTAGCTTGATTACAACTAGTCTCCAGAGTGCCATCCTGATCCAGGGATTGCTAGCCGACCCAAGCAGACACTAGGTATTACTACTGCTCGCAAGCTAAAGATAAGGAGATTGACGGGTGTCATTCCCGTAAGATGATCGATACTGTATATCCACTCTGGTAAGCGTGCTGCTAATACGGAGTACACCACGACACTTACAAGTGCTGCTACGTCCTTTGGCGTTGTACTCTGTCCAAGCACGGCCATAGCCTAAAAAGGCCTGCATTATTAGCCATTGTTTCACCATTTGAATAATTCCGGAAACTCTCGTGCGCCGCCGTGTGATGACAGCCTCTCGTCGGCTTGTGGTGTCCCAATGCTTCCGCCCGAGAAGTCTATTCTTGGCAAACGCCGTGCGTGAGGCGGCGCCATCCTGCCAAACACGGTGGTGGTGATGGCGCTAGGGAGGAGCTCCAGAAAGCTGGACCGTGGCCACAACTGCAACTGCAACTGCTCCCATACGAAGATGGCTGCGGCTGGCCGAGTCACAACATTTGGGGGCGGCCAGCTCGCCAACATTGAGCACGAGGCCCAGCCCAGCGAGGCCCGACGGAAAAGGCACGAGCAAGCACGAGCTGTCCCAACAGCACAGCAAGCGGGAAGCGGGATTGCATGTGTTGTGCTCCTAACCCAGCGCGTATGCCCAGCAACAGCAACTCACAACACGCCGGGCACCGTGCTAAAGCAAGCATCTAATGATTAGTACCTGACGATGCATGAATGCGTGGTCAGGTCATGTGCTACACTGCATATATGAAGTCCCAGGCAAGTTGCGGCGGTGGCCTCAGATGTGAAGCAGCTCGGAAAGAGGAAGACGAGACAGACAGACAGACAGCAGATACCTTGGAAGTCAGGCCGCAGCCTATTGGCGGGCTATTTGAAGCGACATTGATGCACAGAAATACAAGGGGGGAATGGAGCTACCACTTGGAAGGAGCTGGAGGGGGGCGTGCGCTGAAGATCTGGACCAGTTGAGACGGTGGGCAGCGCTACCGGGGAGTACCTTGGAGCTATTGGCGGCGGCCGTGGCGGAGCCAGTACCACCGAGGTACATACTACTATACGCACAGTGCCTTGAGTGCTTTGTGCCACATCCCATCAGTGCATTTGCTGTTCAAAGTTACCTAGTAGTGGAGGACCTGGCACAGCTCAAACCAAAGCACCACGCCCCCCCTTCTCCCAAACCCTTGAACTTGCTACCTAGCACTAGCACTATGGATCGCAAGACGGGTTCCCGACCAGCTGCATGGTAGCATCAATGCTGCCAAGATATGTAATACTACTAATCTATCTTTATACCCAAATGCAAGGCCGTAAGGCGCGATGCACCGGGACCCGTCCTTGCTTTTCTTGAGACGGCACAGCACAGTACAGGTATGAGGTATGCACGCACACGCACAAAACGAAGCCATCCATCCATCCATCCAGTGCTGATGCGTGTCTGGGGCCAGCGCGAATTTCGGATGCCTCTGGATTGATCTGATGCTGATGCTGATGCTGATGCCAGTGTCAGTGTCAGTGTCAGTGCCAAGGCTCGTGTATGAGATGGGCTTGGGCGAACAAGACAAAGCAGAGGGCTTGGCTCGACGAACCATGACAACACAACGACGACAAACCGTGGCGGCGATGCATGGACAGGACGGAATGGCATGGAAACTCGGTGATTCAATGACGCACTGCCCGGCACTTGAACCCACGCGGGCCCGCCACTGTCTCTCTTCAGCCACTGGACGAACGACGTGGAATGGCTGAAACAATGCAAACGAGAGGCCACGACGCTGCCAGATTTCCCAACCCGACCCAGCATCCTCCACCCTGCAACAGCCCAAGACGAGCGAGCCTCTGATTAGCTACCAATGGACGTCTTCATGCAATTCGCCTGACGGCTTCTGGACGACCAGACAGCCACCGCCATGCTCTTGCTCACCGACTTGAGCAGCAGCAGCTGGAGAGTGCCTTGAGCAAGCTGGGTTCTTCGTTGCTTTTTTGGTTTTGGAACTATTTGCTGGTCTTGTCTTCAGCCGCACCCCTCCCCTGTCCTGTGTGCTGGTTTGTATTTTCTCTCTTTTCTTTCTTTTCTTTTTTCCTTCTTTTTTCCTTTTTCTTCTTCCCCATTTCTGCCGTCTTTCCTGGTCTACCTCTTCTTTCCTGGAACTGACCTAGCTTGTCCTGGCCTGGTCTGCTCCAGTCAGCCCGTCAGTAATGTTCCGGACACTGTCCACAGCGAGCCGTGCTGTTCTTTTCCATCAGCCGCCTCCCTCCTCAATCTCCCGCCTCACTACCGGGCCATTCTTTTTACTCTAGCGCCAGTGTTAATTAATTGATTCATTATTTACCGGGAGCTAGCCCTATGTTGCTCGGGCCCGTCCTAGCTTCACAACCCCAGGCTCAATCATGCTGCTTGCTTCTCCATGCATGCAAACCAGTCCAGGGCCAGCACCAACATGCCATCTTTTTTTGGCCCCCCTTGGACGCTCTTGTTCCCAATTCACACTCCCCACCGTTCTCTGCTTCCCCCAGTCCAGCTGGCGTCGACAGGCCAATCAGATTTTCTAGTGCTCTACTTGCTTTCCTTTCGACACCCCTGGGCTGCTCAATTGCTTGCCCGCTTCCTTCGTCTGCACCAGCGAAGTGGCTTCCCGACTGGCGTCCGCCCTGTCCCCAGCGCTGGGTCCTCGCCACCCCTGCCTAGCCCATCTGACGTTTCCTCTCCCATGGGACTGTCGAGATGGAACTTGTGACTCCCAAGGCCTCTTTCCTTCCTACAGGCACGGCAACCCGATCTAGTGACAAGGTCCTGGTCTGGCCTTGACGTAGTGGCCCGGCGGCAACGGGCCATGCTCTGCTTCATCTCCCCCCATTGGCCCCATGAACCCCCCCGGGCACGCCAATCATGTTGGCATTCTGTCTTCATAAACTCGTTCCCAGAAGCCCATTGTACTTCCTGAGACACCACCGTCCTTCTCTTTTCCTCGTGCTCTTCCCCCCCTTTCGCGGTACCTAAAGGTTGGCACATTCGGGCCTCGACTCTTCTGCTCATCCTCAACTCTTGATGCCTGCCATTGTATCCTCTCAACACTAGGAAACACAAGTCGTACCATCCTGTTCCTTGCAGTTCTTGCCTCTGGTGCCGTGGTTCCTCCTTCACACAACGCCAGCTCGCCTAGTCTCGTTTGCTGCCTTCTCTGGCCCTTCTCGTAGCAGCAACCTTATCAAGCCGGGAACATCGACGATCCTCGAACTGCGTGTCTGCCACATTTGCTGACACAGCTTTGCCACCTCACTGGGTCCTGCTACGCCGGGCCTCTTTCATCGCCTCATTTGCATAGCCCACGCCGGGGCTTAATCAGGCAGTCGCTGAGCTGGCTCAACTCCAGAGCCAGTCGCCGCTCTGCCTCCTGCAGGCAGGGCCACCAACGTCGTTCAACGTGGTCGCACACGGCAGTTTCGACCTTATCCGCGGTCCTGGCGCCCCTGCTGACCGACCCCGTATGGGCGGCAGAGGCTTGACAGCCAGCACCGTGGATATCGCCTCCTTGCTTCGGTTTTCCTCAAACGCCTCAAACGAGTCCCCCGTGCCGTCCCCCACAAGACAGCTTCGACCTGCCTCTGTGCCATCAACACCCACGACTACTCCTCATGATCACCTACCTCCACGTGTAGGGCCTCCGGCTGTAGCTCCAGCGCTCATCCCGAGCAACAGGCGCAGTATGACGCCTCACGTCCCGGATCAGCCAGTCAAGAAGCAAAGCAAGTGGTCTCCTGAAGAAGATGCCATCATCATTGAGTTGCGGGGCAGAGGAATGAAATGGGAAGATGTTTCAAAGCGGCTCCCAGGACGCAGTGCCATTAGCTGCCGGCTTCACTACCAGAACTACCTCGAGAGACGAAGTGAGTGGGATGAGGAGCGCAAGAATAAGCTTGCCAGGCTGTATGAGAGGTATGTGCGAGAGCGTCATGGGAGCAAGAAGTTTACTTGGACCTCTTGATCCCCTTTCTCCTTCTCCCCATCCATCTCCATCACTATAAGGTCGACTAACATTCCCATCTCCTAGATTCAAGTCTGATATGTGGGCTAAGGTGGCTGAAGAGCTGGCAGTTCCCTGGCGGGCGGCCGAGGCCATGCACTGGCAGCTTGGGGAGGCAGACATGGCTCGCCGGGCCGGCGTAGTTCCTTTCTCTCTCGCCGCTGTCAACACCAGTGAGGCGTCAAGCAACAGGACCTTGGCCAGTCGGGCCCAGGCTCCGATTCAGCCGCAGGACAACAGCGCTCTCCGTGAAATGAGGCCACCGTCTCCTCCCACGAGCTACAGCCGCACCCAGCTCATGCCCCCCATGACCTCGGCACGAACTCCTCGGCGAGGACCTATCAACTCGCAACCGCCTCCCCCACAGCAAACGCGACCAATGCTACATCCGCAACACATGCATCAGACACCCCATCCCTCACCCCACACAGTAGTACCAGGACCGCCGGCTCCGCAGCAGCCGCCGCCGCCACCGGCGCCTGCTGCCGCTCTTGCACACCCTCTCAGTGACTACCGCCGCAGCCCAGGTCCTGGACTCGCCCCGATTCAACCTCACCCTCCCTCCCACAACACCGGCCCCCTACCAAGTGTTGCACAGTTGACTACGGGGATGAGTCCATATGGTCCACCAAGCGGACCACCGACGCCAACCTCTCTGCCTGCGATTGCCACTCCCTCGATGCCCCGTTACATGCCTCTTGAACAGGCAGGAACAAAACGGCGAGCAAGCCCCGATATGGCGCGACTCGATGGTGCTCAGAGGCGAAGACTCGCATAAGACTGTCTTGCCCTCATATTATCTATCAAACGAATCTACATGCATGATGAAAAGAAAAAGAAAATCCATACAAAAAAAAAAAAAAAAGAGGGGGGAGTGGTTGAAGAAAGCTTATGATAAGCGAAGTTGATGGATACTGGCAATACATTCATTCTTTACTTGGGCTAAAGGACATACGCTCATACTCTCACACTCTCATATATGAATGGATTCAATGAGGTAATGCAAATGGCATGCATTGGATCAGACATTCACTCTGACATCGATAGACGGGGCATACGGAACGCGTTTCAAAGCAGGAAACGCTCACTGATACGGACGGATGGTATCAACAGCACAATACGCTCGATCACGGACACTTAGACAGCTGCTATTTGTTTTGTTTTGTTTTGTTTTGTTTTTGACCTGGTTTTGATTTTTTTGATCTTGATTTAATGTTGTTGATTTTGAATCTGTCTTATGTTGGTTTTGTTTTACCTCTTTTGCCATTTTTGGCACTCTTTTCGGGATATGGCTAGAGGCGCTTCTTGGATTAAAGAAAAGGCTTTGAACTTTTTAAGGGGTCTGGTACATGATGGGCATTCTAATATGGCTTAGAGGTACATGAGACGAACCGACAGGAGCTGATGACGGGACATATTGGGCATCCATGTTGAGGCATTCACGGAGTAGACGCGGAAGAGTAGGGAACAGGAGCGGACGGGCGTTTTATTATTTTGGAATGATGGAATGGTATTGGCATACACTGGGCACACAGCCATTCTTATTTTGTCTCTTTATCTAGCTAGTACACACACAGCATATCTGCAGCGTTTACTATGTATCAATCAATGAATTTGGTATCATCAAGATGTTATGGTTTGGTAAATTAGGCTGCTGCCCAGGTATCATTTGCAAGTACTATTTAGTGTAACGGCATTCTCAGGCTTCGTTGCTACATATCACCCACCAGTTGTCCTTCTCATAGCCGCTCTCCAAAACCACTCCCCCGGCTGCCACCACATCCTCTTCTAGTTCCCCCTGGCGATACAGGTGATAGTACCGCTGGAAAGTCTCATCCGGCTTGCCCTTTGAGCGCATCACCCACGGCACCAGCGTATCCTGCTCTGATCCCTCGTCCCAACCCCTGCGGCTCGAGCTCTGCTCCAAGGCCCAGGCATACACGAGCACTCTCCCGCCCTTGTGGACACACTTCAACAGAGCCTGGATGCACTCCTGGCGCCTCTCCCTGGTAGACAAGTGGTGGATGACGGCAATGCAGATGACGAAGTCGACGGAGCGCTCGCGAAAGGGCAGGCTCAGGGCATCAGCAACAACGACCTCGCCGTTGCGCTCGGTGCGGGCGAGGCGCACGAGGGCGTCGCTGCGGTCGGAGCCGAAGATGTGCAGGCTCGGGTTGACGGGGAGATACTTGCCGTTGCCACAGCCGACGTCGAGGCCGACTGCGCCGGGGGCCTGGGAGGTGAGGAACGAGGAGATGAGGGGCCAGGGCTTGTGGCGGGTGGACGAGAAGTGTGGCGCGATGGCGTTGTAGACGGAGTGGACGTGGGTGGCCTCGTAGGCTTCGGGGGAGGAGGATTGCATGATGGGGGGGGGGGGCCAGATGTGAGGGGTGAGGGTGAGGATGAGGGTGAAGATGAGTTGTGATGGTGTGGTTTTTGGTGTTTTTGAGGTTTGTGGTTTGCTGAGGATTCCCTGAGATGTGGGGAATGAATGAAAAGTAATCGTAATTACTATGTCTGCATAAACACAAATATGAAACAAAAAAAGAAGAGTGAATCAGAATATCCAATCTGTGCTGCCGGCCGTTATCTGATACTGTATTAAACGCCCCCGTCGTTGAAAATATCCAAGATATCAAAAAAACGTCGTTCAAAAGCCGGAAAGTGGGGTCGCTACTACGGTGGTGGTAAGAGAGGGAAAAAAAAAAAAAATAAACAAAAAATTGGTGGGCGTGCACCTAACAAAAAGAGGCCTTGTTGGCGGAACAATATTTTTTCGCTACGGGTATCTCGCGTGGGGGAAGAGAAGCTAATCTGGGTCGATTTTCTGTGTTGTTGTGCGTTGTCGAATCGATGGAGGGGCCCTTGTTGGTTTTGCTTCTTTTTGAGAAGGAAAAAAGATACTTGTGATGAGGTCCTTTTTTTTTTTCATCTGTTATATGCTGGGACACCCTTGTGGTGCATGTACAGGTACAGGAGGACGGAGGACATGGGCGGATGTGGGCATTTGCTCCGGAAAGGGCATGGATATAGGTACTTTGGATGAAGCAGTATCAGTACTCCATAGACTCCATCGCACCTGGACGTTGCAGGTACCTACCTGGTAGGTGGGTGGTATATCGTGGATGGCACTTTTTGGTGCTTTGTGGGACAAAATGTAAGATAATAGTAGCAAGATGAAGTATCGGATGGAGATTGTCTTTCCCAAAAGGAGCTACACATACAAGGGATATGCGGTGGCTCGTAGCCCATGGCCGGGCTCTGTCTGTCTTGTATACGAACTTCTTCGCTACAAAACACTACGCCAATGTCGTGTGGGATTGATCAATCCATCGGGTCAGGGATATCTGCCGGATCTAACAGTATGCCTGTCACTTGTCACATACATCAAGACGCACATTCTCGAAGCTAGTACGGCAGCCAGCTTTCTGGCGTTTTCCAATTTACCAAGTTTTACTATTATTCACGTCTCCACTCTCCTTTTCACTGGTTCCCCGTGTTCAGAGGGCTCTTGGGGTCGTAGACATCCGTGGTAATCAGTTCTGGATACGTGATGCCACCCTGCTTCAACGCCTCCTCCATCGTCTCCATGATGACGATGCTCTCCTTCCAGGGCAACGTGGCGCTCTCCAACTTGCCATCACGCAAGCACCGAGCGCACTCGTCCGCCTCCCAGAACATGCCGTGGCCCCAGTTCTTGCGCGCAGGGTCCGCGGGTTGGGGATAGTCGAATGTCTGAGCCTCGCCATTCCTCTTCACCACCTTGTACTTGAGCGGTCGGTAGGCTGGGGCGAAGACTTGGATCTCTCCCTCTGATCCTTGGATTCGCACCGCCGGGATGAGGTTCTCGGGGTCGGTATCCGCTCGGATGGTCGTCGAGGCAATGCCAATGGTGTTGTGGCCGGGAAAGCTGCAGATGATAGCTGTGTTTTCATCTGCACCGGTGGTATACTTGTTGCTGGAAGCAATCACCGTTGGAGCCTCCTTATCTTGCTCTGGCTGTAAGTGATACAAGGTCTGGAACACCCAGGTTAGGGGGTAGACTCCGAGATCCAGAGTTGCTCCGCCTGCGAGATCAGGGTTGACCATCCGATGAGAGTCCGAGAACTGCAGGCCGCTACCCTCCTTTGCATGCAAGTTGATTGACAAATCACCTAGTTGCAAGTTAGTCTGCTTCTTCTCTTCTATATGCCTCTGAATCCTCAGCCTTTTTGAATCATGACTTACCAATTGTTCTGAAGACAGTGCCAATCTCGCCAGAGGTAATGAGTTCTCGGACCTTGATGCTCAGTGGGAAATACCGCGTCCACACAGCCTCCATCAAGAACAGGTTCTTTGCCTTGGCCGTCTCAACCAGCTTTCGGGTCTGAGCAGCGGTCACGGTGAACGCCTTTTCACACAAGACATGCTTGCCGGCCTCCAATGCCAGCATGGTGTTCTGGAAGTGGTGGCTGTGAGGAGTTGCTACGTAAATGATGTCGACGTTGGGGTCGACAACCAGTTCTGCGTACGATCCATACGTCTTGGCGTCAAAGGCACCGTCAATTCTCTGGAGAAACTCTGCCGCCCTCTGGCTGCTGCTAGAAGAGGACACGGCAACAATTTCGTGACGCACATCGTTGGCGCCTCGAACCGCGGGATCGCACAAAAGATCCTTGCAGAAGGCTGATTGATCATGTCAGTTCGAGTGGCTTAGTTAGCCTATACAGGCTCAGGAGACAAATACTGACTCTCTGCGATTCCGCCAGTGGCCATGATGCCCCATTTCAGGGTGTAAGGGTTTCCAGTCGCCATTGTGGATGAGAATGTGTGGTTGGAGCTGCTAGATGAAACTGTCACAATGGCCTTCCTAGCCCAGGCTTGAGGTAGGAGGCTCTGCCGTCCTTTATATCCACGGCCACTAGCTCTCAGCCGTCTTTTACGAGGCCCGCGATCGTTTGCAAGTTCGCCGTTAATGAAGAGCCAAGGCTAAGCGCTCCACACCCAAGTAGCTGATCCTCCCCCCTCGCCAATCAACGGCCTCGTAAGTCCGGTGCGTGGTGGAGGGGATCCCGGAATCAGCAGCCAATTCTGCGGACAAAGTTGCCCCGCGGCAACAATTTCTCTCTCTCTTTTCCCTCATGGACGCATCCGTTATAGCTCACCAACCATCGTTCGTTCCTCATGGCAATGCTCTTAGCGGCGGGGAGACAAACTCGGCCATGGTGGGGTTGGAGGCTTGCGATCCAATTAGGCTCAATGGACGGCGTCATTTTCCAAGTCCATTACCCCGAATATCTGGAGAGCAAGCACTTGGTAACGTAACATGGGTAGATACGATAGACTGCGCTGATACAGTGTTTGGGCAAGAAATTGATGAAGAAATATTGGCTCTGTAGCAGCCGTGTAGTTGTAATGGTCAGATGTAAGATGCAAAATAAAATCAACCTTGATAGATTGAAGATTACGTTGATAGCGATTTGAGAGAAGGAACCCTGGCGTGACCTCGCCGTATCTTTGCCCCGCGTCTTGAGCTCCGCTGATGTCTACGTGGGAATCGATGCTTACCTACAATAGCCAGCTCCCAGTTAACTTTACAATGCAAACCTACAGCTTTTATCATCCGCCTCACTATGATAAGGGTCGAATAGACAAATAAGTCACTAGCCAGCCAGCCATTTGTCCCACATCAGCCACTCGAACCATCCATCATGGCACGGCCAGCTATCGGAGCACAAGCATCACGGCTTGCGCGAGATCTTCCTCTTGGATTATCGACAACCTCCGCTCGGATCCCGAAACTCATCTATGGCACTGCATGGAAGAAGGACCAGACCGCGGATCTTGTCTACTTGGCTTTAAAAACTGGCTTTCGCGCCATCGACACTGCGGCCCAGCCGAAGCACTATGACGAGCGTGGTGTTAGTGCTGCTGTCAAACGAGCTGTGGGGGAAGGCCTCATTAAACGGGAGGACTTGTTCGTATGCACGGCCCGATCCTAGTGGTTTCATAAAGAGCCTCCTTCTGCAGCATTCCAGTTGACGCATTTATTAGATCCAGACTAAGTTTACCTCCCCAGCAGGGCACAATCACATCACTCCATATGACTTGAATGCTCCGCTGGCCGAAAAAGTTCATCAGTCTGTGCAGTCTTCTCTGGCCAACTTTACGATTGACGGCCAAGAGCCATATCTGGATAGCCTTGTGCTTCATTCTCCTATGGACACCATGCAAGAGACAATAACTGTGTGGAAGACTCTCGAGACCTATACGCCGCACAAGATTCGGAACCTTGGGATATCCAACACCACTCTCCCCATCTTACAAGCTTTGTTCAATGACATGAGTGTTAAGCCGGCTGTCGTGCAGAATCGTTTTCACAACAGAACTGGCTATGAGACCGACCTTAGAGCATTTTGTCGCGAACAGAAGATAGTCTTTCAATCTTTCTGGACTATTACAGCGAATAGACATCTTCTTCAATGCAGTCCTGTGCGAGAGGTGGCTCACAGGGCCGGAGTAGGGGCGGTTGCAGCGTTTTACTCAATGGTATTAGGACTGGAGGATACCACCATCTTGGACGGCACAACAAGCCAGACACACATGGAAGAAGACTTGGAGGGCATAGAAACTGTAGGCGTCTGGGCGGAGGGAGATGGGGCTGCTGACTGGGCTTCTACTCTTAGTAGCTTCAGACATCTAATTGGGGAATCATAGGCCACTTAAAAGTCTTGAAAGCAATATAGAATCCTTGGATATGGCTGTAATTGCGAAGCATGGCGAACTTGCACGTCTTCAGTGGTGCACCATCTGCTTTGAACAGCTCAAGGGAACAATTGAGAATTCCTTTATAACATCACAAGTCTATGTCTAGATATCTTTCGCAAAAGTATTCGCCACTATAAATGGGAAGCACGCCGTCGCCTCGAGATACACCTATCACTTCATTTCAGCTCATATTCGCGAGACCAGAGGCCAGGGGTAGCGGGAGAATACTAACCTTCACGTTATCTGCCCCAATTTTAATCTTTCCCCAAGATACTGCTTCGTCCGGACGCGCACCGGCGTCGCTGCCGTCAAATTCCTGGGCTGTGTTGATGTAGACGGCTGATTCCGCACCGTTTCTCATGAGGCATGCGTTTGCAATATGGTGCTTGACGACACCGCCTCCCAGGATAATCATTCCTGCTCTTTTGGCTCGAACAGCGATTGTGTTGATGCGTCGAATATCTTCCACTAGATCGACCCGGAGCTGCTGTGGTGAGCTCTTGAATGTGTGGAAATAAAGCATGTCTCCTATGCTGCCATCTGTCAGGGCAGGGCAGAAAACTGGAATGTCATTTTTGTAAGCCCAGTAGTATACCGAGCGCTCGTCGTTGATCTCCTTGCCCAATCGGTGAATAACCTTTGAAGGCGTCCAGTGAATCTCGTTTTCAGTTCCTTTGCTGGCTTCTTGCTCTTCCAGCATCTTATCAAAGATGGGCACCACCCAGTCCTCAAACGCACAATAGTTGGCGTTAGGAACGACGAGGTTTCCGATGCGGTTAAGGCCCCTTTTTCGCAGGTCTGCGCCATCGGCACTGAAGGAACTCATGTATGTCTCGCCGAGACACTTGATGAAATCTTCCTCTACTCCTCCAGCTGTGGTGACAATGCATGAGACATGCTTGTGCTCCACCAACCATCGGAAGACACCCCTTAGACCGGATGAGATAAGGTTCGAAGTGTATCCCAGGAAAATTGTCGTCTTGTCTCCAGTTTCAGGGTCTCTCCAAGCTCTCTTTGTTACGTCATTAGTCGTGCTGGATCCTCCATGAAGAATCTCTCATACTTACCATATCGTTGATGATCCTTATGGCCTCGCTCATTGAAGTTGCCTGGAATCCCATATTTCTCATCCCAAGGAATAAATCTTCTGCGGTAATAGGCCCTTTCAACTTATTGAAGTCGAGCTCCTCTACCTTTGGGGCGTCTTTTGGCATTTCTTCTGACTTGACGAGCACTGCATTGGTGACCTCCACTGGAGGCGCACCTGAACCATTTTCTGCCATTTTAAGCTTTGTGGATGCTGCGTATAAGATATGAGCTTCTTAAAGTGTGTCTCAAGGAGAATAGAAGAGCCTCATCCAATCAAGGATGAGTGAGGCGAAGAAGGAATACAGCTCCCTTAATTACAGGCTTGCTTAATCCAGTATGAGTAAAGCAGGTACTTGATGTCTTCTCTCAATTTGCACAGCTCGCGGGTAGCCTCATCCACTAGCAAAAGATTAGATTTTTTCTTTTCTTCTTGAGAGTTTCCATTAATGTCAGAACGGGGCTAGTCCCTCAAGTCCTCCCAGCGCCACTAACCGACTAGGGTAGCATATTAGTAATTTTCCATCTGGACAGCGCCAAGCCCCCGCCGAGTGCCGGGGGACAAATAACAGTCTGGCCCAGAACGGACTAGCGTCTCGCGGCAAAGAGGCTGCCTGTACTGTCCAAGCGCCACGCGATCTGGATGTATTTTGAAGTCTCTCGGTGGACCTTGAGATCTTCAGCTCCTTCATCATTCCAGCCTCTGACGGCGATTTGCATCGATACCTTGGGATAGTCCGCAGCGCCTTAATCCGATATCGTCGCTAGAATTTTCTTTTGTTTTTTTGGGGGCCGCTGCCTGCTGATTTGGACTTCCCCAGCCACCCCCTGCGCTGCATCGAGGCAGAGACGCACGTTAGCCGAGGAAGTGAGCGATTGAGATTCTCGTGACCAACACCACAGCAGCCGACTTCGATACGCATCTCGTGTGCCGGTTTCTCGACGCCGCCGGCCTCTGGATGGGACCTGCGGGATCTCTGCACGGTCTCATCCGGCACTGGCCCGCCATATACCATGTACGTACCGCGCTTGATTCGTAGCAAGATCCGTTGTTTTAACTTCCGCTGGTGACATCAACTGCACCCTGAGATGAGCCGCGATTGTCTTGTAAATCCATCGCTTGATACTTTACTCACACTGCTTCCTTTTACAGGGCGTCCAGGTATCGATATGACGCGGATCGGCGGTCGAGATCTCCTCGAGATCGCTCCCCGGACCGCTTTGATCGGGCATCGCACTACGGCGATACTGATAGACGCCGCTCGTCTGCAGAAGCCAGAACAAACTCAGCGCCATTTCCTCCGGGTAGAGACGTATTCGCTGAGCAACTGCGGCGAGAGCCTCCGCGCGGCCCCAAGGCGCTGATAGACCCCCCCGCCGGACCCAGGGGAGGAGGGTTTGTTGGCGAGTTTAGAGGTGGAAGGGGGCGAGGGCGAGGCGGGCGAGGATGGCCTGGAAGAGACGACAGCCGTGATAGAGGAAGGGATAGAGACCTCGACTTTCGAGACCGATACCGAGAGGAGAGAAGCCGGGAGCGGGAGCGAGAGCGAGAGCGGGACTGGCGAGAGCAAAGAGACTTTAGGCTGCGCAGATCCCCAATTGGACGAGCACGATCGCCGACGCGAGATTTTCGTGATCGGGATATTCCCCCGGGGCTAGACGCAGACAGGTCTCGTCGTGGTTCTCGTGATGGCGGCCCTCCATCAGCTGGTTCTTCATCGTCGGAGCCTGTGTTCAACGCGCCGCCCTTTTCTCGAGGTGGAAGCTTTCGCGGACGGGGAAGCCGTGGCAGAGGCGACTGGTCTATGGAACGAGGACGAGGACGAGTCCCGTATGGCGACCGCGACGACCGCTACCAGCGCAGTCGCTCTCAGGAAGGCCGCTGGGCGCGTGAGCGCGACGAGCGTGAGCGTCCTGACAGATACCCAGAAGCTCGTGACCCACGCGATGAAAGGGATCGAGGAGAAAATCGTGAGCTCTTCCGTGCCAAAGTGGAAGCGCGAGCGGCTCAGGAATCCGCTGCGCAAGTCAAAGATGTTTCACCCCCTCCTGTAGCGCCGTCGGCCCCGGCATTTGGATCTGTGCCAACCCGGGCTCCGAGTACTGGCGATGCGCAGCCTGCCCCGGCGGTGGCCCCAGCCAAGCCGCCACCAACTGCTCCACGGGCTTTTGGAGAGCGTCCCGTTTCTGCAGGACAAGCTTCTGGAACTCCCGAGACTCCTCAGCCACCTACTGGACCCTCCAAAGTTTTACCACACGACAGTCCTCCTATCCCTCTTGGGCCCAGACTACAACAAGCCAAGCCCCCTCGCCCATCGAGCAAGCAATGGATCAACCCGAGCTTAAAGAAACAACCACCAGAGTCGCCCAAGGTAATGAGGTCGCAAAGCTTTGTCCATCAACGGCCGATCCCGGTTCAACCTCCCCTGCAACGGGGCATCTCCCAAGCTGAGCCATCTGACCCAAGACGACCGCGTAGTAGCGATGAAAAGTCAGAGCCTTACTTGGGGGTAGAGAATAGGATGCGAGCTCATCATAGTGAGGAGCCGGGAGAGATAACTACACGAACCGAAATCCAAAAGCCACTGGAGAAAGAAGTGGCTGATTACGAGCCGCCAGAGACAATGGATCACGATGCAAAGCTTCCAGAATCCCCGCAGAACTCTGTTGGGCAACCTTCTACTTCTCCGAAGCTAGACTCACTTCCTAAGCCGCAAGAAAACGGAACGACTGAGGAGACGAAAGGCCCTACTGAAGCAGCACCTACGAAACCAAACCACAGACCGCTCAGGGTGCGTGCCGTTCGATTTGCTTTACCTCCGAAGAAAACTCAACCGGAAGAACTCTCCGAATCCGACGACGAAGATATGGGCGATTATTTCGACATGGAAATCAACAAGACTGAAGCCGAATTGAGCAGGCTGCAAAAATCAAAGGTGCCACTGGAAATAATTAAGCGTTACATGGCTATATCGCATGGGTCAATGGTGCAAATACTGAATGAGGGAGAAGGGCTTTCAGAGATGTTGGGCGACATTCCAACGAGCCCCGAGCCTGTGATTGAAACAATGGAGGTGGAGCCTGCTCCTATACAAAACGAAGAGCCCCCTGTTACTCGCGATGAGCCTCATGCGCCAAAGGAGACCGGGGAAGCCGATCATGTCAAGGCGCCTGCCAGTGATCAACTTGTGCCAACCCCGGCCGAAGAGGAGAAGGAAAAGGCTGAAGAGACTGTCTCGCAAGAGCAAGAAGACCGTCAACCCAAAGCGGAAGAAATGGACATCGATGACGAACCTAAGCTTCTACCCCCTGAGCCTGATAATGAACCAGAACCGATGATCGAAACCACGATAGACGGCCCTACCGAAGACGATAAAGAAGCTGAAATTGCTCCGGTCGTCGAAGACATCTTGGCACCTATTGATGACACTACTGCCTCCCCGAAACCCGCCGAAATCGAAACCAAGCCTCCAAGCACTCCATCCCAAGTAGCAGATGAAGATGATGAGACCGAAACCGAAGACGAGGCGTACATGGAGGCACAGGCTGCCGCTGCCGCTGCCACGGTCCGTCGTTATATGTCGACACCGCCTATAGACAGTCTTCCGCATGAATACAGCGATCATCCACTCTGGTACCAAGATAGAGAGTTCTTGGCAACGTTAGACTCGGATCCAGTTGTTGATAATTTCGTTGCCATGTATCTTGAGAAGGTGCATCTGGATAGATCGACCGAACAACGGCGCGCACAGGACGAGTATGCTGATAATTACATGCAATACCTGGAGTACACCATGTCGGACGACCCCGTGGCTACAAAGAGTAGAGACAAGTTTTCAGTCTCGGCTCCCTCAGATACTACAGGCACCCCGACGCCCGAACAGAAACCGGAAGGCAGGGGAACAGGTAGAAGATTTGCCACGGAGCGTGATCTCGAACGCGTGCTTCAAGCCTCTATGCGGGAAGATGAAGAAAGGAAAGAACGTGAATTGCGAATCCAGCAGGAGAAGTATCGCAGTGATAAGGAAGCTGTTATTCCGGACATGTACTGGGACGATTTGGAAAAGCAGCGAGTTCAGTACATTGATCGCTCGGGATATACTCCTACAGAAAAGCTTGTTTCTGCATGGCATGTTTTTCAACCCGTCAATAACTTCACGGAAGAGGAAGCTCAGCTCTTCGAGAAGCGCTACCTGGAATGTCCCAAGCAATGGGGTAAGATCGCTGAGGCTCTTCCAAATCGTGACTTCCGCGCCTGTATTCAGTATTACTATCTGATGAAGGGAGAGCTCAACCTCAAAGAGAAGTTAAAGAAGCAGCCAAAGAGGCGGAAGAAGGGTGGTCGGGGCAAACAGAGATCCAGCGCCTTGGTCTCGGAGCTCGGTAACGGCGAGCCCGAAGGAGAGGAGACGCCTCAGGAGAACGGCGAGAATGGTGAAAGGCGAAGGCCACGACGAGCTGCTGCTCCTACATGGAACTTTGAACAGCCTCAGACGGACGGCGAAAGCACCCCTGCTGCCACCCCTGGGCGCCGCGGAGCATCTGCTGCTTCTAGGGGTGATCAACCCGAAAAGGTTGATGGAAGGAAGGGAAGACGAAAGGCCAAGGACAAGGACAAAGACAAGGAAAAGGAAAAGGACAAAGAGGTCAAGGCGTCTAAGCCAAACCAAACCCTCGCAGCCGCTCCCGGACCTGCAGCAGGGAAAGGAAGAGGCCGAGCCGATTCTCGCCCGGTGGCTGCGGAATACCTGCCGGGCCCTCCTCCGTCCGACCCTCATCGTTTGCCGGTGCAGTACGAACAGCCCTTGCAAGCGGGTATCCAGCCGCCGTTTGCCGTGCCACAGCCACAGCTTATTGAGAGGCCAAAGCCTGTAGCCGTCCCTGGATCCATCACAGAAGTTATGGCAGCGCCTTCACTTCGACCAGAGCCACCCCCACCTCCGTCATCCTCTATAACTACCTTTAACTTGACACAGACCATTCCTGAACGGAAGCAATTATCTCAGGCATCGAGCTATTGGAGCGTGTCTGAAGCTAATGACTTCCCACACCTGCTAAGAGCATTCGGTACTGATTGGTCAGCAATTGCGAAATACATGGGATCAAAAACAACTGTCATGGTATATATGCATGCTCCTGTTTACCTTGAGAATATTTACTAATATGGAGTCAAATCAATAGGTGAAGAACTATTACGTTCGACAGAAGGATTCAGGGAAACCAGAGTGGGAGGCAATTGCTCAAGAGGCTGATGCGAAGCGGGCGAGAGGAGAGAAAAGACCTGATCCTCCCGTACCCACTACGGGTGGCCGTGGTAGGAGATTTGAGGGCACGGCATCTGGCACCTCGAGACCTATTGCGGTGGCTCCAGGAGCTGCCGACGCTCATGTCGATCTTCCACAGCCCAAGGTTGAGCCCGCGCCTCCTCAACCATTGAGGCAAACGCAGCATATACCTAGCTACGGTGTGCCGATTGCCCAGGCTCCGGTCCAAGCTCCTCTAGCACAGCCTACCCAGGCACCTCTTGCTGTACCGGCTCATTCAGTACCCCAGGCAACGCAGCAAGCCATATCCCCCAATACGCGCTCCTTGCACCAACCGTTACCACCTTTTGGCTTTCCAGAACGCGAGCAGCGCGAGCCTTCTCAACCCCAGCGAGTGCCGCTGCCACAGAAGCCTTCTGCTAGCCAGGTTCCAGAACTCCGAGACCCGCGGCCCTTGTCGGTGGCACAACCTCTGCAGCCAGCACACGCCGAGGTCCTTGCTGAGCGTGAACGCACTGCTCAGCTAGAACGGATAAACATGGAGAAGCGATACAGGGAGCAGCAGCAAAGAGAACAACAGCACCGGGAGCAGCAACACAGGGAGCAGCAACATAGGGAGCAACAACACAGAGAGCAACAGCAGCAGCAACAACAGCAGCAGCAGCAGCAGCAGCAGCTCATGCGAGAAAGAGAAATGGAAATAGAGCGTGAGCGTGAGCGTGAGCGCGAGAGGGAGAGGGAGAGGGAACTCCGACAAGCAGAGCAGCAATCGATGAGAATGAAGCAGGAATCTGAAGCTCCACTCAACCGTTACGAACCGTATGGCGGCCATCGGCAGCAGCTCAGCCACGGCGGAGGCCCTCGTGAACCATTCTCACTCACGAGACCGACGTCCCAAGAACCCTCTCGCTCTGTCGCTCCTCAACCATATCCCACGACGGTTCCGCAGCAGCAGCCAATGCGGTCATTGCTTTCTGACCCCGTAGCGGTACAGTCGCCTCCGCTGGCGCCTCCGTCCTCTAGACCGGCCCAGGTTCCTCCTCCACAAAGGATCTCATCAGGCCCTCCACATGAGCCCTACGGTGCAGTTGCCCCTCCTCCTCAGCACACTTCTTCAATGCCGGCCCTTACACCTGCTCGGCCGCCTGAGCCCCGAAAGTCAAACATCATGTCGCTTTTGAACGATGATCCTCCACCCCCTAAGCGTGTCGCTGAGGTTACGCAAAGTCACACGCCTGGGCCGTCTTCAACACCACCTTCCCAGGGCATCGGTCGGCCTCCACCACCCCCGGCGGCGACTACACAGGCTCCTCCGATTCGCCGGGAAACAGAGTCTCACTATTCTCCTTATGGACGAGCGCCATCTAGTGGAGCATCAGCCATGCCTTCTCTAAAGCCTCCTTATTCCGCCTCACCTGCTTCCTCACAACATATTAGTGGACACCGGAGCATGCCATCTGATTCCGCGGTGGAGGTTGATTATTATGGACGCCATGCATACCCACAGAGCCATCCAGCAAGTGGAACAAACTCTCCCCAGACATCACAGCGCTACCCTCCACCTCCGCAGTCAAGCCAGCCCCAGTATCAGTCACAGACAGGCTATCCCACATCCTATGGAGGAGGTCCTCAGTCAGCACATATTACCTCGCCGCCAACACAGCAATACGCAACTCACTCCTCGTCAAGGAGCCGTGAGATTCCGCCAAGTAGCCGCGATAACGTATGGCCATCGTCTGGACACCAAGCTCAGCCGTCTGATATTCGATCACAAGGCAACAGCTGGCCATCTCAGCCTCCCAAAGCAACACAGGCCCCTCCTCCGCACTCCCAACCGGCTTGGGGATCCCAGCATCCTTCGACAAAACCAGGGACTCCAGCACCGGCATGGCCAGCAGCAGCGCCGCCTCCCCAGCAACATTTGCCTCTGAGAGATGATCGGCCGCCTTCAATATATGGACAGGGCGCCTCGAGTTTGTCGCAGCAGCACTCATTACAGTCTCGCTACCCGCAGACAACACGAGCACCGGAACCTATGTCTTCTGGTGCTCCGCCGTACCCGCGTTATTCGTCAACTCCGGGCCCGGCGCCGCCGCGAGATCCTCGAGACCCTCGAGACCCACGAGACCCACGAGATGTTCCATCAAGCCGAAGCTATACCCCAAGTGTTTATGACAGTCGCGGGCCGCCGCCTGCTCAGCCGCAAGTACATGGCTACCCAGCACCGGACCCAAGAGAGATGCAACTACGGGATTCGAGAGACCCGAGAGATCAAAGAGATCCACGAGATCGGGACCCAAGAGACCTACGAGACCCCAGAGATCCCAGAGACCCCAGAGACCCTAGAGACCCGCGTGACATAATGAACCGGGGTAGCCTTCGACCTCACGAGTATGACCGACACCCAGATAGGTTCGGACGCTAAGAGCACCAGTTGAGGATTTTTGGGTGAGCGAGGGTAAACAAGCTCCTCGTTCCAATCCATGTGTTTTCCTTGCTATTGCTCATTGTTTTTCCAAGTTTTGTACACGCGTCTTTACTGTCATCAATCTTGACGAATTTGGTGTAAATCTATAGAGGGCACTTTGGGGTACTGGGGGGATTATATATGCAGACTCGGATGGGTTTATGCAACCCGACGTTGACGGAGACAAACTGTGAACTGGAGGAGGCAGGTCTGATGTGTTGGTTCTTTGTTTACAAAAGTGTTGTTTATGAACTTGCGAGTTATAGGCTGTTCTGAGTTTGGACAGGACTGCAAATACATGATTGCGGGTGCTAGTTGTCGGGAGATTAGCTCTTGGGCGATATTGTATGATATTTATCTCGAATAATGAAGTATATTTTCAGTATATGAATATTGATTGAGCTCTGTTTGTGTGAGACTCTGCATAAAAGCTAGAAGAGTCTAGTGAACAGCTTCCATTTGTATTTGGTGTATATCCAGATGGCATCGAATCCGATGATTGAATCATTGGCGGGGCAAGTTGTGGTAAGAGACAACTAACCCCACTATTTAGCTGCCAAGGTAGAGAAGCTACAGAATAACGTCCAACCAGTCGCGCGTCGCGCAACCGCAAAGCTTCCTTCCACACTCCAACAAATCAACCATAACCAAACCACCCACCTATCCCGAAGAAAAGAAAGGGGGAAAAGCATACGATAACAAACAGCAGCAGCAGTAGCAGGTCTCCTGCAATGGACACCCGCAACAGCGGCACCGGCACCGCAAGCAGCAGAGCGTATTTCGAGCAACAACGAGAAGCCCTCATTGGCGACATTGCTGGCGTATGCTCTTGTTTTATTATCCCAAGAGTTGGATACGCTTTTTTTTTTTTACTGACGTTACGGAAATAGAGCTTTGAACAGGTCCTCGCGAATATCAATAAATTGAATCGATCGCTCGAGGCCATCATTGCTGTTCGTCACAATTCCAGATAGACAGGATTAACGATGACGAAAGGCTAACATATGGGGGACATTCTAGGTCGGCAATGAATTCTCCTCCGTAGAAGCCCTCTGGTCACAATTCGAAAACGTCATGGCCAAGGACGAAGAATCCAATAAACCAACCGACCAACAACAAGTCGCCGTAAAGCAGGAGGACGAAGACGAGACAATGCAAGAGTGAAGATAATAATACCCCAAAGAGAGAGAGAGAGACAGAGAAACAGAGGATAAGACAACAAACGAGAGATTATATTGCTACAGCACGCGTAGGCGAAAGATACCCCTCCTCCATCGAGTAACCAGCCAATCTACGCTTTGTATAATCTACACTATCACTATCACTACAACTCGATCGCTGGATCGGAAATGAAATGGGGAGGAAGTAGAAGTAAGAGACTGCCGGTAGGGGTGTGAATATGATGATTTTTTAATCTCCCAATCCCAAACCTGATTGAACTCAACAGTATCATGCTACATAAGAGAAGACGCAAAGTGGATAGAAAAGAAAACGAGACAAAAGAGAATAATAAAAAAAGGAGTACTAAAAGACCACACAAAGTTCGCAAAAAAAACGTCACCACCGCCGTTTCCTAGTTGCGTTCAAAAGTTCGTGGCTCCCACATCCGCCATTCCCTTCCATGCGTCAAAGGCTAGCAGGACCTGAAGCGCAAATCCAAAAAAAGAGGCCGGCTCGAATATGTTAAAATCAACCACGCGGACTCCCGCTTATATACCAGGCTGTACCTTTCTTTCGAAGAGAGAGATGCACCAGCAGCTCGTCTCCACCACCACCTTGCTTTCATCGTCTTGAATCGTGGACCATAGCCGTTGGACGTCGTTCGTAAAGGGCGCAAATCGTCGTAAAAGATCGTCTGATGGTCGTTACAATTTCGGTATCAGCTTTCCGCATCCGCCTCGGCACCCTCCAACCCGCTCTCCTTGCCCATACAAATCCACCCTCGATGGCTTGCTGCCTTCTGCCGTTGGCACAGAAACGATGAGCACTCGGAGATTTCGCGGCGAGTCGCTTAGAGAAATTGACACTTTCTCTTCTTCCTCTTAGGACCTCCCACCACGGGAGCTGGTGTCTTCCCATCGATTGCGGCCGCAGCTAATGCGGAAGGCGCCTCCAAGTTCCTCCGATCGTTGGCCACGACGGTGACGATGGCCTGCTCGAAAATTTCGTCGACACCTCGCATTTCCTTACTGCTGCACTCCATATACTGGGCTCCCATCTTCTTGGCAACAGCCATTCCCTGCTCTGCGGTGACAGGCGTGAGTCCCTGGGTCTTGAGCATGTCGATACAGGATTTCTTGTGCCGGAGATCTGATTTCAGGCCGACCAGAATCAGGGGGGTGTAAGGGCAGAAATGCAAAACTTCGGGGTACCACTGTGGCCGGAGTTAGCAGATTTCAAGTCGCCAGCGAGTGACGTATGTCGGTTCAGATTCAGGGGGGAAAGGGGGGAAGTACCTTATCCATGACATTGTCCAAAGAGTTGGGGCAGTCGATGGCGAAGCAAACGAAGATGAGGTCGGTTTCCGGGTACGACAGGGGACGGAGGCGATCGTACTCTTCTTGGCCGGCGGTATCCCATAGGGCGAGCTCGACGGTCTTGCCGGTGGGCGGGTGCGTCGGGTAGGTGATGTAGTTTTCGAATACTGTAGGAACATATTTCTGCCAGCGACGGAGGGGATCGTCAGCAATCGTCTCTTGAAATGAATTGGAAGAAAAAGAGAAGCTAGGACAAAGGCGACAAGGCTGCGCGGCTGAAGGCTAGGGTTGTTGCTTACCTCTGGAAAATAGCCCTGGCTGTAGCTAATGAGCAGACATGTTTTGCCGCATCCACCGTCTCCTACAACGACAATCTTCTTCGAATATGTCGGGGCCTCCGTTACGTGAGTCGCTGCTGATTCGCGGCCTGACGATGAGCTCATGGTTGTACTGACAGTTCCCTCGCTGGAGCGGGTGCGCTGGCCGCGCCTCTCGTTGCTGCCCGTCGCATACTGCGAGTTGCGGTTTTGATACGCCGCCATGGTGGGAGCGGGTGCTGGGAGAGAGCTTGTCTCAGGTAGCCAACGGTCTCTCCTCTCCGACTGGAATGCTGAAGGCGTTCAACAAAGAATAGGAGTGGGCACCGCGGCAGAAGCAAAGATTCCGGCCGGCATGCAGGTAAAGAAAGGAACAATGCGGTGTAAGGGCAAAGATGAAAAAAAAAAAAAAGAGATGAAAACACAGCTGCGGCGGTGTGGGATTCGATGCGGCGACGAGTCGATTGTAGCGCAGCCCCCGTAGCTGAAGGTTTGCAAAAACCAAACGGACGGGATGCAGAGGCTGGGGGGGATGACGATGTTGTACTTGGCTCTGCTGTTGCTGTTCGCTCCGGGCAACGAGACAGTTGGTGGGACAGGACCGTTGCTGCAGCTGGTGCAGACGGGGGACGTGGAAACCGGAGCCCAAAGGGCTGAGTAAACAGTTGGCCGGGCAACGGATGGCGGTGCACTGACGTGACAGCATTGGCGAGTGGCTGGGGCGGGTTGTTCCGGCTCCGAGAATGGTCCGTGCATTAGCCGCTCGCGAAAATTCTCCAAGCTAGACGCAAGCACAGGCGAGTCGTAAATTGCACGTATAAAGCTCTCTTTTCTTTTACCACCGGCGAATTATTCCCCTTTCTTTTACTCCCTTTTTTTCTCTCGCCGTCGCTTTTGCTTTTGTGCAAAAAAAAAGGAAATCACCATGGATCTCGCTCCGCCCAGCAAATACGTCACGCTCGTCTCCGGCGACGGCTTCGAGTTTGTCGTGCTGCGCGAGGCGGCCATGGTGAGCCCTATCATCAAGGGCATGCTGGACCCGAGGAGTGCGTGAAGAACAGCCCGGGAGCCACCAATATCTACCAAGTCTCTTTGCCTGCTCACATCTTTGTGCAGGTCAATTCGTCGAGGCCAAGGACGCTAGATGCGTATTCCAAGAGATGAGGTGAGATTGACTGCGTATAGCAGCCGAAATGTCTGCGTGGGATGACGACAATTCACGAGCATTACTTGACAGAACGCTGCTATCTCAACCAAGACTCTTGTCTCGGGGGAGTGTGCTCGCTGGTCTGACTGATGCTGCAACTACACTTGAACCGACCAAGAACCACCTTGGAATGGCCTGCTGTCATGACGTCCATCGTGTCTGGGACTGGCTGACTGACTCCCGACAGCGGAATGGTGCTCGACAAAGTGGTCGAGTACTTCCACTACTGGTATCGTTACAGAAACAGCGAGGACGTGCCCGACATGGATATTCCTGTAGAGCTCTGCCTTGAGCTGCTGGCCGCAGCCGATTACCTGGGCTTGGATCAGTAAGCCATGTGGGAGTCGAGCTAAGGGCGCTTCTAACATTGTTCGACAGGGCCAATATGAGTACGAAATGATGGTCCACTGACTGCCGTGGACATTCTATGAAGAAGACTATGATACGAAGACATGATACCACATCGATAACAGAACTAGAAGAGGAAACAGTGCGCCTCGTCCTTAATACTAAGAATAACGAACCAGAGCAGCGTTTCTCGTCCACCGTGATGCCTACTTACTCTATGATGATCCTTGGTGACATCCATCTCAGCATATGCGTTCCTCTCTCACTCCTCCGTGGGTTGAACGTCTATTAGATTTGGAAGATTGATTGCATCCCTCTCACTCTGCTTGACTCAAAGTTTCTACACTGAGATCTCGCTTTTTTTGTAGGGGCACATGCCTAGCCAAATGCATCACTCTTTTGTAGTCGTTTGTACAGCTTTTTGCATTACTTCGTACTGATGAGTATACCCTGTGAATACTCTGTTTCATTTAAATTGCCGAGTAAAACTCTATTCGACATGAACAAGGAAGGATGACTCCTTCATTCCTTGTATATGCATGCATGCATATAGATGCAGGACCTCTGACTCTTACAAGCCACAGTGGCTGCATAAGGTACTAGATCAGTTCTGTGACTCAACTCTAATCCTGGCTGGTGCAGAATAATCCCAGTTCCAATGTGCCGTCCATTCAAAATTGTAGGCGCTGGCCCTTCTTATTGTGGCGAACGGATTGATAGCGGTGATTCTGGCCTGGAGGCTACATGTACTTGAGGCTGTCTGGCAAACATATCAGACGCACTTTTCGCCCAGTCCCATTGGCGTGGACGCGCGCTAAGCCCAACTCATTCACCTTTCTTTTCCGACAACACTTTGGGCATTCAACCTCGAAAATGGCAGCTTTCGAGTCCCAAGGTGTTCGCATTGCTGTTGAGGGCTGTGTGAGTCTCTTTATACTGTGTCTCTATTACCTTTTGGTGGCAGCTCCAATTGACCAGCTTTTCTTTTCAGGGCCATGCCAAGCTCAACGCGATCTATGCTTCCGTCGAGCAGTCTGCCCAGGAACGCGGCTGGGATGGCGTTGACGTGCTTATCATCGGAGGAGATTTCCAGGTACTTTGAATCTTTATAGGCATATTCACGATTTTGTGCAAGTTGCTGATACGCGTAGGCTGTGCGCAATGCAGCCGACTTGACTGTCATGTCCTGCCCCGTCAAGTATCGCAAACTCGGCGACTTTCAAGACTACTACGCTGGCAGAAAGAAGGCTCCCTACCTGACCATTTTCATTGGCGGGAATCATGAAGCTGCCTCGCATGCTTGGGAACTCTACTATGGCGGCTGGGTGGCTCCCAATATTTACTATCTTGGGGCTGCCAACGTTATCCGACTCGGGCCAATTCGCATTGCTGGCATGTCTGGAATCTGGAGAGGCGTCAACTACCGCAAGCCACATCATGAACGGCTTCCTTTTAATGGCGGCGATGTCAAATCATTCTATTCCGTTAGAGAGATTGATGTCCGGAAGTTGCTGCTACTACAGACGCAGGTTGACGTCGGCCTGAGCCACGACTGGCCACGGCAAGTCGAGACTCATGGAGATCTTGACGCACTGTTCAGAATCAAGCCATTTCTTCGGCGCGAATCTATGGATGGGTCTCTGGGCAGTGTGGCTGCTGAATATGTCATGGACCGTCTACGACCACCATATTGGTTCTCTGCACATCTACACGTGAAGTTCGCTGCTCTCAAGAAGTACGATGCACCAGGTACGAAAGAGGTTGTTCAAGCGGATAAACCCCTTGAAGCGGCACCTCCCGTCCAAGATAATCCTGACGAGATTGACTTGGACATGGACGACGAAGATGGAGACAAGCCTGATGATACCACCAAAGATGTGACTACAGAAGTTCCAGAGGCTGCAGCTGGAGAGGAAGCTAAGGCAACTACCAGTGATGTTCCCGAAGATTTGAGAGCTCAGTTGCCAGCATCATTTGCCAGTCCCACAGCAAGGCCGAGGCGCACACCTGGCCAACCAGTCCCCCCCGGCATCGAAAATCGAGAAGTCCGCTTTCTATCATTGGACAAGTGCCTGCCCGGACGACATTTCCTTCAGCTATGCGAGGTTCAACCATTCAAAAAGGAGCAGCTATCGCTATATCCACCGCAAACCTCGGGCCCTCGATATCGACTTCAATACGATGCTGAGTGGCTAGCCATTACACGTGCCTTTCACAAGTTCAATATCTTTGGCGATTTCAAAGCCCAGGTGCCTGAAGATTTAGGCGAGGAGAACTATCTCCCCCTGATTGAGGCAGAGAGGGCATGGGTTGAAGAGAACATTGTACAAAAGGGGAAGATGGATGTGCCGGAGAACTTTGAGCTAACTGCGCCTCCATATGTTCTCGGCACACCTGAGATTGTTGATGAGCAGCCTGAGGAGTACACCAACCCGCAGACTACAGCATTCTGTGAACTTCTGGGTATCGATAACCTGTGGGATGCTAGTGCCCAGGAGAGGAAGCAGAGGAGAGCTAAGGGGCCTCAAGAATATCACGTGGGCCAGGGTAGTGGAGGCGGAAGAGGGAGAGGGGGGCATGATTTCGGACGGGGAAGGGGAAGGGGCAGAGGAGGCGGACGAGGAGGCGGACGAGGAGGCGGAAGAGGAGGCGGCAGAGGAGGCGGCAGAGGAGGATTCCAGAGGGGCTAGATGGAGAAGTCGTGATGGAGAAATTGTGAGCTGAAAAGTGCCAATATTGCTGCCTCGAGCTGGATGGGGCCAATTAGCCCGGTATACAGAGTACCGAATATACGAGCATGGGGCAAATTAGCATGTGCTGTTACTGTACTCCGTGCTGCAGCGCTGAGATGATACACGGGTTGCCCCTATAAGCCAATGTTTACCAGAAATGACTGTGGGTGCCGTGGGGATAGGAGTCTTGGTGTTTGTTTACCCACTCCTGCATGTATGTGCTAATGCACGTCTTACGCACGAACTTTTCAGCAATCGACATGCCGTAAACGGTGGATAACAATCAATGCGCATCTGCACAATGAACGAATAGAATCGACGGGCTTTGATGTTGTCGTTGCGGCCCACATGCGTCAAATAGATTAAACTGACGAGTTGTGAATGGAGCTTTATGTATGAGTATACAGATTCGTATTATAGTATTGTACTGTACGAGTATGTAAACATCCACCTACCTAGGCAGCTATTGTTGTTGTTATTGTCACCGCCAGTTTCTATGGAGAATGGATGAAAGGATGGATGCAATGTTAGTCATTCGGCATGTCGGCGGGATGATTTTCCGAGATGGATTCCAGTCGCGCAAACGCGAAAAAGAGTTGGCTAATAGTAAAGGGCAAGACGGGCATCGTTCGCTCGCTCGTGCCTTTTGGCGGCCATGGTTCCGTTGCTTATAGAGCGGAACGATGACTGTTATCCGGGTAATCGGATATACCTCGAATCTGCGCCACATCGGAGGGATATCGCGATGGAGGCTTAACAGCGCCCGAACTAAAGGGGGATTCCCAACGTCGTTGGCTTGTTTGTCTTTCGCATTCAATGCTGGTGACGCACTCTTTTTTTCTGCCAATATGACCTATATTGTGCTCAATTAGATTTCTTTTGTGTCTTGGAACTTGAATTATTCCTTCTTTCGTCATGGGGCATCTGCAGAATCTCATGTCATGGGCCAAAACCCAAGGCGTAGTCACCAACGGGATCGAGCCCAGGAAGATCCCCGGCCGAGGCACAGGGATTCTGGCTACGCGCAAAATCAAGGTAACTGGGGGTGCGCTTGCTCTTACTTGAAGGGGCGGGATCTAACAATTTCTTGCCAATAGGCTGAAGAAGAGATCCTGAGAGTGCCTGCCCGGGTTCTGCGCTGCTTGGCATCGGTGCCGTCGAGGGTGCGAGAGAGATTGCCTGCGGACACGACGATCCTAGCGTTGCTGGCAGCGGATCTAGCGCTTGATAAAAGTGCTAATTCTGGGCCTTGGAAAGCTGTGTTGCCCAAGATGAGTGATTTCGATGCCGGTATGCCCATGTTATGGCCGAGGGAGTTGAGTGATCTTTTGCCGCTGGAGTCTAGAGAACACCTCCGGAAGCGAGAAAAGGAGTTTCAGGGCAACTGGAACGCTTTCAAGGATGCCTTTCCGGACGTTCCGTATGAAGAGTATACGTATGCCTGGATGATTGTCAATACGCGGTCGTTTTACAACGAGACGCCGGAGACGTTAAAGTACCCCTGGGAAGATAGGCTGGCGCTAATTCCCGTGGCCGACTTGTTTAACCATTCAGATGACGGCTGTAAGGTATATTATTCGGCAGACGGATATCACATTGTTGCGGATCGAGAGTACAAGAAGGGTGAGGAGCTGTTCATCTCATACAGTAGTCATTCAAATGACTACATCCTGCTGGAATATGGCTTCATCCCTGATGAGAGCCTAGATGATGACGTCTATATTGACGATGCGGTATTTCCTAAGCTGAGCGAGGGCCAGAAGGAAGAACTCGAGAAACGAGATTTGCTGGGAGAGTATCCTCTGGAATCATCTGCTGAGGAATTTCGCCGCACACAGGGGGTCTTGCGTCTACTTTCTTGTACTACCAAGGAGTTTTATGACTTTCTTGATGGTAAGGAAAAGGGGCAACTTGTTCAAGAGCGGGTTGACAGGTTTCTTGTGGGTTTGCTTGAGGAATTTTTGAATGGCATTATTGCGAAGCGGCTGCGAGAGATTGAAGAGCTGAAAGTTGGTCGGGCAGATCAGAGGGCGCTTCTGGCTAAACGATGGATGCAAATTGAGGGGCTGATAAGAAATAAGGTTGGAAGTTATCAAAATGGCTCGAATTAGAGCGGTTGCTGTTGGGATAATGAGATAGAAGGGGGAATGGAAAGATATAGACATACACGACATGGGACGATATAATTATAGAATGGCGCATTTGATGGGGATGGAGTTGCTTCTTAAAAGCTGGATATAATACACGATCCATTTTTGCCTTGGTTCCTTTTAAGTATTACTTCTAATTGATCTATATACAAATGCCTCGTATATCTCACTACTCCTATACGTAAATGAACTTGGCCGTGGCTAATTGCTTCTGCCGAATAACTAATATTGTGAAGTCTCTCTCTCACTCAAATTTGAAGTTAACGTTGTTTTGCCACCCAAAAGAAAGCTTCTATTTCGGCCGCAGCAGGTAACACCAGTGAAATATATCCGGATCCGTCGCATTATTTTTCGGCGTCGGAACCTTGGCCAAAACTTCAACATCAAAAGGCAGCTCGCCAATGTCAAATCGTGACGCAGAGTAACTCATTGAAACCCAAACGGCGTGATCTGCGAGACATTCCCTTACGCAGTGAGCCATGCGACGAACCTGTTCGTCTCCGCCACATGAAACGGCATCTGCGGTGCTCTTGTCGACGACAAGGTCGAATTTGTTGTCGTTGTGTGGACTTTGAGCATTGCTTCCGTTTGGGAGTGGTAGTGATTTTGTGGCGTCTGCTACTGCGTACTTCATCTTCACATCACCAAAGACTTGCTGCTCTAGCTGTCGTCCACGTTCCACTGCTAAGGGCTCATAATCAACATTTGTGACGTCTAGAAAGTCGAGTTGCCGAAGGTGATTTTGCAAGTCGCTAGTCCCGGAACCAAGATGGAGGATACGAGTCGATGAGGGTTCAAGAATTGCAAGAAGAGGCTTGAGGATGGCGATGAATTCGGTGGAACTGAGTAGCCATTCGAAAGAGGTTTCGGTGGAGAAACGGTGATGCCAGTATGCTCGTTTGTCAAAGTCTGTGGGCATGATCTGTATTATCCAAGGCGATTTGTGAACAAGCAAGAATACAAGATATGTCGAAATTCTTAAGTGGAGGGTTAATTAGGGGAGGTTTAGTGCCGAGATCATGACGTGAGGCGATGCTAAATAGAGACGGAGACGGGGCCGGGTGGGGCCGTTGAGGACTTACAAACCCGAGAATTTAACAAGAAAATGAGAGAAGATTCGATTTGAGGTTATGCTAGAGTTTGTTTTATGAAAGCCTTCATAGCGCTGAAGAAAAAGTGCAGTAGAAGGAGGCAACCGTTTCGAGTCAGTGAAAGCTTGCAATGGATTTTGGAAGATGTTGTTGTTTACATCGGTATGGGTGAATACAGGTAGAGAAGAATACCTGCATCATATACAATATGGGCTGAGATAAGGGTTGATATTTCGTTATGTGCAACCTCTTTTCATTTGTGAGCCTTCCATGGTGACTACATGTAAACATTTTTTATACTCGTAAGCTCAATTCCCTTAGCAAGCATTCATCAATACTTGGAACCAATCCCGGTTACAATCGAAATATATTTTCATCGATAGAGATTGAATGAAAATAAAAGTAAGCGTTAATAATATATAAACGAGTTACCGTCAACTGTACCAACTTCCTCCGGTTCAAATTGCCACAAACCAATTTTGTAGAGAGTTTCCTTGTCCACTCCTATCTGGTCGGTAAGATACGCTATTGTGTCGTGCGCGAATTGCTTCCATTTCTCGAAATTCTCCACTGCAGAAAGATGTTTTATCTTCGGATGTCTGCTCTGCTCGAGGCATTTGATTGCCCGATCCTTTCCGGTGACATCAATCATCATCGCCAGCAGGTCTTTCAACCCCCAATATGCGGCGGCGGCGAGCGCGCTGCCATGCTCTCCCCGATCCAACATTATGGCAGGATCAACACCAGGTCTAAGCATGATTTCCAGCACATCTTTGTACCGTGCCATATGCTCGAACGGAAAATTGATTCTATTAACGGTCATCATCCTCTCCAGTGCGCTGCCATAATCACCAACTTTCAAGGGCAGGCTGGGGTCCGCACCATTGTCAACAAGCAGCTGGATGATTTCTGTGGTTTTTGCAGTCCAATCATTATGAACTAGAATGGCTGCAACTAGGGCGCTCCCAGCGTAGCCACACTCGACAGCAGCATTCGCATCGGCCCCAGCCTTGAGCAGAATCTCGACCGATCGCGGATTTTTGGAGCCTGCTGCTACGATCAAGACGTTGCCTGCGTAACCTCCTTCACTGATGATGTCGACCCATTTTTGGTCCACAAGCCACTGCAGCACATCGGGCCTCCTCATCATTAACGCCGGAATTGGAGGGTCCATATTGTCGGCAACGTAATAAGAGTTGACATCTGCCTTCCCTTCCATCACCAAGAGTGAGATGATATCCTTGTTGCTTGTGCCTATGGCCAAAAACAATGCCTTATTAATATGTTCTTCGGTGAGGTGGTTGGTTTTATCCAGCGCACTCAGTAAAGACCGGCACATCGGCATATGTTGATTGCAAGCCGCAAGGGAAAGCGCATTATTGCCCCATGCAGTTCTTTTGGTCACCATCTCCGCAGTGATCTTATCCTTCTCCCACCAGTCACGCAAGACGTGGTAAAACCCATATAGACAATTGGCGTACACCGGCATGCTACTAGGCATCAGAAATTTTCTGTCAATCCAACTTGGATTTAGTTTATCGACCCATGTTCTGTAGTAGTCACTGCTCTCGTCTGGTAACCCGAGAAAGCGCTTAAGGGTGGCCACGAGTTTTGCATCTGGATCTGCACCCCCCCGTAAGCCCAGCCACTTCTCGTATCGCTCAACATGCTTGAACCATGTATAGGCAACATACTCTTCGAAATCCGCCGACAACACCTCCATGTCGTATCTGGGTTGGGAGATGTTCCATTCAAATCGCATGAGAAAATTGAGGCATGTCTTGGCGACAAGCATATCACATATTCCTAGAGGCATACCTTTGGACTCGAAATATTCAGCAACTGAAGCATGGGGTATCATCCACACTTGTCTCTCTGAGTCAATTGTTAAAAGATCTTGGCAAAGGGACAAGATTTGCTGCTCGGATTGTTTTTCTTTCTTTTCAAGCGTATCCCCTTCAAAAGTATATCGGATTGCTTCTAGAAGAGTTTCGGATTTCAATGGCTCGAAAGAGCATAATACCCATTGTATAGCGCGCTCAGCTAAGGCGATATCATGTTCACCATGCTGCTCTTTTATGCTGTTCCATATTTGATCGTATGCCCCTTTTAGATCAGGGGGTAGTCTCGTAGCCCACAGTTTTATCTCAATATCCAAGATGCATTTCAAAAGCCATTGGACTTGTAAGTGAACCCATCGGAACCTATGACGATATATTATGTTAATTTAACACACACAAGAAAAAAAAAACCCTTAATAGGAATATAGCAGAGAGTAATGAGAGTGAGCATTTCTTACATTCCACCGTTTCGAGATGCAAAGGTTTCCCTAATCAATTTCTGGATTTCTCCGTTCTGATTTGTAAAGAATGGTCTAGAATAGAGTTCTTTGTCCAGGAATTTTTCAATATCACCTTGTTGATTGCTGCTGTCAACTGTGATGGTAGACTCGGTTTTAAATGCTTCCAGGTATTCTCGGTCTGGACGACTCGATATAAAGACTTTGACCGGCTTACTGGCCTTTTCCATCAGACCAATGAGAGTCTCTGCTAGATTATATTTCGTAATATCCGATTCATCCAATGCGTCAAGAATTATAATAGTCCTTGAATAGGAATTCAGCGAGCGTAAGATCAGCTCTTCGTACTCCTCGTAGCCTGGGTCCCAGCCTTCCCTTGCTGATTGGCAAATCTGAACAACCTGTTTCCGAACTTGGTCGTCATTGTATGCTTTGTAAGACAGCTGGCGAGCAAGGCTTCTGAGAACTTTGAAAGGGTCTTGCATCAAGGATCCAGCTCGGTCACAATAGCAGAACGCAAATCCTCTATCCTGAGCCGATGTTTCCGTATTCTCCTTCACATAGTCAATTACTCGAGATGCGAGAAAAGTTTTGCCAGTGCCAACTAATCTGAGTTAGACATCAAATGCTTGAAAAAATTCTCATGGAGAAGCTTACCAGTTCCTTTAAGGCAAAGCAGGGTAGAAGATGAAGGTATCGCCTGCCAATCACGAAAGTCTTCATGATTTATCAACCAATCGCCAGTATTCTTTGTTCTTGAACGTCTAATCTCGGCGTGACTTTTTCCAGTTTGCCCTGAGCTAATAATATTCATAAAAGAGTCCAGTCGATTAATCTCAGCTTCTTCTAGAAGCTTAGTGACGCCTTCGTCAATTCGTGTAACATGCGTCGACATCTCATCAAGCAATTTTAACGCATCCTCTATTCTCTGATCAAGCTTCTTGCCAGCTCTGGCATTTCGTGAAGCTTCGCAACCCTGCACTTCCAGTAGAACCTTTTGTTCTTTCTTTAATAAGTCCGAGATGAGGCCTGAGACCTGCTCGGGCCTAAGAACAGCATTCAATGTTTGATGAACCTTTCCCATCTCGAATAGTTCGTCAGAGCGCGCCAATAGCTCCACTGCCGCAATGTATAAGTCTCGGAGCGCATCGTTCAAGTTGGAAACGATTTGTTCATCTGTCGTTGTTGTATTGTAGAGGAACTCGTACAGCTGACCTCTGCGAACAGTACGTGTAAACCATTGGATTGTTCCAGCAAGGGCTGCCATTTGATCAACTTGCATGAGCGGAATCTATTCTAAATTAGTATCATCGATACTAGTAGATCAAATGAATATAATGAGTTGTGAACCTTACTTTTAACAATACTTTTGCGGCAGCCCAAGGCGCACTGGCCTGTGGCGGTGCGAAGGCTATAGCGACATCACCAGCCAGAGTGAGAAATTTGACGACTTGGGTGAAATACGTGCGAAAAAATATCTTATGTTTTCCAGATTGGATTTTTGCAGTCATATATTTGCCTTCGTTTGGAGCTTTGGTCTCGAGAAGGGTGATCAGCTCTTTGATTTGATCACCCGGTTGTGATAGCTCCATCCATGTAGATTTAAGACCATGATTTTCAATCCATCTTCGGGTCTCATCGTTAGCTCTGTCGAAGACTTCGTTCCACAGATTCAAGGGTAGAACTGGAGTATAAGAAATTTCTTCAGGAGCTGGAGTAGAAGGTAACGTTTCAGAGGATGTTATTTCAACAACCGGAGAAGGAGTCGATGCAGATGATTCAGCGGGGCTAAGAGAGGTAGATGGCCGAGAGGCCAATGGAGGTGATAAAGATTGAAGATTTGACAGATGCTCAGAAGTTTTGGAGGCTAAATTATTTATCGACGCTTTAGAGCGCAAAGAGGGCGACGGTGCTTTGATTTGAAGAGGACGGGCTGGATGGAGATTCGGCACGTCGGGGTGCAAGCTGGTATGTAGGGATGTGAAGGACGGATTCGCAGTTGATGAAGAGCTTTCTCCAGGAGACTTGGATCTCCCTTTGAAGAATTTTTTGAATCTCCCTTTTAAGCTGGTGCCGTCCATATTTCACAATTTTGCTGTAGAAATTGAGGCGATGAGAACTGGCGCGGGGTTCTCCAGCCTCAACAAGAATATGTATGATAATCCAGACATGTATGGATGGATTCGCGTGACAGACGTGGGGAGCATACGTGGGCGGTCTCCAATAGCGGTTGCAGCTACAGCCAGCCTTGTTGCATCCATTTATAGGAGCTGAACCCGAGAGAGCCAATGATTGATCTTACATATTAATAGCCTGGGCGCCAACACGCCCATTCAGGCGAAAACCGCTTCACCGCAGACTCGCCATTTGGGCGGCAAGGCTATTGGGTTTCATCACGGCGGTAAGTGTTTCATATCGCATCTTGGATATAGCCTGGCAGCAAAGACCTATCGAGATTGTGTGTTTTGTATTACAGCCCAGGATATTTCAATGCACTGAAAATAGCAAGAGAATAAACGGCGTGCAAGTACATCAAACGGTTAATGGAGATACAAGCTAACATATCATCTCACAGTAACATCCTGTGCGATTCATCACTCCCAACAAGACAACGATACAACACATATCAGCCAGCCCGTTCACTCAAATCTTTGCACACACAATGTTCAGCCCATATGTTCCCGGAGGCGCAACATAGCACTCATCAGTCAAATCCGCCGTCGTCCCCAAAACGACATCTGTGCAATGCCTCGAAGGCGCATCTCCCGCCTGCTGAACATAATAGATCGTGCACGTCTGCTCAGCATTGGTCTGCAGAGACTTCGGAATGGTCTGTCCAGGCGTCAACTTGACGGCATCTCCAAACTGGAATGCCCATGATTGACATCCGCCATTGGTCACTGTCTCGGTGAGAGTTTGGACGCCGTTGGGTGTGCAGTGTTGGGTGGTGGGGACGCTGCCGGGGGTGAAGAAGATTTCGAAGGTGAGTCCGTCGGTGGCAGCCGCGGGGGCGATCGCCACTGCGAGGAGTGTCTATCATACGTTTATTATTGAAGATATTTCATGGCTGGATTTAATAAACTTACACCAATGATGGATAGCTGCATGATGGAAGGATGTCAAGAGGGATGGCTGCTTCGATTGATGCTGTGGGAAAACATCTAGCTAATGCTGCAACACCAGGTAGTTATAAGCTTCAATTATATGTTCCGAGCCCCAGACTCAAACCTAGATTTAACCACCGGACGGAGATGCAATTCTCCGTCGCATATTCTTTGTCAGGCTTAGGCAATGATTCCAAACCATCTTCCTCTCTAGGCCCGCGGCATCATCACCCGTCGGCTTATAAAGCTCCTGGTGCCACCTACTATCTGCTGTTTATGGATTGTATGCCTACGTATTTCACGTTACTATGAAATGGTTCTGGCATTATTATCTTGTCAAATTCAGTCAAACGTCACGATTGCTTAGCATCTGATCGGACGTTGGATCATATCATTGCCTGTCGAGATTCTGTGACCTGGATACCCTCAATCTCCCTTTGTCTGTCAGCTCAAGCTCTTTCCCATTGGGGATTATCTACTTCAAAGAAGTAAATCGGCAATTAAATTCCTCTTACTAATAGATCAAAAAGCTCACGACCAAACTTGCTTTCAACATCATGCAGACGCAGAGCTCAATTAGCGTTAAAATGGTTACATTTTCATATAGGATTTATGCATGCTCACGTTATCAAGGTCTCATCAACCACTTGTTTCCGCCCTAGTGAGCAGAATGAAACGACATAGGATTGCCGTCAAAGGTGGACCATACCATCTTTCGCCGAAGGCTTTTGCCGACTCCCAATCATATTCGCCATGTGGAATACAATTTTCCACCAAGTATCATTCGAGATGTAGCATAAAGAATTCAAATCTAATCGACCGAGAGAGACGAGGTTATCGATAGGCTTGCAGAAAGTTTTGTCAAGTGTTTTCCTATTTCGATTCTCAACGAATGCAACGGCTGAATCGCCTACAACAATGAGCGACCTAAGCGATGCAGACGGCGGCATTTATACATCCATTCGGTATTTCACACGACTACTAACTTATCAAGCTCAAATTATGTCTCTTCGTGCTTTCGATATCCTAAACGCAGCTTTGTATTGGGTCCTGCGTCAGCACGGCTCACGTAGATAGATACGGAAGTGAGTTTAATGAATTTATGTCTTTAAGCAATTTGTAGTCTTGTTTATACGATCTACAGCTTGCTCCAATGAAACGAATCAGCTTCTCCCCCCAACTCCGGTATAAATCCTTTCGCCCCGGGAAGCACAAGCACATTGAATACCACCAACTCGAAACATTTACAGATACCAAAAAACGCCGGCCGATGCTTCCCTGTGTCCTCGAACGCCAATGTAGCGATTGAAACATATATAACTGCGAAAAGTGCAAGGCACTGTATGCAGAATAGCACAAAATAATAACTGAAAAAGATCAAGTCCAGTGGGTAGCATATACACATAAAGAATGAGTAACAATGGCCAAACCCGCCACGTCTTAGTCTTGTCGACGATCAGGAGACCGAGCTCTGGTTCGAATTCGGAACTTCTCCTTTAGTTTGGCTGTTAGGTGGGCCCTCTGTCCTCTTTCGCGCTCTGCATCATGGACGGCGCCCGCTTCGGGGGCCTCTGTATCGTTGTGGCGAGTCGATCGCATCTGTCGAAGAGCTTCGATTTGCTCTTCTGCTGTAGCTTGTCTCAACCTGTTGACATCGAAAAAGCGAGAAATCCTATGGCGATGGTGGGCATGGCTGCCCTCTCCATCCTCGCCCTCCAGAGCCAAAGGAGGCGGTAGTGTAGAGTTTCTGTCACCAGGGCCCCTGTTGAGGGCGGTAGCCAGGCCGATGTCACCCTCATGAGTCTCAGCCTCAGGGCGAAGGTCAAGCCGGCTATTTCGGATTCGTTAGTCACAAAACATTAAACATCACCGATTCAGAGATCCAACTTACCACAAGGGACATGTTCCAGATACGTTAATAAGCCAAGGGTCGATACAGTTTGGATGGAACGTGTGGTTGCAAGGCAGAACTCTCATGTCCTCGCCTTCCGTGAAATCTTCGGTACAGATAGAGCAACCCACGTTCACGACTGGAGGGGGGGCAGGAGTTTCGACAGCGCCATGAGCCTCGGCAACTGGAGCTGCATCACGGGTCTTGCTATCACCTGTGGCTGCCGCGGCTGTGGCTGGTGTAGCTGTAGCCACCTCATGCTGTACTTCCTGGGTGAGGATTGACGATGACCTCTGAGTTCTAGCATCGCGGCCGTCGGTAGTAGCTGCGTCTAGCTCAAGATCAGGATCCGGCTTAATGGGTTCCTGATTGTTGTTGAACTTGACAATGGGGAGTGTTTCGAGAACCGCACGAGCCAATCCCTTTGCTCGACTCTGCCGAGGTCGGCCCCCAAGAGCACGCCGAGGTCCATACCTTTCCGGGTATCGATGGGCCCTTACAGCGCCGGTGGCGATGATGACGAGAAACAAGAGAGTGATGAGAGCTGTGATGGTGTAAAGAATGCTCATGGCGACGGTCGAGTTGCTGCTTCCACCTCCAGAATTGTTGTTAGGGTCTGTGTTCGAGGCGTTTCCTGTGATGGAAACATTGACCACGCGCCCAGTAGCAGTACCGTTGAGGGAGTTCAAAACCCCCTGTGCTTCGCCACTGTCAGCCATAGAGAGGATGTTGGAAAATGAGGGTGGGTTTGCAAAATCCAGACTGCACCAAGTGCCCCCAAGAGAATAGAGAACGATGGCCTTGGGGTTAGCATCAATGAGATCGTTGAGCATCCTGTTGGTGCTGATGAAGGTATTGGATTGAGGGTCACATGATAGGTATGCGACATCGTTGGAACTTGTGATCTTGTTAAAGTTGGATACGTCGGCGGCAATCATGACGCCGTTGATGTTTACTGTCTTTTTCTACATGTCAGCATCAAGGCCGGAACAAATAAGCATTGCTTGATAATAGCCGTACTTGTACTTGAGTGCCATTACTTGACCCGTTCACACCAGCATTTGGCAGAACAGGAATAACAGTATATTGAATGGGGTCGGACTCCCCGTTGGGGGTTGACAGGTTCATTTGCAGCGCATTGTTGGTGGCCCAGTCTGGAGGCTGGTCGGACTGAGGCGAGGTCGAAACGTTGTTGTCCTGGGCAGACACCGCAGCGACCAAGAGGCCAAGAATGGCTACTAGTATTGACTGCATTTTTGCGTGTATATGTAATGATGATATTGCTTGATTATCTTGGACCCCGGCCAGAAGCGATGGTCCACTTGGGTGCCCTGGGAGAGTGGCCAAATAAATAGGTGCTGCGCCTCGATATGGCTGGTTCGGTACGTCGCTTCTTCAGAGATAGATCGGAATGCCGCACGCGCGAGACGAGGAGTGGGTGTTGAGGCAGGGTCGGTTGCTTGGCTGAATCGCTCTGAGTCTTCAACCCAGCGCTTCAAAGTTGTAAATACTCGCTCCGAGATAGGCGGTCGTCGCCTGGCTCGTTTCTTGTCGCATCTACAGGGGCGACATCTGGCGATGCAACCGGTGCAGGCCGTCGAGTTCGCCGTTGGCAGGCGATGGCGGGTTGAGGCACGAGAGGATGCGAGAGGCAGGTTTTGGCGGCAGTTTCGAGGTGAGACGCCAGACCTGTGTCTTTGGCAGGCCAGGATATCGGCCGCGGTGGATTTGCCCCGATAGCCATGGCCGTATCAGCAGGCGCTACAAGTGGATGGATTGATGGCCCGTCCTGTCCGGAGCGGCGGAAAATAGCTCCAGCGGATTGCGGCTCAGAGGCTCCATCAGCCCTTTCAAGTCACCAGTTGGCGGTCGCTGTCCAGTGGAAAGGCGATCTGGATGGCTGTTTGCAGCAGGGAGGGCGGGGTTTGGCATCTGCCAAGTGCCCGCCTAATAGACTTTTGGCTTTAGCGGTGGAGGAGGTAAGCTGGAAGTTGAGCCGTAGATTGAGCACGATGATAGGTAATACGCGGGAGGAAGGGAATAGATCTGGATTTTATTGCCAGTGTATCCTACATACGTATTACATATTACTACAAAATATGCTGCATCTGATTTTTTCTGAGATTAGCGACGGTATCACAGATGGGCTTTTTAACATGACACGATCCACAGACAACTCACCATCCAGAAAAACAACTTTCAGGGCTCTTCACCCTTGATAGCCCCAACAAACTAGTCGGCAAAGCAAGCCACCACTCTTTATCTCTATGCACTCACGCTTTCGGCACTTCACTTGCCCCTGTCTTCTGATTGGCAGTCCCAGCTCGCTGTCAGCGGATCTTCATCAGAACATCACCAGCCAGACCGGATTACGCACCCTTCCCGGAGTCCGTACGGCACAGACGGGACGGGATAGAGCAACCTCTGGGCCGATATTGCCTGCACTTCCAGGTGTTCCGTGCCCACTACAGCCATTGAGTTTATCACGAGGTGCTACAGTTTGTCTTTGTTTCCAAAGCTCCTAAATATAGGTAACTCAGCGCAACCAACGAGAAGACTATAGGATGTCTCTATTCCAAATCACCTAGTGGCTGCTTGAGCGAGGAAGAGCACGTTATTTCGTTACTATCGCGGGACCATCATTGCTCCTAGCCGCGGAAGTGGTTCAATACAATTCCACATAACCAAACGAGTACGTCATCCAGTCGGTCTCTCAGGCCTTAGTACTCTTTAGTTGAGAATTCAGCGGGCGCAGTCGCGAGAGAAGACCGGCTCCGATGGCGTTGACCTACGGATTACGGGATGCAAATCCGCCATATACCGTGCTGCGCTAATTAATGCAGCGAAGTGGCTACTATATATATTTGCGGCAAAGCGCTTCGTATCGTCTCATTATCTGAGAGTGTTTGGTGAAAGGAGGTACTACTGTAGCAGCATAGCCTCTGGAGATTCGGCACGGACAGCCTGAGCACTGCAAGGAGGCAGACAAAGCTCTCCAGTGATGCCGCGGGAGGAGAATGCAACTGTCTACAGGTGGGTACTTCATCAGTGCAGCTGCACGAATGCAGTGCTCCCGATTGCGCCCATAAGGAAAAAGGTGATGTCGTAAACGCCAAAACCTAAAATTGTCCAACAGGCAGATATATAAATCCAATGCCCGTGCTAAGTAGATGCCTGGTAGGTTGGATTCTGCCTACAGTACCTGGTACTATACGCAGTTTGACGGTTGGCTGCGGAAAAAAGAACTCAAACTTGCGCCAAAATGCCTTCAATACAATGCTCAATGCTTTCGGCTGGACCCTTAAACTCCCCTCCAGCTGTGGCTTGAATTGCAGTGGCTTGACGCCCAATAGCACAGAACCCCAATTGGAAAAGATTGAAAAAAATACCGAGTACCAGATACCTGGTTCCTAGATCCCTCCCATGGCATCTGCCACCTGCCGCGCCGCAATGCCTGGAGTACTCTGTACCTCAGCGCTAGGCGGCGATGATTACCGGCAACGCGTTCTTCCCATCTTGGTACGTACAGCTAAGAGGCTAAGGCGGCGTAACGGGTCCCGCTCTGGCTCCCTCATATTACTGTACTCGTACTACCTACCTAGCAGTATTACTTTTGGAAATGTTGTCCCCTTGAGACATCAAATCTGCCTTGATACCATCGCACATCCTCCGGCCGCGGGACCAGCTGTCGGCCTCTCTAATTAGCTGGCCTGCTTGCGAAGCCCTTTGTCCCGCATTTCCGCCTTGACCACCGCCCTCGCCTCCGAACCGCAGACTCAATCGATGGACCACGCCCAAGGTCCCTAACCTCCGCGTCTGTCCTCCGGCGATTGTCTGTCCTGTGCTTCTTCGGTGCGCCTCATGAGCTCCTTAAAATTCGTGGTGTCCTCGCTGGACGCCATTGCGACTTCCAAAGATGCCCAGCGAAATAAGCAGCTGGCAGATTTGACCAAGACAGCGCTCGATGCCATCAAAGAGCAGGATCAGCTGCCTGATCCCGAGATCGTTTTCGCGCCGCTTCAGCTCGCTACCAAGACCAACAGCACGCAGCTGACAACGACAGCCCTCGACTGCATTGGGAAGCTGATATCGTACTCATACTTCTCTCTCCCTAACAAAGACGATGCACCCAAAGAGGGCGCCGAGCCGGCTCCCCCGCTGATTGAACGAGCCATCGATACTATATGCGACTGTTTCCAAGGCGAGACCACGGCCGTCGAGATCCAGCTGCAGATTGTCAAGTCGCTTCTGGCAGCCGTCTTGAATGATAAAATCGTTGTCCACGGTGCAGGTCTGCTCAAAGCTGTGCGCCAAGTCTACAATGTCTTCCTGCTCTCTCGAAGCACGGCCAACCAGCAGGTTGCGCAAGGAACTCTGACACAAATGGTTGGCACCGTCTTTGAGCGAGTCAAGACCAGGCTTCACATGAAGGAAACCAGACTGAGCCTCAACAATCTTAACCATGGCGCAAGCAATATTACTTTTGAGCAGTCCGAAGTTGCCAACGGCACCCAGCACAGCGACGACGGCGAAGAGGCTTCAACTGCACCGCCTGAAAGCAGCGATGCCCCGGAAGAGCCGGTCAGTGCTGCCAAACTTACTCTCAAAGATCTTGAGCATCGCAAGAGTTTCGACGATTCCACCCTCGGCGATGGTCCTACAATGGTTACGCGACTCAAGTCGGACAAGAAAGACGAGAGTGACGTGTCCGTGTCGGGGCAGTCTCTTCCACAAGAGGACAGCGATGCACTAGATGCTGAAGACGAGGTGTACATCCGAGATGCCTACCTCGTATTCCGGTCTTTCTGCAATTTATCGACCAAAATCCTGCCACCTGACCAACTCTTCGACTTGCGAGGTCAACCAATGCGCTCCAAGCTGGTCTCTCTACATCTCATCCACACCCTCCTTAATAACAACATTGCCGTCTTCACTTCGCCTCTCTGTACTATTACGAGCTCCAAGAGCAACGAGCCCACGACTTTCCTTCAAGCCATCAAGTTCTATCTTTGCCTTAGCATTACACGCAATGGAGCCAGTTCGGTGGATAGAATCTTTGATATCTGCTGTGAGATATTTTGGCTCATGCTCAAGTACATGCGCCCCTCGTTCAAGGTAGGCCAGGTTCCCCTGATATACATCGATGCATATGCATCAGAGGCTCACCCAATTCTAGAAAGAAATCGAGGTTATTCTAAACGAGATTTATTTGGCCCTCTTGTCCCAAAAGAATGCCCCGCTCACACAGAAGTTGTATTTCGTTTCCATTCTGAACCGCCTTTGCGCTGATCCTCGAGCGTTGGTTGAAACCTATCTCAACTACGATTGCGATCAGTCTGTAGAGAACATCTTCCAGACCGTCATTGAAGACTTGTCCAAATTTGCAACGGCGCCCGTTGCGATCACCTCCATTCATGAGCAGGCGTACGAGGAGCAAAGGGCGAAAACTACACCAGCCAGCGAGTGGCAGCTCAAGGGTATCCTACCCCCTTCTCTCACTGTTGCGCAGATTATCCCAGCACAGGAAAATGAGGCCGACTATCCCAAGGAGTACGCAATCAAGCGTCTATCACTAGAGGCCCTTGTCGAGACCCTTCGCTCTCTGGTCAACTGGTCCGCTTCCGTACGCTCGGATAGCGAAAATCTCCGTACGGATGGAGATACCAGGGTCTCTTTTGACGAGCTGCGGCCGTCGATCGACCCCACCACAAGCGAGAATGCATCTCGGCTCGACACCCCTCTGCCACCTTCGACCCCTGTGCTAGAAGATGACCCGGATCATCTCAGCAAAGAAAAGGCCAGGAAAACGGCCCTCATGAAGGGAATCAGGCAGTTCAACTTCAAGCCTAAAAGGGGTATTGAAATGCTAATCCGCGATGGCTTCATTTTAAGCGACACGCCTCAGGACATCGCCACTTTCTTGTTGAATGAGGACAAGCTGGATAAAGCACAGATTGGCGAGTATCTTGGTGAAGGAGATCAGAAGAACATTGATACCATGCACGCGTTTGTGGATTCTATGGACTTCACCAAAAAGCGATTCGTCGATGCCCTTCGCCAGTTCTTGCAGTCGTTCCGTCTGCCGGGAGAGGCGCAGAAAATTGATCGATTCATGCTCAAGTTTGCCGAACGCTATGTCCTCGGTAACCCCAACGCCTTCGCCAACGCCGATACGGCATATGTGCTGGCATACTCTGTCATCTTGCTGAATACAGATTTGCACAGCAGCAAGATCGCCAAGAGAATGACCAAGGAAGAGTTCATCCGAAACAACGCGGGCATCAATGACAATGCCGATTTACCTCATGAATACCAGATCACCATTTATGAGGAAATCGCCAGTAATGAAATTGTTTTGAAGAGTGAGCGCGACATTGCAGCAGCTGCCGGCAATCTTCCTCCCCAGCCAAGTGGCCTGGCCGCAGGCTTGGGACAGGCTTTCTCAAATGTTGGACGTGACCTGCAACGAGAAGCCTACATGCAGCAGTCAGAAGAGATTGCATTGCGTTCAGAACAGCTCTTCAAGAACTTGTTCAAGAGTCAGCGACGAAACGCCTCCAAGACAGCACCAAAATACATTGAGGCCACGTCTTTCAAGCACGTAGAGGCCATGTTTGACATCACATGGATGTCCATCTTCTCTGCGCTTTCAGGGCAGATGCAAAAGGCACACAACCTCGAGGTCAACAAGTTGTGCCTGGAAGGCATGCGACTGGCAACCCAAATTGCTTGCCTCTTCCATCAGTCAACACCTCGAGAAGCGTTCATCTCCGCACTTCGAAATGCCACAAACCTCAACAATCCTCAAGAGATGCAGGCTAAGAATATCGAGGCGCTAAAGGTGATACTGGATCTCGCCCAGACAGAGGGCAATGTTCTCCAAGAGTCATGGAAGGATATTCTCATGTGTATCAGCCAATTGGACCGCCTGCAGCTGATCTCTGGCGGCGTTGACGAGAGCGCCATTCCAGACGTTTCTCAGGCGCGCTTTATTCCCCCCTCGCGAGCTGGGACATCAGAGTCACGTTCGTCCATGCAGTTGAAATCCCGACCGCGACAGAGGTCTGCTACTGGATCCCGAGGCTTTTCTAGCGAGATTGCACTTGAAAGCCGCTCGGACGAGCTTGTCCGAAGCGTGGACCGAATCTTCTCCAACACAGCGAACCTTTCGGGTGAAGCTATGGTTTACTTTGCCAAAGCCCTGACCGAGGTTAGCTGGGATGAGATCAAGGTATCTGGTTCAAACGATTCTCCTCGCACATACAGTCTGCAAAAGATTGTCGAGATTAGCTACTACAACATGAACCGTGTGAGGTTTGAATGGAGCAACATCTGGGTCGTTCTCGGCGAGCACTTCAACCAGGTTGGCTGCCACAACAACATGAACATTGTGTTCTTTGCTTTGGACTCTCTGCGCCAGCTGTCTATGCGATTCATGGAAATTGAGGAGCTTGCCGGATTCAAGTTCCAAAAGGACTTCTTGAAGCCGTTTGAGCATGTCTTGTCCAACTCTCACAACATCACCGTCAAAGACATGGTGCTGCGATGCCTCATTCAAATGATTCAAGCTCGAGGGGACAACATCCGCTCTGGTTGGAGGACCATGTTTGGCGTTTTCACAGTTGCCGCACGAGAGCCGTACGAGAGCATTGTTAACCTTGCTTATGAAAACGTCAATCAAGTCTACAAGGAAAAATTCGGCGTGGTTATTTCTCAGGGAGCATTTACGGATCTCATTGTTTGCTTAACAGAGTTTTCGAAGAATCTGAAGTTCCAGAAAAAGAGCCTAGGTGCTCTAGAGCTGCTCAAGTCGATTATTCCAACAATGCTCAAAACTCCAGAATGCCCGCTATCGCATGAGCCGTGGACCACTTCCAAGTCTGAAAACGGTGATGCTCCTCCGAGTGTCAAGAAGGTGCAGACAAAGACATCGATGGAAGAGGGCTACTGGTTCCCCGTACTCTTTGCTTTCCATGACGTACTGATGACCGGTGAAGACCTCGAGGTTCGTTCAAACGCTCTCGAGTACTTCTTTGCCGCACTCCTCAAGTACGGAGGCGGCTTTACCCAAGCATTCTGGGATATCCTCTGGAGACAGCAACTCTACCCCATCTTTATGGTCTTGCGTTCAAGGCCAGAGATGACCAACGTTCTGAACCACGAGGAGCTTTCGGTCTGGTTGTCAACCACTATGATCCAAGCCTTGCGCAACATGATTACGCTATTTACGCACTATTTCGACGCTCTCGAATACATGTTGGACAGATTCCTAGAGCTGCTGGCTCTGTGCATATGCCAAGAAAATGATACGATATCCCGAATTGGCAGCAACTGTTTACAACAGCTGATTTTGAAAAATGTGACGAAATTTAACCTGGTGCATTGGACAAAGATTGTTGGAGCGTTCTGCGAGCTTTTCGACCGAACAACAGCCTATCAACTATTTACCGCGGCAAATATGGAGGCATCTACTTCTTTGTCGATGGCAGCGTCTAATGGACTGGAGTTTACTTCGCCTCTCAGCCCAACTACTGCCGAGACTCCTGCCACGGATGAAAAGTCTCTCAAGATCAATGGTGGTGATGAGAATGGTGCTACATCCGATACTGAATCTATTCACCACCCGACAATACACAAGCTGGATGATGATGAGTCACGGACGCCGACGGCAAACACTAATGGACAGCAGCTAGAAGAATTCAAGCCAACTTCCACTCTTCAGCAGCAACCTGTCGTGGTTACTGCAGCCCGCAGGCGGTTCTTCAACCGCATCATTTCACGCTGTGTCTTGCAGCTACTCATGATTGAGACAGTTAATGAGCTCTTCAGCAATGACACCGTGTACACCAACATCCCCTCCACTGAGCTCCTACGACTCATGGCTCTTTTGAAGCGCTCCTTCCAGTTCGCACGCCGCTTCAACGAAGATAAAGAGCTTCGGATGAGGCTGTGGCGCGAGGGCTTTATGAAGCAGCCGCCCAACTTGTTGAAGCAAGAGAGCGGTGCTGCGGCGACGTACGTGTCTATCCTGTTCAGGATGTTTATAGACGATGCGCCGGAGCGACTGAAGAGCCGACCCGACATTGAAGCTGCCCTCGTGCCACTGTGCGAGGACATCATCACGGGATACTCCTTGTTGGTGGAAGAGAGCCAGCAGAGAAACATCATCGCATGGAGACCAGTCGTTGTTGACGTGCTGGAGGGATACGCCACTTTCCCCGAAGAAGCTTTCAAGGCCCACCTGGCTTCCTTTTACCCGCTGGCCATTGACCTGCTTCAGAAGGACTTGACTGCAGATCTGCGTGGCGCTCTGCTTGTTGTCTTGCGGAGAGTGGGCGAGGTGTCTCTTGGTATTGAGGGAATGACAAGGGCTGGGGACAAGAGGCGAGATAGCATTGGCAGTGCCAATGCTGAGGAGGGTATGGGCGGATCGGAAGCTGCTGCGCGAAAGATGCTATGAGCATGACTGCGAGCGGGCAACGATATTTGGCGTTGAGGCGGGCATTAGAGAGTCTTTTCGCTTATTTCTTCCTTTTTTCTTCCAAAAAAGTCACTATCTGTGTGTGTATGTTAGGAAAGGTTTGCCTATCCTGTCGTTAAGGTGGGAGATAAAAATGTTCTAATGGTATGATATGTTATATTTAGCTTCGTGTAGTATATATGGCTGTCTATCTGGCCGGCCATCTTCACTTGATCTCCTTGAAAGCACATCCCATTGCTGTTGGATGTCGATTTGTGATTCGGTACACCATTTTAAATGCGAATAAGCAAAAAGGGATTTTATTCAGTCTAATATCTCGCTGATATATGCGCGTAAAGGCTCGGCTTCTTCCTCCACAGTCCGGTTCGGCAATCCTCGCAACGCCTCCCTCAACTGCTCGTCATCTTGAGCCGCTACCTTAACTAGTGCTTTCACAATGGCGGTCTCTTCAGTAGTGAGACGAGATACGCGCATTACACTAACAAAAGTCTCGAAGAAATCGATGAGGTTGAGATGCATAAGAATGTCTTCTGACTTGGAGACCATGGTCAACGCTGCCCACTGTAAGATACCCTGACCAGCAGCTTGGATGGCAGCAGCAGAGAGAGGGAATAGGTTCGGGAAAGCAGTTTGACTTATTGCCCGGATATTGAGCGTTGCGAGGCGAGTAAGGAGGCGCAGGAGACGGCCCTGTGAGAGAGAGGTCTGATGTCGAGGCCGGGTGGGAGGCTGTACTGTCTCAGGGGAGCACAGCGTCGTGATAAGTTCCAGCATGGGCCGCTGGAGGAGAATCAAACGCCAGAGACGGCCATGACCCGGAATTCGGCGCTTGACAACTTCGAAGCCATTGATGTTGCTTTGGCTCCCCACTCCGTTGACGCCTTCCCCACGGATGGTTTCGCAGTCTGTCTCGAGGAGGTCACCGAGGACTTTGGCAGCGCGCTCGCTGACGCCGACGTCTGGGCTCACTAACCAGCGTGTGATGAGAGCCTCGACAACATCAGTAAGAGTACTGAGAAGAGCAGCTTCGGTTGGGGTTTTGGCGGCCTTGTGGATGATGGCGAGGGCGAGGAGGTTGGCGCCGGGTAAAGGAGATTCCAAAGCTGCGAGGATGGAGGGAGGATCGGCGATAGTGAGGGTGCGGGTGAAAGTCAAGGGAGAGAGAAGCTTGATGGTGAGAGAGAGGAGAGGAGAGGGGTCTTGGGTGGTTGATTTGAGGATTTGGGTTAGAGGGGGGAGAACGGTTGGGAGGAGAGGAGGGATGTTGGATTCTAGAGGTTGATTAGCAATCTTGTTATGCTACGTATGAGAGGTGAAGAGGGGTGTGTTTTGGGTGTGTAGAGATGACTTACCTGTCAGCTGAAGCTCGATATCATCAAGGAGCTTGAGGTTGAAGGGTACGGAAGGATCATTCTCGAGATCTCGTAGGTGAGCATGGAACTCATCGATGCCAGAGATGGGATGGGCGTCTGAGGTGCCGTTGGGGACGATTCGTTCAGACATTGTGAATCTCGTCACAAATTGTCTCGCCGATCTCTGAGGGGTTTGTCGTCTCCAATATTATGTAGAAAGATGAACCAAGAGATATGAAGGTGCTGAAGCTTGACAAGTAATTATATAGAATGTTGTTATTAATGTGATGGAAGATGCTCGACGCAAAGCTTCAAATTGCATCTATAATAATTTACAGGGTAAGCCGCCAATGCCTTTAGCAGGCAGATGCGCTGACGGCAAGAAGCACCAGGCAGGGCGGGGCAGCGTCATAGCGGAGGGAATTCCGCCCTCCCCACCATAACTTTTTTCTCGGCCGCTGAAAGTTTGGCGCTTCAATTGAGCCCCGGATTCTTCCTCTTGCAATCCAAGTCTAGCAGGTCGCATTCCTTGCTCGGAAAAATTCAGCAGACCAGCCGCGCGCTTTGCAGTAATCTCTTCTCGCCTATATTCACACGATACAGCTTATGAGAGTCGCGTTCACTGAGGAATTGGGTTTATAGTCGGCGGAACTGAGCTGAGTTGGAAATGTCAAGAGGCGGCGGTGGTGGACGAGGAGGTGGACGAGGTGGTCGAGGAGGAGGCAGAGGAGGACGGCCAGCTCTTCCGTGGGATGACACAGATGAACCCGATGCCCGACCCTCTGAGCTGTTCCCGGTGAGTCAGATTCCGAAGGAGGAAGCTTCAAATGATCCTATGAGAGGGAGCTCTAGCTAACAGCCATGTTTTTGTTTTGCCAGCCCTGCGTCGTTCCCTCTCCTCGCGACCTCACCACTACAGAATACAACAGCGTCCAGTGCTTCCTCCTCCTTCGCCACCAAATCCACTCATCGCCTCTCTACACATCTAAGCGAACCTCCCTCATCGACCCAGCTGCTCCCCGAAAAGTCTACGGCCGCGACCAAATGAACGCCCTCTATGATGTTAAAAGCAAAGCCTCCGTCGACCCCTTCAATGCCATGCCCACCTACTCTCAGCGCTTCTCTCGTCCAGAGCGCGCCCTCCCAGAATGGTCTTCCCGGCCGGTATGCAGGGAGATGTTCCCTCCCGAGCTGCTCGACACGATTGACTCGGCGGATGCCAGTGGGATGAGAAAGAGGCGCAAGCTGGAGCTGAGTAAAGTGAATGCTCTGCCGAACGCGGAGGAGGCGTTTGGTATGCCTGCTATTGAAGGCGAGGAAGATGAAGGTGTGCCAGTGGATGGGAAGAATATCCTGGAAAGATTGGATGCTCTGCGGGATGACGAAGGCGACGATGCTGCTGATGTGGATGACGACGAAGGCCTGGAAGAGGAGGAGGAGGATGAAGTCTACGATGATGAAGATGCCGGTGACTACGATGCTGAAACGTACTTTGACAATGGCGATGAAGGTGGAGATGACTATGGAGACGGAGACGATGGCGAAGGGACATATTAACGGGTTCTTATCCAATCTCCTACTTTTTTTTCGGAATTATCGAAGAGTTCTTGGCTAATGGGACGGATTCTTCGAAAAGAAGCCATCATTTTGGGCATTTTTGTTACTACTACTCATTCATACATGTATATAGACCCAAAGTACTTATACCCATCGCTTGTACCATGACTCCAAAATGAGTCACACACTTTATGCTCACTGAGCGACGCGATTACTGCTCTCTCTTCAGATGTCGTAATTTTGTTTCACATTACCTGGGGGGTATCTCGGTGACTACACTCGTAGCCATATCTACACCAATCGCCCCTACATTTATCATCTAGATACTCTTGTGCTTGCTGCCCCCATAGTCATACATTTCCCAGCATCGACCACGACCAAGGGAAAAGAACGACAGCCTGTCTTATGCTCAGCCACAAATGGGCTCTTTGTACAGCAAGCGCCGCCTAATGAATAAACCCAAAAAGCGCATCTCCCTTTCACCTCAAAGGGGAAAACCCCCATATACCCAGACCCGAAAAAAAAAAAAAATACCTAAAATCAAAAGCAATCGCTTCATGAAGAAACCCCAGAATACAGCCCGCTATCCAAGAACCCTGCCTGTAGCCGTGATAATCTCTCCCGCGTGTCTGCAATCTGTCCGGCCTGAGCAATGACCGCGCTGCCCATCTCCCGCAACGCCGAGAGCACCTGGCTGAGCTGGTCCTGGACGGGTGCGCTGCTGTGGTCGCGCAGGCTGCGGATCTGTTCGTAGAGCCCGTTTTCCACGCCGGGCATGTCCCGCTCGATCTGGGACCGGTACTCATCCAAGCGATTCTTGTACTTTTCAACGTCGTCGCAGATGCGGTTAAAGTAAGTAATGAGATCCTGAGCGCTGGCATGGGCCGATGAGGCGTCCGTTGAGTTGGAGTCGCTTGCAGGAGGAGGACCGGCGAAAAGGCCAGTTTGGTGGTAGTGAGTAGGTAGCTTGAGGTTATCGGCGGCCTTGAAGGAGAGCTGGGCGTCGGCAACGTCTTTCTTGGTCATGTCTTGGAGAGCCTTGACGGTTAAGATATCGCGGTTAAGGGCGTCCTGGACCGTCTTGAATTTGGACTCGACAAACTGGACGTCTCGTCCGAGCTGGTCGATATCTTTTTCATGCTGGGGCATGAATTCTCCAATCTCATCCCTCATCTTGATGACGCGCTGGATGCCCTTGTCGATAAGAGCAATTTCGTTTTGAATCGGTTGGGCAAGGTCATCGAAGCGCGATCGCGGTCGCAGGTTGTCATAGTTGACTTGGGCGGCCGCAACTTGGGCTGTAGCAGGAGCGGCAGCAGTTGTAGTTGATCCACTATAATGAGGTTAGCAATCATGAATTTCTGTAGGACCAAGTGCAACATTGCGTACAATAAACCGCCAGAGGGCTTTGCTTGTGTTTGGCCCAGCAATCCACCTCCTGTGGTAGCTGCGGCCGGAGTTGAGCCAAAGAGACCTCCTCCTGGCTGCTGGGTGGTTGCAGTGCTTCCAAACAATCCTCCGCCGGTCGTAGCAGTAGCTGGTTTGGCTGTAGCGGCACTTCCAAACAGGCCTCCTCCAGTCGTAGCAGTGCTTGGCTGGGCTGTGGTGTTTCCAAAGAGTCCTCCGCCTGTCGTCGTTGATGCCGCAGGTTTGGCTCCAAACAGGCCGCCAGTGGTCGCACCGGAGGCTTGAGCTGGCTGGGCAGTTGCCGTTGACCCAAACAAACCACCAGTAGTTGTGCCTGTCGAGGGCGTGGGTGTGGCAGCGCCAAAGAGACCTCCGCCAGTAGCCGCCTGGGGAGTCGTCGTAGCCGGAGATCCAAAGAGGCCACCTGTCGCTGCTGGCTTGGCGCCAAAAAGACCGCCCGTGGTCGCCATGCTGCTGGTCGTTGATGGACTTGCCGACGCGTTACCAGAACCAAACAGTCCTCGAGTCGCCGCTGGCTGCGAGGTAGTGCCTCTGAGGCGCGTTTAGTCAGCGACAACGATGAATAAGAATCAGCCCGAAGCTAATTGGAAAGTATGTGAGGTGTTGGATGGCGGAGAGGTGGTGGCGAGGCACTTGGTGGATGTGGTGATTTGATATCAAGGTTAAGGCGTGGTGTTGAAGATTTAGCAAAGCTTACAGGGTATTTGCAGCCGAAGTGTTGATGCTAAGACCCGCTGGGCCACTGGCAGACCGCGCCAGAGACATCAAATCACACCTGAGGAAAAAAAAGCTTCGCAAGGCCAACTGACTTTTTTCCGAGCAGGCGAGTCAAGGGCCCAATTCGTGTGGAGCTCTTGACTTGGGATATGCCAAAGCTTGGACTTGCGGGTCTGAGAATGAAGGGATACGGGAAAACTCCGGGGCTGTGATGCGTGGTGGCTGGATCCAGATGGAGGATCAATTCCACAAGGCTAGCCTTAGTTGACTTCAGCCTGCAGAAGAGCTTCCCAGAGCTTTAACCTTTAACATAGACGCGCCCGTTTCCGTGACTTATTTCGATCCAATTCATATTTCATTTACCCTACACTCAGTCTCTTACCTTTGAATAGCTATCAAGATGGACATGGACGAAGATGACGATCTCTACCAGCCAGAGGAGCCAAAGATTGAACAGGACGACGAGAAGAAGCCCAAAGTGGAAGAGCTAGAAGAGGGCGAGGAGGAAGATGAAAGCGGCGCCATGGATGAAGACGACGATGACGACTCAGTACGGGTTCATTGCCGAAGCGACCCGTTGGCAATATGCTAATCACACGAACTGCAGGATATCGACATCATCACAGAGCGGAAAGATGGCACAAAAGCAGCACCACCACCGTATGTCAGCCTCGTGCGCGCCCCTGCGCGATTGTCCTATAACTGACAGAGCGGTAATAGACAGGCCAAATATAGCGACATCAGAAATATTCCTCAGCGATCAGCCTCCAACGACATCTCAGGGAAGGCATCAGCGCCCGTCAAGAGGGACGAAGACTCAAAAACAACGAGCGCCTTGAACATTGCCGCTCCCAGCGCGGACCAAACATCGGCTGCTGCCTCAAAATCAACAATCGATATTAATGCTAACCCAGTCCACCCCGCAGCTGGCAAGCCTATAACACAAGTCAACATAGACGAAGGTACGTTCACCGTTATTGCTCTTGGCGGCGGTTGTGACGACTAACCAATCTTTTTAGATCTACCAGACAGCGATAAACCGTGGCGTAAGCCAGGCACAGACATCAGCGACTACTTCAACTACGGCTTCGACGAGTTCACATGGGCTTTATACGCTGCTAAGCAGGAGTCGATCCGTGGCGAATTTGGCGCCGATGCTTTTGCTGCTAATAATAAGAAGATGATGGAAGACTTTAACATGATGATGATGGGCGGCATGGGCATGCAGGGTGGAGGAGGTGCAGGCGCTGGCGCTGGCGGAGCTGCTGGTGGCATGCCGGGAATGGATGGAATCCCACCCGAGATGCAAGCCATGATGCAACAGATGATGGCTTCGGGCATGGACCCATCTCAGATGGACCCAAGCCAGATGGCCGCCATGTTCTCCGGGATGCAAAACGCCGGTGGGAATGCGGGCGCGCAAGGCAATCAGGGCCAAAACTTTGGCGGCGGCTTTGGTGGAAACCAAGGTGGCTTCGGCTATGATCAAGGCATGGCGGGAGGCGGCAGTGGAAGAGGAGGATTTGGAGGCCGTGGCCGCCGTGGCCGATGGTAGTGCGGTCATGAGTCCGAGGGCTCTGGGTCTACTACTGAGCAGTCAAGTGTTTTGGAAAACTCGGTGTCGAACAAACGTCGTCGACGGCGTCGAGGGTGTCGAGCGGGCCGCCGCCGCCGAGAGAAGCGGCAGCGACTTTGCGAGAGGCTTTGACTGGCATGTGCATCTCCTCGGATGCCACCTACTGTTATGAATGGGATAGAAATACGCCTCGCTGGTGCGGAAAAGTGACGATGCATATGATAGGAGATATCATATTTGCTACAATACGCCGCTAGAATATACGATATCTTGCGATTACGGACAGGAGGCGGGCTATCATGGACACGAAAAGCATCAGAGAACGAGGAGATAACGGACTCCTATCAACGTTGATCTTCGAAGCTAGTTTCGCAGGAGCAATGACGGCACATCACTCACGCTCCCACCCACCTATCACGGTAGAAGATGGGGGGTTGATGGACATGATGATATAGATAGGTGGCCTACATAGTATCTCAGGTATGTATGTGAATATACAACCTTAAGAGCTTCCAATGAGAAGAGCAATCGAAGAGCAATCTCTGCTTGTCTGCTTGAATGATAACTGTGTAGCCCGACATCAGGTAACGTTACCTAGCTGTGGCAGACACGGGCCTAGTTGGGAGCTTCGAGGCTCGAACTTCCTAAGAGAGGAGGGCGGCCGCTCTTTTATGGCCTGCCAAGAGGCTAGAGGATTGGGTTGAGAGATGCCAGGAACGCCCGCATGCAGCATCACACGACGTAAGAGGTGTGTTGGGGTCAGTTCTTGTTTGTTCTCTTTTTCTTTTGCAGTGAGGAGAAAAGATATAAGCAATGTTGGGGTTGCTGGGGTTGGATGTAGAGAAAGATGGTTAGGTGGGGGAACGTGGAGTGGGAGAAGGATCAGGTTGAGTGTACGGAGTATGCGAGTGATATTATAGCTGCTGGATAGTTCGATAGAAGCAAGTAATGATATAATAGTATTCATCTTGGTAAGCTGCTTGATTAGATCAGCAAGATCTGGAGAGATGAATCACTATCAGGCATATCACTTCTTTCAACTACCAACCCCGGTTAGCCGCCCATCACCACCACCAGCGAGCTGCCGGATCTCCAGCCTTGAATCTCTCCGAGGCCGACTCATTCACCCCGCAGCATATTTTGAACGATGCTTGATGTATCTATCATCTTAATTCTCATATAATTTACTTGAGCGAGCAGAGAAGGAATACTGCAAGCGGTAAATATTCATCATGCCTTGCTCTCCCACCCGAGCGCCGATGGCAACCGATAACTGCAGCTATACATACTTCTTTCTCCATGAATTTGCAGGATACATGCATTGAAGAGCTGCAAGTCCAGAGTTTATCCTAACTAGAGGGGAATCCCTGCGGCGGCAATCCTGCAAGGGGGGGTCCTTCATCCACTCATGAAGCATCTCCATGCTTTCTATGCCGAAGCGGGAAGCTCATATGCCAAGGGAGGGCTAACCATAGCGATACGCTTCTTGAGCCTTTTCCCCGACTGGCGGTGCCCTCTTTAGATGCTTACGATGCGCTTAATGGTGGAATAGCAGAGAGCACGTTTTTCTTATTTGCTGAGCCTCTTTGTGTCTATCATCTTGCCCATGTTACCGTTGCAGAGCTGGTTATGGAGCATCGCGTGGAGATGCCATGAGAAAGATGTGGAATCAGCCGCAAGCATCTTGTTTGCGAGCCCACGGCTGTTGTGGCAGCCGACCAGATACACGCTGACGACGTGTATGTGCAACTCACCTCGCCGAGCCAAGTTGATCATCTCAGGCCATTTCAGCCTTGTACATGGACACCGGATTTGACGATTTTTGAGCTCAACGGTGCTTGCATGCACCCTGTCCAAGCCTCAATAAAGCTGTTTCCATATTGCTCAACTCCATTTGTAGGATTCTAACTCAAAATTGGGTGTTTGGATGCTGCCTAAGTAGGTAGGAGGTCTCACACCCCGGTTTCCCCCGCAAACCTTACATATACCTACCTACATGATGAAGACAGGCCATGATCCTCAATCCTCCAATCACAGCTTCATCTCTATGTTTCTCCCGCGGAATGGCCCGGTTTATTCATCTTTCCCACGATATCTTACGTATCATCATGTACATGTACACATACATTAGTATGCAAACACATGTAATCGTCACCTTCGGCAGGTCGGCCATCTACCGCCAATGTCTCTAGAAAGAGTGATATAGGTTGGAACCATCAAATTACCAAGACGGAACTTATACCGAGGCAGGATAGGCGGAAATGGGTACAGAGCGGTAAAACCTTGGCGACCTTGGTTGTGTCACTGAGTACATCACCGCCAAACGGGGCATCTGAGTACATGTATGTCATGTCAAAACCCCTGATGTTTCGGAGCGTTGACCAACCTAGGCTCGACACGCACGTCCAGATGCCACCAACCCTCCTTTTTGCTACCTTGAGTATCAATCATGTCACCTAGCAGAGGCATTATAACCATCACTGCATGGATCTCAACTGATAACGTCCTCTAAATCTAAAGGCCGGTATAACGAGCCGATGGAGCTATTATGGATGCCGATGCCTTCGAGGCTTCCCATTAAAGGTAGCATGGCTCCATCACGAGTTCATCATGACCCCCGTCTCGCCTCGTCCCTTCGCCCGGCGGCAAGGCGCAAAAGGATCCAATGCCACGTATGCTCAGGAAGTCTGATGTAGCATCGTGGTAAGACAGCGGGGAGCAATTCAGCCCATTCTTCTAGCATGTTGGGCTGGAGAGAGGATATAAAGGCTCTTCGTCCAACCTTTTGAGGTGGCACGCTACTTCTTCATCATCAAGAGCATCTTCTTTACGGATCCGGTATCCTCAGCTCTTCTTTAGCCACGATGCCTTCGTTGACTGCTCTCGCGAGCTTGCTCGCTCTTGTTCCTTCTGCCCTGGCTGGCTGGAATGCGAACTCAAAACAGAACATTGCTGTATACTGGGGTAAGTACTTGTTGATGATCTTCCTTTTCTTGCTTGGAGAGAATCTATCGTCTAACATGCGAATAGGCCAGAACTCAGCCAACTCACAAAGCACACAGCAGCGTCTTTCCTTCTATTGCAACGGTATGTCTCTATTTTATTACCCTCCAGAGAATCCAGTCAGAAAATGCAGAAAGAGAGAGCTGATACTTTTCATTAAGACGCCAACATCAATGTCATTGACATTGCTTTCTTGAACGGAATTACTCCCCCCATGACCAACTTCGCTAATGCTGGTGACCGATGCACGCCCTTTTCCGACAACCCTTGGCTCCTGAGCTGCCCAGAAATTGAGTAGGTTCTGGATCTCGCCTATAACATAGACATATATACTGATGATAACTTGCTATCAAGGGCGGACATCAAGACTTGCCAGGCTAATGGCAAGACCATCATCCTCTCTCTCGGCGGCGATTCCTACACGCAAGGTGGCTGGAGCTCTGCCAGCGCTGCTCAATCGGCTGCCAATCAGGTTTGGGCCATGTTCGGCCCCGTTCAATCCGGAAGCACTGTTCACCGTCCCTTTGGCAGCGCTGTCGTGGATGGCTTCGACTTCGACTTTGAAGCAACAACCAACAACCTCGCGGCCTTTGGTACTCAGCTCAAGAGCCGAACCAACGCTGCAGGCGGCAAGAAGTACTACTTCTCTGCTGCTCCGCAGTGCTTCTTCCCCGACGCTGCTGTCGGCGCCCTGATCAACGCCGTGCCCATGGACTGGATCCAGATTCAGTTCTATAACAACCCCTGCGGTGTGAGCGGTTTCACTCCCGGCACCTCCACCCAGAACAACTACAACTACCAGACCTGGGAGAACTGGGCAAAGACCAGCCCTAACCCCAATGTGAAGCTTCTCGTCGGCATTCCTGCTGGCCCGACTGCTGGCCGTGGCTACGTCTCTGGCTCCCAGCTTACGTCAGTCTTCCAGTACTCGAAGCAATTCAGCACCTTTGCTGGTGCCATGATGTGGGATATGTCCCAGCTTTTCCAGAACACTGGTTTTGAGGCACAGGTCGTCAATGCTCTGAAATAAAGAGTTACATTATGAGATACGGAGAAGCTGCAAAAATGTGGGAGAATGAGGGTGGCCCGACGAGTGCACCCGATGATATGATCGTATATATGTATATATGTTTGGCGAACATCTACTGTATATAGCGCCGATTTCAGCACATATTGAATTGATTGCACATGATTTCATTTAACTGCCGAATATGCTTTAGCATAATCGATTTCATCGCTTCTAACGTTGGGTATCATAAAAAAGTCATCACGAGTCCTAAAAACCACCTGTTGCCGCCGACATTTCGCCCCTTTCCTCCACCTTTTCTATGGCCATGTTTGAATAAGCTGAAAATCATGCATCTACGTGGGGATGAAGTGCTTAGAATCTTCTTCCTGCTGCGCAAACGATTGCGAAAAAGCGGCCAAGCCAACGATGATGCCCACAGCCATGAAGAGCACCGAAATGATGGACCAGATGACGCCCCAGCACTGCGACGAGCCACCATATCTCTTGGCAAAGACGCTCGCATCCGACTCATTGACCTTTCGAAGGATCAAGTCGTCACAAATGTCCCACACGCTGTACAATGAACTCATGACGCCAATGAACAGAACCACGAAACGCAATGCCTCAGCATGAACGATAAACCAGCATCCAATAAGCAGTCCAACCGCAAGCAAGATGGTCAAGACAGTCAGCCAATCGCGCTTCCCCCACCAGAGCGTCAGCAGAAAACATACGCCGAGGACGATGCTGGCGACTTTGCTGGCGACAATGTCGAAGCCGCACATGGTGAGCAGGGCGCCAATGATGGAGGAGCCGAGGTAGCCTGCTGGCAGGGTGATGGCGCTGATGCCGCCGGTGAGGTGCGTGACGCCGCCTTCGTGGGGGTCGAGAGAGATTGATTTGACGTGGCCGCCGGTGAGGATGGCGGTGATGGCGTGGCCGAATTCGTGGAAGGCGATGACGAGCATCTGGTGAGAATCTGTTAGTGTATGCATTGTATTTTGGGGGCTGTATGTGTATAGATGGCGAGATTTCTGCATCAGGTTGATGGAGGTTTTGAGGTGAAGTTGTCATCATACCTTGAACGGCCACAATATCATGCGCAGGTAAGGGACATTCCAGAGGATGGCGATTGCGACGACATATCCTGCAATGACGCCCAACGTGACGGCCTGAGTGTGAGTTGGGTGCTGGAGGTTTCGAGAGAGGAGGGCATGATATTGAGGCTGAGGGCTGGAGTATATGTTGGAGGCGCTTTCAAGAGGCTGCCATGGTGCCATTTTCACAGATGAGGGTGTTGACGATGGATTTGGTTTGATGTTTCAGAGGAGAAGCAACTTCAGATTGTAGGTGGTGATTTTGGTACATGTACTGTATTCCAATTGAAGTCAGGTGGGATGAATCATGTGCTTAGATTAAGATCAACAAAACGATTGACCCCGCTGCTTGGATAACAGAAAACCGGGCGATTTTTATTTTGATGAAAAGTGAGTGTCATAGGATGCAAGATGAAAAAATAGACTAGGTAGAGAAAAGATGCAGAAAGCAGATGAGAAATATTACAATCTATCCTCAAAAAGAGCCCAGCAAATGCCGAATTCCAAAGCGTTGACGCGGCATGTGAGAAGAAAGTGGAACCACGAATTGCGTGGCTGGGGGGCGCTGCACAGCACTCTATTTTTAGGCGATGCTGGGGTTTTTTGGCGGTTAAACTCCAAGTAGCTGGCTGAGATCGCCAGGGCGGGCGTTGCCACATTGAAGCCACTGCCACGAATTTGGTATGTGGGCTGTCATTACTAAGGCATGTTGGATTTGTAAGGAAGAGGATATGGGAGTCTTTAACTGACTGGATAAGCGACACAAGTCTGTCTGAATCACAATGTGGGAGGAGAAGAGATGGGATGAACCTCCGTCTCAATGAGCCAATACTTCTATGTAGTTACATAGTTAAAGCTTGATGATATAAATGATATGGTTGCTGTGGATATGGCATAGTCTCACATTTTTTGACCCAGTGCATCAATACAATCATTACAGCTGCCGGGGTCGTTGGCAGTAAGGCCAAGAGGATAATCTGGTGTATGATGTGCACCTTGCTTATTTATACGAGGTAAGTATCTACCTGTATATATGGAGAAAGAAGCGATAGTAGAATGAAGTAGCAATGGTATGGTAGAAGAAAGTGGCAATACTAGAAGATATAGAAGAAGATGGCGATAGTAGCGGATACTCAAATAACAGGTACATAGGTAGTGGATAGTAAATGTATTCCCTCTATATCTCCTTACAGACATGTGAATAAAACAAGGTGGAGTGAGTTTTTACTTCATTAGATCTGCGATTTAAACCCTTCAAAAATACGATGCAAGACGGCTGATTCTGCCGACAGTGCATGGGCTTGACTGGAATACCAACAGGCATAAAGTCGCCTAGGCATGGAGATTCAGCTGATTCAGTTCATATGTTGAGGAAAAGTATTGTGCCATCACCGCCGAATCATTGTCTCGGACATGGCTCGCTGAGATGCAGCAACGTATGACTAGACTATTTACCTCTGGTAAACCTGTAGTATGCCTGACTCAAGTCAATCTGCCTGCGTAACGAGACGCGATGCTCAATAATGGCGATGATAGGTTCATCTTGTGAGAGAGATGAGATTTTGTGCAAGCTGAGGTGTACAGTAATTTATAAGCTGGGGTAGCGGCCGGCCGTGCTTAATAGATGATGAAGTACAACACGTGCATCGAGTTTTTGTTGCAAGTAAAACGAATATTACTCTCAATTCATTCTGCCTGCACAAATTCTCCAAATACCAGATTGCATTTGTGGCCCAATAGCCGCTTCCACTTCAATAACGCCATCTCAGACTGCTCCTGCATGTACTCTCGCCGTCGCATAAAGCACGTTACACCTACCAAATACATGGCAAACCAAGCGATGGCTTTTCAGCCTCTCTGTAACACCGTCATACAGCACTAATGTGACTTAGAATCGAACTACTCTTCGAGGGGCAAAGCGGTTCATTCGGCATAGCGCCGATAGTTGTGATGGTATCCAGCTGACAAAGAGATTATGGGATCTGTTCTCTCAGGAGAGGGAAGATGGCAGCTGAAATCACGTTGATCCCCTGTACTACAATCATATGCAAATATGCTCAATAGGACTAATTTTAATTACCTTGATTCTTTCTGCAGAGATATCTATTGGTTACTCCGAGACAGTGTTTCTCCATAAATATTGAAGGAGAAACCCAACCGCTCTCTCCTGCCTTTGGTGCTCTGGAAAAACACCTTCTTATCTCCCTATTATCTCTCCTCAGGCACCAATCACGCCTAAATATCCCACGCTATGATCTCTTCACCCTTTCATTCCTTCACAGCTTCTGACCTAACGCTCACACAACGACTTCCTATCAGCAAAGGGGCCGCTACAAATCCTCGAGTCCAGCCCATCTACACCGCCTCCCACAGAATGATTCGCTCTCGCTTTGTTTTCTGAGAGGCTCTGCCCTCTCTCCGACACGATAGGCTTCTTGGATAAGAAACGCGAGAAGAGCCTTCGGGTCTGTATCAACTCCCATGGAGGCTTTTCTCCACGTCACTATGGCCCCGAAGATCACGTCGCAGGGTGCAGGGGCTAGAGTACCGCTTCCGGGACAAATCATCAGCGTCATGTTGTCTTTGACGGCTACAACTGTTCTTACACTATTCTTGAGTGAGACTGCCCATTGCCTACTTCCTCTCCAACTGTCTTATCCAGAATGGAAGAAGCTAAACGCGGTGAGCATATCAGCACAGAGGGTTCTTGTCATTAAAGCTTGGAACCGGTTGCCACCTGTGGTTTGGTGTAAGTCATGTTTCTCTTTACCAATATTTCTCTCGCATCTGTGAAGAGGTACTAATTCTGGATGTCAAGTGGTATTCGCCATCTATATAGATTCGTACATATTCGTCATTGCTACAGCGGTTCTCCAGCACTCGCTAGGTGTTAACTCAAGCTACGGCATCTGCGAAGCTGCGATTATTTTGTGCCTCGTGTGCTACGTTACTACCAAGGTGATGAGAATGTTCTCATAATCCCAAATGATTCATTGCTGACTTGATATTCGTTGCCAGATTGTGAGCAGATCGTTCCGCTCTTTATTAAATGTGTGCTTTACGTTGACCACCGCAGTTCATTTATTTGTTTCTCGCCGAAAAAGCCGTGAGTATTAAAACGGAACAACTCCCCAATAATTTCAATTCCTAACTCAATATGGCAGTGGATCATTCGCGGTGCAACAACGCCACGCCTAAAGTCCACGCTGTATCTGGTAAACTCTCTAGGCATGCTCACCATATATATTGCAGTCGTCATCCTAAATTTCGTCTTGTAAGTTCTACAGGTATATGATAGCATCTAGACTTTAATAACATTTAGGAAGTCGCATCACAGAGATGAACAACGGGGAATGCATAATCGGCATGCGTAGTGCCGCCATGATCCCCCTCATCTCCTTTGATACGGTGATCAACGTGTACCTCACGATCATGTTTCTCATACCTCTGAAGAGTAAACTTCATTAGCAACTACATAATTGAAGCAACCCAGACTGATTCTTTGGTAGAGCTCTACTCCTATACCAACATGGCTCGAACGCGGGCCAATATTCGACTTCGCATGGTGGCATTCCGAACCTTCTGCGGAGCAGTCTGCACACTTGTGAGCAGTATTGTGTATGAGTCGTAGTCAAAAAAACAGAGTGCTGGGATAATACTTTAACTGACCACAGTTTCTAGCAACCTTTCTGTCCTAATGGCCCTTAATGGTGAGCCGGGATGGGTATGCCTGATGTGTTGCAATTGTGATAGTCTGTTACTCCGGCACCTTTTCTGCACAGTGGGCCTCAACTAATTCGTTACTATTGATAGTCCTCTTCTCGGCGATCGTCATCCAATGGGTCACATCCAGGGACAACGCCGGGACCGTGAGCAGCACCTCTTCTGGGGAAGCTCGACGATCCCGAGATCTCGGCTCTGGGATGAATCGCATATCCACTCCAAGCGAGCTCCATGAGACGCCATCATCCACTCTTGCCGATATCTCGCTCGTGCCAACCAGGCGTCGATCCCGCGGAGCCGATGATGTTGATCTTCATGACCACGGCACCCCTGAGACCGGCGCCGCCAAGATTGTTAACAAGCCAGCCAGTACAGTCATAGTGACTACGACAATTGAGAGTGAGACTAGACCTCGTTCTGATAGCTTTGCTGGACCGGCCAAAGCGTCTTCCAAGGCGTGTGGGTGCGGGTGTCTGATGTCCCGAAGGTCGGGCTTGACGGACGATGGCTTCTTTTCACCGCAGACCAAGATCACGGCGGGGGGTTCCCATTTTTTGGAGGACTTTGGTCAGAAAGCGGATGCGTGTTACTGCCAACCTTTTGTTTTGAGAGAGACGCACAATGTTGCTTAGTTTGCTGATAGAGTTTGTCAATAGTTTTACCTTTACAGCTTACATGGGTCTTGTGAGAGTGACATCTGAAACGACCATTTTACGCCCGCTGCCATTATCAAAAGTGACGGAAGTCAAAAGAAGTGATTACTACTGGTTGGGCGCAAGAAGAGTGAAATCGCAAGACCTTTTAAATTTAATTCGTAGCTCGTAGATCTATGCTAAAGTCTTGTCCACGACCCCATTCTATACGTAGATACATACTGGATCTTCATGTTTCCGTGAACATCTCTCTCCTTTGTCTCATAGATATTTGAAGTAAAATGTAGACGGAAGGCCGAGATGACCACCAAAAGTGACTATGGCAGAATATCTGGAGCACACCCCCTCACAAAAATCAGTGTACCGATACTGTGGATGAAACATCCAAGAACCAGATGGTCAAAAATATGTACAATTGAACTTGAATTGCGCCTATCCCCTTATACCCTCTTTTTTTTGTTAAATGATTCCTCCTTCAATAAAAGCTTAGTGTCCGAAAAAATGGCTAAAGATGCATCGAGATGTCCCTAGCTGGTACTGTACAGGAAGCGAAAGATGCTCTTATAAGCCGATTTAAACGGTGGCATAGGTGTTGCCGAAGTCGCTGGGAGCGTTACCGGCAGCATTCATCAAGCTGTTGGCGCCAACCATGAAGTAGCTGTAGCCCATGACATAGTCAAGAGAGTCGAGCTTAGGGAGGGCCTGCTCCAAGAAAGCGCTAATCTCGGCATCGGTGCCAGAAGGAGCAAACTCGGTAATGATGACAGGCTTGCCACCGCAGATCTTGTTGGCTCCCTCAATGTGGGAGAAGAAAGTGTCAATGGCAGAGGCGGGGGAGTACCAGTGGACGTTGCAGAAGTCGAAAGCGCAACCACCGGATTGAGCGTTGCAGGCACTGACGAACTGCTGGAGCCAGTCGAGACCCTGGTTGGCAGCACCGGAGTTGGAGACAGAGGGAGCACCAATGAGAGCCTTGCCAGAGTACTTGTTCAAGAACTGGGCATGGGCAGAGGCGGCAGCAGCAGGAGGCAGGTTGCACTGGCTGGCAATATCACACTCGTTGAAGCTGAAGATGGCCTTGGAGCCAGAGGCAAGAGCAGCCTCAGCCTGGGCATCGAAGCCATTGGAGTGTTCAGGCTGAGGGCCCCAGAGAGTAGGAACATAGCTGTACTTGCTAGTGTCGATGCCGGAAGGCCAGAAGCCCCAGTTGTAAGCCCAGTGGCACTTCTCGCAGCTCCCACCGAAGGTGTTGGCCATGTTACCGTCGTTGTAAGCCATACCACGCTTGCCGGGGAAACCGCCAACGGAAGCAGGGGGGGAGGCCGGCTGGCTGGGAGTAGCAGCCTTGGAGGAGGTGCTGGGAGGAGGAGCAGCCTTGGAGCTGGAAGAGGGCGTAGGGGTGGGGGTGGGAGTGGGAGTCTCCGAGCTGGTGGGGGGAGCCGGAGTGCTGGAAGCGGCCGGCTTCGAGGACGCAGGAGCGGAAGAGACCGGGGCAGCAGGCTCGCTGCTGCTGCTGCTGCTCTTGACGGGAGCGGCAGCAGAGGACTGACGGACAGCGGTAACCAAGGTGGTAGAGTGCTTGGCGGGAGCCGCTGCGGACGAAGCAGCATGGGTGGAAGTAGGAACAACAATGGTAGAGGTCGAAGTCACGGTTGGGGCAGCTCCGGCATTGTTGTTTCCAGCACCGGTAGGGTTGGGAACATCCTTAGCACCGAAGCCGGAAGAGGTAGCGGAGGCGGCGGCGGCGGGAGTAGACGCAACAGGGTCAACGGTGACATAGACGGTCTCCCAAACAGTGCACCAGGTGGTTTCCATGGCGCGCTTGTCCATCTGATGCTGGTGGCGATGGGCGTTGAGAGCCATGGTCTGACCCGCGAGGGCAGCGATGGAGGTGAGGGCAACGGCCTTGTACATTTTGTCTAGATTTTTGACGGGGTTTTGGTTTTGATTTCTTTTCAGATGGCGAAATTCAAGTAAATAAGGACTGTGAAATGAAGTCGAGTCGACTTTGTGAAACTTTTGCAGAGCGAGGCAATGGTGGGTTCGGCGCGGCCGGTAATGAGTGCGAATGGTCTATCAAAGACACAGTTGAAAGGAGTGAAACAGCCTGGCTGATTTCAAAAGAAGTCGAACTGGCGACGGTGAAGATAAAGGAAAGACGAGCTGACGAGATGCCAGGGAAAAGAAATGTTTGAATGGTGAAAGAAGGAGAAAGAAGAGATGAGCTGGGGATGAGAGGGGCGAGGGGCCTGAAGTACCCGGCAAGTGGAAGCCGCCAGGTGCATGGGCAAGCTGCAAGGTACAGAAGCAGGGCAGCGGGGCCCCTGTAGGGCGAGGGTGTTTTAGTGCTGTGGCAAAGGGAAGCCAGCGCCGGTGAGGACGCGATTCAGGGCCCCGAACGGTGCCTGGCTGGGCTCGATTCAGCCATTGCACTCGATGGCTGGGATCAGTTGATGTAAGTGCGTGTGCACTGTAGCACACGGAGCACGGAGGAACTTTGCTGTGCTTGAGGTACACGGATGGAGAAGCACTGACAGGTACCCTCTGGAACGCAAACAGCACAAGAAACGTGCACTTGCGGTTCGTCATCCGCAATCTGATACAAGGCGTGCCTTGGTTTGCCATGTACATGTCAGAGCTGGCCCAGAACGGGTCCACACAGTAGGTGACTGGTGTAGCTGTAGGGAATATATTGATGGCAGTGTCACTCGGTGAATTGGACCGATCACATAATTGAAATTGATGATTGATATTGAATGCCTGCCTTTTGAAGGGATGCACAGCAGCATCTGCAACACTGCATTTCATCATCGTCATCCATCTGCTGTGCACCCCAATTCTACACTACGTGGCACAACGACAACATATAGACAAAGCACATCACAGCATCCCACGAACAAAGCAAGCCCGAGGTCAACATTGAAAAAAAAACCACCCATGTGGGAAAAATCAAGACAAGAACGCCCTCAGTCAGCCAGTCTGTCCCGTTAACCGACATGGCTCCAGTCCAGCGCCTCTAGCGCCGGCCCAAGCCTTCTAGCGCCAGGGGGTTTTGGGGGCGCCAGGCACAGCGCCAGTTGAGGCTGCTAAACCCACCAAGCAGCACCAAGCAGCACCCCTCCCCCTGCTGATTGGCCGCTGTCTGCCAGGCACGGGCTTCCGGTTGGCTCCCAGCAGCAGCGGCGGGCGAGTCCGGCCCGTCTGTGCCCAATCGCTATCCACGGCGCCCCGTCTCCTAGTCAAGGTGAAACAGCCCTCGCATGTCAAGCCGTGCGTGGCCCAGATCCGGTCTGCTTAGGGGGGATGACGAGTGCGTTGATTTCAAGGCTTTTTTGTTGATGGAACTGATTGATTACGGAATACGGAGTACAGCGTCTTTTCTTTCTTTCCTCGGTCTGCCTCTAGCGATTACAGGTGGCTTTCAGCGGCGGGCTTGGCTTTTGCTTGGGCATGCGTATTCTCGTAGTCGTAGTCGAGGTCGAGGTCGATATTAGCAACGGAGAAAGAAGGTTGAGGCTTTGGCCATGTGGGCTCGGCCACGCCATCGGCGGTTGTCTTGTTTCTGTCACTTTCGTTCCATGCCATACGATGCCACAATATCGTGCTTCCTCCACACTCCCATCCTCTCCTGATACACGCACTATTAAACGGATCAACGCCGATGAGGCCTTTACCCTTTTCACCTCGGACAAATTAAAAACAAGCAATGGCAAGCAAACCCCCCAAATTACTCTTTCTCGTAGCTGCGTGGATACTTTGGATCTGGGAAGTGGGCTGCGAGGGCTCATGTAAGACGACAAACACACTGTACTGTATGTACACGCATGCGCAGAACGATCGACAGAATACGAGTGTGTGTCACGCATTGCTCTTCGTATTCCCTCTTGCCTAGACCCTAGAGTTCATCTTGGCGCTGCATTCGATCCTACCGTTGAGATCGAGTTGGAAACTTTACTTGATGGGCTGTAAACTTGTTTCCAGGTATCCGTAGGGAGGTCTAGTATGGAACTGACACCGCATCTACTGCACACGAACAAGGATAGGGCCTCATCCACACCCCCGGCAGGCAACGCGTTCACCCCTTGTCGGTGCCAGGGTCGTCGATGCTAGGCTATTTGTTTCATGCTCACCAGAATGGAAGGGGCCTGGAACTTGGCCACAATGAACGAGGCAAACAAATCGGAGACCGGCATCGAAGGATGATTCCCTCAATGGAATGTATACGGAATACGGAGCACGGAGTACGCCGGACACATATAACGGTATGGAGTCTCATTCTCCGCACACAATATAATTGATTTTGCCAGGCCCTTTTGTGTGCGATTGTCTCACGGAGCACACCTTTTTTTTTTTTTTATTCCACGGGGCAGTGAGACAGTTCCATCTTAAACTTTGCTTCGGATAGCTGCAGCATTTGCATTCTGCATTCTGCATCCGCCAACGTGGCTCCAATCGAGCTGCTTCACATGTTTATCTGCGCACATTAACTTTTACGCCACTAACGTGAAACAAAAAAGAAAAAGACAGAAAAAGGCCGCGAGATCAAAACAGCCTAGATCGCATCCAAGCCTTGACTAACGGCACCGGTCGATTTTTTCAGCCGTTGTGCTTCACTTGGCGAACAAGCTCCACCCCTGGCCACGTTGGCTCGGCCTCAAAGCTAAGACCTGCCAATCGCTAGGCTATCCGGAACACAAAGATAGCGGTTGGGTTTTTCCCATTTTTTTTTCCTTTTGCGCTCTTGGCAGTCCAGAACTACTCCAAAGGACAGGGGTTTGGCAGACGACTTCTCGAATTTTCAAGTCCTGTGCGCTCAGCTTGGGCTCAGCTTGGGCTCTAGGCTTTCAGCCATCACAGAAGCTGAGGCAGCGGGGAGTGTCTGCTATTATTACCGTCTTTGTCAGAATTTAATATTTGTAGTATGAGCATATTAGTAGAAGATTACTCGTAGTGGGTACATCTATGCTGCTATATGCAAACACGTGGGTACAAGTACTCGTACACCTTTTGTGGCTCGGACCAAGAGCCCGTTTGGAGAGTGTTTGCGATTCTCCCTACAGTAACAGAAACAGTAGTCCATTTTCCGATTCCACACAGACTCGCAGGATTACTAATATGAGGGCGTCGTTGCTGAGCGCGAAAAGGAGGTGGGCAGACAATCTCTTGGAATGCGTTGGCCCTGTATAAAGAACAGCCTCCATGCACTCCGTTAACCGAATGGCGCGATATGTCAAATTGCTCTCCCCTTTTCCTCTTCTCCAGTTCCTATTCTAGACCTTTGGCCAAGATGTCAACAGCCTGGTGCCCCCATGTCGCTGCTGTATACCTTGATTCTTGTTCAGGCAGTGTCCAGTGACAGGGGCCGGGGATACCCGGCACAGGAAACATGAACCATGAGCCAATCATGGCATCCCAGAGCTTCTACTCATACAAGTATATTGGTACTTAATATATACGGGTACCTCATACGGAGTACACGCATATTCTGTCACCGTTGTCCGGCTTGTTGACCAATGGGTCGACTCGGCCCCAGTGGAGCGGCTGCTCCTGGCATAGTTCTTGTAAATTGTCGGCCTGACCTCTGTTATCTGTCCATCTCATCGAACATTCTTGGGCGTTTCAGTTGGAGCTTCAATCTATATACGTTCCCTGGTAATCTTGGTGACATTGCTACCCGCCGCATCTACTAGGACGAGCGTGTATTTGGTCGAGCCATCACCTGTAGCTTGCCTGCTGTATATACTTGTAACCGCCAGGCCCGGAAATTGCGTACTGTACCAGTAAGCGCTGGCAGGGCGCCAGAGCTTGGCCTGAGTCTTGTTCGCAACAAGCTCAAATCATGGGGAATGGCATCACCACCATCAAATGGCATGGCACGGTGATGTGACAGTTTGATTCGAGTTGCGGCGAGGCGCCACTGTATCCAGTTTATTAGCACCATGCCTGCTGGGCCTGGACCTGATCGAGTTGTTGGCCACGTTCTCATTTGCTTCGTCGACCAACCGGTAATGGAAGGTCTGTCAGGCCGATTCGCGTTGGGCGCTACTGAGATTCTAGCCGACTGTTACCTCCTGACCCCTACGATCGGCTGCTACCGAACGTTGAAAATGGATACAGGAGATATGGAGTTTTCGGCCCCCAATGATGACCTGAGATGACCTGAGCTGCGCTTTCTATCATCGTCAAGGCCTATATGCAGTGCTTTGTGCATTGTGAAGAGGTGCTTTGCGGTAGAGCATTGAGAAGCGATATCTATACGTTTCGAGCAGAAGGGCTAGGGTTCATCACTTGATATTGAAATAGTTTTAGTTACTTAGTTCAACTAATCGGTCTGTTGAGCTCTCTATTTTTGCAGCATGTTAACACCCAATCACTCACCGAGTATGTCTGTGGAAACACGCATACAACAAAGCTTCTGTGCCGATTACCCACAAGCGCAAGAGGAATGTCGAATAGTAGCAGTCGATACTATATATATCGTCATCATCATGAGGAAGAAAGACGCCAACAATCACCGACAAACGCCACGATTCATGCAGCATTGCTTTCATGACGTTGAAGCTCAATTGCTTCACCGAGCTCGTGGGGGGATTCCTGCCAATATCAATGCCTACCCTAGAGTTGGGGAAGTAACGCGGGGTTGTGGGTGAGGCGAGTGCCGAGGCCGAGATGCGCAGTACAGTACCAAGTACGAATAACGAACTGACCTACCTACCCTAGGTAATACAAACCTTAATTGCTGCATTCGAGGAATATCACGGATATGGCATTCAAGTTGTTGCCAGATGAGCGGAATTATTCAGGCCTGTAGCCCGTTTGATTTAGAAATAGAAGACCAGTTGCGGGGGGAAGAACAGTTGCTGGCACATCACCACCATCACTTACAGCAAGACTCAGCTACTTCTATCTCCCATGGTTCTTATCTAGTCAACTACCTCATGCGTTGGACCCCTTCTCATCTGCGCCAAACATATCATCCCTACACCTCCAAGCTTGCATCAAGATGCACGACCCTGTACTTGAAGTCAAATGACGCTGCGGCTTGGCCCCTTCGGTCATCAAATCTACCAAGCCTCGTAAAGCAAAATGGATGCAACATCTCGGTGCAGAGCAGCCACGAAATCGTCAGCGTGCTATACTAAAAGGAACCAAGCTGGAGAAAGTCAGAAGCACGCCAACCAAGAATGGACCAGCTGATCGACTGGAAGCATGTGTGGAAGCCATCGTGGAAATACTGGTGCCTTGTGCTAAGGCATTGCTGCGCCGCATTTCGCCTTGGCTCAAGCTCGCCCTGAGAAATTCATTGGTGGCATCAAGAGTTATATATTTGCACGGAGTACGTGGGTACGGAGTAAAGCCGCTCCGTTCCCATGCGGCTAAAAGTACTAAACAACTACACTGCCATCCCACTGCCGGTTGTTAGGCGAACAGCTTCTACTTCCATTTCCGGCAGCCAAGCTGTACTCGTATGTCGACAATATTCGCGACTCTGGGGAGCTCCATCTACGAATATTTAACCCACTCGGCATTGCGCATTTAGTTGCCGTGTTTCTTGCGACATCCAGGCGATTTCTGACTGCATCTACACCCGCGCACCAATCAGGCTTCTGTGGATGTTGCAATAAACCCGAACGAAGCGCGCGTGGGGCTGTCGAGAGTCACCGGCGAACCGAATTCGTGCAGACGTGCGCATAGTCTGCCAAGAGAAAGGCGCGCATGTTTCTTTCTGTCGCCTAGCATGGACCTACAGCCCTTCGACAACGACATCATGTCGTACCCCGATCCCTCTGAGTTCGACTATGCCGCCTTTCTGCAGACGGATGACATGGGCTTCGTGGATGCGATGCAGGGCCAGTCGACGGGCTCGCTCTCTGGGTCGTCAGGAGGAATGCACACGCCCCCGTATTCCAGCGCCCGGAGCCTGTCCAACAGCAGTAACAGCAACCAAAACGCCGTTGACCTGAGCCTCCGCCGACTTCCGGCGCATCAGAGGCAGCGGCTGGAGCGGAGAGGCCATACCAAGAGCCGTCGGGGATGCTACAACTGCAAGAGGCGACGCATCAAGGTAAACTCGTAAAGCCCTCGTTGCGATTGGTGAAAGAGAAAGATGCTGATTGCACATATGCTTTACTGTAGTGTCAAGAGACACACCCAGCCTGCGGTCACTGTCTCAAGACAGGCCTGAAGTGCGAGTACCCTGCTTCGCCTCAGATCACGCACCAGGTATGTCTCAGCGAGGGGTTTATCACGCCACACAGCCAACAGCCAGCTTTGGGACTTGGCTGACACTGCCCATAGCCTCACAATCAGATTCCCCTGTTCAGCTTGCAGGATATGCGATGCTTCCAGTACTTTTTGACACAGTGCTACCCCCACCATCCTCTGAAGCAGGAAGAGATTTGGACTCACGAGATTCCAAGCATTGCGCACAACGTATGTTTGAAGCATGCCTAGCAGATGTACCTTGCCTATTTTCCCATTAGTGTACTGACGCGCGCTTTCCAGCATGAGTTTCTTATGCATGCCATCCTGGGGTATGCGGCCTCGGAGCTGATGCACACAGACCCTAACCTTGCGCCGGTGGCCATGGGGCATCGCATCAAAGCCGTCAAGGCAATCAAGAAGCGATTAACAGATACGTCAAGGATAGAGACGACTTACGAGGAGGCCAACGCCCTAGTAGCCACCTGCTTTGCATTGACTTTCCAGTCCGTCAGCCTTGAAGACGGCTTGGCCGAGTACATGACGTTCATTCGCGGCATTGTCATTGTGGGGATGCAAATGATGTTTAAGAGCATCAAGCCTCTTTTTAGTAACCTGTTTGAGTCGAACCAAGATGAAGTCCTTGCACCATACATGGAGGGGCTGCCGCTGATTCAGAGGGGGTGGGCGGAGATGGCTATTGAATCCATTACGAACCTGCTTCCGCTCTGTACGCACCAGGTTGAAATCGAATATCACGAACAGCTGATGACGATTTCATCCCAACTACTGACCAACTCATTCGAAGGTAGGCTGAAGGCCACATCTGATAACCAACATTGTGCTGACATGGATCGTTGTAGCGTACAAGGCCAATTCGAGACAATACGCGTGGTGGATGCTGTTGCCGCATGCCTCTTTCCAGGAGCTCATCAACGGCAACAACCAAGTCGTCATTCTGTTGCACACCCATTGGATAGCGCTGTCGCAAATCATGGCTTTCATCAACGAACAAGAATACGAGGTGCGAGAGAAGCACCCTGTTCGACAAGAGAGTAGCCGCATCGACCCCGGATTCATTCGTTGGCTCAAGCATCTCAACGCGCGTGTGGACCAAGGGCACCAGACGTTTAACCAATGGCCCAGGTGGGTGGATGAGCAGTTGGACAATGACATTACATTTTTTGGAAGGCGTCGGTAGCGAAGCAGATTTTTGTATTTGAGCAAGTTGACATATTGGCAGCGTTCGTTTGCAGTGGATTTATTCGACACTATTTTGATGATGGATATGAAATCGGAGATGGACCGGCGTATGATTCAACATGACGAGATGGCGATGATTAGTGTGTAGGGGTCGTTGAAAGTCGACTTTGTTGGTGTATGTGGTTTTGCTTTTATCATTTGAATAGATAATAATCTATGCAATGCTGTAAGAAGAGGTCACATTTGTGAATGTTAATTAGCCCAGGCAGTGGGCGAGAGGAGAGTCGGGAAGAGAGGACACAGAAGGAGAGCGGCTGCAGACATACACACGGCAATACTGCGTACGGGCTGATGAATAGAGCGTGTAGTCAACAGTCACACATGGAAAGAATCGGGCTGGGAGAATCCCCTGATATGGCAGATGACACCCCATCCTAGAGGTTGCTTACACGTATACAAAATAGAGGTGCCGTGTAATATTAGTGCCTTGCCGTTGCATCTACTGCAGCTACAACACATCCGCTGCCTTTCGGATCGGGAGTGAATGTTACGAGGAATACGGCAGTTGGTCAGCCGTGCCTGGCGTGGAATATTCAACATTTCCTCGATGCTAAACCTCAATAGTACTGATACCGTCAGCAAGTTTACTAGCTCTGTTCATTAAAAACAGAGAATTTACGTCAATTCTCCAAGTTTCAGGACTGATCTCATCCCAAGCATCAGTCTCAGCAAGCTTCTCGAAGCCCCCCCGCACAGCCACTCAAGGCTTCCCACGAGGCACGAGACAGCGAGACTTGCGGAAGGTGCGATTATGCTTTCGGCAGGGTCCACAGAAGGATCCTCCCAGCAGCATCGCGCTAGCCGGTGTCCACTTTGAGGAGAGTGATTGGTCCGCGTTCATCGTATTCTGCGTATTTGGACAGAGTGGAGACTGACAGCTCCGCTTTTGACCCAGCCACATGCACGAGAGTGGCGCTAGAGGGCAGGAGCTGAGAGGTGAAAGGTGCTGGAATGGGGGATTGTTGCGTGGCAGTGAGGCTGCGTATTGGTCGGTTTGGTCGGTTTGCTGGGCTTTGATGATTCACGGCTTCGGGTGATGAGCGCCCAAGGGGATGGGATTTGGGTTACTGCCTTGGTAGTAGTGCCCATGAGAGAGTATAAGTAGCGACGTGGAGATGGAGACATCTGGAGCTTGATATCAGAGGCTTACAAGCAAAACAGCAACAACAGCACAGTCTACAATATTTAACCTTTTATATTCAACTTGTGTTTCATTAGTTTACGTCTTATTTCCACTGCTTTTAATACGCAGATATCTTCATCGCCATCAGATACAATGTCTGCTACTCAAACAGAGGTGCTCTTCCTCAACCGAAGATCCTCCCGATCCTCCACAATAGCCTCCTCTCTCCCCCCTGCCTACGAATCCGGCAGCTACGAGCTCAGAGCCCTCTCCACCACATCCTCACGCTCCAGCGCTTCTCTTCCCCAATATGACTTCATCGATGCCTCGGGCTCATCGTCTTCATCACAACCAACATTCCGCTGCACCAAGGCCTTCCAGATTGAAACTCTCGGCCGCCCACTCATCGCTCTTCCCCTCCCGCCTCGACCGGATCCCATCCCCGTATACAACGTAGATCTGTCTTCAGGAACCACTACAGATCTTGCCTACGAGTCTCTGCGTCCACTTCGATACTCCGGCAGCTGCATTCTTATCCGTGCTGGTGACTCGGAGGAGAATCCCGTTTGTCGGACTACATATCGATTTGGGCCTGGCAAGCCGCCTAAGATGGAGCTTGCCGGGGTCTTGGCCCATGATGAGGAATTTGAGGTTGTTAATAAGGGGCTTACTACGCGATCGCAAGTGTTCCGCACGCATCTCGGTACGTTTCAGTGGCGATATGCGGGACGCGATGAGAGGAAAGCTGCTGGAGCCAACAGTTTGATGGTTCTGGATCGGATTATCATGGTGGCTCTTGAGGGCGGCGGTCAAGAAGAGAAGAGGATTCCGGTGGCGCAATTCCTGAGGAATGAACAAGTGAGGACACAGGGGTCGAGGGCGTCGACGGCAGGGAATGGAGGCAGGCTGATGATGAATCTGAGGGAGTGGGAGGGGGCCAAGGGGGAAGCAGAGCAGCTGGAGGTGTTGGTGGTGGCAAGCTGCTTGATGATGCTGAAGAAGGAGGTTGATAGGAGGAGGATGCATCAAGCTATTGCTACGGCATCTCTTGTCTGCTGAGTGGGATTTATTCGTTGGCGAATGGTTTTGTGAGGGGATTACGTGAAGGAGAAGATTGAAGAATACCCGTTGACCGATAGAATTTCCTTTTTAATTTGATATGATAATGATGTATATTATTAGTTTACTAATGTATTTGCTTGTTATGTCACCTCATCTCTTCTTCTGCACGGTATTGATTGCTGTTTGATAGCGAGTCAATCTAAATTGCCGTCTTCTCCCCTCTTCCCAATTCCAATATCTCACCGCTTGGCCGTCGTTCATGCGAAGAAGTTATCTTCTTGAGATCCTTCTTCTTGCATTTTGCATAGTATGTCACACAGCAGCCATCCTTTTCGCCGATAAAGGGGTCATCTGTACACGATTTCCCCCATAGCTCCACAATGAGTACCCATATCGACAAGCTCAGTGTGACAGAAATGAGACTAAGAGACCGAAGTGAGTGCGCCAGCGGCAAGAAGAACATAACAATGCAGACAGCAATGCGATTTGCGAGCCTGACATTCTTGGATAGCCGAAGCATGGGGAGCTTTTTATGCTCATGGGAAAAGGAAATAGCTCCCATGGAAAGAAGAGCGATGGCGAGGCCGTGGCAGTAAAAGAAACGGACGCCTGCGTTGAAGTGATCTTCAGCGCTGTCTCGGTAAGGCTCTGCGAGCTGTTCCGGATTGGTGTCTGGCACGTCTGTAGCCAAGACGAGCCTTGACAGAGCTGATGTGGCGACAATATAGCCCATTACGAACATAAGATGAGCAAATTCCCAAATTCCAGCTGTTTCGTTGTTAGCAGTGTACCAATAAAAGGGAGAGTATGCGCAAAATCTAACCGGAAATCCGAGAACGACGAATTGCATGCAAATTTAAGTTGCTGGCGTCAATATCAAAGTAAATCCAGTTGAAAGTAAAGGCTTGCATCAGACCCAGAATGGCTTTCCCTAGAAACGCATTGATATTATAGCCGCCGTCGCTCTGGAAGAGAATCGCAACAACCGAATACCCGAGAACCAGGGATACGAATGCGTTCATCCTTTCGACTCGGTGTTCGATGCTTATAGCGGGATAAAACTCAAACATGCTGCTTAGACGCTTCTTCCATATACCCTCAGGGGCTTTTCCTTGGATATATAGGAATAGTCCAAGGAAGAAGACGTGTCCGTACATGTCGAGGACCAGTGCTGGAACGATGAATCCCAGACGACCGGGCATGTCGACGTAGATGCTGGCGATCCATAGAGCTGTTGGGATGGCAGTGCCGAATATTTGGCAAATCATGATGCCTTTGATCATGGGTAGGAGATAGGCGGTCATCCCATAGAATATTGCAGTAAATACTCGCGCGGCGAGATAGAAAGACACAAGTTGTACATAAGTATTGTGTGCTGGGTCTTCGTCAAAGATATGGGTCATATTTGTAGTATAGCTATCGTCAGTCAGCTAAAATCTTGCATCCACTTGATGTTTAGTATGCTTACCCAATGAGACAAGAGATGCAGAATAAAATCTCCAGCCTGGTGACAACATCGTCTGACTCAAACCAGCTGAGTGTAAGAGTAATGCTTGTCCATATCCTCCACGTCATGACGAATGTGATGACGAAACGGAGTAGCTCGTATCCGGTCGCTTCTTCTGCCATATGCTCACCATTGGAATGAATGATGCCAACTGTTTAGTTGTTATTATCTCTGGCCAAATTTTACCCGATTTATATGGCAAGCGTCAACATACCATACACAAGATCCAAGAAGAGCTCAATGGCCATGATTTCCGTCTGCTCGGACGCTCTCCATAGCAAACCTTGATGAAACCATTGCCTAATCACAGGTCGCTTAAAAAGCTTGGTGGTTTCTCCGTGACGCTCACCCCCTTGCTCACGGGATTTCTCCGAGATGGATGTGTGCGAAGAAGCAATGGGCGGCTCCTCGTCATTGTAGGTCCGCACGGCAGCATCGTAGCCAAACTTGTTAAAGTTGCCATATAGTCCTGATGCCTGATTCTCCAGACGTTCCAGCTCTGTAGTCACCGAGGAAAGTTGGTTCTGAATGTCTTCCCATTCTTCAAATGCAGGCCCGTGTTGTTCTCGCAGCAATTGCCGGCGCTCTTCGTGGTGATCTCTGGACTGGCGAAGGTATTGGCTGTGCTCTATGGAGCCGTGAACCACTACTTCCACTTGGGTATCACGGTCATTCTGGTATTTGCGGCGAATGTCCTCGAGATCCTCAGGCAGCGTTACGATTATCTTCTTGCCATTGGGAAGGAGCAGTTCTTGTGGTCGGCGTCGTCTTCCCGGCAGGGTAGAAGACATTTTTTCTTTGGAGTCGACAAAATACAAGCACGCCTAAACAAAGAAGGGGTATGAGGGTAGCGGCAGATTAATAAAGATCAATGCCTTTTACGCATGAGATTAAGCAACTCAATTGCCAAGAAGAGCTCTGGTGAGCAGAGGCGGAAAAGGAGTCTTGGTCAAGGCTTCAATGTCTCAGAGTCTGGGATTCCATTGGCGCTACCAAGTTCTTCCGTCATGGACCGACTTTATGTTTTAACTATTCTGCCTGCATGTTCTCCTTGTTCGGGCCATCACTAAGATCATCTCAGCAAAAGGAGAGGTGCCGAACCAAAGCAAGTCTGCTTACCTCATCATCCTAGCTTATACTGAGCTTGCTGATGCAATCCTGATTAGACCCTGGCACAAGCACCTTTTCGTCGAGCAGGCAGGCAAGTCTTCAGATCTGATCCAATCCTGGCCAGCACAAGCTTCGACAATAAGTAACCGAGCTTCAATTGGTAGGAGTTGGTGGAAGTACAGGTAAGAACTTCAGTATAGCTTGGGTATGCGAATTCTATTGGTCGGAGCTGAGGAAGATGCCGACAACAGTCGCTGAGTCAGCAGCTCCAAAGCACGTGACTCCTTGAAGCCTCAGGTGTTAGTGCAGGTCAAGCGCTCGATTCTGGCAAAGATTCAATCGGCAATCATTAACAACGCCTATTTTCGCCGTTCAACCCATCCATTCGCCAAGATGACTGCTGCGTGGAAAGCCGCCGGTTTGACGTATGTCAATTGATCCCCTGCCGAATCGGCCTCGCCCTCACCGTCCCGAATACCCCCACGACCGCTGCGTTGCGACTTTTTTCTGCCGAACTCTGCGAGCCCATAAACTGACTGACTTGTCATGAAATAGCTACAACCGCTACCTGGCCGTTGCCTCCCGTGCTATCCGCCGAAGCCTCAAGGAGGACAAGAGAATTGTTGCCGAGCGACGTGCTGTTTCCGAGCTGCGATTTGCTTCGTGGAAGGTATGTGAATTGGACGATGAGCAAGAGCCGGAACCAGGTTGTTAATGCCTCAGTAGGACGGCAAGGCTGGTGAGCCCAAGGATCTTGCCGCCGCAAACGCCGCCGCTATGGCCGAGAGCGCCTCTTCTTAAACCGTACACATGGGTGTATGGGAAGAAGAGTGTGGATGAGAAGGCGAAATGATGTTGTTATAGACGCTGGGAAGCGACAATGAGAAAAGCCATGCGAATGGGGCTAGAGTTCCAAATTGCTGGCGTTGTAAAATAAATAATTGCTGCAATACATCAATATATTAAGGCAAATGAAGCATCCATCGTGGGCTGTTCGGGCGCTTTGAGCAGGCCATGCGTCACATTGTGAACCGATATAAATTTGGGAGGGGAATACGGAATACTTTATGTATGGTGGGGAATGCGACTGAAGCCTCACATGAAGCTATTGGTCTTATGCAAAGTCGCAATCCGGGTAAATCTCCTAAAAGGAAACTGAATTTATGCCTCTTATCATTCATGTAAACTGACAGTCGAAAACCGGGCTCGCAAAGGAGGGGCGTTGCTCAGCATCTGGCGCTGTCTTTCATCCGTCCCGTCTTAGGTCTGTGTCTCGGCCCGCGAAACAGTGCCTGCCTCTAGTAGTCGCCAAAATCACACCCCATTTCAAGCCACCGCAAGGGAGCATCGAACTCTACATCTTCCCTTTCTTTTCTCGTTGAAGCAAGGAAATATCCCGCGCAATAATGCCAAGCTAATCCTCCCTGAGCGTGAACCATTTATAACCATGGCTGACTTTGGCGTTGGGGTGCCAGACGGTGCGAAAAAGATGCTCCAGCCATCACAATCTCCCCTCACCATCAGCAAAATTTCTAATCTCGAGGCAGCGCAGAAATCGCGAGATTATCGCTGGGCCAGGGCTCTGCTCCTCAGGATACGCTGCCGCCCAACATCAGGAGCGAGGGTGTAGTCGCCGTGGACATAACGGCAAAATTTTCAGATGCTGTCAAGAGTGAGCAATCGCATTCCCGCGCAGTGCGCGTAAGCTAACTCCGAACTACAGCCCTTGAGCCTGGGGCCATCGTCAAGGATGGCTTCTTTACGCTGTTTGACTCTGTCTCAGCTCTGGAGGTTCGTGTTCGGCAGGACTGCCTTGTGCGAGGTTATTCTCTTCTCACATGGCGATAGATCATGGATCCCAAGATGGACAGCGGGTGCTCCACCACAGACGCTGAAGTGGAACATCTTTATGACGTCTCCAGACCACTGCTGCCAGAGGAGGTCCTCGGCATCATAGACCAGCTCTTATGTCATGAGGTTAGTGTGGAAAGGATCGCGCCAGGTCATATTTCAAGAGCTCATGGTTGATTAGATGTCATGGCACCTGGGATACCCTCTCTCTCAAACACTCTTCACAAGCTTCTACATCGAAGCCCTCTCAATGCCGGATCCCCGAAGCATCCAGGAAGCCACATTTATCCGCAACGGTGGCCATGATCCAGACGAACAGCCCATGCTCCAGGTCCTGCGGGCATATTGTCTAAGCATGCTCAAGAGCTGTGGTTACGTGAATGAGAGAATCAAGTCGGAGCACTATTACGAGGTGAGTGTCTATGTTCAGGCGATACTGGTGATTCTGTTATTCGAGCAACATATAGGAAGAGGATTTCGTTACCAACACATATAACCGCACACTTATGGCAAACCTACCAACAAGTGCGATCCGGGACGTCCTAATCGAGGCAATGGCAGCTCTCAAGTCACAACGCGGCTCTGTCCCTGACAATCTCGTTGACGCCCTGGTGCTTCGGCTAGAGCTGAGGCACATATTCCTGGATGCAGTAGAATGCCCAAAACACATGAAAGAGCCTGATTTGGCGAAGAAGCCCTGGAGGGAAGGCCTCGCCATCTTACCGGCCTTGAACAAATCTCACTCTCTCGCCTCACCGGTAGATGAAGCCTTCAGCGCCAAGCTACAGAGGAAGCTGGCCAGCACTATGCCTCCACGGCCCATCGTTCAGCTGGAGTTTGACGTCGCTTTCGGCCACCTAAAGGGTCTGTTTGAAGACGGCCTAGAGCTCATCGATGTTTTACATTATAGGGACTCGCAGTGCTTGCTCGTAAGTGGCCATCTTCCAGCGGATGGCCCATCTATGCTGACAAACAAAAATACAGACGTTTGTATCTACATTTCAAGCGAAGAAACCGCAGCCTATAGTATATGTACGAACACTGCTACAGACATTCCTGTTTGACGCCATGGAAGTTCTAGGGTCTATGAGTATCCGCCAACTTCTTGACGATGACTTTGCCATTCTTACAATGCCGGCACATCAGTATCTTGATAGACTTAACGATGAGGTCGAGGCTGTTCAAGATCCACGGTACGCCATGGCGCAGCAGATGGAGCTCTTCAGGACAAGAGCAGCTCAGCCGTTTTTAGATATCCTACGCACGACTTGCCAGAATCGATGTCGCGTGAGAAGGACTCTGTGTCATCTTCTTCGTGATTGGGAGAGCCTCCAGGTAGATGCGGAAGAAATCGACCAGATCCTCCAGGTCAAGGTAAAGGAGCAGCCGACCATGCACTGGCCATCAATGAGCAGTGGTGGCGTGGAGTCTTATTCGCTGCCCTTATCATCATGGACATATTTATACAAGCTACGGCAGATGGAGCAGATTATCCAGCTAGGCTTTGAGCTGGAGGTTTACCAATCCGATGAACTTGCCGGCATGTACTGGTACCTCAACTACATCTCCAAGTCCCGCCTCCACCACACCGAACGGATCAAATCGTTTGTTATCAAGAGAGTCGAGGAGACACACGGGCAGCCCGGAAATTCAGACCCCACCATCGCCGCACAGCTGCAGCGATCGCTCATGTATACTCGCCTCTCGTTGCTAGACGCCGCCGTCACTTGGGAGTTGTCTGACTCGCTGTCTTGTCTGTACACTGTTCTGAATCGCCTCAAGCTTATCAAGGCGCCGCCTAGGCCGTATGGCACCGACGAACTCCGGTACGAGATTCGGATGAGGCCGTTTGCGCCGGTTGGTCTTCCCGTCTTGCCTACCTTTGAGGAGTTTACGGCCGGAACGCTGCAACCCGACACGGGCATCGATGAGCTCTTTGAGTATGCAGAGAGAGCAGTGGAGGGCGCTAAGAGAGGTTTCGAGGCCCTGAGTAAGATGACAGCCGAGGAGTCCTTCTCCGTCGGCTCTCACCAACGATGGGCCTCGGCTACCAAGAATGGACTCAAGTCATGCATTGCCACGAAAATCGCCATTTCAGCAGTGCAAAAGGCGATGGAAAAGTCAAAGGATCTGGATAATTTGAAGATCAAGGTCGAGATTCCAACTCCGCAAAAGGCATATCATGAATCATGGATTGTTCCAAAGATACTGCCATTAGCATGAAGCAGGCATTTGTAAATATTTAATAAAGAAAAATGACTTATTAAAATCCCATCTCTTATTTTCTTTGCTCCCGGAGCCTATGTAAGAGATGCTAAGAAGAAGAGAAAGAAAGAAGAGGTCCCAAGGTATCCATTCGTGACATACATCCATCAACCTAAAATTCGTTTGAACTCGTTCCAGAAACCCACTCTATACCTCCAGGGATATCAACTGCCCTTACGTAAATTCACCTTGCCTATGGTGATGGTACACTAATGGTACAGCCGAAGAAAATTGCGGCCCCTATCTATTGACCCCCCAAGCCAGCGTCTGATACTGTGATACAAGCTGTTGGAAGAAGAGAGTGCATGCTTTTGTGTGGTAGAAGCGACCACTAATTGCAGTAGGAGTAGCTTACGCCTTCTTGCGGCCCATCCTGAGCCTCACCATCTGCTCATAGAGAACATCCTTGAAGGCAAAGAGGAAGGCCGCTGTTAGGACGCTCTGAGTAACCTTCGGGCCAATGCCTGTCATTTGCTTTTTGTTAGTCGCTCATGCTCCTATTTAACTTGCTCTACTTGCATATGGATTGACTCACCCTTGTATAGACCAGAATAGCCTTCCTCTTTAACGACACGACTCAAAGTCTGAGACATGCCCTCCTTCTTTTCGCTATGGGCAGCGACGTGCATCTGGCTCTTTACAGTGATGTAGGGATATGTCACTGAAGTTGCAAAGAGCTTGCCCAAAGCTCCTAGCACGAACGCCATTGTGGGCGTGATCTTCCTCTTCTTCTCCACGGTATTCTTCATTTGCTCAAAGAGCGTGTACTGAAGAATAGGGTTGATGACCAGCACCAGCGCTGGAATGACTCCGGCAAACAAGGCCCGGGGTCCCTCGTTCTTCAAGAGGGCCATGAGGGTTCCCAGCGTGGTGGGAGCCTTGCTTGGCTTGCCGCCAGCACCGGCCTCGAGATCTGGGTCCTGTCGGCGCGTGGTGATGCGCGTGTTGACAACCCAGATGGGGTTGGTGATGATGACGGTCGCGGAGCCGGCAATGGCACCGGCGATCATGGACTCGATCGTGGTGAGCTTCTTGCTGGCACGGCCGGCGCGGGCGGCGGCCTTTTCAAAGAAGGCCCGGGTCCATTCGTACCAGTAGTAGTAGATGAAGTTGGTGACGCTGATGCCAAACAGAGCCGAGTTGATGCCCGAGTAGAGGCCCGAGACGCCCTCGCGCGCGATGATTTTCTGGATGGCCTCGGTGAACTTGCTCTCGGCTTTTTTCGACTCGACCTGGGCTCTGGTAGAGAGGGTGATGAGGGGGTAGCTACACGAGGGCAGATGTTAGCCAAGGACATCGCTGTCGTGATGCGATATCGCAATCCCGGAACAAGACGGTGGGCGACAAAGACACGAGATGGAGACATCTTACGTCAAAATCATGGACAAAATGCCGCCGCCAGCGCCGGCCAGGGCATGTGCGACATTGTCGTTCTGGGGAATCGGAGACTTGGAAGCCATAGTGCTGAACTGTCGAGGAACTGAATCGGCGGCTTGGATGACTTTGTCGATGTTGCAGTGCTGCGAGGCCTCTGTGACCAGTGACTTTGCTATCGAATTGATACCCGGCGATAAGACGACGCAAGAGTAAAACGGCGTTTCTCGGGTCGCATGCGGTTGTGCGAAAGGCCCGATTCTATATCGTCGAGGGAAACAGAAAACTATTCCGGACGTCTGACCGTCGTCGATGGGCCCCTGACAGATGCAAGCCGAGGTCCCTGTTGGATGTTTGAAGCCGGCGACTTGTCTGTAACCGCATTGTTCCGCCTTAGCGCGGCAGAGAGCGCTGGAATGAAGTCATGTCTCCCCCGTGGGAGCCCGCTAGTGCGCTGAAGCTTGGGGGCATTGCATGTGACTTTGGCGGGGTGTTTTTGGCGGCTTCGGGGGCGACAAGATCGCCCAGTGTTTGTGATTGTGATTACAGAAATGCGGGTGCCGAGGTAGGTGCTGTATCGGGGATGGCGGCAATCACTAAGGCGCAAGCGTGTGTTTTAAAATGCTGGAGGTTGTTAGTGCGAGCAAGCACGAGACTTGCGTTTGGATTGAGAGATGCTTCCGAGAGCCTGGGAATGAGCCCTGGCAAGTCTGGGGAAATGAAGAGGAATGTCACTGAGCACCCTTCCGTACAGTGCTTCGTATAGTAGCTTAGTAGGCACAAATCACTTCAATGCGGGCATGCGTGTAAAGAGGTACATCAAACAGTGACAATTGACCGGCGGCACCGGAGTAACGATACTGCGGCCAAAAAAAGAAGGTTTCGCAGAAAATGTTAAAATCGTAAAAACAGAGCAGAGCTCAGATCGGCTAAACCACTGTAGGCAATATCCGAAAAAGCCAGACTGATGTAGCTTTCCTCGTCTCCGTCGGTGACGAATACCTCCAACCCTTCGCAAGCTCTTCACGCCGTGGCTGGCCCTGCGGCTCTGGTTCATGTAATCTGCGACAACAGATCTGGAATGAAACACCTGCTTGCTGCAGATGCCCCGGCGCAAAAAGTCCGGATCCAAACCCGCCTCGTTCAACCTCCGCTGGCACAGCATCGCGGACCCCAACACGCCTAGTGTTGATATTATGTCCTCGCCTGACCCGCTGAATGAACCCACTATATCATTTCCTAGCTTTGCGCCCGAGTCCGCGTCACGTCGCGTGTCGCGCAGCCCGCAACGAAGAATCTCGCTAGCCTCGCCCAGGAAGCAGACGTTTGAGCCGCAAGCCGGGGATTCATTGTCGCCGCAGCGGTTACCGGTCACGGTCGAGACGGAGGGCGACGACGAGATGGCCACTGCATCCAGCGGCACGAGGAGGAAGCTCTTCAAGTCGCCGGTCCAGTCGCCCACAGTGCGGCGCAGGGCGGATGACACAATCACGACTACGGTCCCGCTGAGGGAATCCGCCGAAGATGAGCTCACAACTGCGATAACTCCTAGTAGGAGACGGAGCCGCACTCGACTTTCCAATGGAACGCCTCTCCCGACGGCTGGGGTAAAGAGGAGAGCAGGGTCACCAATCAGCAGAAACCCACGTCGTGTACGTGAAGAGAGATTCACAGGAGAAAACACCGCGGAGCTGCATTTTGAAGAAAAAGAGAATGTTCAGGCCACGCCGGCAACCGTAAAGCGAGGGCGTCCGCCCAAAACCCAGGTTAACCAACCGTCCAGCGAGCTAGGACCTGCGAAACGAGGGCGAAGACGACAGGCAATGGCCCCCGATGAGCTGGTTGGAATAGCGGAAGAAGCAGCAGCAGAGAGAAGTTTGCAAAATATTCGCCGACCAAGCGAAACCGACGCTGTGGATCTCATACGGCCTCCCTCGGGGCAACGTGCCAATGGCAATGCTCCAGGTGCCGATGCCGCATCCAATGCAGATACGGAATCTGATGATGAACCGACGCCTAAAGCTTCAGCGCAGCCTTCGACGACAATACGATTGCCTTCCAAAAATAGGCCGTTGGAAGTTGCTGGTACTAGAAACACTGACCGTGCTCCAGAAGCAAGCGACCATTCTACTGTGGACGAGCACCATGACTTTAGCTCTCAGACCAACGATACGATCGCTCAGGGTGAAGATTTTAGTATGATCTTCATGGATTCCATTCCTTCTTTCCAAGGGAGTCACCACGGTAATAGCACCTTTATGTCTGCTGCCCATGATGACGAGGAGCTGGGTGAAGAAACACATCTGATAATCAACAACACTCTGGCGTCACTAAGACAGGAGGTTGCTCAAACTAGCGATCCAGTGGATATCACAGAAGCAATCGAGATCCCTGAGTTGCCCGAGATCGAAGAAGAGCCAGAAAAAGAGGTGGAGTTTATTCCCATCATAAGGGAAGCTGCCAGAAAGGCGCGTCTGAGCGAGAGTCCGTGGTGGTCTCGCAAACCTAGGAAGATGGGATCATCGCCACCAAGACATCAGACGCTGTTGAGGTCCGCTGCAAAGAGGTCGGGAAGGCTGTTCAAGTTTGACCAACGGGAGGAAGAGCCGACGCCCACTAAGGCTGGTAGACGGCCGGCATCCGCACAGTCCCGAGAGGGCCGCTCGAACATTTACGAAGACTCCTTCTCTGAGATTCCTCAGAACTACCTTGATGCTGCTAACCCTAAGCCCTTGAATTTTGCCGCCACTCGAACCGAACGAGAAGTCGATTTGATGGAGTACGGATTGCAAGGAGAGGAAGAAGAGCCAGCCGAGGAGGAGGAGGAGGAGGAGGAGGAGGAGGAGGAGGAGGAGGAGGAGGAGGAGGAGCCAGCCGAGGATAATGACGAGCCCGTGGAAGACAACGTTGAAAATGATGTGGAAGAATATGCTGAAGAATATGCGGATGAAGTTGCAGATGAGGGACCATTGACTGCGCAAATCCAGAGAACGGCTGGACCAAGTGCGGTTAGGTTACCAACACCACCATCACCCGATATAATAAGCTCCCCCGTACGGGATGTCGAAGAAGAGAGTGAGCACGAAGCACACGAAGAATTTGAAGAGCACGAAGGACAAGAAGAAGAATATGAAGATCATGCTGAGCATGCAGAACAAGAGGAATTTGAAGAGCACGAAGGGCAAGAGGAAGAGTATGAGGAACAAGCAGAACACGGGGATTTTGAAGAACACGACGAGCATGAGGGAGAGCTGGAGCACGAAATGGAGCTGCTGGAGGAGGAGGAGGAGGAGGAAGAAGAAAGAGAAGAAGAGTTAGCAGGCCATGAGGAGCAGCAACAAGAAATGGAGGAGGAGGAGAAGGCTGGAGTGGAAGAGTTTGAAGAGCATGGACTGCATGAAGAGGAAGGGGAAGAGGAAGTGGCGGAACATCTGGAACAAGAACTGGAAGAGGATGAGGAGCAACAGGAGGAAGAGGGAGAATATGCTGAGCAGGAAGAAATCGAGGAGCACGAGGAGCACGAGCACGAGGAGCATGAGGAGCACGAAGTCCCTCTATACGAACCTTTGGATCGCTTGAGAGCAAGCCTTTTTGGGCGCCGTCAGCCTACGCACAAGGACGATTATGCCGACGAAGAAATACGCTCCGACCCTCTAGAGCAACCCGAGCAGCTAGAGCCTACACCCGAGTACGAAGCACAGCCAGTAAAGGCCACACCACTCCATCAAATGTCATCGCCGCTCCAGGAACCCCAATCCGTCCCCCCGGAACCCGCGCAGTATCAGGCAGTACGACCTGTCCTTTCTTCAATAATGCGAGCGGGCCGCGTTTTACAAAACGTCACATCCGATCCCCCTTCACCAGGAGACCGAGAGAAACATCTGGGAAGCCCATTCAGGAGCTCCGCGAGCAAAGAGTCGTCACAAGGGCTTCCGAGTAAAAGCCCGCCACAATTGTTTCATTTTAGTCGCGACCAGTCGAATATCAACAAGGCGCCTGTGAATTATAGGGTGACTGCTAATACTGAGGCTTTTGGTATGAGTTTTAGCGGAGCACGCCAGGCACTTGATATGGGACCAAATGACCCCCTACATAGGAGGCGACCTCCATCGAGAGAATCCATTGCAAGCTCTCTGGGCAACACGCCTCCGAGTGGCGGTGCTACGGGTTGGCTCGATAGGGAGGGACCTATAAGTCCCCTTGTAAAGGGGGTTAACTCATTGCTGCGAGCAACGCGCTTCTCGAGCATTAGGAATGCTTTCCCCTTTGGTCAAGTTGATGGCGCTGGAGAAGAGCCTGAGAGGGCTGAGGAGGAGGATGAGGAGGAGCAAGATCTCGAGGAAGACGAGGAAGAGGAGCAGGAGGAAGAAGAGGAGCAAGAGAATGAGGACGAAGTGGAAGAGGAAGAACAGGCGGAAGAACAAGAAGAACAGGAGCTGGAAGAACAGGAGCAGGAAGAAGATCAGGATGAGGATGAAGAAGACGACGACGATGATGATATTGATATCTGGGAATACGAAGCACGGCGAGAAGTGCCACCTCGCCAAGAACCCCAGCAGTCGATGATGCCCTTGGTACAAGATCGTGGCACGGCACCGGGCCCATCAAGCTCCTGGAGAGACGCACAACGAGCACCAGCTGCAACTCTTGTTGCTCCGAATGACCTGCCAAAGTCATCTCGCATCAGACAGTCGATTAGCCGGCAAGCCGATAGAAGTTTTGGAGGCGAGGAGCATTCCCTGATTGCACGGAATCAACAAGAACAGGAACCCGCGACTTCATCCAAGTCCAAGCGGTTTGACTTATCATCCTTTTTCTCCTCGCCGGCTGCTATTCCGGGGCTATTGGCTGAAAAATTCATGCCGGCCAAAACCAAAGCCCCTGCCGAGCCAACCGTTCAACAAACAGAGCCTGCTAGACCTCGACAAGAACCTCCAGCGATGCCCACGACATCAAAGTTTTCAAGAATCTCTCAAAATGGAAATGGTCCGCGAAATCTTCGTCGCACAGATCCTATTCCTTCAACTGTTCGACCTGATCCACCGGCTGATGAGCAAATGGCTGAGCAATCCTCATCCCCTGGCACTCCTGCTGAGAAAGCTTCTCTCCCCGTCATTGCTCAGAAGCAAAACTTTACGCCACATCCAGGACATGGCAGCGATTCCTTCTTTCAGCCCTCGTCTTCACTCGCAGCCGCGACTCCCCCAAGGATGCAGCTGACCCACGAAGACATTCACAGGTGGCAAGTGGCAACGTCGAATGCTAGTGGAAGTTCGCCCACCCTTCCGTCTTTATTAAGGCCGCTGCCGTCAAAGCACGCCTCGCCAAAGAAATCAAGTCTTCGTTCTCCTTTGAAGCCCCATACGCCAGGGCGAGTGGTTGAGTTTACAAGCAGCGTGTTATCACCTCAGGAGCAAGCTCAAATTCGCGAACAACGCGGCCGAGCTAACGAAGATGTATCCCAAGAGGATATCATCACCGCCGCCCCCATACCAACCCATGTAGAGCCGCGGGCAGGCAAAGGAAGCATGGGTAGGCAGCAGCAGCAACCGCCACAAAAACTCGCACCAAGGATCATTAAGCCCTCAGGAGTGACGAAAAAACGGGCATCAAAGAAGCGAGGGAGACGAGAACCTCCTTCCCAGACGGTCTGGACTCGTCGGCACTGGATTTTCCTCGATACACTCCTGCAGATGCGGCGGCAGAGCCCCTTCAGCGAAGAGTACGAGCCTGTCTCCCGACGCTACCTCGGAAAAGTCGTCACTAGCATGGGCGAGTCTTTGGTGCTGGAGAAGTGGCATCTCGAATGCGTCGACGCCTTTAAATCCCAGATAGGTGGCTGGGATGAAGGAGAGCTCGCCAAGAGACTGTTTGCGCTTATTCTCGGAGAAGCACAGCGGCGTCGAACCTCCGTGGGCCCGTCTCCTGGAGTAATGTTTCATTGAATGAGACGAACAACAGGAAAAGGTCTACCTTTTTTTTTATTCATATTAACCTGAAACTTGTTCTGCCGGTACAATTGTATTTTTGTTGGATTCATGGCCGGCAGAAACGGAACAAATCGCCTTGTAGATTTTTTGATATAGCATTTCATCGGTGTTGGGCAGAGTCAAGGTACTTGAAGCAAAAATAACAACTATATGCATGAGTTGGCGTTGGAAAGGGATCCGGTTTGATTTACTTTTGGCTCTGGCTTGGCTTGGTTCCCGGTTCGGGTTTGACTTTTTTTTTATTACAACTGTATTTAGGGAAAAGATACCACTTGAGCGGTTGGATTGTTCGGTTTGGTTTAAGGAGGGAAATATGATTTACCTTTTTGCTCATGCTAGGATGTACTACCAGAGCTTCTTGTATGTACGGATTCGTGGAATACGGGACGGTTGGCTTTTCGGTTACCCTTTTGTCTCCACGAAGAGAATGAATTACGCCATGATGGAATGAGAAAAGATTCACACTTGGGTTACAGAACTGTACCTTTCTTTCATCACATATGCGAAAGTACAATGGACAATTTCAGTAGGGACGGCAAGTCTTTTGGATGAACAAGCGCCTCATCTACCGTGACTAACACATTACAATACAAGATCCGTTCTCTAACCATCATCCTCATCTCAATGCCCGTTGTATTTTTCCTCTACTCAAGCATGGAGGCCTGGTTCGTGTACAGCACATCCACCACGTTGCTCAGCTTCTCAATTGTCGCCAGAGCAGAGTCATACGACTCGTCCCGCTGTGTCTCGTCGTAAATAATAAGGCAACCAGCACCCTGATCCAACACGCCAATGATGACCTTGTCGAGAATCATCTGTGACAGCTTCCTCTCCACCTGCTGGGTGTCGAGACCCACCATCTTGGCAATGTGATCAATCTCGACTCGTGAGAAGGGCTCAATAACCTTGATGAGGTTCTGCTCCAACAGGGCATCGTACAGGCGGCGAAGGTGGTTGCGGATGAAGGTGTCGCTGCCAAGCTCGTATCGGTAGGCAGACAGTGCTCGTTCGTACTCTTCCAAGGATCGGTTTGCGTGGGCTCGGGCAATGGCCTTCATGGCCTCGAGGTTCTTTCCGGCGTATTTGACGGCCTGCTTGGATGCCATGAGCTGGTTGACATCGTCGACCAGGTTCAACATGATCTTGCAGAGGAGCATGTACTGCAATGCAGCCTGGGCTTTGGGGGCCTCTTCCTGAGTGTGATATCCGTCCAACGCCTCGATGAAGTACGAGAACGCCGTGTTGAAGTCCTTATCTTCAGCGTGAAGCATTCCGCTCTGCATGTCAAGGTTGGCCTGCAGCAGTGGAGGGGTGTAAACACTGGCAGCGCTTGTCCTCGCGCTCGTCAAAGCCGCGCGGGCCTTGGGAATGTTGCCCAGGGCATGGTAGACTCGGGATTCGAGGAGCTGGACTTCGACGAGGCGGAGCTTGTCGTCGAGGCGCTTGAGCTCACGGAGAAGGCCGTTGATGAGGGTGAGGGCGTCGTAGTAGGTCTGCTTGGACATATAGAGGGTGACCAGGCGGACTTGGAGGTCCTGGCGCTGGAAGGCACGGCGCTCGGAGGTGGCCCATTCTATGCAATCTTTTGTGACGGCAACTTCGACGTCGACGCTGTTGGGGATATCTTTGAACAGGTCCAGGAGCTGGCGGACTGTATGTTGCCAAGGCATCAATCAGTCAGCAATCATTGCCCAAAGGCGAGCTTTGGTTCGGAGCATCAAAGAGACGAGACATACCCAGCTTCGAGGACTTGGCCTTGGCAAAGGATGAAAACACCGTCCGGCTTTCCTGCACCAAGGTGACGAGTTCCTGAGTCTTCCTGTTGGAGAGATTAGCTCCGCAAACGCAATGCCGCTGCCATCACAACTGACTTCTCATCCCGGTAGAGTTCTCCCAAGCTTATCAAAGCAGCTTCGTACTCGCGCGTGGCAGCATCTGAGGTTGCCGCGGGGGCCTTGGATATGATTTCTTTGAAAGCAGCCTCTGCCTTTCTCGGGTCCGTCTTGACGAGGTCTTGGGCTTCTTTGACCCGGCTCGAGTCGCCGGCGGCCATGGTGGGAGGGGAGTGGGTTGGGTCGAGTTCGAGAAGCTTCTAGGTGAGGTATTCTAGAGGAGAGGGTGGTGGTAACGGCGGCAGAATCGTGAATTCGATTTGTTTTTCTCGTTTGTTGCAAGGTCGAAGATGCTCGTCTCCGGCTGGAATGGCGAAATGCTGGTATTGAATGAAGCTGGAGTTGCTGATCTGAGCTTCACTTGTCCCTCCAGGTAGCCACAGCGCGACGTAGCCCAGCCTCCAAAGTACCGGCTACTTAGTAAGCAGCATCCTGCTCCCTGCATCCAGAGGTAGCGTGTACCTAAGCGCACTAGCCCTCCCACCTTCTGCCTTGCTGCTGCCGGCACAATTACGGAGCACAGAAGAAACGCCGGGCCGTCAATGATCCGCCCGGCTGGAGGTGGGCTGAACCGGCGCAGGCCGGAGGCGGGCCAAGTCATTGGAATTTTTATGGCCTCCCCTCATACAAATCCAGTCTATGTAATAGCACATATAACCGAGCTTCTTCACCATCAGCGCCGCCCAATTGGCCATATTCACGCATTTTCACCAGCCTCACTCTTCCCCGCAATACATTCATCATGCTTCGACAAGCCCTCGCCACTTCTTCCAGAGCTCTGCGCTCAACACCCATCGCCGCCAGCCGCGCAATTCTGCGGCCTCAAATCCAGACTGCTGCCCCCGCCATCTCAATAAGATCATTCCAGCCTATCGCTAGCCGGTGGTACAGCGAGGCTAAGGAGGCTTCAGAGACCAAGGAGGCTCCGGCTGCTGAGGAGAAGGCCGACGCCAAGGATGGGGAGAAGAAGAATGGCGAGACCGACGAGGTTGCTCAGCTGAAGAAGGACCTTGAGGCCAAGGACAAGGAGGCCCGTGACTGGAAGGTTTGTATTATCTCTCTCTCCTCTGCTTGGCCAACAAAGACCCAAAACTTGCTTTGATGTATTGTCGCTAACTCCCCTCCCAGGATAAATGCCTCCGCACCGTCGCCGATTTCCGCAACCTCCAGGACCGCACCGCACGTGAGGTCAAGTCCGCCCGCGACTTTGCCATCCAAAAGTTCGCCAAGGACCTCGTCGACAGCGTCGACAACCTTGACCGCGCCCTCTCCACCGTCCCTGCGGAAAAGCTCAAGGCCGAGGAGAAGAGCGAGGACCTCCAGGAGCTCGCTAACCTCTACGAGGGCCTCAAGATGACCGAGGGCATCCTCATCCAGACGCTTGCCAAGCACGGCCTGGAGCGCCTGGAGCCAGATGGCATCAAGTTCAACCCCAACGAGCACGAGGCTACTTTCATGGCTCCCCAGCCGGACAAGGAGGACAACACTGTCTTCTTTGTCCAGCAGAAGGGCTTCAAGCTCAATGGTCGTGTCCTGCGTGCCGCCAAGGTCGGCGTCGTCAAGAACGCCTAAAGAAATTACAAAAAAAATCTCAACTCATTCGCTTGCTCATTCCTTTCTTAACTCCCCTTTCTATAACGCAAAGAAAGAAGATGAGAATCGAATGAAGAAAGAAAACTATACCTAAAGAAGCGTGGATGTCATGATTCAAAACAGTCATACAACACCTCTTACATGTACTACTACCGGATTTTGCGTTGGCTTGGCGTTAGGTCAAAAAGTGTATAATGCTCCTCTCACGATGACGGCTTTGAAAAGAAAAACATCATTTATTATATTTGCATAGTGGTTCGGGAAACCTGAGCAAGGGCGGTGAAAAAAAGGCGAAAAGGGTAACGCACTTAAAGTTGGACACATGAATGTGAAGATGGAAAGAGAGAAAAAAGAAGAGAGAGAAGAGAAAATCTTTGGTATGAGCGGATATCCATACATGTACATACGACTTTGCGTCCTCTGAGCGGCGATCAGATGAGCCGCCCTTTAATCAACCGCTTCAAGCGGAACGATACACACTTCATCAGCCTGACACTCTTATGAATACTGTTTGTGAAATGATTTGCCATGATTTTATCTAGCACTGCCACTCCGCCATGAAGAAATCCACCAGCCATCCATCTCTAACATTAATAGTCATAAATTCAATGCTGCAATGACATAAAAGCAAGCTGTACCGCGTCCAATTCTTGTTTTCTCTCTTTTTACATTTGACAACCACCAGTCAACATTATACAGTAGCCTCCAAGGTAGGTAGCTCCAATCCTGTTCGTCATAATAAGTCATACATTGAAAGGTGATGTGCAGCAGTTATTTCTTTGCTTTTCCTTTTGCTGCGGATGCCTTGGCCTTGGAACGACCTTTTGGCTTGGAGTCTGCAGTGTCGTCATCATCTCCAGTGTCGACTTTCGCCGCCTTTTTTGCTGGCTTCTTGGCCTTGGGTTGTTTGATATATTTATCCTTCTTGAGGTCGATTTCGTCGTCCTCGTCAACATCTGGCGCCTCCAGCAGCTCGGCGTCATCCTCCTCCTCGATAGCTTCTTCAAGGTCTGGTGCTTCTTTAGTCACCGCCTTCGGTGCTAAAACATTGGTGGCCTTGATGAATGGCAACGGGTGGTTCATGCCATTGTATCTATATTCAGTTAGCATCATTGAAGAAGAAAACCAGTATAGAAAAGGGAGAAACAAGTGTGATGCAAATTACTTACATTCGAGTGAAAGCAGCCTTTGTCTTGGTTTCGATGTTGACATTCTCGTCACTCATGGGACCAAGCCCTAGCTCTTGAATTGCATCAAAGTCATCGCGAGTGAGATAGTAGCTGTCCATCAGGTCGATTACTTCTCCCACAGCTTCATTCCCTTCCTTCTGTAGTCGATCAACTGTTTGGGACCACAGGAGGGGCAAATACTCTTGTCGAACTTCGTTGTGGTCTCCTGATGACTTGAGCCGCATGTGAGAGTGAATTTCTCGAATATATCGGCCCAGTTTTCCAGCTTTACTGTTATTTCCAAGCCAAGAGGTAAAGTTAGATCCCATTAGCTGGCCAGCAATGAAGCTGGCAGGGCGCACAGTACTGAAAACGGCGTGTGTAGGCATCAGACTCCAGTGTTGCTGTGGTCCGTGAATCATGCGATCCACCAGGTCGCCGTCGCTAATGCTTTCTGCTGCTTGATCAAAGAGCTCAAGCGCCTTCAAAGTAGCTTCTCGGCCACTGTATCCTGAGCCGCTCATGGCCATGGGCTTGGTGCGAAGGTAATTCTCCTGGATCATGAGGAAACTGAACTCGTGGTCATTGAAATAAAGCTCAATTTTGTCATTGAGCGTCGCTTTGCTTGCTGGTGCAAACAGTCCACCGCCAAGCATCTTCTGGCAGATGTCCCAAGGCTTCAAGACAACATGTTTTTCCCATGCTTTTGACATGGCCTTGGTTTGGTCAAAGCTCATGGAAGACTGGTCAAGCTTTGCTGTGGAAATCATGTTGATAATCTGGCGAATATCTTTGTTACTTCCCTCAATGAGAGCATCAACAACTGGAGGGGGCAGTTTCAGGCCTTCTCGATGGCAAATTGTCATGATTCGGGAGCGGACTTGGTCGACCGTCGGACGGTTGAATCTTATATCAAACGCAGCGTGGTCGAAAGGCTTCATCTTTGGCAGTTTTCGCTCGTTGCAGATCAGGATCAACGGCACCTCCGTTTTCCTGCAGAACTTAGCCAGGGCGCCAACTCCTCCGCGATCACCAGCCGACATGCCATCAACTTCGTCCATGATGAGCACAATCTTCTTCTTGGTGGCATCCACAGATTTTCCGTCTCCGGCAAAAAATCCCAGCAGGGACGTGTTGTTCATAACGTCGCTTACACCAGCTTCCACCAGCTTCTTGCTACGTGTGTCACTAGCATTGCTCTCCAATACATCGTAGCCTTCGAGCTTGGCCGCCAGGTGTGCTGCTGTAGTCTTTCCAATACCAGGAGGGCCAGAGATGATGATGGCGCGCTCCCCTCCCATACCATCGGCGCCACGCCGCTGAAAGTTGTACTTCTTAGACTTTGGCCAGTTTCGAAGCCAATTTTGGATCTTTTCAACCTGTGCCTTGTTGCCGCATATGTGGTTCAGTTGCGTCGGCGCGTATTTAGACGTAAGAAGCACATCTGGTGCCCTTGCAGGCTCAGCGGGTGCACTGCTTGTTGGCCCTCGGGATGCAGCCAATTTCTTCGCTGCTTTCTCGGCTTCCAGCTTCTTTGCCTTTTCTTCTGCCTCCATCTCAGCAACCTGCTTCTTCACCTTTTCCTCTTCTGCCTTCTTCTTTTCTTGCGCCTTCTGAGCACCCTTGCCGGTCCCTCCAAACGCTGGAAGCTTGCGAATCAGGTCAAAGAGGCCATTCTCATCAATTGTCTTGATGCCGTTTGCCTTGATCTTGGCTAGCTTGGAGGGCCCAGCATCTCCTCCAAGCACGACGAAGCTTGTTTTGCTACTGGGCTGGCCAGTAACTTTGCCACCATATCGCTTGACTAGTGCCTGAGCTTCATCGCGGCCAATGGTTTGCAACACGCCAGTGAAGACGAAAGTCAATCCGCTGAGGCACTCTTCTTCGCCTTCTGGAAGTTCGCCGGCTGGAAGGGACGGTGCAGCTGCAGCATTGCCACCCCCTGAGGCGGCTTTTCTCCAGTCGAATTTCGCATTGGGATCTTTGGGCGGCGGCGTTGGCGCTCTAACAGTAGCTACGCTATCGAGAATGTTCTGGATTTCCTCGTCTTCGGGTTCGTCTGCTTTCTTGACCCTTGGTGCGCGTGGTTTGCTCGCAGCTGCAGGCTTCTTCCTCGGCAGCTCTTCTTCTTCGTCATCTGATTCCTGCTCTGGTGACTTTCGCTTCTTGCTGGCTGATGCAGCCTTGGGTGCTGGCTTCTCTTCAGTGTTCTTGCCAGAAGCAGGTCGCCCTCGTGTAGCAAGTCGTTTGGATTGTGGGAGTACTTCTTCTTCTGATTCTTCCTCTTCATAATCGTCGTTTTTGCGCTTATTACGGCCCTTAGCGTCAGCAGCAAAGATGTCATCTCCATCCTCATCTCCGTCATCCATATATACGTCGTTATCATCGTCGACAGGAAGGGCCGTATACGAGGTTCTGGCCCTTTTCGATCGAGGAGCTACCTCCTCATCCTCTGGAGCAGCCGATTTTGCGACGGTTTTCTTCCGTGGGCTTAATCTGACGGGTACTTCAGTCTCGATAATGGCTTTGCTGTTATTCTTCTTGGGCGACTGAGATGCCTTGACCGCTTTAGAATCTTTCGAAGAAGCAAAGTAGTCGTCGGCGGATATTGCTACACCTTTAGGCTCCGTCTCCCTATTTTGGAGTTAGAAGGATAAATTATAATAACAAAGTAAACAAAGAATAGAGAGTGTCGCAGTGCGTACTTTTTCTTCGCCGCCGGTTTTGGTGCAGGTTTCTTTTCTCTGTAAGTTCGGTTAGAGGCGGAGCGTGAACCAGGAATCGGGGCGACAGTACTCTACAGCTTCATCATCGCTATCTTCAACAACTTTGCGACCCTCTATACACTAATCAGCATCAATTGGTGACCTGTAGATTAGAAATACTCACTTCCTCGCTTGCTTTTGGCTGCCGGAGGCTCTGGTTTGGCGGCCACGGGCTTGGGGTGGGCACCACCCTTTGGCGCGAAGAATGATCGAATATCAGGCATTGTGTCCCTCTTTTCAGCTCAGATGAATAGCTGGGAGGCAATAGAATTAACGGAGGTGACACGACAAGATATAGCCTTCCCAGGGCCGTCTCCAACCGCAATCCGGTGCTGTTGCCTGACCAATCGCGGGTCCGGCGTGAGAGTGAAGATGCAGCCTAGAAATTGTTCAGTGACGTGCACTAAGATCCCACTTGCAGCGCAACGCGAAGCTGACGCGAGGTGCGTGACCTGGGCTTAATTGCCTGATCGCTGTGAGATGAGGTAAGCAGCCGCTTTGGGCCTGAGATCTCAGGCCCCACCTTGGGACGGACCCATGCCATGGTGGGATTCTTTTCAAGATATCAGAGCAGTCGTGCGATATCTCGAGACAAGCCCCGACAAGCGGCCAAACCGACGCCATGAGGTCCAATGGCGCTTCCGCATTGCTGAACGCCTTCCAGGGGCTGAAGATTTCCGCATGCACCCCTTTGCGACAGCTGAGGGCCCCGATTCAGCCCCAGTCCAAGGTCCTAAGCGCCGCTCAGCTGCTCCAGAATGGCAGAGCCTTTTCCACAAGCCCGGCCATGATGGGCACATGGCTCGAGCCTAGCTTGAACCGAAAGAAGAAGATGGCAAAGGGACGGCCGCGAGTAGCGACGGGAGGGTCTACGAAGGGCACAACCGTGATTTGGGGCGACTACGGACTGCGAATGGTTGACCACCACCGAAGAATCAGCGCCAAGTCGCTAAAGATGGCCGAGGATACGATTAAAGTGCGGCTTCGAGGAGAAAAATATCGACTTTACAAGAGGAAGTGCTGCAATGTCGGTGTCTACGTCAGCGGTAACGAGGTGCGGACTTATTTTCGGACTGTTTGAGCGGGCAATGGCAAGCTAAATGTTGAAATAGATGCGAATGGGTAAAGGAAAGGGTTCCTTCGACCACTGGGCTACCAGAATGGCAGTCAGCCAAGTCTTGTTTGAGATCAAGGGCCGAATTCACGAGCAGATCGTCCGAGACGCGTTCCGGTTGGCTGGCAATAAGCTGCCAGGTAAAACATAATCCCTACCATTTCCCCTTTCAGACCATCGCTAACTGAACTACAGGCCAGTGGGAATTTGTGAAGAAGGGGGATGCTCCCGTCGTTGGAATTACAAAGCTGGACGGTGTCACACTGGAGGATCTGAAGAGACCAAGAAGGCAGATTGCCCCTTCAGAGCTTGTTGAGGTATCAACTTCTACAACTACCGCTGAAGCTGGAAACACATCTGCGCCGTCTGGGTCATCATAAGCATCAAGTTAAATGCTGTGTACCATAAGAATATTTGTATATAAAATAAAAGCCTCCTGACGAAGAAAGAAAAATAGAAAGAAATAACGAACATGCAAGCATAGGTCTCAAGCAAGGACCGTCTCGGCATTGTATGTAACTGCGATTAATTTTTAGCAGGAATTATTTTAACAGAAAAAGAAATAATTCCCGAAAGAGACAAGATAAAAATTGAGAGGGATAATAAAGAAAATAGATATAAAGACGATGGTGGCTTCGTAACACAAATGAGTTCCAATGCATCTTAGTAGAGTCGCACAGCCAAGTCAGTAGCTTACAGCCGCAAACCCAACTTCGTCCAGTGGCTGCAGTGAACAGAAACAGGCACCTAAACTTCCCCACTCTGAGTTCATCGCACAGCACTTTACGCGACGACGCGTCTTCCGACCCTCAAATTCTTAGCTGGAGAGCTTTCAATTCAATAAGCACCCCAATCTCAACAGCCAACGCAATGGCTCTCATCGTCGACAAGCATCGCCCGCGGTCCCTCGAGGCTCTGTCATATCACCATGAGCTTTCTGAGAGACTCCAATCTCTCGTACGATGCGACTCTTTCCATTCACGGCTGCAACAGCTAACCCCCCGTCACAGGCGCAAAGCGGTGACTTCCCCCATCTCCTAGTCTACGGCCCTTCAGGAGCCGGAAAGAAGACAAGAATAGTGGCAACGCTGAAGGAACTGTACGGCCCCGGCGTGGAGAAGATCAAGATCGACGCACGAGTGTTCCAGACGTCTAGCAACCGAAAGCTCGAGTTCAACATTGTCGCCTCAAACTACCACTTGGAAATCACACCATCCGACGTAGGGCAATATGATCGAGTTGTCGTGCAGGATCTTTTGAAAGAGGTGGCACAGACGCAGCAGGTGGACCAGTCAGCGAAGCAGCGATTCAAAGTCGTCGTCATCAATGAAGCAGACCACCTCACCAGAGACGCCCAGGCTGCCCTTCGTCGCACCATGGAAAAATACTCTCCAAACCTGCGTCTAATTCTGTTGGCCAACTCAACAGCCAACATCATCGCGCCTATTCGTTCAAGAACTTTGCTTGTCAGAGTTGCCGCCCCAACACATGCGGAAATCTGCGACGTCCTGGCGCAATCGGCAAAGAAAGAGAATTGGGAAGTTGTCAAAGGACTCCATCAGCGCATAGCCGAGGAGAGTGGAAGAAATCTTCGCCGCGCGCTACTGATGTATGAAGCGGTTCACGCTCAGAAGTAAGTGAAATCAAATCAGTCGGCAGTTCTGCCGCCAGTTGCTAATTATAATTTGCGCCACAGCGAGAAAGTAACAGACAGCACACCGATTCCACCAGCAGATTGGGAAGCGCTCGTCGGACAGATCGCCAAGGAGATCATAGAAGAACACACGCCAGCGAGGATCTTGCAAGTGCGCGCCAAACTGTATGATCTCCTAACACATTGCATCCCACCAACAACAATTCTCAAGACCCTTACCTTCAAGCTATTGGGTCTCATTGACGATGGGCTAAAGGGGGAGGTTATAAAGTGGTCCGCCTTTTACGAGCACCGAATCAAGACTGGCACCAAGGTTATCTTTCACCTGGAAGCGTTTGTGGCGAAATTTATGCGCATTTTGGAAATGTACCTCATGAGCATGGACATGTAGGCAGTTGCACTGATTGGTCATGACGGCGTCTGGAGTATTCCAAAAAATAATCGAAAGGAAGCTTTGTTCTTAGGGCCCTTTAATTTTACCAATGTGTTATTCGTTGGCTCGGGATGTTCCCCGGTCAAAGCTACCATGGCATTCCATCCGCGTCTGTGAATGTTGATACAAACAAAGAAGCTACCACCTGGGAATATATATATCCTCTCGTGCCGTCGGAAAACAATACACGATTCAAGACATCGTTCCACAACATTCAATAAGGAACTGACTACATTTTACAAAATTTACTGTAAGGACCCCTTAGAAACACGCATCTGCCACACCTTTCGCACGAGTTATACTAACTCAATTGAGTCGAACAGAACACTTAAAGACAATCAATTCTCGCGACAGCAGCAATGGCCTCAAAGCAGGAGGACATTGTTGCCCCAGCAAACGAAGAGGCTGGTCCTCTTGATAGAAAACGCATCGTGAGAGTTGATACCAAACTCGAAAGCGGTACCAGCGATGGCGATACACATGGCTGCGGAATCCTTGAAAAGATTGTCACAACCATTGTCTTCGTCGGCGAGAACATGCCTGGCAGATATAAATCCGAGGCCGCTATGGAGGCGAGCCGCAAGTTTGTTTACGAGCACGTTGTCCGTCGGGTCTACGGAGACAACAAAGTCATTGACGAGAAGATTGACGAGACTGTCACCGCCAAAGTCGATGAAGGGCGTATAAGCCGTTTCAACGCCAAGTTTAGTGAGGCTATACATGGTATTCATGACGACCATACCATTAGAAAGCGTTTCAAGGAATATGTCAACAAGCACTTGTTGGACAAGGGCGAATATGATGATGAAGACGTCGATGAATATGACGAAGACTTCATTGATGAGACTTCCGCCGAGGTGAGTAATTAGACGGCAGACGAATGCGCTGCCATTTCTGATAACAAAGCCATTAGTAGCGGTGAAGGTTGACGAAGCTATCGGGAAGGCCACTAGGAGGTTGATTCTCTATGTATCCGCCACCATATGTATTTATTCTCAAAATGACATTGCCAAAAGGGAAGAGAGGAGGAAGACGAAAGAACGGAACAAAGTATTCGAAATAGATTACACGAATATTACAAAGCTATGGATAGAGCCAAAATCACACCCCGAATTCGATTTCGTGGGCTTCAGAGAACTCTTTCGTGAACCCAAATCTTACCCCGAGTTCGATTTTGTGGGCTTCAGAGAACTCTTTCGTGAGCCCAAACCACAGCCCGAATTCGATTTTGTGGGCTTCAAAGAGCTCTTTATGGAGCCCAAACCATATCCCGAATTCGATTTCGTGGGCTTTGTCAACCTTTTCAAGTACTATGAAAATGCCTTCACCATTGAGGCTATCAACAAAAGGGAAGAGAGGGCAGAAAGAGAATATACCGAATTTGATTTTGAGGGCTTTATCGAGCTCTTTGAAGACGCTTTGACACCCAACGACGAGGTCGACGAGGGCTATGTCATGGTTGGCCACAGCGCATCTGGCGCAGATGAGCTCGTGCTGGTCGCTGATGAGACGATCGACAAATATAGCACCGAGTCTGAGAACTCAAAGAGGACTGGAAAGCGTTGGTTCTTTTGGAGCAGCTAGAACAGGGCTAAAAAAGTTTCTTTATATATCAACAGCGTGGTGATTCGTTGGATGCGGGTTCATCCGAGGCATCATGACCTCAGGTAGGAAGGGAAAGGGAGCGAAATTTATCGAAATAGGTGACTAAATGCCATATATATATACCCCGGTTTGAATAATAAAAATAAGTTAAATAACGTTTTGTTGCCTGGTTCGTGATTCACAACATGCTTCTTCCTCGGTTATTCATGGCGCCTTATTTTATAGCGCATCAACCGCTCCATACCTTAATGTAAGGCGGGAAAAGAATCACTGCTGTTTTGCGCGTAGAGCAACGATCAGTAAGCGCTCTTGGATTTGTTAGTGAAACATGGACAAATGCATTGGGTTCATTGTTGCAGTTTTTCTAGTGATGCCTTTATTATGTGAGTCGATGCCCTTTGTTTCAGTCCTTCAAGAGGGAGGGGAACATGAGAGAACCTGCTCAAGCTATTACAAAGACATTGTCACGCCTTTGCAACGAAAACGGCAATGCAGCAGTAGCTTAAACACGGGCGAGACAAGACCAACGCTAGGTCGCAACGAGTGATTTTCATGAGAAATGCTGCCCTGGCATGGATGGCTTTGATACTGCACGGTGCCTGTGCGAGGAGGAGGCACATGCCATGTTATTCGATTTTTTGACGCAGTGCTAAGGTTAAAGTGCGCCTGAGGTCTCCATTCGGGCCGCTACGGAGGTGCTAATTAGAGCACAGTTTCCCCATGAAGCCGATGCCATTCGTCGAGATGGTTGTGAGATGCGTCCGATCCATGCAGGCATTGGTTGGTACCTCGGACAGGGCTGCAGAGCCTTGACGCAGAGTCAACCAAGTGACGGTTGTCCGCTTATACCCGTCCATCACTGAGGCCATCCAGGTACGGCATTTAACCGGCAGGATGCAAAGCGAATCAACGTATTCGTATATCATCACTGCTTACTGCCTAATAAGTATGTAGCCTTGGCCCTCTTATCAGCCATCACGAAGAAGGAGGCGTAAGCAGAGTCTGGCAGTTTCAGGGCCTCGTAACCAGGTAGCTGCTGGGCCAATCTCAATTTAATAACGCATCATCCGTCCCGGTTGGTTGGGTACGTTGGGGGATCCTTTTAACGTCGCTTTTGTTTTCTGTAGGGTAACCGTTCGCTGCAACATTAGAGTGGGCTGAAGAAAAATGGATGGATGGAAGGGAGGGTAAAAGAGGGGCAGCGCATGGACACGGCAAAGTGCCTGGAGCAGTGTCGCATTTGGAGGATGTACATTAGCAGCAAGGCCAACCAACCACCAACAGCAGCCAGGCCCCCTTTTTGCCTATTTTACCATTTGCCCATTTCTTCTTCTTCGTCTTCTTACTGTAGTCTAGTTTCTTCCCTCTCCTTTTCCATTCCAATGCCCTGTCATGGTGCGGATATCTCGGTAACAGGCAGAGGAAAAAAAGACGTCCAAGCACCTACCTATACCTAGTACATGCACGCAGTGGATCTGGTATTATGGATTTCAAAAGCCGGGATCCGGACCACAATTTTCCATGATAAATGATGAGAAACGAACCCATGGCACTGTAGCAGCCCGGAATGAAACTCCATACTGTAGCTCTGGTGTTAGATGGGGGCATCGCTTATTCACCGTGTCCGGGATGCATGCAGCTAGCATGTGCACATCGTGGGTAGGCAATTTCAGCGCTCACGGCCATTGGCGGCCGCTGCCTGATAGACAGCATGCGTCTGCAAGGAGCTGCAAACTCTTATGCTTTAGCAGCTTTACTGCGGAGGCAGCGGCCAGCACGAAAATTACGTATTCACATGTACGAGTATGTACCTATGAGCGTGAATACCAATGTCTTGGTATGAGCAGATATCCATCAGCGCGTGAGCACGAGAACGCAGCGGGAAAACCAGGACAACAGACCCGAGGATAAGAGTCGAATATGTCTCGTGGCCGCTTCGGACGACAGGCTCCGGCAACATGGCAAATGACGAGAGACGCACTCATCAGGACGACCGAGCCCTTCCAGACTGGTTTCATATGACTCGTGGGTCTCTGGACGCGGAAATGCTGTGTGTTGCTGGCGCTTCGGGGCAACGGAGGACTGGATACCCCACCCGGTCCATCGGGATATGCGCCGCTTGTAGGGCAAAGGCTTCGCAGCAGAAACGGTGCTTGACCCGTTGCAGAAGCGCAGTGCGTGGCGATGGTTTCCCAAAAGCGCATAGGAGTGGCAGGACAAGCCGCTAGGGATTAGGGATTCTGGGGGATTTGGGGGAGAGCGAGCGAGCCTGGGGAAAAAGACGGGGTGAAAGAAAGTGGCGGCTTAGTATGGGTTACCGACCTGTACCGTGATACTTTGGCCTCATCGTCTTCGTCCCGTCTCCTCAACAGCCTCGTCTTGAGACTGAGCACTCCATAGGAGGTAAGTACTAAGCAAATACTGTCTAGTACTAGGTACTCGAGCTACGAGTGCTAACATACCAGCTAGGCAAGGTACCTGGACATAATACCTGCTAGGTAGCTACTCGCACAGCATTGCCGTTGTCGCGATCCACTATTAATGGCAGGTTCCTAGGTGCAACGCCGTGTCGAGATGGAGAATGGTGGTGGTATTAGTATGGGCGGCTCCATACCAGAGAGGTAAGGGTAGCAAGGTAGGTCGACAACACTAAAGTAGTGAGCGACAATGGAGTAGCAGAGCTATCCCCAATATCTCCCTTGGGCAGCACAGAAGGATCGCCTCCACCATCTTATAAAGTCATCCAAACCCCCTCCGTCCTCTGCCGCCTGGCCTCTCCTCTCCTCTCCTTGTTGCTCTTGCTCTTGACCAATCTCACCCTACGTCACCACGAGGCAAACACCAAGGACCAGCTTCTCTCTGCTTTTTGCTTCTCGTTGCTCCCCCATCCTCGAGCCCTCGCGACTCGGACAGGGACAACTCCTCTCTACCAACCGACTGCTGTTTGCATCGCATCGCATCGCAACAGCCTCTCGCTTTGTTGGGGGAAAATCTCAAATACACCCACCGCAACGTAGCACCAAGTACTCTGGACTTGAAAAGCTACCCCGCACTCGGCCGCACTTGTACAGCGCTTCCTTGTGCTCTGCCCCTCCAAACCTTTCTGCATCTTTTTTGCACACACAAATCACAAACTCTTCAACAACCGCAGCCATGGCCGACAACCAGGGAGTAGTCGTGGAGGCCCACGAGATTGAGACCTTCCGTAAGGACATCTTTGCGCCCTGTGCTTTCATCTTCATTTTTAGCCATTCCGAGCCGATGCTAACCTCCCGCGCCCAACAGAGCCTCCTCAGAAGATGTTCGCAAGTATGTTGCCCGCTAGCCGCTCCTCGAAATCTCCGATAGACAGCCCCCCTACCCTTTTTAGTCGCGTTTGGCACCAGATCCAGCTGACATCTTTTTCTCTCTCACCCATTTGACAGAGCACCCTAGCAAACCCCACATTGCCAGTAAGTAAACCGTTTTCCTAAACACCTCAAAGGAGCTGCCCCGTATCTGCACCGGTCTCGGCGCATTCCGCGGGGGGCAACCCGGACGTCCGGAATTGCGTCAAATCAACGGCGCGTTTTTTCCGCCTGTCCGGTCGGCCGGTGCAGCTCGTTGCGGTCACGCAATCTAAGCTATAGAGATGATGATTGCTGACAGCGCGTGAAAACTATAGACCTTGAGGAGTACCAGAAGCTCTACAAGGAGTCCATCACCGAGCCCAACAAGTTCTGGGGCCGAACTGCTCGCGAGCTGCTTAGCTGGACTCGCGACTTTGAGACCGTCTCTGCCGGCAGCCTCACCGACGGCGATATCAAGTGGTTCGTAGAGGGCCAGCTGAACGCCTGCTACAACGCCGTCGACCGCCATGCTTACAAGGACCCCAACCGCGTTGCCATCATCTACGAGGCCGACGAGGTCGACGATGGCCGCAACGTCACCTACGGCGAACTTCTTCGCGAGGTTTCCAAGGTTGCCTGGGTCCTGAAGCAGGCCGGCATCAAGAAGGGTGACACCGTCGCCATCTACATGCCCATGATTCCCGAGGCCGTCGTTGCCATCCTGGCCTGTGTCCGTATCGGTGCCGTCCATTCCGTTGTTTTCGCCGGCTTCTCCGCCGACGCTCTCCGGGATCGTGTCATTGATGCCAAGTCCAGATTTGTCATTACTTCTGACGAGGGCAAGCGAGGTGGCAAGTTCATTGGCACCAAGAAGATTGTCGATGATGCCCTGAAGCAGTGCCCCGACGTTAGCAACGTTCTCGTCTACCGCCGCACCGGCGCCGATATCAACATGGTTCCCGGCCGTGATCTGTGGTGGCACGAGGAGGTGGAGAAGTGGCCCAGCTACATCGCTCCCGAGCCCATGAACTCCGAAGATCCCCTCTTCCTTCTCTACACCTCTGGCTCTACCGGAAAGCCAAAGGGTGTCATGCACACCACCGCCGGCTACCTGCTCGGTGCCGCCCTGACCGGCAAGTACGTCTTCGATATCCACGACGGTGACCGTTACTTCTGCGGTGGTGATGTCGGTTGGATTACTGGCCACACCTATGTCGTCTACTCTCCCCTGCTCTTGGGTGTCTCAACAGTCGTCTTCGAGGGTACACCTGCCTACCCCAACTTCTCAAGATACTGGGATATCATTGAGAAGCACAACATTACTCAGTTCTACGTTGCTCCCACCGCCCTGAGACTGCTCAAGCGAGCTGGTGATGAGCACGTCCGCGGCAACTTCAAGTACCTGCGAACTCTCGGTTCCGTCGGTGAGCCCATCGCTGCCGAGGTCTGGAAGTGGTACTATGAGATTGTTGGCAAGGAGAGCGCCCACGTCGTCGATGTAAGTCCCACCAACTCCTATCATCTAGATTCCTACCAGTCTGGGAGATGAGATATTTCAAAAAGGAAAACAAACTGACAAGATTTATAGACCTACTGGCAAACCGAGACCGGTTCCAACGTCATCACACCTCTCGCCGGTATTACCCCCATGAAGCCCGGCAGTGCTTCACTACCATTCTTCGGTATTGAGCCCGCCATCGTTGACCCCGTCTCTGGTGAGGAGCTCCACGGCAACAACGTTGAGGGTGTCCTTGCCTTCAAGCAGTCATGGCCCAGCATTGCTCGTACCGTCTACGGTAGCCACAAGCGATACCTGGACACCTACCTGCACGTCTACAAGGGCTACTACGTAAGAAACCCCCATCTTTTTCAACTTTTCTAAGAGGAAATATATATCTAACGTGGAGACGTAATAGTTCACTGGCGATGGTGCCGCTCGTGACCACGAGGGATTCTACTGGATCCGAGGACGTGTCGATGATGTCGTCAACGTCAGTGGTCACCGTCTCTCTACCGCTGAGATTGAGGCTGCCCTGATTGAGCACCACTCCGTTGCTGAGGCCGCTGTCGTTGGTGTTTCCGATGAGCTGACTGGCCAGGCTGTCAACGCCTTCGTCGCTCTGAAGGATGGTAACGACGCCACAGATGCGCTCCGCAAGGAGCTCGTCCTACAAGTCCGAAAGAGCATCGGCCCCTTCGCCGCCCCCAAGGCTGTCTTCATCATTGGAGATCTCCCTAAGACTCGAAGTGGCAAGATTATGCGTCGTATTCTGAGAAAGGTGCTGGCAGGTGAGGAGGATCAGCTTGGTGATGTTTCAACGGTAGGTTTCCCCCCCTCTTCTCCTTTAACTAGGGTAGAACTCAGTGTAACTGATCATCTTCTTTCTTCAGCTGTCCGATCCTTCAGTTGTGGACAAGATCATCGCGACTGTCCATGAGGCTAGAGGAAAATAAACAAGAAAAAGAGCAATTTGGGAGTCAGCAGGGTTTTTTTTTTTTTTTTTCTTCGCATATAGCTTGTCAGTCGATACAATTGGGTTAAGAGACAATGTCCGTCGGAGGTTTAAAACCAGGGTAATTTCGGAGGGGGAACTCTTTTTGGATGAAGATACGATATGGGATAGCATTTTGATATCTAAGACGACGAATCCAAATTTTTTTAACGTTACACTGATGGCGGATTATCTTGTGTGATAGCAATGGAACTCTGCTTAGAGGATGCTGACAAGGCGAGAGTTGAAGGCTGTACGAGTTCCACAGGCTGAGGAATCAGAAGAGGACGCGCGTACTTGTCGGCTAGTACCTATGACGTTAAAGTAGCTTGCAATTAAGGTTCGATGCATGCATGGCAGTTGAGTTGTTCGACGGGGTTTCTGCCGAGGAGATTGGTAAACGGATCCAAAAGTACAGCTTGTACGGGGCATGTATGGATCAGGTACATGCCCGCGTGTCCAAGCGGATGTAAGGGGTAGCGTTGGGCGCACATCTGACACTTCATCCGATATTCGTGCTCGATGTCAATGTATATGTCGATGCGCGCCACCGATTTGGGATGGAGTCGAGCCAAGACATGGCAATGCAGCACAGCCCAGACAGACCCACGCCGACGATGCCGGAGACTGCAACACTAGCAGGCTCAAGTCTGTGTATGCAAAGTAGTACGAAACAAAAAAAGGGCTTGTGTGTGTGTATACCTGTAGTGGTGATGGGCGGGATTAGTGGCAGAGTAGAACTTGGATACATCCGGCGCAAATCAGAGCTCCGGGGGGCGGCGGCGGCGGCGGCCTCACAGCGATCGGAGTAAAGAAGCGGGAAGGGGAGTTTTGGGCCAAAAGCCGAAAGATGGGCAGCAGCAGCAGCAGAAAACGATGCCGTCGATGGTCAGCGCCAAGACAGGGCGTCGTCATGGGACTCCGAGGGCGCTGGTATTCTGGGGATGCTGTTGGCTGGATCGGGGTGATTGCTGCAAGTCTCATCGGGTGAAGCGTGATGAGAACATACTGCAGATACAGGTAGTTGAAAGAGGGCTTGCAGCAGTCAGAGATAGGATCAATCTTGTTTGCTGTCAATGCTACTCGTATCGCGAGAGTGGTTTAATACCGTGTGCAATCAATATCTCTGGCGGTGAAGAGCCGCAAGGGGCGATTTGCTTGGCTAAGAGTGGCTCAGCCTGGCCCATTCTTTATACGAGTATGAGGGTGAGAAATGGGGTGACAGGACGTGGGTTGCGATGTCGAGACGAGATGAGTTTATTTTAATTCTTAATCTTCTTTTTTCTCGGTTGACGATGATGTAATTAAAGGGTGTGGATCGTCGATATCACTGAACCCGGTTCTTTAAAGATACCTTAGTCACAGAGAAGTATAATCCGTCCGCATCGAACAGTTTTGCACGTTTCCAATGTCTCGGTCCGCTATTAACAGTGCTGCACAGCAGTAGACGCTTGTCTAATACGAAACAAGCGCTAAGGGTTCCATTGCCGCAGTGTTTCCAGCTCTGGCAACACGGACTCTATTCTTGGGTCAGCAGGGATTCGTCGTCAGAAAGGCGAGTGACACGAGCGGAGCTGCAGGGGTCCCCCAGGGAAGTTTCAGGGTATCTCAGTATGCATAACAGAGTCGAGCCAGTGGACGTCAAAGGCTGGAGGCCTGGCGAAAAGGTAAACAAGTCGCCAAAACAAACAAGACACGCAGCCTCAGCAACAATGACGTTTGGACTGAACTAAGAGCATTTACCGGGTATTGACTATGGAATACTTGTAATCACTGATGATGCATCATCGCGACCGAGTTGACACAAGACAAAATAATAACCGGCCCTAGTCTTGCATAGCCACGCTGCGAAACAGACTTGAAATCCAGCAAATCCCCCATGCCAAGCAGCCCCCTCCTGGAGGCATCGAATCTGCATGTGCCCTGCTGTCATCAACCACTAATTTGCACAAGTCTAGCGCTGCTCAGTGGAGGCTTAGTGGGCCCCTCGAGCTGCCAAGCTGCCGTTGCCAGCGACCGTCCACAGCGCTGGCTGAGCTGTTCCAGCTGTGCACGCTCTAAAGTTCAACCACCTACCATCGATACTTTCCACGCTTATGAGGCTGCTTCTCATCGTCCCTCTTTTCCCTCCGTCTTCATCCACACTCGCCCTCATTGTCCTCTTTTCATTGTCCCGGCCTCCGTCCGCGGCGCGCGCTTCCCCACCCCTGGGGCTTCGTTTTGCTTTCCTTTTCGTCTCGTCGGCTTTTTCTTTGTGCTTTCTTTTGCTGCGTCTCTATCTCCGAGCGTTCTGCGCCACGCTGACAGACGCAATCCCTTCTTGGCTTTGCCCTTGGTCTTGGCCTTGGCCTTGCTTAAGTTAAGAGAGAGCCCGGTCCAGTCATTTGGATGGCCTGTTTGCGATAATACAGCTTGCCTCTTGCTTCTACTACTACGTGCCGCCTTATTTCACTGGGGGCCGTATAGATACATTCACCCCGCAACTATGGTTGCGCTCCGGTCTCTTGTGGCCACTTTTGCTAGCACTGCATTGTTAGCCCACTCCGCGATTGGTATTATTGCTCCTCCACCTTGGCCTTTTACTCCCTTGACTTTGTTGGTTCCCCTTTACTGACGTTGTATTCCTTCGCTCTCGGCTGTAGCGCATTCTGTGAAGAGAAGTCCTCTCAACTACGTCTCTGTCATTGACAATGTCAAGATCCACACACCATCTGGTCGAGTTCATTCGCATTCCGACTTCGACCTGACCTTTTCGCTTAACGGGGGAGAAGAGAGAGTCCGACTATCGCTTCACCCGAACAACGACATCCTCCATGATGACTTCGAAGTCACGTTTCTCGACTCGGAAGGAAGGGTCAAATCGAGAGAAAAGGTGGAACGTGCCGAGCACAAGGTCTTTCGAGGTGACGCCTTCGTTGAACGCCCAGGTGAAGATGGCTGGTCTCTGGGTGGATGGGCGAGGATAACGATGCACCGCGATGGAAAACATCCGGTATTTGACGGCTCTTTCCGCATTGACGGCGATAACCACCACATCCACACCGGCTCCAAGTACAGCAACCTCAAGCACGAAGATGATCCTCTACCTGTAGACTGGGAGGAGATACAAGATCATGATGAAGTCATGGTAGTTTGGCGTGACTCTGATGTTCAAGACTTTCAGAGTCGTGGAGAGCTGAAGCGCGACGTCTCGAAGCCGTCCGAATGCATTTCAGACTCGTTAAATTTTAACAACCAGTTTGACCTCGAGCTGAAGCGATCAAGTGGGCTCCGAGGAATCGATCCGAGAAGTCTGTTCGGCCGCCAAATTGATGGAGGGTCGGGTGGTAGCGGTCAGGATCTCATTGCGACCATTGGAGACACAGCTGGATGCCCTACCACCAAGAAGGTTGCGCTGGTCGGGATTGCTACTGACTGCACATATTGGAACGGCTTCAACTCTTCCGAGGATCTCAGGAGGAACGTCATCGGCATAGTTAACCAAGCCTCCCAAGTCTATGAAAATGCCTTCAAGATCTCCCTGGGTCTCAGAAACTTGACCGTCCTCGACCGTGGCTGCCCAGGCGCACCCTCCGCCGCCACTCCCTGGAACGTCGACTGCCAGTCCAACACTACCATTAGCGATCGACTAAATCTCTTTTCTGCCTGGCGTGGTAGATCTCTCGATGGAAATGCCTACTGGACTTTGTTGACTACGTGCCCTACAGACTCGGCTGTTGGGCTGGCCTGGAGGAGCCAGGTTTGCCGTCAGGGGTCGGGAACCAGTTCGGATGGGCAAGGGAACAACGAGACCGTCGCCGGCGCCAACGTCGTTGTGCGAACCTCGACAGAATGGCAGGTGTTTGCTCACGAGACGGGACACACTTTTGGAGCCGTCCATGACTGTACAAGCTCTACTTGCCCTGTTAGCGCCTCCTCACAATCGTGCTGTCCGCTCAGTACCAGCAGTTGCGATGCTGGGGGCCGGTACATCATGAATCCTTCAACTGGCACCGGTATCACCCAGTTTTCCCCGTGCAGTGTGGGCAACATTTGCTCCAGCCTCAAGGCCGCCTCTCTCTCAAGCTGCCTAACTGACAACAAGAACGTACCAACCATTACAGGTAGCCAGTGTGGCAACGGCATTGTCGAAGAAGGCGAAGAATGCGACTGCGGCGGTACTCAGGGCTGCCAGAACAACACATGCTGCAACGCCACAACTTGCAAGTTTAGGAACAACGCCGTATGCGACCCGTCCAACGAAGACTGCTGCAACGACCAGTGCCAGTTTGCATCCTCGTCAACGGTATGCCGCCCCAGTACTGGCGAGTGCGACATTCAGGAGACGTGCCCCGGCAACGCAGCTAGGTGCCCTGATGACCAGCACAAGGCAGATGGCGACACTTGCGGCAGCGGCAATGGGCTCCAGTGCGCTTCGGGCCAGTGTACATCTCGCGATAGACAGTGCCAGGCCGCCGTTGGTACCCAGGCCGACAACAGCTCGACTACGGCCTGCCCTGATACCCGAGACAGCTGCACTGTTTCCTGCACTTCCGGACAAACTGCTTTTGGGCAGCGTCAGTGTCTCTTGTTTGGCCAGAACTTTATCGACGGAACTCCCTGCGGTGCCGGCGGACACTGCTCGAACGGATCATGCGAAGGCACCTCGACGTCTCGAGAGATTAGGGACTGGATCGATGACCACAAGGCGATTGTCATCCCCATCGCCGTCGTCGTCGGAATCCTGCTCATCATCATAGTGGTGAGCGGCATCATCAGCTGCTGCCGCCGAGCGCGAAGACGCGCAGTGCCCAAGACTTCGCCCACGACGGCAGCATGGGCGCAGTGGGGAGGCAACCAGAGCCGTGCACCAGGGCAACAGTATGGCCTGGCCCAGCCTCAGTACGATCCGCCGCCGCCGGCCTATGGTCAACAGCAGCAGCCTCCGGATTACGGACAGCCGCCGAATCAGGGGTGGAGGCCAAGGGTAGAACGGTATGCCTAAAAGTGTTGCGTATACCAGTTGTCTTGTCTTTCTTATTCATTTGATTGGCTGTCTGTTTGTCTTATTATCGAACATGGAGGGCTTTGTGTTTTTGTATAGGATTCGGAACCGTTTGGGATAAGACTCTCGTTCTGGTGTGGCTTGAAAAGACTACGCACATGCTTGGAGATTTTTGTTTGTTGACGGCGTTTTCTGTGGCGCGGGATCCTTTTTAATGATGACTTATGAAAGAAAGGAAACATGGTTGTTTTGTCTTTTTGGAATACATACAGCTGATACACACATACCCATCGTTACAAAGATGTTTGAGGTTTGAGGTTTTGTTGTCCATAGCAGGTGGCTCAGTTTGAGTAGTAGGACATTGCAAATATGAAATGATTTTGATTAGTTCTCCAAAGAAGGTAGAAGAGTTCATTCTGGTGATATAAGATCCGAAGCCATGGTCATGAAAAAAGAAAGAAAGAAAGAAAGTCGTACATTCATAATAATCCTCCAAGAGAAAGGAAGAAGAAAACAAGCAAAAGAAGAAGCAAAAGCACAAAGCAAAAGGCCCATCAAACCTCGCTCCTGGAGTTCTTACCAAGCTTGCGCGGCTTCTTGACCCTCTCCCGCGCCACCGTCAGGGTACTTTTGTAATGCGTGTGATTCCGCCAGTCCGACTCCTCCTCAAAGCCGCACATCATGGCCGTGAAGCGAAGCCTCTGGCTCGCGAGGCTCTGTCCATTGTATTTAGCATCAGCAATGGTTTCCATTGGGATGAGTAAAGAGAAAAAATGAAGCGAGGGGGAGTTGGGGATTGGGAAATACGCACGTCGTGTGTGGTGTTGGCGTACATCATGAGCAGTTCGGGGCGATCCAGCACTGCGATGGCATAGGCTCTGCGCTCGCGCGTCTCGAAGGCTTCTGATTTGCAGCTGAAGATGGAGGAAGTAGTTGTTTTGCTCGCATCGTCAAAATCATCATCATCATACCTATCAAAGTCAGTCAGTACACCAAAAGAAGAAACACAGCCCATAAAAAGAAAACAAGAAAATCAAAAAGACAGCACGTACTCATCGTCATCATCATCATCGTCATCTTCCTCTTCCATCTCCTCCTCCATCTCCTCCAACGGCTCCACATCCGGGTCGTCGTCCGGATCTTCATCCGTAAGGTCGTCCTCATGCTTCTTGTACGCGTTCTTCCCGCGCGCCTGCCGGTCCCGCATCGTTGCCGAGATGATGGACGGAAACGTCTTCTTCAAGGGCCCCGCGCGCCTCCGCATCGGCAGCTCCTCGGCCTGCTGCTGCTGATGGTAGTGATGGTGCAGCTGTTGCATCAGGTGCTGCTCCGCCAGCTGCTGCTGGTATTGCTGGTTGATGTTTGCCTGTTGGGCACTTGCCTGTTGGGCACCAGACATTTTGGGTTGGGCTGTGGGTGGTTTTGCTTCTTGTGTTATCCGATACGCGCTTTGCCCCTTTGAATGCTCTTCTCCTTTTGTGACGCCTCTTTTCCTTCTTCTAGTGCTCCGTTTTGGAAATGCCAATTGTTACGCCTGCTGTGGACTGTCGTTGATCGCAAGAGGTTGGGGGGAGGATGAATGAGGTTAGCAGTATCATGTTTGCCGCGCCTAGTGGCGATTTGCTCCATGTCTTTAGGCGATCCGCCGAGCCTCACGACAGAACCCCGCCTTTCTTCATAAAGGGAATGACTATTCAGCACCCCACGTTCCCTATTCAGCATCCCGTTCTTAAATTTAAAGCGGCATAGGTAGTAATAATGGCAGATAGTAGAGGAAAATATGAATAGTAGCGGTAGTAGCGGTAGTAGCAGAAAGTAGCGACAGTAGCAGAAAGTAGCGACAGTAGCAGAAAGTAGCGACAGTAGCAGAAAGTAGCGACAGTAGCAGGATATAGCGAGAGTTGCAGAAAGTAGCGAGAATAGTAGACACTTCAGGAACCGTATATTTATTTGAGTAATACTGATAAAAAAAAGGCCTTTATTTTGCGTCGTTACGATATTCATAACTCTTTTGAATCGCTGTGGTGCTGGATAGCCAGCTTGGGGTGCTGAATAGCCCTTCCCTTCATAAAAGTCACTTAATACAAGCAAATCCCGATATATCTGCTATCTAATCAAATCTCACAGCCTCAACAAGCAAAGCGCATTGATTAATAACCGGGACTCTGTCCCTTGATAGATTGATAGTACTCTGCAGATTTTATTGTACAAGAAGCAGTCGCACTATTCCCCGACCTGTTCAAACAAAGTGTAGACACAAAGTAGAAATGCCTTGACTTCCCCTTTCTCCGTCCTCACCTCCCCCCTTGCCTTGGACCCGAAAGAGACAGCAAAGCAAAATAAAGCAAATAAAGCAAACATGAAAGAGATAAAATAAAATAACACCACTCGTACTCCGTACGTCCGTTTTATCCCTGTCCTTCATTCGAGTGTATCCGCGTAGTCAAGATGATTAGCATAGTCCAGTCCAGCTCCCCTCTCGCTGTCCAGATATATCGTGGTTCGTGACCAAAAAGAAAGCCCATCGGGGAATGCTGGTAAACAAAAGGGATTGAAGCGCAGGGCTGTTTGAGCCCCAGCGATTTGATTCCGCGGCACCTCGCCTCCCCCCACATCCATTTGACCATCTTTTGTTCCAAAAAAAGAAGAATAGAGAGAGAGAGAGAGAGAGAGAGAGAGCAAAAAAAAGAGAGAGTAGGATCCGCCGTCGAGATGAACTCGGTCATGTCGCAGCCCCGCTGTCATGTCGCGCCGTCCGCCCGATACCATTTTGTTTTCTAGAGTCTGCCGCGTCGTGTTCATGGCTTCTTCTAGAGTCGCCCGATCCACCCAACGTCAGTAAATATATTATATGCGTTCGCCGTAATGCGCCTGTGTTTTCGTATCCTCAGCGGGAGTGGTTTCTATCCACTATTATTACCACTGAAGCTGATGATGGCGAGCTGTTCAAGAATGGTTAGCATGGCTTGTCCACCAATCATCCTTCCCCTCTCCCCTGTTTGGTACATGTCACACTTACACGACTGTTTGCGCCGTAAGCAAGCTTCTGGCCGTCCTTGTCCCAGCACAGGCAGTGCTCGTCCTCTTCTTCAGAGTCTTGGTTGCTCTTTAGGTTCTCTAGCTCGTCTTTGGACGGCCTCCAGATGGCCCGGGGCACGGAATGGCTGTCGACCTTCCATATCAGGACGCTTCTAGGCGTGGCTCCTGCGATGAAGGCTCCGTCAGGCGTAAAGGCAAGCCGCACGACCGGCAGGTCCATTGTGAAGAAGCATTTCGGTTTGCTCTCGGGTTTTCTAGCATTCCAAATCAGAATAGCGCCGTCCTCTCCTCCAGTAGCGATTAACCGCTCGTCTTCCGGACCAGATTGATCTGGCAGCAGTGGCTGCCAGGCCATCGTTGTAATTGACCCTTGGTGGGCTGATATTGACCGACGCTGTCCCGATTCATCCCATAGCTGCACGTACATGATTAGTACCCTGGTACCAGCGCTCATACTGGTTGGGGCCAACTTACATCCAAAACACCCTTGTCACTCGAGGTGGCGACGAGCTGGGATCGTGGGTCAAACAAAACCTGGGCAAAGTGATCATCCTCCTTCGTCTCAAATTTCCGGGTCCTCTGGATTGCCGTCTCGCCCAAGCTCAGGCATTCGAAAATGCCGCCGCCGCAAATCAAAAACTCGGAGTCGCCCGTCCATGTTGCGTCCAGGCCCGTATCGAGACTATGGCCCGGGAGGGGATACCGCAAGGACTTGTTGGAGCCTATCGAGTGCACCGTCACCAGTGTATCGACCTTGTTCTCTGGGGAAATGGCGAGCAGCGCCGTATTGCTAGGATTCCACAGCAGCTTGACAATGGGCGGCTCCGACACGTCCAGGGCCTGGACAAGCTCACCGCCGGCGGACCACAGATGGATGGCGGCCCGAGCTCCTCCACAGTCACTGGCCACGGCAATGGAGGCACCGTCCGACGTCCAGGCCAGCGCCGTCACCGTCGTCGTCTTTGGAGATTCGGGATCCAGCAAGGCATGGGCGTGGGGTGACACGTGATGCTGGCTGTGGTCAGTTGCTGTGGCACGCGAAACGGTCCAAACACGGGCTAGCGCATCGGTCCCAGCAGCCGCGAGGATTGATGGGTCTTTCGGGTTCCACTCGCACTGCAGCAGAATGGGAGTGTTTTCAGAGCCAGCTGGGGAGGGCGAAGGCGCTGTTTCAGTGGCGCAGTCGTCCATGAGGCGGATGAAGGTGGTGCCGGCAAACAGCTGCTCAACCTTGTCGACTTGCGTGCCTTGCTCGGGCCCCTCCGTCCGCACAATCGGCAGAGGAACCTGCTCTCCTTCCAGCGGAGATGGATAGGCGTGGTTATCGTGCAGGCTCTGGTCGTCGTCGTGGTGGCTGTCCTGCTGGTCCACATCCATGGGGGTGCTGACGGTGGCTGCATCGGATTTGCTCTCGCAGCCGTTGCTGAGCCGTGGGCGCTTGGAAGGCGACCCATTGGGCAGAGAATTGTGATTCCGTTTTCGCGACAGCTCTGCTTCGTCGTCCTCCTCTCCCGGTGCATCCTCGTCGTCGTCCTCCATCTTTGCTGGCGGCTGCACCTCCAACGGTCCAAAGATGCCGTTGCGCAGCGCCTCGGCTTGTGCGGCCGCATCTTCTGGCATCTGCAGCCGAATTGGATGGTTAGCCAAAGGGGGGAAAAAAGGGAAGCCGGAAAAGCGACCCGCGATTGGCGCACAGGCAGCCCCCAAGCCCAATCGCGAACGGCCAAGGAAATGAAACAAACGCAACAAGCGGGCATGAGAAATCGTAGCAAAGGGCAAATGCATGGCGTACCTGACGGCGTGAGTGCTCTCGCTCGAGAGCATAGTAGATGAGGCCGCTGTTGACCACGGACACTAGAGCACGGCCCTTGACATGGCGCGCAAAATCAAAGTCCCGTTGCGGCTCCTTGACGTGCCATTCTTTCTGGAACTTGGCGGCTGTTTCTCTGTAGTCTGAAGGAGAAAAAAAAAATCACGGGTTAGAATCTAGCCTTGATCCAGTCCTACGAGAGTAGACGGGGGAGAATGCTATGCGGTTTCCACGTACTGCCTTCAAGCAAATACCTGCGCAAAAAGGGTCAGCAAAAAGCGTGAGTGGCAACGAGGCCTCTTTGGGACCGAAAAACGCCTGGGCAAACGGGAAACTGGAAGCAAGGATTGGGGCTACGGCGGACGTTCCTGGGGGGGTCGCTGGGCTGGGGGAAAAAACGAAGACAAGGCTGGCAGAGACGACGGGATTTCGAGGGCGTTGGGACGAACCTCCAGATGAGAAAGTTGACTCGGTCTGAGTCGAGAAATTCCTTGAGGACCATGGTTTCCGGGGGGTCCAGATTCCGAGGGGGAAGCGCGCCAGCGAGGTGGCGGCAGTGTCACGGCTCGTCGTCGCAGGTGAGTCTGATTGTGCAGCTATCGAGCAGCGCAGAGGCCTTGATGGGGAGCCGCCAGAGGGAAAGCCAAATGGCAGGCTGGTGGTGAGGATGAAGTGAGTGAGTGAAGATTCCACGGAAGATGAATCGAATCCACAACTCGCCCACGGTCGGCAGAGACAAGGTACCTCTGCGTGCCTCTGTCGGTACATTGGCCCTGCCATGCCGCGCATGGAGTACGCAGTACTTGCGGGCGGCGCTGCGAGTACCTGCACGCCCGCCACAGCCAGCGCCACCGCCCAGGTAGCCGCCAAGTACCGCATACTTTGCACCGGCCCTTCAGCCCACGCCAGACTAAACGGGCCTTGTTTGGAGCGCCCAGAAAGGCGAGGCGCCAAAGGAGAAACCCAGCCGGTGGACTGCGCTATAGCCGGCGCCAGACATCAATTAAAGGCTGCCAATTACAAGGTACCCAAGGTCGCGCCCAAGGCATTCCCAAACCTAATGTACAGTAATGCTGGAGAGATCTCCCCCCAATCCAATCTGCCTCCCTACTGGTGCTGGTACTGCCTGGTACTGTACGCGGACTAAGGTACCTGCCTAGTACCTAGCCTTGCCATGGGGGCGCAAATGCACACAAACGAGCATCTGCAGCATGACGCTCTCCTCGCGTCGGCACCCCATGAGCCCAGAGTGCGGATGTTGCACAGCCTGGGCGTAGCAGGGCATGGCATGGCATGGCATGGTGATGCTTCCATTGGCGGCGACATGAATTCTAGCTTTGCTCTGCGCCGTCCAAAATTCGCTGCGGCGTTCCGGCTTATTTAGCACCCAGGCAGCCCTTGAAGCCAAAACTGTCCCATCCGGCCATGGCAACGGCTTACCTAACGCATTGTCATGTTGCCAGAGTACGGAGAGGTACCGAGCCGACGCCGTGGCAGGTGTGCGACGTCCATGTACTGCTCCGTATTGGCACTACTGCATCTAGTCGGACACCAAAGTGGACTGGTCTGGCGCTAGATTGAGCATTCAAATCGCTGTGGAACGAGATAGCATGGCGGTAGGGCAACGGGAGAAACGGGGATTGGGGAGAACCCTAGGCCTTGGCCAAGCTACCAAGACTTTGACGGAACCATCTGGACAATGAACCAAGGTACCCGTCACGGGGCTTCAAGTACGAGGGAGGAATCAGAGACAAACAGGCCGAGCGGCAGCCGTGCGGTACTCGCAAGGTCCAAGTACAAAGGCTGTCAAAGAGGAACTGGTCCTTGCGGGGGACCAGTAGAATCATCCGTGTCTGACGAGTGCGTGCATTATCGGCAACGACAAGAGGTACAAGCCATTAGTGGTAGTACTATGCTGTCACGTAACCCGGCATCGACATGCGTGGCAGCGCCGCGTGCCATCTCCAAGAGGCGAATAAGGGCACCACGATGGAGAGGGAGACGAGGAAAATTACGCCCAGTTGTCAGCGTCGGTGGCGCCAACCGCTGTCCTTTCGTCAATCGCACCTCTTGCGTGCTTTCGCAGTCCCGTCGCCTCTCTGCGCGATGCTCTCCATCACCTCCATCGCCGTGTCTCACTCCCTTGTCTCCGCGAGCCAAGAAAGCTTCTCCGTATCCAGAACATGGACAGTCTCAGCAAGGGAGCCGCTCGGAAACGTTTCTATCCCGTAAAACCCGCTCCAGTAAGATTCGGCAAACCCCGTTTGGTCATGTCGTCACGGACTCGGTTAAAAAAACGATAGCCCAAACCATTCGAACGAGTCCCTGCAAAGGGGGGACCAATTCCTTTTGTAGAGTGGACGAGTACAGATTGCTGAGGGTCCCCCCAGGATTACTAAGGCGGCAGCCAAGAGAGAACGGAAGCCCCAAAAGCCTCAATTCATGCGGTGGCAAAGTGCGAAAGTCGGTTGGTCTTTTGTGCAGCAGCTCCGGACTATCCCCCATCAGCAATCGAGATTCCGATCCAGGGCCAAAAAAAGAAGGTTCGCTGCTCGTTTCCCATCAGTTCGACGTGCGCCTCGCTTCCTTTCGCTCGTTTTCGTCTGCGTCTCTCCTCCGGGCATTTCTGCCATCACGACACTCGAGCAGACCCCAGAGCGCGCCAGGGCTGCACAAACAAGCTGTGTTGCTGCAAGCTCAGGAATCTGAGACTGATTGCAGATCGGTTGGGCGCTACTCCGGAAATGGAGACAAGGTCTCGTACTCTCCAGTAGTACCTGGACATCCCGCGCCCCGCAGGCTGTCCTTGGTCGTCCAATTGTCCGTACTGGTACGTGCTCTCTCAAGAGGCCACGGGATCCCCTCGAATGGATCTGGGCGGCCAGAGGAAAGGTGCCGACTCTGCTTGTGCTCTGTGCGAGGAGGGGAGCAGCATCTCCGACCAATGCTTTGCTCAAGGCGCGAGTATCCTTTTATTCCCGACGCAAGAAGCTTCCTGGTCGTGTTTCTCTTGCTCTTCGATTACCTAACCTCCGAAAAGTGGTCCTGAATTTTAAGATTCAGTCTCACGCGCGGCGCACTGACGGCTCACCCTTGGAAGCGTTTCGAGTGTGCAATTGGCAGCCCAAAAAGCTTCCGCAGCGGCCAAGGATGCCAGCGTCCTCCGATTCTTGACCAGTCTCGTCTCCTCACAGCAACCTTCCGGACAGAATCAACGTGCTGGAGGGTGAGGTGACTTTATCGTCAGACTACGTGGCACTGGTCACAGGCGACAAAGGGGGCGGGCGGCGACGTTGTGTGTGGTCCTTCTGGGAGGTGGCGCCGCCAGCTTGCCCGTTCTCCTTCATGCCTAGGAAATGCATCTGCACAGGGGTCGAGGTGACGGCCGCGATGTGCGTGCCGGGGACAGGGGTGCAATGAGATGGCTGCCATGGCTTATTATAGCCCGGGAGACGGTGGATGAGACGAGGGGGATGACGGAGCCAAGCCCGGCCAGCGCATTAGCATTAGCATTTGGCGATGCGCTCTACATAGTATTGTACCGTATGAGTACAGACAGGGAGGAAAGGAGAGACCAGAAGCAAAGAGACAGCCCAGCTGCACCGAATTTCGCTTCGTCTGGCCGCAGAGACGTGTCGCGGCAACACAACCCAAAACGCTGCATCCACAATCCGCAGCCCCCCGAAAAAACTCCATCCAAGGGATTCCAAAGTCAGCATCTTTGGTGATTGATGGGGCCCTTAAGCTCGCCCCACCCGACACCCGCCCCAAAGGACCAGCCAGGGATTTGCAGGCGAGGTACGTACCGATTACGCGACCCAGGCTTGCCAGAACTCCTCGAGGAACAAGAATCGTGAGGCAGGCTAATAAAAGTCGCGGTTTCGGTCGTGCATGTACGTCAAATGGCACAGATGGAGCACATGCAACTCGTACTCTGCACATGAGCCTGCATTGGCCTGCCACAGGTACAACCTGCAAAGCTTGCAAGGGACACAGCCCACGAACCCACCAGCCTTCACACGGTACTGTAGAGGCACTGCGAGCGAGTGCCTTATGCTTAACCATGGTACCTTGCCTGGGCCAAAGGGTCGTCCCTTTTCAACATTTTATCCCCGAGTAATACCAAGGGCTTGTGCAGACATCCAGACGATGCAAGATCGGCTATTCCGACACAGTCTCTGGCCATCGTTCACCAGGTTCTCGTTCGGGATGGCTTCTCCGCCTGTCTCTTGTGCCCCCGTGTTCCGTGACACATGTAACGTGTACCTGTCCCTGTACCCGTACCTGTACAGAGCGGGAGCTTCGCACAAGGTCCCCCAATTGCGGGCTTTTGCACATGCGGAACCCCACATGATGGTCAACTCAGTTGCAGGCTGCCGAATCAAGCTGACGGACCCGATAGGAGGAAAGCCCGGTGGACTTGCCGAGGTTCTGCCACCATCCACGTCTGGCTGAGTCATGGCTTGGGAATGTCTTGACACAGCACATGGGCGGTGGTGAAGAAGAAAAAAAAAAAAAATGGGCAAGCAACTAGGACGAGACGACTATCTTTGCGAATTGCAGGATAGAAAACTACACAGTACACACTCTTTGCCATGGTAAAGATAAAATAGAGTTGACGCCGACCCTTTGCGAGGTCTATCAGTTCACAAGCCAAATCCATGGATCCTAGCCGTGATTTGGCATACCGTCACTCGCTTCAAGGCCGCTCCCGCGCCAGCCACAAGAACTAGGAACTGCACCTGCAGCCCTCAGTATGATGCAATATGATGAAACAAACGCCAAGTGCATGGCAGTTTTCAGATGATACGCAACTGTGACAATGCCAAATGCGAAGGAAATCAGCATCCCATCTCCCTAGTAGTTATTGCAAGAAAGGATGCCAGTATCATCAGTTGATGCCTGAGGCCAACGCTTCAGCAGCCAGTCGGTAGCTCCCGATTCAGATCCCTTTGCACACATAATCACAATGCTAGCATCCCTAGCATGGAAGCTCTCGCTTTGACCACAAGCTGCGAGAAAGAAGATCCGAGCACACGCAAAGAGGACAGCAAGCCTTGCGCCCGTCTTGCCGTGCAGCTTCGCCTTGCAAACCACCCCCGGTTCAAATGACATCTGAGAAATCCCCGCGATAAACCCCCCCATCCCGCATCCCGCATCCCGTCGCCATGCCCCCGCGAATAAACATCCCGCCAGTCACACGAGCCCTGCTCGGCACTCTGCTGTTCCAGTCTGTCCTGAGCGCCGCGATTAGATATCGCCAGTGGTCCGAGGATACGGACATCGTCATCCCATACTTGACGCTCATCCCTCAGCTGTCCATTACATACCCCTGGACCTTTCTGACGGCGTCCCTGGTGGAGGGCAACATCTTTACGTTTGGCATAGGCGCTACGACTCTGTATCATGGCGGCAGGTATCTGGAGAGGGCTTGGTCGTCGGCAGACCTGGCCAAGTTTATTGTGGTTGTTTCCCTGATCCCAAATGTCCTGACGTTTTTTACCATGGTCTTCTTCTATACCCTGACCAGGAATCCTGACTGGACGTGAGTACACACCCATATACATACTTATTGCCAGATACTTTATGCGAGATGACTGCTAACACCCAACTTTTTTTTACAAGACTTACGGTCATCGGCGGTACCATTCCCTTCCAGATCGCTTTCCTAGTTGCCTTCAGCCAGCTCATCCCCGCACATACGGTAACGCTCTTCCGTGGAGTTGTCTCTCTCCGAGTCCCGAGAATCCCAATGATCTACATCGGCATCGTCACCGTGCTCTCGTTCACACCATTGCTGTCGCGAGCCGCTCTGTGGTTGGCCAACTTCAGCTTCATCACCAGCTGGACATACCTGCGGTTTTTCAAGGTTGTCTTTCCCGACCTTGATACAGCTCAGCCATCATCGCTGCGTGGGGACGCCAGCGAAACGTTTGCCTTTGCCGAGTTCTTCCCAGGACCTATCAAGCCCTTTGTGGCTGCCGTCGCAGATCAGATATACGGTATCCTTGTGATGATTCGGCTCTGCAAGCCTTCAGGACAGCGGGGCATAGCCACACGTCATGACAGCATTTCGCAGAGGGGGGCGCCGGGAAGTGCTCGTGCCGAAGCGGAGAGGAGGAGAGCCATCGCACTGAAGGCGCTGGATCAGAGACTGAATGCAGCCACCGCTGCTGCTCGAACACAGCCGGCCCCAGCTCCGCCACCAGCTGCTGCTCAGTCGAGCGGCCCACCTGTACAGGTTCAGCCCCAAACAAGTGCTCAGACAGCGATGAAGTCTGAGCCAGGACCGATGCTTGGCGAGACCAAGTTTGAACCAGAGGAAGATGATTCATAGGAGATTCTTGAGGATGGGCCGCAGATTCGTATGATGTAATGATACAAGTGATATTGGCGGCGCCTCGTAGTTGGGGCAAGGGAACCAGGGGCGGTAACGTCACGAATCAAATGATAATAATGATGCAAGCGGGTAGCGGATTGGATCGATGGACAGTAAGTTGGCGCCTTGGTGTTGTCCTGGATCATGGGGTTAATTGTCTAGCCAGCACGTCAAGAATGAATCATGCCTTGTTTGCCGTGTCGACACAATACAGTATGCCCGTTTTAAAGTTGTACTTTTGATGAGCACCACACTCTGTACTTGTCTTGGAATAGACATGAGACATGGGCGTTTTGTGTTGGCAAGGCGCTTTGCACAGACGGCAGCAGACTCAAGCTTTGGGGGAGGAGGGAAGCAGATAGAAGAGCAGCGAATACTTGTTAATCAAATGGAAGCTGAGCGACGATCAGTCGAGCTGATTGGATTAGAGCAGGGAGGTAGCCTTGTTCGTCTCACGATGGCATGGTACGTAGCACAATATACATTGGCAGCTAAGCGGCTGCATGTGAGAAATAAGAGTCTCTCATGACACCTGGAGACACTGGTGCTTGCAAGCGTGGGTCAAAGTCAGATATCACAAACAACATGTACATGAAGACGAAAATGCAGACATGGCAGTTTGAAGCACATTGTATTGCATCGCACGGCATCATGTGGCGTGGTAGGGCCACGAGATCTGAACACGCCGGTGATTTACTGTAGAAGATTGGGAGAAACCTCTGTCTTTTTTTTCTCTCTCCTACGAGGGCAGGGATCCAGCATCCCAAGTTATATACATACAGTCGACGACCTAACACACACTCCCAGATCCTCGAGGAATATGTAAGATGGTGATAGCGCAAGATACCTAGTCGTAGAGATACACTTCCAAGAGTCGCCGGGATGTCGGCTCGCCACTCCCTATTTCACCCCCCCTAGTCCTTGTTCATGGCAGTATCGGATGGTGATTCAATCCTGCGGACTAGCAAAAGTGATTATTGACAGAATTCACAGTCCTCGAGAACAAATCGTAAACGCGCCCAACCAGAGGCAGCCAAGCGTGACTTAAAAAAAAAGCAAAAAAAGGCATGGCGTCCTTGAAACCAAAGGGGGGGGGGGGAATCCCCCGCGGCAAACCTCAGCTACCCGGAGCCTACATACTTGTACACCAAAACAGCCTGCATATACAGGCCAATGTCCTAAAGCCGGGGCTGCATGTAGGGCATGAAGTATTGTACAGTAGCACCCCCGGATGGAGTAAGGGGGTGAAATTGTGGCTTGCTTGTTACCTGTGCCTACTATATTCCAGCATCGAGGGGGGCAGTGATGGTGGTATTCTCGTCCAAGGAGGGTGTGTGTGAGTGTGTGAGTGTCCAGCTTCTTGTTCGACGATGTGGAAGGGAGGGAAGGGAGGGAAGGGGGGCAGCAGAATACAATGTTACCAAACCAAAAGCGTGCCATCGCAGCTTGTGCGACCCGGCAAAGTCGAGGTGTCGACTTGGGTCAGGCTATACTGCAGCCGCTCAAGCCAGGCAGAAGCAAATGTTTCACCCATCCTCTTTTTCGTCTCTTCTCAAGGTTGCTTGTAGAGCGTAGCCCCCCTGGGTGCCCATTTTGGGGGAGTGGAGCTGCGGCAGAGGCTATGAATGCTTGTTTGGCGTTGAGCATAGATTGCAACGCAGGCCAGGCTACCAGGAGGAGAGCTAGAGTTGCTTCTTCTCAGCTTCACCCAGCTCGAGCCGCGCACCATGGTTAAATGACAACGCCCTCCCCAACTACTATAGCAGAGACCAAGCCAAAAAATGGCTCCATGGACAGCATCAGACGGGCAGATAACAGGCAGCCAGCCTGCCCCGGAGTTCGCGGCGCCATCTAGGGTAGCAACGACGAACCGGCCAGCAGCTCGCGCGCTGTTGGTGATACTTGGCCCGCCTGCCGCTCTTCGCCTCACCTCGCGCAAGGGAGGGGGGAAGGGGGGGCGTGCGGGCTGGAATCGCCGTGACACAAAGTGTCAACCATGGTCCAATGGCGAAAACCGAAGCACTGGGCCGCTGCCGGAGTCCAAAGAGGACGTGAAGCTGCAAAGGCAGGACAACGTTGCCGCTGCGTGCATTGAATCCAGCATGGACGGAAGACGGAGCAAGCCCGAGGCTACAGGCAGGTCGCACAGGCACGACAGATGCTGCCTTGGTACCACAAGTACCACAAGTGCCACTAGAGGTACCTGGATTAGCACGAACCTCGCTGTCTGGCCGGCGGCGAAACCTGGCAAGTCGGGCGTGCGGGAATCTGGCTGGGCGGCTCGCCTTTGTTCGATGCGATGGGCGATGGGGGGGAGCGATGAAACTGGCAAGGCCATAGCTTGTCCAGCCAGCTAGTCCGGAAGAGTGCTAGGCCGGGCTGGCTGTTCTGGATGGCTCTGAGTAATACAAGCCGCCCAGGAGCAGAGCATCGCGATCGTGCGGTTACGGGGGATGTGCGGTTACTATTGGAATCTACAGTATCCTGGCAGTACTGTACTTCGTAGTGGTAGGTACCATAGGAGCAGCCCCCCCCCCCCCCCCAAAAAAAAAAGCAAGTACGCGGAAAAAGTGGTTGATTCTCGCGGCGAGCCAACGCCTTTGCTGTCGCATTAAGCCGTAGAGGGAGGGGGGAGGCCAGGAATGTGCCGCGGCCAGCTGCTTCGCATTAGCCCGCGAGATTCATCGGATGCCAGTCCAGTCCAGCCCAGGTTCCAGTCCAAGTAGAGCGAGACGAGAGAGCACTACGGAGTAGCAGTAGCAGCCATCGGGGTCACCTTGGCAACTCGGAGCCAATCTCGTGCTGGCTCTGGGCTAGCGGTCATGGCGCTGCTCGTTTCTGCTTGCCGCCCTCCTGCCGGGCCTCGGGGCTTCTGGGCCTCTGGGGTTGGAGCCCACACGCATCGCGTCCGTTGCTGAGCGAAGCAAGGGGCCGAGCTAGGAGAGCTGGGAAGAGCCCCAGATGGCCAGATCCGCCGGCGGCTGGCCGTGGCACGTCAGTGTGTTGAGCAGCTCAGGAGTGTGTGGGCTCATCCACCTATCCACTTATCCACTTGGTGGCAGAACTTCTTTTTTCCCTCTCTTTTCCAATGACATGTGGGCGGGTTGCTGAGAAAGGTGGGACCCCTTGCGAACGCGACACGGTAGGGGTGTGCGCGAGCTGAGAGGAGAGGTGAGAGGGTCCAGGCTTAGAGGGCACAGGCTTAGAGGGCACAGGCTTAGAGGGCAAAGGGAGTTGGCGTCCACAGGCCCCCCAGCGTGTGCGCAGCGTGCTGTGCGTGTACATAGCACTGTACCTGTACGAGTACGTACCGTAGGTACTTGTGCCTGCGAGTGCCTGAGCGGTACTACTCAGACCGCATCGCGAACACGCGGCTAGTGTCCGAGCATTTTCTCACCACCGACGCAATTCGTCGTCAGCGAGCATGCTCCCTACATATAACGTGTACTCGTCAGGTAAGGCACCTTTGCTCGTGCAGGCGCATGTACTTGTACCTGCTGGCGCGCACGCCGCGTGGAGCGCAGCTGCATGCTACAGCACTTAGCATCAATGCAGCAGCAAGTCATGTACCAGTACAAGACGGCACTGTTGATACTGAGGTACCTACCTTTCAGTCCCCTTTCCCGTGAAGCCATGCCATGCTATGCACCCCAATGCTCCGTGTAGCATCGCTGGCTGTCGTTTCTCCACCAAACGCGGCCAGCGCAGACATGCTGCCGGTAGTACTCGTACCAATACTACCACGACCGCCATAACCGGGCAGTGTGCATTGTGCATTGTGCAGTAGCAGCACGCAGCCTCGGCGGGTGCAGCAGTGGCGAGGCACCTAATGGATTCTTACCTATGGAATGGACACATGGATGCAAGCAGTTTGCTGTCCTAAAACAATGTTCAGGGTGGCTCGTGGGTTTGCATCAATTAGCCTACACGGCTCCTCTCCAAACGGGGGGTTGGGTTTGGCTGGGCACAGAAACACATCCCATGCGTGGCGCCTGCTTATGTAACAAAGGTTGCCTGCAGAAAAAAGGCCGAATGCAAGATACGGCTTGTAGTAATCTTGATCCTGAGGCTCCCAAAAAAGGCCGCCCAACCCTCCCGCGCCACCCTGACCTTATATTTTAGGCGCTGCAGCCCCGGTCACATGACCGCTGTTCCTTTTTTCGTAGCGCCCCTGGCCTTATCCCCGACATGGAGCAAAAAGCTAAGACCTGGGCCCCGGTGCCGCTCTTTTTTTCTCTGCTCTTCCGTTCACGTCTCTTTTGTGGGGTCCCTCGCTAGCGCCCCCTTCGAGTACTTCCTCTAAGGTACTAGCCCCGTCCGATGCTTCCAATTCTCTGCTAGCAGCCACTCTAACGTGTGCGGCACTCCGTAGCAGCCGTCATCTCTTTTGCGAGCGTTGTTATCACGGCGTCTGCTGTCTTGGGCCGGCAATGGGAAATGAGGTGCCACCTACGTGTGTCTAGTCAGAGCGCCTGATCTGGATGGAGAGCTCCGTTCTTACGAGTCCAGCTACTGACTGACAGTTGCTGTACTATGTACCAGTGCCCAACATAGAGCGGATACTATGTACCTCCATCACCGGCTCCTTTTTGCTTTTGAATTTTTCTCTTCTTCAGCCGGCAGAATGGAAGCATTTATCTTTAGCAGCACGGCCAACAGCACGGCCATTTGTCCAAACCTTGCTGCAGCTGTTCCTCTCCAAGTTCGCGTGGCTTGCAGGCATCTCGGGCTGGCTTTTGTCACCTTGGCTTCACGCCACCATCCTTTGGCGTCGTTCTAGTTTGGCTTGAGTGCCACCTGTCGACAAGTACACCATAGCATGTCAAATGAGGGAGCGCCGTTGTACCTGAGGTGTGTCACTGCCATCATCTCCATGTGCAACTTCTGGTGCCACCTTATTACCGCCATCTGCTGCAACTAGCGCCACGGTCATTTCGCCCACCAAGACTCGGGCCAGCCAGAGCGCTGCTGACAATGCATGCCCACGAGCCAACCAACGCATCATGTCTCCCCCCCGGCAAATACCGGGGGCCTAAACTACCATCGCTGCATTGATTCGTATCGAGGGCCGGTGTCGCCAATGATGAGTGAAGATCCCCGAGAGCTAGGAGAGCTCCTGCTGCCGGTCGTCTTACCCGCTGGATCAGCGCACCATGCTTGTCAACTTGTTTTGCCTCGATGCGCCCATGGGTCCCTCATAAACTGAGACCGGGACGCGGACCCTTTCCTGGCCCTGCGTTGCGATGCATCGATGCAGCGACTCTGCTTGAATGCTGTACCCGTGCAAGTAAAGGACGGAATGCCTCGAGCACTGTGACAATCAATTAATACATGGCACAGCCACTGCCCTGACAGCCTCAAACTCTGACGATATACCCGATCTCCATCTTGTCAGGCCCGCAGCAAGCGACAGCAGCAACAGACTTTGGCGAGGCATCCGCCGTTGCTACTGTACCAACAAGGAAATTGCCTGTATTCAGCCTGTAATAGTAGGTAGATGCTGCGTTGCCAAGACATGGCCACACCAGCCTGTGCGCCGCAAATCGACAGCCTCGCCGTCAGATAAGACTGATCTCATTTTTGCTGCTTCCTATGCATCCTCTCAGGTGATGAGCGTCTCCGTACAGGGACGTCAGCGCGCGCTCGCCATGGTTCCTCTCAGCCGCCTGGGCCTAGCCCCTCGCCTATGTACTTGGCCGTAGCACGGAGTAGTACCTAGTGCTTTATGCATACGAGTATACATGACCTGCAATGGCCAGCCACGGCAACTGCGTCAACTCGGGAGCCCAGGCTCTCAAGTCTCCGTACCCCCCAGCTTTTTGCCCTTCGCAGCTCAGAGTGTGTGTGGGCTTGCTGGCAGTGGTAGCCTCGGGCACTACAACGGTACGTACCTGAGGGCCAGCTGCTAAGGTACCTGGGTACTTCGTACTGGCACACCATCTCTCGCAGAACCCTGCCCACACCCCCACTTTACCTACTCGGCAAGGAAGAGCCAAAGCCGCCAAGCAGCCAAAGGCCCCACTTGGCCAGGGTAGCCCCGCTCCAGTAAACGCCACGCCCCCGTACCTGTAGTCCGTCCTTTCCCTCCCATTTTCATCATTTTCATGGGTAAGGTAAGTTTGTCGGTTCAGCAGCGCAGGTCCGTCCTCCACAAGACCAGCCTTTTCTCTCCCCATTACCCGTTCTCTTTTTCTCCCCTCCATCACATCTCGCAGCCATAGCCAGCAGCGTCGGGGGCTCGTGGACCTTGACGTGCCTCCACGATCCCAACTATTCAACTATCCTTCTGTATAGAATTTCAGCCTCGTCGGCCTTTGGTTTCGCTTGCCTTTCTACTACTTTGCCTATCCTTTTATTCTTTTCTTCTTCTGTCGGGCCGAGCGTCGTTGTCGGCATAAGTTAAGTGTCTGTTCTGCGCGGGTGCTTTTTCAACGGTGCCTGCATCCGAGCCATTGGGTCGTTCCCACAACCATCGCCCTTCAATCGACACGGCCATCGCCAGCTCGGAGATTTTCGCGCCGTCGCGTCGAGATTCATCTGCCCAGGCCCGCGCTACTCACCCTACACCGCCAGCCTTGTCGCGATAATCCGCTGCCGAGTGCGTCGCGATGGCGAACCACCACCCATCGCCCACGATGATGCAGATGCAGCATCAAGCGCCCCCTCCCGTGGCACCGCCTCAGAATGTCCAGCCGAACCACTTCAACCCTTCGCACCAGATTGCGGCCATGAACGAGGCTGTCTGGTTGCAGATTGGTATGGAACCCCCCCTTTGCTTGCCAGCTCGTTTAGGCCGGGCTTTTGGATTGACAATCTGAATAGGAAGCTTTTCTGAATTGCTGCGCGTGCCTGACGAGGCCATGCATGCCTATGAGCGCGCTCTGCAGGCCAATCCGAACTCCACAGCCGCAATGAACGCGATTGGTATGCTTCTCAAGGGCCGCGAGGCCTTCGACAAGGCTCTCGAGTTCTTCCGAGCCATCGTCCAGCTCGACCAGAACAATGGTGAAGCTTGGGGAAATCTTGGTATACCACGCCGCCGCCGTACTGATTCTTTAGATTAATGCTCATTGAATGCTCAACAGGCCACTGCTACTTGATGACCGAGAATTTACAAAAGGCATACGACGCTTACCAGCAGGCGCTCGTCAACCTTAGAGATCCCAAGGTATGTGGATTACGCACTTGACAGCTTGGCCTTTGCTTGCGCATCTGAGTAACCCTTGGCATATATAGGATCCCATGCTGTGGTATGGCATTGGCATCTTGTACGATCGCTACGGTAGCTATGACTACGCTGAGGAGGCATTCTCTCAGGTCATGACTATCCAACCCGACTTCGAAAAGGCCAACGAAATCTACTTCCGACTGGGCATAATATACAAGCAACAGTCGAAATTCAACCAGAGCTTGGATGTAAGGCAACACCTTTACTCGGCAACGCATTATCCGTCTTTACTAACAGCCTTTTCAGTGCTTCAAATACATTGTCAATTCTCCTCCCGGGCCTCTTACCCAAGAAGACATCTGGTTCCAGATCGGACATGTTCACGAGCAACAGAAAGATGTAGGCTTCTAAATTTTCGTCATGGCCGTGTGATATGCTAACCTCGTTTCACAGTTTGACGGCGCCAAATCCGCCTACCAGCGCGTACTGGATCAGTCGCCCAACCACGCCAAAGTTCTACAGCAGTTGGGCTGGCTCTACCACCAACAGAGTCCAGCATATGATTCCCAGGAACGGGGTATTCAGTACCTGGAGAAGTCTGTTGCGGCAGACAACCAGGATGCGCAAAGCTGGTATCTCTTGGGCCGTTGCTACATGTCGCAGCAAAAGTATCCCAAAGCATACGAGGCCTACCAACAGGCCGTGTACCGCGATGGAAAGAATCCCACCTTCTGGTGCTCGATAGGCGTGCTGTACTATCAAATCAATCAATATAGAGATGCGCTTGATGCGTACTCACGCGCTATTCGCCTCAACCCATACATTTCTGAGGTTTGGTATGACCTTGGCACTCTTGTAAGTTCCGTCGCTGTCTTCTGTTTTATACACACTCTCCTTAAATGGCCAATTACTGACTCTGCGAACAGTACGAGTCTTGCAACAACCAGATTGCCGACGCACTGGACGCCTATCAAAGGGCCGCAGAATTGGATCCGGGTAATCCACACATTAAAGCTCGCCTTCAGCTTCTTCGCTCCGGCGGCACAAATGGCGGACCGCCACCTGCTGCTCCTCAGCCTGCCGATATGCATCCCTCAACGTACCAGACGGGTCCCACAGGCCCCCCTCAATGGGGAGGATCTGCACAGCAGCAATCCGCTGGCCCTCCTGCTGCCACTCAGGCGGCCGGTGAGAGCTGGGCTGGCAGGCTGTCTAACGTTAACCCGCCTCCCCAGCCGCCCAATCCTTACGAGAGCAGGGGCGGCGAGCCTTTCCGTGGTCCAGCACCACCTCTTCGACAGCCCAGCCCTCCTCCGCAAGAGCAGCCGGCTCGTCAGCCATATCCCGAGCTTAATAGGCCTGGTCCGTCGCGTCGTGGCCCGTCACCACCGCCCCAGAGTCACCAATATGCCCAGCCTCTTCCTCCGCCACCACCCCAGTCTCAACCTCCGGCTCCCGCGCCGGCTGAGCGACGTGTTGTCAATCCTAACTGGGGTGGCTCGACGCCATCGGCCTCGGCTCCGCCTCCCAATAACCCAAACAATGCTAACAACCCACCTCCGAATGGAATGACTCCGTTCCGGCCGGCCAGCAGCCCTCGCACTGCCGACGGCCGCCCTCCAATTCATGACAACCGCATGCCATCTCCCAAGTCGGCTTATCCCCAACACCCGGCTCCTCCACCACCGCACTACCCTCATCATCCAGAGATGCCACCTCAGAGTGCTCCTGAAAACAACGCACAGCCGCCGCCTCCCCCCCCTGCGGCGATTTCTGAGCCTCCTGCCCAGCGTATGGAAGATCGGCCTTCGTCTGTAGGACCTAAGAGACATCGCGAGTGGGAGGAGGAGTCTGTGGCTAAGAAGCCGGCTAACGAGGAGACTCGTGCACGACTGGGAGATCTGGCACACCGCAGACCCTCTCCAACACCTCCCCGCGACGCATATCGTCGCAATTCGTCTGAGGCTCGCCGTACAGAAGAACAACGTCGCCCCGAAGAGCCCAGGAGGTCCGATGAACCACGTCACAAGACGGAGAACTATCACCCGTCCGAGGCTGCTCATCACACGCAAAGCCACAGTGTGAGCTCAAACCACCTGCCGCCGATGCAGCCGGGAGCAGGTCCCATGACTGGCGTCGTCCACGAAAAGCCCCAGCCCCCTGTTGTTCCCAAGGAAGAGCCCCGTGCCGAACAGGCGCCCCCAGCTCGCCCAGCTCCCCCGCCTGCTTCTGAACCCGAGCGTGCTGCTAGAAAAATGGACGTGGATGAGGATTATGATGACAGCGGAGAGGACGAGAAGAAGGCAGTGGTCCTCACTAATGGCTCTGGGCCCCCTGCAGCATCAAGTGACTTGAAGGCTCCGGCCTCTTCTACCAGCAGCGTCAATGTTGCTTCTGGCCCTGTGCCCAAAACCGAATGAGAGGTGCCCATCTATACGTATACCAAGAGAGGATGGGGTTTATGAGTCAGGTTTTTTACGTGGCGATTTATTTGGGTGTCCCTTTCCCCCTTCTTTTCTTTATTATATATCATACTTTTCATCCCAGTATTACTACTTAGTTTTCTTATGTTACGGGACGATTTGACGGACGGCAATGGGGGACAAATCATTGGTTTTGGCTAAAACAAACTGTCGCCAGGGAGCGTTTACCGTACCATAGGTGTAGTCCATTTTAAATCTCAATGACTTTTGACCAATTCTCAGCAAACTTTTGATGTACCTGTATTTGCCTCCCAACTTCTCCTTTCTGCTCTCGATATCTTTCAGAATTCTAAGTTACCTAGTAGGTAGTACTGAAAATATGGAGTCACGTGAGCGATCGCCTTTGGGCTTGTGCCTAGCTTTTGGTGGTGGCTGATTGGCTGAAACGACCCATCATCCTTAAACGGCTAGCGCGGAAATTTGGACCTCCCATCAGGTCTCGCTTAAAATTTCGCCCACAAATTATTTCCTGAAAGCCCTTTTCTCTTTTCTGCTCTGCGCAGGCTTCGTCAATTTTTCATACTAAACTCATCACCACACAACCGGCCCAAAATGAGTGTATGTGAACATACTGAAAAGAAACTCTAGATATCCCTCGACGATGCTAACATTATAATAGCACCGCAAGTACGAGGCTCCCCGTCACGGCTCCTTGGCTTATCTGCCTCGGAAGCGCGCTGCCCGCCACCGCGGAAAGGTCAAGTCGTAAGTGTTGAGAAAAAAAAAAAATCTTTTTGAGATGCCTTCAATTTGAGGATATCTGAGGAACAGTGCTAATCAATTGGAGCTGGCAGCTTCCCCAAGGATGACCCCAAGAAGCCCGTCCACCTGACCGCCGCCATGGGCTACAAGGCCGGTATGACCACGATCGTTCGTGACCTCGACCGACCCGGCGCGAAGGCGAACAAGAAGGAAGTTGTGGAGGCTGTTTCGATCATTGATACCCCCCCTGTACGAACAATGCAGCCCGCTTGGCTATGTGCCTATGGCTAACATCTAATTTAGATGATCGTTGTTGGTCTTGTGGGCTACATCGAGACTCCCCGTGGTCTGCGCTCCCTCACCACCGTGTGGGCTGAGCACTTGAGCGACGAAGTTAAGCGACGATTCTACAAGAACTGGTACAAGAGCAAGAAGAAGGCTTTCACCAAGTACGCCAAGAAGCACTCCGACAACAGCGGTGCCTCCATCAACCGCGAGCTCGAGCGCATCAAGAAGTACTGCACTGTCGTCCGTATCCTGGCTCACACCCAGATCCGCAAGACCCCCCTCAAGCAGAAGAAGGCCCACCTTATGGAGATCCAGGTCAACGGTGGCTCCGTTGCCGAGAAGGTCGACTTCGGCAAGGACCTCTTCGAGAAGCCCGTCTCCATCGACAGCATCTTCGAGCAGGATGAGGTCATTGACGTTATCGCCGTCACCAAGGGTCACGGATTCAGCGGTGTTACCGCCCGTTGGGGTACCAAGAAGCTCCCCCGTAAGACTCACAAGGGTCTCCGAAAGGTTGCTTGTATCGGTGCTTGGCATCCTTCCCACGTCCAGTGGACTGTTGCCCGTGCCGGTCAGGAGGGTTACCACCACCGTACCTCTGTCAACCACAAGGTTTACAGAATCGGCAAGGGTGATGCTGACGACAACGCCTCCACTGACATTGATGTCACCAAGAAGAAGATCACTCCGTATGTTTCTCCCCCCTTTGTGACCGTTTACCAGTGTATAAATGCTAACATTGTTTTTGCAGTCTCGGTGGCTTTGTCCGCTATGGTGAGATCAACAACGACTTCGTCATGGTCAAGGGCTCTATCCCTGGTACCAAGAAGCGTGTTGTGACTCTCCGTAAGTCCATGTGGACTCACACCTCAAGAAAGGCTCTGGAGAAGATCAACCTCAAGTGGATCGACACCTCATCCGAGTTCGGTCACGGTGCTTTCCAGACCCCTGCGGAGAAGAAGCAGTACCAGGGTACCCTCAAGAAGGATCTGGCTTCCGCATAAAAAGCTTATTTCCTTTTTGCTCGTCGGTCATTGCATTGGTGTCGGATTTGGTTTGCCTTGCTTTTTGGGCTGGGTTTGGGGCTTCATAATGGGATGAGCACGAAAAAAGATGAATTTCAGCTAGAGATCTGAAAAATTCGAAATGAGATTTCCTGTTATGATCATGGAAATCCCACGCATGTGCATGCCAAGTAGCGACGCCAATAGACAAGAAACTGACCATTTATACACAAGTTTTGATGTGAATCCACTGTAGAAGCACGGAGCTTGGTACTTGTTCGTGCAATTGCACGATTATAATTGTAAACAGTGGAAGAAAACAAAAACAACTGCCATTGAAGCTTCCATCCACAATTCTGAGGTGACTACCTGTATCTTGAGTGATGTGATTGTTGCAGTGTTTTAGTGGTTTAGTGATTCGTCTGCGTTGACGTCACCCCACCACAAAAGCTGACGGGACCTCCAGCTTTGATTGCACAAAGAATCATCATTACTTGCGTAACGTTTTTCATCACTCTCACTCATGCCACCCAGTCAACAAAGCCTCTTTGCTGCGTTTTCTTTCCCATCTAGAAGAGCCCTGCATACCAACAAGCGAATAGCATACCACGTTCCCCAGCGCTCACAAGCTATCCGTCTCCAGCGCCCAGCCCAAGACAGCTCGAGCATCCCCGCGTCGAGTTTCCGCAGCTTCACACAGCGTCGCACCCTATCGAACACCGCGTCCCGAAAAATGGCGAGCGACGAGGATTACATGGCCTTCCTCAACAAGGCGAACCAGGATGCGGATGAGGGGAGGGCAGCGGCGCAAAGCTCGCGGGGAGCGGGGGCGCAGCGGGAGTTTAAGACGGCGGATGAGGGCAGCGAGCTTCCCAAGAGCATTGCTGAGGTTTGCCGAGATGCATTTTACGTGAGTGAGGCGGACGAGCCGTTTAAGGGGGTGTCGTTGAAGTGGAAGGGCGAGGGAGGGTTGCCGGATGAAGGTCAGTTTTTGTTTGTCCATGCTTTGTGAACTTGGTTTCAAGACGACCTCTTGAGGGGGTTATTGTGACAGATGCGGTTGAAAGAGAAAGCTTCCAGAAGTGCTAATTAAAGTCTATTGTTACAGTTGAATTCGCAAAGCTGATCAACCACTGGGACGCCGAGAATGCGCAAATCGACATCATGGATCCTATCGAGTGGGATTCGCAGGGAGAATACGGCAATATCATTGATGCCGTGAGAGAGGCGACGCGAGGAAACGATGTGAGAGTCTACAGGGTTGCGAGGGATCTAACGAGGGCTGAGTACTGGGTTATTTCACGGGATGATGAGGGTGGTAGGATTGTTGGAGTGAAGGCGCTGGGAATTGAGTCGTGAGAGACGGGATTGGGATATCATATTGAAGAATAATGCATTTATATTTATGCGTTCTTGTGTCTTTACATATGCTATTTATTGGAACCTAAGCTGTGGCAGCTACTCGTCTTACTATCGTGCAGCTCATAACTTGAAGTTGGTTTTGGCTCATTCAGTGCTGGGGGCATATAGATGATATCTCAGGCTGTTTGTCTATTGAACCTGTTGAATTCTTTTGAGACGGGATAGTTTTAATAGTGGTTAATAGTGGTTAGCCAGGTCAGTCCAACATCAGCTACAGCATCCCGCGTCTCAAATCTAAAGCTACCTCAGCAGGTAGTGAAAATAGTATATGTTAAAGGAATAAAGACGTAACCATCTTTACAAGTGCAGCTGACTGCATACCTGGTATGTCGCCTTCACTGCCAACTGCCCTTTGTGATACGAGCGGATGGTTTGTGTGCCATTGATCAAAATGGGCGTTCAGGAGGCAATTTATCTCTAGCCTCACTCATTGGCCGCCTGTTGACGATCTCTTACTTAGTCGGGGAGCTTCCCCCCTCGTGCCGACCTAGATATAAAAAGCCACCGATGGATACTAACCATTAAGACGCACACATATAATTTAGCTCCAGTGGTGACGCGAACAAACATGCAGACATGCGGATATGCTTACAGCTGGTGTCTGGAGAATGACGTTTGGCAGATGCTGCAATCAGCATTGCGATGCGGTTTTGAAAAAGTCGATACACGTGTCTGCCCCACCCTTCTATTTGTGTGTGCACTTACCTGGTAGTAAAGCTCACATCGCCTCTTGTTCCCAGCCTTATTGTCAATCATACACAAACAACCTTTCTTTATACATTTTTAATGACCCCTTTCCTTATTATCGCCAATTCCGAAATACATAGCAATACACAATCCACAAGCGTTCAAATGACAAAGAGAGTCCGATCTGATCGCCGGCCGTATGATATCCGGCCCGTGTCGCTTATACGACCCGGCCAAGCCAAGAGCCAAGATGCTCTGGATAATCTCTCTCGGTATGAAGAAGTCAGTCGTCAATTTGCACAAGAGTTCCCGCAACTTGCTCGGAGCCTTGAGCAGCACCACTGGATACCATGTTTTCTCTCACCGAATACAGGACGACAAGAAAACAGCACGACTGCTCTAGCGGATGATGCAACAGCTGCGGATTCCTCAGCCTGTCCCATTCGTGGGATGGTTGATGATTCCGAGTTTGCGACTTCAGCAGGTTACGATATTTCGATGCACAGTGACGAAGACTACTGCGTTGGCGCACTGCCTCTTGCGATGATCACAGCGACATCCTCTCCGTTCGAGCGGTTGGGCAACGCAGACTCTTTCACCCCTCCTGATTCTGAGGTCGATTCCGACCCGTCATATGATCCCGAAACATTAACTTCGCAGCTTCTCTGGCACAATCAAGTCAAAGAATCGAGATACAACTGCGCACAACAGGGCAAGAATGGAAGGAAGATGGAGAAGCAGTCCCTCGTCACCCCGCCGGTCGAGCAGAGAGATTCTAATGATTTTGACAACAAAGCTCTAGCTGAAGCTTCTTGTGTAGATAGAGATAAGATGAATCAAATTATAATGGATTTGAATCAGCTGGGGACTCGGTTGCACCAGGATGCGAGGCGGCAGCTGGATGTTATCAATGGTGATGCGTGTTTGTGAAGGCCAAGCGCATTTGCTTGTCTTGACACTGGTGCAAGGCCAGGCTGGGTTCATATACGGATATATCAAGCGGGATTGGAATGATCATCGACGATCTATACTAAATACCAAGTGCACAGAAATTTATCTGTCAAAAGGAAGGAAATCGCGCAGTCGCTGAAAAAGAAAGGCGCATTAGATATCATACCTAGTAGCTATCGTCAAAGCAGGGTTGTTAAACGACTTCCCATTGAGGACGTCGGTAAGCCTTATCACCACGTACTAAGGTACTAGATACCTGTAGTGTCTCTCTCTCTTATCGACATGTACCTTGTTTCCACCATCACAGACATCATTTTCCATCTTCGCAGATATCTTTCTCTACCATCTCAACCATCTCGACCTTCATGTGCTATCATCGCTCTACTAAGAAAAGATGTCACGGGCGCACTGCTGGATTTCACCTAGTACATAGACAAGGGCACTAACAGGTGCTAAAAGCCGGTTGAAGGATGGGTGCTGTAACCTCAGATAGATTAGCAGCACGGTAGCTAATTTGGGGCCACACAAAGAATCAGCTAATTGCCCATGAAACGGGAGCAAAGACTCCGATGGGAAGTGGGCACATGCTCCGGAGCGACGTGCGACACTAGCATTCAAGGTTTAGCTCTTTGAATCTGGCGTTGGCGGCTGGGCGATTCGGACGGAGAGTTTTTGGGGCATTTTGAGTTTCCTGGCGACGTGCTAGCAGTTGGTTGTTTCAAGCCCTTCAGCTTGTGCTGAGCTGCGCTGCGCTGTGCGATAAGGTTAAGGTGCAGGTTAATGGAGTGGCAACTGGAGTATCGGGAGGCAGCGCAGCTTAGGCATCAAATGGCCTGTCCTCTTTGGTTCTGCAGCCTTCGAGGGGGCTGCTGCAGCTGCGGATTCCGCTACAACAGGCAAGGTGCTGAAAACATGCCAGGGTACCCTCCAATATATACCTTGCATAGTGCCTCTGAGAGTCGTTGGTGATCGGCGCCCCCATGGTTTTTTCTAATCCCGAGCGACAGCGATCCGTGCACCTTGTGGCGGCTGTGGAACGGTGATGGCAGCAATTCCGGACCGGGCCCAGGTGAAGGCTGCCAAGCTGGTGTCCGAGTCGGCCAGAGAGCGGGAGACGTTTGAGTAGGGCCTTGTTTTTCTTTTCTTCTTCTTCTTCTACTTGCCGGTATTCTGTTGACCCGTGGCAAATCGTCTGTTAGGTACTCTTCGTCTCTGCTCAGCGCCGTCAGGCTCAACGAGACCGGGAAGCCGACGCCTTCGTCCGAGCTCGCAACCGCCGACGACGTTATCCTCACCGGCCTCGCCCAGCTGGGAGCTTTGCAGACGGGTACCGACCGGGCCCTCATCTCGCTGTTTGACGCCCACCGCCAGTGTATCGTCGCCGAAGCAACACCCACGCAGCGCCTGTACCCATCGCTCAGGAGTGACGACTGTGACCGCCCGCTCTGGCTATGCGGCACTGCCATCCCTCGTAGCCATGGAGTCTGCGAGCTGAGTCTCCTCGGCGACAAGGCTCTCGACGCCGCCGATGGCGAGATGCCCAACCAGCTCCCTCTGACCATCGCCCACGACCTTGTCATTGACCCTCGGTTCTCGTCCAAGCCGTTCTGCCAGCCGGGCAGCTTGGCTCGTTTCTACGCCGCTGTCCCAATTCGAACTCGGCGTGGAATCAACATCGGCGTGTACTGCGTCATCAACGAGACTCCAAACAAGACCTGGAGTGACGACCACTCGCAGCGGCTACGAGATATATCCTGGGCCATCATGGACCATCTCGAGGCGCAGAGACTAAAGGTTGTTCACAAGCGGGATTTGCGAATGAACAGGGGCTTGGGGTCGTTTATCGAGGGCAAACCCACCATATTTGGCTCGCAGAAGACCTCAAATGATACTGCCTTGGAGACACAACCTAACAGCCCTACACACCGGCAACAATTTTTCCAACAGCAACAGCAGGACAGGCCCGAAGATGACCTCGTGACCGACCTATCGCCGACGACCAGGTTGACTGACCCAATTTCCGTTCCAAGGCGGCCAAGAAATGAAGCAAATCTAAGCCCAAACGACGCCTTCTCTGGCCTTGGACGGCGTACATTCTCCGTTGGCAGCGCAGGAGCCACACGGCCCGAATTCAAATCCATGGCTACTCTAACGGAGGATGAAAGCTCAATGGTAATTTTATCGAAAGCTGCCAACATTGTCAGGGAGTCCATCGAGGTAGAGGGCTGCCTGTTTTTCGAAGCCCCGATTCAGCCATATCTGTCTCCGGCGGCGCAGAACAACACTACGACTGACGAGGGAAGCCAATCATCCGCCACGAGCAGTAGTGACGAGGATCTAGAAGCTAGGCGTCCAAGCAAGACTGCGTCACACTGCAGGCTCCTTGGCTATTCCACAGCCACATCATCGAGCATCAATGGAGCCATTCCGAGTCGGCCTTGCATTTCACTAACAGAGAACTTTCTATCCAAGCTTCTTCGGCGTCATCCCAGGGGCCAGATTTTCAACTTTGGACCTGACGGAGAGTTGCAATCGGATTCGTCAGAAGACGAGCAGCCGTATCAGGAGGCATCCCCGAACAACTCCCCGCTACTCATTAGAGACACGGAAACTATTCCAATTTTGCCTCGTGAAGGGGTGCCAATGAAAAACTCGGCGCGGCAGCTCGAGGGAAAGGCTCTACTCAAGGCCTTTCCTGGTTCTCGGAGTATAGGCTTCGTCCCTATCTGGGACCCCAGGAAAGATCGATGGCATGCTGGCGGATTTATCTGCACCAAGGATGTAGCCCGAAGTTTTTCTCTTGAACAGGAATTAAGCTACCTGAGAGCTCTGGGAATGCTTGCCATGTCTGAAATCCTGCGATTCAAGGACTTGCGAGCTGATAAAGCAAAAACGGATGCTCTTGGGTCGCTCTCACACGAGCTCCGTTCTCCATTACACGGAATTCTGCTCAACGCTGAATTGCTAATTGATACCAAGCTCGACATCTTTCAGGGCAATGTTGCCCATACTATTGAAACTTGCTCCCGCACACTCCTCGACACAGTGGACCATCTCCTCGAATACTCTAGAATCAATCATCTATCCGGACGAGATGACAGGGCTCTCAGCTTAGCATCAAATGGTCTCGATCTGGGGCAGTTTGGCAAGAAATCTTTACTGCGTGACTCTCAGATCGACCATATTGTCGAGGAAGTTGTTGAGAGTGTCTTTGCTGGCTTCAACTTCTTACACTTGTCCGTCAAGCAACTCTCTGACCAACACAAAGGGTCAATCAACAGCGATGTGAATGCAAATCATCACTCAGATTCGCTGCAAGCGATGGATCAGCTCGAACCTTGGATGACGAAAAACGGGGAGCTCAGGTGGAGCTTTGATGACGTCTTGATAATTCTGTCAATGGATGCCAAGTGCAATTGGGCGTATTGCGTTGATGTTGGAGCCATCCGTCGAATAGTCATGAATATCTTTGGCAATGCTTTGAAGCATACCAAACGGGGCACAATCACAGTTTCACTTACGCAGGAAATGGCTCGGCTCAGGAGCCGCAAGAAAGAGCGCGTCGTTAGGTTCACAGTACAGGATACTGGCAAAGGCATCGGCCCTGATTTCCTCAAGCACGGGCTCTTCCGCCCATTTTGCCAGGAGGATCCATTATCACCTGGCGCCGGGCTAGGGCTCAGCCTCGTGCAACAGATAACATCTCATTTACAAGGTGATGTCTCGATACGGAGCGAGCTTGGCGTTGGCACGACAGCTTGTGTAACACTGCCGTTGGAGCAGCTGCCGCGACCTGTAGAAGTGGCCCCTACAATCTCGGATGCAGAAGACAAGGCGTTTAAGGAACAAGTTGCCGACTTAAAAGGCCTGCGTGTGCGGATTATCATGGCAGATTCTGAGTGGCAAAGGGCTGTTGTAACCATCTGCCGCGAATGGCTACACATGGAAATCATCCCCAACACACGAAGTACAAGCGTCACCCCAGATCTCGTGTTGTGGTCTTATATGGACTTGGCGAGATTGAGCGAGAATTTTGAATCATTTGACAAAACGCCCAACGTCGTCGTGTGCTCAAACGCACTAGTGGCCTATCGCCAGTCACATATGTTCAAGAAGGCTGAATCCCCCGCCATTTTTGAGTTTATATCTCAACCGTGAGTCTTTCCATCTTTGATACTGCTGTTATTATTCTTCGGGTGACTCATGCAGTGTAATTCTTAGGACCGGCCCTCGTAAACTTGCCAGAACACTGCATTCGGCGTACATGCGATGGATGAGCAGTTTCAATTCTCCGTCAGGACCCATGTCGGTTCCAATGGTGGCCAAGCGACCAAAGGGGCCTAAAAGAACGCCAAGTACATATTCTCCCTCCAGTGTCGGTAGGCCGTCTTTGAGCAGACCAACAACTGCTGTATCCCGAAGCAGCGGTTCAACATGGACGAGCGACGGCACTTGGATATCTGGTTCTCAAACCGAAACGACTCCAAAGTCCCCTGAAGAGTCTTTGACTCTGCGGGATAAACCTGAGGCACCGCAAATTAGCTTCTTGCTCGTTGATGACAACTACATCAACTTAAAAGTGTTGTCCACGTATATGAAAAAGCGTAACATTGGCTTCAAGGAAGCAAAGAATGGCAAGGAAGCGGTGGACTGCTTCCTCGCGCACCCTGATGCATACGCTTGCATCCTGATGGACATATCCATGCCGGTCATGGATGGCTTTGAGGCCACGAGGCAAATTCGAGCCCATGAAGCTCAGATGGGATTGACTCCTGTCCCCATCATTGCGCTTTCGGGATTAGCAACGGAAGATGCCCAGCAAGAGGCGTTTGGCAGTGGAATGGATGTGTTCCTCACTAAGCCGGTTAAGCTTGGGGCTTTGGGCAACTTGCTTGAGTCTCATGGGATTCTTAATAGCGGTTGAAAAGCAAAGTTGTATTTTTATAATACTTGACTCATACGTTCTGCATGGATATACATGGAATGGCCGACTAAAGGCCGAAACGATGAACGTTGGTACGAAGGCACTTGCCTATGAAGAGTATCATCAGTTCTAGGACGAGGGAATTACTAGGATGCGTCCAGCACCAGGCTCGCCGATTTCTGGTACACTGAAGTGTTCTATTTCTGACTTTTATTATCTTCCACCCCGGTTGAAGCCAGATGACGAATCCACCAGCCTCAGTGGCCGCGAGGCTAGTGTTCTCGTCGTCGGCCTTCGTGGGTAGGAGAAGGATTTTGGAGTTAAATAACCAAATGTTGCAATGATGGATGAACGAGGATTGATGTCCGCCATGTGAAATGAGATTCATGGATGGAGCTGAAGGAAGGCCTTTACCGGCCTAGTACCAAAACTAGCATAAATACGAAGCACGATGGCATATTGGCAGAGAGAGCATATTTGGTATCCATGGACGGACTGATTCTGTGAAGGATTACCCGGACAGTGGATTCCACTAATAAAGATACTCCATATGATCTCGCTGCAGCGAACGAGGACGAGCCTGTTGGGAAAGAGGCATGCCTGGGCGTTATGGACGGGGATATTTTCCAGATCCCCTTGCCAGTGGAATCGCAAAACATGCGGGGAGAGAGAAGAGACATTGGTCATATTGCTGATGAAGCCTTTTGTTGCCATGTATGTGTGCACGTATAATCATTTGGGAGCAAACAATAATAAAGGGGTTAGCCTATAGCTAAATTGTGGGAGCACCGTAAGAAAATAGCGTGAAAAGGGGGGGGGGCTATGAATGATCTACCGGGCGTGTAGTTGCGTGCGCAAATGCTCTCCAGTGGTAATTTTTCCCCTCTAAGAACATTGTTCCATGCTTACGTTTGGCGCACTGTAGATCCGGGTTACGACGTTAGATCGGGATTGAGCGACCCCCCATAAATAGGCATTGATCATGTTGCAGTTTTTGAGGGGCTGGAGTAGTAGTAATGATTCTTACTTGGCAAGATCGAGTAGGGGTAATTTCGAGATGGGGCTGGGGAAGAGAGCGGTTGGTGGTGTTGGGTAGGTATGCTGACGGTGAGACAGGTCCTTGCGTCTCTTTCTTTTTCTTTTCTTTGACATTTATTTATATAACAAAGAGCCTTGACGGGGTTACGTGTGTCATCGTGTATCTGATGCGGAATATGCGTGACCTCCTTCTTTGTCGGGAACGGTGTAGATGGGATGCGGTACATGTATTATGCTGTGCGCAAGGGAGGATGACGAGTAATACTGGCGATGCTAAATATAGGCTGGGTGAGCTTCCTGAAGAGTGAATGCTGATTCAGATTGACTCCGTGTTATGGTGATGAGTATATACATGTAGCAATATTTAGCTGTGTAATCCGTGGGCATGTTTCATGTTGTGCTATATTTATCCTAACTTGGCATGGGCCTTGATGAGTTGGTGATGGAGTTTTTTAGTACTAGGTGCTTGCTTTGACAGCATGAAAGTTCCATGAATAAGCGGGGAAGGATGTGTAGTTCGTGGATTCTGGCGATGGTGTCAGATTTTACTTGGTAAAAGTGAGGGAAAGGAGGTGGATGTGGTTAAATTACTTGATCCGGAAATAGGTAGACGAAGTAGCGATGCGCAAATCGAATGATGACAAGTTTTGAACAGTGTAGGAAAGCCTTTGCATCTCTTGGCTATCCATCGTCTCAACAATTACAGCCAATGTTAAGCAGTCAGCGTCGTGGAGAGAGATGCAGAGGAAGCACCATTCGCCCATCTTATTCTTGAAGTGTGTGCTACTATAACTAAAATCACCACTTCTTGTATAGCACGTAATGCTCTCACGACCCTCTTCTAGTATCTGGTATAAAGTAAAGAGTAGTCAAGTAGTTTAGCAACTCCAATTTCCATCTTTATGCCCCTCGCCTTGATCCAACAACGAAGCTCGTGTAGGGGATCCCCATCATCTCCACTTCGTTGGCTCTGCAGACCAGGGATCTAGACAATTGTCACTGCCAACACGTCGCTATTCTCGTTTTGAAGAATAACCTACTGCTACTGCATATGCTAGTGAAGGTCTAAGCTAATTGCGAAATTGCATGTTCCTAACTGGGGCATCTCGAATCATCCCTGGAGTCCATCCTGCTGACAGCCTCGATAGTAATCCACGACCATGCTTTAGTGGATAAACACTCTAAATGGAATCTTTAAAAGGTCGCCCTGGCTGGTATAGAAATGTGGGCTTGACGGCGAAGCAATCTTGGAGCAAGGATTCTTCATTGAGTCTGGCAGGGGAGGAATGAGGTGCCATTGATCTCGAAGCGGTGGAGAGACCGAGGCGTTGATGAGATCGTGTTGTATGTGGAGTATTAGAGCTTGGAACCACGGCAGATGGAATGGACAAGGTTGATTCATTTATTTGATTCCGCCACATTGGTGTAGCATTTCCGACATATTGATAAGACTTCAAGAAAGTAAAGTAAAGCCAAGTTCACACTTCAATTCTCAGGATGATGATTTCTAGAAGCAGGTGTCTTAGAATTGACTGACAGCCAGGTAGGTACGAAGGTACATGCGGACCGCTGTCATCTGCAATTGGTGCATCGGTCCGCCGTTTATTCCGCAACCCAGCACATCTTGGCCTTTGCCCCACCGCCCAGCGCCACTAAACATGGACGTCCAACGTCTCCCCAGAACATGACGTGGAGCTTGAAATTGTGCCAATTCTATTCTATATTTAGGCTGCCATGCCCTGCAATTCCCACCGACACTGACTCTTTACGGAGCCGAAACGGAGTTGCTGCGAACGGTCTTTTGCAGTGGCAAAATCAACTTGATTCATGGTGAATGTATGTATCATTGTCTTGAATCTGTAGGTACTGTAGTACTCTGTGTGCGGAGTGACTGACGTTACTGCAGAAAAACGCCACCAGCTGTGATAACGCCATGCTGCGATAGCCGGAAATCTGCTCGCTGGGCCGAGACAGCAGGAGGATGCATCCCAAGACGCCTCGCCATTGGCACAGCTGTGTGACAGCGGTCGAGGTCGTGCATCGGTTTCACAACTTTTGTGCCCGATTAGACGCCATTGGCCCTTTGAGCCGGCGGGCGATTGGCGGGATGCCTCAGGGCGCTGCAGCAGGGGCCGGGGCTCAGCGCTTACCCGCAGGCTAGAAATAGCAACAGGGCCACTCACGGGCATATTCGACCCTCCACCTCCTCTTTTGCGCTCTACTCGCGTCTATCCCGACGACGCAGCGGATGTGATTTGGCTCGCTGCCGTTAGCATCATGCAGCTGCGTCGGCTGAACAAGGACGGGCGGTCCACTTTGTCGCTGGTGGCGTAACGACTGGGGGGGAGAGGGAAGAAGAGAAGGTCGGAGAAGAGGTGGAGGAATGAGCACGAGGAGACGAGACGAACACACTGCCATGGACGATGCAAAACATGCGCGGTTGTTTCGTCGTATATAGCCGCCGACGATCCCGCCATCTGGCCGTTGGCTCTGTTCTGCGGCATTTCTATTCTCGTCTCACGGCGTTTATAATACAACCCCAAGGTTTGCATTTCGTATTCATACATACGCTCTTGGGTCGATAATACGACTTGGTTGGGTCCGGGATCTCATTGACTCACCCCACTCACTCCCCATCTTTCTTTCTTTCTCTATTTCTCTCCCTCCAACTTGGTCATCTCCGTCATCTCTCATCAGTCTCTGTTTATACATCCATCCTCTGAGTCAACCACGATGGCTTCTCAACCGCTCCAGCAGACCTCCAAGAGGCCACGCCTATCACTCAAGATCAACACCTCCACACCCTCTGTCTCCAGCAGGCCCGTAAGAGGCTTCCAAGTCGACCCTACCGATCGCACCGCCTGCAACACCTTGTCCAATGTATATGCCACGGCCATCGAGAGATCTACGCCAGTTCAAGCAGAACCCCTCACAGCCATCAACACCCTGCAAAACTTCTCTCTCAAGACACCAGTCGAGCCTCGAGGCCCCAAGTTGAGAATCAAGACGCCATATGTCGCCGCATTTCCAGAGACACCAACGACAGAGACTTCGGGCTCGCCGCCGCAGCAGATGGAAATTGCCTTCCCGAGTACCATGACACCGACGCCTCCCATGTCAGCTGGCGCCGTCGATCCCAACGGGCCAAAAGCCTTTTCTTTCTCTCCCATGGATCTCTCTTCCAAGGCCAGGGCATATACCGTGACCTCACCTTGCTCGCCTGTCGAGCCTCTTCTCTCAAGACGGTTTACTGCCCTCTATACTACTGTTACTCCGGCTCCCTATACGCACCCTCACTCTCTCCACAGCATTCTACGCAACTCGCCTCTCCCTCCTAGGACGGCAATTCCAGCCTCCCCGAGGCGGCAGTCCTTGAGATTGCAGGAAAAAGCTGCCAAGAGGGTAGGCTACAACAACCCTCTCACTCAAACCATCATCACCAACAAGTACACCAAATCACACATTGACCTCCTGGTTGAAGAGGCTTCGCCCGCCTCGCCATCGTTTTCGCCTATTGGGGGCGACAGGGCAATCAACATCAAGCAAGCATTCTCGCCCAACGAAATCGAAAATGGGGGCCAAACGCCAGGCCCATTTGAGGACATGCGACGCAAGCTTGCGGCTTTGGGTGGCGGTGCAGCAGCTTTGTCTCCATGCGAGACGGGTGGTATTCGCAAGCGCAAGCGTAAGGAGAAGAAGCGTCAGTGGGTCTGGACAATCGGTGTGGCGGACGAGGAAGAAGAGGATGACGAACGCATTGGCGGCGCAATCGCGGCCTCGAGGGCTGAAGCGGCCTCTGCAAGGGCCAGGGCCATGGCCAAGACGCCTCGTGGTGGTGAGGCAGTGTCGACGACTGTTGTTCCAGATATCCAGATGGTGCCCGACACCCCAACAGCAAGCATCGAGAGCAGCGCCGACTCGGCTATCGACATTGACATGTCCGATGCCAGCAGCGTCGTCTCGGAAGATTCTCAGAGCCTCCTAGGCCGCCCTTGGGCTTTCGCTGAGCTGGACATGAAGACGCCGACGGAGCCTAGGGCGCAGTACAATAAGCGGAAGCGGGATACGCCTATCCCAGAGCTAGCTGAGGCGCAGGACGCACCCGTAAGCGGGCAGAGCTGAGTGGCCCCTGGCGAAATGAATCGACCAAGGGGTACTCTAGCACATGAAAAAAAGGAAAAAAGAAAAAGAAAAGACCAAAAAAAACAACATTTTCTGTATTTGTAGAACAACAGGGATGGGGATGGGGTGGTACGGACCAGGACTTCCTGGCCGCTGCATTTTTTTTTTTTTCGCTTTATTTATTCATGGCGATCAACAACAAAAAGGGTACATTTTTATTTTGATGAGAAATGAACTGAACTTTTATGGTAGCGAATTGCCTGAAGAACAGGCCTGGCGTTTTTGATGCTCTGAGAGTAGGGATGGGTTTCTTCATTGCTATTATACCATGTTGTATTATTATTCTTTCAATACTATCACCGCGCTTTGATCAGCCGAGACAAACATCATCTTTCAAATCTGTGCAGCATATTATCTCATGTGACAAACTTCACTATTTCTTATGCAGAGGGACGCGGGAATGGATCTATGCAAAGAAAACCCAATGTTGCTACTGTGTCAATTAAATCACATACACACACAACACCTATATACTCTTGTTTATTTGTCTTTCCTATTTTTTATAACTTTTTCATGCCGTCTTTGCACCTTGTTGCTGGTCGTAATATATTTCCTCGGCTTGAGTGATGCACTGCATGTTGGCACCCAGCTTGTTAATGGTTTCTTGCCACTCTTCATATTCATCCGAGTCGAAAACAATGCCGCCACCTGTCAAAGATCCAAAGTTAGTCTTGCTCATTATTTTCACCGTAAAAAACGTTACAAGGGAATAAACGAACCTGCTTGGAGATATGCCACACCCTCCTTGACCATCATGGTCCGCAGAGCAATGCAAGTGTCCATGGCACCCTCAACGTCTTGGCCGTTCTCATCCACCCCGCCGTAACCAAAGTATCCCACCGCACCGGCATACACACCACGCTTCTCCTTCTCCAGCTCGGCAATGAGCTCCATTGCCTTTACCTTTGGCGCACCGGAGACGGTGCCTGCGGGGAAGATGGACCGGAAGGCGTCGAACCGGGTCTGGCCTGGACGCAGAACGCCCGAGACCTGGGAGACGAGATGCTGGACGTGGCTGAACCTTTCCACGACCATGAGGCGGTCGACACGGACGGTGAATGGGTCACCTACGCGGTTGACGTCGTTGCGGGCGAGGTCGACAAGCATAACGTGCTCGGCTCGGTCCTTGAGTGAGTTGCGCAGCTCGTTGGCCAGGCGTTCGTCCTCCTCTGGGGTAGGGCCTCGCTTGACGGTTCCGGCAATAGGGTGGGTGATTATCCTGCCAGCTTCTGACTTGACCAGCAGCTCGGGGGATGCACCGACAATCTGGAAGTCCTCGCAGTCAATGTAGAACATGTACGGTGATGGGTTGACGGTTCGCAGGTGTCGGTAGATGTTGAAGGGGTGTAGGTTGGTAGGGCGGGCGAAGCGCTGCGAGGGGACAGCTTGAATGATGTCGCCACTGACGATGTGCTCTTTTAGCTTGGTGACATGGCCCTCATAGCCTTCGCGGCCAATGTTGGACTTGTACTCCTGGCCCAGCGTGATGGGGCCCTGCTCCGGCAGGGGAATCTCGGGGCTGTTGAGGACGGTTATCAATTCGTCGATCGTCTTCTTTGCCTCGTCGTACGCCGCTTCTAGGCCAGTCTGTCCATCCGCTGGAACATTGACGTAGCTAATGACCTTGATGATGCCGTAAAACCTGTCAAAGGCTACAATCGTATCGTACAACATAAACAGGGACTCGGGAATCTTCAACACATCCTCCATGGGTCGGGCCGTTTTGGGCTCAAAGTATCGTACGCAGTCGTAGCCAACATAGCCAACAGCTCCTCCCGCCATGGGAGGCAGTCTCAGTCCTGGAACATGCGCAACGACATGAGCCGCCAGCTCCTCTTCAAGTGCTGGTAGCGGATCCTTCTCTTCGCCATATCCGGGGCCAGTGGTAATGATCTTGCGCGGGCCGGCGCCAACAAAGCTGTATCGGCCGACTTGCTCGGTAGCGGCCGATTCGAATAGAAATGAGTATGTGGAGGAGGCGGAAGAAGTAGACTTGGCATGTGCCGAGACTTTGAGGTAGGCGGCGGAGGGGGTGATAAGGTCGGAGCTGATTTGGCGATAGACGGGTACCAACGTGGGCTTCTTTGCGCCGCTCTTGACGGGCTTGTTCAACAGCGCCTTGACGTCGTCGAGAGACGGAACGAAGCTTCTCTATGGCCGCAACAAAGAAGGAGGAAGTACGTTAGCGCATTGAGGCTATGCAAAAGGTAGTGAGCCGAGCTGGCAGCTCTTGGGCGAATAGAGGAAAATTGATCAGCATCCAGCAAAAAAAAGATGACTAGCTTACCACATGTGCCATAGCGAGGGTGTGTATGGTATCGTTGTGAAAAAGACTGGGAAAAGAACAGAGGAGAGCAGAAGAGGAGCGTCTACAGGAAGAGCGCCGGATCTCGTGCTGAGAATCTCAAAGGCGTTGAAGATGTGCACATATATCTGCTGTGATGGGGAGATGTAAGTCAGACAGAAGTTGAGAATCTTGGCTGTGACTCGACGACCCCACGGCAATTGAAGGCTTCTGGACCTCTGGCGGATGGAGGGGCAACTTCTGTGCCGGCACCGGCGTGCTGTTGGGCCGACTCTGATAGTGCTAGTGAGAGGCCAAGCAGCGGCCTAGCAGCGGCCTTCCAGCGCTGGTTTGGCGGCGGAAGGGCGCTGAAGCCAGCCCTGTATCGCTGCGAGGCTTTGATTGGGTGCAGACCCCTACCGGGTTTTGTCAGGGTGGGCCGAGAGCTGGTACTTGACAGACGCCTTCAGTTTGCCGTGCTTTTCTGTGCTATTTCCATCATCGCCAACAGCTTCTATTCGGAGGCTATCTAGCACTTCAGCTACTGCTTGAGGCTTGAGAGGGCCAACGTCCTTTCTTGCTTTCGCGATGATGCCATGGACGGCACGGGGGTCAAGAAGCCGCCCAAACGCCAAGAAGGCCGCATCATTTTGCAGTTTGTTCGTCTTACTCCTTACTCTCAGTCTTAACGTGGCTGAAATTATTGTGCATAGGCATTGGTATGACTTGCTAAACTCGGATCGTATTAGGACTATGACTGCTTCTACGCTCAAGTATTTGAGCAGAAGAACCCGGCTCTGAAATCAAAGCCGGTTGGCGTCAAGCAGAAGAACATCTTGGCTACGTGCAACTACAACGCAAGGCGTCACAATGTCAAGAAGCTCATGCTCATCTCAGAGGCAAAGAAGATATGCCCGGACCTCGTTCTTGTGGACGGCGAGGACTTGACGCCGTTCCGGGACATGAGCAAAATCCTATTCAATTTCCTAAGATCTCACTCCTGGAACGGCAAAGCTGAACGCCTTGGTTTTGACGAGGTCTTCTTGGGTGCGTCTAAGAGTGCACGGCCTATCCACATGTACTAACACGCCCACCAGACGTAACGGACATTATCGAGTACAACATGTTCTGTCTCAACCGGGCTTCAATGGCTGAGTCATTCTTCTATCTATCCAAAAAAGACCCCGAGTTGGGCTTTGCATGCGATTTAACCTCCGTTGCAGGCTGCGTTGTCGGTGTAACCCCTGATAGTGTGGATTTGGAGAACCCCATCTATTTGAGGCACCTCCTGGGATCGCACCTTGCCCAATTCTTGCGACTCAAGCTGGAGCAAGACTTTGGCTACACGTCAACTTGTGGCATCTCTACAAACAAGCTGCTGAGCAAACTTGTCGGTAGCAAGAACAAGCCGCAGAATCAGACAACGCTGCTTGCATTCAATGATGAGGATATCATCAATTTTGTCGACGGACACAAGCTTCGCACTATCCCGGGGATGGGCTCCAAGATCACGCACCTTTTGGAATCCCATATCTTGTCCAAGGAACTTGACAAGGATTCCGGCCCGTTCGATTCTCTCGTGACCGCACGAGAAGCCCGTCTTCATCCAACCATCTCGCCATCGTTTCTAGAGACCCTTTTGGGCGGCCCTGGGGCGGAAAGAGGTATCGGATCTCGAGTCTGGGGTTTTCTTCACGGCGTGGATCCTACTGAAGTTAAAGAAGCCAGCGATGTACCGTCGCAGATTAGCATCGAAGACACCTACAAGGGCCTTGAAACGGTGCCCAAAATAACAGAAGAGCTTCACAAGCTGTCCTGTTCTCTCATCCGAAGAATGAGGGTAGATCTCGTCATCTTGGACGACGGTTCGGATATCCCAGGCAGTCGCAAGTGGATTGCCCGGCCAAGGACGCTTCGCCTCTCGATACGATCATGGCCGAAGGCAGATGCTACCCAACCTCAAAATTTTGGTCGCGTGTCTCGGTCAGGGCCGTTACCAAACTTTGTGTTTGATCTCAAGACTGATATTGAAGAAATTGCCCAACAGCTAGTCGCGGAAGCGCTGCTGCCATTGCTTCGCCGCTTGCAAAATGAAAAGGGTCAGACGTGGAACCTGCAGCTGATTAATATCTGTGCTGCAAACATGGTTACCGGAGCTACTGGTGACAAGACGGGGGCAGGACGGGACATTGCCACCATGTTCAAGAAGCAGGACGAAGTGCTTGCTCCATGGAGAATCACATCTGACGATACTGACGAAGATGAGAAAATTATTGGAAATGAATTGGAGAACCCCTTGTCTGAAGATTCTGATTCTGACATTTCTTGGGAAGCCACAGACAATTCTATTTGCACTACTTGTGGCCATTCTATACCTTCGTTTGCCCTCTCCGCGCACTCGAGATATCATGAGCTAGGGGAATGAGCCACGTCATCTGCAAGCTCTATTTCGTCGAGTAAGACGCCCAGACATTTCGAGGCAAAATTCTACACTAGAAGTGGCTACTCTCGTGCGAGGGTATTGCATACAATAGTTGACTGCTTGCGGATCACAGAGCCCATGTGCTTGACTGCGCTATGGGTTGCGGCGGACTATATTGCTCTTGATATACATACCCAGAGAATATTCCATGGAGTCTCATACTCTTACGAGGGAGCCTTATTGAGTTAAAACTTGAAAGTCGACTCTGATTGTACCAGTTAATCAGACTTTACGACACCATCTCTTTTGTAACAGCTGGGATCACGGGCCAAGGCGTAGGTCGATGGGGGTTTCCGCGCGGCACATGCCAATAAGAGCTCCGTAAATGAAGCGGCTTGAGCCGTGTAACACAGGGGTATCTACAGATGGATGCGGACGCTGGGAAGGGATACTGCTTGGAAGATATTGTTGGATCAAATCTTGTGCACGCGCGCAAGGTTTGAGCGTCTTGAGCAAGCTTTTGTAGATTAAGTGTACATGTGATCTATCCCGCTACCCAAGAACTCGGGTTAGAAAACAATGATGAGGGGACAAATTCGTCTCCGCCATGTTTGTGGACGGATAGATGTCGTGTCTGTGCTACGTTTGAGGTGCTCCGTTGTCAAACCAAAGCTTGATTGCCTTGTCAGTTTGCCGCATCCGCAACGAGATGTTTGCCAGGGAAAGCGAAAGATGCCAATGCGGCGACAATGGCAGCGGCACATCTCTCAAAGACGGCTGGTCGCGAGTAAGCTTAACTTGATGCTGTGGCCGGCAGCATGGCATTGTTGGGGCGGCGATGTTCTGTGCGGCGGACATGCACATATTCGACGGACAAGGAATACTGCTTTGTTTGCTATGCGCCACGTCTTGTCGCTTTTGGAAATGCAACTGCTTCTTTGGCTTTGCTTCAGGAAGCTGGTTAGGATGCTCCGTCTTAGCCTCACTTTAAATCTATTTCTTTGTCCATATCTTTCTCTTCTTTGTCCTCTTTTCTTCCATTCCATTTAATCCACCTTTCCCTCTCCTTCACTTGCTCATCATTTCCAGACGGCGTCATAGCACAATAGCGACCGGCTGCTCAGCCACGCAGATCAAAACGACGGCTCCCAACATGGCACGACACGCGGAGCCGTTGCAGATGCCATGCGGATGCTTAGACAAGTGCTGCTCTGCTCTGCTCTGCTCTGGCAGCTTCACCTTATCGCTATTGCGCTATTGCGCCATTGCGCCCTTGTGATCTTTTGCCTTTGTCCCCCCGTCTGCAGCTGGATTGCTGTTGTCTTGGTGAGCCCTGTCTCTTGTCTGTCCTCTTCTTTGTTGTGCTGTAGCTGTACTGCTGCTGTTTAGTTTGCCGGCCGGAGTACGAGAGAAGTAATGCCGTTCCATGGTCTTCAACATCCCGCTCCCGTACGTGATGCGGTGACTTTGCCTTTGTTTGCCTCTTACCCTCCCATATTTCCCTTCCTCTGTGTTTATTTGCTGCCTCCTGCTATTTCGACTGTAGACTGGCGTTGATCTCCTGTATTACAGTGCATGAGAAGCCAATTACTTCCCCAGTTGTAACTCTTTTCCTTCTCTTTTTCTCTCATTCCTTTTTCCTTTGTGCCTCTACCTCCTTCCCATTCTCTCTCCTCCTTGCTGCTCCTTCCCTCCATGTCTTGCATGCATGAATCTGCTCCTGCCCTCCGTTTCGGAAGCAACGACTGGCAGCCACCTGGCAGCCAACCTGTCCTCAATTCACCAGCGTTCTTTCCCACCAGTGCCATTTCGGTTCACCTTATCCTCAGATTCTGTTTGTTTCACCTTTCTATTCCTCTTTTTTCTCTTCTCTCTCTACTATTCTTCTCGTAACTTGCCAAACCTTCCAACCTCGTTCCCCCTTCCTTTATCACGAGGTTGATATGCCAGCTATTTCTTCAAACACATGACAGCCTCATCGCCTCTCGCAGAACTCGACCTCGTTGATCGCTAGTTTCACGTCGTCACGACGCAATATTTTGTCCGATCATCCTCAGTGGCAGTTGCCCCGAACTTCGACATCCACTACTCAACTACTCAGGAGTTTGCTTGCCAGACGTCAACATCCCACCTCTCAGACCTTCGTCACTCGAAATACGGGCCTCTGGAAGGTCCAATTTCTCAAGATCGATCTCAATATTTAGATACTGCCTCTCACTACGGCGGGGCACTTGATTCTCCTGAGGAAAGGTCTTGTGCAGACAAGCCAAAACGTTGACCATGGCCAGGGGACGCGGAGGCAGCAGTCATAGCCAACGCCGCCCAGTTGACTTGACTGGCATTATCTCGGTAGCCGAGAAGAACGACTTGGCTACTCTGGTCAATGCCATTACGGAGAGAATGGCGAGAGATATTAGTAACATCTTCGACTCTCCTCCCGTTACCCCAATTCAAAGCGACCATGGCCATCACAACTGGCTTTTGCTCCCCCTGTTACATCACAAACCGACTAAGCCGGCATCCCATTCTATGATGGGAATGAGACATATTAATCCGCCAAATACATATGACAACGCTCGAGAAATCATCGAAAAGGAAGAAAAGGAAGTCATGACCCCGCAACTACGCGAGTTGAAAAAGGAGGCAATGATCTTCTTTCGTAAATGGCAAACCACCGTTTTGCAACGAGTTCGAGATATCGCTGTCAATGATCAACAGTGCCCTCAGGGAAGCGCTCGTGGTCGGGGACGTGGACTGAGAGGAGCACCTCGCGGTCGAGGCGGAGGAGGAGTTGGTCGTGGTGGGGGAATAACACGCCCCCTTACTCTAGCAACAGGTTTGATGAATCCCTCTCAGCTTCTTCTTTGCTCTTCAGCTATGCACGAGGAGCAGTCTTGATAATTTTCATTTCCATATGAAGGCCCTCACAAGCTAACGATCTGGTAGGACCGCCACGCGCGCCCTCAAACTACGTAGATCGTGGTTTGGCCGCTCGCTATCCTCCCATTCCGAATACCCTATGGACCCTCGATATAGACAAGCGCAAATTGTTGTTGCATATCGTCTTCTTAATCATGCTATCTATGCAAGAGTACACAGCGAATTCGAGACAACTCCTCCTCTGCCTCACAACTTCGTTGAACCTCCCATCCAAGGTGTATCGAGAGGAAGAACTGCGCCTTGCTCAAGGATTGGCCAAGACCGCTCTTGATCTTTCGCCTGAGGATGCTATCAACCAAAAGTCCGAAGAATCAAAGAGCGCACGGCGCTGGAAAGTTGGATTAGGGGGCAATTCGGGAAAGCTGGCTGCTCCTCTTATTGGCGTCGGTATCGGTACCGCACATGAGGGCCATGGTCTCACTTTATATGCCGCTGCAAACCTTTTGGGCACAATGGCAGAGAATGCAGTTGTAATAGGTGGCCTTTTCGGTATAAATTCTTCGAAGCCAACGGCCAAGATGATGGAAAGCTTTGCTCGCGAGATTCAAGATTTTGCATTCATCCCTATCCACGGTGTGGAAGGATCTGAATATCGCGATGCCCGAGAGATCCCGGCGGAGTCCCGTAGACTCTGCCTTACGATTGCTCTAAGCGGATTTCTTCTCGAAGATGAAGACGTTGCAAAGAATTGGCGTTGTCTGGGCCACCTCACGGAGTCTTTTGCCACACGATGGGAAGTTGCAGCCCTTACAAACCTTGGTACCTCACTTGAGACTGTCATAAAGAGTAGTGCTTGGAGCAGTGGACAAGCGGAGATTAAAGCTCGCACAAGTAAGTGGAATTGGTCTGATTTATCGGAGCAAAATCCCCCATATTGACTTTATTGCATAGTCTTCTCAAGCCTCATTGAATCCATCTGGCCAGTTGCGCTGCTCAAGATAAGCAAGATTATGGACAATCCTTGGAGTGTCGGAATGGTAAGAGCGGAGAAAGCCGGTGCTGTTCTTGCTGATGCCATCATGCGACAAAAGTTCCAGGGAGACCGGCCAGTTTCGTTAGTTGGATACAGCCTTGGGGCCCGAGCCATATACGCTTGTCTCATGGTGTTAGCAGAGCGCCGGCAGTTTGGCATCGTCGACTCTGTCATCTTGATGGGTACCCCAGCACCCTCGGAAAGTCGAGTGTGGTTGACGCTCAAGAGCGTTGTGTGCGGTCGCTTGATCAACGTCTACTCAGAGCACGACTATATACTGGGGTTCGTATATCGCACCTCTAATATCCAATTCGGTGTCGCTGGCTTGCAGGAGATACAGGGGGCAGATGGTGTCGAAAACTACAGAGTGCGCAGCCTTCCCCGAGGCCATCTAAGCTACCAAAGCCAGGTGAGTCAGATTCTGAAGAATGTCGGCTGGGAGGATGTCAATACGGATGTTGTCAAGGTGGGGAAATGAAGGGTGTCCAAATACGTCAAGTTGTAGCTTGTTGCTTGTTGAGCCACGTACTTTTACCAGATTGTCCATAGGCACGCGCGGAGAGTTGTGTTTTCAGAGTTTGGGAGAAGGACTCTACATTGTTTTGGACTTGAACCCTGAGCTCTCTTCCAGTCAGATGCGGTGAATAGCATTCTGGCCGACTGTTCTTGTATCTATTTAGCTATTATGATTCAGCTAATTTCGCTACTGTCTATACGATTTATCTTCTCTTGAGCGACGGAATCAATTCTCCCCATTTTCTATTCCACAGCATGATCTATCTATAGCTAAATATCAGAAGGTAAGCAAGTTGAGTGCAGAGACAAACACAACACAAATACATGAATCAAGATTAAGAAGAACGAAGAATCGAAATAGTCCAATTAACAAAGAGCTCCCTTGCCAGAAAAAAAAATTGTTTGTTCTAAAATAAAAAACACGAGCGTCCCGTCCCGTTTAGGTCAAACCAGTTTCAAAAACCAAAACAAAATTTGGTTTTTTTTATATGCCATCGTATGCCTCTCCTTCACCTAGTATGAAAAATTCCATGCATGCCCGTTGTTTCTTTTTTTTTACAATAAGAAAAGAAAAAAAAAATGTATCTCTCTTGGTTTCCACCCTCCCCCCTCCCCCTCCCATCCGCGAGTATGTTGCGACTTTCGACAAATAGATTACATCGATGCGTATTGATTTTATTATACATTTGAACTTTATCTTGCTTTCATCCACATCGCCTTTTTTTCACACACACTCTCTCTCCTTTTCAATGCAAAGTTCGTCCACTCTTCTGTCACTTTTTTAAAAAAAAAAAGCCTAGAAAAGGGGTTTCTCATGGAGGTGTTCCGCCCAGCATGTTCGGAACTTGCTTTCGAGCAACTCCCCTCGGGCCACGCGGCTCGACACGGGGGACCCCCTGGATGGTGCGAGGCTCACGCATGAGCGACCTGTCGAGGCGAGCTGGCATCCGGGTCACGATGCTGTTATATTCGCCGGGGAAGTTGCCCTTGGGTAGAGGCACAGAGGCCGTGCGCCATATGTGCTCTGAAGTATCGCTAAGATAAGGGGGAATCTTGCCGTTTGCGCCGCTGCTGGTGCCGCTGGTGCCGCTACGGCTAGACGGCGAGAGCCCCCATGAGTTGGTACTGCCGTTTCCACGAAGCGTAGACAGCCGGGACAAGCTTGAAGGCAGGCCGGTGCGTCCACGGGCCTTCTTGGCCATAATGATCTCGTCAAAGAGTCGGATTTCGGGCTCAGAGCCAAGCTTGATTTCTCTGTCATGGATAAATTCATTGAATGCTGTAGAAAAAGGTAATTAGCAGCCGCGATGAACATGTGAAGTAAAACGAAAACATACCTTGCGTCTCCCGCATCATCGTCACATACTCCTGCTGATCGTAAGGGAGACTCTTGATGAACCCATCCATGTCAAAGGCATACAGCTGGCCACTATTCTTCTGCTGCTTTGAGGGCTTGCCCAGATATTTGCGGTATGTATACAACAAGCTGGCGAGGCATCGCACAAACGCCGCTCGGACACGGTCGGCGTGGAAAGCCTCGGTACAAACCAGGGATACGAAGCCCAGGCATCTACCGTGAGCCACAGTCTTGCAGGCGCCGCACTTGTAGAATCCATCACCTTCAGATCTCTCTTCGCAGATGGTGCAGACCGATGTCGTGTCCTTGGGGTTCCAGTTGAAGCAGTGCCCCTCCACCCAGACCGTGGTATCAGTGTTACTGACAGGTTGAATCTGCATGTTGGGCATGATAGTCGAGGCCGCCAGAGTCGAAGCCGCATACGTTGATGGAGCATAGCCTCCTCCAAGAGATGACTGAGAATCCAAAGTCGAGATGGATAGGTTTGTCTGGTGGCCGTTGAGGAAGGGGAGGCTTGGCCGGTGGACGGGCTGGTATTTGTCGACGCCGAAGGATGAGCTTCGTCGGCCCTTGTCTTCTCCAAAATGCCCAGATCGCTTCTCCCTTAGTGTCGCAGTCAAAGCGAAACCCGAATCACTGCGTGAGACCGGAGTGGATGGCATGGGAGGGAATTTCATGGATACTGGGGATACGGAGGATTGAGGACTAGTCTGATTCGATTTGCTAGTCCCTGGTCGATCGGATTTGCCATTATCAACCAATGACAGAGAAAATCCATTAAAGACAGGGGGGAGCAGCTCATTCTGGGGGTCAGGATCCGCGAAGCTAGAGGAATTCTGAGACACCCATTTGCCGAGAGTTGACGGCGGAGCAACACTTGTGAACAGAGATGCGTTTTCCGACGAGAAGGAATCGTACGGGAAGGCCTCCATTGCGTAAGGTGGAGGTCCTGTGGTAACACCATATCGAAGCTTGTGCGGAGCCGCAACCTGCAGCAAAGACATCAGCTTCCTACGATGTTGTCGTGGTAAGCGATTGGGCTGCGACGTAGCATCGATAGTGTCCTTGTCGAGATCGACCAGGACATAGTCATCATCAGGGAGATCGATTCGCTCATAACGGCGCTCAACGCCAACGATATATGGGCAAGGCGCGTCAAGAGCAGAAATCAACCTAGCGGGCAGGATGGGGATAAATATGCTTGCCCACTTTAGAGGGTATAGAAGGCTTGCGAGAGCATGGCAGGCCAGGTGCAGCATGCTAGTGTGAGAGGAGAGGAAGATGATGCGAGATTCGGACATGGCGTATTCAAACAGAGCGACGATGTTCTCAAGAGAGAGACATCTGAATAGAGCGTATATATCAATGGTTCTGGAGCCGGGAATCTCGTTGGCCGCCTCCTTGCGGGAGAAGAGGCGCAGTTCCCGTACGCCAATCTCGACCTGAGTCTTGGAGCCCAAGGGGCTAAATGCCTCTGTACACAGATTGACAACATATTGCTCCAAAGGCTGCCATCGACCAACTTTGGGAGAGCTTTGGGGGATCCTGAGGACGGCGCCATCGGTCATGGGAACAACAATCGCCTTGAGCCATTCTTTCCAGAATGCCATGTTTGCAGGGTCTCTGCCCAGAATACCATACGCACGTGGAGCCCAGAGCCCAGTCTCGCCAGTTGTAAGGCCCTCGATTCTAGAGGCTGCACCATGTCTCAGGGGCCTAAGCATATCTGTCATGAGGGTAATCTTTTCCTCGACAGTGCCAATCTCATCCTCGAGTTTATCGCGGGCTGAGGTACCTGAGGGAATTGTTCCAAGCTTAGACAAGAGTTGCGACAAATGCGATCGCTCGTGGGCGAGGCGCACTCCCAGGCTTGCGGCCAGCTCTCGCTCCTCCTCAGACATGTGACTCTGTCGCCAGTCCTCACATTTATTCTCCACAACCTCTGCCACATCGGCAGGGAGTGCTGTCCACACAATGAGTGTAATGCCATACAACTTGGAATTGTCGTCGGATGTCATTGTGAAGCCATGCCAGGTCGATCTCGGCCGATCATCGGACGAGACAATCTGAACATCATTGGGGAATGCGAACATGGGCACATAGTCGGGAAATTTCCCTCGTCGAGCGACTTCGTCAGTCGCAGTCTTGGGCGGGTACCGATCCAGGAGCATAGGCTCGAATCGTCTCTTGAGGGGATGCATATCGGGATCGGTATTCAAAGGCTCGGGGGGAGGGATCACAGAGTTGTAGTTACTAAGACGTCTCGTGGTCCGTATTGAAGCTATGACAAGGTCCAGTTAGATACGGCATTCACAAGGAGAAGAGATGGGAAAGGACACTCACGAGCTCTTTGTGACATGGGTCTGGCAACACTGGGCTGCTTCCGCAGGCTGTTCATATCCCTAAAGCTGATCTTGCGGCGGATGCTACCCTTAATGCTCCTCAGGGGGCTGACCCTTCCACTGGGTTCAGCCTCGTCGGCGCGAATGCGCTCGGCTCGAGGGTTTACCATGGGCTGCCGTGCCTGTGTTTTCGCGCCAGCACTGAAGGAAAGATCCTCGAGGAAGTTCTCCCTCTCTGCGGCGAATTTCAGAAGCGCCTTGTCGAAATCAAAGTCTCCCATAAGGCTGAAAAATTCGCCCATCGAACCGCCATTGCTGATGCCATCGCCATTAGGGATGCCGTTGCCATTGCCAATGGCTGGCTTGGCTTTGATAGTGGCACTGCTCCTGTTGCTTCTTGTGTTGCCATCATCCTCCTCGATGGTCTGAACGGAATTTCGGCCGTCCAGAGAGAGCTTGGAGAAACGGTTGGCAGAATTCTGGCGAGAGTGGCGAGCGGCGCCTGGCTTAGTATGGTTGCTAGCAGCGTCTTCCTCGTCCTCGGGCTCTCCATCCTCGACGATGGTAGTCGTCTCGGTGGAATGGGTTACTGGCGGCAAGGACTCATCGTAAACCACCGCCTCTATGCCGGCGATCCAGAAGTATTCCGCCAGGGGAGTCGATGAGCCCTCCATGTCATGTCAATAGTTCAACCCCTTACCGTCAGACACGGCGATTGCTGCTTCAACAAATGTGCAGTTGCAGCCCCTCAGTGGCCTTGCACTTTGGCTTGGTTTATCTTCGTCTCCTGTGCCAACGCCCAATATTGTGTTCTCCTTCTTTCTTTTCGTCTCGGCCAAGGAACGTGCAGTCGGTGAACGGCGTGTGGCACGTTGGATGCTGCAAGAATGTCAGTAGGGGCACGCAGGACAGGGGCATGGAGCCTGTTTGACGGTAGGTGGCATCGCTGCCGTCGCCACCAGAGGCTGTGAAACAGCTACGCACCAAGACACAGGCAAGGACGCTGCCTCCTATTTCTAGTGATTGTATAGCGTATTCCAGGGAGAAGGGAAATGGCAAAAGGGCGAAGTCGGTCTTGAGAAGAATTGTCGTGAAATTGGACTGGGGGAAAAAGGCGCCGTGGGAGGGGGAGTTTCGTGAGCCCCTTTGGTGCTGCTGAGCTCGATGCCTCGACCTCGATTCTTTTCCAGGATGCTCCTGGTCCGGCAAGCGATTCAAACGCCACAGCTCAGCACTGGATTGCCAGCTCTGGTCGACCCGGCG